CTAACACTAACACTAACACTAACACTAACACTAACACTAACACTAACACTAACACTAACACTAACACTAACACTAACACTAACACTAACACTAACACTAACACTAACACTAACACTATATCTCTACATCTATCTCTACCACTGTCTGCCATTATTTTCACTTCGCACTTCCCGTCTTCTATCTCCCATGTTTCTTTCTACGTTCTGTATTCTAATCCATCCGTTCGCCTCTATCTTATTTCACTGGCCTCATCCCTGCACCTGTCCTCCATGCCCCATTCCTATCGTTTCTCCTTCGAGCGCATTCTACCTTTTGTATTTTCCGTCGTCAAAATTGGTCTCCTCTCTATTCTTCCCGTGTATATAATATTGTCTATCGCAGTTTCTTTTGCTTCATCTAGCACCAGTCATTTGCCTTTCCGTTCAAATTGGCGTTTTTACACACGCTATGTGGAGGTAGATATTTGCCCATATGCAGCATCTCGTGCACCCACCAGTATGATTCTGCCTGCGCTGCCGCTCTATGTACGGGTTTGTCGCGCACGTCCAACCCATAATTTCATCTGCGCCTGTAATCGCTTGGTTGTTGTTGTCTAAATTTCTTTAACAAGCTTAATCACAAACATCATGTGGTTTGCATTACGGCTTTCAGTCACGGTATGAAATACGATGCGTATCCTTCGCTCATATACGGAATTAAACGCGCGTAGCGGGACGTTGCGCGATTATTCGAATATCGTGACCATATTTATCGCATCACAGGCTCCTCGCTAATCATTCCTGCGCTGCTTGAACAAGGTTCTAGTACTCCTCGTATGCACAGTATAAGGATTGTATTTGTTACCGAAAGTATGGGATGACTTTGTTTCCCCTCTGCTCTTATCACATGTCTATATGTAATGCCTCAATAGCGCTGGCAAAGGGACGAGCTGGCTGTCTAGATTATACCATGGGTTATAAACCTTCTGTGAGCCAGAATGTATCTCAGGTTCCCGTCCATCACTATCAAGCTTGCCCGGTGTGGTGTATCACTGGCCTTCTGGGTCCACTGCCGCTCGTGCCACACTGTCATGCGAATATGGGGATGAAAGAGTCCGCCATCTTCGCTGTTTCTAAAGGTCATGCATGAAGCATCTTTCAATGCATTAGCCGAAATTTCCCCCTGAGTGCATGTATTCTAGGCATTTCACGGCCTATGCCACTTGCATGGCAATTCAGGACTAGTATACGGGCCTGGATGTTTACAAGTTCGAACGGTTGGCATGCTGAGCATCGTGAGAAGGTAAAACCCATTCAATCGCTAATGTATTTCCTATTGCGAAGCAGGCGAGCTGAAATGCGCGATGATGCAGGATATGTTTCGCTTACATGCATGTTCAACCCGATCAGCAGGTGGATATTTAGACCATCGACAAAGCAAACTAGGTTTAAAGCCACTCTGTAAGCTTCGTTAATGAGTATCATTATACAAATTTGTTCTACACGAAGTATATATCATTTTCTACTGACCAAATAGCGGCAATTTGACATCTTTTGAAGAGAGGTTTTACAGTGGGAGCACAATCCAATATGCTAGGCTTACTGCACGAGTCTAAACCTGTACTAAGTTGACTGCGCACCGTGAAGCCTTTGTTTGCTGGGGTATAACCAAAACCAGCGCACATTATTGGACACGGGCACGCGAGCCTGTGAAGTACGAGCGGAGATCATTGGGCTAAACATGGATAAATATGGAAGAATGTACTGGTACAAGTTTGTATGCACGAACAGGAAAATTGAAATAATAGAGTCCAATCAAAAAGGGATGGTGAGGAGAAGGGAGCCAATTAGGTTAGCGGTAAATAACTAAATACTGGGGTACAAAAAATTTCCCAGCGCGATTACTTTTGTCCGTCTATAAATTAGCTGCACCGTCCTAATTTTCCGCTCGGTAGAAATCCTTATTGTTAATCCGTCGTCTAACTCTAAGCATTAAGATGCAAATCTCGCTCAACATCGTTGCTATTGCGCTGGCCCTGGTCACGGCCGTGGCAGCCGCTCCGGTGGACTTGAGGGCACGACCAACCTTTATGCCAGGTCCGATTGTACCTAATGAAGCATATGATGGCTACAACCCATTCAAAGCCGCTCTCTCGACGTCTGTTTCAGACAATTAAAAGTATACAAAGAGAAAAATCAGACTACCCCGCTGGCGGGTTTGCTACAGTCTTTGATCACCGCGGTGTCGGACGTTGACCAAGAGTGTCATTCTCGCGGTTAACAAAAAGTGTAATATATACGATTCGCTTTTTATGAAAAATGGTCATACGATCGCTTATACCCCTTTTAATATGTAAAGTAGTTGCATTACATTCATACTTTCAAGTGTTTTTCATGTGTGGAACCCCTGTCTCCATCTGCGCGGCATGGTGACTCGTTTGTCTGGTAGCTGTGGGTTGCTCGCCGCTGGTGCGCGTATGGTAATGAATGCTCCCAATCTTTTGCGTTAAATTTGACCTGTCAAATTACGGTCGTAGTCTAGCGCTAACGTTATTCTCTGCAATAAACTGCGCTGATATTGCTCAGCGCCTGTTCAAGCAGTGACCGACTGTCTTGCAATGGAACGAACCATTTGTTGAGTTGGCGCGAGATAAGAGAACAGAAATTCGGTGTATGTTGTCACGCAAATGGCATAACAAAACCATGGAGATCGAAACTCTCGGATAGACATCTCAATCTCCCAATGCCTTCTCCGTAGTGACGATTGAACCAAGCTTCTGGACATTCCGCTGACTTAACGGTATCCAACCATGTTAATTTTACATCTACCTATCCATCAATTGGCCAGCATAGAGTGAAAACTAGACAGGTCTTTTTTCAATGGCAAGGAGCCCGATTCGCATGGACCTCGGAATCTACTTAACCATCGACTATCAACTCCACACGTATAGTTTCCACGACGTCACAACAACCGTCCTTTCTATTCGTGCATCAGAGTCAAACAGTCACTAGATCTGCTTTCCTGGATTGGATGGTTTGTTCAGCTGTTCAAGCATTGGTATACTCAATATATGAGAAACTGACGCTCGATCGCTCATGGTCAGACAAGCGTACATCTCAGCTCAGCCCGTTAAATATTACACAATAGGCATGGATGTCTGCTCATATTTCAACGTGGCACAACCATGAACTCTTCAGGTTCAGACACACCGCCGCTTTGAGGCATTTCTCTCGTCAAGTATGGCTGCGATGAGACAGGTTCAATCTGTCCATACGGCAACTGCTCAACATAGCCTTGACGTTGGACTTCAGAAGGCATCTGGTGCACTTGTTGAGACGCAGGATCAAGTCCATGCGTCTGCGCTGTTGGCTGGGGTGGGACAGTATATATAGGCGATGCATTCGCTCCCAAATTGTTATGCGCATAAGGCAGCGCGCCTGAAAGCTCTTGCTGGCGAATTTCTTCACGTACTGAAGGCATGTGTCTTTCATGCTCAAAGAGCGGCAATGCTTCCGTATTGGACAGGAGAGTCACGAATGCCAAGTCAGGTCCCACCCCAAAAATGTAGTACAGCGGCGTAATGAAGAAAAGAGGTGCCAACACGAAACAAACAGTGAGGAAAATTAACTTCAAAAAGGTAAAAGACAAGATCACGATCAGCAACACAAGCATATGATCTAGCTGCTGATGGCTTGTAGCGAGTGGTGCATATCCACGCTTCCTCTCCATCATACTCATGACAATGGGTCTTTCCCGCATACCTGGACTCATCCTTCGATGAATACCCAAAAATACAAGCGAAGCGAGCCAAAGCACAACGACAAGCGCCAGATACACAACCCAAATAGTAGAGGCAACCCACACACCGGCAATAATCAACGCAATCAAGATAAGAACAACGGCAGTAATGGATGCATAATTGCCAAAACCGCGATCAAATACACGTTTACCGTAATATTTGTCTGCAATCCATGTCCAGCGAACCATCATGCTGTATAGCACCCCAACAGAAAATGCAATCGCAGCAGAATACACCATCAGCGAGATAAAGGCATCTTGAATATCAGAATAAATCCGGAGAACAAACGCTCCTACTTCGACTATTGTGTGAGAAAGTTTCATTACGTGAATACATACGAGCACAAAAACCGAACATGAGGCCGTATTCGATCTTAGGGAATCGCGCCGAAACGTAAAACAGGAAAACAAGAGCAAAAATACCGAACACAATGCTCAAGAAAACATGAACGTTGGGATCATGGTACGCATTATAGACGTCTTCGGAGCACTCTGGGAAGAGTCCACTAACAAGAGGCGTGCCATACATAAGGTGACTAACGTCGAACTTGCAGTGCACTTGTCAGATTGACGCGTTCGCGAAAAAAGTCGTAGATTCACAAATTTTGCTACCCGCCATCATGCATGCCCTACATCGAGCCACGTGAAAATCATGCAAAGTAAAGGTCCACCAGCACTGTCACGTCAGTCCAACCAATCATACGAGAATATTCGACATACTTGTTGCAACCCCAAGGAAAATCCTGGAATAGTGTTAGTTGCTCGGATTCTAACTCGCAAATCCCCATACACGTACTCTAGCACAATCAGGATAATGACAATAATTTCCAACCATTCTGAGTGACTAGATGTCACCTGGTCCTTCAATAGCTGAAGCATGTCTTGTAGAACTTCGACACGAATATTCAACAGGTCGATTCGTTGTTGAATTTCTAGATAGCTTCGCGCTGCGGCATATAACGGCTCTTCCTTTGTTAAGAAACACACACGTACCGAGATCAGGCTGCGACCAAAAAATTTCAGGAGAGTCGACAACCGAACCAACTAAATGAATGTTCATACGAAGAATAAACAAGTGCCCAATATTCTTCATTATATCAACGGGTGGCATGCCCACTTTCCCGCTCTCTGCAATGCTGCGAGGAATGTCCTTCGTCGTGTCAATCGTAGCTTCGATGACACTTTCAAAAAAGCTGATCTTTGCAGACTGAGCAAGAGCATGTGAGAGTGACAATCTAGTCATGTAGCTTGAACCACGTCTGAGTGTGATGACATCGTTATATATGCTGCAACATTAGTATTTTTGTGCGAACGAGAATACTCACCGACTGTAGTCTGCTAAGTACCAGCTCAAGTCTTCACACTCGACATCTTCAGGTGCAAGCCTCTCTACTTCAAATTTGCGAATTTCACGAAGTAACCGTTTCTCTTCTGTCAATGACATTCCCCAAATCACAATAGCTGCAATATTGTCAGATATTTCTTCCCAGGGAGGCATACATACTTCCGTATTCCATCAAGAACACTTCCGGAACGTAGTGAACTAGTTGTGTAGATTTACGTGGCGACTTTGGCGCTGCTTCAGGCTCTTCTTGCTTGCTGACATCCACACCGCCCTCATTCTCCTCTGAAATCGTCTGAAGCCCATGTTCAGGAGATGCAGATTCTTGTCGAAGTTCAGGAACACCAAGCAAATCACCAGTAGGTGTTCGACTACTGTCCAAGCGGAATGGTGGTCGTCCTTGTTGCAGCACCCATGGCGAGGTTGTGGGCAGTCCACGTGCCTCGTCCACATGGTGGTACGTATACGTCGTGTATACACATTCATCAAAACGGACAACATTTGTTTCATGCGATGATTTGCGAGCCTGAAGCCAGCGAATTAATTCCGGTAATTTATATGATCTGGTTTGTCAGTGATAGACTCGGACCTTTCATAGCACATACGTCGCAGTGCTATACGCTGTTACACGAGGAAGTCTTGAACGGGCTTTCCTCGTTAGACGCAATGCATCTCGTCGCATATTGCCTTCTGGAATATGATGCAAATGTGCCATATCTTCTGTATCCACATCGGCATCGTCATCCCAGTACAAGTCAGCATACGCGTCCTCAGCACCGGGTCCTCCATTAGTGTTTCGTTCAGGCTCCTCAGGTAGAATCTTGTGTTTCAATGCACTCTTTGTAGATCTTTCACACGTAAGAAAGAGTGCCTATCACAACGTACCTCTGAGGGCCAGCTCTGCCGTACACTGATGGATGCATAGACATGATAAAATTGTGCGTTGCTGGGTTGGACGAAAGAAAATGAAACTGGCCCTTAGATGTGCCCGAGAGCTCGCGTGCTTTCCCATACAATCGGGATCGGGACGTTGTACATGCGCCGATTGTCAAATAAATTACAATGAAGTGTAGTCTATGAAAAACTCATTTGGCAACTGAATCACGACTTCGGCAAGAAGCTGTTCCTCAGTGGGGACACGTGGCGGTACTGAAACTCGACTGCATGATACATTCGATATTGAAGGTTCAGAAAGATTTTTACCAGCACCCGTCATAATGGCAGCTTCAAAGCGACCAAGTCGTAAAACACGTCGTCGATGCAGTTTATTCTGTTGCGCTGGAGTCTTAGACTTGGATCCAGACAACGGCGTTTGTACTGATTGCGCATTGTAGGCAGATGATTGAGCGTATAGATTTTCCGAAGATCTTTCATTTTCATTCGCTGAGGTATCACCACAGTGTAGATTATGAGCATTCGGCTGCAGTCGAAACAAACCATCATTAAGAAGAGAATCGAGACGAATTTTCAATGAATCATTGGGAATCGTGATGCCAGTTGTGGATTGTGTATCCGGTAACCCCTCATCTAGATCGAGGACTTTGAATGCTTCATCATTCTCCGAAAGCACGTATAAAAAGGAGTCATTTTTGTGATCAGTACCAATGATCATTAGTCGACGAATTTCAGCCTCGGCTCCCAATAATTGAGCCATGGCACACAAGTTGGATAGACTCTTCCGCATATCTTCTAAGGGTATACCTGCCAAAGTTCCATTGTCAAGCACACCTAGTTCGTAAACACATGTGCCGCCACCCTCTGTAAGACGCCAATTCAGTTGCGTCACGAGCCGGTCGAACCGATCCTTAGACGTAGGTAGAATTTGAAATTTGTACTCGACATTTCCAGTATCATCCTCTTCTGGATCAAGTTGCGACATAACCTTCACATCCGCATGATTTTTCATTAGATTGATTGATTTTGCTTTGAAAATGTCAGAGTGTGCAAAAGTGGGTTTTTCGTTTCCAGCAACTTGCTGACTTTCCATATCAGCTATCGCGGTAGTGCTCCATGGTGAATCACACATGGTATAATGAATATTACGTTTGAACGGAAGGGTGTGACTTTCTTGCCCTGCTTAGAGCCAAACATAAGGAATGACTCACGCCTCTATGACGGGCTTGGGAATAAGAGTTACGCGCGTAACCTGTTGAGCAGAATAGATCCCATGCACGTGTTATCGGGCGCGATCGGGTATCATGAAGCTGTTACCAGTACAACTTCATGTACTACCATGTGGGGTGTTCCTTCCTGTGCCAACGTCAAAAGATTGTTCCATGCGCTCTTATTCACAGATGAAGGATATTATCCTATTCTGTTCCTGATGTGTGTCGGAGAATGTGTGCTGAATTTTCTCATCATAAAATATATTAGCTGTGAGTACCACAAAGGTGTTGACGAGGCAGACACAGAGATTGATTTTTTCACATACCTTCGACAGGCTCAAATGTTTTTAGATGGGGAAAGAGCGTACCAAAAAATTAACCCACCTGATGGTTCTGGACCATGTGTTTATCCTGCGGGTCATTTATACATTTTTGCTTTCTTTGACGCTTTAACCACGCATGGCTCTCGATTACTTCCTGCACAAGTTGCCTATGCTGCGTTGTATATATGCACTCTCATACTGGTTGCGCAGCTCTATCGCTTTGCAAGTGTACCACCTATTGTATTGCCGTTTCTCGGATTATCCAAAAGACTCCATTCCATTTACGTTTTGCGCCTCTTTAATGACCCCGTCAGCATGTTCTTCGTTTACGTGTGCGTATATCTGTTATGTCGACAACGTTGGAAAGTTGCGTGTATTTTTTACTCGTAAGTGTTGCAGTAAAATAACGAAATAATGGCTTATGCAAAATCTCAGCATTGCTCTATCTATCAAGATGAATGTGCTACTATTTTTGCCAGGACTATTAGTTATATTGTTCAGAGCAGTGGGCGCCTTTTCTACAATTATGTATATGTTTACTATTGTCGGAGGTCTGCAATGTCTATTGGGACTTCCCTTCCTAATTCACGACCCCAAATCCTACGTCTATGCAGCATTTGACTTTTCCCGCTCCTTTTTGTACGAATGGACGGTAAACTGGCGCTTTTTAGGTGAAAAGATTTTCTTACATCCATCTATGTCGAAATTTCTTCTTTTCTTGCACCTCAATGTATTGTGCTTGTTTGGAATATATCGCTGGACGGGCTTATCTTCGATGGGATGGCGATGGATTGCAGCTTGTTGGCATGGTGACCCTGTTCCTATGTCGTCGTCTTTCATGATTCTTACATTGTTCACGAGCAATCTTATTGGGATAACATTTGCACGCAGTCTTCACTATCAATTTTTCAGTTGGTATTTCCATCAGATTCCGTTACTAGCCTGGGCATCATCATGGCCTCTTCCCATCCGTCTTGCTCTTCCTTTGGCTGTTGAATTGGCATGGAACGTGTTTCCCTCTACAAACCTATCATCTGTGATTTTGCTTATAGCGCATATTATGCTGTTGGTCGGGCTATGGACAAGGCGCGCCCGTACGCCCATACATCAAATTAAGATTAGCTGATTTTTAGACAATCTTTTTACCGTCAGGTAGATACTCCGCCTGAATGAACTTGCCCCCATTCTGCTTCAAAATAGCTTGTGCACCACGACCCAATCCAGTGGATGCGCGAGCATCCCACGGAAGCCATCCAGGATACAAACCTTGCAAACGAGAATTAATAGCAGGACACCAGTCTAAAAGTCCTGCGAGTTCAGGAGCTGTACTTGTGTACGGTTGAATTCGTCGACTCCAATTTCGTTTTCGCCGCTTGTCTAAAAGGCGTCCATAACACCCATACATGTCCAACTCAAAAAGGTCGTACGCAGTGTCATGTAACTTCGCTGAAGAACTGCCTTCATCGTCGATGCCCACGTAGGTGAAGCGACGTGAGCCACCAGGTAAATACTTATTCGTGGGCCACCGAATAGCATGTGCGTGCAGGTCGGTGAAGCGGTCCTTTTTAAATTCATAACTCACAACCGTGATCCTTTGAGGGTATGTGCCAGTAAACTCATAGAAACGCGCAATGCTGAATAACAAGTTTTGAAAACTGTCAAGCGCATAGTTCTCTGTTGTCATGCGTAATTGTGCCAGATTCAGAAACCGGTGCATGGCTATTGAGCTTGAGGACAAAACATCTCGTGTGTATTTCATACCCGTGTCAAGAGGCTCAAAAGGCGGTTGGGACTCTGGAAACTCGGTATCCGAATCAGCAAAGTAAGGCAAATCTTTCGACAATGCAAGTGCAAGATGCATGTAAGTCTCCGCTTCGGTTGTCCAGGACTGCTCTCGTGTTTGGCCGCCACTGAACACAAGTAAGCTCGAGCTATCTTGCGCAGCAATTTGGATCCCCGTTTCAATGTGTTTCAAGAAAGTCTTGACACTTCCACCTCGCTGATAGTCTTCAAGGAACCAAGTAGAATCGTTAAGAACCGTATTTGGGTCGTTACCATTCCAAATAGCATGGCCTGCGACAATAACCAAATGCGTCAGTGGTGACTTATCGGCACCTGGGTATTTAGGCACGGCATCGCGCATATGAATATTGTATGGTATTGGATCACAATTAGATTGTTCTGAAGTAGGAGCTGTTACATATATCTTCCGGCTTCTAGTATTAAACAGCAGGGAAACAAAAAATGCGCACGCAAGCAGGATGACACCCAGGTTCGTGACACGCGAGCGGGCAGACATTCGCGCGTGAACATTAGCCCAGACCCCGCGGTCCATTATGCGTCTTTGCACATCTTTCCATGAATATGGCAGCGACATAGCCGGCAGCACTCCCGCCTAAGATCGGCACAATGTCCACTTTGTTCAATTGCTTGCAAGGTACGCCCTGAATGCTCTTCGCGAGCGCATCCGAGTAGGAGGATCCACGGGTTAAAACATCGGCCGATGAATTAGTCATCATATTCTACCAAGCCCGACAAATGTGACCGGCACTTGACTATCGACACGTTGACCCAGGTGAAATGGTATGTCGAATGCGCAGGATGAATAGACTCACGTCTAGCTGAAAGCTAGTGCACCGCATCTTGTTTGGGCCTCTGGTCACTTTCTCACGTTTGTCGCCGGTATGCGCTACTGGCTGGCGACTGCTACGTTGGCATGGTCTGGCTACGATTTGTGGTACCGTTTAGCCTACATTGGCGCGATTGTAAGCTACGGTGTTGTGATCTATAAGAGCTTCGGTGTATGTTAGAAGCATTTTTTTTCTCAGCTGACTTATTTTTCAGGTTCCTCGCACTGATAAATCATACGTTCAACGCGCTCTTATGGATGAGAATGTTCAATACCTTGTTATCGCAATGTATTGGTGCTGGATCAAGCCCATTTCTTGTATGTACACCATACACGTATTCAGGAGAGCTATTAACACTATTAGTAACACTCATTCCTTACATCACATTCTCCCTTTTCCATCTCCTTACTTTCACCCGAACAACCATTTTGCCATCCATCAAGCCAGCATCCCAGAATGCGGACGGCACCTCGACACCTGCGGGTGGCGAGATGTCCAAATCTATTCAAAAGTGGGTAAAGCAAAACTACGACGTTGCAATGCGCTTTGTCTCGTATGCTGAAGTGGTGATTTTCGTGCGAGTTCTTATTGGTGCAATGTTGCTTCGTAATTCGCTTCTCGCGCCACTTTTCTATGCTCACTTTTTACGGCTGAGGTTCTATATGAGCAGCTTTACCCGTGCTGCACTACAGCATGTGCGAGCAGAATTGGATCAAATTACGCAATGTTCATCCTGCCCGCCAAGCGTTCGGAAAGGCTATTTGATGCTCACTGATCTTGTCACTCGTTACGCGAGCACGGTTCTTAGTATCAACCGTAACCAACCTGAGGCCAGCAGCGCTGCCTCATCGCGTCCTTATGCTTCAACTTCATCCCCGGCAGATCCCACAAAGTTGAAAACTCGCTAGACACTCCCTTGGTTACACATATCACTGCATACGATTTTGCCACGTACGTAGGTCGGGTACATCAGCATGTTCGTTCTAGCCTTGCGCATTACGGGTTACGTCGATGAAATGTTCTGGATTATATCAAAGAACTTCAATCCCTTTACGCGTTATGGTAAACAGAACTTCCGGCGGTGCCGGTTGCGCGCACGTAGGTGAAAATACAACTCGGAAACGACGTGCTGGTAGTTGGATCTTGTTTGGACATCGAACATGTGCGAGCAAAAAACGCGCGTTGATGCAGTTTGTCCAAACTAGACCCAACTGCGCCATTTTCAAGCAATTAATATCAGCTTCAATCGAATGGGAAGAAGATGCGTAGTGTTTTGCATATGGGACATACGCTAATAATCCCGAAAAATGGGCCGCTTGGGGGGTATAGGCTAATGGGAGGGAAGCTTTGTGTTGGATTACCGACTGCATCGCGTCATGATCCAAAGAGCCGTACGGCAACTCACCACAAGCTAGTGCTCGTCGAATAAGAGCTGCGTCATGCAAGAAAGCATCATGAACATGATTCACAACGATCACAGCCATCGATGCCGCGTCACCCGCTCCAAACGCTAAACGCTTGAGGAAACATGCCAATGCATGCAGTCGAGATGCACGAACACTATGCTGCGAAGCGGGAGAATCAGAAAGAATGTTCTCATGTACATCTTCTTGGAGAAGAGGTGGCACGCTATCCAGCACCAACAGCTCAAACGCGCTTAAAGAAAACATTTTTCTTGACACAAGCCCCGGAAGTATATAACATAGTACATGTTCTGCTGATTCAAACGTGTTTGTGCAGGCGAGAAATACATTTCCTAGCAGAAGTTTTATGCCTTTTTCCACTAGTTCGTCCACATGTGTATCTGGCACACTAGGTTGCTCAAACCAGAGTCGTAAAAGTTGTTGAGCTATTTCCACCATCCGCGATACCATATGCTGCGCTGCGGTTCTGCCTTTAGAGGTGATAAGTGCAACACTTTTTCCTTTCCCGCCACGTAAGTACGAAGATGGCTTGGGATGCTGATTTTCGGCAGGTAGCCCTAATGCAGTGCAAACGGTCACATAGAGACAGAATTGTGTTTTGCCTGTTGCACTTTCTCCAACGAGTTCCGATATCATTCCTTTTGCAAAGCCTCCATTCAAGCTATCATCGATTGAAGAACTTCCTGTAGACACAAAATTTTGTTTCCATCCAGATTCATGACCCCATGAGGGTAGATACGAATATTCATCATCTTCACCTGGCGTTCCTAAAACGACTGACTTACTCGAAGGGTCAAGTAAATCATAAATACTAGTTTGCGCTGGAGCTACAGCACGTTCAACAATGAACCGGATTTGACGTGCTAGAGTCTCTGAAATATTCATATTCTTGGCTAGCGTCGATATACTGTCGGCTAAAATGCGTTCTGCACCATCATAGCCAGCTTTTGTGAGCAACAGAATCTACCAACCTCTTCTGCAAAGTGCTTTCTCGCGAGCGCCGAGTGCATCTATGTCGGCCAAGATTACAGGAAACATTGCATGGTTTCGATCAAAGCAGCGGCAAAACGAACTCCACAACAACATTGATTCACATGCACAATTCTGGCACTTCTATATAGTTAAAATTCTAGTTTCTGGCTCAGACTCAAGTCGATCTCAGCGTTGCCAAGTGGGCCTGCTGGTCATTCGACTACGACGAGGAGATGCAGCACCGGAAGCAGCAGAAGCGCCAACATTTCCGCTGGGAGAATACTGAGGAGACGTCGGGGAGTATTGAGGTGATGTCGGAGAATATTGAGGGGAAGTAGGAGAGTATTGCGGCGATGTAGGAGAGTACTGCGGCGATGTCGGTGAGTATTGCGGAGACGTCGGCGAGTACTGTGGCGATGTAGGCGAGTATTGCGGAGAAGTGGGAGAGTATTGCGGTGACGTTGGCGAGTACTGTGGCGACGTCGGCGAATACTGTGGTGACGTGGGCGAGTATTGCGGTGACGTTGGCGAGTATTGTGGCGACGTCGGCGAATACTGTGGGGAGGTGGGAGAATACTTCGGTCCACTCGCTCCAAGACGACGACCTCTTGGTCCAGCCGGCGACGTTGGTGAATATTGAGGAGAAGTGGGTGAATACGCTGGAGACGTAGGCGAGTATACTGGACTTGTAGGTGAATAATTTGGGCTTGCTGGTGACATCCGAGACGTGTAAGTGCTTCGAGCATTGGAGGCATCAATTACGGGACTCGAAGGCGAGTAGCTCGGGCTCGTAGGACTGTATGAAGGCGAAGTTGCTCCTGCGAAAATCCTTGGCGATGTCGGACTATAGGCAGGAGACGTCGCTCCAGCGGCACCAACCCATGGACTCATCGCACCCAGAGCAGGGCTTGTTGCATTGTAAGCAGGACTGGTTGGAACGTATCCAGGAGACGTTGGAGCAAAGCCATAACCAGGGCTTTGGGCACCAAGAGGAGTGCGCATTGGGCTCTGTCCTGCACTAAGATATTCACCATAACCACCCTCGTCACCGCCAACCTGCACCAGTGGTGAGAAACTTGCTTGTTGTTGAACGCGGAAGTCGTCATCAATGTTTGGTGAACCTGAGTCGTACGGTGTCATGCCTCCTGGCGTGCGCGCGCCCAAGTCGTCGCTATCCATGCCCAATTTCGATACCCAAAGGTTTGCGTAGGATTGATCTCTGTTCACGATCACGTCCTTAAGCATATCCACATCCAGATTCAAGTCAAATGAACCAGTGCCCATGGGTGCCATCTGTCCCAGAAGTACATTTTGTCCCACACCTTTACAATCATCCATGTCTCCCATCGAAGCAGCTTCCATCAAAATCTCAACAGTTTCTTCGAATGTGCAACGCATAAGTGCTCCTTGGTTCGTCCGATTAATACCATGGCGCGTAATTGCCATTAATGTACCTTGGCTTGTCATAATATCGACTAGCAACGCAAGGTGTCGATAGTTGACATACGATCCATCAAACTCGATGACATTGCGAATTTCCTTCAGCAAGGAACCACGAGCAGCCTCAATACCGAACACGCGGAATACTTCAACACAGTTGTTCGAAAGAGTGCGCGACACATCGACACCATCGACAGCTAGAACATCTTTCAAGTTGGTACCGTCTGTTTCCAGCACATATTCCTTCAAGCTGTCCCATTCACCCGTCTCAGGGTCGAAACGCCGAGTAATTTTGTCTTGCTTTACAATAAAAACTTTCGAGATTCCAGGAACACCCTTCAACGCAATATCAGTGAGCATTTGTTGCGCCAGACTCTTCAAGAATACGTCTTCTTCACCCTGAACTTCCTTGTCTGGATCATTATCAACAATACGAATTCGCAACACGAGCTCTTCAGCATTGTCTTCAGAATGCATAACAAAAATATCGCGACCAAACATGGCACCAATTTTCGACGCTACCTCGGCCATCGTCAAATTTTTGTCGAGCATTTGTGCACGATCAAGAACGAGACGTAAGAGCCAAGGCGACTGTCGCTCCAGACTGGCTTCCACTTCTTCATCAGGGATAGCAAAGAATGCATCGACAAAGTCACGATCCTCTGGGATCACTGTGGAACTGGGATCGGGGTCGTAGAATACTTCGACTGCTGATGTTACTGTCTGTAACGTTGTGTACGCGAGTGCCGTCTGAATGATTTTTGCAGATTCAGACGATGCACTATATTTAGGGTGCAAATACACTGTTACCGAAGGGGTCTTGATGTTTTCGGCGCAGTTGATGATCTCCTTCAATCGTGGCACACCCAGCGTCACATTCTTACTCGACACACCGGCGTAATGGAATGTGTTCAGAGTCATCTGCGTTGCTGGCTCACCAATGCTTTGAGCAGCAAGTGTTCCGCACATCTCACCCGGCTGAGCAACACTGCGAGCGAATTGACCTTCGATTTCTCCCAAAACCCATTCCCACGCTTCACGTGTGAGATGGTGAACCTCAATTACTTGTTTAGAGCATAGGAATGAGCGCAAGTGAATTTTGAACAAGAGAGTTGCATTCTCCTGCATGACGCGACTGATTTTGTCGTCACCACGAACAACCAGTAGATTGTTAAGCACACGCTTTAACCCGTCAACGATTTCAAATGGTGACAAGTCGCTCGGTTTGCGAGGATCAATGTGGAAAATTTGCTGCGCATTTAGGACGAGGCGAGCGATATTTAATGGCAGGTATGTATCCACACGGTCAGTTTGGAACACTTCGGTTCTAAGGGTTTTTCGGTCAGCTTCAAGCTGTTCAAATTCTCCTTCAAGCAACTGCTCCAGTTCAGGCGACCAATCACCTAAGCCTGCCCGTAAAGTGCCCTTTTTGAATCCACCACGACTTAACTCGACCTTAAATCGGCGTCGGAATTCTTTGTCATTCAAGCCATGTGTGATCAGTTTTTGTCGTTCGACCATCGCACCATCAATGCCATCTTCACCGTAGGCAAACTCAATAACATTATTGGTAGAATTACGCACAGTGCCGTCGTAACAAATAGTCACATCTTCTAGAGCTTTGACCAAACGACGCTGGATGTAACCGGTTTCTGCCGTCTTCACAGCAGTGTCAATCAAACCCTCTCGACCAGCCATGGCGTGAAAGAAAAATTCATGTGCTGTCAACCCACGGAGATATGAATTCTCAACGAATCCTCGGCTTTCTGGCGTGTAGTCATCTTTAGTGAAATGCGGCAAGCTGCGGTGTCTGAAGCCAAATGGGATCCGCTTGCCTTCAACCGACTGTTGACCGACACAGGCAGACATTTGTGAAATGTTGATGAATGATCCTTTTGAACCAGCAATTACCATCTGTTTCACATTATTCCAGTCAGGTAAATTCTGCTCTGCATGAGAACCAACGTCATCACGGGCTTTGTTGAGAATACGGTTGACGTTTGCTTCAAATGATTCACGCAACGTCATACCGGGATCAGCCTTGAGCCAGTCATGGCGAGCTGCCTGAATGAGATTCATTACATCAGACTTGGCCTTGGCGATTGTCTCGTTGATGTTTACTGTCGTTGCTTTGTCAGGAACAGTATCGCCAATACCGATGGAGAATCCATTGTGCAGAAGCCAGTAGTTCACAACGCGCTGTACACCGCTGAAAAAGTCACGACAAACAACCGGCCCGCGCTCCCGGAAGATGATGTGAATTAAACCACCCGCAGTCGAGCCAACAACCTTTTTGTTGATGACACCATACATGATCTCACCATTTTCAATATGAACACCATCATCCTTCACAAAGTTATTGCTAGCTGCTTTGGCATCCCCTAAGAAAACATTAATGCCCTTCGGAATGCACAAAGACAGAAGTTGCTTGCCAGACCAGTATGGCTTTGGTTTCAGAATACATGGCTGAGGCACGATTCCATCCCAACCAGGCAACCACATCAAAATATTTTGGACTTGATCATAATCCATCAGACAGTCACGAAGGGTGAACTTTCGGACACCACAGAGCGTATCTTGTACGATGCCCATGACCGGCTTGTTCGCTTGGGGCGATACAATCTGACGCGGTACCCATGCGATCTGCGCTAACTCAGCACGAGCTTCTTCGCTTTGTGGAACGTGCAAGTTCATTTCATCACCATCAAAGTCAGCATTATAGGGGGGCGTCACGCTCAAATTAAGTCTGAACGTCGAGTAGTCCATAAGTTTCACACGGTGAGCCATCATACTCATTTTATGCAAACTAGGTTGGCGATTGAAAAGCACATAATCACCATCCCGAAGATGTCGCTCAACAATCCAGCCGGCTTGCAGTGCAATGTCGCCACGTCGGTTATACTTTAGATCAATACGTTCGCCAGTGTCTCGAATGACATAGCGAGCACCAGGGTATTCGTTCGGACCGTTTCGAACCAAATCGGATAAATAAGCACGGTTGTAGGGTGTCACTCGTTCAGGATAAGTTAAGTTGCGCGCTATACTCTTGGGGACGCCAACTTGATCGAGCTCAAGATTGGGATCACCGGTAATGACTGTGCGAGCTGAAAAGTCGACACGTTTTCCCATCAAGTTACCACGCAGTCGCCCTTCCTTTCCTTTCAAACGTGCACGTATAGCCTTGACCGGACGACCTGATGATTGCAGGGACTGCGGCAGTCCTGCAATGTCGTTATCCATGTATGTCGCCGTGTGATATTGCAACAAGTCAGCAAAATCATTCAAAATGTGTGCAGGTGCACCCTCTTGTTCCATACGACGAAGATTGCTGCTTGCTTTGATGATATCCGCCAGTTTATAAGTCAAGTCATCTTGCCCCATACCACTGCCGAACTCGGTCACACCGGGACGCACCTGGGGCGGCGGCACAGGTAAAACTGTTAGGACCATCCAGTCAGGCTGTGCAAAATCATCTGAGAGTCCAAGAGTGTTTACATCGTCAGCTGAGATTTTCTTCAAAATAGTGTGCACTTCTGAGGCGGGGAGAGGTCGCTTTTCTGTTTGTGCCATCTTACTAAATTCTTCAGCGTCGTCCTCTTTGCTCTGGCGCCAAACGGTAAACAATTTGAGCGCTTCTTTTCGGATAGCTGGCTGCAAACGACCACATCCACCATGGCCTATTTTGGGTTGTGTGACCTCACCAAATTCATCTTCTTCTTTGCCCTCATCTGCCTCGCAAATGCTAATTTTTGAGCAGTATTCCCACACACGTTGGAATCGCCTTTTACGATTCACACGAGTAGATTGAAGAACATTTTTAAAGACAGGGTCAGAAACCTAAACTGGTTAGTAACGATGCTGTGATGTGAAAAATGAATCCACTCACAGGGTCAGCCTTGAGTTTACCGCAGTGGACACAGACACACTCCAGCAGCTTTTTGACCTTACCAAGGAATCCGACGTGGAAGACTGGACGAGCAAGGTCAATGTGTCCAAAGTGACCCGGACACTCCGCCATTCCTTCGCCACAAGTCTGACACTTGTAATTCCTATCAATCGTGCCGAGCCTCGGATCAGACAGGCCTCCCACCTTATACTTCCCTGTTGCATCGTCTTTCACCTCAGGGAACTCAACTTTGCAAACAGAGAATGCACGCTGTAGATATCACATATGTTTTAGTATTCTGCTATTACGCGACCATAAATACCCACAATCTCCTCCGGACTTAGAATCCCAAACTGTACCTCCTTGACTGGACGAACCGGAGCCACAGACGGCGCAAACTGGTGGCCAATCATTCTCGGCAAACAGAATATACCGATCCCCTACGTCAGTAGAAGAGTTGGGACCAGAAGGATGGTTCGATCGTGATTCGACCGGAAGGATTCACGCACTGCAAAGAGTACGAATGTGGCCGACGACTTTCGAGTAGACAAACAGAGGTGAAACTGAATGTCCGGCGAAGACAATCACAAATACTTTTGTGTGTGCTTCGACCACGCGTCGTCGTCGTCGAAAGAGAGTCGATTCTTCCGCCACATTCGCTTTACCCGACAGTCAGCAAACACCGCATCACAAGCAGGGGGCAAGCCTTCAGAAAACACGTGTTCGTCATAATATGGACCAATCAACACACTACAATCGAAGTTATGCCACTTAACGCACGTGATCATCCACAACCATACGAGCCTACTCCGCCACATACGTATTACGCACGGCTCACCATCAGGATGGGGTCGGCAAAGAACTCGTTCCATGAGCTTGTGGAAAAAGCCACGTCGTCACTCATTCCTTCTGGACACGAGGATATATACCTATATTTCGAAATTAGTGATCACATCAGGGCCAAAGATGTGACCCCAGAATTCGCCATCCAGGAGCTGAAGCGTCGTCTTTTGCACACAAACCCCAACATACAACTTTTTGGTTTGAGTGTATGTTGTGTCGTTTTCGTTTGGGGTGAGATACTTACATAACAGCTCATTGACCATTGCTTCAAGAATGCGGGCATTCTTTTTATTAAACAGATTGCGACAGTTGAATTTATGAATACCATCACGTCGATTGTACGTGATCGACCAAATCTTGCCATGCCTGTAAAGTCAAAGATTCTCCAATGCTTGCAAGATTGGAAATATATTTCTCGAAACAATGCGGATGAACTATTTGTCATAGCCGAGGCTGTCCATGGCCTGGAGAAGGATGGGTTTGAACTTCCACCACCTGACCCCGTAATCTCCAAAGCCGGGGAAGCTTTCACTGATACACCTATTGCACCTGAATGGTCGGATAATCCTGTTTGTACGAGATGTCGCTCCGAGTTTGGAACATTCTTGAGAAAGCCTCACTGTCGGAATTGTGGTCGAATATTCTGCTACAGATGTTCCGCCAAGGCCATGCCTTTACCCTGGTATTGTATCAACAGTGCTGTACGGGTGTGTGATGGATGTTTTCAGCGCAAAGGACCTGTTTCCAACCCCCTTTTACATAATACTACGACCCGATCTGCATCATCTCCATCAATGGCTAAAGAAGAAGATGAATTAGCTCGTGTTATGGAATTGTCGTTGAAAGAATACAACGAGCGAAACACTTCTCTTGCCACACATTCGCTTATGGGCTCGCCAAGGAAAGGTGATGAGCAATCTGATGCTGATGATGATCCTGACTTGGCTGCAGCTATAGCAGCCAGTCTTCGTGAACAAGATGCCCGCCAGCCGAAAGAAAAGGCAGTGTTAGGGACGTCATCGGCGTCGCGACAAGGCTACCAAAGAACTGAACTTGAGCCTTCATTGTCAAAAACATTGCAAACTGAACGTCCTCTGGACGTGCATACGAATGATTTAGATAATATACTCACATTTCATGATACCATCTTGCGCCATGATGCTCCATGGGCCAAGAATATTGCGACTGATGGCATACCTCAACCTGTACAGAACATTCACGACAAAGCTGCAGTGTCTCGAGCTAAATTGGCGCGAAAGTTAGACCTAGGTCATCGACGACTTCGTGAGCTTTCCAGCTTACAAGAAAAGCTTTCAGAAGTCGTGAAAATGTACGATCGATTACTTGATTCACGCCTTGGCGAAAGAGACTCTTTACATGGGACTGAAAATCGTCCGGACGGCGCGAATTTCACCTACAGAGATCCCTTTGGAACATCTTTTCCACTTACTAATAACCCTGACCCATCCGCCCCGCCTGCTCCGCTATCACCCTCTTTCGTTTCCTCAGCCCCTCTTATCTCAGACTCGAGAACAAGCACTTCGACGAAACAGCAAACATCCTCCGATTCGATGCACGGCGAATTTCTCATAAAGGCTTGTGAGAAGAATCCTCAGCATCTTGACGAATCTAATGTGCAAGAAGCCATGCTTATAGAACTGTAAAACCATGCAAGTCTATTGATCTCATTTTGGGTCGAAAATTTATTTACGCAATATTCGTACAGCGAAAATTCTCTGTTTTCCATTTCTTGTGCGCAAACTTAAGAGGTATACGGCACTAAGGGGATGATTTGTCTCTAGAAGATTCAGCCGAGTCAGGAGACGAAGAACTTTGGCTCCAGGAAAACGGGGTCTGTGATAAAAGACTGGAGGTTAATAAAGAAAAGGCATGAACCGCTTTGCTCACAGCTGATTCTGCTGGCTGCTCGACATGGATTTCAAAAAGATGCGTGTGCGTTTCATACCATATAGCGAACGGAGTAACACCTACTGCATATATCAAACCCCATACATAGCTTTGGAACCAAACGGAGTTTTGGTCTGTCCATTCAAAAGAGCAGGCCTGAGGCTCTGGGGCTGACGGGATTACCTCCGAGAGCGGCTGATCGCGAAGGAATGCCAGCACTTGCTCGTGTGCGGCAGCACTATTCATCACTGGCGGACTAGCGCAAAATTCATTCATTCGAGGGACAAGATAATCAAGCATAGGCTTAAGAACATCAAAGGAGAGTTTTGATAGCCACGTGTTGACCCACTCTTGATTTGGGACAAATCCATGCTTTCCAACGGTGGATGCAATTTGATCTAGCTGCTCACGGGAATATGATTCTTTTGCTTTGGGAGGAACAGGTGGTGGGTTTTCTTGCCTTGTTTTTAAACCTATTTCCTCTTCCGAAAATAATGACTCTTCCTGTTGGTTTTCTTCTTTCGAGATTTCTTCTGACTTTTGCTCCAAAATGGTAGACTCCGAACAGTCAGAAGCCTGAGCATCAACATCTTTCATCTCAGAAAGCGCAGGTTTAGTTATATCAGTAGCACGCATGTTCTTCGAATTGTTATTGTTGATTGAATTCAAATCAGCTTTAGTCGGTTCGGATTCAAATGTGAATGAATCCAGATCTTGCAACTCATTAGCCTCGCATTGTAGTGTAGCAGATCCATTAAGAGGATGTTTCTCTGTTTTGCTGCCAAATTCTTGCTCTGTTGAGTGCTCTCGATTTTGTTTTGCTTCACCTGCATTTTCGCTGAGATGTTCTCGTTCGGCTATTTTTTCCCCATCGGTAAGGCTCTTGTCAGGCGAAATTGGTGGTAAAGGCCGATTCAAATCGACTTGATGTTGGAGACCTACGGGCCCCGGTTTCTCTACCGCCTCAGGCGTTTCGTTCGTATTCGAAATTGAATTATTGCCGTAGTGGTCGCGAGCGAATTGAATCGTCACAAGAGCTGAATCTAAATCAAAAGTGCGAGTCCTCTCGATGATGTGCGCGGATCGCACAAGCACATATATCAAATGACCATTTGAATTAGCATTAAATTGAATAGCCCTTGAACACGAATCAAAAAGCAGTCGAAGCAAGTAAGGGTGGTTTGCATCACTGAGCAAAAACCTAAAAGATGCGAAGTGATGTAATAGCTGCTCAAGACGAGACGCAGAGGCCACCGACATCCTTTGCCAATATGGTGAAGTATTGTACAAAATTAGTAATAAGCTAGGGTAGACATTCGAAAGCTGTCCCGAACTAGTGGTGATGAGCAAGTAGATGCTTTCAATCAAGACGTCGAGCGCCAACGTTCCTTGTCGTCGAAGCAACCGAACAGGAACGGTTATGTTTTCCGCACTGTTTGGCTTTGATAAACACTTGGCAAAGTCTTTGTGAACCGAGAGATCTTGTAACAAGAAAATAGCCAATTGAGCTTGACCCAGCGTTGCCGGATTACTTTTGTTGGCAAGAGGCACATATAACAGCCATGACAAGAAGTCAAAAGAAATCCCTGGACTTTGAGTGATAACTTCGCGGAGCTTTTTGTTTGAACGAAGCAACACCCAGAAAACTACGAGCATCTCAGATACGTGCTCTTGTGCAGGCTTGATGAACGTAGCGCGTGAGCTTCCCATCTCAAAAGGACCATTGGTCACTGCCATACTCGATCGGAACATTTTTCGAGAGCCATTAATTAGGAACAAGAAATCACTTTCACGATACAGTTTCTTGGCATAAAACTCGAAAAGATTTTCATTCGAATCTGGCCGATGTGAGAGCAAGGCACATAACATTTCAAGACACAAGGACGTATATGTATCCCGAGTTACATCAGTGCCGAAAAGCTTCCACGCATCAGCCTGCCGGTAATTTGCAACTGTGTTAAGAAGACTGCACAAGAATGAAAGTACCACAGGGCGTTCCAATTCACAAGTGACGAAGTCAAGAGCTTGCATGGGCGTTGTGCTCAACATATGAGCCGGAACATACATTGGCTTCGAAAGCAAGACCAATAAAAGCCGCATAATCTCAGTGCGGCATTGAATATGTTCTTGCGTAGTGTGTTCTAAATCCATTGGTGATCCAATACCGGCTTCCCATATAGTAAAATGAACACGACTAATATCCGAACTGCCAGCAGCAACAAATTGCTCTTCTGTCCATGGCATGGTGAAACCAGAGTGAAATAAGAGTTCCATGAGTGTCAAGATGAGTATGTAGCCTGTGCTGGGAATGGATTCAGCGTCAGTCATGCGGTCGGCTAGGGGATCCAGAGTAGATTCATCACCATCAGTTAGAATAAACTGTTCTTCATTAGGGTTTGCATCATAGGAATTTTTGGTATCAGGGCGAACCACACTTTGTCGCGTGTTACTACTCGCCCTCATTCGCATGGTTCGAGTTTTGTTTGACCACAGGGCGCTTTGTTCCAAATTTACGATGTCAGTGTCGCTTCTTTCAGCTGGTTCTGATTCATAGATGACAGGAATAACTCTAGACAATACCCGACAGCAGTTTAGCGCCTCCTGACCTCGGTTCCGTTGATCCACTGGCCTTTGAGGAGCTGTGCTGCTAAACAACGCCTCCCATCCTCCGAGGTTCTTTGGTGGCACCGGCGCAAAGTTTGGATCATTGACAAGACTTTCGAGATGCAAGGTAAGTACATCTACAAGAGTCACAAGATTTTCAGGAGCGTCATTTGCAACCCTCCTCAAGTCTTGTACGCTAAGTGTCGAGAATACATCTTCAGTTGAGTTGAATATCGTTGTATACTGCACCCAGTACCGATTATCAGCGCCGGATATGTGGCGCTCTGTATACATTCGAGCAATACCACTCTCAGAAGAGTGTTTGAAAGACTCCCTAGCATCATTGGTACCAAAAATTAGATGCGATGAATACCTCAACATGGTGCTACGTGCCATGTAAGTAAAGCACCGACCAGCTATGACCACTACGCTCGTTGTTATATTACATAATCATTATCGGTACGCATCCTCAACCACGATGGATTTGAGAATCGATCACGACGAGGAACCTGGATAGTTGATTGAACACCATGCTTCCTCGGCGCGTAGATAAGACGGAGCCTCGTAATGCTAGTGCCATGCGTCCGTTTAATGCCCCTGACGTATGGCTCATGGAAAACCGAAGTTCGGTTTACGATGCGATACTTAGTTCTATTGCGTGCGTTAAGTATGCTGGTTTCTGAGCTTACGTCCTCAGTCTGATATCGTCGACCGCACTGATGTCGCCCCTTCCTGATGTCGCAACCATGAGCTTAATGTGCTCGATTGCTTTAATCATGAACATTAAACCATACGCCCCAAGAAAGGAAGGGACAGACATGTCTTCAAATGCATACGCAAGTTTATGGTGCGTAAGCAATATTATGCTCACTCGTCATCAGTTTTTCTCTTTTTATGACTATGTTCTTGGTGGCCCGAAAAGTTCGTTGGTATAATCTCCTCAAACTCACATCAGCTTATTGTGACCAAGCCCAAATAGCTACATTAGTCAAGTCTCATTATCTTATGAGACATGCAATCCAGTTAAATGATTCTGTCTGCTCCATTCGGCAACGTGGTAATACTCGCATGCTTGTGTACTCTATATGCACTATGATCCATGGTTCGCACTGTTCATAGGGTGTCTTTGGGTTCAAAGTCTTGACCCCAGGCACGTGATGGGCTCGCTCAACTCTGGGACGTGCGTTTTTGACTCTCATCCCGTTACTCCACGCCAGCTCAATAAAATAACCGTGATGACAACCATTTCAGACGATCAAGCGTATCTTTTAACGCACCGTGGGGTTCAAGGTTTGTAAAATATTTTGCTTTATTTTTTTTCCTCTAACGACTAGGTGCACAAATTTCCTCTGTTGCAGCAACACCAGTCTATTTGTTGAATGCTATTCGGAACCGCCGTTTCGCTCTCAAAGGTCTAGCTCGCTACAACTGGATTTTGCCTATCTTGGGTGCAGGCATTGGTGCGGGCGTTGGCTGGGCTGAATCTATACAGATCAGCGCACCACTTCTGGCTTATCGCACCTCTGCAGTTCGTGCTGATACAGAACGCATGCGCCGCGATGACTTCCACTTGATTGGGTCTGTTGTAGGTGCACTTACTCTACCTGCTCTCTTCTTACGTCATGTTGGCCTCTTCCATGGCATTCTTGGTGGCGCAAGTCTTGGTGGTGCTACTGGTGTCCTTACTTTCTACGGAAAACGATACTCTGAGGATTCCTTGCCTGACTTGCCAATCCCGGGTACTGAGCAGAAAGTCGAGCTTAAGTAGATAAGCAAATCAAATCTGAGTTTCGAGTGCATTCTCGTTCATCTCGAGGCGTCAACTTTCACTATCGTACATACATATATACTTTTATCAAGTATGTATTGAAACAGGAACGAAGTTCCGCCAACCATATTGTCGTCACCAAGTTGCGCACTGCTGAGCAACCAATCGCGGGACTTGATGGTTTTTCTAGCTCCCTACCTGTCTTTTTATGCCAGCGCTTTCACGGATTACTGTGAAGCTGATCTTTAGCTTGGGCATCTTCCTCACCATCCAGTTCCCAGGTCTCGGTGTCTTCGTCGCCCTCCGGGCCAAGGCCTTCTAGTGTTTGGTGATGCGATCCGTCCGGCTCACAATCCTCAGCCGGGCGCTGTGAAGCTTGTGGCGAGCCCGGGACAATTAATTGCTCTGCTCCGGCGCCAGTCATTTCCTGATCTAGCTGTTCACGCGTATCTTCTTCCACTACAGAAGCTTGTCGCTTCGGCCGTTTATCCAGGACAGTTCGCATGAAATGTCGCATACTCTGGAAAGCCTTTCGACTCGCTTCAAGAAACAGGAAGAACTGAAAGACATGAACACAGTCTTCATATATTTCATTGCGAATGGGAACTCCGGCAAGGGCACATTTATGAGCAAAAAGAACATTTTCGTCACGCAATCTCTCCGCATCACCTGTCTGGATCAACATAGGTGGCAAACCATTCATCTCTCCAAACAGCGGGCTCACATAAGGATGCATCAAGTACATGTCGATGTTTGGGCCGAGATATGCATTGATAGGATTCATGTGATTACCTCGCCCTGGACGGGGCAGATAGTCAAAGTCTTTATTCGTTTCCCATGAGTCACAGGATAGAGTGAGATCAACCCAAGGACTCATCAAAATAGCACCACAAGGAAGCGGATATTGGTTGTCGCGCAAATACATCATGAGGGCCAACGCCAAACCACCACCTGCGCTATCAGCAGCCACGACGACATTATTCGGCGGAATGTGCAAATCATCCGTTAGACGGAAGTATGCATTTGCGACATCTAGGAGAGCACCAGGAAAAATCGTATCGGGCGCTAGGCGATAGTTTACACAAAACACACGGCACTCACAGTACTTGCTGATGGCAATAGTAAGCGGACGGTGTGTTGTAGCAGACATCACAAAATAGGCACCACCGTGAACGTACAAAATCACGCGTTCAGAGCGCCTTCGATTGCCGGTCTGCCACTCATTCTGGAGCCGTCGCCATGTCTGTTTACCGACAATCCACTCTCCTGTAAGCTCGCGCTTCCCTGTCTCTTTAGAGTCGCTTCCAGAAAGAAAACCTTTCAGGTTGCGTCGCTTGACGCGGAATGTAACGGGTGTAACAAGACCATCATCGGGAATAGGAAAAAAGCGCATCAGCTCAAACAGTTGCTGAAGCCCTGAAATTGAGGCAAGATCCGTATTTTCTTCTGCAATTTCTCGAATCATTCTTGTTAGAATTGACATTTCTACTCCCCATGATTTTTTAGGGGGTCCGTACATGAGATGCGACACAATGGCACTTCCGATCGAATAGCTTCTGTTCAAGATAGCGGGTACTGTCCTGATTGCCTTGGAAATCGACATACCCTCTTGTGGTCGCATTTCAGCCTTTGGATCTACACGAGAATAGGCTGGAAGCTTCGCTGTGCGATATTGCTCGAGCAATTTGTTCAATACTTGGATTGTATTGGTGGTATGAGCAACTTGCTGAGCCTGGTCTGACGACTCTCGAATGTAATGACGAGTAAAGTTCCCATCATTCACAGGAATAGACTTGGACCGCTCGGCATTCTGGCAATCTTTTTTATTTAGCGACTCAGTGGTAACGCACCATGTTCCGCTGTTCAACGACGTTCTAATTGGGGCAGTGTCTTTCTTCATCTCCAATTGAGCCTTGAAGCGTTTGACAAATTTTTCAACGCATACTAATTCATGATCCGAAACTGTGAAGTAACGCTTCCGCAATCTCTGCAACACGGCCAAGTCGTTCAGTTGACTGGTCAAAGATTCGCATCTCGAGAGGGGATTGTGATACTCTGCCGGACTCACTCGTCTAAGAATGGGACTTTCTTCTTTTCCTGGACTTAATTGAAGAAAGTGTGTCATCCAAGGATGTTGCAGTGCATCGTGCACCGTCATGCGCTGATTTTTTTCGCACAGACATCGATCAATAAAGTCCTTCGCCAACATGCTTTGTGTTGGCCAAAAGGCCGGATGAAATTCATACTCAATCTGAACAATATTCTGAAACATATGTTGCACACTTTCAGAATTAAATGGGGTATAGCCACACAGTAATGCATATGCAATCACACCACACGACCAAACATCGACATTTTCGTCGTAGCCTTGGCCAAGAAGAACTTCAGGTGCCACATATTGCGGAGAGCCACATGCGGTTAGGAGCAGCCCCTCTTCTGGCATCAGTTTGGCAAGGCCGAAATCTGAAATGACAATTCCCTTATAAATGTCATCTTCATCATACATGAGAATGTTTTCTGGCTTCAAGTCGCGGTGGACGATTCCATTAGAGTGTAAGTATTCGACACCCAACAGGAGCTGCCGCATGATGCACTGGGCGTCGTACTCTTTAAAAGTTGTGCGTTTCACGATGTTATCAAACAATTCTCCTCCGGGACAAAGATCCATGACCAAGAACATTCCCTCATCTGTCTCATAAAAATCCCACAATCGTATCACATTCGGGTGCTGCACACGCATCATTATTTCAATCTCATCTCGTGCAATTCGCCCCGGCCGTACATCCATTTCGTTGCCGTCATGGTCGCTTTGAAGTGGTCGACGAGCAACAATCTTGACAGCCCGCTGCACACCAGTCTCATTTTCCTCACACACGCGTACGACTGCGAATGTTCCATGTCCAAGAACATAGTTTGTCATCGAGTATTTCGACTTGAACTCTGGGGGAATATAGCTTTCGTCATCTTCCAAGAACTGTTCCTGAATTAGTATCCTGTCCTACTACATTACTCGGGCATCTTACCTTCACGAGCCATTGATCAATGTGCTTATTCTTGTCAGATCTATCTTTCCACCCGAACATACCTTTCGAGCTTCTTGCAATGTTTTCCACATGCGTTGAGACAACCACAAGTGACTTGCTCACAGCGTTACTACAGCTCGAATGGGCTCTTGTTCAAATGGAAGGTCTCAGCGAATCAGTCACATGACCGCATATGTGATCCGGCCAGACGATCTTATGGCACATCGACTAGTTCAGTGTACATTTTGGGTTTCAATTTTGAGCACATCTTCAACACTATCCATCCATTATATTTGTCATAAAATAGGTTCCCAACTGACACCGCATCCACATCCACTGCCTTTGGCTTGCGGGTTTTCTACAATAGCGAACTGACTTCCAATAAGCTCAGTGACATAGTCAACGGTGCTCCCTTTAATAAGTGACAATGTTATACTGTCAACAATGATCCGAGCATTAGACTCGACAAAGACACTGGCACATTAGTTATTGGAAAAAAAAGGGTCACTTACAAATCATCACTCTCATATTCACTTGTGAGCTCCATCTTGTATACATAGCCGTGGCAGCCGCCAGGTTCCACAATCACACGCAGACCGAGCTTGGGGTCGCACTCTTTTTCAGCGATTGAGCGCAATTTCTGGATATTAGTTTCTAGACCAAGTTTTGGGTTACACATACATTAATAGCACGCTGAGTCAAGACGATGCCGAGCGAAGCTCCGTCTAGAGCTTTAGGTTCTTCCGGATTATCTGGTTTCTTCGCAATGCTCATGAAACTGCGAAAGGGCGTCATTGTGACCCGAAAACGTGGGTGATATGGCGCATAATTAAGTAAGGCAGCTCTAACGCTACCTCGGACACTTGGCTGTCCAAGAGAGTAGAAACGGGGCCACATCTTCCTTACAGAATTCCAGAGATGTCGCTCATGTGGCGCTCGGCAAAGCACCCTTGAGTACATGGTAGTGGCTTGGGTGACGCGCTCATGTGCGGTCGAGCCACACATATACACATTATTGTGGCGTCGAACATCATTGTTGGTGGTAAACGCACGTGGTGCACGTGACGAGTCATATGGCTGCGGCGTGCAGTTTTCCTTGCGAAGAAGGTAAGCGTCGGTGCGAGTGTCACCTGCACCGGTACGTGATCGACTTCGTGTGTTCGACCGACCATCACCATGAGCGCCAGTGAAGTTGAAGCTATGAAGGATGTGAGTGTATTTTTCAAGTTTCTTCTTATTAGGGCGAGCGAATGCTAACATGCGCTTGATATTGTGTCGATTTCCAGCTGAATCTCGAAAACCAGGACGTGGACGTGAATGAAAACTCGGCGGATCTTCCCCAGTCGCGTGCTGAGCGTAGGAGCCGCAAACTCATGCAGGGCGTAGGCCTGAAGAAAGTGGAAGGCATTCAGCGCGTCACTCTCCGGCGTCCTCGTGGTGTACGTCATTCTATTTAGAAATTTAGTGACTCACACACATCCAGCATCTTTACGTGGTAGCAAAGCCCGAGGTGTTCAAGTCCTCTGTGTCTGACTGCTATGTCATCTTCGGTGAAGTGAAGAGTGAAGATATGAGTGCATTTGCTCAGGCACAGGCTGCCCAGCTGGCACAGGCTCAGAAACAAGCCGGCGAAGACACAGCTGCGTCAACGAATGAACCAGGTTTCAACATTAACGATTTCACCTCCAGCAAGAAGGTTGACGATGACGAAGAAGAAGATGACGCCCCTATCGATGAGTCGGGTGTCGATCAAAAGGACATTGACCTTGTCATGGAACAAGTGTCCTGCTCGCGTCGCAAGGCTGTTAAGGCGTTGAAGGACAACAATGGCGATTTGATCAATGCTATCATGAGCGTAAGCTAGATAAAAATTTTTGAACGTTAGGAGAGGAGCAGTAGCAACATGTGCACATGTGACAGAAATGGCTATCGCTTATCAGCTCTATGACAATATTCATGTGTTGTTCCCTAGCCTTTCGACCCTGTGCAAATAGAACCTCGTAAATCGATGGGGTCATTGGCGAGGACGTAAGTCATTGGATATAAGTAGTTTTCATAAATCCCAGACTGATTGTGATCGGACGCACGCGCAACGCGTAAGCCTGGTGACAACTATCTTGCGAATCCATTCTTTGACCGACACTACGACCTTTCTCTCTCCATGTCGCGCTCATACGACAGAGGTACGCCTTTGCACATTACCAAGTTATAGCTGACACGCATCAAAGCACTTACTGTGTTTTCACCTGATGGTACGTTTCACTAATTTTGTATGATTTTCGCTAATTCAACCAGGCCATCTGTTTGTATCATCCATGTCTTTCTTCGTCTCATGATATGCTAACTTTTGTCCAGGTTTCAGGTCGATTATGCACTAGAAGCTGTAAGAAAAGGAACATGTGCCGTTGGACTACGCGGAAAAGATGTAGCTGTTCTTGGTGTGGAAAAGAAAAGTCTTCAACAACTGCAAGACCCACGAACCGTGCGCAAAACTGTCATGCTAGACGAGCATATTTGTCTTGCATTTGCAGGATTGAATGCGGACGCGCGGATTTTGGTTGATAAAGCACGCGTTGAGTGCCAGTCCCATCGACTTACCGTGGAAGATCCGGTGACTGTGGATTACATCACTCGACACATCGCTGGGATCCAGCAGAAATACACGCAGTCGGGTGGTATGCGGCCATTTGGCATTTCAACTCTTATTATCGGCTTCAACCAAAATGAGACACAACCTCGCTTGTATCAGACCGAGCCATCAGGTATGTTCTCGGCCTGGAAAGCCAACGCCATCGGTCGTTCGTCCAAAACAGTGCGTGAGTTCTTGGAAAAAAATTACAAAGATAGTATGTCGCAAGATGAAACTATCAAGCTCGCCGTTAAGAGCTTGCTAGAAGTGGTTCAAGCTGGTGCTAAGAACATTGAGATTGTCGTTATGACTGGACACGGTGAATTGAAGGCGCTTGAGCAAGAGGAAATCGAGTCTATTGTTAAACAGATTGAGTCTGAACAAGAAGCCGAGGCTGAACGGCGCCGCACCCGTTTGGCAGCCACAGCTAGCGCTGAGGCATCCATGTATGGTGGTTCAAACTAATGCCACGATAACTCGTAGCGCATGTATATCTACTATGGCATATTTTCCCCTCAAAGAACGTCGACGACTTGAGCTATTCGACCTTTCCACCACCACGTGTAATGATTTCGTTGCGGAGCTTTATTCAGATGAGTTTGTTTCGCATAATATGCAAACTCTTATTGATGACCTTGTCATGTCTGGCATGGGAACAGGCTTTAAATATTTTGATTGTCGTAGAATCTGCCGATCGAAAAATGGTGGTCTTGATTAATGGGTGGTGCAGAAGACATCGTACGCAGTCCAGGCACAAACGCTTGTTCCTGCCAGGCCAAAAGGGACTCATCAGCAAAATCACGCCTCCCTGTTTCGTCCCTCTCATCATGGTCTTGCGACTCCTCTGAGCTTGCACGTAAAGCTGGATGTACAAGCGCCAGGAGCGACTGATACAGATTGTGAATCCGACCGCTCCAAGAAACATCTGTTGTTTGTCCCGTATTTGTTGGCAATCGAATAGAGCTCAATTGCACAGGATTGTCCTCTGGTGTCTGTACTCGTCCTTTTACCCAGGCAGGAAGAGCGCATGCCAGAGCCACAATTGTGATCAGAGTCACATTTTTCCATGTAAATATGCGCAAAGAATCGGAGGAAGTAATTTGTTCAATACCCTCACCAATGGCTGTGTAGATCAGCGACGAGCAAAACACCCCACACACAGTGGACATGAAGAAAATCCCCATCGGGATGCCCAGATGTGGTGATATAATGTTTACTAGGAAGTGTGGTGGCACGGGCATCATTCTTAGAATCGTAAGATATGAGAAAAGACTGCTTTCATACTGTTGAACGGTGTCCTTCCATGAGTCAATGCGTTGTTGCCACCTAGGTACGACTTGAATACATGCTCCGATCTGTTTGCTGAGTAGAAAACAAAACGATGCACCAATTCCAATACATATACAAACAATAGGAAGTGCCACAGGCACACCCCACATCGCACCAGCTAAGATGCAAAGGTACATAGATCCAGGAATACAAAATGTTTGAATACTGGCTGTCAATCGATGCGTCCGACGTACAAAAGAAAGGTCGTTACCCATACTATCATGACACGTGAATAATGCTCCTCATTATAATGCCCCAGAATAGTACTCAACAACTTGACATCCTCAAGGGAACGTGGTGCATGAAGATGCGCTCGATCTTCTTCACGTAAGGGTGGTAAAGACACCCACAAAATCAAAATTAATGTCACAGAGCTTGATACAAGTACAAATACAGAAATAAGGATAGTTTTTATAATGAGACGCTGCTTTTCAGGTTTTGTTAAAGGTAAGGGCGCATTCGAAGCATTATGCGCAGGTACAGACTGCCACGCAAGGGAGGTGTTTAGAAACGGGGATTCAAATCGAATTTCGTCGCTTTCATCGCTGTATTCAGTATCCCTTAGTTCGATAGAGTTGCGCAAATCACTCATTGATCCACGCGTTAGTGGCGTACGTGTATGCATATCGGCATGCAGAGACGTCATAAAACATGGATTCGTTGGATTTGGGGATGTGTTCGAGAGTAATCCGAATGTTGGAGGGGTGAGTGTGGAGCTAATAAGCTTGCGCGTGCGTGGATCAAAGAAACAGAAATAATCCCACTGCCTTAGTGTTGGCCTGTGCGAGTCGGAATCTAACCGATGTCTACTAGTGTGATGATGCTTCTCTTCGTGGCGCGAAACTCTCATCAAGAGAGGACGGAGAGCTACCGAAATTGTGCATATGATCGATGAAAACAATAAAAACTTATTTTTTTTAAAAAAATACCATCGCAGCCTCGTCATGGAGCCCTGAGCATTTAAGCCGTGGTCTCAAGTAAGGACTATATGCTGTTCCCAGAATAGCGGAATTGACCAAAGCAATTTAGAGCAAAGCGACAAAAAATTCGAAAATCTGAACTACATGTCTGAAAATAGTTCAATCTGTTCAAGTGTTCTGTCTATCGACCGGCATATTGTTTGCTCATCAACACCTCCGCCTCAAACGCGCATGGAAAGTAAGTGCTTAAGACTCATTCTCAGACTACAGCATCGATTTTACATGCTATCCACCAAATGGATGAAAGGTTTGGGGAAAGAGAGCGCCAGATGCAGGAACGAATACGCACTCTGGAACTTCGTGTTATGCACATGGAACGGAAGTCTTGGAGGCATGCGCGCGGCTCAGGTTCCGCACCGATTACTCCATGCAGCGACCCATCGCTTAGCACTCGTTCATCATCTTCAAGCGCATTATTAACTCCACCGGCACATCAACCTTTCAATAAAAGCACGAATACTCATTCACCCACACCCGAGCCACCATATTTAAATTCGATATCACCAGTTATCGAAGAGGAAGGTCATGATTTGTTTTTGCCAGGTCAGTAAGCGCAAATATCTATCTTTATATCCTTACTCGTACTTCAGGTGCACATGCGTTTGACCAATGCTTGTTATATTTACATCCTGATCCATGCCACATACTGCAAGACGTAGCAAAAATGACTACCGAGTTTAAGACCAGCGATGCTTGTCTCGAAGGCATTTTGATGCACGAAGAACCATTTGAATCAGTTTCGATCGACTCTAATCGTCAACAGGACCAATCTGAAAATAGAGAAATGGATATTTTGTCTATTTATGATGCCTTGCGTGAGATTCTCGTGGACCACAACCAGAACGCAAGTGTGCAGCTTCAACATCAGTTGAAACGCGGCTCATTCTCGAGAAAATTACTAATTTTTGAAGCCATGTCATCTTTGATGATCCCCCTTGCCATAAACCAATTCGGTCACTTTCTTGTCAACCGTGCCATTGGATATTGTGCAGACACGGCGCAACATCTGAGTGGTGCATTTGTACTGCTCGCCTTGTCTCCAGTCGGTGTTCATGTAGTTTCTCATGTGCTGGATGGTCCAGAAGTCTGGAAAATACAAGTGGTCAGAGAGCTATTGCAAGAATCTCTCTTGATAACACTCACAACACAACACTCTCAATGTCTGTGGCATAAGATCCTTCAAATGCGTTGGACAGACCCATCTATGCCCTTAGAGATTCGTGAATCAATCCACGATGCCTTGCGCGGTCGATGGGCATCCTTTGCTAATACAGAGACAGGCAGCACCCTATGTCAACATCTTTATGACTCCAAAATTCTGTGTGACATGGACGATGGAATGCAAGAACTTCTCCAAGAACTTGTCGGTTGCGTTTGTGATCCATGGGGTGTATGGGTCATCCAACACTTACTGGAGCATGGAAGTGTGTCTATACGTGAGTGCATCGCACAATGTTTTATTGTTTCCGCTGCTACAGTCTCGCTTTCCTCATATGGATCAAAGGCTGTACAATGTGCGTTAAGGTACTGCGGCGAATCATTTCAGAACCAGTATGCAGATGTGCTGTGCCGAGTTGTACGAGCAGGTCATGATAATGTTAGATCCGGTGGCGCAAGGCGGCCACTACTAGTTGATGTGGCTGCCACACAGCATGGGCTTCCAATTCTGTCGCTTCTCTTGACGACGATTCTGCGTGCAAAGCGCACACACCTTGTTGATATTATTCGTGTAAATGCATCATATTTAAGACGAAACCGCTCTGGAACACGTGTGGTACAGCTTTGTGGTATGTATGCACCGCGCAAGATTAAGCGTTAAAATTTTGGAGAATCGTAAATGGATATGATCTAACGTGCAGAACGAGCGCGAGCCTGTGCTGGTTACTAGGCACGTTTTTGGAGAGCATCCTTTATTAGTTTACGCAGTTTCTGAGCACGTTTTTGAGCTTTCTCTATGCACCATTCAATGAGTGCCTCGTTCTCTAATGGCTGCGGATGCTTTGTTGTACAAGGGCCAAGAACTTTGAGCCAAAATACATCATACTTTGCGATATCTGGATCATTTACTTCATTATTCACATCGACGAGACCCACCTGAATGCTTCCAGTGCAAAGAGATTCTTCAAATGCTGTCAAATCAGCTAGCACGTATGTAGATTCATACATGCCAAGCGTCATGAAAATCGGCAAATTCATGAGTGGCAAGCGCTCTTTCGTATCCGGGTCGAAAATGGCCTGACTCGAATTTACAAAACGATCGATGCGTGGGAGCTGACAATCGTGTAATGCAGCAACAGTTGCAAGCGCAGCGGCATCCAACACACTGCCTTCTGCACTCACGCATACCACGTCCACGTAAATGGCCCATACAGCCAATCCCTTTTCGATGCAAAGCGCAGAGCGTGGCAATATGCCAGAATTGTTGAGAAACATTTGTAAATTATGTGTCAGAACTTGGCCCTCTTCTTCAGGTGGGCCCGCGTTGTACAGTGGTGAGCATAATGATGAAAGATCCACACTAGGGATGAGAAATCCTTCATTCGGTCTTTCAAGAGTCGGATGTGCAATTCTGGCGGTTACCGATGCCGTAACTAAAGTTCCCTCTCCCAAACGTACGAGTGCACTGCCGAATGGCTGGGAAAGTGTGCCGGTCGCTACAGAGACACTGCGTAACTGATCAAGAGTGCGTCCGTCCTCGCGAATACGCTCTTTCAAGTGTCTCTCCAGGTATTCGACGGGATGCAATTTTTTGAAAATGGTAACAGGAGCAGAGGCGACATCTATCTTTTCCATGTCCGAGGATGATGTGCCAGCCGATACAGACATTATGAATAGAATTGGCAGATGAGACAGGGACCTGAATGTGGACTGTAAGTGAGTGCTTTGAATGGCGTCGGCCAGCGGCTATTACCTGATCTTCATAGCGCGCACCTCTCAACGACCTCCACCGCCCCGACATGATGAATATTGGCCAGGTTTTGCTAGGTAAGCCAATCCTTATCCACCGACCGGAACTTGGCCAGCCGTTGGAAGCCAAGTGCAATTTACCTTGGTCCATGCCCACTCGAGAAACGACCGTGTCTGCGCCAGGAAAGGTGCTTATTGCGGGTGGATACCTGGTTTTGGATCCTGCCTACACTGGATTAGTTTTAGCTACGAACGCCCGATTCTATACTAATGTCTCCTCATCGACTCGCATTGGTCATAAGCCTCTTATTCGTGTTCGGTCGCCGCAGTTCAAAGGGGCTGAATGGATCTATGCTTGTGAGCTACCTGGAGTATATGAAACGAGCCCCGTAGAGGCGGCTAATGCATTCAAGCTAAGGCAGCTTGGAAATGACAACCTTTTTGTCGCGTTGTCTCTCTTATATGGAATTCACGTTGCTTTTGAGCAACTTGGCGCATCCAATGTTTGTACTACACTCTCCAATGGACTGGACATTGTAATTGCTGGTGATAATGATTATTACTCACATCGCGTAGATGGGCGCGCGCCTTCACACGCTCAACTCCAAGCGTTAGAACCCTTTGCTTCTCATGCATGCACCCTTGGAGAAGTCCATAAGACGGGTTTAGGGTCAAGTGCTGCTATGACAACATCACTTGTGGCTGCTTTGCTCTTGCATTTGAACGCTATAACTGTTTCGGTCGAAGATGATGGGCAACTCACAACCCGTTCTCTTGGCCTTGTCCACAATGTGGCTCAGCTTGCTCACTGTGCTGCACAAGGCAAAGTTGGCTCTGGTTTCGACGTATCTGCATCTGTCTGGGGCCATCAATTGTATCGCCGATTTGATCCTGCATTGATCAAAGATCTAATGTACCCTGAGGTTGGCTCGCGTATCATAACGTCACAGGAGAATATTTCTCACGAAAAGCGTCCATTACTCGCTTTACTGCCTATCTTGGACCCTCGTAATCCGCTTTGGGTACCAGCGCCACCGCCCTCTGCTACAACTACAGCTATTGAAGGTCTTGCTATGTTGCGTACAGGAACAGAAGAAGCACGAAAAGCGCGACCCGCACCGCTTCCATTGCCACCAGGTGTACGAATGTGTCTTGCAGATGTTGATACCGGCTCGAATACCCGTACAATGGTGGGAAGAGTGAGTGATTGGCGCCGTCAAAATCCAATTTGGGCGGATCAACTGTATAAGATTATTGCCACGTCGAATCAGTCACTCGCTGATGGTCTGCTTCAACTGCATATGGCTTATGTGAATGATTCTTCCAATTATACACAGGTGCTTGAAGGATTGTCGCATTTACCGTCGAAAGAGTGGGACTTGCATCTGAAATCTGATCTGTCTCCCGTTTACGAGATCTTTGTGTCTGTTCGGAACGCTATGCGATCTATTCGTGCAGGCATGAGGGAGCTGGGTCTTCGCTCAGGTGCGCCTGTTGAGCCGCCTGAGATGTCGCAATTGTTAGATACCACCATAAATGGTGCCCCAGGCATTCTGGGTGGCGGCATCCCAGGTGCTGGAGGTTACGACGCCATGTTTTTATTGTTCTTGGATCCAGCGAGCTTAACTGCGTCTGCTCCGTCACAACCCATGCATCCACCCAAAGACGTGTGTGACTTATGGCTGACTTACCGTGATTTGAGCGTTGGTCCTCTTCTGTGTGGTTCGGATGACATTACTTCGTCATATGTCGCGAGTCTGAAGGACCGTCAAGAGGACGTTCTTTCATACATTTCAAGGGTGTGGGCCCATGCCCCTGTCGGGCTGCATGTTGTGTCTTCGTCCGAGGTCCCAGGTCTCGAGCGCGTGCTCAGATCAAATTCGTAGCTGACTAAACCCATAGGTAGTCCTCTACTGTACGCATGATGTCACTCAAGTAGTGGAGAGTAGAGCTGTGAAAGCGAAGAGCAGAGTGTATGAGAAGGAAAGAGGGGGAGTGAGGGGCTAGTTGACCTACGTGTGGAGATTTTCTGTTTGCCATCAACCAAGACTTCTAGCAGAATGGCTGCTGCAGTGCTACTGAAAGAAGCGCTGCCGTCTTTGGATGAACCTATCGTGACATATCTCGATAGGTACATACAAGACGCAGGTGAAGATCCTAGCGTTGATGTTATGAGAGATGTTGTACATCCTATGCTTGAATCAGCTGTCATCTGTGAACCTCATGACTCAGCGAACCGAAAGGCGCTGCCAGCACTGCTTGAGAAACTGGGCGCGATGGTGGCGGAACGTGTTCCGACTGTGCTTTCTCGAAATGATCGTGGACTTACACGACTAGACAAAGTTGTGGATATGGGTGCGGTCGAAATGAGTTCAACAATTACGTACGACGCAGGTAATGACAGCATGGACCTTGCTCTAGGCCGATCAAGTCGGAACCGCACAACTGTGGATGTAAAGAAGCTTGAAAAACAAGAAGCGAAGACTCGTGCCAAACTTGCTAAGCGTGCACAGCGTGATCTGTATGAATCAAGCAAGCTCGTCGAAAACGCCAAGAAAATGGCTTCCTATGAGGAGATGTACATGCAAGTCAATCCGCTCGAGTCCATTAGCTCTGGCGCTGCCAAAGGTAAAAATAAAGACATTCATCTTCCCAACATTGATGTGAGCTTTGGTAGCAACCGCATTCTTTCAAACGCTGAACTTACCATGGCGTATGGACGCCGTTATGGTTTGGTTGGCCGCAACGGTGTGGGTAAAAGTACGTTGCTTCGACATATGGCACTACGTGATGTACCGATTCCAACAAATGTTTCACTTTTGTACGTGGAACAAGAGATTGTCGGCGACGACACGCCGGCTGTTGACGCCGTGTTGAAAGCTGATGTCTGGCGCGAAAAACTTATCGCTGAGGAACGCCGTTTGAATGCACAGCTGCAATCTTTAGAAGAAGCTGCCAATGCGGCCGTTGTTGCTGCTGATGAGAAGGAAAGTGAAGAAGGACTCTCACGTGGCTCGGCTGTTGACTTACCAACACGCCAGCGTGAGAACCAACGCGACGAGCTCTCGTCTCGTCTGGGTGATGTTCAAGCGAAGCTAGTGGATATGGAAGCAGACACCGGTCCTAGCCGTGCAGCAACTCTTCTTAATGGCCTGGGCATTGTGGGGGCCGACCAGCGCAAGCCCACAAAAGCGTTCAGTGGTGGCTGGCGCATGCGTCTCGCCCTTGCGCGAGCTTTGTTCTGCAAACCTGACTTGTTGATGCTCGACGAGCCTTCCAACATGCTTGACTTGAATGCGATTGCATGGCTAGAAGACTACCTTGTGAATGAATGGGAGGGTACCCTGTTTGTTGTATCTCACGACCGAGCGTTCCTCAATCAAGTTGCGACGGACATTGTACACATGCATTCAGAGCGACTCGACTATTACAAAGGCAACTTTGATCAATTCTATGAGACACGCGATGAGCGGCGCAGGAATCAACTCCGTGAATATGAAGCAAATCAGCAAAAGCGTGCGCATTTGCAAGCGTTCATTGATCGCTGGCGCTATAATGCAGCTCGAGCGGCCCAGGCACAGAGTCGGATCAAGGAACTGGAACGCCTTCCTGTGCTTGAGCCACCCGAGAAGGAATCTGGCGAACATTTCACGCTGCCTGAAGCCGAGAAAATCAGTCCTCCGCTACTGCAGCTTGACAATGTCACATTCGGTTACTCCAAGGACAAAATCTTATTACGTAACATCAACTTTGACGTCACAATGGACAGCCGCATTGCATTGATCGGTAGCAATGGTGCAGGAAAATCAACCCTTATTAGGCTTTTGATCAATCAATTGTCACCTCTGTCCGGCGATGCAAAGCGCAATTCTCGCTTGCGGATCGGCTACTTTTCTCAGCACCACATTGATCAGCTGGATCTCACACAAAACCCTGTGGCGTTCCTCGCGGCTCGGTTCCCAGGGCGTACAGAGCAAGAATATCGCCAACATCTTGGTTCGTTTGGTATTACCGGCACAACAGGGCTGCAAAGGATTGCTACTCTGTCTGGTGGACAGAAGAGTCGTGTCGCATTTGCCCAATTGAGCCTTCTAAAGCCCCATGTTTTGCTGCTTGACGAACCAACTAACCATTTGGACATTGAGGCACTCGATGCACTTATGGACGCTATCAACCGCTGGAATGGTGGTGTCATTGTCGTGAGTCACGATGAGCGGTTTATCAACAGCTGTCTTAAGGAAATGTGGGTATGCGACAACGGCACCGTGTACAAATTCGATGGCAATGTGTCTGAGTATAAGCGGGTTATCGTTGAATCGAACAAACGCAAGTTAGAAGAGGCGGCACGCACAGCACCCTAACTTGGTGATCCACAATGGCACGGACATGATTTGAAGACCGACAACCGTCTCATAGTTCACCTGCATATGTCAAGGCCATCTTGACAGCTTCTCGTGTAGTTCGAAATGCATCCATCACAATATCGTATCCCTCACCTGGCAAGGAAGAGTCTGCAGCCGTCGCAATATCCTCAATACGCGTATCTGTTCGACGCAAAATCTTGAGCATGTAGCGTGCTTTGTCGACGCGCTCCTCCATATCCACATGCTTATGATCCATGGACGGGAGCACTGCTTGCCAAAACTGCTGGAGAAATTCGCTCGTTGCAGCATGGCATGACACGATTCGTTTGTACACATCAGCTGAAAGCTCATCAAGTGCGCGGGATGTCCGCTGTTCTTTTTGTCGCTTCATATTTTCCAACATATGCCGCAATGTTTTATCCATAGTGGCGCCAGAGGGAACGTATTTTCGCAGATCCAGTCGCCACTGAGCCATGTCATCGCGAAAGCGTTGATAGTCAAATCGCGTTTGTTCAGCCTCCTCAGATTTCTCCTCATTGGTGTCCGGCGCTTGGTACATGTGAGGATCATGGATGATTAAGCGACGTCCTGCTTTAGACTGTCGTTCAGTCAAGTCAGGAATCACGATGTCTTTCTCATAATGCGATTCCCATGGAATATCTGAACGATCGCGCGCCAGATTGCGATCTTTTCTTTGTTGTTCGCTGCCAGCCTCGTACTCTTCATCAACACCGCCAGTCTTCCGACGCACTCGTCGAGCATCTCTCTCATCGAGCGTTCCTAATGAAGATGTCAGCAAGGACTCTGCATGTTTGTTGAAGCGGCGCACTAGTGGTAGTGTGCGCCGATCAAACCCTGGACGCATTGTCCAATCTTGAATATTTCCGGTGGCAGTATGGTCTTCTTCAGTGGATGCAAGATTCAACAACGCATCATGTGGATTGCGAGGCTGGCGCGGCTCCAGCCCATCGTCTTCAGCCTCCAAGTACTTGTCAAAAATATCATCACTGGGGAGATGTTGTTCAGACGCAGCCGAGCGAAGCGACGTACGAAGTCGATGATACAACTTAGATTGGAAATATCGCATCCAAAATGTATTCTCGTCTAGCCGGCTTGGTACATTTTCATCATAAGCTCGCGTTAGCACAGGGTACTGCTCGAACAAATCACGGATTAACTGGGGTGTAATGTTAATTTTTAATTCCCCTGCCTCGTTCTGGGTCGGATGTGGATCTGCAAGCTGTCCGCGACGCCCAGCTTGTTGTTCCATCTGTGCTCGCTCTGCTCGAAGAAGTGTTGCTCGCGTTGGGTGTGCCCAAAAGTCTGCATCGGACAACGTGCCTGAGCCAACAACTTCCTTATGGAGCGCAAGAAGCTGTGGGTTTGAACGAAGAACTCTTCCACGGAGTGTCACTTCATTGACCTCACGCCCAGCTTTTGTTCCATTTTGCATTCTTGCCGCAGTATGTGCAGTCGCTGTTCCTGTCTGCGTTGGTGGCTGTTGCTGATCGACACGCGTCTTTGCTATAGCCGCAGCGAGACGTTCCTTAAAAGTTTCTCGGTGCTTTCCAGCTGTGTCCGCATCCGCGCTAAACACAAGAAGGGCCGACGAATCTCCATTTATTGTAGTTTGGTCGTTTGCAATAATTCGGAGGGCTACCTGCGCTGCTCCTGGCTTCGATACCTGGATTCCTTTCAGGCCAATGTCGGGCACACGAAATCCACGCACGCTTGACGTAGAGCTTGATGGATTCCATTCAAGTACACCATTCGGGTGCAAAATCAAAGTACCGGGCACTTTTTTAAACGACACCGAAGCATATAGTGCCTTAGCTATCGTTTCCATCGTGGAACGAACTTGCACTCCACCGTCCCCCAATGTATCTCGATCGGAGCTCAAGCCTCCAGTCACTTCACCTCGACTGGCAGTGTAACAGGTGGCTGCCTGGCCAAATTCTGTGGAGTAAGTGTCAAATCACACGTGTTTCACTCATGAATCTGTCCATTCGCGTGCGTCTGTGGGTCTTCATCTTGGATCTGTCCCGCGAGATTTTGGGGCTTAGTGCAAGCGTGTAGGCCAAGAGAGAACTTCTTGTGCGCGGCGTCCACGATTATGGGAAAGCTTAACTATTCGAAATGGGATAATCTCGAGCTTTCAGATGATTCAGACATTGAGGTACACCCCAATGTTGACAAAGGTTCATTCATTCGGTGGAAACAGCGTGATATCCATGAAAAACGAGAGATGCGCAAGATTCAGCGCTCACATTTGGAGGCTGAGCATCGCACGAACGTCGCGGTTGCCCCAATCCTAGAAAACTTGTCCAAAGCAACAGAGAAAGAAGGTGCTGCCTATTACTCACGCGAGGTATCTCGTTTGACAGCAGGTCGACAAGAGCGCGGGAACAAGGACGGTCCCGAAGGACCCACGTTGGATGATATTATGCTCTCGCTTTTGCTTAAAATCAACGAGGAGGCTGATGTCAAGTCATCTCATGGCACAAAAGAACTCGATAGTGTTCTTGTTTCTGCGATTCAACGGCACATGCAAAAACTCGAGGCACGAACGAACGAGATCTCATCAGAACTAAAACGGATGGACGAAGAAGACAGAAAGAAAATCACTAGTGATAGTCTTCGCGAGGGATGGAACAGCAGTGTACGTCGTGCAAACTAACAAATGAGCATGTTACCAAGATAGAAGAGCCACCAACCAAGAAAAATTCTTGGCCCCCGAACAAGGGTAAAGTGCATCAACAGCACATTGAAACTCTCAATCCTAGCTCCGCACAATTGTCATCGAACCCAAGTTCGCATGGTCCTAGAAAGGCGGATGATTCTGATGACGAAGATAATATGCCTACTATCACACCCGTAATGAAAGATTTCGCGAGTCTTCCAAGCGCTTTGGAGCCTATTCCATTATCTACTGATAAGTTTCCACCCGGATTCAATCCTGCGAAGCAACTCAAGCTAGACGCATTCGACAAAATGTTTCAGTACCTTGGCTCGCACAAGGAGCTTCTTCGTCCCGACTACGGGACGTCAGACGCGCTTTTGGTCCAGGCCTTTGAGGCCCAGATGGCCGGTCAGAAGTCCCTGGCTCGCATGTGCACTGAGAAAGCTTTGCTGATTCAGTACTGTAATCAGCTAGGTAAGGACGGCGTAAGTCTATTTTTCCAAAGGTACGTTCACTTAAATATGTGTTGTTTTCGCATCCGACGCTAACGTCTAGGATGACGAATACCGATGGTCGGGCGGCCGTTGTCTTCTTAAACGATGTCCTTTCGACATACGCACGCATTGCATCCCGTGCAAACGTCATGAAGGACAGGTACCAGGCTGAAGGCGAGGGCGAAGAACAAATTCAACTCATGGCAGAAGATCCCAACACGGTCATCACCTTCCAAATTCCTGATGGACCACCACCTAACGAGATCAAACTAGAGGGAGATGGAGCTGATACCTTGGACCCTGCTCATGTACGAGAGTGGCTACAAAGGCGCTGGGATATTTTCAACAGCTTCGATGTCGACTTCCGTCGCGCACTAGAAACTAAAGACTTGGACCAAGTTAATCAGGCATTGGGCCGTATGCCTGTTGCTCAAGCCGAGGTCGTAGTGCAGGACTTGGATCGTGCTGGCATTCTCAACTTTCGAAGCACCGAAATTCGTGATGAGACCGGTAGGTCGTAAGTAGTCCAGCTCCAGTGGCGTTGTTGTTGTATCAGCCGCCTCCACGCAATGTCTTGCCGATTCTTCCAGGACTGTCCTCGCCGATTGTCTGCGCTTTTCTCGCACACACCGCTCAACCGAGTCATCGGCCGCCCACCAGGCCGGAATGCAGGCACGTGACTTTTTTCGTCACCACGGGTATACCGGCCACATCAATGGTTCCCTGTCTCCATGGCCAGCCCCGCAGCACCCTCCGCGGGTAGTAGTCAGGATGATTCGGCTGCGTCATTTATTGGCGCTCTGATATCCTTGACGTCGCATTCTAATATTCGATATCAAGGAATCTTGTCTAATATTGATGCTGCGCAGGCGACACTTTCGTTGGAAAAAGGTATGCATATCAGCCCACTTACCTTTGCACAGTGCACTCTTGGGGTACAGAAGGACGCTGTGCGGCTGTTGGGAACCCACAGGACGAAGTTCCTAAAAATGATCAGGTCTATGACTATATTGTGTTTCGTGCAGCAGACGTGGTAGACCTTCGGATTGATGACCCTTCGCCAAAAAGTGCGCCCTCACAGGATCCGTCCAGTCAGGTAAGTTTATTGTGCCTTGTATGGAGGATGAAAGCATACGGATGTAAATGTGGATCAACGATCCCAGCTATCCGAGAGCGCTTTTTTCATGTGGATAGTTCCGCTGCCTTCCTGCTGATTCAAATTCTTTTGCCCGCGTCTGATCAGTACTAACTATACCAGCCAACAATGGCACCGGCGGCATCTTCCATGGCTGGTGCTCCTGGTCCCGCACATGCTGAACTGCAAGGCATGGTGCATAATCCATATGCTCCCGTGGGGCCGTATGGTCCAATGTATGCGAGCATGCCTCAGATGTACGGAATGATGCCCGATGCGTATCCATACAGTGGTTACATGCCCCACAGCTATGTTGGCGGTCCCATGTACGCGTCTGGCCAAGATATGAACTTTGGCCTACCCCCTCCCCATATGCATGGCATGCCACTTCATCAGCCGACCATGTATGATACTTCTACTGACTTGACTCAGCACTCGTCGCTATATCCACAGTCCACAAGTGCCTCCGTACCTTCAACTGTCTCTGCGCCCCCTTCAGTGCCGCCGACTTCGAATACATCGAAAGAGCCGGGCACTAATGCGGCCCAATCCCGATCCACTAATGACAATTCGACTAAGCCCAGTCAGCTTGATAAGCAGGCTCTTCCAAATGAGAAGTCCATCTTGTCTGAGCGCACCTCGACTCCGAGCTTATCTGCATCTTCAAAGCCAGAGTCAGGCTCTGCCCCGTCTCTTACAACGACAAGTGCTACTACTACCTCTTCAGCTGCCCAGGATAACAAAAACCCCAAAGCATCCGGCAACTTATCGGACGATGCTATATCCATTCCTAACAAATCAGCTGGTGCCTCGGCTCCATCGCAAGACACATCTGCTCCCCCTGCAGAATTTGATTTCGAAAAAGCAAATGCACTATTCCGAAAAGAGTCAGGTTCTGGCTCACTTGGAAGTGACGAAAGTGGGAGAATGACATCAATTCCCCCGGCGTCCAAGAGCTCGTTTTATGACAAGAAGACGGGCTTTTTCGACAATATTAGCAGTGAAATCAAAGATCGGCTTCATGGCAATGACCGCACAGGTCGCTCTGCTTTGGCTGAAGAAAACGAGCGCAATATTCTTACTTTCGGAGATCAGGCTGCGAATTTCCGCGGCTCTAATTACAGAGGCCGGGGTCGTGGTCGCGGTCGTGGTCGCGGTCGCGGCCGTGGCGGCCGTGGTGGGAAGGGCACCGGTGGTGGGCATGGTCGCAGTGAAAATCTTCCCGCTTGGGCATAGAGTGAAAGTGCCCATCTCATTCAAAATTGGGGAAAGCATTTGTCTAGGCAGGTAATACAATGAGTTGTGTTTAGTCTCAAGCTACCTGGCCGTCCGGGAAAGCGATGTGCTTGTTGTAACCACACATAGTAAAGATTGCGAGAGTGACCATCGTGTGCTATTGTCTCATGCGCGTAATCTACAAGACTAAAAAAAAATATTAGGAATACAACAATATTGTCATGTGTTTAGCTGTATAAAACTAGGCTTACCCATCATCTGCTTGTTGCTTGAGACAACAAGTACGAGCAAAGAACATACACATTTGAGCTGTCGAGTGCCTCTGATCCAGCCCATTTCTTCGATGGCAGAGCTGGCGTGTCCGACTCCGCAGTCACATGCGCCAAACATGGTGTTTTGAGTGCCCATTCTGTCAACTGATTCTGAAGCGAGACAGCCGCATTCTTTTGCTCCTGGCTTACTGGGGCATTCTCATGAAGTTTCATTTGAAGAGCACGGACAAAAATTTGACATAGCTCAATTTGCGAGTTAAATCGATTCATACACTCTGACGTTATCGCATCATCTGCCCGACCTTCCGGCGTGAAGATACCATGAAGATACACTGGCAACTCGATCGACAACGGGGCGTACGTCCACAGGCAGCGAGGAGACACTAAATAGCCCTCAATCCGGCTTGTTGCTTCTTGGATGTACAATACCCACATGCATCGTTTTGTCATTTCCCAACGCAGCATAGACTGAGTGAACAAAACATCACTTTGATTAATGTGCATGGTTTGACAAGCATGCTTCAATGCCATTCCACCATAAGCCAAGGGAGACCATGACGCCTCTCGGTCATTGCATCGTATCATATACATGTGTACAAGAATCATACATTGTATGAACTCCATTGTCATTTCCTCTGATTGTAACTTCAGCTGACGTGGACATAGCAAGCCACGCGCCAGTAAGAAACAGCGGTGTCCAAACTCCCAAGGCAAGGCAGTGCTATGATTGCGTTTCGAATCCATAGGCACAGATACACTTAACCTGAGTGAAGAACCCAGTGCACAAAGTAGAAGAAGCAGAGACGTTTTCTGCCGAACCTGAAGAGGTGACCAAGAAGAAGCCGAACGGGCCTTCACTAAATTAGTTACGCATTCTTCAATCTCATATGGTTGGATAAAAGGCAAAAACGTCTCCAGATCATTCATCGCAGTGTGAATAAGTGTATTTACCGCAGAAACTTTTAACAGTGATGACGCTTCACAGCCCAGTTTAAAATAGTCAGAACCTTCCCAGCTTCGACTGTGTAAGGGGAACATATCCGGCATCTCCTTGGTTCCACTCTTGTTTGTGCTTGATGCTAACATATGTGAGCCTCCCGGTAATTCGATCTCATGTGTTTCGACATGGTACAGTGCCTCGAGCGTCGGATAATAGCTGTTTTTTGCCCGGTACGCCACTGAGCCTGATGGATCCAGAATGCAAATGCATAAAATATCTTCACTATTACCCAATTCCACACCAGACACTGATGAGACCGATGCAGAGCGATGTGGAAGCAGACTGGACTTGTTCATGTCATGACTTAAACAAAAGTCAAGTAGTTGCTTTGTAGAAAAATCAGTTGTTATGGACGATGAACGTGTCTCTCGCACTGCTGCCTTGGCTTGAGTAAAACTTGGAGTAGAAGGACTAGCAGGCGAGGTAGGGGCAGATGATTCGTGCTTCATAGATGTCTCTTGGACATTTACTGGTTTTGTTAAAAGGGAGAGATCTTGACCCGGGCTAGAAAATGCAAATGTGCCGTTCAGATGAGCATTAGTAGGACCGACGGAGGTGACGTTGTGTACTGGCGTATCAAGTACTGCGCAATTGTTAATACTCATATCAGAAATACCAGGCGAGGCCTCATTGTCACCAGTATTGTTATTGCTACTGTTGAACGGTATATTGACGCCAATGTTGTTTTTAAAAGGCATCTCCATAAATGGTTCTTGTGAGGTTTGAAATGAGTCGGGGGTCATCCACAATGGGTTGTTTGGCTGCACATTTGAAATACCCGCAAGACCCAGGCTCGGCTGTGAAGGCTCGGATGAAAGGACGGGTGTTGGCTTGGGAGCACTCATGTGCCAGAGATTGGGCGTCCATTCGCCTACGCTCATCGAATTGTCTGTCATGTTTGGAATACCTGCAAAAGTCCTCGTACTTCCACCCGGGGACTGCTTTGGGACTCCCAGAGGCAAAAGCCCCCAGTATCAGAAGAATCATTCTCGGCGACAATCCGGCGTCCAGTTTGCTTATCCAGACGCGAATTGCGTCCTCGAAACACAATTCCAACATTGTTCATCAACGCACGCTCGCGTTTGCTAGGTGGTCCTCGTTTGCGCAAAATGTCGTCACTTGTGCAAACACGTCCAGCTTGGGCACAATTACCACACGTTGGCTTCTTCCGATCACACTATTCGTAAGTACATGAAACGTTTCATAGACAACATACCTTGATCTTTCGTTTTCGACAATAATCGCACGCTGCTTGTCGGTCACCTGATTCCGGCACACGGGCTCTAAATGCTTTCAGAAACTCGTGAGCATAGAGTGTATCACGACTGTTGTGGCTCATGCTGAAATCACCCGGGCTGAAATCTCGTCGAGTCTTTGCTGGCTGTGAAGAAGAACGTTGAAGATCATTCGAAGTGAAGGATGGAGGCATCGCAGGAAAGTTGCCCGTCATAGGAAACATGGATTCCATAGGAAAACTAGAGGCAACCTCTGGCTGTACTTGAGTCATAAGATAAGACTCGGAAGGCGTAGCTTGCAATCCCGTGGCAAATGCCTTGGCATGTTCGCTCGTTTCGTCAACAGGCATATTGCTTAAACAAGACTTGGCCTCGTCAAATGGCGCGCCGACAAGACCATGCTGTATGCCTTGCCACTGCATCCTCCCCTCAATACCGACAGGAGGAGGATCTTTTGACTTCGAATTCAGATGGGTCTCTTAGTCACCCGAAAACCCTTCGATCTTACTGCGTGGTGAAAATGAACCAGGGCAAATACAATAAGCAAATTCGGTCGTCGGGTTCCATGGGAGTTCTTAATGCGTTGCTTGAGCCGCAGTATTATGCAGGCCCAAAGTTTGACTTTCGTGTGCCAGCGCTGCTTATTATTCGATATGAAGCCAAAATTTGGAATGCCCTGATTTGTCGAACGTTCGTGATTGGCTGAATTGAAACGGCCAAGCGACGTAAGGCATGGGGTGGGGATCGGCCGACAAACATGTGGAAAAGCTACCGTCAGGTCACTTATTCACGTGGCCTCAACATTTCTCTCCACAGTCACGGCACATTACTTTTGTTACACTATGCTAGTTCTGGTGATAGGTAGGATTCACGAACGCGTTCATATTGTCCGGGGCTGTCACTAACATGGTGATTCAACTCAGGTGACCTGCACGTTCCTTTCAAAGCGAGTAATTTGCCTGCTAAATTTCGGAAGCTTTTGGTATGGGTAATTTGAAACACCAGCATTCTCACATGGTATTAGGTCCCAGGGAGAATCCAGCAGGTTATTTGCACCGGTAATATTTGCGACAAGCAAACGTACGAATACCTTAGGAACCTTGTCAGCGAAATACACGTTGTAAAAGGAGATTATGATGATGTATGTCTATATCCCCCCAATGCTAGCTGACTCGAAATAGAATCGACACTTTCCTTCCTCGCTGGTATTGCGATTTCCTCCCTTAAAAATTGGAATTGTCCATGGGCATCAAGTTATTCCTGCTGGCGATCCCCTCGCGCTCTCTCTTACTGCACAATCTATGGATGTGGATATTCTTCTCACAGGTGGCACGAGCAAATTCGAAGCCTACAAACTAGACGATCGATTCTTTCTAAACCCAGGAAGTGCTACTGGAGCCTGGACCGTTGATATGCCGATCATATCCGCGCGAAGCAACTGTGAGAAAAACCATCATACGGCTGATGTAAATAATTCCTTTGCTAGTGATGGGGCAAAGACTGGTTCGAGGCCAATGAGGTCTGACCTGACAAATGGGATCCCTGCTGAAACCATTCCTTCGTTCGCATGTACGTCTCTCTTTGCATTAACGTAAGTACTGGATATCCAAGGGCCTCTTGTTTTAATTTATATATATCGTTTGATTGATGATGAAGTCAAGGTTGAAAAGATGGAGTATAGAAAGTTGTTCAATAGCGACGCACAGAAACTTTGACTACATGTCAGTAGTTTAGACTAGATTACATTAGGGGGCCCTTACTGGATTTAAAATTTCAGATGTGCAGCAGGACTGCTATAAAATCTCCCCACACGCGCTTGCGGATACCTAATTGGCGGTGTTATTCTCCCTCGGAGAATCGATCGAGACCTGTATCTCTCCACATCAAGTAAGAGTAGGTCAAGTTCCTGTGCGATCAGACCTACAACGCCACAGCGCAAGTATGATACCGAAGGTTTGGGAAAAATCCGTATCTTCCCGCAAGCTATTAGCTTGGCGTTATTTAACATATGCTTCTCGCATCTATATTCGCGGCCTTGCAGTACCGATCAACTCTATGACTTCAGTCGATCCATATCTGGGAACTACCCCTCCTGCCCCGCCCTCTCTACACGACACAAACCGTGCGTCTAACACGTCCCAACATCGTGATGGTGATTCAGGCATTTTCAATCAAATGGTAAAACCCAAATTACCACAGAATCAATTTACTGCACGAAAAGTAGCTATCGAACGTGTGCAAGACATCACAACGGGAGCTCCACGTCGCGGCGCAATACTGCCAGATAATTCTAGCAACGCAACAGAATCTCAGGGTCAGGCTGAACAGAAATGGAAAGCTAAATCAAGCTTGTTAACACCACCAGCTAAGTGCGATGACCCAGAAAAACCTCATTCACCGCTACGCTCCTCGCCAGCTTTGGAGTCAATAGAGCGATGGGTCATTGCGATTGCTCACAGACTGATCCACTATGATAACAGGCTTAGTTCAATCATTCCAAAACTTCGAGGCAACTTTAGTGAAAAGATGAATTCACAGCTCTCATTTGAGCTTCCTTACGAACCAAATCCCAAAATGGACAGAAGAGTTCGTCTGACCAACGCTGTTAGCACACAACAAGAGCTAGAGAGTGCCCAAGATGATGGCGTGTTGTTGCTATGTTACGTGGATGTTACAGCACCCGGCCATGAACGAGTTAGTCTTTGCTCTGGATTCTCGGTCCAAGGAGGCTCCTCACTGGACCCAACTGAAACGACAGGAAAAGGTGAACTTGTGGTCACATGCGCGCATACGGTACGTTTGCACTTCGCCTTAACAAGCATAGCTTTTAGATGCATTCTTGCAAAAGGATTGTTCCAACACTTCAAGAGGCATTGCATTTGCAGTCACTCGTACTGGACATGTTTATCCCATTCACATGCTCTTAAGCTATCTTCCGGCCGCAGACTTAGCTCTGCTCCAACTTCAAGACAAAGCGCTCTCTGTAAATCAGATTAACGGAGCCATTTGTCCAGCCAAAAATCACCAAGTTCGCACGTTACCCGTATCTCCTTACCCTGCTGTTGTAGATACGGAGCTTTCCGTTAGCTCATTTAGCGGTTGGGTTCCGTCCAAGGTAAGAAAAGTATTGGGATCTGTGCGCGACTTCAATGACGAGGACGTTGCGAGGAATCGGTGGGCGAGAGCAACTCTTGTTGGCTATCGCGATCCTATCGGTTGTCAAGCTGAAACAGGCACATATGACGAGTTGGCTCAGCTTGACTTTACTCTGAAATGGGATTCGCCAGCTACTCCTTTGCTGCTTCGGAGTGCAGCCGCGCAGTCCTCTCGCATGTTTCCTTTGCCTGGCTCTTCCGGAGGGCCTGTGGTTGATGTGGAAACGGGAAGCGTGGTTGGTGTGATTCGCGGGCAGCGATCAAGCAAATTGGGAGACAGTCGCGGTGATGCTGTCCCATCGGAGAAAGTGTTCGAATGTTCGTATTGTAGATAATGAACTCACATGACAGTTTTTGCTCTTCCAGGACTTGGAAAACATCGTTAAATTCACGCCATACACACATGCACGTATCACAAAGCTCCTCTACATTTGTTCAACCTATGTATCTGCACTAGTTGCGTTATTCCATCAGCTTTATGTCCAACATCAGATCGCTTTCTTGTTCATCAAAGGGCCCGTCGTGGCGTTGGGAATATTTGATACTGATGCAGAATCGGAGCGGCCCAACAGGCTACCGAAACGGTTGCGAAGGGCATCTTTCCAACCAGTTCCGATGTCATGACGCTCGATAGGTCTATCTGCTTCCAACGAAACAGGTGGTTGCGATAGTGATGAATCCGGTTTTGCATGTGTTTCATTCACGAGTGGCGTAACACGGAAATTTTCAAGATCCGAGAAATCGTCTTGCTCAACCTAACATTAGTATACTTTGATACATACCATCAAAATGGAGTAAGCATATACACCACCCGCGAATGTGCATATCGCCAGCATTGATAGCAAGTTCACAAGCCTGTATGGCTTACGCGCGCGACGAAATCCTGCAGAGTCGCCAGCCTTCTGACGAAAATAAGTCTTGTGAGCCTGCTCGACCTCTCGCACAGTTTCGTTCATGCGGGGAACACTAGTCCGGAGAGCGCCAGTATGCAGCCATCGTGCAGTAGAGAGAGCACGGCGAGCAAGGATTAGCATCGTCGTTGTGGCTAGAACGCCTTTGCTGACGTAGGTGTGCGAAGTACAGCCTGAAACTCACCTCCACATCCAACTTGGTTTAGGTGACCACTTTCAATTGAGGACAGATATGAAAACCAAGAACGACTTAATCGAATATATGGATTCAATCTAAGCTGTGGAAGCGATGGGAACGTGTTCGAGCAATACTTTTGATAGAACATGAGATCCATCAGATTTTTCAATGCTCTCATAATCAGCGAAGTTCGTAGTATCAATGTGATAACCTAGTGACTTGACAAATTCGTCCGACACGATCTTGGCGACGTCCATAACCGATAGGTGCATGTTTGGTCGACCAAGCCAAGACAGTTGCTCATCTATGCAAGTAAGTTGTACATCAGGCAGTCCACAGGCTACCACTTTGCGGAAGCCTTCCAGTGCTTCCTCGTGCACATTGAGTGAAAATCCATGCGAGGTGACACGATGTTGCACTTGTACACCAATTGATGCAATTTTCCTATTCGGTTGCGTCCAAACTCCAGTATATTTTGAATCTTCAGATGGAGAATTAATAGTGGCGAGCTGAATGGCTTCATTTGCCAAACTGCGACGTAAAATGTCTTGTAGTGTTGCCACATAACAACGCGTGGAAAGCTAAAGCATGATCAGCTAATGCCACAGATGACGTACCTTTAAAAGCCCTAGATCCAATATAGGATATCCCACAAGCTGGCCGGGTCCATGATACGTCAGCAGCCCACCTCGCTTTGTCTGAAAAATATCCACATTCGGCGCCGACATAGCTGCACCAATAGCTGCACTATCGTCGCGACGACCAAGAGTATAAACTGGTGTGTGTTCAAGAAGCAGCAGATAATCTGTTCGAGCCGTCCTGACGTGTCCGTGTAAATCCATGGGAAGATCAGCTAGCGACGCGGTAGCATGTTGAACACCAGCTTTACGGAGAACAGACCGAGATTCAGCTCTTCGTTGCACGAGTGATTCTTGAATTCGGAGACCGAAATCATATGGTACACGATAAGGAATATAACATACACGAAGTAACCGACTGCGCGTTGCTTGGAGAAGACTGGAACAAGACGCCATGGACGTGTACTAACACGTGGTGATAGTTCTCAGGCTGAGAAACTCTAAAAACGAATGGAATCTCCACCTCAAATGTTGGTTATACACGCATCAAGCTTATTCCAAAGGCAGTCGTTATGAGTAGTATCTATCTATTCATCATACAAATGGAGGGGAAAGTGCTGGGAGATGAGCCACTTTAAATACGTAGATCGTGAGAACTGGGTCTCAGCGGGGAGAGATTTTGCAATCAACCAAATAGACCACCAAAGAGACCGCCATTGTGACTTTTACTCGAGGTCTGGGCACCTGAACCGCCTGCACGGTCGCTGTTATTATCATTATTGTTATTGTTGCTGTTGTTGCTGTTATTGTCGTTGTTGTTTTTGTTCCTGTTGGTGTTGGCATTCGTGTTCTTATTATTGTTGCCTGCGCCGGATGAGGGTCCCGCCGTACTCGCTGCATTGCTTGGTGATGCTTGAGCTTTACTGCTTCTGCCAGGGTAAGAACCCGAGTTAGAACCACTTTGACTGCCAATAAATGTCTTGGAGACAGAACCCGAAGAGCTCGAAGAGCTACTCGTAGATTTTTTCTTGCACCCAGCAAGATCCAAAAAGTCAAGAGGAAGAAATTCCTCAAGAATACAAACCATATCCTTGAAGCCATTCTCCACCAGTTTTCCAATCTGATCAAGATCGAGGCCTTTCATACCTTGAGCTACTTGTCCTTTTTGGCCTTTGTTCAGTTTCTTGAAAGCGTCACCAATATGATCGATCAACTCTGTAGCTGTCGTGATGTTAAACAATACTGTGTCACCAATCGACAATACAATTGTGATTGGCACATAGTATTCATTAAATTTGACTGCAGGGAGAGTAAAGCCATTCTTTCCACCGATCTGAGCCACTAGCTGGTTGAAGGTTTCAATTTTTTTGCCGATCACTTCAAGTGAATTAAGAAGACCGCGCGCCAAAAGAGAATTACTGAAAAATCCGCAAATCTTTCTGCCCGGGTCAACTTTAGGAGCTTTTGCTGCAGGAATGTAACAATCTTTGAGATTTTTGGTGTCGAACATGATCAAAGGTAGCTGGTCATGAGATTCGTCTGCAATGTAAGACTCATCCAAAATGCTGTAAAATTGTAGCGGCATAGGAAGATCGTCCTTGAAGTGGAGCAGAAGGGGAACGAAAGGTCTAAACCCTGGACCAGCGAACAACTTAAGAATGTCAATGTAGGCATCGACGAGCTCCAACGCTCTGGTACCGATGCCGGAGACCGAGGTGTCTACTGTCAACCTCTCAAGGCCAGGGTTGAATGAAGCGAATGGAGAAAGTGGGGGATTTGCATTCGAGATGCCATGGATATTCACAGAAAAGTTGTAAGGAATTTCTTCAGGCTGATGCTCGACAGGCTCCAGGTACTTTTGAATAACTTCGAGCGCGACTGTGTCATTAGCAATATTCGGCTGATACCGAGCAATGGCATCAATATTGCTCTCGCCAGGTATTAGAGTCTTATCATTAAGAAGAGCGCGGCCGAAGTACGTTCCTTTGTAAAACAGTGGTAAAGAAAGGCCAGTCGTCTTGATAGTGATGTTGCTAGGATTGAATACCGTACAAAAGAGGCGATTATCCAGATACTGAGGCGTCGATGATTCTGGATAAACCCTCTTTAGCTTCAAGAAACCTGTCAGATCATCGAAACCAGCTAAACTCGAGTGAATGTTTTTGAATGGAATTCCATTAATCGGAATGTCACCAATGACCATCTGCGCAACAATGTTGACAGATCCCTTGAATATAAAATCAACACGTGAAGTTAGAATAATAGCCGATAACATAGATGCAAATGCATCATGATCCTGTGCTTGTAGACGTCGATTATTGAAGGAAAGAGCCAGCGGTTGTATCTCTTGAGGTCCATGAGATGTTCCTGCACTAGCCCTCGTCAAAGACACTTGCAAAATCGCTGCGTCCTTGTTGTTGTACACAAGAACGGAGGAGAACCCTGCTTTTAATGGTTTGAGCGTGAAATGGAAGGGATTTGCAAATGTAGCAAGTGTGAGATTGGAGCCAGTGAGAGGAGCCCAAGTATCTCTTTGATTCATCATAGTAACGAACAAATCAATAATCTTGACAGACTTGACGATGTCATAAATCTTGCCGGGAAGAATAACTTTGAGTGTCAGAGTCTTGAAGGCATTGCTAAGCCATGTCACGGGCTTGTTACCGTTTTCCTTTGTAACAACTGAATCGCCTTGGATGCTAAGTGTCTGGTTTTTTGCCTGAAGGTAGCCTGAAAACAGTTCACCAGTCACATTGGTATCGGTGCTGCCGCTTTTATGAGTTATAAATCCATTCAGCTGAGCCGAGGTGGTCGCATGACCTTTCAAGAAAAGATTAGAAGCGTGGATCGGTCCCTGGTAACGATTCATGAAGAAAATCTTGAAGTTAGCAGTCTCGAGATCGATTGAAAGACTGGCAGGAGATGGAATTGTTGTGCCTGTGACAATTTTGAGGGCATTGCTTGTCTCACCTGGGATGTCAAAAGACGTAATAGCCACCCCAGGAAGATTGTTGAATGCATCAAAGGAAACGTCTTTCGAAATTTTTACATCACTGAACACAATATTCAGAGCACGTACACGTAGCTTGTTCGTGTGAATTGTCCACTTGAACTGCTTATTGTGCAGAATATACTTGGTAAATTCAGTAAACCCAGACTGATCGGTAATTTTCAATTCTCCTTGTGTTTTGTAGTTCGGGACACCTTCATTTGCATAGGCACAAACTGGTGGGAGGTACACTTTGGCTATGTCCTTGCCATTCCAATCCACAGAAACGCCTTCGGGGAATTCGATCACTGCATCGAAGGGCCCAGTGTTGACAAGTGAACCGTCTAGGGCCACATGGAAACCATCGTTCGTGAGCCTGCTTGCTGTCGCAGCCTTGAATGTGAGCTGCGCTTGATCGACAATGTTCTGCACGATTGGAGCACCTACAGGCCCGATCAAATACAAGGCTGTATCGTCCGTATCTGTTGGAACTGGCTCCTGCTTGAAGTTCAGATTTGTTTGATAATCATCAAGTTTTACAGTTGATTGAATGTCAAGCGTGACTTTGAGTCCTTTCAAAAGGCTGAATACAGCTCCGAAGACATCAAACTGACGACCGGAGTGACAGTTCGGTGGGTTCGAGTCAGGATAAGGCTGAATGGTCGTCTTGGTACTTCGCATCGCCATCACTTTGTTAAATTCGGAGGTCAGCGGACCTAAGTCGGTGCCGGTATCAGATGCGGCTTGTTCAATAAATCGAATCAAGTGTTTTGGCTCAAGGTCCATCTTAAGAGGAAGCATACGAGAAGTGATAGTTTTATGCCCAGGTGCTCGGATCGGATTCTTGTGCAGGTCGGCATCAATGACTCCCAAGTATATGCCTTTATATGAGGCTTTGGCTTTGACTTTGAGCAGATTAATACTAGCAGTAAACGGATTGGCCAACTGGAACTTTGCTTGTGCGATGGATGTCTGAGCAATGTCTTTTGGAATCACCAGTTGATCTTCGGTGATCAGGAGTTTCTTCAATGGCGGAATCGTTACTCTGAGCTCAATACCTGACAAAGCCTGTTTTAGGGAGGCAATATCCGTAGTGCCTTTAGAACCGCGAATGTAAGTGGTCGACGAAATTCCCTGCACATAGTTTTCTAGCATAGTTTGTCCCGCACGAGTATTTGCTGCACCCTGTGGCGAGTAATGTACATTTGTCGGCACTTTGTTCAAGCCTGGATGAATTACAAGATCATTGATGTTAGCCGAACCAATCAAATGGTTTTGGAAAAACAGGTTAAAGCTCACATCGCCTGTACCAACGGTAAGATGAGACGGGTTGTAAAGGAATGCATTGATCGTAACCAGCAAGTACTTAGGATACCCATGAGCCACATCAAGGTCCTCAACATATGCGGGGCGAGCATTCAGGTTCTGAAGACCTAAGAGAGACGTGGAGACATGAAATGGAATGTCTGACACAGTCACGTAGCCGGCAGCAGTTTCAGCCTTCGCATTGGCTGCGCCGTGCAGAACAAACTTGACGCAAGATTGCTTTGTGGCGTCTGCAATGAATTGAGAAAATTTACCGTGTCCGTTTGAAAAGGCTGCGAATTTCACGTTCTTGAATTGTAGCGTCATGATTCGAGCTTGAACCTGGGTATATGCCGGGGAGTATGGAACATTCAGCGCTGCGTTGTCGGCGCCTTGGTACTGCTCAATAAATCTACCGCCTGCACGGTTGATGTCGATAGGGAAACCGAAAGGCAAATAGAAGGGAGCCACTGTATTGTTTGTACTTGCTAAGGGGGCCCAAGCAGACTGCTTTGTAAACATTAGCGTCATTTGATTGATATCGATGCCTTTGATAACATTGAAATGCTTGGCAGGAAGCACTGCTGATACCTTGAGAGCCTTGATACCTGCGTTCAGCCAGGTTACATCAGAAGGGCCAGCATATTCGCCGTGAATCTCGACGGGTACTTCCTTGCCATGCACGACATCAGTAAAGATTTGTGATAACACCTTTAGATCCTTATCACTTGACTGATGCACCAAGCGACCCTCGAGCGGTAGATACGTTTCAGAAAGTGGCGCCAAAGTGAACTGGCGTTGAGCGTAAGCTGGACCTAAGTTTGTCCCATTGCTCCAAATACTGATTCCGAACCTGGACAGCTCAATACCCACTTGCGCAGGATTCACAACCTGCGACTGCGCCATCAGATGAATGCCACCAGCAGGATCGTTTGAAGGAAGATCATAGTCAAGTACTTTGACGTCATTTTTCAGACCATTCAGGCCAGTTAAAATGACATTTTTTGAAATTGATACACCTTTTACAGTGATACCAAGTGCTGTGATGGCGAGATTCTGGCCCTGAATCGTCCAAATAAAGCTGGGTTCCGTTACCAAAAATTTAGTAAACTCTGTTAAGGCATCAACATCAGCAACAGCGAAGTCAGCGGATAAATTCAGTTGAGCACCCTCGTCGGCTTCAAGCTTTATGTCAGGCATCTTGATCTGACCCAGAACTTTGTTATTCCATGACACCTGTAGTCCATCAGGAAACGAAATTGTTGCATCGAAAGGCCCTGAGTTTGTGATCGAGCCAATCAAACGCGTTATGAATGACTTCTGCTGTGGATTCAAAATCGTCACACGCTTAACCACAAGAACAGCTCCATCGACAATTTTTTGGACAATGGGCTTAGCAAGCACGGGAAGAAGAAGATGCAATGAGTCATCGGTTTCCAATTTGACATCCGACTGCACAAACGAGAGCTTAGTCTCATAGTCGCCAATACTTGCTGTCGAAACGATATCAAGATCAACAGCTGCTTTCGTGAAAGCCTTATCCACAAAGTTCGCAATGTTGAAGTTTGTGTACATGTTTTGTTTGCGCTTGACAAGGGCTCGCTCTCTCTCCTCAAGTGTTTCAGGCCCCGTTTCTTTGTCCTCGATATACCGGCGCTGGTTTCCTGAACTTCCTGTGGGCTGCGTATTTGCATCTGTAGTTTCAGAGTACGTATAACCGCCGATTTTCATGATCCCATCAAGTTGTTCAACGCTTTCGCCGGCATTTAATGCATAACGACGCACAAGAGCAAACAGGTCAGGCGGGAACAAGTTGATGTGCAGGTTCATCAGAGGCGACTTGGAAATGCCTTTCCCAGACGCGTCGTATTGCGTGTCCGTGTCGAGAGAAGCGAGGAAAAGACCATGAGAAGTTACATTCGACACAATATGAGTAATACTGATGGGAGAAGTAAATGGATTGTCCAAAGACACTTGCGTTTGTGCCACATCGTCCGTTATTCCGGTTGACTCAAGTACTTTGAGCGAGGCACTTTGAACTAGCTTCGTTTTCAGTCCAGGCAAAGTTGTATTGACGCGAACGGCCGAAAAAGCTGGCTTCAATGACGCAATGTGTGTTGAATCTTCATAGCCACTGATATTGAGGTGTGTATCCAAGCCAGAAATGTAGCGATTCAACATGTCTAAACCTTGCGGACCAGCATTAGGATTGAACTTTGACATTGCCTGCAACGTATTGTTTCCGATGTTCAGCCTCATGTTTGGAATAGTCACAGAACCCACAACAATCTCATAGACCATAAGCAATGTAGTATCACCAACACCTAGGTTCACATTTGATGGATTATAGATCGACGTATTCACATTGAGATTGATGTTGGCACGAGTACCTCCAACTACATCGACCCCAAGAATAAGCGTCGGGTATTGGTTCAAGCCTTGGAGACCAAGCAGACCGCTTTCCACGGAAAACTTGATTCCATTTAGAAGCACCGTTCCAACCGGCGTTTCTGAAAGCGACCTTGAAGAGCCGTTAAAAAGCTTTATATCTTCCTTCGTAAACGTGAACTCTTTCTGGAACATTTCAAACTCTCGACGAGCCTCATCACTTTGCTCTGGCAAGGACATTGAACTCGGATTGAGAGTGAGGTAAATAGTCCCCTCAGTCTGGTCCGTAGAAACCACGTTCAGATCAGTCTCAGCTGGTGACTTGACTCCATTCACGGTAGTGATAGGTTTATTGTTTTTTTCGTCGACAATGGTGATTTCATTCGTTGTTGAAATAACACGCAGAGGGAAGCCAAACGGCAAAGCAAGCTCCGCGCTTAAAGCGTCGGAGGAAGCATCAGGGCCGTACGCATTTGAATGTGGGCCATACGTAAGATTGAATCTCTTTATCAGGATGCTCTTGATTGGATGTATCGGCTCGGGCGCCTGGAACGGCACATTGATTCGAAGCACTTTGATGCCCTCTGCCAGCCATGAAGCGCCATTTCCATCCGGTAAAGTCACATTTCTACCCACTGCAACAGTGGGCGTAATTTCGTAGTTGATATACTGGGTGAATATATTACCGAGAATACTCAGAGCAGATTGGTTGTTCGTTTGAGGAAGCAATCGACCACGTAGAGTGACGTAATTGACTCCAGGTGTGACATTTAACATGGAAGACATGCCAGGACCAAGCAACTGATCATACGCAAACAAATCAAGGTTCAAGATGCCAAGCTGGATACCAAATGGAGAAGGATTCTCCAATTGAGTAAGCGCTTCAAATGTAATGCCTCCTTGCGGATCTGCACCTGGCAGCTTGAAATCGATAATTTTGACATTCTCGAAATTGTCCATACCATTGAATATCACATCCTTTGTGAGTTTGAGGTTTTTGAACGTCGGCAGGAAATTAAAAGCCTCAATATGTACATTGTTACATGTCAACCGCCAGGTAAATTCCTTCGTTCCGATCATGTACTTGGTAAATTCAGTAAAGCCGGCCAAGTCCGTAATGTTGAACATTGTGAGCTGTTTGAGACGTCCGTGACCAGCTGCCACACCAATTCTCTCAAGGGGAAAGTGACCCAAAGTCAGCTCACGCATCGGTTGATCCGTCGTGGGCACAGTATTCCACGTCACATATACCGGCTCACGGAAATAAAGCTGCGCCGGAAACACACCCGCCTTCTTCACTTGGCCCTCCATGGTAAGGACAAAGCCTTGGTCCGAGGGTTGTGTGATATTCGCTGCATATATGTGCATTACAGACACGGCCAATGTGTGGTTTGCAACGCCCCATAAGATCGGAATGCAAATCAAAAATAGGTTGAATATAATAATCAAAGGCAATCCGAAGAGTGTAAACAAGAGAAGCCGTTTCGATAAGACCTTTTTAGCATATGGCGTGTTGCGAGCCGCCAAGAACCCTATGGGCTTGCCTGGCTGATGCATATGTCCAGCCGGCGAAGATGCACCACCAACACCAGCATCATACGCAGGGAGGCGACGTCGAAAGCCGCCATCCCATGACTCTTTTTCCATGTCGATGGTAAAGCGAACTCCTACTTCGCCTAAGTTGACAAGATGGAACAGAGACCGATTCTTCGGCGTTGGGGTGTGCAATCCTGCTGCTTATGGGTTTGTAAAAAGGACGTGTGGGGGCGCACGGAAAGAACCAATCGCAGTTCTAACAGACTAGATTTTGGTGCTACTAGTCATATCAAGCTTTCGTTGACACACCAGACTCAGCCACCAAAATTGATGGGCCGCGAAGGCAACTTTTTTCGGACACACACAAAATTTGGGGAGATCCTTCGGCCGACATCCACGTGGGTCTTGTGTAGATCTCCAGCCTATTCTGCACCACACGACGCTAGTCGTTCATTGAGGGCAGACCGAGCGCGACGTGAAGTGTCACGCGCGCATCGAGAACTGTTGGCACGAGCGAGACGATGACGTTTGAGCCTGCTTTAAGAGTAACAGACTGGCCTTTGGCTCGGCGAGTCGCGCCACCGAGCAAGTATCGTGAAACAAATCATTGGGCACAACATGCTCCTCTCCTCATTGACCACGGTAAGTCCGGACAATGTCGTCCATTGCCCCTGTCGATGACCAACATATTTTGATAGGCTCGTCAGAATTACGAGCTGGATTCTCTACTAGCGACTCAGATGATCCTGCGTACACGTGTGAAAACATTGTATCGCGGTTCCGTGATCGGAAACGTGGGGCAAATGTAGTGCTGTGCGGTAATAACTGCTATGTCGATGCGCAGGCGCGTGCAAACATCAAAAGTCCCTTCGACGGAGATGTCGTATGTGGATTTGATACCATGGTATGTGTGTACATGTTTGAGTCGAGCACAATACTTATGACAGGAATACATGCTTGACAATACCTTCGCGAAGCTCGGCATTGACACAGAGTGCGTAGATCATCCAATCTTGATGACCGAAACACTTTGTAATCCAGACTACAGTCGATCTCGTGCGTACTTATGTCCGTGAGCTAACCTTTTAGAGATGAATGAGCTATTGTTTGAGGCATACCGCGTACAATCGGTGAATTATGGATTGGACGCCCTTTTCTCAGCCTATGCCAATCATATTCGTGACAACGGCCTCATCGTGTCCTCTGGCCGCACCACAACAACTGTCATCCCCTTAGTGAATGGCCGCGGCTTTTTAGACAATGCAAAGCGATTGTCTTGGGGCGGCATACCTGCGACTGACTTTTTGTTGCGCCTCATGCAACTGAAATATCCCAATTGCCCACAACGCATGACACCGTATGAGGTGCAGTGCATGCTGGAAGAGCTCTGCTACACATCTTCTGATTATGATGCAGACCTTCGAGCTATGCACGATCCCGATACACTTGCCAGGGTGGACCGAGTCGTGCAACTGCCATATTCAGGTCCGGAGCGGAAAGAAAAGACTCAGGAAGAACTCGATAAGATTGCAGAGCGGAAGCGAGCAGCTGGAAAACGCTTGCTAGAGCAAACAAAATTAATGAGGCAAGAGAAAGCACAACGAAACGAGAACGATCTCAGATATTATACCCTATTGAGTGAATGGAAAGAGAAAGAGTCACCAGAAGCATACCAAGCGCGTCTAGAAAGCGAAGGCTTTGAAACGGAGCATGAGTTTGAAAAACTTCTGAAACGACTCGATACGTCGGTCCGGAAACACCGAGCTGAAGAGCAAGGCGAAGAATTCGAGGAAGAGAAAAAAGAGCCCGAGTTTCCTCTTGTTGATGTGCCTGATGCTGAGCTCGATGAGGAAGGCATCAAGGAGAAGCGGCGTCAGCGTCTCCTCAAAGCAGGGCATGAAGCTCGTCTCCGCGCACGGGCAGAAAAAGAAGAAGAAAAGCGGCTTCAAGCTGAAGAAGAAGCTCGCGAAACGAAGGAGCGCACGGACGATCCGCAAGCGTGGCTGCACAAAATTCGCACGCAGCATCGCGATTCTATCGCACGTATCGACGAACGCAAGCGCCTTCGTGAGATGCTTCCGAACCGGAAGAGTGCAGCGGCACAACAACGCATGCGAAGCATAACTGCGCTAGCAAGCGAGCATGAGAGTGCATCGTCAGGCTCACAGCGCCGACGAAAGCGTGGAGATGATGAGGATACATTCGGCGCAGATGACAACGATTGGTCTGTGTATCGGGCGATCAACGATGCTACGAATGAGGAAGAAGAGGCACAAGATCAAGAGACGCTAGCCGAACTAGAGCGGAAGCTTTTGGAATTTGATGATGAATTCACCGAGGAAAGTACGTACGAGGCAATTCAGGCCCGAAAGACCCGCCTCACCTACACATTCCTTCGTGGACAAGAACCACGCTGGGATCCCGACGATCCTGTTCAGTTCCATCAAGTGCACATGAATGTGGAACGAATTCGCGTGCCAGAGATTTCTTGGCAGCCTATCATTGCAGGCGTGGACCAAGCAGGTGTGGGAGAATTAAGCCGCCATGTACTGTTCTCTGTCGACCAGAACATCCGTGATCGCATGATTCGCAACGTGCTTGTGACCGGACGCTATTCGTCCCTGCCAGGCTTTGATGCACGTCTCTCCTCAACCCTGCAATCCTATTTACCGCCACATGCGCCATTATCTGTGCGTCGGGCGAAGAATGCGCGTTTCGATCCTTGGCGAGGAATGCGTCAATGGGTTACAGAGCAGAACGAGGACTTCCGCTCCTCTTCTGTAAGCAAGGCTGAATATGAAGAAAAAGGCAGTGGTTGGTTTAAGGAGCATGCCCTGTCCGCGTGCTGGCGGGCGTAGCTACAAAGACACGATCAAACCTTTTATTCTCGCAATCTAGTAGCTACGAGTTTTTTCAAAAAAAATTCAAAAGCTTTAATTCACACAAAGTGGTCCACATGCGAAAGAGCATCGCAGGGCCAACGAAATAAAAATGGCCGATTACTACGGACGAGAAAGGGAAGAGGCAAGAGCGGCGACATCAAAAGGTCGTAGTCATCCTGTTACATGAAGCCGCTGCTGCTCACGAGCATTCACCACAAGCGAGTCTCAAGAAGCATGTCACTCTCAGGCGCAAGTGCAAGGCAAGCACGAAGGAAGTTGGTCACAGCTGCGCGTTGCCGATTCAGACTGTTCACAACGTCTGTTCGTGGCTTGACGAGTGGCGCCTTTAGACTGTAGCTCAGCAGACTGAGAATCGAGTACATAGACTGCCAAGAAGATTCGTCCGCACCTGGGTCGCGGTACGAAATACGTGTCATGAGCTCGGCCAGGATAGCCAGGTCCAGAAGCAATGGACTAGCTAACAGTGAATCCTCACACAGGTTCGTCACATAGAGCCGGTTCCGACCTCCCATGCACAACTCACTAGTGTAGTCATCCATAGCCACCTTCTGATCGCCCACAGCTGGCATATACTTTATGACAATACAGTGGTCGGGACGCTCCCCCTTTGCAGGCGCATTTCCGCTTGCATCTTTGCCAGTCGGAGCTGGACTGTACAACAGGGAATTGGCTTCGCAACAGTCATCAACGACACTGCTCTTGCTGATTTCCTTGCTGCGGAATTGACGCTGTGAACTGAGATTGTAGCCATCATTGTTGCCTAAATGGTTGTAGCTTGCAATCGACAACGGCTTGATACCAGCGTTCACAAGATACTCGGCCAAGACACTCTTAACTTTCGTCTGGCCAGTCTTGAGATCATCGCCGCCGATAAATGCCTTGTGTCGCTCAGCTAGCTCAATTGCTCCCGGTACGAAAGTGTTTTGTGGTGCGCCATTAATGTAAGGCGTATTTTCAAGAATACAAGCGACCGCGAAGATCGTAGATGGCGAAACTTCTTCGTGACTCGACTGCACGGCACGAAGCAGGTTGTCGGCCGTGTCGTTCACGCCAGGGATAATGTCCGAGTAGCGCTCCGTGTTTGCAGTCCAAACCACAATAACTTGCTCCAAACCATGTTTTTGTTTAAAACTACGAATGTCTTGGCGCAACTGCTCAACATGGGCCTGCTTGTCGTGGCCCGGGATAACATTGTCAGCACGGTCTTCTTGGTTGGACGCAATGAAGTCTGGGTAGTAAACGGACGGAAGTGGCTTGATCTCGGCCATGTGTGGGGCAAGTTGGCGCTGCAAGTCATAGTCAAGTACTTTAGCACGTTCCATAGCCTTGTCAAGAGGAGCACTGCTTATGTCCCAGCCACCAAGGACCAAGTCATTCGGATGCACCATAGGAAGCATCTGGCTGAAAGGCACCCAGACATCCTTTCCAGACTGAGCATCACTGCCGAGACGTACAGTTGACGCTCGCACAAGCGATCCGTAATAGTTGGGTGTCTGAAGACCTTCCTTGTTGTGCCACTGAATTTGGTGGCGGTTCGCAAGCACAGTGGCGGAGATCGTAGTACCGTTGTTACCGCCCAATCCCACAAGCATAAGACCCGTGCGAGGAACAGAACGAGACGTGCGGAACTCAAATTCTTGCTTGAATGGCTTCGCAATGAGCTCTTCCTTACCATCGGCGCCACGCGTTCGCTCGACGTGCGTGTTCTGGTATTCGTATCGGGCATGAATGAACTCGGGCGTGTACGTCAAACGATCAGAAGCAACTTGAATGCTTTGCTGATTCTCATGACGGACAGCTGTCGGATCCACGGCCGAGATTGATTCGGTCAGTCCGTGATTCGCATTTCCGCTAGTTACCGGGGCCATATTAGAACAATTCAGGTGACAGAATGGTCGGCTCTTTACTTCGATAATAATGGTGGAGCACACGTTCGCTTCGTGCCCCGGTACTGGTTGTGTCTAGAACGCAGTTGGTTCGAGAAAATGGTCTGTAACGCTTCTTTGCGATCCTCCTATCTGTCCAGGAGGAGAGGTGCACGAAGTAGTTTGGTAAGGGAAATTCGACCCCACTAACAATTCGGGGCTTTTTGAATAGATAACGCACCTATCTACGCAATCTTGCCCATGCCGTCCCCACCCTCTCCCCGGTGGAGATAGACTCTCAACACACGTGACCGTGCATGTTATTTACGCACTACGTTGAAGACGTGCATCGGCCCACTGAATGACTGTTCCAATGGTGTGAGTGATCAGACGGACCTCCCCCCTCGAAAGCCGACTGTGTGCCGGATACTCATACGTACCTGCCCAGCGACCGTTGGTGCGCCATGAAGAATCGCATGCATCCAATTCCGTTGCTTGGCCTTCTTTCAGACCCACACACACCTCAGCTTTGCATGTGCGAAGTGCCACAACATTCGTCGTGCCTGCCAACGGCCCTAAGGCTCGAATGAACGGCGTCGTCGGCGGCCATTGGGCGTCTTGGGTCAGTTTACGATAGTTCAGGTCGCCTTTGAAGATCACTAAGTCAGATGCTTGGAGTTCACGATGCAGATTAGGCGCACGTTCCGGCAGTAGTCCATAGCTATCGGGCCACGTCCAGTAGTCGCTCAAATCATTCACACTCGCACCAAGAGGTGCATCATGTGGCATAGCGAGACGGAATTGACCGGAAGAAAAGTACATGTGCCATCGCTGCGCCATTGCATGAACAGGCTCCAGTGATGGAAATGAAGGCGCGTCAGCAAAAAAGCTGGGTTGCGACAGTTGGTCAAGCATACGCCACACATCAGGCACACACGCATCCTGTAAAGTAGGTCAGTCAGTCATAGCTCAACTTATAATGCGCATACGTACGCTTACAAACCAAGGCATGTTTTTCGTGTGGAATACGACCTCCTTGATCAGAGGAACGTCTGTGCATGCATCCAGCTCGGCCTCACGCACGGATGCTGCTTCACTATTCGTCGTGCGTGCACCGAAACTGTCATTTCCAATACGCACACAGGTGCTTCCCATAGCAATGGCCGACGACATATCTGCCGACATACCCATGCTGAGCTCCAAGTCATGTTCACGCAGTGTTCCATATACATTTTGGAGATTGCCTTGCGGTGCCCAAAACGACGTGTTCGATAGCTTGGCTTGGAACTCAGAGTCCTGTTCAAGTGCCTGCGCAAGGTATTTTCGGGACTTAACAAGTGCCAAGAAATCAGGATTCTCACGCTCTTCATGACCCTGCACAGACTGGCTATTGGTCAATGCGCCAATTGTCATAAGACCAGAGAAGCGCATGTGGGGACAAGCTAGCATGATGGTCTGCGCCAACGAAAGAAGTGGTGGCTTATTGCTAGAATTTCCATCCCAGGGTGCGTCCATGGCAGGTACACCGCTCTTCCCTGCCTCGCCACTGGTATTGACTTGGATATATACATAAAGAGGCGCTTTTCGAAGCGACGCATGTTCTGGCTTGGCTAGCGTTTTTTCCAACCCCAAAGCAAGCTTCTCCGAGTCGACTGATTGCACAGCATATAAGTTGGGCACGGCTGCTAGAAGCTTTGCTTTGTTGCTTTGAAGACCGCCGATAAAGTGCCACTGTATATCATCAGGAAGAACTCTAGCTTTTTCGATCAGCTCTTGCACATAGTTTTCGCCAAAATGACGCTGTCCGGTGCGATCATAAGCAGCCATAAGAGCAGATGGCGGCTGTAGCTTCGACACGACTAAAAGTCGAGGCTTTTTTGGCAAGTTTTGTTGTTGGCAAGTCTCAGTAATGCGTCGTTGTATACGGTAGATGCGTCCTTCGATGTCGTTAGCACGCTCTTCAGACGCAGACGGAATGGGACCTCGAAGTGTGAGCAAAAACTCGGCCAGCATAAAGTCTGTAACAAGCTCGAAGCCGGCATTGTCCAAGACCATATCAACACGGCCATGGCGGACACTGCGGAGCTTGCGCCATACAGCATCCACGTCGTTTACAAGCACATGCTGGAGCTTGCGGTTTCGTTCGTGCTCCGAATCCACTTGAAGCTTCTGAAGCTCCTCTTTGTCGACCTGGAGCAAAAGGCTCAGATCTGTTGCGTTGCCCCAGAGAGATGAATAGATGAGGTCATTGAACGTCGCTTGTGTTTCATGGCTGGAGGCGGCATGCGTTTGAGACTGCGAAAGAAGCTCATGCATCCACACCGCACATGCATATATACCCAGACCAGATGCACGAAATGCATTGTTCTTGAGCTCCAAAAATGGATCAAAGTCTCTCCATTTTGCTGACCTTTCAAAAATATGCCTTAGCCGTCGATACAAGTAGCATTCAGTGAAAAGCCAATCTGATTTGTACCAGGTGGGCTTGGTACGCTCAATTAGATCATCGTATGGCTCCGTAGATGGAGCAAAAAACGAGCCAATTCTGGAAGCATTAGATGCGGTCACGCCTAAAGGTGACAATGCTCGATCATGCGTCATCTCATACTTGAGTTTTGAGATGTTTCCTATGATATCTTTGGCTTCAGCCTGTTGGGTCGCATCGAACAATCCTTGTTCCATGAGTTCATGGCACTTACGGTACAGGCCATCTACGGCTTGTGTCAATATGATGGGCCAGCGCTTTAAAGCAGTTTCATATGCAAAGCTATGCTTGATGGCAGCACTGTATCGAGCTACTTCGGGTGTATACATAAGTCCAAAGAAAAATCTGTAGCTGGAGCGTTTTGATCATCCCTTGTGGGGCGTAAAATTCGGCCACAATTTCACGACGAGACCCCACGCCCGGCCAAATTTTCGACTGCTGACATTTTTCCCGAGACCTGATCGACTCAGCCTTACCTTTTGAACAACAATGCCGTACGTCTCGAACATGCTAGCTAACATTTCACAGGATCAATCTTCGTACGTAACGATCTCTCCTTCGAAACATTCATACTAACGTTTTTCTCACAGCATCGAATAATTTCAAGTATGTATGATGCCGCCTAACTGACATCGCGCGCAGACTCACGAATGTATCATTAATTCGTCTTCGGCGAGGCGGCAAGCGCTTTGAAATTGCCTGCTATAAAAACAAAGTGCGTGAATGGCGGGAGGGAGTCGAAAAAGATCTAGATGAAGTCATCCAGATCGAGTCAGTGTTTCTGAACGTGTCGAAGGGCCAGGTGGCATCTAACGACGATCTTCAAAAGGCCTTTGGTACGACTGATGTGAACAAAGTGTTACTAGAGATCCTCAAAAAGGGTGAACTACAGGTGGGAGAAAAGGAGCGGAGTCATGAGTTTTCGAACTTGTGGATCGAGATTGCCACAATTGTTGCGCAAAAGTGTGTGGAACCCAAGAGCCAAAAACCCTACACGGTCGGTATGATTGAAAAGGCTATGAAGGATGCGCACTTCAGTGTGAAGCCACACAAAGCGGCCAAGATCCAGGCTCTTGAGGTCATTAAGTTACTACAGTCCAAATCCATTATTCCCTTGGAGCGTGCACACATGCGCATTAGTGCAACTATGTCGGCCAAAGAAGGCAAGCGCCTGAAAGACAAAGTGGTTTCACTGTTCGCCAAAGTGGAAGAAGAAGACTGGTCAGATGTCTGGGAAATTGTGGGAACCATTGAGCCAGGCTCGCTTCGCCAAATCAATACTCTCTTCGAGAACGAAGTCAAGGGCGAAGGTGGCGTTGAAACGCTCGCCTTTTCAGCCGTGGACCAAGACGATGAGAATGAAGGCGATGACTGGTAGACTCGTATGGAAAGGAATGTCAGTTGAGCCGCGCGACAAGGTATGACATGAGGCAATCTTGTTCGTCGGCTGTGACACGGAGAAGCAGCTGAACCAGCTTGCCGTATGCTTGGGTATCTTTCTGTGCGATTTTGGTCATGGAATGCTCATCGAGGCGCCAGACTTTTGTGTCCATCTCAGCTGTCACCGTCGTGTTCCGTGGCTGCTTGGCCAGAAATGTGAGTTCACCAGCTATGGTGCCAGCAAGCATGGCCTCGTTGATTTCGTACTCGTTCTGCGAAAATACATACCGCGCCATGAGGATGCCAGACTCGATAAAGTAAAGTGCATCAGGCCGTTCACCTGCGTCCCACACAATCGTATCTTTGGGAATGCTGACCTCTTCCAGTTCCTCACTGAGGAGCTGGAAAAGTGAATCGTTGTCATCGTGCTCCATGTATGGCCCTAGCGTCGCCTGCAAGCACTGGCAACAAGCCGGTAAACCGGGGCATGGTCATCATGCGGTTCATCATGCATCAGTGACCTTGTGTGCGGACCCGGTCTTGATGTGCGCTTGTATGTCCTGTGTGACACGTTCGGCCGCCTCGTGTAGATGTTGATAGCGTGGTGAATCCTGCACTGTGTCATCCAGCTCAATGGTCGGTTTGCGCTGTACGTTAGGGAGTCGAAGGGCGCTGGGGCCTGACATAGTGGCCTGCCTCAGGTGTGTCGCCGCCGTCAAATTCGACGAATACAAGCCGCGCAAATACTCATTTTCTGTCCACTCGAGAGCCTCGTTCAAAGAGGCAAACACGTCCACCTGCTTCGCTTCGTCAGCCCATAGATCTACACTCTGCAAGGCAGATGCCACATCCCCCTCCAAACTCAAACCACAAAATACCAAATGCACACCGTGCATCATGAGCATGCGGTGAATTCTTGTCATGGCCTCAACCGCCGAAAAATCCATGGAATGCACCAGACCCAAGTCCATGATAAGAAAGCTTATCGGATAGTGTTGCCAATCGGCCAAGTCAAGCATCTTGCGAACTAGTGTCTCGATAGAATTGATTGTGCCAAAAAACAACGATCCTTGCAGTTTTAAAACCTGTGTCTGATTGCTGACATCGTCTAGAAACCGCCGCTGCGTGAGCTGCCGACGAACCGTGCTTCGGGCTGCACGTCCAGAGAACACGGTCCGTACCGCATTTCGTCGCGACGTTTGCATCACGAAGAAAACACATGCCAGGCAAATACCGGCCAAGCAGCCAACCACAAAGTCCGAGAGTGTCATCACCACAATGATGACCAGAATCGTGAGGTACTCGAGTCGACTCGCACGATTCCACGTGTCCCATACAGCCTCACGGAACAAGTCGAGTCCCAGCACGAAAATCAGTGCACCAACAACCATGATCGGGAGGTAGCCAATGAGACTTGGGCCCATAAGCAGAATCACCAGGGTTGCTCCAGCGAGCATCAAGCCACTGAGTCGCGAGCCTCCCCCGACACGGTAGAACAGGACAGAGTTTACGTAGCAAAGGTAGTTCGGAACCGTCCCGAGAAAGCCGGCGGTCATATTCGAAATGCCATGTGCCACGAGTTCGCGGTCTGTATCGACGTTGTCCTCACCCACACTCACACCGAGCGCCGGTACGTTCAACGGCACATGCAAAATACCGAAAAAAACGAGGGCCATTTGTGTCGGCATTGATGCCCAAATAGCTTTCCAGCTCGTCTGTCCAAAGTCAAAGTACGTGTAAAAACGGTAGAAGGGCGCATGCGCTGCTTCTTGAATATCGAAGACCCAACCACGGCTCCATAAGTCAGACATGTCCATACGCAAGACTACAAGCGTCGTGAAATAAAACAGAACAAAGACCGACAAAAAGTATGCTGGAATGAGCAATGGATGTTTGCATCGTGAGGCAATCACGTTCAACAACACGGCCTGGCCAAGGGGAAATAGCCATTGCAGAATCGTTTCAATGTTGACTGTCAGCTGTCGGATTGTATCCCAGTTGTACTTGAAGCCACCCTCCGATTCAATGCGCGCCGAGACAGAAAAACCTGTCTCCATCAAAAAGACACCAACCCCACCAATGCAACCTACTAGGATGTGGCGAGGGAAGTAACTAATTAGCACTCCAAGACGGAAGACGCCCAGAAGTAAGAACAGCAAACCAGTGAGAATGGATGAGAGTGCAAAGGCAACCATCGTGGTCGGGACTATTGCCGCGCCATTATCTTCGCCCACCACACGCACAATATCTTTCACAAGAATATGGTAAAACGGCACCACCTCAATCATCATGCTGCCATTACCTCCTTTGAAAATGGAGCCACCCAGAGTATAGATTAGTTGAGATATAATACAAGTTACAAAAAACATCGAAACACCATCGCCACCGAAATTCGCAAAGATTGGCATGGTGGTAGGAAATGTGATCATTCCGTACGATACACCATCTAGGATATTGAGAAACAGTCCCAAGATCACAGCTGGAATGAGGCGCACTGGCTCAGTAAGAGCCTTCTCCCAGTCTTTCGGCGTCATGCTGCCAAGCGTTTGGAGCCACTTCCATGGCCTATCCCAGGCTGACACGGTCTTGTCTTTGAGCACGTTCATGCGCGACCGCAATGCGATCCACCGGTGGTTCACAGCCTCGATAGCTTCTTGGCCTGTCGAAACTTCCTTGCGCGGCTCTGTGATTGTGTCGTAAGAATGCGTCCGATCTGGCCACAGTGGCGTATGCTCATTTGCAGTGTCTTCCATTTCCGACACCAGCGTATGCGGGTCATTCCAACGAAAGGCTGAAGAATTGATTTGGCGCCCGATGGTTCGTTCAGATATTGCACTTGTATCACTGTCTTCGTTCATAGCACAATCAGCAAGCTCTGCCGTATCGCCACGGATGTTGTGCTCTGTGGCAGTGTACGAAGAAGGTCCCGAGTCCTCATACTTATGGCGCATATCACCACTGACATCTTTGAAGCGGCTAGATAAAACATTAATATGTGTCAGTTCTTTGTTTGTAGACTTATACGCACTAGCTTCGGCCCTCAAACGCACTGAAAGATGAGTCGGCCGGCTGTGAAAAGAATGAGCTCCCGGTATTCGACCTCTTGATGCCATGTTCGATATCGTCTATCTCTCCCTGATCACCCAGCGACCGATGCGGTATTCTTTGGCGCCGACTCATTGTATCAATGTCGCCCCACTAGGTGAGCACACACTGTTGTTCACAGGATACCCTCCCTCTGTGTGAATGCAGTGTCTCGTATCGTAATGCAGCGCGACATGCTTCTAACATGTTGGCCATCGCTTTTAGTAAGCATCTGTCCTGCCAGGACTGTTGCACAATGCTGCGACACATCATTCACCACGGTTTCTGCCAAGAAACACGCCGTCTTCGCTGTTTGACCTCCAGATGCAGGACGAACATATGGATGTAATAGCATCAGGCGATAGACATGCAGATGCCGAACACATCAATAGGCGCATACTTTACAATATTCCTGACGAGTTGCAGGAATCAAACGGCCCAAAAGAGTCGGAAGAGCTTCCAGAGGCTCCTACCAAACAAGCGCCAGAGCCAGGCGCCGCACCGGCGATGCCGACCTTGGAACATGGTGATTCAATTCGCTTCGATGCCTTGCACCTAGAGGGTGGGCCCATCACGCAACTCTCTACGTCGCGGCTGATGGCGTTTGTTGCTTACTCAGGCGCACATGCGAAAGGGATCGAATGGATCAATGACACTCGCTGTGTCATTGTCTTCAATTCATACGAACGTGCGGTGGAAGGGCTACGACATTTGTGCTATGAGGCCGTCGAGGATGCTCTTATACCATCTGAGTCCGGCTCACTTGACTCAGAATCTATGCTGTTGCGCCCGCGACTTGTCATGGCCTTTCCCCACAAACTTTACAACACCATGGAGCAGCAGGCTGCTCAGGAAATCCCTCATCTAATCTCGAAGCTTGAGGAAGAGCGGGCACGGCTAGACGATGCAGCTGAGCCTGTGCCCGAGATTTATCGTGATATGGAGCTTGAAGAGGCCGAACGACGGATCTTTTCCCAAGATCACCTAAGAGTAAGGCAGCTTCGACAAAGTCTCTGGCTTCGATTTGCTCTGCAAAATCATGATACAAAATCGCCCCGATCAGCATCTCGCAGTAACTGGTACAAGCAACACGGCCGTGGGGCTGGCAAGGACATCGTCACACGACTATTAGACGTAGGCGATGCCTCATCGTCTCAGCCGCGTGGCCGAAGCTCAAGACGCGAGCGGCGCGAACTATTCGACAAAGGGACGACTGCAGAGTCGTTGAAGGAAGAGGAAGACTATACACCACTGTCGTTGCGCGATCGAATTAGCGGCCGGTATGATCGTGACTGGAATACAGATCACGATCCGAATCCATATGAAGGACAGCAAAGTCGCGAACGTTCGGCATCACCGGAGTCACATGGGGGGCTACGAATCCGTGGTCGTGGATCTCGGCGTGCGCAACATTCGCGCATGCATGGCTGGAACGATGATGAATAGGAGTTCACACTTTCTGTTTACATCCCTATTGTATATGTTCGTTATTGTTGCCGCCGCCCGATTGTCTTATAGATGGTCTGACACGACTCTGGCATCAACTCACCAGCTCTGCTCCTCATTGAATAAATCAAAGCGCAACACCATACTAAATGTGAGGTGCACAACTCGATCACGTGATAGCCATTAGTATGCGTGGGTTCGTGGGTTGTGGAGGTAGTTCGTTGGTCATTTCTAGTTTCGCCGATCCAACGGGCCAAGGAATTGCATAATCGAGGTGAAAATTGAGATTTTTTTTTTTTGTACAGTAGACAGAAGTTTTCACTTAAGTGGCCGTAACCAAGTCATAATCTTCTCTCATCTCACACATTCCTTGTGTCGAGGTGCATTTAGAAGAAAAAAGCACCTTCATCTCTGAATTCAGTAACTTGCGTCCCCTGTTCGAAAGAACAAACCAAAACGTTTTCTACTCCTGAAAATGTCTATGTACGTGTGTAACAGGAGTGACGTTGAGCTAACCTGGCATGCAGGCCTGAGGACACTCCTGCCGCCACCGACATGCAACTCACCGATGGTGAAATCCAGTCAAACTGGGAAGAGGTGTACGACAACTTCGACAACATGGGTCTTTCGCCAGAGCTCCTGCGTGGTGTCTTCGCTTACGGGTAGGTGCTTGTCCTTTGGGAGGACATATTAGAAGAATTGTTTTACTGACATTCAAGTTTCGAACGCCCCTCTGCTATTCAGGCCCGCGCTATCGTTCCAGTGATCAAGGGTCACGATGTTATTGCGCAGGCCCAGTCTGGTACGGGTAAGACTGCTACGTTCTCGGTTGCCATTTTGCAGCGTATCGACCCGAACTTGAAGGCTGTTCAAGCGCTTGTTCTGGCCCCCACTCGTGAACTTGCTCAGCAGATTCAGAATGTCGTTGTTGCCCTGGGTGACTACATGAACATCCAATGCCATGCCTGTATTGGTGGTACGAATGTCCGTGAAGACATGGCACGCCTCAGCGATGGTGCTCAGGTTGTTGTCGGTACACCAGGTCGTGTGTACGATATGATCAATCGTCGTGCCTTCCGGACCGATCACCTCAAGATGTTCTGTCTTGATGAAGCAGATGAAATGCTCTCGCGTGGCTTCAAGGACCAGATGTACGAGGTGTTCCAGCTCCTGCCCCAGGACACCCAGGTTGTCTTGCTGTCCGCTACGATGCCAGAGGACGTGTTGGCCGTCACGAAGAAGTTTATGCGTGATCCTGTCCGTATTCTCGTCAAGCGTGATGAGCTCACGCTCGAAGGTATTAAGCAGTTCTACATTGCTGTTGAGAAAGAAGAGTGGAAGTTTGAGACTTTGACAGACTTGTATGAAACTGTCACGATCACACAGGCTGTGATTTTCTGCAACACACGTCGTAAGGTCGACTGGCTGACAGAGCAGCTCCATGCTATGGAGTTCACTGTGTCGGCAATGCACGGTGATATGGATCAGCAACAGCGTGAGGTAATTATGCGCGAGTTCCGCTCTGGCTCGTCGCGTGTGCTGATCACCACGGATCTGTTGGCTCGTGGTATCGATGTCCAGCAAGTTTCTCTTGTTATCAACTACGATCTCCCGACCAACCGAGAGAACTACATCCACCGTATTGGTCGTGGTGGTCGTTTCGGTCGTAAGGGTGTTGCGATCAACTTTGTGACGCATGACGATGTCCGCATGATGCGCGACATTGAGCAATTCTACAACACCCAGGTGGAGGAGATGCCAATGAATGTGGCTGACCTCATTTGATTGCCCAATGCCTTACCTCTTAGCAGCAGCTGCCCCTCATGGTTATGGTTCTGTATGTTAGGGAAAGATTTTTTCAACCTCATTTCTCCATTATCATTTTAGACTGGTCATTTGAATCAGCTTTTTCTGCCTGACATGCTTAGGATTTGCAGCTAGAACACAGCTGCTGTCTGCTGGTACATTGGGACATTGTATGAATTCATATACCAGCTGTAGGTCGAAATTCCTAGATATGCCCGCGAACGTCCGAAATCTTTGTATAATCATGTCGTAGTGTGGGTGTTACAGAGAAACGTTCAAGCGTGCGTGGTCCCGACGCGAAAGAAGTTGGCTACAGTCGTTACATGTAGCTTGTGGCTCGATCAGTCCATTCGTCCAAAATTTGGTCTTCATTTTCAGCTGCTTATTTTGTGTCATATTTCATTCACTAATGATACGGGTTATGACACATAAATCACAAAAATACCTGCAACTCAAACCATGCGATTATGCAAGTCACCCGCACGCATGCATGGCTTATATGGTTGAAAAGATGATCTTATTTTAAGCAGATCCCTAAACAAAGTTGCGCGATATCCTTGAACCCTAACCCCAAAAAGAAAACGGTGAAACCTAAATAATTCCATGGCAAAGTACTCTGATAATACAGGCGTACAGCGACGCAGACGAAGCACACCTTCGCCATTGCATGTGGGTATAACCATACCTGATGAGCCTATCACATACTCTCGACCGGCGCGCTCAGCCGGTCTACCTCTTCCTCCTTCGCACAGCTCCGCCCCCACTACTCCAACGCCAGCGCGAAGTACGCATCGCAGCTCAGCAAGTCCGAGCCCAAGGCGCCGGGCTCATGTCGCATGTCAGCGCTGTCGCTCGTTGAAATCCCGCTGCGACGAAAGCTGGCCTCAATGCACGAGCTGTCGAAAAGCCAGGGTCGAGTGTGTGAGACTTTTGTCGGCAGATGATGCGACCAAAAATTATATCGAGGCGTTAGAGCGACGATGCTCTGGGCTGCAAAAACGTTTAGATCAAATCTTGGATGAACATTCAGTCACATCTAAGAAGCACACACCCGGTCAGCCAAGTGGATTCCCTCAGATGTATGTGGACACCACAAAACGACACGCATATCCGTGTGCTGACGATACAGTGTCATGAACAACCAAGACAAAACTCATCCGGGACTTTCGCCCTCAATTGAACTTGATTCGGAGGCACCGGAGGCATCCACCAATTGGCCAGCGTCCAAAGAGATGCAGCTGTCATCGAGTCGTGCGATCGAGCTTGGCCCCGACGACAGTTGTGGCACGCCTACACTTCTCCCTTACTCCCAGTCAGAGCTGATAGACGCTACATCCATGTGGAAAGAGGACGATGATTCGTTCACGATATCCATGTTTGCGACGGACAAAACCGTGTCGAAGCATGGCGCAACGCGCAATAAAGTTTGCTCAGTCATTGCACAGCCAAACTGCTACACATCATGAGAATTCTGTTCCGACTTCGAGTTGAAAGCCGGGCTAATCCAACGCCATAGACGTGGTGCTTTTCTTCGCGGCACAAAGTCGTATCGGCGCTTGAGTTCGACCTTGTCAGGAGGATCTGTGACTTGCCCTAGGGTTGGGCAATAACATCTGTTTTGTGGGTTAGTTGGAACGGATCAACCGGACATTTTGCAAACGTACACTTTTCCACGTGCAACATTGTACAACGTCAAAGATGCCATCAACAGCCAAACTAAAATTGCGCACAAGCCAAATACGATGCTCAACTTCTTAAAAGCGCCAGAGTCGAATGCTGTCCCCATTTCAATCGTTGACAGTGCATAAATGCCCAGAGGAAAAACAGCACCCCACCATCCAGGATTGAATTTGAGCTTAGTGACAATCCATGTGTCGATCCAGATGCTCAGGCCCAGTGAAAGCCAGAAAAAACTAAGGCCCCAAAATCCAACGGCCATCAGAATGGAACAACCTTGGATCGCAAGATTCATGATCCTAGTATCCTCTGGCGACAAAAGACGACTCCCGATCAGCGGCTGACCAAAATCAGAATACAGCTCAGAGATAGCTGTCGAGAGGCGAAGAAAGGCAAATGCTGTCTGGGCGCATGGTCCTAGAGGAATAAAGACGGTGATAATGAGGCTTGCGGCAGGGACCTTGTGGAAAGCGAGACGGGCATAGTATAGAGTCATCCCAAAAAAAGTCACGCACAAACCGCCGCCTAAAAGCATGTAGGAAAGAACAATTGTTATTTTGGCGTGCTTTGCGGGTAAAGATTCTGAGATAATTGAGCCGGATCCGCCCGCCACAATGACAGCAATGATCGGTAACAGCCAAATGCCTGTGATAGTTCCTAGTGACTGAGAATGCCTGGTTGACTTGAGAAACATGATGCCGCAACAAAAGAGAACAGACACCGCCACATTTACCCACCAAAGCGCCCACACGAAGAATCGGAAACTGCCTGATCTGCCGGACACAAAATGCAGTGCACAAAAATTCAGTAGAGTGCTTAAGCCCATCGATAGAGCGCCGAAGAACTCCGACTGAGGCGAATGTAGCAGAATCGACAGAACCTGCGGCCATACCAAAAAGCGTACCACACTGAGCGTGAGAAAAAGTAAGAATGAAAACAAAGCAATGCCAAAAAAAACAATGCCTATAATGTCTGACCCATTAAACTTGTATGGTAACGCCTTCATAAACAGGGCGATTTCTCCTGTACCCATGGTCATAGTAAACCAGACCGGATTTAGATGTAGCGTACACATACGTGCATATCTGAAAATAGATTTCATTGCAGATACTTGCTTTTGCTCAGGTTCGCGATGGTCATCCGGGCAGGATGGTGGCTCAGATTGGCGCACATTATGGTCAACTTGGTTAGGTAGATGAAATTCAACAGCCTGCTCTTTCATGTGATGAGCACTCGTGCAAATCAGACTCGACACAGCCCGGCGCCTGCTCGAATGCGTGAATTATGTTGTTCTCAAGTGGCGAAAACGTACTAGTAGCCGTCTCTCACAGAAAAAAAAAGTAAATGTACACTTCTTTGATACGGCAGTATGACTAGCAAAATTTGCCGATGCGCTCGAACGCTCACACACGAAGATGGTGCTGGTGCGACTTGCTAGGTTCTTCGCTCTGGAGAAGAAAATTTTAAGGTGGCACTAGCTGCAGTAACTACGGTCGTGTGCATAAATGTGGAGGCTGATGCTAGCCACGTGCTTTGGTCACCCCGTGCGGACATGGGACCCAGTAGATGCAGAAATGGGATGTAGGCGTGTATGTGCATGTGTGTGTGCGCGTGTGAGTGCGACGAATGGAGACAGAATCGGCTTTCGTTTCCGTAACAGATTCCTTTTTAAGGGACGACAACAAAGTAGGATCTGAGACACTGGCGGTGTTTCATGTCTACTGGTGGTGCCACTTCGTATCGACCAGGGCACATTGAACCACTTTTATTGACATCTAGAAACTCTTGGTATCCTGTTTCTAGTCAAGCGACGACAACAATAGACAGTCCCGAAGGCGACAGTTCAAGCGACGTTGACTTGAGCACGCAGCAGTCTGGCTCGATTCTCCCGGTTCACACAAACACAAGCAAGCTTGTTGATATGGCAACTCACTTTGATGAGGACAGTCCTCGTGCACGGCTCTTGTCGCCGGGCACAGTGCCTCCGAAGGAGCGAGACACACGCAGCTCGAAGTTGTCTAAGTACGCACAGGCCATGCCTCTTTACTCTCCGCCTATGCCTTTTTTTGAGCGCGTGAAGTTGGCTTTCCAAAATGATACGTACATGATCATTATGTATACGATTCTCTCGTTCATTACGCGCCTTTACCGCATCGGCAGTAATCCGCGCGTGGTGTGGGATGAGGCACACTTCGGCAAATTCGCCTCGTATTACATTCGGCATCTGTTCTACTTTGATGTGCACCCACCGATTGGAAAGATACTTGTCGCAGTAGCAGGCTGGATCAGTGGGTTCGATGGCAACTTTGAATTCGACTCTGGCGGCGATTATCCCGCAGAAGTGCCGTTCGTGAAGATGCGCATTATCATGGCACTGTATGGCATTGCCATGGTGCCTATTGCTTATATGACGGCGCAGTCGCTGAATTGGAACTGGCGCAGCAAGCATCTGTTCACAATCATGATATTGCTCGATAACGGCTTGCTCACGATTTCACGTTTCATTCTGCTTGACTCGATGCTTTTGGGCTTTACAGTGAGCACCGTCTTGGGTCTTGTACGTTTCCATCGTATGCAGAAGCAACCATTCACGCCTATGTGGTGGTTCTGGCTCCTGTTCACGGGTGTGTCGCTGGGTCTCGTCACTGGTGTCAAGCTGGTTGGTCTATTCGTCACCGCACTTGTCGGTCTATACACGGTGGAAGATCTTTGGAATAAGTTGGGCGATCTCAGGATGCCTGTGCGCGCATACTTGCGTCACTGGTGTGCTCGCATCCTGGCGCTTATTATTTTGCCTATCTTATTGTACATGATTGGGTTCAAACTGCATTTCTTGATTCTGTACAAGAGTGGATCGGGCGACGCACAAATGAGCAGTCTGTTCCAGTCGAATCTCGAAGGTAGCGACCTGTCGAACTTCCCTCTCGAAGTAGCGTATGGCAGCAAGCTTACGCTAAAGAACATGGCCTACGGTGGCGGTCTTTTGCACTCGCACATTCAGACGTATCCAGAAGGCTCACATGATCACCAGGTAACTTGCTATCACCACAAGGACGAGAATAACCACTTCATCATCTCGCCGACGTACGAAGATCCACCACTTCCTGCCGCCGACGAGAACATCGACGAACCGCCTCGCATGCTGAAGAGCGGAGATGTGCTGCGTCTTGTTCACCAGCAGCTACAGACGAATCTGCGTTCTGAAGCGATTCCCGCCCCCATCACGAAAGAGGCACACGAAGTCGGCTGCCGGGCGTCAGAAAAAGGGGCAGACTCGTCTGAGTATTGGATTGTCGAGGTTCTACGCGATGTGCACTTGGGTCCTGGTCGTCCTGGAATGCCAATTCGCACATTGTCATCGACCCTTCGTTTGCGCCACAAAGAGCTCGGTTGCTACCTGCGCTCTGGAAGTGCTGTGCTTCCCGACTGGGGTTGGAAGCAGATGGAAGTGACGTGCGATCCTCGGAACAATCCCAAGGACATTGGCACTCACTGGAATGTCGAGAGTCACTGGAATGACCGTCTCCCCAATGTTGAGACACGTCAGCGTACTCGCTCGCCGTTCCTAAAGGACTTTGTGCATCTGAATGTGGCTATGATGATCAGTAACAACGCTCTTGTTCCTGACCAGGACAAATTTGACCATCTCGCGTCAGCTCCGAGTGAGTGGCCGTTCCTGTACCGTGGTATGCGTATGAACGGCTGGGGCGCTGACAACTACAAATACTACCTGGTGGGCAATCCAGTCATTTGGTGGGGTAGCTCTTTGTCACTGATTGTCGCATTGCCAGTGCTGGCGTGGTACATCATGCGTCGCCAACGCCGGATCCACGACATGCCGCCAAAGGTTTGGGACGACTTTCTCTTTGGTCTCAAGGTCGGCTGGATCGGCTGGTTCCTGCAGTACTTCCCGTTCTTAATGATGGGTCGAGTGACATACTTGCACCACTACCTGCCGACGTTGTACTTTGCCGTGATAGTGCTTGTGCATCTGCTTGACCATTACCTGTGGAATGATGCCACCGCGCGGACTTCGATCGATTGGCCAACACTTCTTCGATCCGGCCGCATTGCCAGCACCAAGCTGAATCCTTTCGTGCATGATACGGCTGCTGCCGTGCCAGGCAGGCCACTTTCTCAGCACTTTAAGAATATGTCATTTGCGGCTGTTACGGGCCTTGTGGTCGGCGTGTTCTTCTGGTTCTGCGGCGTGTCATTTGGTATGTACGGTGATATTAGCAAATGGCCGTACCTCAAGTGGCGCAAGAACTGGGATATCTATTAATGGTAGCACTACCGCAGCTCGCCTCAACATACTTTGTCACACCCATGCAACCTTAAAGTCCCATACGCCTTTCCAGTCGTTCGTCTCGTCACGTACAGCCCACTTCCCTCTCCATCTCTCACCTGAAATGTTTTTTTTCCCTGTCGCCTTGCCCGTTCTAAGCGGCTCACCCACTCACTCTAAACTCGTGTCGTTCAAGGCGACACACACAGCGGCACGGTGATGGCCATTGTACTGGCGCATAGTCTTGCCACTCGATAATTCCCATAGGCGTGCGACATGATCTGATGAGGCTGACACAAGATACGCACTATCGGCGCTGAAGGCCACATCCCATACCCAGCGCTGGTGCCCCTGTAGCACGCGATTCAAAGAAAACTGGAATTGTGACGTTGACCAAAGCTTGACGGTGGTATCGGCGGAACAAGTGGCCAAGAAGCGCGCATCAGGGCTTAGTGCACACCGAGTAATGTAGGTATCATGCGCTTGGAACTTGGTTACAGGCTGTAGTTCTGTCCGCTCCATTTGCTCATCATCCGTAATACCACTCTGCATTTTCCATACAAAGACGCGGCCCTTGTTGTTCGCCGCGACCAGACACGAGCCATCTGATGCAATTGACACGGATCGCATTGGCACCTCCTCCTCCGGCACCAACTCGTGACTACATCCATTCTCACCCAGATCCCATATCTTAACACTTCCGTTCTGATCACAAGATGCAAGCTCGCCTTGATTCGGATGAATAACTACATCATTCACCGGTGCTTTGTGATCGTACACTCGCTGTGCCCTTGACGTGCGTGTGTCCCAAATTTTGAGCGTGCCATCTTCACCGCCACTCACAAGCCACTTCCCATCACAATGCCATGCAATCGATGTCACATTACCTGTGTGCCCCTCAAACGTGCTTAGTGGTGCGACATTTATGCCGCGCCCTGCAGCGTCATGGTGCGAAATCGACGTCCCCGATGCATTGCAATCATACAATCGCACGACGCCATGACCAGCGACTGCTAAGAGCCTCTTGTTCGGCGAAATGGCGAGTCGATTCACCTGGGAGTCTGAGTACTGAATCGTATGGGAGCATAGACCGGACCATGCCTCCCAGAACCGAATCGTATGGTCGTATCCTGCTGTCACAAGCACGACGGAGAGAGCGTCGTGGTCCAAAGGTGCCGTCGAGCTTGATGTTAGGTTCTTCATCGGCTCTTGAGCGCTTGACGTGGATCGTGCATGCGAAACTGTCTTACCACTCGTTGTGGTCGTCATGCTTGTTCTCGTTAGGTCTGTCCTCGGACTTCACGAGCGTGTTCTCGCTACCCACACTCCTCTCTCCCGCTACTTGCTGCCAGAACGAATGGAGTGGCTGGTGGAGGAACAGACCATCAGCGCATACACTGCGATCTCGCCTCCGACGACAGCACGACTCCACCACAGGTCTTGCCAATTGGCGCCGACGCGCAGCGACCTTGCCTTGTCTCGCTTCGAGCACACCTCTCGTAGGTGAATCGCTCAGTCCACGTGTATATCACGTGATACAACGAAGGATTGTCCTTCGTCGTCCTGGCTTCCTTCGCATAGAGATCTCTTGCTTGTGGGTCCTCACAGCCTGATCCACTCTCGCTTTCTTGCTTGTGCACCATGCGAGCTTTCGCCAGTGTGGTGCCTCATGTCACGCGTCGTACATTCAGCTCAGCGAATATCACACGGAATGCCACACCCGTTTCGGATCTAGTCCTGGAGCGCGATGCGCCACATGGCCATCTTCCGAGCTTTGTGCGGTCTCACCCAGCCCTTTGGGCATCAATTAAGACTCAAATGCCATCTGCCATTGCTACGCTAGGTGCTAGGTTTCATCTGATTTCACCTCAGATCACAGATGAAGAATATGCTCGCCGCTCTGCTCTTTTGCGGGTTGCGTGTACGCATCCTAGCGTGCTGTCTGTTCAGCAGACAGCATCTTCATTGCCCATGTCGTTGCAGGAACGGCAACAAGTGCGCGAGCTTCAGGAAACCATTCAGCACAATGCCCAGCTCTCAACAATAGGTAACAGTCTCTTGGGGCTGTTGACTAGTGAGTACTTCCACCTAAAATATCCTCATTTGCCGACGCGTGTGCTGAAAGCGTTCGTCAGCGCATATGCTGGGCCTAGCACACTTGCAGATGTGGGTGCTGAGCTAGGCGTGCTCGCACAGGGCGTTCAGCGATGGGACCGCACTGGTGCGTCTTCCATCACGCGCCGTACGCCTCGTGGTGGTACGACGTCCGTGCCGCTCCTCAGCAAGGATGTCGCTGCGCAGTCTGTGCGTGCCATTGTGGCCGTTCTATTCCAGGAGCTTGGTATGCCTGCTGTGCGTGGCTTCGTGCATAGTCATTTACTGAGCCGTCGGCTAGATCTAGCAAGCCTACTCAAGTTCCGCGATCCCAAGCGCGTTTTGTCGTCGACTTGCAAGAAATATGGCAAGCCTGCTCCTCAGAGTCGCATGCTTGCCGAGACTGGTCGTCTCAGCATTCATCCTGTATTTGTCGTTGGTGTCTACAGTGGTGCGATCCAGCTGGGCGAAGGAACCGGTAGCAGCATTCGGATGGCTGAATTCCGCGCAGCTGAGGATGCTCTTCGACGTCTATACCTGTCGGAGCTTCCCGACGGATCATTTACACTCCCATCCACAACACTGGATGCATCTTTCCCTGGTCTTGGTACTTTGCCTCACTCTCTTCAGAGGGCTGTAGCGAGCACATCGTCATCATCCTATGTGCCTCAGCCGTTGGGTCGCAGTGAAGTTCTTCACGAGTCGCGTGGGTAATTTTCTAGATCCACAAAGCCACTGCATGCCGTCGCCCGCTTTATGAAAGGTCCAAGAAAATGAAAAAAAAGAAACATCATCATGGACATGCTCAGGCGCGCCCCCCGACGTTTCCCTTGCCTCCATGTCCCGACATCCTACCAGACACATCCATGTATAATCTCTACTCACGCAGCAAGGCATTGACGACCTGCGCCACGCGCAGTTGGCGCAAAATCTGTATATGTCTGACCTGCGCCAATGAAAAATCTCGGTACGCCTGTTGCCCATGTCGTTGTGAGGGCTGAGCCCACCTTGTCCTAGAGTGTATGTGTGAGTAGTATATTCTCCCACGCATTTGGTTGCCTTCATATGTACGTACATCGACCGTGTCCCATTTTGTTAGAAGGCATCCATCAAGTCCACGCGGGACTTGACATGCCACTGTAGTCTTTAAGCGCACGATTAAACTTCGTCAGCTGATCAACAGCTTCATTCCCAACAAGAGCCTCTCCAACAAACAGAACTTTATCAGGTTGATTCACAGCAATTAGCTTGGCCAGCGCGCGCATCAGTGGCTCATTATCCTGCATGCGCCCGGCCGTGTCAATCAAGACGACATCAAAACCCTCGTTCCGGGCATACGCAAGGGCATCCTTCGCTATTCCCGCCGCATCTTTTCCGTAGCCGCGCTCGTACAGCTCCAGCATGGCAGCACCCGTTCCCGGAGCACCATCGGCAACTCGATGACCATCTACCTCCAGTTCGCCAAGATTCCGCACATGTGTACGGAGCTGTTCAACAGCGCCACTGCGAAATGTATCGCATGCAGCAATCAGCACGCGATACCTATTCTGCAAGAGCCAGAAGCACACTTTGGCCAAGTTTGTCGATTTGCCCACGCCATTAACACCAACAAAGCCAATGGAATAAGGATTTAACGACGGTGAAACATTCCCACGCACTGCATGTGCTGGAAGCGTTGCCAGAAGCTCAGAACGCCGTTGCTTCTTACTCGCAATGTCAAGCAGAATATCTGTGCTTGTACTAGGAGTCAAAATACGGGTGATAGAATCATTTAGCGAGGCCCGCACTTCCGCCTTGACACTTCCAAAGTTGCCAATTTTTTTGCCGATCAGCCGCTTTTCCACCCCTTCACAGATGAGTGCCGCTACGTCACTTGCCACATTCTTTGATTGCAAGTGTGTCTGCATCGCTTGGAGAATTGGATCTAGGTCTTGTTTGCCCAATGAGCTTTTGGCGCCAGTAAGTCTGGACAACAGCGAAGATGCCCGACCGGAGCCAAGCATGGCGAAAAGACCAGGCCCTGATGTGCTTGTCTCAGCTAAATCGTCCTCTGCAAGCTCGTAGATTCCATCACTCCGTTTTGTTCCAAGCTTCGTCTCATCAATCCAAGGAGACAAGTCGACCTTGCTCTGTGAGGTATCCTGACTAAAATCCAATGACGCTATCTCGCCTTGTGACACGGCCGCCTTACTCGTGTCCCATTTGCGCTGCGTCTTGCCAGGAACTGACTTTTTCGCCTGCGGCTCTGGCACTGGGTCTGCTTGCGCAACAGTTGCGCCTTTTGATTTTTTCATTTTGCCAGATACGACCCGGCGTCCACCAGCACTCATCGCTGCCTTTGTGCCTTTAAGTGGCTCGGTTTTCGATCGCTCAGACGTCGAGTTCTCCAATGTTACTGTTGTTGGTGAAGTTGCAGATCCAGAAACATCAGAGACATCTTTTTGTGGTGTTTCGGAAGGCAATACACCTGCAAGCCGATCTCTCTTCATCTTTGCATTGTTACTTTCGTGCTGTCGGACAAGCTGAAGGAACTCAGCGTCCCAAGATGCAAAGCTTGACGCGAAACTCGAAAGCGTCTCACGAGGAGCCGAGAAAGACGGAAGCGTCTTTAGAACATCTTTGAAGCGCGCGGTAAACCTTTCTTTGACTGACTGGAGAAGTGCATCAACATATGTTAGTTGCAAAATACGCTGGTGGATCGCAAGAAAAGTGAGCTCGAGTTCATTCGACATGATCCATCGCACCGTAGAACCGTCGATGTCTGCTCGGGATGAAGCTGTGCGTTCTTCCAAAAATGTATGCTTTACGACGCGCTGAAGCACGTTCGATCCATGAGCTAGCGTCGTGAATTCTTTGGACCACAGAATGGCCCCCGCTGAACTGGTGAGCATGTTGCAAGAAAAACGACCGGGTACATACTCTTCGACAAAATCACAAACTGATCCAGCATACGTCACTACTAACGCACACGGACCAAGCAAGCTTGTAAAATGAACCGCTGCTTGGATGAAGCAGGACTTTATTAGGATTGGGGTGGGAGACGTCGGTATGGAATGCTATCTAGATTTCTCTCCACTTGATTCATTTCACCCATGGATGCGTCATAATTTTCCTGTGATTCCACGTTTTCGTCGTCCATTGACAAGACCAATTCAGAGAGGATCTCATCTTGCCACCAGGGTATCTTGCACTCTTTTGCCGCATGCTGCATAAGTAGTACATAAACATACCATAACCACGCCTTTCAGTAGATTGAGTTTGTAAGGTGGAACTTCGCTTGCGTGCCTAGGACTGTGTGTTCGCTGAGCGAGAGGCTGAGCCTCTTGTCGCACCTGATTGATGTGCGCTAAACATGTCATATTGTCTTCGCGCACTTGATCCAACTGTCCGAGAGTGCGAAGTAATTGGATAGCGAGTTCATCTCGTTCACGTAGTAGCGCACGCACACCTGTCACGTCACCAGACCGATGCAATTCTTGAATCACCATGAGCGAACTTTGAATACTGAATAAAAAAAGCTGTCAGGAAAAGCACAGATCATATCCTACGCACCACGACAAAATCGCTCGGCGCACAGTGCATGCTCGCTCAAGCGCTCGTAGTTTCTGCTGTAGATCATCGTCCTGGCCTGCCGGCATTCGACAAAGCTACAAAAGTCTACGGCGCGCTCCGCGTTATTTTTGCTTACGTGACCTCCATTACCTTAGCGGGCAGCTGATGGAGCTGGGATAGCAGGCACAAATTTGATGCCCTAAATGCAGCGGTGGGACGAGTGCCTCTCACACCTTAGTGCACGATACCACTCGCTCCACACCGGCTGGAATGGCTGTTTCGGTAACGCTCCCAGCCGATGAAAGTGAGCGCTTTTCCTCTCTTGCATTATCCCTTGTTTTGTTTCTTCTTATTACAAGCTTTCTAACGAGCTATTATCTGAAGGTCAAGCGGATTACTGCGGTTCATGAGACCATTGTCGGCCTGTTTGCCGGCATGTTTGTCGGGGTCATGTTGCGCCTCGGACCGCTTCAGCCGGTGCGCGAGATGCTCAGTTTTAGCAACACGATTATGCTTAATGTGCTTCTTCCTCCTATTATCCTGTCAAGTGGCTATGATTTGAGTCAGGTTCGTACGTCCTTTGGGCAAACGCGTACACACATACGTTTACGGCAAGGTCAACTAACGTCTGTGACAGGCCAAATTTTTCCGGAACTTTGGCACTATCATCGTGTTTGCCTTTTTTGGTACCTTCATCAGCGCGCTCGTTATTGGGTATGTGTGTGTTCGACAACATAGCTTACGGACGCCAGCGTCATTGTATGGACAGCCTCATTCTTGCGTCTTGTAAGGCCTCATCTATCGCTCATCGAGTGTCTGATTTTCGGCAGCACGCTAAGTGCGACTGATCCTGTTACGATCCTGGCGATTTTCAACACATACAAAGTGGATCCACAGCTGTACAGCATTATTTTTGGCGAAAGTATGTTGAATGATGCCGTCTCTATTGTCATGTTTGAGACGCTGAATCAGCTCCGTGGATCAAAACTGTCGTTCTTGTCGATTTTCTATGGGTTTGGGATTTTTGCCGTGGTGTTCTCGTTCAGCATGGTGCTGGGTGTCGTATTCGGCTTGGCTTGTTCTCTCCTGCTCAAGCATACACAACTTGGTGCTTTTCCCGAGCTCGAGAGCTGCGTCGTCATGCTTGTTGCCTATACGAGTTACTTTTTCAGCAATACGGTCGAGATGAGTGGCATTGTCAGCCTGTTGTTTTGCGGCATCACTCTCAAGCATTATGCCTATCACAACATGTCACTCAAGACGCAGCGGACGACCAAGTCATCGTTCCAAACTCTGTCAAGCATATCAGAAAACTTTATATTTATCTATCTGGGGCTGAGTCTGTTCACAGGTGAACACCTTGTGTATCGACCAACACTGATTTTGTTTACGATTGTGGCAGTAGTTGCTTCCCGATACTGCTCTGTTTTTTCTATTGCATGGGTGTTGAATCAAATACACGGATTTCGTGCGGAACGGCGACGCCAGTTCAGCGCAGGATTACCAGACAACTCATCGCATTATATTCCTCGACACTACCAGCTCATGCTGTTTTGGGCAGGTCTTCGAGGTGCTGTGGGCTTTGCGCTCAGCGAAGGTATTCGCGGATCCAATGCGTACCCATTGCAAACCAGTGTTCTTGTGGCCGTGGTTATTACCGTCATTGTGTTTGGTGGCACAACAGCACAGATGCTAGAGATTTTGCGCATTGACACAGGCGTCGAGGACCAAGAAGATCCCTCATCAGACCATGATGAAGAAGCGCTTTCTTCTGATGTATGGGTTTCATCTAACAGGACGTTGCCTGCATCGGGGTGGTACCGAGACAGCTCTGTTGAGCCAGGCGACATGTCAACCACGCCAGATGCAAATGAAGTACTTCCTGGGCCAGACACAGATACGGCTCCTGATGCAAGCACAAGCGCGTCACGCCCGGGTGCACACAACAGTGCAGATGGCGCATCAAGTGCCCTGACAAAGGCATTTGTTGCGGGCCCTGGCGGACTACGAAGCTGCACATCAGATGAGTTGGACGAGACAGGTGATATGAGTGCGACAGAGCCTCCTTTGTCGGCTCGAGATGTGCTTGATCGCGCTAATCTAATATTCCGTGATGGCCAATGGTTCCAGCGTATCGACGAACGCTATCTTCTTCCCATGTTCAGCAACACTGTCGCGAACCGTAAGCATGAGCAGCGTAAAGAGCAGGTCCAAGCTCGCCGACACATCTCGCGAGAATTTGCCCAAGCCCAACCATCCCCCTCAGTCCTCGCTGTGCCTTATGAGCAAGCCTCACACGAGGCGCTCGAAGAAGGACGCGTTTCTCCAGGTAAAAATAAAATGCATTAATAGTGCATCGTTGTAGATAGTCTCAAAATGTATTTCATAGGTGGTCAAGAATGTCAGTGAGTGCATAACAGTTTTCTCGTTCTACCATGCTGTGACCTGCAGGGGTGCGACGGTAAGTGACGCACTTGTGTCCGGCTTGTTTGAGCGCATGCACGAGCTCATCAGCTTGATACATTGGGCATACATTGTCAAAGCGACCATGAACAATAGAAATGGGAATGTCGACTAGTTGACGAGCATGCTCAAGAATGTAATTTTGGGCTCGATTCGCGTGGCCTTCCCCCCCGAGAAACGCGCCGTTGACAAAGTAATGGTTTTCGATGCGAGCAAAAGCTTTGGCGAAACTCAACTCCTCATATGAATTGGGCTTGCTTAGATCTGGTGAGAGATAGCTCGTACTGCCTTCCCAACCAGACCATGCACGGACGGCATCCTCTTGAACCGCCACTTCTTCCGGAGAAGACAACGCGCGAGAAAACAGTCGGTCATATGCTGCAATCATATCACCACGCTGCGAGGGGGGAATTACTTCCACATACTTTTTCCACGCCTCTGGGTACTGCATATAGGCACCTGGGAGAGACGTGTCGAATGCATCTTTCGCATACACAGCCGCATTGCCCTGATAAAAAAAGTCAAGGTCCTTTTTCCGGCATAGAAAAATCCCGCGCAATATAAGCGCTCGCACATTTTGCGGATGCGCAATGGCGTATGCTAGAGATAGCGTACTACCCCAGCTGCCGCCAAATACGTACATTGGTGTATCGATACGACGCGTTTTACGCAGTTGGTTTATATCATCGATCAAATGCGCGGTTGTATTGTTCGAAAGTGCCGCAGTTACATTGTCGGTTGAGGCAGATGGTGTGCTTTTCCCGCATCCTCGCTGGTCAAACATGAGTACACGGTACTTCTCAGGATGGAAAAAGCGCGCTACAAATGCCTCGCTACCACCACCTGGTCCACCATGAATGCACATAACAGGGATGCCATTCGGATTGCCGTATTCAGCCCAGAACACATGATGCATTCCATTCTCGACATCCAAGTATCCTGACGCATATGGATCGGTCTGGGAATATTTCCAGTCTTCGTTTGTGGCCTTGCTCAGATACATGGTGCGATGAGGCGATAACGGCGTACCAACGATCAATGGCAGTTCTACATCTCATTTAATTTACTGCACTCGCTGTAGCGGGCCGCGTGATTTTTTATTTCATATTCGTATTTTTTTGTGCTCCAACCTGTGCTCCATGACATCGTGGCTGGCGCATCGCGGTTTGCACAATTTCCTCGGCATGCCACTGACAACGTGAAAACAGAGAAGAACCATTACTACATACTTGCCTCATCATTTCTGCTCATTCTACTCTGCCCACGTTACTATCACTGGGAACTTCCGATCCTGGCGCTTGGCGCACCACGGGCCCCTGTTGCGGCACGCCGTTAGCAGCACTACTTGCACGGGCCATTTCGTCAGGGCGTACGTTCTGCGGCACTGTACTAGCTTTCCTTAAAAGCTCATGAACAGTAGATAGCTGCCGCTGCACAGCCAGTCGATCTGCGTACAACTGCTTACGACCAGCTTCAATGGAACGACGCTCCGCCTCCAGCAGACTTTCAAGCTCCTCAAACTGGCTCATTTTGAGTTCCATTTTCTTCATCTGCAATTCAATGACTTGTTGAACAAGCCTCTGGCACTCTCGCTCTTCATGACTCGCTAGAACAAACGCTTTGCATGCAGAGGCGCCCAGCGCAATAGATGCGGCTCGTTCCACATCATTCTTCGGCACTGACTCACGTTGGTTGGGATCAGCGCTAGTGTGCCCGTCATGACTCGACGTAAGATCCTCTTTGCCCTTGGCCCCATCGTTTTGATCGTTATTAGCATGAGAGGCAGCTTCAGCATCTGCACTTGAGTCAATATGCGTGTTTGTGATAGCACCGGCATGTCTTGTCTCAATTGCTTCGGTGCCTGGATACACAGGAGAGTCAGTCTTTGTTTCTGGCGCTCCAGAACTGGCTACCGAAGATGGCGGCGCAGCATCGATATCCATAGGATCTTTGCGCGCTTCTGTTTCTGCTGATGCCGGTTGCCTGTCCTCGGATGATGATTTCGGGGCAGAGGCTGGTGCTTCCGAAGCCGGTGGCTCGACAGAGTCACTGGCACTAGCACTGGCACTGGCACGCTGAATAGTATGACGCATAGACTCTGTAAGGGTTCCCAACGCGCTCTGTGCAGCAGCAGCAGCAACAGCTGGGCTCACGGCGCTCGCCAACAGAGCAACAATGCTCATGACAGGGTTTTCAGCTTCGGCAAATGGGACCAGTGGCACATGCTGGCCACTTGTTGGGTCTCTGGGTGCATACTGTAATGCGCCTAGATCCTTTTGCGCCGTACCCTCAAGGTAAGGATCTTGAATGGGAAGCTGGATAAATTTTGTGATGCACTGCTCCCTTGAACGAGTTCCCACATGCAGAGATATGAGTCCCCAATCTTCTTCATACATCTCGAGACCCTCGAGGAGCTTGAGAGTTTCTTCATCCGACCAATCATCGTCACCTCTGCCTGCGCCGCCGCCCGCACTACCAGAATGCTTGAATGTTGACTCGTCTAGACGCACAAAGTCTCCTGAATACATCGATGTAGGGAACCGGCCCTCCAAATAGCATGGCGGACACAAAGCATAGTCTTTCACACGAATGCTTTGATAGCGAGACGGCGTGCAGTCTACGCCGCAGGTGTCACAAGCATAAGCAGGTTTCTTGCCCTTCTGTGTATCTAGTTCTTTTGAGGCTTGTGCTGCTAGAGAATCGGCCTGTGCATGATCAATTGGTCGGGATCCTTTGAGTGTCGACTGAAAGATAGATTTCCGCAGTTCAAGCGAGACTCCTTCCGTTGGCACATTGTGGGTGGTGGGCTCTGATTCCGACTTGACTGGCGCATCCGGTCGTGTTCCANGGTGCATGAGTGTGAGACCACGCGGTGTGTCGACAGTGACCCGGAAGTGTCCCGTGAACGGTGGGCCAAGCGCCGCTGGTCGCGTTTCTGGGTCAATCTGGTAGTTGATCAGCCCCCACTGCTCTAGAAAAGCATGCACTCGCATAATGGCGCACACGTCACCCGCTAGATTCCGACGGCACGCGGTAAATGTCAGGTACTCGCTTGGGTTGAGACGATAGGTGTTGATCATAAAGTCCCGATATTCTTTGTAGACAGTGGGAGTCTTGCTGCGGTTCTTTTTGTTGAAAAACTCGGGTAACGAGCGCTTTTCTATAGCATTGATCGTTGACATGTCGAACCATGTGGAATACGACGGGATTATCACCTCTTGGGTTTGTTCAGCAAGGTACTTGCGCGCCGTTTGAACAGCTTCATCATGCACGCCTTCTGTGTTGGCATCGGATGTATTCGCTGCTCGGGCAGGTAAAGGCTCCACGTTTGTAGTTGTCGCATGCGACACTTCGTCAGAGACAGGAAGGTTGCCCAATGTACCCGTCAAGATAGGCTCGCTCTCATACTTCTTGCCAGGAATGGGCTGCGAGCCAGTAAGATCAACGGTTTGTGCACCCTCAGGATGACTCCCGACTAAAATTTTAATCCGCTTGGACGCAGAGTCATCAGTAATCGTGTCAGGTAAACTGTGTTTCTTGTTGCGCCGGGTCTCGCTGTCTTTGGCTTCAGTGCCCTGATGAACCGAATCTGCGGACGATGCCGTTGACTGCGTGACCTGTGCAGTAGGCGTTTCAGGCTCTTTCTTATCCTCCTCTTCTTCCATCTCATAGTCTTCTTCATTCATCATTTCATTATATAATTGAGAGTCGCGTAACCAGCGCGCATCAATGCACCATGCGGCTGTGCGTGGCGCAGGAGCTGGCTCAGGCTCGGAAAAGTCTTTGTCGGGAACCCAGGTGTCGTATGAATCAGGCCGGTACCACACGTGAATAAGCACCTTGTTTTGATGGTGCGAGAGGGTGCGGAAGTACTCGGATTCGGGTGGTGGGCCATCCTGAGCCGCTAACGTGACCCCATCCGCGGTCGATGGGCGCAATACATGCGTTGCTCTCGATACTGAGTCAACCCATTCGCATCTCAGATTTTCCGCAATGGTTTTCAGGTGCGAGGCCTCTGCTTGAGTCATATCTGAAGATACAGCAATACGGACTGGCTGAATCAAGTTCCTCGCACACAAATCAGCACGCACATGTGCAATCATACTGACATAAAGGCTTCGTTTTCCCTTATCCTTCATGTCCCATGAGGTTTGTTGATGCTCAGCAAGAAACGTCATACACGATAGTAGCACCACGAATACCGGTGCATTCGTCGATAACGGTGAGAAGTCCGAGTACGAGGGATACGTTTGCAACAACAAAGCAGGGAGGCGTAACGGGTGCCTCTCATTTTCATCTGCAGCATCTGGATATGCTGGGCGCGCGGCACTATATCCCAACACTTGTTCCTGAAAAGTATCTAGATCATATAAAAACTCAGCCAACTGCTGACCTGTAAGAGGCGCGATTTTACAAGGCACTGGTAAAGATTTCTCCTGTAGAGATGAGGTGAGTGGCTGTACAAGAGGATCTAAGCGAGCAAACGTGTTTGCATCATGCAAGAGCCCCTGATCTGGGTACCCATTGACGTTCAGACTCATGCCGCACAGTCGCGGTCGTCCTACGCGAACGACGCCAGTGTCGTGAAACCTGCGACGGGTCTAGGAGCACAGTGGAAATTTCTCGGCCGATACAGCACGTGGCCCTGCTAGTCTTTCTCGGCCCGGGTGATATGGGCGATTGTCGACGAATCCACTGTCGCTCGCTCGTCAACGCTTTCGCTCCCTGAACTGCGAAACAGATCCTCGTACGTGTCCACACTTCTATTTAGCAACAACATGAAGCGTACTAACTCTAGCTCAGAATCATGGCAAGCAATGGCTGGTTCCGCCCTATGTTTGGCTTTCATCCGCACCGCCCCATGTTCCGTCATCGTGCTGCCGCTACGCTACTGGGTGGCATGATGTGGTTCTGGATTCTTGTGCGAGCGAAAGAAGACGGTCCAGTGCTATTGGTGTGTAGCATATGAGAGAGGGGGAGATGAAGAGTCTAACCTCGATTTCCGAGATGGTATGCTAACATGACGCTTCTTCAACCTGTGTACACATTTGTTCATGTTGCTCATTTGGCTAATGATTGGACTTTGTTACGTTGCATTTTCTATGTAGGGATGGCGTCACCCTTGGGACCACCATGGAGATCACCACGATGAGCATCATTAGCTGTGCTTTGACTCTGCGTGGCAAGCTCATCAGTGAATGCATGTGCCATTTGTCGGATACTTGTTTATGACCATGTTACGCCCACGCGTTTGTTGTGCACGCACAATATCACGAGTGTGAACTGAGCAGCACTTAGCCTTCTATGCTGATACCAGTCGTTTCTGTGCATAGGACTCTGTTCATAGGCACGTCTTCTCATTCTCTTTATGGACATCATGGCCTATCGCTTATTTCTTGAACCTTTTCCATCGGCGCGCTTACACATAGATCCGCGAATGGTCATCCTTGTATGCAGGGGGTGTGGGCTCGAGAGTCGAATGGCTAGAAATATTTTTCAGACTTGACCACGTAAAATTGCCGAGTGGCGTGTGCCGACGGCTATCTATGTATTTGTATCGCTGTCTGATCCTAACCAGGGACGAGCTAATCTTCATTTGACATGTTGTCGTCCAGAGACAACATCGCGACACAACTTGTATGCATAGTATCTTGCATTGATGCATGCCAATATGCTACGCCATAATTCAATAACTAATCGCTAGGAGGTTCATTTAAATGGCGCATATTGGGGGCACATGTCACTTGGCTCTCCGCCCGTGATTGAATGACACCACTGCGTCTTGCAAGCGGATCACCATCAACGACAGATTTAGCTAAACGCAGATCAACGGAAAGCTCCAGCAAGATACTACAGCGCGACACCACGAAACAATCGGTTTATTCTGCCCTTCAAATTTTGCATATGCACGACGGTCCTGACATCGCGGCGAGTCATTCTCCGCTTCCCACCGTTTTGACGGGTGGTGCTCTGCAGAGGACTACGAGCAGAGGTCTAGGATCCATATCAACGTCATCGAGCAGTAACAAGAGCGTGTCGCACTTCAGTGGTTCTATTATCTCCCGCTGGCGTCGTGGTAAGATGCGCTTTACAAACACGGCATCGCATGGAAATGAAGTTGAACAGGATGAAGTTGTAATGGTTGGTTTTGTTAAGCGTAGTGCAGGTTTGTTTAGCATGGCTTGGCTTACGGATGCCATGAGCAATCAAAGTAGCAAGGACCCAGGGCATGGGTGGCGTCCCTTCAAGGCCATGCTCGTTCATGAGACCCTAATGTTCTTCAAAGTTCCTGCGACTATGGTCCCAGAAGTTCGTCGTACATTCCAAATCCGTTCTACTCAGTGGCCTACATCAATTACGGCCTCAGATGAGGTCAGTGTGTTGTCGCCCGATTCAGACAAGGAAGAAACAGAAAGTCATGCAACTACTTTGCCTGACTCAAGCACAGTGACTACAGTTGAAGAGAGCGACAATGAAACAACGTGGAAAAGTTTTCAGACCCATCCCGAGCTATTGCTCGTACCAGACAGCGGATGTCCAGGTTCTTGGGCTGCCCGTATTGATCGTGGCACGCCAGCGGCCCTTGCTCATGAGCTTGTTTTTGGAACACAGCAACCTGCGTACGGGCCAGAGCGTTGCGAAACTGATACGAAAACGTTTCTTCATCTGGTATTTTATTCTCTTGGCACGACACATGTTCCATGGCACATGTTTCTGCTAGCTCTGCGAGAATACTTGGGCATGTGCACGCGAGCGAACGCGGGTATTCAACGCGTAGCTCTATTTGTTGACTTATTGCTTTGGAAGCGCCCACTTTTGCATGCTGGTCATGAGCACCGCTTTTTTCACGAGCTTGATGCGCTTATTACGCAGCTTGCACAAATCGAGACTTCATCGTACGCCCCAATGAGGCAGCAGTTGTGTGAGTGGCAGATGCAAGTCCAACAACATGATCCGTGTATGCCAACGGATTGGCTGAACAGTACACGTCTTGCTTCAAATCCTGGTCGAATTGACTTGGCCCCACTATCACAATGTTGGAATGCTGCGGTCCTCGTCCGTCAAGATCCAAGTGAAGTGGCACGCCAGATCCAAAGTTTTCACGTGGATAGGCTCATGGCCTTTCTCCGTGTGCCTGTGACTGCATACCGGCTTTCCAGCAGTGTGACTGAGACAATTCTGCGCTCATTCCGGTTCGATGCCACTCGCCCACACTGGATCACACATGTGATATTGCGCCAGCTGCTGGTAGACGAGGCCCCTGAGCGTCAGGGAGAGGCCGTTGAACTCGATCGAGCCCTTGTTCTTCAACATTGGATCAGCATAGCTGCAAGTCTGCTTCATAATGGTGACTTAGCCGGATGGGTGGCTGTGTGTGCGGCGTTGTGCTCACGAGCTGTCGCATCACTCGACATGCTTTGGCGCGGACTTCCCACGACGAAACGTGATTTGGTCACTTTGCACTGGTCGCCCAAATTAACGCAGTTTGGCTGGATAGAAGGTGTGCATGCGCCTGTCGAGCCGATCTTGGCAATCGACGGTGCAGGTCATGTCGCGATGACACCCGGCGGTGTGCCGTATTTTGGCAATGCCGGTATCCTTGATGCATCATCCTCGAATGAAGCAGCGCCCGCACGCGTCCAAGTACCGGTGGCATCTCAGGAGCCAGAGTTTAATCGAGTCCGCTCTTTGGCTTTGCGAATCGGCTCGCTATTTGAACGAGGTATGCCAATGCCCATGGGGCCAGCACCGATTCCCGAGTATCAGGCCTTATTTCAGCGACTGTCAACGTATGAGTTTGTGCTGCAGACTGGCTTGACGGACTACGTCGGCAGCGCCGTCATCGCTGATGGCTGTGTCATGGAACACACATACGTCGACAAGCCGACTGATTGGTTGACGACGTCTGTGCCGGATGCGGACACCTTGTTCACGTTTCCCACTCCATTTGCCGCTCTCATGCCGACCAGATTGATTGCTGACTCGATCATGGTACGCAACGACGTCTTCATTGGCGATAAAACGGATATGGCGTATGCGTCGCTACCTCGATGCGCAGCTCGTGCAGTGACGCACAAGGAAGAAATCTTGATGAACGATGAGCTGGTGTTGTATCCGATGCACCCGCAGTTGTGGGGCTCAAAGTCGCTGTCGAAGCCGTCCATCGGTCCGGCAAGCCCTAACGATGTGCCGCCTACGGAGCTGCCAAAACGACGGTTTTCAGTAGAAGTGCGTGCAGCTTCGAGCAGACGACTCTTGGATATCTTGGTACTAGGTACGGCGCATCTCATCGTTCGCGCACCAATTGAGCCTCGCTCAAATCCAGTTCGATACCAAGTGCTGGGTGTCGACTTGGACTTTAAGGCCTTCCTCGACGCATGCCTATTGTCTTACCGAGGCTGGATCTCACCTGCTGGTCTTTTGGAAGCTTTGATGCATCGCTGGCATGCCGCTGAGAGTGCTTGTCGAGAAATGGCGCTTCACGCTCGTATGCATGTGCCGAACCAGTTCCCGTCATGGACGCGCCCCCCGAATGCCCAGTATGCTCGCGAGCCAATGGATGCACAGCGGGTGATTCAGATTCGCTTGCATGTACTGGAGGTCTTGCAGCGTTGGCTCGAGCTATATCCGCGGGAATGGATTGCCGATCTTGTTCTCTTCGACACGCTATACAAATTTCTCCATGAGATTCTTGCTGAGTGTACCAACATTGCATCAGACTCGCCTGTGCTTGTTGAAGCAATTCACCAGCTTTTCTCCATTTTCCCAACGCTCACGACGAGCGCAATCTCTGCTATGGGACTTGACTGCTTCTCGACGACAGCGTCCACACCGATGCCCACTGTGGCACGCGCGTTTGATTGGTCTCTTTCTGCGACGGATCTCGTGGTCTATTTAGAGTCGATGATGGCATTGCCATACTCACTGCTCCAGGCACACGACTTGGCCCTTACCATGGTCGTATTTGAGCAAATGCATACCGCGCGCGACGCTTGGCTTGAGGCTGTGACGGAAGAACCCAATGCGTCCCTGAGTATTTTTTGCCTTCTCCGACTCTTACCATCACCCGTTCTTCCCTACACGCGTGCTTCGAAAGATGCGTCGCTATTCGATGTTTTGCCGCCTTCGGTGCGAGAACTGTGTCGAATTCACGAAGTCATCCGCGATTGGACAGAGACCCAGGTAACTGAGCCGCGCATTGGCCTAGACCGACGTATGGAGAGGGTCCATCGCCTTATCGATGCCGTCCTACTTAGCCGTGCTTCAATGGCACATCGCATACGTCGCTCGAGCGCATCTGCGCCTGAAATCCGCTCCCCACTTCCACTGACGTTCCTTGAGAGCGCTGTGTTAGAGGGCCTCACCAGCGCTCGTTCTCAAGCACATCGAGCTGCTTGGGAGCATCTCGCAACGAGTCGCGGCGTTCGTGTATGGGCTGACTTGCTTGCCCACGCACCAGACACACTACCACCCGGGCTTCCGCCTTGCACGCCTGATATTGGCTGGACGATGACGGTGCTAGCAAATTGGGCTGCGCGTGCCAAAGCGCGGCAGACGCAAGCGTCTCACCTCTTAGAGTTTAGTCGTTACATGTCAGCGATGGACCTGATAACGGATTCGATCCATTTGCAAAGACAATGCTTGACAACAGATCTTTCGTTGGATGTCGCACGAGCTCGACTCGTATGGCTTCGCGATTTTGTCAGTAAAGCGACATGGTCCTGGACTGTTGTGATGGAAGATGCAGCTCTCGAAGCCTCGTTTCAAGGGTTCCCTTTTCCAGCCCCCGTCCAGCTATTCGCTGGCCTGGAGCTGGCCCGTGAGCAAAAACGCTTGTCAATTAAAGGTTTATCTGTGCTACCACCCCAGCACAAGGCAGCAGAGGCCGCATTGTTAGATTCCGTCGAGCTGCCTACGCCGGTAGCCCCCGTTGCGCCCAAGATGCCAGAGATTCCGCCAATTCCGAACATTCCACACCATCCAGACGACTCGCTTCTTCGCGCTGTGCCAACCATGCGTGTCTCTTATGCGTTTCGCTGCACGGGTGCATCGCTTTCAGTTTGGCCTTACCATCAACACCCTTTCGTGCTTCAGCTGTGCGCGCCAGGTGGACAAAAGTGCACACTGAAGCTACCAAACTACGACGAATTTTGCCGCTGGATTGCGTCTTTGCAGGCACTCTCCAACGTACGCATGGCCGAAGCGTTCGACGCTGGCACATATGCGGCTCAAGTCGCTGAGTATCTTGGTCGCGCTAGTGCAGGACGCGTTTTTGGTGTGCCGCTCCGTGAGCTTGCTTTGAGGACAGGCAACCTGCCGTTGCCACCTGTGATTGAGCGGGTGCTGGAGGAAATTGAATCTCGTGGATTGAATGAGCAAGGGATCTACCGCATCAGTGGCACACGCAACGCGATGGAGTCGCTACAGCGGATGCTTGATACACAACCTATCCACCAAATTTCACTAGCGCACATTGACATTCATGTGTTGACAAGTGCTGTGAAACTATGGCTTCGTGAACTTCCCGAGCCCGTAGTGCCGTTCGCTTATTACGATGCCTTGATCGAAACGGAGCGTATCATCCAGCACGATGTACGCGTTAAAGCCATGCGCGACATTGTACGGCTTTTCCCTCGATGTCACTACCTTGCACTGCAACGCGTGACGTATCATTTGACGCTAGTTGCCAAATGCAGCAAGATGAATCTCATGGCCGCCCACAATATTGGCCTTGTCTTTGGATCAACGCTGCTGAATCCGCCTTCAGGTACCGGCAGCGTCGCACGTGGATTAGAAAATTTGGGACGCGCCGCCCATGTGGTCAAAATTGCCGTGCTAATGCATCGCCAGATCTTTGGGTTGCGAACAGCTTAAAACGACCAAAACGTCTGTTGCTGTGTTGGGTGAGACACGCGGGCGCATCGATGTAACGCCACACGCAGTCCTCTTAGCGTGAGTGTGATTGGACATGTGCCTTGTTAAGGGTGGAGGTAGAGTTACTTCATTTATCGTCGACGTGCGAGAGTGGATGTTGAAGTGCAATTTGGCGCGCTTGTGTGACAAGGCTGAAGTGAACAAAGAGTATATAGGATGTCAAAAAATTGATCCATTCTCACCCTCACTCTACCTCCCCTTTTCTTTCATTGTCACTGTCACCCTCTAATCTTTGCTCTTGTTGCGCTGGACGCACAGAGTTTAACCAAACCTATATATCCCCTTCTCCAGTTTCTTCTACCTGCCCCTTATCTCTTGGCTCTTGGCCTGGCGTCGAGAGCATCACCCTTTCTTCGCAAGAGAGATCAATCTTCCATTTTTGATCACGCTGGTCGTGGAAAATAGACGCACATCACCGCCGGTCGGGACTGCTGCATTTTGTTGCTTCTGTTGTTGCTGTTTTCTATTGTTGCATTCACCTCTGAATCAAGATGCAGGTCATCTCTTCAGTTTTGGACTTTACAAAAGTGGCATCTGCTTTGTCTCTTTCGATTGCCAACTACAAGCCCATCCCCATTGTGGATTCGAGTACGAGCGGGTCTTCATCCCATGGCCGCGTGAATACAGTGAACGATGGTGAGTCTTGGTCATCAAAGCACCCATCGGACTCTTGGGGCTTGCCATCGATCCTAAATATTTCATCCACACTATCAAACGATGATGGTCGGATCGCATCAAGCGATGGCGATTCGTCTGGCAAGACTGTGGGCAGCGGATGCAAGATTCTCGATGACTACAAGTCTAATAGCACACTGGAGGTGCAATTTCCTTCTTACAATTCTACTCGTGCTAACATGATGCGTTATCGAAAGCAGGTGGGTGTCAATGGCGGTGCTTGGTTCGTGCAAGAAAACTGGATGTCTCCCTCACTTTTCAGCTGTGCTTCGGGTTCCAAGGCAAGTGAATTGGATATTCTCAAAGGCTACGGCAAATCGAAGAAAGGAATTCAGAGTGCTCGGGCGCGCTTGGAAAAGCATTGGGATACATGGATTCAGGCCAAGGACTTTGAGGAAATGAAGGCTATGGGTATCAATACGTTGCGTCTTCCTATCGGCTACTGGAACTTTCCTGGTTCTAACTTCACGAAGGACACACCATTCGAGCCATACTCTGACGTGTACAAGAACTCATGGAAGTATATCCTCCGTGCCATCAAGTATGCTGATGAGAATGACATCGGTGTTTTGATTGATATGCATGGCGCGTATGGTTCTCAAAATGGCGAGCCACATTCAGGTGTTGCAGACGGGAAAGTGCATTTCTTCAAAAAAGAGAATCGGGAAAGGATGACCAAACTCCTGCTTTGGCTCATGAATGAAGTGCAGAACATCTCGAACGTCATTGGCATTGAGCTACTCAATGAGCCACACAATGACAAGCGCCTCTGGCCTTGGTATAGCTCTGCGATGGATGCCATGCGCAAGGTATCGAAGCAAGCTAGCTCCATGCCCCTGTACTTCCATGACGCTTTTAACCCATCGGAAGGAGCCGAATTCGTCAGCAAGCGCAGCGACTTCGTCGTCCAGGATACTCACTCTTACTTTGTGTACACAAAACAAGACCGAGATATGACGGCCTCAAAGCACACATCGCAGATCAAAGGACACGTTCAGGAGTCTATGTCAGACATGTCCAGTACGGCTCGTGGAAATATGATTGTCGGCGAATGGTCTTGTGCGCTCAACCCTAACTCGTTGCGCTCGTCGAAAAATCAGAAAAAGGCCATGTCGGAATTCTGTAAGGCCCAAACGGATACGTACCTAAATGCTACGGCAGGTGTGATATTCTGGAGCTGGAACATGGAAAACTGCGACAACAATGCTGGATGGTGTTTCAAGTCTGCGCGTTCCAAGTACCTGGACAAAACATACAACGTATGGGGTCTGGATGGGTCGGTTTTGAGCAACTCACTGCCATCGATCGTTTCTGATATTATGAAACAGAGACTTCCGGCCGAATATTCGCTTAAAAAGTCGACGAACAACAGGGCAGCTGGGCTTTGTGGATCGAAAAGTGGCAACTCGGAGACCGCAAGCACGGCCATCTTACCTGCAACTTCTTCGACAGCTGAAGGACATTCGTACGGTCGAAACGCTGCTGTTCAAAAAGATTCGCACAACCGTTCGTCCAAACTCACGTCGTCTTCATCGTCAACACACCATCATTCAACCAAGCATAAGCCAACGTCCAGTCACCATCACCATCACCACCACCACACTCATCACACCCATTCTTCTTCGTCTTCTCGCACCGCATCTTCTGGTCATCACTCAAAGAAGCACAAACACGTGTTTCATCATCGTGGCTTGAACAAACCGCACGCCTCGGTGCTCGAACGCAGGGGCTCGAAGAGCTCGGTTAGGGGTTATTCTGATGGGTTCCTCACTGCAAAGGCATTAGCAGGCTTAATGGCCCTGTCGCGCGTCGGATTCGAGCAGCAGTATCTGGCTGATACGACTTCGATGTACATCGAGAACAAGATCTTTTCCAAGAACGGTAAAAAGCCAAGCTCGTATGACTCCGACTTCAAGAAAGGTCTAAAAAATCTTGAAAAAGAAGTCATCAAGCTTGCGCAAAAGTCTTAATGTGGTGATAAAGTTGCACGCTAACCTGGTCGGTGGGATTCAGCCATACGCGTGCTTTGAATGAATATTGAAAGAACGACCTCCACCGACCGATCCTCGTACAACTATGTATCCATTGCGCCAAAGCCGTCTGTCTTTATTTGTTGCTCTTGCCGATATTTGCAGGACATTGTTGATACCTTCAAGCATGTGTGTATATGTACGAGAGTTTTCGAGAATATGTCACTTTTGTTGTTCCTCTTATGCGACCATCCTTACAGTGTACATAGCAGCAATTCATTCAAGTGAAGGACGTGATCAGAGATGATAGGCTTTGACCCCGTACCACGCATCACGCCGTGCTACTATATTTGGCATGTGAAATTTGATGCACTCGGCTGAAGTGCAGAAGCTTTTCTCAGTCACAGTCGAAATAGCACGCGAACCATGACATAGCCGAAAGACCCCACGTACATCCATCTTGCTAGCTACCACCCTTGCAGCATAATGTCGCAGGTGGAGGCCCGCACGTCTTGATACACGCTTGCACTTTCAGGCGTCGCCCAGCTGCTTATCTCTAAAAGTAGCAGCGTGAACAGTAGCTTCAATTGTGGCGCCAGCTTGAAAGCGATCGCAGTGGTATTGTCGCGAGAGGGATTCATGACCGAGACTCCCCGACATAGTGTAGGCACAGAAAGCCATCACTCGACAATTAGCTCCGATTATAAACGACGCAGCGAGATCCACGAAGTCGAAGTTATGCGCCTTCTCGCCGAAGGTCGTTTGCACTCTACACCTCGCTCAACGAGTCCAAATATACGACGCCCGAAGGCATGGAAAGATATTCCTGCATCAATTTCGTCGAAATCCTTGGACCAAAGCTTCGAACATCCTCACGACTCACCGTCAGTGGGAGCGAAAATGCGCAGAGATCGTTTTGATCGTCGCGAGGGTGAGGCTTCGAATATCCGCCCTGATCCCGCTGACTTGGGTGAAGAATATTTACATGGACAAAAAACCGTTCGGCGCTGGCCGCACAGCGTACCTTCTAAATCCAGCTCATTGATACCCAAGACGTCATTTCAAACACCCAGAAGCACCAGTCTCGACTCACTCGCCGCACGCATGCAGGACGCTCATCTCGAGTCGCCCGTGGCCTTCACGTCATTAGACCCAAGCCAGTCAAAAAGTACATCGAAGATTTACACACGTCCTATCGTGAACGCCCCTGCTTCAGGTATGCCTTCACGACATCGACAAAATATGCACTTGGCTCTTGCCCAATGCCGCAAACAACGAGAAAGCTGTACTGGTGGTCCAGGACTATCTACAGAGCTCATGGAGCAGTTAGAAACTGTCGCCAATCTCACAGACACCGTTAACCAAGGGCTGCGTCGCCTACTGATGCGTGTGTTAGACGCACGCATGGGCGAACAATGGATATCTGACCCCGAAGACGCTTCCGACTTGGGCTCTGCAGCCTATCTGGATGCTGAACTCGGCAAGCTCCTCAACTACAGTGACGATAATGTACGCAGCATGACTGACGCGCTTCTTCTGATCCTTCGAGAGAGGCGGTCTACTCAAGTCTCGAACACTGCTTTCGATAAACCCTCAGTCCCAAACACATCATCTATGTACTATTATACACCCCGGCAATACAGACAGCAAAAAGCAATGTCGATCGGACCAACAAGTGAGACGTTTCGGCGACCTCATGACGCATCCAAGTTCACTCGCAGACGTAGCCAGCCTATGGCAGAGTTATTGCACGAACCTTTATTTCCTCACGCGGCTCCACGCGGCACAACACGCACATTTTCTCCGACCAATCACTCTCATTCTTCACCACTTTCATCCCTGCCGATGAGCTCGCTTTGGTCCGCTGGCGGTCCTGCATCTCTTACAGACAGGCGACCAGATATGCACCTGCGCCATCTTGGTGGTTACGACGTAGATTAATATAGTACTTGCAACATCATGGCAACATCATGTGTTCCATTGTCATCACGGACCCCACGTACTCGATTACATGTGGAGGGGCGTGACGTGAGGAGAGAAAGAATGCACGCAACACTTTATAGTCACCTCACATTTCAGGCCATCGAATTGTGTTGACTTAGAACCCACACACAACTCCCTGATCATGGTGGCACATGACTTGTCAAACACTTCTCTGGGTGGTGCTATTAACCTAGATGGGTGCCATTTTCGCGATGCATACGGACGTGTGCTTCTTCTTCGTGGTGTGAACGTGGGTGGCGCAAGCAAATTGTATGTGATCTTAGTTGTTCCTATCCAGTCTCTCACACAGCTAGGCCGAGTAAGCCGCTCGATTTGCAACAAACGTATGCAAATCCAGAGCATGTCTCATTTGTAGACCGACCGTTTTCACTCGATGAGGTATGTCTGCATCACGATGCGTCAGCAGCAACTTATTTCAGGCTCCTGAGCATTGCGCTCGCTTGCGAAAGTGGGGCCTGACCTTGGTAAGACTCCTTGTAACTTGGGAGGCACTTTCGCACGATGGACCTTGTCCTGCATACCCTATTGACCAGGAATACGTGGCATACCTGCGCGAATTGTTAGCCGTCTTTTCCGCGTACGGTTTGAAGTGCATCATCAATGCACACCAAGACGTATGGAGCCGGCTGTGTGGTGGAAGCGGAGCTCCTGGCTGGGTTCGTACAAAGTTAGGCTGACCAAAGACTTTTCGTGCAGCTGGTATGCGTATAGATCACCTAGTCGCTACAGGAGCGGCTCTTGTGCCTGAGGCAGATGGTATTCCTATGAAAAGCGACTCTCGTGGCAAAGCCGAGCCCACTGGACCATTTAATTGGCCGTCAGGCTACCAGAAACTAGCCCCTTGTACCATGAATACGCTTTTCTGGGCTGGAAACGTATTTGCTCCACGGATGTGTCTACTTTGCGACACTGACGGGTCGGCATTGCGCGAAGATCAAGCCATCAACATCCAGTATTTTCTCCAAAACGCATATATCGAAGCATATGCTCAGCTTGTCGAGGCACTGACTCCCTGCTCGGCATTGGTAGGTCTGGAAGTACGTATAAATGGTGGAACTCGAGTGAGGGCGTTGGTCTCTTACACTAGCTTATGAACGAACCGCACCGTGGCTATGTAAACCTGTATTCATTTGATCGATGGAATTACAACACGGACTTGCATATCGGCCATTATCCGTCTGCATTGCAGAGCCTCGCATTGGGCGATGGACACGTACAAAACATTCCTTTCTACACAAAGACGTGGCCTTTGCCTTCACGGCTTTCACACTATACGCGTGTCGATCCATGTGGTCGACTGGCGTGGCTCCAGCGCAATGATTCCATTGCTTTTCCCAATACTCGACAGCAGGATGGGTGTCTCTGGAGGGAACATGGCGTTTGGGACTGGGATGAAGCAAAGCAGAAGCCTGTTGTGTTGCAAGCGGACTACTTCCGCGTCGATCCTCGTCCTGGGCAACAGCGACGTCGAGTTGAGTGGTACAAAGATTTTTACGCACCCTTTGTGCAAAAATTTGATCAGCGGTATGTGATGCAGAAACGAGCTTACGAACTCTAAAATTAGTCTCCGCAAAGCAGCGCCTTCTCTATTGATACTCGTGGAACCTATACCAAATGAATTCATGCCTCGCTGGGATGACCGAGGTGGCTTGCCACATCGGGACACAACACAGACCATCATGCGCCCTCCGCGCCCTACAAACTTTGTCTATGCGCCGCACTTCTACGACTTGAATGTGCTTTTTTTCAAGTCATACAAAGGCATGAGTGTGAATGTCCAAGGACTGAGCCGCGGCATGTTTCTGCCATCTGCTCTGTACTTTGGTACTCGTGGTCTCTGCCGCAAGTACGTATGAAAGTATAATGGACTCGATCTAACCCAAAAGCTACTTACATCAAATTACAACGCTCTGCAGGCGCGGTCGCGAAGCTTTGGGCGATGTTCCGATCTTGATTGGTGAGGTTGGCATCCCTTTCGATGTCAATGATTCCCTGAACAAGACACCGGGTGATTACCGTGTTCAAATCGCGTTGCTTGATGCACTTGTGTCTGCTTTGGAGCGTAATTGGGCTGCATTTACACTTTGGAATTATAATCCCTCTAATTCAGTTGCTCACGGAGATATATGGAATATGGAAGATTTTTCGATCGTCAATATGGAGCCTCATGCTCAAGATGCGCGCAACCGACGCGTGCATGAGCAAGAATACAGCGGTGGACGTGCACTAGAAGGTATTCTTCGTCCTTATGCGTGTAAAGTGGCAGGAATTCCCTTATCGACTTCGTGGGATCGGCACACACGCAAGTTTACCTTTTCATGGAAAAGCACAGAGCTTCCATCAAGCTCAAAAATGAGCCAAGTTACAGAAATCTTCGTCCCTGAATACATGTATGATGATGATTCGCGGCCTGTTATCACAGTTAAGAACGGCAAATATGATTTCCACCCCGCGGATCAAACTTTGTACGTCGAAAGTTTAAATTCGGGGATAAATTCGATTCATTCTGTGACCATCAGGGTGCCCAGTTCTGGTCCATTGCATTCTTCGATGATGATGTGCTTTGCATTGCTCATGCCTTTACTTGCTTTGGTAATAACTATGTGGTACAAGTGACGTCTATAGATGTGGCTAAAAGTACATATTTTTCCCCAAATCCCATTGACGCATCTTAGGTGGTGGTGGCGGCCCTGCCTCTGGCGATGCCTCTCGCGACCTCGTCGGTGAGCGGGAGCGATGACTCAGAGAACGGTGTAAGCGTCCAGTTGACTGCTCGCAAAGACGCTCATGAGCAGATGGTAAGGCAATTTTCCCCCCTTTCTCTTGATTTTCATTATGAAGAGCCCTTCGTACACGAAGACTAGGCTCCTTCACGTCCCAGCGACTCGGTTTGTATCTACGCCGCTCTGCATCGCGACGAGCCTCCTCAACAGTTTGACGTTGATTATGTGAGTCGGCATTCCGGATCATTGAAGCAAGAAATCGCTTATTCGTTCGATTTCTTGGCTGATGAGATCTTAACGAACTGAATTCCGTGAGTGGGCGTGAACGTACGACCGGTATTCCCGTTGGTATGCAGGATCTTTCATTCGAGCCTCTTCGATTATAAGCTCAGTGACATAGTCATCGAGCGAATCATCAGCCACATGATCAGGCACTTGTAAGGGGTAGACGCCGTCACGCCCCATGTTTAGTGGAACCAGAGGCAAAACTACGAGGGTCTAGTCAGATCTGCTACCGACTCAATAGTTTGAACGCTCCATATGTCAGACACTGAATATATCATCACACGCGTCGAGGTTTATCATGAACGATGTTGGTGGAGCAATGGTCATTTCGGCCGAAACGTACTGAGCGCGAGCGAAGTGGTGTCGTTTCTGCACGCACCAGCGTAGGATTTGTGACAGGATTGCCGTCGTCGAAGACAACGACGCGAACTCCGACCACGACGTTGATGGCACCTAGGGCGGTGGATGATAGAAGTGGGGCCGCGGAGCTTGAGCGTGTTTCAAGTCTTTTTCCGCTCACATACCCAGTGCCCTCGCCCATCACTCATAAAGGCCTCGTACCTACTGATGACATTGTTCTCGAGCAAGAACTATTGCGGAATCCTGATAACATACGTACATGGATGAGTTACATTTCGCATGTCGAAGAGACGAACTTCCGCAAACGACCTATGCCTGATCAAGGTCTCTCTTCTGCGAGTGTTCGAATGTTAGGCTTTCTATCTGACGAAACCCTTCGGCTAGCATTGCAGCGAATCGTGAGCTTGTACGAGCGTGCATTAGCCGTCTTTCCCTCATCATACAAGCTATGGCATCGATATTTAAGTGCGCGTGCGCGATTCGTTCTAGGTGACCCAATCGATGGTGCTGAAGGCCGGCGCCATCGGCTCTTGCAGTCTGCACAACACGCCTTAGAAATGGGTCCGTCTATGCTGGAACTACGACGGAGTGAAGAGGCTCAAGAGAAGTGGGAATTTTCCCTGGATGGTACATTGGGTTGGAAAGAATGGCGCAGCCTAGCGGCAGCGTACGAGCGCGCTCTGCAGCAACTCCCAACAATGCCTCGACTTTGGCTGGATTATCTCACACTGTTTGTACACCCTGCTTGTCCTCCCACATTTTCAAAAACACATGCCCGGCGAACTTTTGATCGCGCATTACGCACACTGCCTCCCTCTCTGCATCTTCACATTTGGCGGTGGTACTTGCGGTGGGCAGAGATCTGTGGCAGCGAGGTGGCACAACGCGTTTGGTGTCGCTACTTACGAATTGATTCGAGCCTCTCTGAGCCATACGTCGCGATGCTTCTTGAGATGCCCGAGCATTTGCGCATAGCGGACGGCCACGCTAATAATATAGATGGGTCTATTGCGAGACATGATGAAGACGAAAAAGACGACGATGATGACGACTCACTCACGCCTGTGCAAGAGCGCCGGGTTCTTGAAGCTGCCAAGCGGATGCTTGGTTTAGCAAGAAGTGCATGGACTGGTGAGTATACGAGTCCGAATGGCAAAAGTCCCTATCAGTTGTTGCTGGATTGGCTCGAGTTGGCCGAACGGTTTCCTGAATCCATCGGCTTGCCTCCTGACGAAGAAACACAATTGCCAATGCGCCATCCGGACGACAAATTGCCGGATTCCGAAACAAATGTCTTGGACCGCACGCTTCTCCCTGTACGCCAGATTGTGGAACGCGATGGACTCGCGCGGTTTCCTGACCAAGCAGGGCGCCTATGGACAGGCCTCGCCACATACTATATCAAGCGCGGTGACTTTGACACTGCCTGGGACACCTTTGAGCAAGGCATGAAAACAGTTCTGACAGTTCGAGACTTTACGCAGATCTTTGATGCATATGCTGAAACCAGCGAGAACGTAATCAGTCTTATGATGGAAGAACTCGAAGATGATGAAGATGATGAAGCTAATGACAACACCGACACTAAGGACCGAGCACAGCAGGAAGCCGAGATTGATCGGCGCATGCAAGATTTTGAAGCGCTCATGGAACGCCGGCCGTTCCTTGTGAATGATGTGCTTTTGCGTCGGAACCAAGATGACGTGCAAGAATGGGAAAAGCGTGTGACTCTGTGGGGCGACAATGATGAGATGGTGATCGCTACCTACAAAAATGCGCTCGAAACTATCAACCCCCGTAAAGCCACGGCTAATTTGCATCAGTTTTACATTCATTTTGCTCAGTTTTACGAGGATGGTGGCAGCTTGGGTAGGACAGATCCTAGTGCCGTGGAGCGTGATGTGGCCGCTGCTCGACAGATTTTTGAACGTGCCGTGAAAGTACCGTTCAAACGAGTGGATGATCTTGCAGAAGTATGGTGTAGCTGGGCCGAAATGGAAGTACGGAATGGCCATTATGACGAAGCTCTCCGGGTTATGTCACGAGCCACAAGCCCTCCATCCAGTCACACGAAAATACAGCAGATCTCTTATTATGATGATTCACTAGCTCCACAGTCCCGTTTGTTCAAGAGCCTAAAGTTGTGGGCGTTCTACACGGATCTTGAGGAAGCTCTGGGCACGCTTGAGAGCGCGAAACATGCGTTTGATCGTATTCTTGAGCTAAAAATTGCGAATGCGCAAACGATGATCAACTTCGCCATGTTCCTGGAAGAACAAGAATACTATGAGGATGCATTCAAGGTATATGAACGAGGTGTCGAACTGTTTACATACCCTGTGGCATTCGAACTGTGGAATGTGTACTTGAGCAAATTCGTCCATCGGTATGGCGGCAATAAACTAGAGCGAGCTCGCGACCTGTTCGAACAGGCGTTAGACAAGTGTCCAGCAAATCTGTGCAAACCGTTATTCCTGAAATATGGAGAGTTGGAAGAAAGATATGGCCTTGTGCGCAAAGCTATGAGTATTTATGAACGCGCAACAAGAGCTGTAGTGGATGAAGACCGCTATGAAATGTACTTGTACTATATTGCAAAGGCAGCAGCGAACTACGGACTTGTCGCGACTCGACCAATTTACGAAGCCGCCATTGAAGTGCTACCTGACCGTGATGCTGCATCCATGTGCTTGCGCTTCGCAACGCTGGAACAAAAGCTTGGCGAGACCGAGCGCGCTCGTGCTATCTATGGCCACGCATCTCAGTTCTGCAATCCGAAGACGCAGCCTGAGTTTTGGAAAGTCTGGAATGCATTTGAAATTGAACACGGTACCGAAGACACCTTCCGTGATATGCTCCGTATTAAGCGGTCTGTCCAAGCTCAGTACAACACAGACATGGCTAATATGGCTACAACGGTGCTAGGATCGGCGAACAGAGCCCCTTCCACTGCCGCACCTTCCGTTTCTGATCCTATGGCAATGATTGAGGCCCAGCAAACGGCTAAATCTGCCCGGACAGGCGTGCCATCGTTTGTGGCTGCATCTGCAACGTCGCGTCCAGCCACCGTTGCGTCGAGTCATCCGGAAAAACTTGGCACTGACAACGACATTGACGATGACGATGACCTGTTATAGCAGATATCTCATCTTGTAATGATGGTTTGGCATATTACATATATATATCCTTGAGGATGAACATTCACATGATCGGAGGGACTTTTTGATAGAAGAGCAAGTACGCCTGGCCATTGTGTGTGGAGGACCTATGGCCCGTGAACATTACTTCCTCTGCAGATATCTGCGATGCATAGGTATCGTCAATGTGAATCCAACCTGAATCGTCTTGGCGTCGCACTGCGACAGTGTAATGACCGCCGGAGGCGAGGCGTCCATGATGATACACAACGCCGAATAGCGCATACTTTGTCAATGAACACGCTCTTCGACAGGGTGTGCTTAAAATGTCAGGTGAGATTTCTAGTGACATGCCAAAATGGATTGGCTTCGTGCTCTTTTGAACACCATAAAATTCATCAAATACAAATCTCTTCAGATGCAGAACCAAGACGGGAGGCAGTGCCTCGATGCGCACCTGTTTTGTTGCGTCAACATACGCATTCCGCTGTGGAGACCATACACCAGATATCAACTCAGGCTCCGTAATATGACGTAACGCATCTTCAATAGTGTGCACATGAGAGGATTGGATGTCCAATGGCAATGAGCGATAAGGCTCAACCATGACACTTGTCTTCGCTCCTGGGCAAGACAATGTGCTGCGCAGTTTGCCATCGAACATGCGTGTCACCGGTGAATGTGTGTCAGTATTACCACTGGTACGAGTAAGACTGGTCCTGCCTTTCTGACCAACCTCTAGCCATTCATCTTGCTCGGGACTAGGTGGCCGCTGAACTTCCATTGCAAGAATGTCTTCCTCATCGCTCGAATTGTCTGACTCCATAGGCGGCGGGTAAGCTGCGTATGGATCACCCATGGCGACTGATTTTTTCGGCGCTCGCTGCTGCAACGATGCCGATGACTTTTTTCGTTGCATTGCCCGAGCAAACACAAGGACAACTTCTTCGTGCAGGGTGCTGAGGATGAGACTAAGAAACTCTTCGGCATCTTCCTGGTGACCAAGTTGAAACAAATCAAAGCGTTTATGCAGTCGCATCGCATCATAGATGTAATCGGGCAAAATCGGATCAACGCTCTTTTCAACTAGACCATACAACTGTTTCGATACGACAGGTATTTCAGAATAAAAGCGAAAGATAGCCTCAAGGAGCGGCGTGGAATTACTTAGATCTTGGGGTACCATCATGCGCAATTGCGTTAAAAACATATACAATGGTCGACAGAAAACAAGCATCTGAAGTACGGCACTGGCAAAACAAGAGTTTCCCTGATTCACTAGACCCACAGGAACGGTCAAAGGGGCATGCATACACTCGTGTGCATTTGAGTATAATTCCTCAATCGAAGCAGGCGGTTGAGTTGCATAACCCAAGTGCGACGTAGATGTATAAGAAGGACCTTCGATATGAGTTTGAGGTGATGTTGTCGCCTCTGTTCCCGTAGTGGATATAGATATAGCCGGCGAGTGGATCACCAATGCAGACTTATTCTTAGGGCATACGGATGCGGTCGCATGTTGCGACCAAATTCGAGGCTTCGACCATGCAGGTGTCACTGTTTCTATTGCTGACGGTGGCGGCGTGACCAAAGGCCCAGAGAGAACAGATGATGGTGTGAAAAACGACAACAACCGCGCACGAGCAACTTCGGGGCTAGCATTTTGTAGCATAAAGACTCCAGACATTCGAGCATCTGTGAAAGCATGCTTGCTGAGAAATATGCACAATTCCCCTGAATCGACTGGCACAAGATATGGAATGGCGCCATCCCATGAAAGACCTTTGACACTGTCACGACTGCGTCGAAGATTTTTACTCTGACGACGTCTTATTGGCACAATACGGATCGAAGTGGGTTCAATTGGTACCTCTGAAAACCATCGACAAAATTGTGTAGAGAAAACGTGAGCGCCGTGCGTTGAAGGAGAGCTCACGCTGTCCATGGATCCCCAAGTCTAAAGGACCAAGCACCTTGATGAGGTGGAGGAGAGAGAAAGGTCTTACAATAGAGAATTATCAACACATGTGACCGCTGCAACAGAATCCAGCAAGCCGCAGGAACTCGATTGCAGAGTGGGCAAGAGAAAAGTTGTTAAGAAAATAGAAATTCCAGCCAACTAGTAAGATGAGTACTATGTTATATAAACCTGGACTTAGCATAAAAAATAAACCATTTTTCTATGTGGTCAGTGAGAACATGTTTTGGCTCGGATAAGAAAAGACATGAGATATCAACACTTGTTGCAATGGTTTGCGTTAATAGGGTAAAAAGTATAGAATCAATTATCATCACTGGAGCAACTTGTTGTAATGGTTGGAGTAACCAAATTCTTCACATTTTCAGTTTCTTTAGAGTAAGGGGCTTGGGATGAAGAAGAGGGCGTAAATGTTAAGTTGGCTGGATTGAGTTGATCTTCATTAGAAGGGGGTTTCAGATGTGGTGATGATGAGACACGCGAAATATCCAACAGCGACTCGCTGGGTCCTACACTTGGCCTTGCCGGGAGCTCCAATTTGTTCGGAAGAATACCGAAGAGCGTAGATGGATGATCGAGTGGACCGGCATGAGTCCCAAGAGGAGTCACAGGTGTTGAATGCACGTTTGGACTTATTGGTGAATGCGTGCGATGCAATGGAGAACGTGAACGATGCAAACCCTGAAGGGTATTCGCGTGTAAACCAGCATATTCTAACGCATCCAGGTCTGTGCTGCGAGGACGTGTGATGTAAGGAACGGACGGAGTATCAACTGGGTACGCAAAAAGATTGTGTGAGCTGGGACTGCTTCCAAAATTGCTGAAACTGTCGAAGCGCGGATCGCTGGGAGCCGATAAACCTTCACGCAAACTGCTGTTTGACTTGCGTGGAAGCAAGTTGCTAGATGGTAGGGCCAGACCATGGAAAGAAGACGGGCTGCCGGCTCCGAAACTCTCTGGTTGGAATGCATCACGACGCATGTCAGGAACTGATTTTTTCGATGACAGGTCCGAATTAGTTGTCATGAAACGGTCCTTCAACAATGGCGATAGGTCCCGCGAGTCCATGGGAGCACTGTTGAGGCCCTGCGAAGACGTCTCTGATTTGGTTACCATCACGTAGCAGTCGTCGCCCGACCCGACAGTGAAGTGATTCAGCCCAAAACTTCGCGCCACCAAATGAACGACACGGCGTTCTGCTGGCGTCAGAGACTTGGAGAAAGCAAGTTCGTCGCGCATTCGATCGTCCTTAAATGCAAGGACACGTGAATAAACTTCCATTGTGGATGCATCGTTCAAATCAAGTGATGTTTCTTGCGCCTCTCCAACAGGTAAGCGAGAGAAATAAGGCGAAGTCTTGCCGCCATCAGGTGTGATTCGCTGCAAGCCATCCTTGCCAGACAGACCCGGTGTGCCGCCAATTCCAGGAGAAATGGCTACAGGTGAAATTGTGCTGAGTGAACCTAAGCTAGGAATTGTACTGGCCTCCGATGGGGATGCTCTGTCTCTTTTTCGCTCTTTGTCGTTGACATTGGGGAGTTGCATCCGTTTTAGCGCCTTCTCTTTTTCAATCCGTTCCTTCTCTCCAGCCTGAAGAACCTTCTTATACTCTACGCGCAGTTTACGGCCACTTACGTCCAAACCGTTCAAGGCAGCCACAACTTCATTCGCATCTGCTGGTGAGTGGAAATTCGCAAATGCAAGCCCGCGGAATATGCCTTGATCGAAATGATAGTTAAATGCATAAGGGACAGGAATTCCAAGGTCTCGAATGACATGAAGAAGTTGTTCGCGCTTGATATTAAACGGAATATTTTTGATCACAATTGCAGTAGGAATGATGTCCGCTTCCCCCGTGGGAGAAGCGGCTGGAGCTGTCATGTTGGTTCCAAAACGCAGAGGTGTGGGGTTCGGAGGCATCATAGCAGAAAGATTGCTAGTGTTACCGGGAGAGTTTGCTCGTTCAATAGGCACAGGGAAAGGGGCAGCCGAAGGTGGTGAGATGCTCCATGGACCAGAATAGAAAGGTGATTGCGCGCGTTGAATGCTAGATGGATTGAACATCGCTGGACTCCCGAACATATTAGATCGAGAAACACTTGACGATCCGACCAGCGGGGCGTTCGCTAACGCAGAATCATAAGGACGCTTATGCATAAAGTTAGACTCATCTGCAGCCGAAGGCCCACCATTAAATAATTGATGGAACCGAGAAGCGCCATTTTTACTAGTACTGTCGTTCACAGATGAGTAAGGAAAGGGAGAGAAAGCAGATGGACGTTCTAAAGGCGCAGGGAGTTGTGATGAGAATGCATCGCTTTCGCCCATGAGACGTGATTGTGGACTGCGGAAATCACTCCCTATGGAGAGTGCATCGAGTGAGTGCGTTAAAGATTCATCAGACATGTCGAGAATAGTTTCCAATACTCTTGAGAGGATCAAACACTGCCCATGCACTTGCAGCCAGAGTCTGATGAGTAAGGAATGCGAGTAATGTTCCACAGCAAGGTGTTAGGTTTAAGCTGTATATACAAGCCCGCGTAAGTGTGGGAGAGGGGTTTCAGGTTTCTTTGGCACGATCACTCTGGTATCGGCAAAAAAATATGTATATATATCCTAGGTCGATAGGGTAGAACGGAAGACGCTACTTGCTGGTGATTACTTCGCTTGAGGCCAAAAAAAAAAAAAAAAAACGACGTGCCACCATCCGAATCTCAGACCGCATTCAAACCACCGGCATGTATGACTAATTATGGTTCCGAACGGCCAAAAAAATAGTGGCATCATAAACGCGAAGTATCTGGACTACTGTGATGATGGTCCATCATTGCTCGATTGCACCTTCGGGTAGCATATCAAAAAATTGGAACGATACAGAGAAGATTAGCATGGTCCCTGCAGTAAGGATGACAATCATGATCAGAGAAGAGTGTCTCTTACGAGACAATTATGTTTTTGCTACGCATTACCTCCGCTCGATTGTAATGGCAGAAAATGCTCGAACTTATAGGGCAGCACTGGCCCTATCCATAATCCCTATTTCATCTAACCTCCGGCCTTGTGGTCACAACTGAATCATTTTGGTATTCTATAATGTAACTGTGCTTATCCGTACATGTGAACAGTGCCGTCCGCTCCGGCGGTTGCAACAAATGGCATCGAAGGATGATATGTCACATTTAGTACGCCTTCATTCTGTTTCATCTGATGAGGGGAGAGTTCTTGGAAACAAACTGCTGTATACTCCTGATTAGAAGCAGCGGTATTGGAAGTAGAGGCAGTCGCCGAGGTTGAGCCAGACTCACTTGACTTAAGCAAGTCCCAGAACCGAACCTTGCCATCATGGCTGCCACTTACCAGTGTGAGACCAGAAGGATCAATGTCTAAGCACGCGACACCTTGATCATGCGCTTGCAGAGAAAGAGTGCAAGAGCCTGTATGTATATCATACAGATGGATGTATTTGTCTTCGTACGCTGCAGCAACGAGAGGTAGAGTTGGATGACCCACCACAGCTCGGACCTGAGAGGTTGGAAGAGACGGATTGAATCGCCTTACTTCACGACCAGATGCCAGTTCGAAAAGCTTGACGATGCCATTCGAGAACGCCACGACGCATACTTTGAGGTCAGCCGAGCACTTCGTCACAGACTTAGGCACAGGTAAACATGTAAGAGACTGGCGCTCAGCATCAGCTTCTTTGCTGGGTTGAGTGCCAAAGTAGTCCCAGCTGAGGAATAGGCGCGGCGATGCTTTCGCATCAGTTGACCACAGTCTAATCATACCATCCGCCGAAACGGAAGCAAGTATCGAGTCCTCTTGAGCGTTCATCGGAAAAAGTGCCAAATCCCAAACGATGCCCGAGTTCCCAGGCAATATTATCTGGTCCATTGCATCAAGTGCAGATGAATGTTTTGTCGGTGTATCATTTGGCAGGATCCATTGACGAATAGTCGTATCTTGACTACCACTAAAGAGAACATTGAGTTTCCTTGAACATACCAGGCAAGTAACGGGCGCTTCATGACCACGCATAGTCGTTAGCTGCTCGACCACAGGATCATCAGAGGCACCTTCCGATGACTCGGTCGACAAGAGATGCCAGTACTTGATTGTGCAGTCGTCAGAAGCTGTGAAAAGACCATGACCAAATGAGTCATACGCCAGAGAGCGCACAGAATCAAAGTGGGCCATGATGGTACCCCGCGGATTCCATAGCTGTACGTCAGGAATAGTTGCGAGTTTTTCAGTTGAGGAGTCAATAGTTCGGTCGAGTGTTGGCGTTAAATTCGGCTTGCATTCTTGAACCGACTCTGGCAGTTTTTGCGCGCAGTTGTCAACTGATGGGTTCAAAGAAATAGCAGACTTCACAGCGCTTGTGCTAGACTGGCCACCATGTGTTTGAGAGACATCGTAAGAATACCTGTAGTCGTGAGTGTCTTTTTGCTGGTTGAAGTTGTTGGTGTGAAGGTCCTGAATTTGATGGTTGCTGTTGCTATTGTTTTTATTTTCAGTTGACGACTCTGCACCAGGTATATGAAAAAGGGGCCGCGATGGGTGAGAAGCTTCGCCCTTCGCGTCGGTTGTGTCGGACTGATTCGCGATAGGATTAAGTGTGACATTGCTGGTAAGATACGCGATTTCCTGAAGACACTGTTGTAAGTACGCACGACTCTTAGCGCGACCTTTTGCATCCTTCACACCGAGCGGTACTTTCACATTGTTGGACGAAGAGAGCTGTTTAATCATGTCTTGTCCATCCTCGTACAAAGCCGAGTGAGGCCCACCACTTTGACTACGCTCGTTCTGTACCCGAGAAGTGATTGTGGAAATTGAATTTCCCGGGACGGAAACACTATTTTGAGTCCCTTTCATCCGTTCTTGACGCAACGCGTACTCAAGCATTTTGATCCGGCGCAACAAATCGGTCTTCAGGTTTTCCACGCTTCTGCGTTCACCTTCAAGCAGAGCGATGCGCGCTCGAAGCTCAGCTCTTTCAATGCTCCATGCATTTCTTTCATGTTCGTAACGACGCCATTCACTCTGCAAAAAATGGAGCACACCCGACAAGTTATAATCTGGAACACCGCGACCTCCGGTCTCATTAGAGCCGCTGGACCCATGCCCTAGAGTTGCGCCAGTTGCAGAGTAGCTCGACATTGTTTCTGCCAAACTAACCAAGCACTTGTCGTCTCGACGGATCGGCACGTGTTCCTAGCCAGGCGTGCTATAACGTCGGCCGCGGTGAAAACCCTCCCACGATGTGAGTTCGTGAGGCCAAACAACATAAATCTCATGTGCTGCAGGCCGAACAGTATGCCTTCTATGGAGGTGTGTACCACGTGGAGTAACAATCTCAGACATACCCATCGGATGTACTGCAAGGATTGTTGCGATTGTGGTATTCCACAAGATGGCAGCGGAAGATCCTGTACGTACTGTTGGTGCTGTAATTTTTCTAACAGCGACATAGGAACACGCAGATATTTTCGGGGCGGAGTCAGATGAGGAAGTGGGTATCTCAAAGGAACATCAGGTGCCTGAGCAGACCAAACAGCCACGAGATAATAGCCACGACGATGCCGATGACCATCTCCCGAGCATTCCGCGGCGAGAGGTAACAGAAGACATGATCCAATCTGAGCCTAAGCGACTAAAAAAGAAGTATAATGAGCATAATCTGGAAAAAGATTCTGGCGTCGGAGAGCAAGAGATACAAGAAGAGGAAGAAGAAGCGCCGTTGACTGGCAAAGCGTTAATTCGCGCCCAAGTGGAAGCAAGAATTGAGGCAGCATTGAAGTCAAATAAGCGTCGAAACACACGTCGGCGTAAGACAGGCGAAGATGACTTGGAGATGATGGCCGATGAGGAGGTATCTGCTTTGCGTTCTGAGATGCTTGTAGCCGCGGACGAAGACGAAGAAGCGAACCGGTATAGGCAACCAGCTACGTCCAAGTTACGTCTTCTCCCGCGTGTCGTAAGCACATTACAAAAGTAAGTGTATGTGTGTTTCGGGATTCTCACCACGCAGGACGCATCTCCAACAAGCAATCATGGACAACAATTTACTGGAAGGTGTGAAACGATGGCTGGAGCCTCTTCCCGATCGCAGTCTGCCGGCGTTGAATGTTCAAAAAGAGTTATTTGGCGTGTTGGAGACCATGACCATTGACACAATCAGTCTTAAAATGAGTGGCCTTGGTCGCGTGGTCGTATTCTATACACTTTGTAAGCGAGTCGAGCCATCCATTCGCCGCACAGCAGAGCATCTAGTGGAAGTGTGGACACGGCCAATCTTGAAACGTTCGGCATCATATCGCGATCGTCAAGTGGCACAGGCTGAGTGGCATCAGAATTCGCCTGTCAACCCATCAAATCACTTGCATGAATCGGCCTTTGTGGCGAACAAAAACCGACGTCATGTTGGCATTCCACAATCTGTGACGACAGGATTCCAGGTTGCTCCCCGGAATCGCGTGGCTGGTAGCACCAACGATCATGAGCATCAAACGCGCCTGGCGAACTATCAAAGGTATGTGCGGCAAAGGCGTCATGCCGGTGCGTCATTCAAAACTGACTATATCGTCGAACAGATTGAACCGCTTCAAGTCGCGGTTGAAAGACGCGAGACGCTAGAACATTCTCTACGAAACAGCTGGCTCAAATGCAAATTCGCACATACCCTTGCCTCTCTCTCTCTCTCCCTCCCCTACTTGCACCGCTAGTTGGTTTACTTAACAATTCGACAGCTCGTGAGTATATGAATCTAACGGAGTCGGGAAAGGAACGTATCTGACAATTCCTATCCCTCCCCCAATTTCATCCCGAGCGCACAAAGATAGGCAGGCTTCTCTCATTGATAGCATTTTTGGAGACTGTCGCTACTCTAGCAACAAAGAAGAGTGAACTAGGGAGTCCAATAAAGGATCCTAAGTTCCAATCATACACTATAACCGACGTAGGGCGGTGGGCGACAACACCAGAAGTTTGTGTGTGTGTGATGTATCTTTCGGGGTAAATAGGAACCGATAGAACGAGGAGGAATACGTCAATTGGCCTCTTACTCTTCTTCCTCGCCACCCTCTTCGTCACCGCCAGCGGCCTCCTCAGCAGCCTTCGTGCGCTTGCGCTTAACACGGCCTGGACGAGCACCAGCATAGGGCGAGTTGAGGGCGAAGTCAATGTGCTTCTGCGACTCGAGACGAACGATGAATGAGGGCGACGTCACGATCTGCTTGCCCACGCGGATGTGACGCTGGAAGATTAGCACACGCGCGTGGTGAATGCTGCGAGCAAGACCGCTCTTGTACACCTGCGTCTGTAGGCGGCGTTCAAGGAAGTCCTCAATTTTCAAAGCCAGCACGTAATCGAGCTTCATGCGCGACTCATCGAGCACACCAATGCGGATGAGACGGCGAATAATGGCATTGCCCTCAAAGAGACGCTTCGGGTCCTTCTCGTCGAGCTTAAGAAGCTCACGAGCAGCACGACGAATTTTGGAAAGAGTCAAGGCAATGCGCCAGATTTCCTTCTTGTTCTTGAGACCGTACTCACCGGCAAGCTTCAGCTCGGCATCCAGACGAGGCGACTCGAAAGGACGACGGGGAACCTTGTACGTCTTACTGTGGTTACGAGGGGCACCCTTGCAATGGCGAGTCGCAGTCGGCATCTTGGTGAGGCGTTACGATGGAAACGGATGTGGACGCGCCAGACTCTTCTTCGCCCTGCGGTGCCAGACGATCAGGTGTGTCTGTCGAAATTATCACGTGACTATTATAGTTTCAGGCGGAGGAGCGAGATCAAGTGGCTGCAGACTGCTACTGGTTGTGGATGCAAGAAAGTAAGTTCGTCCACACCCTTGTCCTCCCTAACACGAACTTGTCAAGATGCCTCACAGCTATGGTTACAGGGCGCGCACTCGGCACATGTTTGCCAAGCAGTTCCGCAAGCATGGACAGGTGCAGCTGAGCCGTTACTTGCGTCCATTCCACTCGGGCGATATTGTGGACATTGTGGCCGACTCTGGTGAGCAAAAGGGTATGCCACACAAGTATTACCAAGGCCGCACGGGCGTGGTGTACAGTGTGTTCCCACGTGCTGTTGGTGTCATTGTGCACAAGACGGTCGGAAACCGTAAGATTGAGAAGCGTGTGAGTGTGCGGGTTGAGCACGTTCGCCACTCGAAGTGCCGTGACAACTTTGTGAACCGTGTCAAGGCGAACGCTGCTGCTAAGCATGCGGCGAAGGAGAAGGGCGAGCACGTTTTCTTGAAGCGCCAGCCAGCTCAGCCACGAGCTGAACACACCATCACAGTGGGTGAGAACAAGCCAGTGACGCTTGCCCCGCAGCCATACGACACGTACATTTAAAATCTCTGTTGCAAGAGTTGGAGCGTGGATTGTGGTTGATGAGTGTCTGGAGAGGATTGATGGTGGAGAGTACACATGCAGCTGCATGATCAGGCATGTTGGATCTCTTGTCCTCATGATGCTTTTACTTTGTTTTTTGAGCTCACACACGCTCTCTCGCAAGTCTTCCGTGGCACATTTTCCCACAATGTACTGATTGTATTACCATTTGCTCGGCGTGGTTTCTATTTATATTTACGTAGAGCGTTGAGAATGGTATAAAAAAATCAACATGATATATTCTACAGCACAGATGGGATGTTTCTAAAATTGGTTAGCAGTATTGGCTTTGAGTTAGTGGGAGGGACAGTGAAGCCAAGCAAAATGCCGGGCAGGCAAAGAACAAAAGAATTGTTTACCTTGATGTAGTATCTAGGCGAATAGCTCGCATGAGCGAGCCGTGCCAATCGCAAGAACCTTGGCACCGTATGAAAAAGGATCACGCTGTGAGTAAGTATGCCGCACATGGACATATGTAGATGAAGACGTACATCGAATGCAACAAAGTCAGTGGTCTCAGATGTGTTGAGCCCTAGCATGTGTTCGATACTGGGTGGGATGGTCAGCTCGTCTGTACATATGTTTGGCTCACACGTACTTTGTTGTTACAAGGGCAAGTATGTCAGATGCACTGCCCATGTGCGCTTCCTGGGCAGCCCACACGGTATCCCATAGTAAGTTTGCTGCTTCCCAAGCCTCTTGAATTCGAATGCCCACTTGGACGCCATGACGGAGCAAGACGCCGAGTTCCGTATCACGAGTGAGTGGAGGACCCATAAGCCGATGTCTTTGCTCCCAACTATACATCCAAACCTTGGCAGGCATCAAGACCGGGATGTTTGCTTCAGCGAGCTGAGCAGCCACTCCATGCAAAGCACCAGCCGAATCAATGACCAGACGCACCTGTGGGAATGCTCGCTTGAGTAAGATGAGCTTGGCAACGGTGCCATATGCATCTGCCTTGACGACCAATGGCCATTCACCGTTCGCGACGCGACGCCATTCCATGGTCGTGGGCTCCGATATCATGCTGCGCAAGAGAGCCAACTGCGTTGCCATCGAAGCTGTATAGCCTGTGTTGTCGCGGCCGTCACTTGAAAAAGAGGATGATGGAGGCGTGAGCGAGACATGCAATGCCACATCGGATGCACGTACACTCAGCTTGTCCAGCACAGAATGTGCGCCAGTATCAAAATGAGCAGACACACCACCGAACATACCGCGTACGGCCGGCGCACTGACAGCCGTCGTGATGCCGGAGGCATGCGCACGCAGGAGCGCATGGCCGTCGAACATAAGACTGTCTTCAGCCCGCGGAACAGGGCGCGCAAGATCAGGACGCAAGTGGTGTGTCAACATCGATACATCGTCGCCACTTGAGGCATCTGTTTCGCTGGGGATGTCTGACAGGCCGAGTGTGCTGCCGTACGCCGTTAGGCCAGGAAGAATCATACCACCATGCAGGTCGACCTGATGGGCGTGGGCAGGTACGTGAGTTGCGCAATCGCTGGGCCGAGCACCAATACAAGTGATCTTCCCATCATCGTACACGAGGGAGCCACGAGCAAGATCAAGTGTCTGAATAGTGCCATTCTTGCGCTGGAAAATGCGCGACACATTGGTCAGCACAACAGACGAGGTATGTGCGATCGGCTCGGGGAACGGAGGCGACGCAGACTGGACAATGGCATCTGTCTCATTCAGCACACGCATGCGTTCGTATGAAAAGTCGGCAGAGGGCGGTGCTGATGCGGGCTTGCGACCATGAATATCAGCGCCTGATTCATGCTCGGTAGACGAATGCTGTGAGAGCTGCGACACACCATCCACATACACAACGACGGGCGTAGCACCAAGCTGCAGCGGGTGGCGATCCCACAAGACAACATCTGCATCCATGCGAGGGGCAATATAGCCTACGCGATAATCAAGACCCAATACGCGCGCTGGCTCAGACGTGACACCGCGAAGAGCATCGAGAGCATCGAGGCCATAGTGATGTGCTTGCGCGGCCTGATTTACAAGACGACGGGAATCAGTTACAGGGTGGTCACTTTTGAAGATAGGCGTGATGTTGTGCGCCTTGAGCAGGTCAGCGAGGAATGGCGTTCCAAAGTACGACTCGTACTTGTAGTACGCGTTGGTCGAAAAGATCGCAACGGCTGGGGCACCACCAGGAGCTGCATGGAGCAAGGAAGGCACGAGGTACGTTTCGTGCGCATGGTGAAATGCCGCAATAGGGAATCCAAACTAGTTCGCGTGACGTACAAACGAGTCAAGGTCATTCATTGTATAGCAGTGCGTATGAACTTTCGTTCGTCCACGCAAGACGTCGACAAGAATGTCGAGTTCAAGATCATTGGGAAAATGCAGCGCTTCCGGCGGCGCGTGGTCCAAAAGACCCAGATCGAGAGCGGTGCAAAAATCATCCTGCTTCTCGCGCAGCTGTTGTGCTTTCTCGAATGAGGCGCGGAAATTCCAAGCCTCATCCATACGTACGAGATTGTACTTCAATGCATTTTCACCGCATGCCATTTTCATGTGTCGAAACGACGTGCTTGCATCTGGACGATGCATGCCGGACGCGGCCATGTACATGTCGTCGCGGTCATCCACATTCGCCTCGCCAGGCATGGTAAGTGCTCGTGGCGAGTCAATCACGCGTGACGATGGTGCTCGACCGGCAAGAGAGCCGAGCTTGATGGGCACGGCATGACCACCAATGTTGTTAAGGGAGCCAGGAAGCACAAGAGCTGTGGTGATCCCGCCGGCCAGGGTACTTTGCAGGGAGAGATCATGCTCGTTGAACCCATCAATACTGCGTACCATAGGACGAACAGGGCTCTGTCGAGTTGCCATCCATATGCGTAGGAAGAACAGGCATCCCAAACACGCCTAGATGCGTATGCAAATCGATGATGCCAGGTGTAAGCCAACGCCCAGCCGCATCGATGTGATCAGTCTCAGTATCACGGGGCACCGGGACTTGCAAATTGGTAGGTTCGACAAACTGGATCAGGCCGTCTGACAGAAACACATCATGATGCGGCAGGATACGCTCGCCATCAAACAAGGTTGCATTCCGAATCACCGTGCGCGGTGCCCCAGGGACGCGCCGATCGTTTACTGCACGTTTGTGAAAGTTTGGCGGGGCGCCAGCACGCGCCCTCGCGTAGCGGCACTGCTGCTGTGCGTGGAGTTTGTATGAAGCTGGCACATTTTTGGCAGGAACTCCGCCTTGTACATAGGCGTGCAGTCGCTCCAAGTGACGCGACATACGCACGACGGGCAAGTTGACAAGCATGCACGCAACAGATACGAACACTAGAAAGAAGAGCCATGACACTCGCGATGACATAGACGATCTAGAGTGCCCTGGATGCGTCGATAAGGGAATCGGGCTCATCCATGCCTCCGATTTCATCACCAATGTGCTGAGCAGCGCGAACAGGCAGAAATACGGTTTGTTGCAGACCTAAGAAAGTGTGTGGCTGCAAGCATATTTGTGGATCAGATTCCTGATTCGCCACAGCGTGATTATAGATAGACTTGGGCTCGACCAGTTTCAGTAGCAACTAGCAGGCACACGGTGGAGGGGAACATGAACTTCCATGAAGACCAGGCTGTTCACCGAAGGCACGGTGCAACGAACGTGCGGGAAATCGTGCGCCAGAAAACAAAACCGCTGGTTGCTTTCCGGCATGAGACTATGTCCGTGCACTTATGGCGTTTATTTCAAGTCACTATACATCCTACGTATCAGACACGCTCAACTTCCCTGTGCGTGATTCAACGTCGACCGTTGGAGCTGACTCTGACGCGGATCCAGCGTCAGTGCTATTTTGGGTTCTTTTTTCACCGGACAAATGCCGGAGAAGCATCTGTACAACATCCTCCCGATCCGACATTTGTGCTTCAGACATGGGTCCGCGACCAGCCTTGTTCCGAACATCCCATAGTGCACGTTCGCTCTGCAATTCGTCATGATGTGCAAGTTCTGCTTTGCGTGCATCTTCCGACTCTCCCTCTGTATCTTTGTTCTTTTCAGCATGACGTTCATGCTCACGACGATCCTCTTGCTCGCGTAGTCGACGCGCTGACGGCTCGTCTTGCGTCTCAAGAGCCTCAATACGATCCACGAGACTTTCTGCCACTTCAAGATGTCCATTAAATGCTGCCCAATGTAAGGGTGTGTTTCCTGCCTCGTTCCGTGAAAGCAGCATGTCCAAATTGGTTTCCGGCAGCACTTGTTGCAACAAGTCAAGGTGACCATTCGCAGCAGCGTAGTGTAGCGCAGAGTTGCCCATATCATTTGATGCGGATAGCGCTACGTGTATATCGACTTGGTTTATGATCTCATTCCATGCCTCTACATCGCCAGCACGCGCACTCCAAAGGACGTCGTCGAGTTGAGTGTCCGTCAAGCTCATTCTTGGTTCGCGCAGCTAACGACAACGAGAGAAAAAAAATAGGTAATACAAGACCGCCTTGCGTAAGCACATGAGCCGAACTTGACTGTGGCTGCTGCTGTCCGCCTACCAACAAGCGTCGCTTTGCACACCTCCACTCACTGGCCCCATGCCTTGATGACTGTGCATGTGTAAGCACACCGCGTTTTGAGCATTGTATGTTGCTGCGTGGGCAACCGCAACAACGACACGCGGGTTTATAGCTGGATCTTGCTTGCGAACAGGTCGAAGTGGCTGTTGGCCGATCGTTGAGTGTTTGTCATACCGCGCGTGGTAGGCGGACGAGCCGAGCGATCCCACGCAACCTACATTGCGTGTCCTGTGCTTTCTTTGGCGTACTAGGAAACGCATGAGTCATGTTGAACGAGGGCAGAGACGAGTTCGAGCAGCGTGGACAGACAGACCAGCCACAACAGGAGCAGGAGCCGACAGAGCAGCAGAATACTTCGCCTTTGTCGTCGGATGCCGAGACAGAGCCATTGACGAACGATGATCCAAGTCTCGACGGAACGCTTACGCAGCAGGAGGCAATGCATGTACGTGCAAGTCCAGCACCTGCTGCAGAAGGATCGCCAACGCTTCATGGTGCGGTCGTAGACGATGTGCACCAGGCAGATACAGGGGAAACCGTGACTCCCTCTGGCAATTTTGGGAGTGAAAGTGATCTGACGCATGAGTCAGAGCGAGCGACGCCACAACCGACAGAAACACAAGATCATGGCGCACACGAGGATGCGCCACCACTCGCCAGTTCCGCAGAGTCATGGGACTTGACGCAAAAGCCGAGCGCGACTGGTCTAAAATGCAGTGCGCTAGACGGACTTGCCGAACTAGCAGCTTCAGCAGGTGACATGGCACAGAATGATACCGCATACACACGCACGAATGATGCAGGTGCGCTCGAAACGCATGCCTCGCAGGACGAGGTAGTTGAGCAGGAAGAGAATACATATGCACGCCCAGTTACCAATGACGGTGCAGATGCAGATGCCTTCGACAAGAATGTCGAGGCTGACGACGACAACAACAACAACGACGATGAGGATGACGATGGCCATGATGATACAGCGCCGAGAACGCCTTTCACACAAGTGCATGATCGCATCGATGACGTGGCAATGGACATGCACGCATCACCACAACGCAAGACACAGTCGCTGCACCGCGCGGTGATCGCCGCTATGGGCAAGCGCCGCGCCGCGGCGACTGGTGGTGCACCCAGCTTGCTGGTGGACCAAGATGTGGACAGTTCCAATCCGCCTTCGGCAGCGACTAGTCGGCAGGGAAGTCCGACGGCAGATTCAGAGGATGCTGTGGATGCAACAAAGGCTCCCGACCAGGATGAGACAGCGTCCGGGAAGGAGGACGACAACGGTGCCGACGAAGACAGAAGCGAGGAAGCACTAGGACGGATGCAGGAGGAAACCGGAGAAGAGGATACCGAAAACATGGACGTCGATGAGCGACTGGAGCAACGCACGTCTCGGAAAGGACAAGACCAAACGAAGCAAGAACCTGGTGAAGACGACTCTAGAGCCGACACAGTGGGTGAGGGGGACAGTGAGCGGACGGAACAGAGAAGAAAGAAGGCAACAAGGACGAACGAGAAAGAGGATGCTGTAATGACGACGCCCTCAAAGGGAAGAGGCAGTACAAGTGCTCACTCTGTAGATGCTGCTGAGAACGAAGAAGAGACATCCCTACATCGGCAAGAAGCCCTGGATCAGCTGACTCGTATCGAGTTGGGTTTCGTAATGCTTCGACAGCGGTTGTATACTGAGCGCTTAGAGGAGCTGGAGCGCGAAGCGGACATGATCCAGCAAGGGACGCACCCCGAGCTGCGCATTTTGCACACGCTTATCGACACACGCAAAGAAAAACGCCTGGCATGCTTAGATGTATGGTTGCGTCTGCAGGAACAAGAGTATGAACACTTGGAGAAAACAGAAGAGAAAATAGCGTGGGTCAATTGGCGTGATCGAGCCGCGTCGATTCGACGCGAAATGATGTCGCAGACCGACCGGAAGCGACGCAAGTTGGAGCGTGAGAAGCGCATGCTCGATGCACCACAGCCAGCACGACGGCATCAGCCATTTGAGGCTGAGTTTGCTTACAAGCCACCTGCCTATTCGCGGCGCACACGCCAGATGCCAGATTTGTATATGAAAAGCGAGGCATCCCTGCGTGACGTGCGCAACTTTGTCGCATACCCTGATGTGCGTGGACTTGATGAATATGATGCCTGGCTTGATATGGAGCAAATGGGCATACGACCTGTACCCATGCCGCCGCCCGGTTACTTGCGTGTGGATGAAGTGCCACCAGCAGCAGCACACGAGCTGTATGTGCCAGCACCGCTGTCGTCGTCGTCGTATGCAACAGGAGGAAGTGAGGCAGCTATGCCTCCAGGGGCTGAACATATGGGCTATTATGGGCCTCTTCCTCCTCCTCCTGCAGGTGCCCACAGAGGCCATTTCGAGCACGGTCCTCTTCCTCCGCCTGCCGGCGCCTACGATGGCATGTACGTCGACACGATGGACATGTCACGGCGCGCGCCCCAGAACGCAGAGTACGAAGCTCCGATTCCGGCACGCCCTTCAGCTGCCGGGGGAGCGGCTGGAGTTGGAGCGCCGGGTCATGCATCGGCAGCAGACTCTGGTGCTGGTGCGAGTGCTAGTACTGGCACGGGAGCGCCTCCTTTCGCATCGTCAAATATGCCGACACCCACCGGCAACTATTCCATGTCGTCTGAGCAGACGACATTGAATGGCGTGCCCATGACGCATGTGGTTCGTGCATGATGTACATGATACACTACGGAAGTGGTTCACTGCTACTGGAGAGCCGGTTGAGATGCAGATAGACATCTGTGCCATAGCTGTACAGACAAAAAGCCTCCGTTAATACGTGTTCCATCAAACACGGGTAGCGCAAGCAAGCATGAACAAACACATGCAAGCGCTGCCCACGTACATACGTACCCTTCCATCGAGATCAGTCGTAGATCGCCGCCAAAATAGCGTGCATACTAGGTAAATACGTGTTAGTAGGAGAGAGAGAGAGAGAGAGAGTAGGGCGTTGACAGCACAGCAACGTACCAAACGAGCCAGCGGAAGACCGTAACCAAAGCCAGCCATGGGCGCCTGGAAGTCGGACGAATGGAAATCTGGGTCCAAGTCTTCCGAACGCGCGGTGGTATACATATACGTCCACGCCTGCGGGACTTCACTGCGGGGAATGCCACCACCTTCGTCGCTGATCTTGATCGTGATATCCTCTTTGCCCTCAACGACAATCACCTTGATCGGTGGGAAATGGTCCTCATTTTCAACGCCGTATCGTTCTACCACCGCACGCAGCGAATTTTTCAGCAGCTCAAACAGCATGTGGTTCAAGTGACTTGGCACGTACATGAATGTCAAGTTCTTTGGACATACAAGCTGGACTGGGGGTGCACGGAACAAGCCATAATGCTCTTCACACACGAAGCGCGAATTCTCAATAGCTTCATGCGCCACAGCCCCGACATTCGTGTTTGTGCAAATTACTCCGACATACTCCTCAGGCTCGCTCCCACTCACATCACTCAATGCGCCTTTTGTCGCTTGCGCAGAGAGATAATTGAGCGCACTTTTCTTGGGTGCCATACACGCACGGCCCAACGCAATGTGTTGTCCAATCAGCATGCGAATACCTATGCGAGACATGTAGAAACGGTCCAAGAACACTTGTAAATCTGCTTGATTCGTGCTATTCTTCTTTGCACGCTTGTACTCCAGTACACCTTGTGCAATCGTCGTGACTACGCCGTCGTGCCGGTGCTTGATACGCTCGAGACACCGCGTAAATCGGTTGTTGAACTCAATCACATCCGCTGGCCAGTCAATGCCATCCAGCCGGGTCTGCGTCCCATAGTTCAGTGTTGGCCGTCGCCGCATTGGCGAATGCTCCGCCCGTTTGCTATTCGCAATCAGATGAGTTTTCGATACACCGTCATCCAACAACGCGTTTTCCTCCAGACTTGGGTTGGGTGTCGCTGGCGCTGGTTCCAGCGTGTCCGACACAGTCGACTTGAGTAGCTTCCGTTGAAGCGAGTCAGGCAAGTGTGGCTGAGGGAACGACACGAGTTCATCAAATGACTGCGCGTACCAGTTCTTGACCTTGATGATGGATGGCATATCAGACAAATTTCCAGGTAGCTCCTGTAAATCCTTCACTCGATGCGCGAATCGCACAGGCAATTCCTCTTTTATGATGGTCAGTACCATCCCATGCTTTGTCAGACAAGCCCACACTTTTACGCACCCATCAAGAACGAGCTTGCGAGCAACAGGGTTCCAGGATTGGCATTCCGCCCGAAAATCACCATTTGTCGAAGCGACACACCTGTCGGTGGGAATGCTGCAAACCGATTAATTTGCGACCATAGCTTCGCTGATATGTGGTACGCCCTATGCATGTCAGTTCAGGTCTTCCTTTCTCTTTCTCTGTCTCTTTCTCACATACATGCCATACAATCACAACAATCGACACGCAGGTTGTAGTCTATACGAGCTCGTCAAAAAGCACTCCCAGCCTGCGTGAAGATCAAGCAAGTTTCTAGTTCCCAATAAAAACCCTGGTCTCTCGCTACCCCAGATCCGATGTCGCAGATAGTCGACGTAGGGTTCTCCACCATATCTCAGCCAGGTCTCGCACGCCCATCCACTCACCTTCAACACAACCGTTCGTTCTTGGCTCGCTCGCGCCCATCTTACTTGATCACGTGATGATCACGTGTCGTGTGCCAGCGGGCCAGTGCCCGGCCTGCTCCGTGGCAATAGTCGGCGCGGCCGGTCGGAAAGCCTGTAGCTGCTGCTAGTGTCCACACTCGGGCCTCTCCGCCAAAGTTGGATTTTGTCTAGCTGCCAAAATCATGGTGTTCCGGATTGTTTCCCGCAGTGCGCAAGGTATGTCCTCGAGTCCCTGATTTACGTAGGGCAGATGCTGACATTCACAATCAGCCGCGACTCGCCACTCTCTTGCTGCGTCGGTTCCGCGCCCGGCAGCCGTGCTGCCTGCTGTGATGAAGACGCCGTACGTATTTGACAAATCAATCATTGCTCTTGCGGCCAGATCAACATGCTAACACGAGAGGGTCGCATCGGTGCCACATGTTTTGGTTTCCGATCCCACCCATCCATCTGCAGAGCACGTTTCTACTCTGACAGTACGTTTCGCCACCACACCCACACACATGCACGGCCGATCGGTTTGGTCCGCGCGCCATGTGCCTTTCCGCCCCAAAGGATATCGACTAACCACTCTCACTCTATTAGAGCCATCGCCCGAGGCCAAGGCATCCTCTATCATTGACTCTCTTCCAGGCAACAGCCTCATTTCCAAGACGACATGGGTCACCCTCGGTGCCGGTCTCACAGCGTTCGGCGTGTCAAACGAGTTGTATGTCGCTAACGACGAGACGGTCATTCTTGCCGGTTTCTTGATCTTTGCTACGCTTCTCGGACGCAGTGTGTCGACACCGTACAGGGACTGGGCTGACGCTACGATCGCTGTACGTACACGGCAGTTCGCGCATGAGCGTGTGTTCTAGACACACGTCTGCTTGTTTCGTATATCTAACCGCAGAAAATCTCGGGTATTCTGAACGAGGCCCGCTCCGGCCACACGAAGGCCATCCAGACTCGTATTGATGCTGTTGACGAGAAGAAGGACGTTGTTGATGCTACGAAGGGCCTCTACGCTCTTGCCAAAGAGACCGTCCAGGCCGAAAAGGAGGCTTTTGAGTTGAAGCAAAAGACACAACTCGCAGCCGAGGTCAAGACGGTCCTCGACAGCTGGGTCCGCTTCGAGGCGCAAGAGCGTGAGGCTGAGCAGCGTCTCCTGACTGAGACCGTGATCGAGAAGGTTGCTCAGACGATCCGTGATGATAAGACGCAGAAGCAGATCCTCGACAGCGCTGTTGCCGAGATTGAACGTATGTATATCTTGTTTCGTCGGATCTGTTCCGAGGCCTAGCCGCGTGCGTTGACTGACCTATATTACAGAGCTCGTCAAGAGCAAGAAGATCTAATCTGGTCTGCCGATGCCCGCAGTTAGGAATGGCAGGGTAGTAGGAAATTGAGAGCGAGATGACCTGAACAAGAATAGAAAGCGGGGAGCACATGTTCGTAGATAGATGATGTTGCCGCTTTTTTTTCCTTGCATCTCTCCCACGCTGACTCGACTCGCTGTCCCTCATGTTACGTGAATGCGACAAGATGCGCGAGGCGCCGTCGCTTGGCGATTTCTTCATTGTCCAGCACACGTTTTTTAGGGCCTTGCGCGTTCTGTGGACCGCTCGTGCTCGTTTGTGGGGGCAGTACAGCACCTCCATCCCCCGTGGTCGTGGGGGATCCTTTCTCAGACAAGTCAGGCATAGATGATGCTGGTCTCGGAAGTTGGTCAGGCGGCGTAGGCAATGGACCTGTGCGGAAGTAGGCATGTTGTAGAGCATCGGTCGATCGCAGACGACGCAGAGGATCGTACCGTAGGCATTGCGCAAGAAAATCCAAGGATTCTGGTGAAGCAGCAGTAAATAGCAAAGCCAAGTTCTGCTTCGGGAATTGTTCAAAAGGTGCATAATTGGGTAGTGACTGGTGATGCGGCCAATCTGCCTGCGAAGGTGTACCCAATGCACGAAATATCGTCGTAAGTTGAGATGCATCTGAATCACCTGGTAGATATGGTGTTCGGAGCATAAGTTCGGCGAAGATGCATCCTACCGCCCACATGTCGACACCGGCGGAGTAGGCGCGACTGCCAAGCAAAAGCTCTGGTGCTCTGTACCAGCGAGTTACGACTTGCGACGTCATCCGAGCGCCTGGGTCTCCGCACTCGCGCGCTAGGCCAAAGTCTGCGATTTTAAGTACGCCTCTTGGTGAAATAAGCAAGTTGCTGGGTTTCAAGTCCTGTGCCATAGTGTGAGATATGGAATTGTAGGAACACAAACACATACACGATGTAAGCACCAATTCCTGTGGCAGTATTCGATACCGCGACACAGCATGTTCATCCAGCTTTTGATGTCATGAGCGCGAAAAAGAAGCGAGCGATCTTTTATGATAGCCTCCAAGTCTGTATTTAAGTATTCAAGTACAAGGTTGATGGCCGGAGCCGAAGCGCCAGACGAAAATACATCGAGCAACTAAGTTTGTGGGTCAACATCTGTGCATACACGTACAGCCACAATGTTCGGATGCCGTAGTTCTTTTAAGAATTTGAATTCACGCATGGCTGTGATGTCAATGCCATCCCGTGTGCCTGCGGCGGCAATCTTCAGTTTCTTGATGGCTACTTTTGAGCCAGTCTCTACATTGCGAGCGAGAAACACTGATGCAAATGTACCCTCTCCGATCTTGTCGATTTTCTCATATTTGGTCCGGACCTGGTGATTCAATCGACGAGTCTCTTCGCTCGCCATGCACCACGCGTTGGTGGGTCGAGCGTGTCGTACTGACTGGGGGGGGAAAGTCAACGGTTTCGTCATTCCGCGTAATTGGCCGTATTTGTCCAAATTTCGCTTGTGGAGATTCACAAGATCTGTCAGCGTCCACGCTTTGGTGGCACACAGACAAGAAAATTCTCTTCTAGTCCGTGGGTCCGTGGCGTCCAGCGCGAAAGTTGGGCTGGGTGTTGGTGAAGCCTTGCGCTTTTTCAGCCCTTACTACATTCTTCCTCGGATGGTGCATGCACAAAGCGAACACAACGCACACGATCCGACAGAAGATAACACCGATGCAACAGATGCCACACTAAATGCAGAGCGCAGAGAGGAGTCGTCGCGCCACAAGACAGATGGCAGACATGCACCCAGCACCGCTACGAGCGACATGGCAGGTATGCTGCGACACAAAGAAGTACGGCAGCCAACTGAGACAGTGCCGATTGATCAACAAGCAGACCTTCAGGAAAATCATGCTGATGGGGAAAACGGACGAACCAATGATGATACTACTGAGGATTCACAGCGCCAGGAAGCCAAAGGTAAAGGCAAAGAGCGAGCTATAAGTGCGGAGAACGGTGTCAGCGATGACACTTCTGACATGCATGCAAAAAGCACACCGAGGCGACCGCAGCTTCCGGCTGAAAAGCCATTCGACTTTAATCGGTTCCTTGAACAGATGAAACATCGGAGCGCCGTGCCGGTAAACGAATACGTACGCAGTTTTTTCCGCGGATTCACCCGGCGGCCGTACAAACCTGATGAGCAAGTGAAACTCATCTTTGACTTTCTCGACTTTATTGCAAAGCGTATGATGGAAGCGGCAGTATGGGCTGACTTGCCACCGAATGAATTCGATCAAGCGACGGAGGCGATGGAAAAGCTCGTCATGAACCGACTCTATACCTACACATTTTCGCCGGCCATTGCTATGGAAGGGCGTTGGTCCGTGCAGACGGATGATCTCGAACACGACCGCAAACTATCTGAGCGGATTCAACTCTTTGCGTGGGTGCGCGAAGAGCACCTGGACGTCAAGCGAGGCCAGCATTCAGAACGCTTCTACAACTTTGCCGCACAAGAGCTCAGCAAGATCAATCACTATAAGGCGCCTCGCGACAAAACCATCTGTATTCTCAACTGCTGCAAAGTCATATTTGGACTGATCCGCCATCTTGGTTCTGACGAGAGTGCCGACTCGTTTATGCCGCTTTTGATCCTCGTGGTGATCAGAGCGAATCCACCAAATCTGATTTCGAACCTCGAATATATCCAACGCTTCCGCAGTCCCCAGCGGCGGTCGAGTGAGTCCGAGTACTACTTGTCGAGCTTAGCGGGTGCCATCACCTTTATCGAGCGCATGGATCACACGACACTCTCACGTATCACGCAGACGGAGCTTGATGCGAATGTGCAACGAGAAGCTGCGAAAATGGAAGCCGAGGCCGCAGAAAAGAGCGAGTCGACAGCGCGACCCTTTTCACTTGCCGCATCTGTCGCAGCGGTCTCGCTGGCCGACGATACACGAGCGTTTTTCCAGCGCACAGGCGAAGCAGCTCGTCTAGGCTTCAATCGCCTATTTACAGAGCGGTCGGATATGGTGCAACAAGACGCACGTACATCGGAGCTGCGACCGCTACCATCAGCATCCTCTTCAGCTCGGCCTGTTGTACCGCCCGTAACGCCGGCTGGCACAGCGCCACAGCCGCATCTAAAACCAGCGCGTGGCGTGGCACCCAATGCACCGCTGCGTGTGGCCGGTGCAGATCCGATGCATGACGACTCGCCCCGGTCCGTAACAACGCCCCATACCCAAGTCTCTTCAGCGACTCGTGTGCCGCGCTGGCGCAGTGGACTCATGCCGCGCTTTGACGACGATGATGAACGTGATGTCGCTGGTGCCTATGACGATGACGATGGCAACGACGATGACGCTGATCGCACAGGTAGCGGTCTGCGTGACTCGCCGTCTCGTCATGTGGCTGCGGCTATTCGTTACGCGGATGGTGATGGCACATTGGACGATGTTGATGACGAGCGCGGCGATACAGAACGGCATGCGCAAGGCGACGATGCCGACATCGATGCCTCTGTGGACGTGGCTGCTGCGATCCAGACACTACAGTCGATCTTTCCGCAGGCCGATACATCGGTTCTGCAGCTCGTGCTGGAGGAATGCGGTTACAATGTAGAGACGTCAATAGACCGGCTCTTAGAAATGACTTAACAAACCTACGTCCCACACCTTACTCTCGTCTTTGTGTTAGGTGCGTGTGCTCTTGGCACGTGTGATTTTCTTTGCCGTGCCGCGCTTGGGCAGCGCAACTCGTTCTCGACCGCGGCCCATGGAGGACGCAACTTTCTGCGCCTTTCGCTTGTCGAGTTTCTTCTGCGCGCGCCGGGCCTGACGGTCGGGATCACTCTTCTTCGCAAGGGCACGCTGCTCTTTCGATAACGATGACAGGAACCGAGCTTTCTCGGGCATGGCATGTACATGAGGCGAGGAGCCATTCGGTGTCGGAGCGCCACTTGCTCGAGCACGTGCTAAGCTTTCTGGTATAGGGCGCTTCGGCGGCGTCTGTGGTCTAGAAGCACTTGGATCTGATCCATGCTGGGATCGAGTCCGTTTTCGCTCATCACCCGTGATGCTCTTGCACCGCGATACGCGCAGAGCGCGCTTATTAAGCTTGACGCGACGACGGAACTCTTGACCCTCTTGCAGTGAGATCGACTTGACCCCCGCTGCCCCACTAGCCGCACCTTGTGCTCCGGTCCTTGTCGAGCGTGCACGTCCTTGAGGCCGACCAGCGGCAACGAACGCTTCTTCCGCCTCAGCCAATGCAATCACCTCGTCAACACACATGGGGTCAAGGAACTTGACGTACGCAAAGCCCTTGCCTAGCTGCGTTGCCCTGTCACGCACAATCCGTACACTTTGAACCCATTCGCCAGGCTTCATCAATGACGAGGGCGCCATGGATGACGTGGAGGCCACTGTAGGCGTGTCATCCAGCCGAAGCGATGATATGGGCACAGCTGGCGGTGGACCGCGCTCCTCACGCACGAGTCTCTCGAAGAGCGCACGTACATCCTCTTCGTGTGCTTCAAAGTCCAGGTTGCCTACAAACACTGTGCGCTTAGGATCTGTCGCCCCCACAGCACTTGCGTGGCTCAGCGGCGTGCCATCAGCCGTGCGGATCTTGTCGAGACCTGCCTCAATGATTTCGTGCATCGCCAATGGACGCACAACATCTGCGCGAATATGGCGCTCGTGGAACGTCGTATTATCCAGAGCACGGGCAAGAAGCGTGCTCAAAATTGCACCAGTAAGCCGTAGATCCAGTGGCTCTGTCGCTTTTCGGTGTTGATGGACCAGAGCCGGATCGCCAATTCGCACATACGCATTCACGGCGTCTGCACGCTCATTCACATCCTGCTGGATATAGGCGATTTTTCGCTTCTGCTGTGACGTCAAAGGCGGCTGGGTGGTCTTGTCCCCATCTGTGCCGACACCTTTGAGCTCACGGAATTTCCGTGCGCGTTCGCGCCGCTTCGCTTTGCCCTGACTCGACGGTGCATCGCCTGTTGATTGCGACAGGTCCGTGGTTGGCGCCCGAAATGACACACTGCGGAAGCGAAGAGACATCACATGCGTGCACGTTGGGTATGGGGACATGTCGAGAATATGACGCAGCAGTTCTTTTCGCACAGCCCGGCTCGTCAGCGCCGCGATTGGCACATTGCCTAGGAAAATTGTGCGTTTACTTCTTGCCTCATCACTTTCGTACTCGTCTTCCAATATGACCTTGCTTTTGCGTTTCTTGTCGAAATGACCACGAAGTACCATGTCTGCTGCTTTTTCTTCATCCATATCTTCATCTGAGATATCTTCGTCCGCTTCTACATCATCGTCGACTTGTCCATTCTCTTCTTCTGCACCACCAGTCGCGTCCGTTTCCTCCTCTTCTTCGCTGGCTGAATTCAAATCAGATGTTGTAAGCTCCTCGTTTTCTTTCTCTGGCTGGCCGGGTATCTGGGGCTTGACGGGCCTGGCTGTTGTCGAGGGAATCGGCGCGGCGGCGAACATAGCATCCAGTTCTGTATCAAACGAACCGTTTGTCCCGTGTGGCTCCGCGAATGGCACCGGCAAACTGGACGGCACCTTAGTCGGGGCATTCGATTTCGTGGTCATGTCCAGGCTCTCAACGTAGGGCCGAGCGTTGCAGGTTCAATCAAATCCAACAAAAAATTTCTTTCATGACGACCGACCACACACATCACGAATCAAAAAAAAAAAATTCGTGCGCCACTACCTCATCGCATCACGTGCACACACGCCGTCTCGTCTCCGGCGTTAGACGTGCCATCGTGTCTCAACATTACCAAAGCCTCGACGTCTAGGAGGCCACGCTATGCAAGTGCCTAGCCTATCTCACCCCTTCGCACAAACTTATACATCCATGAGGGCTTCCTATACATTGCCTTTGTTTCAACCGGTCTACTAAAGGCTATGTGATGTCATCAAGAATATAGGCATGTAGGGCATAGCCATTTGGCCAAGCCGTCCTCATTATGCAGAGTGCCTCTTGTAAAAGCGACGGAACTTGGTATCCACATTGTTCAGATAATACGACTTGGGCCACAGGTCCTCCAAGCTGCCTTTAGGCTCGTACTCGACGGCATTGTGCGTTTTTTCGCGCGTTTGCAGAGCATCGACATACACGGTGCATGGGACGACGTGCATGCTCTCGAGACGTGCTGACAGATCAAGAGCGCGGCGCATGTGTTCTGTCGATCCAACAACGCGGATCAAGTACACAGAAGCAGCAGAGCCGGAGCCAAACGAATACATCAAGAGACGCTTGCCCTTCAAGTCCGCATCATTCGTGTTGGCAATCACAGACGCAAGGCCTCCGTACAATGAACCCGAGTACATGTTACCACAACGACGGACCGTCGTCATACCGGGATCCAGCTTGCTTGCCATGGCTGCCTTCCCATGCGCCGTGAACGTCTTCTCAATGTCCTTGTTCATAATGCTCTGATGTCGATCCACATCCTTCAGCTCCGAGGGAATAGAGGCGAATTTCTCATTGGCAGGGTCCGCAAGGAAGTCATTAAAGAGGAAGCGTGCGAATCCCTTCTGTACAAGCTTGGCGTACGGACTGTGCAGCACCGCGTAGTCGACATGGTCGATCGAGAAGCATGCACGTGGGTCAGAAGACGTTTTGCTCGGTTGTTGGGGTAGGCCTTTCTTCTCAGCCAAATGACCATACTTGAGACGGAATGCGTCATACGCGGCATCGATGGATCCAAGATATGCATACAGCGTTTCAGGGCCATCAACCTGCGGATACTCTGACGACAGGTCTGGCTTGTAGAAGTCCCACTTGTTCGACATGTGAGTGCCATGAATCGGCTCCAGCACAAGCGGCGCGTCTGGTCCAACCAGCATTGCAACAGCACCCGCACCACCCACAGGTCGTGCACTGCCTTCGGCGTATATAGCAATGTCGCCAGCAAACACAATCGCATCGCGACCGTCCCAGCTACTACTCTCCATCCAGTTGACAGCGTTGAACAACGCTGCTGTGCCTCCATAGCATGCATTCTTTGAGTCGATGCCCTCAATGTCAGTGTTGCCATGGCTCTCAAACAAGTCCATCAGCACCGTCTTCACACTCTTGGACTTGTCTATGATTGTCTCTGTGCCAACGTCGAGCCGACCAATCGACTTTGGATCAATCTTGTACTTCTCAAGCAAAGCCGACACAACTGTCAACGCAAATGAATTGATGTCCTCACGGTCATCGGTGAATGCCATGTACTGCTGACCGAAGCCGATCGTATACTTGCCCTTGGACGCTCCGTCAAAGTCCTCGAGCTCATCCTCAGAAATACACTATGATGGTGTTAATTCACGTGCCACGTACGCGCTTTGGGAAATACACTTCTATCGCCTTGATACCAATGTTTGTTGGCCTGTCCATACCGTCGAGCTCACACAGAGATGGGAATCAGCACTGTGCTGGTCGAAGTCCAAAAGTAGAAAATGGCCCACGGACGCTGCTTCTGCCAACTTCAGGTGTGCAAGAAGTCCTTCGATGGATTGCGTAAGCAAGCCTTTGGTTCCACCGTTTCCTAGAATGGCGTGGTTTTTGTTCATTAGGGGGGGGGGGCATGTGGAACCAAAATCCACCTATGTGGTGCGCCGTGTTCTAATCAAAGTAGAATTGAGGCTTTATGCCCACTGCCCTCGCTCGACCTCGCTCGACAGTCATGACACAGGCTCACGTAATGAGCGGCTTTGGCCCCACACCCATCGACGCTCGTTAGGTGGCAGTTGTGCTGCCGCAGCTGTGGTGCGATCGGTCTGTGCATCCGGCGGTACTAATGAGCGGCGCTTGCGTCGGCTTGGTTGGGAATGGATGGGTGACACAGAATTAGCTCGCTGTCGTTTCTGCCGTGTAAACGTATCGCGCTGGGCGATCACAGAAAGAATAGCATGACAGAATTCTTGCTGCTCAGCCATGTCAGATGATGTTGGTAGCGTAGAAGAAGATACACCTTGGCGGTTCCTCACACTCGGATACTGAGCACCAAAATAATCGTCGTTGTGCGCATTTTTAGACATCTCGGACGCAGTCCATTCTTCCAGTTCACGTTCAAAGCTACGATCTTGGTCCACGACTTGTTCATCGACAGCCGTGCTCTGATCAATGAGAACGTCATGTTCCTCAGAATGAAGCCACTCATCATCTTGTACACTTGTCTTCAGTCCGAGCGAAGGCGGAATGCCTGATGGACGCGCTCGACGTCGCATGCCTGAGCTTGTTTGGGTATAAGGGTGCATCAACGACGACGGCAACGAATACGAGTCTGGACGCGTCCGAGGAACAAGCTCCTCGAGCGCTAGATCCGCCCATACACTGACGTCTGGGTGAAGGTCATTGTCGTGTGAACGAAACAATGCCGCGTACGATCGACCGCAAGGACCTGGTCCGTATCGCTTAAAGGGCCATGTCGGCGTCGTTGTCGTTGAGTTGATTTGGGCGCGAAGCTGCAGATGCGGGGCAAGCTCGACATGCCCATCAGCCTCTATCGTATAGGGAAGATGCTCGTCGTCGTTGTCGTCGTCATCTTGCGGCTCTATTGCTGATTTGGCATGCACAGAGCCCGATGCCACGGCTGAGAGCGTGTTCTTTCGGGTGTATGCCATCGAATGCATTGCCAAATGTGAGCAAATGCGGGGATCAAGTTTCGGTTGTGAGGATCCTGCTGGTTGGAGAGTATGTGGTGCATGGTGGATCCAGTACGGGTTTCCTAGAGGATACGAAGGATGCTGCTCCACGGGCAATGTATCTTGATGTAGGTCTTCTGTAGCAGGAATCAAATGCTCTGGCACCTGGATCACTGGGACGTCAGAGGCACATGTGTCTTTATATGTTTACACATACCATCGTCCTGCACTGTTGTGGGTGGCTCGGGTTCACTGTCGATAAATGGGTGTTGTGAGAGGGGGTTGAAAAATCGAGGATCCAGCGATTGGACAAGCTGTGGAAACACAAGTTGCGATGCATTTGCGGTATGAATAGGTCTTCTCCGCGGTCGCAGGTAGGTTTCTAGCATGTATGAAGTTTTTGTTTGTTGGCTGTATGAGAATAAGAACCTATTCACATGCACCTCAAGGAGGGAGAGTGAATTCGATCAAGTCTTGTTACAGTTCAAGTGATTAACTGGTGTTGAACCCTTCATCGGGCGCCAATCTGATCGGGTCATGCACACTCGCGTCTAAATGGATTGCATATGTAACACACGCCCCCGACCCCTCCGCTGCGGCTTCGAACGCACACACGACGCACGCTTAATTGTCGGACCCGGAAGTAGATGTACGATCGTTCTCTTGAGCCGTTGTCCTGATCTAATTTTCTACGACACTGTGGATAACATTCGATGGCGCCATTGCTCATAGTGCAAGAGCATCGCAGGCGTGATGCGTCTTTGCATCGTACGTGCAGCTTCTTCAAAGTGGCGATGTGCTATTTTTGTGCATGCGACATCTTCTTTCATAGCACGAAGGCCAGCCTCCTGGCAAATAGCCACGACCTCAGCTCCGGAGCATCCCGCAGCTAGCTCGGCAATGGCTTGCAAGTCAACGCCCTCGTCTATTGGCATGCGTCTTGTACGCATTTGCAGGATACGTTCCCTCACAGTGGTACTAGGCGGGCCGACATATAAGAGACGATCAATGCGGCCTGGACGAAGTAGTGCTGGGTCAATGCAATCTGGCCGATTCGTTGCGGCCACAACGACGACATGACTTTCGGCATCAATGCCATCCATCTCCGTAAGCAAACTCGCCACCATCCGGTCACTGGATCCCGCGCTCGTATCCGTGCCACGTATGCCCGAGATCGCATCCAGCTCATCAAAAAAGACAATCGATGGTGCTGCTGTCCGTGCGCGCCGAAACACTTCGCGGATCGCACGCTCAGAATCACCCACATACTTGCTCACGAGCTCGGGCCCACGAACGGCCAAGAAGTTCAGTCCACTCTCGCGAGCGAGTGCTTTGGCCGTCAATGTTTTACTGCAGCCTGGTGGGCCATATAGCAGAGCGCCACGAGGCGGATCGATGCCAAGGCGCGCAAATGACGCTGCGTGGGTAAGCGGCCATTCCACACACTCTTGAATCTGTCGCTTGATGCTCAGGCTGTCGTTTTCATCGTCGGCTATACTGTCCCATGTGACCTTGGGCGTTTCAACAAACACTTCCCGCATGGCAGAGGGACGCACAATATTTTGCGCAGCGTGAAAGTCGGGCATCGCCACTTTTTCGGCATCATGCGAGAGTGACAAAGAAGCCAGCGACTCATGCACAGGTTTGTGAATGCGCCGCGTGATTGTCAGCATTCCCGCCTCACGCACAAGCGCCGCGAGATCGGCACCAACGTATCCATGCGTCCGTGCCGCAAGATTAGCCACGTCCTCGTCACGCAACGAGTGAGGAACACGTCTAAGAAGCACCTGGAGAATCGCTTGGCGTGCAGGAGCATCAGGTACGCCGATTTCAATCTCTCGATCAAGACGTCCCGGCCGTCGGAGCGCCGGATCGATGGCGCTGGGCCGATTTGTCGCAGCTATCACAACCACATGCGTCGATGCCATGCCATCGAGCAGTGTCAGGAGTGTAGCGACTACACGACGCTCGACTTCTCCTGCGCCCTCGGCATGAACGGCGGCACTTGCATCTCGCCGCGGCGCTAACGCATCAATTTCATCCAGGATAATTATGCTTCGCTTGTGTGATGCAGCGTTCTCAAAGATCGAGCGGAGTTTCGACTCTGTCTCCCCATGGTACACAGACGAGAGCTCAGGCCCATTGATCGTCTGGACATGTGCCTGCAGCGACAAAGCCACTGTTCGCGCAAGTGACGTCTTGCCTGTACCAGGAGGACCATACAAAAGCACACCCCGTGGCGGCGTGAGGCCATATTGCTCAAACAGGTGTGGCTGCGTGAGCGGAAGCTCGACAAGTGTGCGGATCGTCGCAATCTGTGCATCTAAGCCGCCCAATGCCTGGTATGCAGATGCATCTACGAGTGCATCAGGATATGTGTCAGCAGTCTCAGGCCGTATTTCAAGCTCAATTTTTGTATCACGCGTAACAATAACGACCTGTCCGCTTGTGCTGGCGCCTTGCGAAGGATCCATCACATGCGCGAGAAAGGTCTGGCCCAAAAGTGACATACGTAGCACGCTCCCCAGTAAAACAGCTCCCGCATCCACGAGCGTGTGCAAAAGAAGTGCGCGTACTAATTCCATATGCATAGGTGGCTCCAACTCACTCTCAAGACGAATGCCAATACGCGCCATCGCGGGAGCTGCATGTACGGCTTGGACAATCACACGCCCGCGCGCTTCAGACGCGTCAACGAGCAAAGGGCAAAGTGATGCTCCTCGGCTATTTTCCTCGTCAAAATCTGGCCATACCGTACCGGCGCAAAGCGACTTGCGCGTTTGTGCCTGGAGGACCACGACATAGGCGCCTGTGGGTATACCGCTGCGTTTCAGGGCATCTGCGCGTACAAGTACGCGTGTGTCGGCTGCGACGCTTGAGCTTGTAGGACGTATGCTAACCTCGAGTTCCTCGGTGGCTCTTGATCCTGGCGCTGATGACGATGGCAACTCTTTTGCCGCGCTCATCGTTGGTACCTTTCTGCGCTTGCACTTGGGCGTACGATAGCGCCGCCTATGCGTGTGTATGTGTGTATGTGCGAGTTGTTACTATTAGTCAGCATCACCTTCAAGAGTCTGTAGTGTTCAAGACCTAACTCGGCTTGGAGCGTAGAGGAACACGTTACTTGGGCGTGCGAAGAACTCTGGGGACGATCCTGCCAACCCATCATGTTGAGCCATTTGACGACGCGGTCTGTACGAGCAACGCGGACGCCATGGGCGAAAAGCATGTGGCATCGTCCATGGTATCGGCTAGTGCACACATCTAGCAAGGAGAGTGATATCGTCATTGTAGGAGCAGGTGTGGTTGGGATGTCCATGCTTGCTGGCTTAGGTACGTACTTCGGTAGGCGGTGTTGGGAGAGGGAAATGGAGGACGGTCAAGTTAAAAACAAAGCGGCAGAGAGCTAATGCAAATGATAGTTTCGAATGCGCGCCTTGCGCCCATGCATGTCACTATGATTGATGCGAACAAAGTGCACCACTTTGGCGACTGGATGAGCCGGATGAAAGAACATACTCGCCCAGCATCTGATCAGCACGACGGCATTCCCTGGGAAAATCGCGTCATTAGCATGAATTTGGACAACCTTTCGTGGATGCAAGACATTGGCGCCTATCCATATCTTGACACGTCACGCATGCGGACTGTTGAGCGCATCCGCGTGTGGGACGGACTTACAGGCGCAGCAGCGGAATTTGGATCAGGGCAGCAGGCGCTTAGCTCCATGGTTGAGTTATCGAATTTGCAACAGGCACTATACCGGTTTGTGCAAGCGCATTTGCCGAGTAGTCGAGTGACGCTGGATATTCTCGATCAGACCAAGGTACAAGGCATTGAAGCTGACACGTCAGAAGACTGGCCACGAGTCTCGGTTGCCAATGCGGCTGGAGAGTCAACGACTATCCGCACACGACTTCTGGTGGGTGCAGATGGAAACAACTCTCCCGTGCGCAAGTTTGCGGGCATTGAGAGCTTTGGCTGGCCGTATGGGTGCAAAGGCCTTGTGGCAACACTGAGAAGTGGGCTCCATACACGAAGTGCCGAGCCTATCGTCGATACCATGGCATGGCAACGATTTTTACCAACGGGCACACTGGCATGTCTCCCTCTGTCGCCAACAACCGCCACTATAGTATGGGCACTCCCACCTGAACTCAGCGATCCACTCGTGGCTATGCACCGCTCTGCTCCTGTTCGAGAAGATGGTACATCGAGTGTGCTGGCCACACTTGTCTCAGCAGGCTTCCGGCTTCCATGGAACTTGTTGGAGCCACTGCTGTATGAGGCCCCGAACATCGAGCCACGTGTGTTTGAACAGCGTGTCCTCGAGACAATGAAGTCTTACGAACAGGCGGCTGGTGCTCAAGCACCCAGTGCATTTTCAAGTGCTGTGCCACCATGGGGTGATGCTGTTGATGCACGAAGCGTTGCGAGTTTCCCTCTTCAAGTCAAGCATGCTGGCTGTTACTTGGGCAGCAGTCTAAACCAACAGCTGGGCCAAAGTCTTGCACCATCAGTACTCTTGAACAGTGTCCTGACGACCTTGGGTCTCACGCCTGGTGGCGCTGCACGCGGTGGCGGTCAAGCCCGCACAGTTCTTGTGGGCGATGCCGCTCACTCGACGCATCCGTTGGCAGGTCAAGGCCTGAATCTTGGCATCCAGGACGTGCGCGCTCTTTGTGCTACGTTGGAAGATGCATGTGCTCACGGTATGGACATTGGCACTCACAGTGCTCTGGCCGGCTATGAACGTGCACGATACTTGCCAAACCAAATCATGCTTAGCCTGACAGACCATTTACACTGGCTTTTTGCTACTCGACCTGCGTCGGCCTACACAAGCCCCATGGGTCCTTTGCACAAGGCCGTGCGTGAACAGGCACTCAAAGCTCTTGTGTGGGCACGTTCAACAGGTCTAGATATCGTGAATGAACTTGGTCCTTTGAAGCGACTTCTTGAAAATGGCGCTGGTTCCATTCGCACGCCGAAACAAGAATGAAAGGATAGCAGGATCGTACATGGATACGTATTGGTATATGTACCACATAGGGGCCAGGGACTTGGCCATTGTCTCTTGCACATGAGCCCAATCGGGTTCCCTCATAGTCTTGTCCACTGGCTCTTCCCGTGCTTTTCCAAACTCTGGCGTTGAGCGTGTCGTAGTCTCATCACGAGCACCAGTCGCGACACGTCGTTGGCTCGAGAAAAAGTTGCTCTGTCTATTCATTCGCATATTTGTTACTCTAGAGCCTGAACTCGGTACCATGCTGAGCGGCAATCCACTGCAGCTGCGCGCACAGAGCGGACTTTGTCATCGACGCCTTTGTCGTGCCGACCTAGTGTCTGCACGACTTGTCGGCGATAGATGAACAAACAATCATGCGGCAATGCATCCACCAGCGCATGCAACGCTTGAAGGGATGCCAAACGCACGCTGATAGAATGGTCGGCGCCAGGCTCCGCGTTCGCGAGTAGGCGAGGTACGAGCACGGGCAGGTGCTCGATCAAAGCATTTCGCAACGCACGATCTGCATCATGCTCTTGCGTCGTCGGCGTCGCTGTCGTCGATGCATCAGATGCATTTGCTAGACGCTGAGCGACATTTGTCACAAAACTTGCACACGACGTACGCACGCGAGCATCGCTCAAGCACAGTGCATGCGACAGTATGGGGAGGAGCGTTTCGACGTACATATAAAGAGACGCTTCCGTCAAAGCTGGCAGAATCGTTGCAATGGCAACGAGACATGGTGCACGCTGTGTCTCGTCACGATGTTCGCGGTATGTCTTCATCAATGACTGTAGAAGAGAATCAAGGATACGTTGCTTGTACAAGATGCGCACTTGAAACCCGCGTGATCGCGTCAACAGATGGTCATGATCGGCCAGCACATGAAGCGCTCTAGCCGCTGAAACGCCCACGCGCTCGTCACGAAGCATGTCGGTCAATAGTGTGTGAACCATGTCTGTTCCAAAAGCGACGCCACGAGCCATCCAACCACGAGCAAGCCATAGCCATGCCTCTAAACAAAGCAAGCGGTGACGTGGCCGAGCCTCAATTGTCGGGACCGTGGCCCAAAACGTCGCCAGGTATTCCGGCTCAGGCTCCACAAACTTGTTTGCAAGAGCGCAGAGCAGGAAACACGCGCTCTTTGCGTACCAATCTTCCATGGCTGAATGTTGGATCCACGATACGACTGTACGAAGCCATTCTGACGCCTGTGGAAGCGTTGCTTGTCGAGACAGACCTGTGATTATTGCCGCACATGGTAAGAGTCGGTCGTGCACATGAGAGAATGCATCTGGCTCCGTGTGCCCCACACGGATATCTCGACTAGCTCGTCCAACGAGCTCCGTCACGTTCGTCGCGGGGATATGAGGCACCAATACCAAGAGCAAGTCACTTGCTTGCTGCATGACAAGCCTTTGATGAGTGGCTATGCCATTTGGATCATGCAGCCAGTCGAGCAAACGTATAGTCAATCCTTGTGCTAACCGTGGCAGATCTTCATGCTTTGCCTCCATCTTGCGCTCAATTGTGACTTGTAGTGTCGCAAGCAACGCACACATATACCCGACATGCGCCAGGTCATCTGCACTAGTGCTGAGTGTCTTGAGCAAGCTCATTGCACGTGCTTGCCACGCATCAAACAGCTCTGATGTCGTACACAAACACGATACGGCACTGAGAATCGGAGGCACATGTAGCGGCGGCCGTTGGACGTGTGTAGGAAGACGAGACAGAAGAAACGGTACGGTTTCAGATTGGATGAGGGAGCGATCCATGTCCAGCACGATTTCAAGTCCCTTGAGTGCATGTGGCTGGAGTGCTTTGGGCGCTTCAAGTAGAACATTTTGCAAGCATCGAGTCGCACGCAGCCTGTCATCGGGTGTCAGCAAGCCCGGTAGCTGAAAGAGGCACTGCAAGCCACGGAGCCCGTGCTCACGCTCACACAAGGAGGGTGACGTGTATATGTACACAAGCTGTTCATGAAATGCATCCAGCGGGCGACCATGCTTCTCGTACGAATCCTGTGCAGTGATAAGCAGATTCAAATACATAGAACGGAGCTCTGTACGTTGATGTGCGACGTCTGAGCTGACGTCCTGCCACTGGCGCAGCATGATGCGCATGAACTGATTGGTAGCCTGGGTGTAAGTGACATGACATGCATTCACAAAGCACTGCAAGATACGCATGGAGTCGCGCGCCTGGGACTGGGACGTGCTTTGACACAGATCAAGGGATGTCTGGAGGATCGTTTGAGCAAGTGGTTCCCACTGGTCCGTGCATATGACTCGCAAGAAAGCTGTAAGAGTGTCTTGCGCGAAGGGAATAATCTGCTCATCTGTAGGCTGCAATATGTCTAGTTGAAGGTAAGTCCATAGGTCAGAGCCATGCTCGATCGCAGCCGCACGGCCATAGACCGGCAGACATGCGGAGATCGTCTGCAATGTGTCAATTTTTGACGAGCCACCAGTTGCACTGAGCTTTTCAAGAAGCAACGGGTAGGCCATAGGGGCAAACTTCGACGATGCACTTAGGCATGCCCTCAATGCCTTTTTCAATTGATCTGGTGTGATGCCATATGGGTCATCGGGTGGCGGACGAAACGAGATGGGAAAGTAACAGAACAAGATATTGTACATCGCATCAGCTTCCTTTGGTCCTATGTCCCATTCCAACAACAAGACACGTGCGAGACCAAACAGTAGAAGCAGATTACGCGGGTCCTTCTCACCTGTCACAAGCGTCGCGTAGCCATGAACGAACGCACTTCCATCCGGCGCATCGGGACCTGTTCGCATCGAAGCAAGAGCTGTCAGATGTCGTGTCACGAGAGCATCCAGGAGCTGGCCAACAACGAAGCGTAATGGTTGTGGGTATTTGTGCAGGTCTAGAGAAAAGAGTGCTTTGGCTGCAGTTCGGGCATCTTCGCCACCAAACGCATCGCGGCTGCGAGCCTCATTCTCCTCGAACCCGACAGAACTCAATACCAATAGTGTTCGCAAACAGTCGTAGAGCATCTGGTCTGCCCGCAGTGTACGATCCTCTTCCGCTTTGATGGCAGCTCGAGGTGCCGTTGCAGGCACAACAGGCGCATCGTTTGCGCGCTGAGACATAATGTCTCCGACAATGACAGCATCAGATATCTTACTGCTGAAAAATTCTGTCAGCGTACGGATGGTTTGTCTTCGTAGCTGCACATGTGTGTGATCCGCACGCTGAGATGCAAGATGCTCGATCACACAGCTAAGAAGTGCAATGGCGCGCGCGCGAACCACCTCGTCATCCGATGTCAAATACGTCCCTAGATTCTTGATAAGGTCTAGCAAAGAGTGCTTGCCCTTTTCGACGTCTTCGCACACCGAAGGCGGAACGCTGGCATACGTGCCATCCACGTACGCCTGAAGTGCCACGTCCATCGGTAGTGGAGGCAGGATGAACACGCCAGGTGAGGTTAGCACTAAAGCAAGCTCAGACAAGCGTACCAAGGAATTAAGCTCCTACATAAATACCCACCATCCACATGCACCTGGATGCATGACAAACGGCCTTTGGAAAGGCGCATGTGTCAAGACGTGTTCGTTCCAGTGGCGTTCATCCATCGTGGCGAGCACGCGCGGGACCTGAACTAGCGGCACGCACTGCGTTTCTGCGATGGATTCCTCAAACCATGCTGCACTCATGTCTGAAATAGCGCAACTATCAGGGGCCATCGATCGCCAGCGCTCTTTGATCGCTGGTCAGCCTGAACATCGCGATGTGCACGGAAGTCGACCCGCTCGTGCAGCTCAAGTTCGCGGTCGTGGCCGTGCTCGAGGACGTGGTCTTGGCTATGGGTCGATCCCAAGACACCGTTCGCTCGTGCTTTCGCGCGATCCCAAGGACGAATGGGTGCATCGGCGATCGAAGAAGAGCATGACACTCGTGAATTCAGCCGTCTATGAGCCTCCCAAAGAACATCGTTTCCGCGCAGAAGCGCCTAGTATGCATCGTGGTCATCGGAGTGAAGTTGTTGTAGATGGCGTGCCATTTGTATTTGATGAATCTGGTACGAAGCTGGTGAAGAAGAGCACCCTGGGCGCCAATGCATCATCAAGCGTAATGGTCACGCCCACGGCGGCATCAGCAGCTACTGGGGAATCAGCTGACACGAGCGCCTCAGTAGCTCAAGCGCCACCTCCAACACCTACCATCCCGCGTCAGACTTCCATCAATGGCCAGGCCTTTGTGCGCACGAAGAACGGCAATCTTATCAACAAGGCACTCGTCCTCGAACGGCGCGAGGCTCGCGCTCGGCAAGAACGCATGCAGCGCCTAGCGAAGCTGGGTCGAAAACTAGGTCATGCACACAAACAACAGCGTGCATTAGAGCGCGCCAAAACACCCCAGCTATGTACATACTACACACGCACAGGGACATGTCGTCGAGGAACGCAGTGTCCCTTTATCCATGACGATCAACGGAAAGCGCTGTGCCCAGGCGTACTCAAGCCGTCGGGCTGTGTTTTACCGCCAGGAACATGTCTTTTATCCCACACTCGTTGTCCGCAGAATGTACCACACTGTGTACATTTTCTGCGCCTTCACTCATGCAGAAATGGCGACGCTTGCGCTTTTACACATGCGCAGGTCGCACATGATGCACCTGTATGCCGTGCATTTGCGCTTTTGGGCTGGTGTGACCAAGGTGATAAGTGTTTGCATCGGCACGCGAAAGAATGTCCAGACTTCACGGCCAAAGGCACATGCACGGATCCAGCATGCCGCCTAGCACACGTCTCGATCCCCCCACGACTTGAGCCATCAGCATCGTCCATTGATACCCCTTTGTTTGTTCGTGATGATGCTGGCGCAGAGGAAGAGCGTTACTTCGATGGCGATCACAATGAAGAGGATAACACCGAACATCTGAATGCACTATACGTTGGTGATGAACTGGGCGATACTGATGCTGCGTCAGCCCAACAGCCATTTTCTCAACAACGTGATTTCATTGGGCTTGACGACATGGACTTTTCTGACGTGTCAGAAACTAGTTCTGATAATGTCATCGCAGAGGAGCATGGTAGTGGCCGTGAACAAGACGAAGATGATGATGGCGGGGACGACGACGAGGACGACGAAGAAGATGGTGAAACTGAACGTGATGATGCCGAAGTTGATGAATTCTTGGGCATGAAATAGGCAATATTCATCACATGATGAACCCGAAAGCGGAACAACCACATAGACATTAAGAGTTCCATTGTACATAAACCTCAAGGAACCCACCATACATTAAGCTGTGTGTGCATTTTCACGCGCTTTGCTCTGCGCCGCACGTACTTGCTGAACAGCATACGTGCCTGGGGCATCGCGTTGGAGTCCAGGTTGCATATCTTTCACAACAACTGCACGGGCGCGTTTTGCAGTGTTGGAGTCAAGGCGCTTGGTTTTCCGCTTGTTACGTGCAGCTGCGAGAAGCTGCTCACGAAGTGAGTCAACCGTGTCAGCGGATGGATACAGCCACACAATATCGGCTTCGATGCTGGGTATTTCGCTCAAAAGAGTCTCAGGCTGAAACGGTTTCATGCATTGCGGACATTCTTTTGGCCCTGTATCATCGCGCTTCACTTTCCCTGGAAAACACGTCTCTCGAAGTCCATTTTCACTTAGGACGCAACCACACGGCCACAGACAAAGGAACTTGTGCTTGCCGTTCATGACACGCTGGGTAAGCGGACACGCGTATGGAAAGTATAATGCTTCACCTAACTCAGATTCTTGAACTGGATTTTTGTACAGTTTCACTTCGCGGACATCCTGCGTGGGAGGAGCAATTGTGCGTGAGTGTGAGCCGCAAGTCCTCCTGCTACTTTGTTGACGTACCTTGAGATTACGAACGTGACGAGCGACACTGTTTTCAGACTCTGTATCATCGTTGGTAGCACGTCGAATAAGATACTCAAGTAATGCATCCTTATTGTACAATTGGCCTAGCCGATCGATCATAATCGGCGGTTGAAGAGTTCGTCGTGATAGACAGCACAATGTCCAGCGTGTGTGTCGGATTTCATCTTGATCAATAGAATGTGGTCCAGTTGCCTTGGTGCGAACTAAATCATCGCGCCGCGCAATCGATCCTCCGTCATTTCCCTTGCGTGAGACGCCTTCCTACGTACCATCGTCAACGGAGACGTACTCGCAATAATCTGGTGTTAAGCGACTACTCACTCCACACACTTGAATTGGACGAGCATTCATCGAGCCAGGGCAACACGCCAACTCACTTGTCACACCTCTGCTGCTCTGTTGCTCAATCTCACGTGACATAAATCGCATGGCAGTCGTGTCGACAAGCGCGTAAATCGACTAGTCCTGACATATAGCCCTCGTGGACGGAGATCGATCGGGCCGTCGTTGTCGCTATTGTTGCCGCTGGGGTGGGGCAGCATGTTCTTCTTGGTATGTAGAGAAAAGGGACGAACTCCTAACTATCAGAAAACGCTGGACCACCGCACGGAGCTGCATCCGTCCTTCTTCGGCCCGTCTATGATTGAGTTCCGTACGTGCGCAAAACTTACTAATGGTTCCTAGTCAATCGCAAGCTCCGCGATGATGTCGAAGGCACATGCTCTGGAGTATATGTGCGTACATACAAATCTATGCGTCTGATGTTAATACTTGAATCACAGGGTTATATTATCAAGGTGGTGTCGGTGCTCGATGTAGGTCAGGGCAAGGTAATGCCGGGCACAGGTCTGGCTGAATTCCGCAGTCGATATCAGGCGATTGTACTAAAACCAGTGCGTATTATTACGCGGTATTTTGCTTCGTATCTTTCTTACATATGTTCAGTTTAACGGCGAAGTCGTTGATGCTAAAATCACCAACGTGAACAAAATGGGATTTTTTGCCGAAGTCGGGCCATTGAGTATTTTTGTCTCTTCTCACTTGTTGCCTATCGATTACAAGTTTCATCCAGATTCGAATCCACCTGAATTTACATCGCCTACAGATGTGCGTATGAAAAATGTATGGCTGACAACCAGAGTCTTGTGAAAGGTCGGCGCGTTCGTGTACGTATTGTGGGTACTCGCGTGGATGCCAATGAGATTGTACGTATTTTACCGTTTGTATGGACCTGACCTTGTCTTTTCTTTTCTTTCCTCTCCTCCTCATTTGTTATTGCACCCTTATCCAGTTTGCTATTGGCACGATGAAAGAAGACTACCTTGGTCCATTCGATTAGGCTCGTCAACAATCTGTATGTGTATCATATACCAAGTCATAGATGACGCGTCTTCATGTCTATAGATGTGCCACTCCCACTTCTTGGCATACGTACGTGCTAATGACAGGGTGATAGCACTGCGCTTCAAGAATTGGAACGTATACTTCTTGATTGAGGTAGGGTATGCAGTGTAAGAAGCTCTGGTGAGAATCCACGTGGCTGTGCTGACTCATCATCTGAGCGCAACACATCAACACACCACCGGGCGCGTTGAGCTCTGGCAAGAGACAGACGAGTGACTCCATTAGCAAGCGAAAGAGGATCCCATCTACCCTCTTTATCATACCCAGGTCGATGCTGGATGCAGGGACTAATTCTATGGAGCCAGTAACGCCACCGCGCCATGAAAGTGGCACATGGAGCGACGCAGATGGAAGCCCCTTACCGACGCCGCCGCGCGTAAGTCACGTATATGATATAAAAGGCGACGAGACTTGGCCCACAACGCCACCAACCCTGCGTCGTCGACATCAGGATGAAGCAGCTGGTAACAGTGTAACATGTCGACCTAGCACGTCTCGCGATGTCCTTCAAACGCCAGGGATCTCGTCCCTGTCACGCTCGTTAAGTGTCAATACACATGCTGCGAATCAACGTAGCGTGGGACGTGGACTGCAAAAACTCCGTACGTACTCAACGTATCCAAACGTCAGAACTTACATGCGATTTTTTGTTTTTGTTTTTTTTTTTCTTATTTGGCAGGTTCAGGTGCGCGATCCGGATCTATGCATGTACCTGCGCGGCGTGTGCAAAGATATCAGGATGATGAAGACGTACTTACAGAAGAGAGAGAGGCGCAGGCGCCGATGATGCAAGAAACAAAACTACTAGATCCCTCTTCGAACTTTTCTGATGATCATCGACATAATGAGGGAGCGCCAAGGCCGGTATTAATGGAGATGGAGCACAATCACGGCTCTCGTTCCGTGTCCGCACCGGCCGCACCATTGTCGACACCTGCTGCTGAAACACAGGAAACACGTGCATCTACGCAGGACGTAGATGAGCGAGCATGTGACTTTCTGGAGCTCATGCTCGAGGAAGCAGAGCGACAGCACAAAACAGGGTTTGTGCCCATGCATGGGTCACAACAGAAACCTACGGCCAAAGAGACGACGTTTCGTGGCTGCCGTTTCATCAAAGAGCGTCGTGCAGGAGAAGGAGGCTTCTCGACCGTGTGGCAAGTTCGTGGACCAACAGCAATTCCTGCTTCTGTTCCTGGAGCAGAGACCGATGCCGTGCGGATGGAGCCTGTGGAAGAGATCCGACAGGGGTTCTTTGCGATGAAGCAGGTGTCACTGCGGCGCCTGGAGCCAGAATCACGAGACGAGCTTGTACAAGAAGCCAAGCTTCTCGAACAATTGGCACAAATGCCAGATCACGAGCAATATGTGTTGCGGTACTTCGGGCACCGTCTGAATCGAGACACACTCAAAATTGTACGTTCATTTGAGTCAGACAAGACATGTCGATTGGAGAACTGACCAAGAAACGTGGGATAAACAGCTGCTGGAGTTGGGCGATATGGACTTTAGTCACATGTTAAAAGCACATGCCCCACTTTCGCGCAAGCAAATTTGCGAGTATTGGAAGCAGATGCTCGAAGCTGTGCAGTTCATTCACGAGAAGGGCAATCTCGTTCACACGGATCTGAAGCCGGCGAACTTTCTCCTAGCCAAAGGACGACTTAAACTGATCGATTTTGGCATTGCACAGAAAATCCCGATTGGGACAATCCACATTTCTCGCGACGCCATTGTTGGAACTCCTAATTATATGGCACCAGAAGCGATCAAGATTGCCAAGGCACACGGCCGTCGTGTGTATAAAGCGGGGAAAGCTAGTGATGTGTGGTCACTAGGGTGTATTCTATACCAGATGGTGTATGGGCGGCCGCCCTTTGATCGCTTCATGGGCGAGAAGAAACTCGAGACAATCATGGATCCACAACACCACATTCCATTCCCCCCACACCGTGTGCTGGATGATCCTTCGTCAGAGCGTGTGGATCCACCCATGCTAGAGGCACTGACATCCACGCTTCATTACGATGCACAACAACGAGCAAGGATCCCTGCACTTTTGGAAAGCGAGCTTCTGAACGACCACTTGCATGAAACTGTAACTCTTACTCGAAAGACGTTGCGCGCACTTGTAGCACGCCTTCGACTACACTCGGTTCAGGGCGAGCTGAACGAAGACAATGTGATTCAGTGCACAGACGTACGTATGAGGGAGCCATGCACTCTTTGCTTTAGCGAGTCGTTGTCTTATTTTACTAACATGCTAGGACCTATTTGATAACCTGCGACGTGGTGCCAAGTCTTCGTAGCTCTCCTATGACCTAACCCCCTACCCTCCCTTGGCTTGTATGTATCTGTGTACATCCCTAGAATGGATCCGCTAGCTGCTGGTATGCGATACTGGTATTCGAATGAGCCATCAAAGAAAAAGGGCACATCGTCTATCTTCGTTTCGTGGGCGAGGGGGAAGGGGGTGAGCAAGCTAGCACCTGACTCGTTGCCACGACCCCTATTGTTGCGTGGCTGAGCCAACTGAACATGACTTGCGTCTAGTTAGTGTTGAACCACCGCCACTCGTCATGCGCTGTATTCAGCCAGCATGTGTGGAGCTGTAGAGCAGGTGGAGAAAGGGGCAAACGCTCCGGTCATTCCGTTCAGTCTGCCACAAAATAATTACTTCCACTCTAAAGGTGTACCTCCTGTCACCACGAAGCTTGACGGAAGAAGTGCTATTTCACAGCCACCGGCAGAATGGTGGTGGCATCAGTGACGCCGTCCAGATCTCGACGGCGTGTACTGATCGCTGCATTCTTGCTACCTCGTACAATTGAGTTTCAATTTGATGACGAGAAAGACACGGAAGCGCCGGTGCATTCGCCACTCAATGATACTGAGCAGCACAGCACTGAACAGCGCCATGCGATTCAGCTTACGCCGTCACTGAAAGAGGCAATGGAAAAGGAGCAGGCACGGTCGCGTGTATACTCTGGTGTATCCACGCTCATTCCTTCGAGTCAAACTTCCACACGGCGCCCGTCATTTGCCGCATCGCGAGATCGTGTGAATATGGCCGATCTTATGGCCGACGCCGCAGGATCAGCCTCAGCATGCCTACAGCCACTTTCTAGCAATTCTGCAGCGCTCAATAACGGACCATTGTCGCCTAGCGCACGAGAGATGAATCCTGAATCAAAGAGCCTTGTCCCTAGTGCCACGTCGAGAGCCGCGAGTACGACCGGCATCGGTTTCGGCACTGGTGTCAGCAGTGGCTCAGGCATGGATGATAGTGGGAGTGATAGCGCGAGCTTCAGCATCAAGAGTAGCGCTGGCACCGATAGTGCGCGAGCCCCCTTGTCGGCAGTCCAAGTGAAGAGCTCCGTGTCTGATCATGGACGAGGCGCTGAGCCTTCCGGCAGCGGTAAGCCGGACTTGACCACTGGATCGAGATCTGTGCTGAACTCCACTCACACCCCAGTTCCTAGTGCATTAAAGCCGTACGGTGCACATGTTGCAGCATCATCCAACAGGCCACATTCGTCTGGGGCATCGCGCAGCAGCGAGTCTACCACACCTATTAGCATCATTTCTGACCTAGAAGCCAAGAGTCATCAGGGTACAACGTCCCGGCCAGTTTCACAAGAAAGCTTTTATGGAATTGGAACTCGATCACCCAAGCCATCCACACGTTCATCCCTGACCTCCAGTGGCTCAACACCTCGACTCATGACACGTCCAGATCTGGCACCTGGATGGACAGATCCCGCAGCGGTTACGATACCATTGCCATCGTCGCCGATGGCAGCGACATCTACATCCATGGCGTCACCATCATCTGGGTCTCCGTCGGGATTCCCGTTGCCTATACCACGGGTACCATCAGCCTCACATGCCACATCCGAGAGTGAGCCTGAGCTTGCATCTGCCTCGACTGCCGACTGCATGTCTCCAGCTTCTGGACAGCCGTTACGCTCCGCGAATACACAAGCCAAGTCTGCGACGCCCAACGGCTCGCCAAGAAAGGCAAGCACGTCTCAATCCCCTGCAACGGTCAGACGTACTGGACCGAGATTGACCTCGCCAGCTCGGCGCCAGGAGTCTCGTGATGATGACCGACGTATGTCGGGCTCGTCAATCCGGTTCAACATTGCACGACGCGTGCCGCGCAGCTCTAGGACCATGAGCATGTCGTTCTCCAAGACATCCGCACCAGAAACAGCGTCTTCTTCCTCCTTGTCTGCTAATTCGGCTCCGTCGTCAGAACGAAATATGTCCTTCTCTTATGCCATATCTTCAACGGACGCTGAGCCATCAATCCCGTTCGAATTCGTGCCCAATCCCGGTGCCAACTACGGACTCATCAATGCCGTGAATAGCGCACACATCCTTGATGCATGTACAGCTGTGTATATCGGCACACTTGGGATTGAAATGGACTGGATCCCTACGGCTGCACGCAACAGAATTGATCAGGAAGCCATGCACCAACATGCATGCTTGCCTGTGTGGTTACAAGACGACAACTATGTTAAGTGCTACCATCACTACTGCAAACAGATCCTATGGCCGATCTTTCATTACACACTTCCCAATGCCCAGGGCTTGGAAGCAGAGCACGACGCATTCCGTGCATATGTACAGGTCAATCAGAGCTTTGCAGACCGTCTCGTGGCCGAGTATAAAGAAGGCGATGTGATTTGGATCCACGACTACCATTTGCTTCTCGTTCCTGCAATGGTGCGAGCAGCCTTGCCACGCGCACCTATTGGTTTGTTCGTGCACATCGCCTTTCCATCCAGCGAAATTTTCCGTTGCCTGAGCCGTCGGGGTGAATTGTTACATGGCATGCTTGGCGCCGACTTGATTGGCTTCCAGACACACAACTTCTGCCAGCATTTTCGGCAGACCGTGAGCCGGATTCTCCAGCTGCCGACAACGGCACGTGGCGTGCCGCTGAAGCGCTCCTTTGTCACCGTAGCACCGTTCCCCATCGGCATTGACGTGCACGTGCTTAATCGAAGACGCCAGGACCCAGAGGTTCGTGAATGGGTCGACAAGCTGAAGGATCGTTTTGCTGGTAGGCGCGTCATTGTGGGACGTGACAAACTCGATTGGATCAAGGGTGTACGAGAAAAGCTTCTTGCTTTCGAGCTGTTTCTCACTCAGCACCCCGAATGGGTCGGGCACGTCGTGCTTGTGCAAGTGGCGCTTGCAACCGTGCAGGAGAACCGCGAAGTCGGTGATGTAAACGACATTGTCTCGCGCATCAACCGCAAACACAGCTCACTGACATACCAGCCCGTTGTGTTTTTGCACGTGCAGGAAATCACTTTTACACAGTACCTTGCCCTCCTCACAATGGCTGATGCATTTCTTGCAACATCCCTGCGAGAAGGCATGAATCTGACCTCGCATGAATATGTAATTGCACAAGAAGAACACAAAAGGCCGCTTATCCTGTCCGAATTCACCGGCACATACTCGGCGCTCCGTGCTTGTGTCGGAATCAATCCATTCAACACGCAACAAGTCGCCAAAGCCATCGAGCAAGCTCTGACGATGAAGCCAGACGAAATGGCCCAGCGATGGCACGATTTGCATCGCACGGTCGTATCACAGACCGCGCAGCAGTGGATCATTTCCGTGCTGAGCCAGCTCGAACGTGCGCACACAAACCAGCCCTCACCCAACATCCTGTTTACCCCGCGCTTGGAAGTAGCCCAGCTGCAAGCTGAATGGCGTATCGCTAAGTCACGGCTTGTGCTGCTTGATTTTGAAAACACGCTCGTGTGTGAGGATGCAAAGCATCTGCACGAGATCGGCTTTACGCCGCCACCTCATGCTCTTGTTCGTGTGTTGCGACGCCTGACAGAGGACCAGCGCAACTATGTGTACGTGATGAGCCGCAAAAGCGCATCTGATATGGATGCGCTCGCTCGTGCCGTGCCGGGAGTCGGGCTCATTGCCGAGAATGGTTGTTACGTGAGGCACTGTGCAAGCACAGAGAATGGCGGTGGCGCCAGCATTCCCACTGCCTCTGTTGACATGAGCAATAACAGCGGAAATGGGATAGACGGGAATACCGGCGACAGACACAAACGTGCGTGGACCTCTCTCGTCGATGGATTCGACATGAATTGGCGTCTGCCCGTGCGAGAAATTCTCGAGTACTTTACCGAGCGCACTCCTGGGTCATGGATCGAAGAATACTCTACGACTATCACATGGTACTTTTGCGAAGGCACAAGACTCGAGGATGATATCCAATGGGCTCGTCGACAGGCGAGTGAAGTGCAGAGCCTCATTAGTGACTCACTTGTCGAGAGATTTTCTCTTCAGATCGTCAATGAACACACACACTTTGTCATAATGCCAAAGAATGTCGACTTGACCGCTGCCGTTCAATACATGCTTGCGCTCGACAACATGGGTTCGCTGCCTACGCGTAGAGTAACAGGAGATGTCAAAGGCCAGTTTGAATTTGTTCTTCTGATTGGCCGCGATCAAAAGCTCATTTCTTATTTGAATCACCTCGACTTGCTCTTTACCCCCAACACATGCACGACGGCTGAGCCTGATACCATTGCTGGCTCTATAGCATCGTGTCACCTCACACCTGGTCGAGATGTGCTCAACACGTTGGAAGATATAGTGGATTCTCATCTGCGTGACCTCAAGTGGGGTGGACCTGCCATGTTGGATGTATAACCTCCTGCGAGCCTTCTAGTCGCTCTTTATTACGCTTTTCACTTACAAGTTTCAGTATTATTTTCTTTATATCTCTCTTTCCCTCTAGACATCTACACGGTATGGTAGTCTATACAATACGACGATCAGTCATGACACGCATAATGCAGCCGGTTCCTGCGACCTGTGTGAGCTGGAAGCGAAAAAAAGTTAGCACGCATTCGCATGTGTCTACAATGGGCGAGGAACACATAGAACATGTCAAGGTGCGCGAAGTGTGCGCTTGAAGAAATGCATCCAGTGTACAAGCCTCCCGAAACAATCATACGAGTGATATGGCTTGACGACGTGTCTCCCACTCCTCACGTCCGACGACCCATACATCGACGCTCTTGCACGTTCATCTGTGCACTCACCCTGTACTCTAATCTGATACATACCTTTTCATGCCAGCTTAAAATTACAGCGCAGTTGATAGGCGCTGGAGCCGATGGGAGACGTCCCATCTCCATACCACGGTACAGGTACTTCATCAGAGTATCGCGCTCGTCCATGTTCAGTGCTTTTAGCGCGGGCATGATATCTGTGGTACGTGTAGAATTTAGAATATCCATCACAAGTGCAAGCGTCGTTTGCCGCGCTTGCAATGCATGCGCACCAGTGGGTGGATCAGCTAGCGCTGCGTGCAAAGCGCCGGCAGTGTCGCCACTGGAAATCCGTGCGCGCACATCACTCTGTTTCGCTTGTGCAAGCTGATTCAGTTCTTGTGCAGAGCGTGGATCCTGCGGAGCAAGCTCTTCAGCAGAGAGTGTTTCATCATCGTATTGATCGACATCCAGATGCCGAAAATCACTCATGTCGGGGGCCGTTGACTTGAAAAAGTTGATGCACGACTGCTGCGCGTATACACTTCTCTGACAGCCGCTGGTTGGAAAGTAATAACCCCGCGACTAGTGCTAGTTTTTTTCGCTTAACGACGTTTCAAGCACCTCTTTCCAAAAATGTTTCGAGCAAGAAACAGTTGACGTCGGCTCGCAGTCCAAAATACAATGGGGCTTCACTTGGACTGCCTGTAACTATTCGACCCAATGGAGTGTTTCGCTGTTGCTGGCCGCCTGTGTGCCCAAAGGGGGAGGCGCTTGAATCAAATCGCTTATTTCCAGGTGCTGGATGCGATGGGTCCCGACCGTTTCGGCCGCCACACAATAGCGCCACTATATCACACTTTGCGGGGACGCCGCCGCCCAAAGTTGGTGCGCAGACAGGGGTCGTTAAAAATCCCAGCCGACCCCCCGAAATGGCGGCGCAAAGCACAAATGATCATAGATCACGTGCATCCCGAGGCGCGGGTGGCGTGTGTTGGACGAACAAACGCCACGTGCAGCATAGCTCCTTGGGTTTCGCTGAAGAGTCAAAACCACTACACGACCTCAATCTACGTCATAAGGTCCCACACGCCTGGAGGACGTCGACGCCAACTACGACTTGTTTTTGATCTTCTTCACGTGTTGGCATGTCGCACAGTCCTATCAACGATGCTAGATGGCAGGATATGTACGGGCTTACGCCCTCACGCCCAGCCCCTGGTCCTCCGCCCGTCGGCACACGTGCTGGCTCGGATCTGTACGACCACAGCCTGACAAATTCGTCTAGCTCTGCGATTTCAATGACGCCACCACTCACAAACATATCGCCGACAACAAGCCAGAGCAGCGGTCTTACAACAGCACCAGGGTCGACACCGAAAAGCTCTGCGTCCGTCGTCCGTAAAGGATATGTCAGCGTAAAGGAAGATGGACTGCGTTCCTGGATTTGGAGTAAGAAATGGCTTGTGTTGCGCGAGTCAACGCTTCTCTTTCACAAGAATGAATCTACGGTGCAGGCAACAAATATTGTACTTTTGCGTGACGTACGCAACATAAGCCGTACGGACTTGAAGCCGTACTGCATTGAAATCGAGACGAAAGACAAGACGTTTTTCTTGCAGGTCAAGAGCGACGAAGAATTGTATGGATGGATGGACGATATTTATAACCGCTCGCCGCTTGGCGCATCATCGCCTACCAACTTTGTCCACCAGGTTCACGTCGGTTTTGATCCTGTGAGTGGCTCATTCACTGGTCTTCCTGACCAGTGGATGCGTCTACTGACCCAATCGGCCATAACCAAAGAAGATTATGCAAAGAACCCGCAGGCGGTATTGGATGTTCTTGAATTTTATACAGATATTCACAACAAGCGCTCGCGCGATGATTTCGGACTCGGTTCTCCCACGATGAACTTACATGCGGGCAGCTCCGGCAGACAAGCCGTTGACATGTTCAAACGTGCCGAGCCTGTGATTTCATCTTCCCAGTTGCCCCCTGTGGATTCTCGTCGTGCGACGCCGCTTCCTCCGCGTGGTAAACCCAAGCAGAGCCCACTTCCCGCTGTGCCGCGTGAAGATAACATGGCCACTCCTTCACCCACTGGCGATTTGAGTCTCTCGCTCTCTGAGAGCGACACAAGTGCCTTGTCTTTCAGGACGCAGCAAATGCGTCTCTCCGAAGAGCAGCAGCGCCAGCATATTGAGCGGGAAGAACCGCGTGAATATCTTCGCCGTCAACAACAACAACAACAACAACTGCTTGAACAGCAAAAGTATGCCGCTCTGACAGAGCGTCGAAAGTTGTCACAGCCAAGAACACTTCAGCCTCCGTACCTGCCATACGAATCACCAGCTGCGGTGCCGACCAGTAATATTCCTTCCATGGCGCCGACCACATCTTCAACAAGTAGCACACCCAACTCGCGGCCCAACAGCAAGCCGACCAGGTTCATGCCTACTCAGACTCAGGACATGCCGTCACTTCCCACCACAAATTTGGGCATGGTTGCGCCACCCCTAACCAGTGCTGACATGTATCAAGCTCACGAGTCGCCTGGAACAACGTCATCTTCTTTGCCTTCGCCGGCTCAAGTGCATTCACGTTCTCAGCCACAGGTCCAGCCACAACCAGCGCATTCACATTCACCTTCACCCTCACCTTCACAAGCACAGACACGGCCCATGCCATCGACGAGTCCGATGCAAGGCACAACCACTTCGAATGCCCCCACACATCATCCACCATCTAACACCGGTAGTGGTGCCACGACGGCCCCAACTGTGCCTCAACGAAGGCCAGAAGGCCAAAAACGCTCGAGTGCCATGAGCGATGCACAGATCATGGAAAAACTTCGCGCCGTTGTGAGCCGCAATGATCCGAATACAATGTATCGCAAGGTGAAAAAGATCGGACAGGGAGCTTCTGGGTCTGTTTATGTGGCGAAAGCACTCGCAACATCGCAGCTTGTGGCGATCAAGGCGATGGACCTGGCACATCAGCCGCGCAAAGAGCTCATTATCAATGAGATTCTTGTGATGAAAGAGTCACAACACCCCAATATTGTCAATTTCCTCGATGCTTACCTGCTACGTGATCATGACCTGTGGGTAGTGATGGAATTTATGGAGGGCGGCGCCTTGACGGACGTCATTGATAACAACACGCTGGATGAAACTCAGATCGCTGCAATCTGTCTGGAAACGTGCAAGGGATTGGAGCATCTGCATAGACATTCCATTATTCATCGGGATATCAAGAGTGACAACATCCTTTTGAACAACTATGGGCAAGTGAAAATTACAGACTTTGGCTTTTGTGCCAAACTGACGGACCAACGGAGCAAGCGAGCTACGATGGTCGGTACACCGTATTGGATGGCGCCAGAAGTTGTGAAACAGAAAGAGTACGGCGCGAAGGTCGACATTTGGTCACTGGGCATCATGGCTATTGAAATGATTGAGAATGAGCCGCCGTACTTGGATGAAGAACCTCTCAAAGCGCTCTACATGATTGCGACAAATGGCACACCCACGCTCAAGAAGCCTGAGAATCTTAGTCGCGAGCTCAAAGGGTTCCTAGCTGTCTGTCTGTGTGCTGATGTAAAGAGTCGTGCCACAGCCGACGAGCTCTTGCAGCATGAGTTCCTGCACAAGGCTTGTCCAACCAGCGAACTGCCCAAACTCCTTGAGTTCCGCCACCATGAGAAGTGATATATGCTTGCATACATACGTCCCACGTTACCGTCACATTCCTCTACCCCATCCTATTGCCCTAACCATCACCATATCTGCATCATCACATATAGTTGCCAGTCATTCTCCCCGGTTTGTACGACTGGTCAGGGTCCTAGAGAAGCTTTACGATGTTTACTGCCTGACATTGCGCGTGCCGTTGGTTGCTAGTCGTTGCCGCTGCTCACGCTGCCGGCGCCTCTGCTGCAGCTTGAGGCCATGCATCGTCGCGGACATATGCACAGATCACTGTACGGCCATCAAACTGACGCCCAGCAATGGCACGGAGTGCCGCTTCGCATTCATCCGCATGAACAAACTGCACATACACACGCCCAACGCCTTTGGGCTCCATCCCTGAGGCAGCGTCTGCGGAGGTCGCATGACCAGCTGCGGCAGCGAGTGGCCTAGGAATGTACACACTTGTAACGGTGCCGTGTCGCGAGCACTCGCTGTGCACGTCCTCTTTAATGTCTTGATACTCTGTGTCGTCCAAGAGCTCGTCCGTCGTTACCATGTTCAACATTAGCATCGCACGTGTTGGCGTGTCAGAGGTTTCTTGCGTGTCCTCATGCGTGTGTGTATTGGTGGATGCATTCACACGGCGCACCATCAAACGTTGCTCACCTACTTCGAGACCGTCAAGGCCTTCGCATGCAAGATCAGTCACGGCATCCTCATGGAATTCGCAGAAAGCCATCCCACGCGAACGCTGTGTCTCTGGGTCACGAATCAGATCAAAGTGGCGCACATCACCGAACGCCTTGAGCAGCTCCATGACTTGTTGCTCATTCAAAAACACCGGTACGTTGCCGATGTACAATTTGTTGGGCCCATCGGGCACACTCGTTTCAATGGCCCCTGGCGCAGGCACTGCATCTTGCCCGACATAGCCTTTAGGTCGCTCAATGTGCAACCTGTGGCCCAAGAATGCAACACCGTCCAACAAGAGCGCATTTGACGCTTCGTCAGGATTCCGGAACTCCAAGTATGCATACCCCTCGTCCAGATGCATGTCAACCGCATAGCAAGGCTCAAGACTGCCACTTGAGCATAAGAGGCGTTCATTCATTTTGGCATTAATGAAAATGCGCAACTGCTGACTTGTTTTGACCGATGACACTGGTGATACATGAAGCCGCCGGGTTTCTAAGTACATAGAAGCATTGAAGGCAGCTGCCGACGTAGTCGCCTCCAACTCAGCCATGGCACTTGGTGGGATAGTGCCTGGCATGGCACCGCGAATCCCATACATCATCATGCCTGATGATCCAGAATTTACCGGGGCACCGAACAAGCCGGTTGCCTTGGCGGAGAGTGCATCTACAGCTTCAAAGCCGGGCGCACGTACATCCCATTGTGAGTGCGCTATAGGCCGGTCACTCAGTCGAATCGTACCGGGTGGTGGTGGACTTGTCCGCACAACACTTCGGCGCCCACCGCCGCCTCCTCCTCGCTGATGGTGGCCACTACCTCCGCGGCGCCATCGACGATCATAGTCGCTGCTGCCTCCGCCACTACGTCCCTCACTGGCATCGTATGGGTATCGACGGCGAGAGTACCGCGCCGTGTCATCATAGTCGCCACCTCCATATGCGTGAGACATACGGTCTGTCTCGCGTCTGTCCATCGCGTATCACGACGCCAAGTCAATGCAAGAGAGACGTTTGACACGTAACGTGTGCGAGCGTCAAGCCACAATGTATCCGACTCGCTCATCTCACCTCCTGCCCTACCCCCCCCCCCCTTCCCTATTCCTTCCCAATGATTTCGACTTTCTCCACACGCACGGCAGAGCATTTTTCTTCCTCCATAGGTTGCTTCTTTCAGCCCCTGTGCGTGCAGGATTGGCTGTTTGCTTGAGATTTGTCAAGTCGCCGCCTGAACGCAATCTCCTTTGACACACTCTCCACCGGCTCGAAGCCCATATTGCGCTTCGTCGTTGAGTGTGAGAGCACGTGATACAAGCTTCAGCCACCCCAGGTGAACGCGGTGCAACATTTGTGACGTATCACCCCTATTGTCGAAACGCGGCGCTCGCGTTGAGCAGATTTAACGTGAAGGGTGCGCGGCAGGGCCCATCCTACAGATATGGTACGTGTCGCATGCATTACACAGTAGTCTTGGGCATCTATACTAACCATGTCTATGCGTCAGGCGTCTGGATCTGGCACTTCGACAAGCGCGCCTCCAGGAAGTGTTGTGAGTCCATGGGTATGTGCGCAATACATTCGGAGTCCAGTCGACCAAAAAGAAAAAGAAAAACTCACACATACAGGCTGAGTACAAAAATGCACAGGGTCGTACGTATTGGTACCATCCGGGAGAGCGACGCAGTGTTTGGGACAAGCCGGACGAGCTGAAAAGTGCACGTGAGCGTGCCATGGATTCAACGCCATGGCGCGAGTACAAGTCTGGAGAGCGCAGCTACTATGTTAATAAAGAAACGAAGCAGTCAACATGGACTATACCCGCGGATTTGCAGGCATATTTAAGCACGATCCCCGACGACCCGCCGCCTGCTGTGCCAGCGCGCTCGTCAGCCAGTCCACATGCACATGCTTCGCCTGCAGGCTCAGCAACCCCACCAACAAATACTTCAACGGGCGCATCAGCCACAGCTTCGGACGCTGTAACTGACGCGCTTGGGCCTGGCACAGCTGCGCCACGATCTTCGACCAACTCATCTGTATCCGCACGAAACTTGTCGCCTGTGTACGCGACGCACGAAGAAGCGGAAGCTGCATTTATGTCGATGCTGCAGCGCAAGAATGTAGGCCCTACATCAACTTGGGAGCAAACATTACGTGAAATCATCACAGATCCATTGTATAAAGCGCTACGGACGCTTGCCGAGCGCAAGGCCGTCTTCCACAAGTATGTTGACGACCAAAAAGCACAAGAAGCAGCTCGGCGCGAAGAGAAGGCTGCTGAGCTGCGGCCCAAGGTCACTAGCGCATTGCAGCAGGAGTTGGGCGGGCTGAAGCCCTATGCTAGCTTTGCGACATTCAGAAAAAAATTATCGCCGCATGCTTTGTGGGCAGAGATCGATGATGAGCAGCAGGCGCACGCTATCTACGAGGCGATCCACCGCGAGGTGCAAGAAAAAGAGAATGCGCGGCTTGAAGCGATCAGAGCGCAGAACCGCACGAACTGGCTTGCATTGTTGACCACCATGGAGCTACGTCCCACGTCACGCTGGCACGACGTGTATCGTGCGATCTGCGACTCAGACACGTACCGCCAGAGTCCTCAGTTGCAAACGATGCTCTTCACTGACCAGCTAGCCGTGTTTGAAGAGCACATGGCAAAAGTCGAGGCTGAGGAGCGCGAGCGGCTCTGGGGCCACGCCCATTCACGACGCGATCGGCAGGCCCGCGATGCATTTCGAGCGTTACTACAGGACTCTGTTGACAAGGGCACGCTGCACGCCCGTTCGACATGGGCATCGTATTTCCCGAGCATCCGCGACGATGAACGGCTCAAGGCCATGACTCAAACAGCCTCTGGCTCAAGTGCACAAGACTTGTTTTACGATGTGCTCGATACCCTAGAGCGTGATTTTGCTGTGCATCGACGCACCGTTCAGGCGCATATGCGGGCAAACAACATCCACGTTACAAGCACCACCGATTCAGACGCTTGGCATAATGCCTTTCGGAGCGCTGATGCGCCTGACAGTATCCGGATGTTGCCGGACCACATGTTACGTGCTTTGTTCGACGAATGCGTGTACCAGTCGGAGCGAGATGCTCGTGATGCTCGCCGCCGTACAGAACGACGCTTGCGCCACCACGCCGATGATCTTAGGTACGCCTTTAAGCACATGGAACCGCCTTTGGATATCGAGGCATCTTTTGACGACATTCTGCCGCGCATTCGCACGCTACCAGAGTATGATGTACTTGCACGTGCGGGTGAAGATGGCCTCGATACGGCTAGGTCGGCATGGGACCGATTCGTTCGACGCCAATCGGAGAAGCTGGCTGATGCTATGAATACACCAGGCCGGTCACGGACGGACTACACGGACCTAGACGATAGCGGTGGTGCAGACGAGCATCGAAAGAGGAAGGAGCACTTACGGAGTGATGACGTAACGGCGGTGGACCCACGCGCCGTTCGCAGGCGCACCGAGTATGATATATAGTATGTCTGGATGGGATCGTAACTCGATGTAAGCGTTTCAAATGGTCGTGGAAAACAGCATAGTGCCTACAAACAAAAGGTACTTGAGGGAACAAGCTAGCTCTGGCAAAGGAGAAGGAAGTAGACGTGGTTTGGCACAGAGACCATACCACAGGACCGAGAGGCCACTAAGCCACTAACAACTACGATGCAGAACTTGGTTGTTGCGGTGCGTGCATGTGGGTGAGTACCTGCGAAGAAGCCACGTGGATGGCCACGTGTCTGCGCCTCTGCGCCCTTCCGCCGTTTTTTTTTGTGGACGCAGGGGGCAGTCCGGGTCACAGTGCTGACGACGACATGAGCCAGGAAGAAGGTGCCGTGATCGGAATCAACTTGGGCAACACATACGGCAGCCTTGCATGCATTAACCAGCATGGGCGCGCTGATGTGATTGCAAATGAGAGTGGCGAGCGCCAGATCGCCACGCGTATCGCTTTCCATGGCGACCAAGTGTACCACGGCAATGGAGCGACGCCGCAACTCATCCGTAATGCACACAATGTGATTGACAATTTTGTTCATCTCGTTGGCCGTCCATACTCGGATTTGTCAGAGGAAGAAAAGGCGCGCAAGTCTGCCGCCGTGCTTGACGTGAATGGCGTACCATCGTTCGAAGTCGAGATCAACGGTAACAAAACTATTCTCTCGGCGCAAGACGTGCTCGTGCGCTTCATTGGCGTCCTCTACAATGCTGCGAAGGACTTCATGTCGGGTGTGCCGATTGTCGGAGCGGTTCTTAGCACACCACTCTGGTACTCGGACTCACAGACTGCAGCCGTGGCCGACGCGGCGAAGCAGGCAGGTCTTCATCTCCTCCAGCTTGTGCCCGCACCAGCCGCAGCTCTCACTGCGTATGGCCTCACGATGCCAAAGCCCACAGGCGAGCTTCCTTCTCACCCCGACGGTGAAAAAGGCGAGCCTTATGCGCCTGACAAGATCCTCGACCGGAATGTGCTTGTTGTCGACTTTGGTGGCACGGCCATCGATGTCACTGTGTACGCGGCACGCGCCGGCATCTTTTCTCAACTCGCCTACGAGCATGACAAGTCCATTGGTGGACGTGCGCTTGACGATGTGCTTGTGCATCACTTTGCGAAAGAGTTCCACAAAAAGACCAAAACGGCTATTGGCGAACACGATGCACGTGCTTGGGCCAAGCTGCGTAACGAGGCTGAAGGCACCAAGCGCGCCCTTAGTGCAAGCCACTCGGCGCAGTGCAGCGTCGAGAGCTTGGCCGAGGGTCTAGACTTCAGCGGCAGCGTGAACCGCACGCGGCTGAACGTGCTCGCTTCTGGCATTTACCAGACGGCCGTCGCCGATGTGCAGAAAGCCATTGCAGCGGCCGGGCTTGAGTCGTGCCAGATTGACGAGATCATCCTTGCTGGTGGTGCCTCGCGTCTTGCTGGTCTTGCTGAGCAGTTGTCGTTCCTGTTCCCCGAGGACAGCAACACGCACATCACGTACTCGATCGATTCTGACCAGGTCATTGCCCGTGGCTGTGCAGTTTATGCCCAGTCGCTCGTACACCTTCCGAAGGACTCGGAGGAGCGCAAGTTCGTTGCTTCGATGCCAGCCACGCGCGCTGAGCGCCGCGCCGCATTGACAATGCCAGCGACAACGCGCCCATTGGGTGTGGTTGTGGATGCACCGCCGCAAGAAAGTGTTGCTAAGCAGATCGTCAACGGCAAGCTGTTCGTCACGCTTGTGCACGCTGAGACGCCGCTCCCAGCACGCCGTGTTGTGCGATTCCCCGTCACACCCAACTCGTCGTCGACGCTTATCCGCCTTGCGCAAGGCACGCCAAAGGTGCGTGTTGATAAAGTGGATCCTGAACCGCTCGACGATGACGAAGACGCAGCGGCCGATGAGGATGACGAGCCTCTTGAGCCAGAGGAAGTGCGCAGTGCATACATTGAACCTGATGCGGCGAGTCTTGCTGAGCTCGTCGTGCCACATGCAGCTTTGTGTCAGTCGATTACTCTACAGGTGATTGTCCACAGTGATGGACAGGTAACTGTGGAAGCTCGCTGCGACAAGAAGAGCGAAGTGGCTGCATCTGCGCAGATTGGCAGCGCTTAAGAAACAACATCGCACGCAGATCTATAGTTCGTATCCATAGCCAACGGGCGATCAAACCAACGTGGTGGATGCCGCCAGTGGCTATGTTGGTCTGTCTACGAGGATAAATTGACGGGGGAATCCATCGTTCTCTCGATCATCAGCACAGTGTGTCGGTCCAAATGTGGGACGTTGTGGGGTGCTTGAGAATGTTTCACAAATCATGACAGCACGTGTGCATGTGTTCAAAGAACGATATGACAAGTATACATGGTTCCATTACGACGAGCTACCTTCACGGCCTGTAGGCCCGCTACCACGGCGAAGCTTCTCCGCGTCGTCTTCCGGGGGTACTTGGTCAAAGGGGCCAGACAAGTCGTCGTGCACGACCGCACGGAGCTTCGCGTACGCATTGTCCAAATCCTTGTTTACAATGACGCAATCAAATGACCCTGGCATCCGAGCGAATGCCAATTCCTCCAGAGCCATGCGCAACCTGTGATCAATTGCGTCGGCCGTATCGGTTGCGCGGCCCTCGAGACGTTCCTGTAACGTCGCAAACGTCGGTGGCGAAATAAACACAAACAGAGGATTCAGATCCGGGTGGTTCTCTTTGATAAGACGCACGCCTTGCGCATCGATGTCAAGAATCGCGCGACGACCATCGCCCTTTCCATTCACATCTCGCACAGCCTGCGCTGTCGTACCATACAGATTGCCGCCAAATTCGGCATGTTCCAGAAACTCGCCATTCTTTACTCGCTGCTCAAACTCCGCCCGCGAAACGAAATGGTACGACTTGTCTTGCACTTCGCCGGGTCGTATTTGACGCGTCGTATCTATACAAGATCGTTAGTAGGTTCGTTTAGGCCATACATCCACACTCTACGTACGGCTTACACTAAATCCAAACGAGTCGGGGAATTCATTAAAGAGCCGCTTGATCAATGTGCTCTTCCCAACACCAGACGGTCCACAGAGCACAATCGGTCGTTTGCTCATGACTTGGAGCGCGTGCCGCCAAATGGGAGTCGACATGGCCTATACTAATGCATCTTGCGATGACCCCCGTGCCGCTATGTCGTCACGTGAATCAAGTCGGTGATGCAGCGTGTGTAAGATTGTGGAGCTTGCTCGTCGCTGCTGCTGTGGCCAGGCACAGGGACACTGTCTTTTCTAGTACGGGCGCGCGCGTCTTTGCAGATCAAATAAGGCGCGTGGGATGTGTGGCACGCCACTGGACTTGACGACATTTTCCTCCCTCCATCTTTTTCCTTCTAACAATCATGTCTGGACGTACGTATGCGCAAATGTTCTGACAGCAGGTGGCAAGGTATGCTCGCATACGCAAAAGAAGTACTAGGCTTATGACAGGGTGGAAAGGGACTTGGCAAAGGCGGTGCAAAGCGCCACCGCAAGATCTTGCGCGATAATATCCAGGGTATTACAAAGCCAGCGATTCGGCGCTTGGCCCGTCGCGGTGGTGTGAAGCGTATTTCCGGCCTGATCTACGATGAAACGCGTGGCGTTCTCAAGCTGTTTCTTGAGAGCGTCATCCGGGACTCGGTCACATACACAGAGCATGCAAAGCGCAAGACTGTCACGTCGCTTGATGTGATTTATGCACTCAAACGCCAAGGCCGCACGCTTTACGGTGTACGTACCAGCGATAACTGACCAAAGTTCGGTGCATAAATGCGTAGCGATGACATATACATAATTCATGTGCAGCGGCGCACGAATAGATCTCTTTCATGTGCTCATATAGCCCAAAGTCTTTGTTGTATTGGGCCGGGTGTATGTACATATGTATATATGGCCGATCTGATCTTATTGTATGGTTGATTTGGCTGTGACATCTCGGGCCGCAAATGTGCCTCTTTTATCCGACCGAACACAATCAAGACGTAACAGAGTACGTCTCACTGACCGTGGTACCTAGTACGCAGAAAGAATGCATGTTGATCGTTCATTTAAATAAAGAAATAGAAGAGTATGAACATGGAACAGCGACACAATCATGTCCACACTTGGACACTTTAGAGAGCCGTCCAGATGGACGAATAGACTATCCATAACGGCGCGTATCTCCACTTTTTGTGCACTGGATGCTCGAGTAGTAGATTTTTTCACTAGCCTAATAATCGACCCATTTTCGTCACCGGGGTTAGTAGGACGTTGCGCGTAGCTGAACTAATCTCGTGCATCTATTATCTAGAGGTCTCTGAGTTATAAGGATCGATAAACTACCAACCAAAGAGACCCTCTGCAAGGTGGCCTAGCAGGGTGGTCGGTTTCTGCTTTGAACCTATTTCAATCGACGCATCCACTGATTTGGTCGAGGAGGACGCATGTCCATTCCACATTGAAGGACACATGTTCCATAGGGATTGAAGGGCGGAGGTCTTTGCCGTATCTTTCGTAGGTTGCGCCAGCGCAGAACCTGGCGATTCCACCTTGTCGATGGGACGACCAAATGCCGGCGTGCCTGCGGTGTGTCGAGCCGATGAGGCACGCAGCTGCGAGACGGGCGTCGCTGGCGCTGTTGACGCCATGGGAGGCGCTACATTTGGGTCAAATGCAGCCCCCGACGAAACACCTAGCAGGGGTGCATCAAGTCCGCCAACCAAGCTCTGCTGATGCATTGCATCATTCTCCCATCGCACACCAACCATGCACGTGCCTGCTAATGTTCGTCCGTTCTGAGAAACAGCCTGCAGGGCCTGGATCGGTTCATGAAATACAAGTCTTAGCGTCTTCTCCTGCGCTGGATTGATTGAGACATCATCAATAGACTCCAACCCACCAAGTGCTGAAAACTGTTCAACAACCACAGAGCGCAGAAGCGGCGGAAACCCATACACGAGCACGGAACGGTGCGCTAGGGGACTTGCCTGTCCCGACACAGGCATACGGACAGAAGAAGAAGAATCATCCGCAGCTCCCACTGAGCTTGATAACATGCCCGACGTCATGGATGAATCGAATGCACGGCCTTGTACCTGAGGCATGTCATGCAACGTTTGCTGAGGCGGTGCATCGTCGTCGTCCATTGCATCAAAGCTCGGCACGGCAGTGACTGCAGCAGCGGTGCTACTTGCGAGAGAAGCAGCTAAAGGGGGCGATGTCGGCGGCCGTGACATGGAGCGATCAGCGGCACCATCCTCCATCGGAGGACGAGAGCCGCGCAGACTTGTGGATCCAAAGATACTCCCTTTCACGCATTCCATTCCCGACTGCCGACATCGACGGCGAGCGATTGAGATCACCATAATCCATGCTGCTGCGCGAAAAAAACGATGAATGAAAGCCAGGGTTCGGCGATGTCGACGATGCGCCCGAGAGTCCTGCGCCATGGTCCTTCTGTGCCAAGATCGACGTGGATGTATCAGCCTCTGTTTTAAGTGATGGTGGCACTGTATCTGATGGCCTTTGTGAGCTAGCATGTGATCTCTCGAGGCCACGCATCTTACTGAGGTAGCCAGGCAAGTAAGAAACAGGTGCCTGGCTTGCAGGCGAAGCTTGCGGTGCTGTTGTGCCCCAAGGTGCCTGCATACCTCCATAACCAGGTGCGTTTGTACCAGCCGCAAACGTAGGCGACGACATCCCACCTGCTGACCCTGTTGGGACATGTGGCGATGGACCAGGGAAGGACGAGCCAGACCCTGGTGGTTGTTGCTGTGCTGTGCTGAAAGCTGAGGACCCCGGCGCCGTTGACTGTTGCGGTGTTGATAGCAGCGTATTTGTTTGTGTCTGAGGCATACCTGGCATCCCACCGCCCAATGCACCAGATATGTGGCCAGTAGCATTCGGTGACGAAGTGTGTGTCTGCATCCAAGGCGCAGGCGCTGCTGTCGTCGACGTCGCTGATGACGACATGCCTTGGGCAGGTGTCGATGGCGGAATGCCAAGACCTATCTGGCGCGAAGTGCCGGGTGCGTTTGAAGCTGAGAACATTCCGCAATAGCTATATTGCGAAGCCGACAAGGATTTACCGGCTCCGTCGTTCGTATATCAACGTGCGAACGTCCCAATGAGGTAGTGTGTATGTATGTGGATTTGACCCATTACTTCCACATCGATGGAACACAAGCCGCGACATTCTCACGTGCTACAAAATAGATTGGCCTAGGTGCTGACAGACCAACACAAAACGCGTGCGTGCGTGCGTGCGGCGCCGTACGTGTGTGTGTCGAAAGACCAATTGGGTCCCATAGGAGTGTACGAGAGTGCTTTCCACCCCAACATCAAGTTCAAGACCACTTGTGGTTTCTGAAGTCGGCGCGCCTTGTCGCGATGGAGAACTACCAGAAGATTGAAAAGGTTGGTGAAGGAACGTATGGCGTTGTTTATAAGGCCCGTGACATGACACCTGGCGCGAATGGCCGGATCGTCGCATTGAAAAAGATCCGCCTGGAAGCGGAAGACGAGGGCGTGCCATCGACCGCGATCCGAGAAATAAGTCTCCTGAAAGAACTGCGAGATGAAAATATTGTGCGCTTGTACGAGATTATTCACCAAGAATCGCGTTTATATCTTGTGTTCGAATTCCTGGATCTTGACTTGAAAAAGTACATGGACAACGTGGCGAACCAGCCCGAAGGTCTGGGTCCTGAAATTGTGATGAAATTTACATACCAGCTAGTGCGAGGTATTTACTTCTGCCATGCACACCGAATCTTGCACCGTGATCTCAAGCCGCAAAACTTGCTTATTGACAAAGAGGGTAACTTGAAACTTGCCGACTTTGGTCTTGCTCGAGCATTCGGCATCCCTCTCCGAACATACACACACGAGGTCGTGACGCTCTGGTACCGTGCACCTGAGGTGCTTCTTGGCTCTCGCCACTACAATACTGCCATTGATATGTGGTCTGTCGGCTGCATCTTTGCAGAGATGGCCATGCGGACGCCGCTATTTCCCGGCGACTCGGAAATTGACGAAATTTTCCGCATCTTCCGTATTCTTGGTACACCCAACGACGAGATGTGGCCTGGAGTCCAGTCACTTCCTGACTACAAGACGACATTCCCTCAGTGGGGTGGTGTGCCACTCAAGACAGTGGTGCCTTCCCTAAGCGATGCTGGGGTTGACCTGCTAGGGCTGATGCTCATTTACGATCCAGCCGTCCGAATTAGCGCCAAGCGCGCTCTCAATCATCCATACTTTGCTAGTGTGACAGCTGGCTAAGATTGTTCCCTTGTATGTGCGCATGCATGCATGTGAGCGCGTGCGTGCGCGAGCGAGCGAGTGAGGGTGTGAGAGAGTGTGTGTGTAAGTATGTGCCTATAAATATGTTTCTGTGATGCGTGAGCATGTCAGTCAGATGCGCCGTTCGTTTTGTGTCGCGTCCTCCTTTTGATCTGCATGCGGCTTCCCACCACGTGTTGCTACCGCTTCCCGTCCAAACACGCCTATCTTCCTTTCCTTGTCTCGTATACTCACATGCCCATACTGTTCTCATGTAGGCAAGTGTCCGAAAGCTTAATATGAACTCAGAAACACGATTGGGCCATCCACTTGCACATTTACATTCTCTATACATTGTGCCATATAAAGTTTCGGAAACTGTCCCACTTGTCGGAAAGAACGTACAAGTCTGCTCGTTAGTTTCACGCTTCGAGTACACACAGTCCATGCTGCTAACTAGTCCACCATTCAGACGGTGTCGCTTATTCACGAAGAGCCACATAACAGAGCCCCATGTCAATGCCGCGAAGAGTTGGTGTGCCCGTGTTATCAATTGGCACAACCTTGTTTGTTGGATAGTCCTTTGGTACACGAGCACGCGGAAGAAGCGCGGCTACACATCGCGACACGCAATATAGTACAATCTGTTCATTTACTGGCGTTCGCTCGCCAAACATGTACCAGCCGCCTAACATGCCGGCCAAAAATGGATCAATGGATGCCTGCTTTCCATCACGAAAAAGGTCACGAATCACCATTAAGGTTGTCTTATAGATCATCACGTATAACGCTAGCCGCATAGCATGCTGTCTCGTCGCTGTGATGATCTTCTTCCATTTGTCCCTTGGCGTACCAGATCCAAACAGCGTCACCATTACCAAAGCATGCGGGAATCGAATCTTTGCACCATATACCAAACCGTTTCTTGCACCTTTGATAATAGATAAGATCGCATGGTTTGCCGGGTCTAACAAGGACTGCGTTAGCGCCAAGCGAAGATCCGACATGATGCTGGCCAAGGCAACCCAGACCCAAGTAATTTTACCCCACTTCCAGGTTTTGCCCACACCCCCCGTCGAATTTGACTTGAACTTTTGCCCGGGCCCCCGGGTGAACTCAATCTAAGCGGCGCCACGGCCTGCTTCCGTCTCACTGCTTAGCACGCACACGCACATACACGAGCAAAGACACAGCGTCTCCACCAAGGGGGGTATTTTATTTCGGCCGAAGAACACGTGGGTGATATGTACATGCCGGTGAGTGCGTGAAAGTACGCGTTCAAGTGCGTGTTTATTTTCATAATACATGTCGAGTCCAACATGACAAGGTCTGATCTGTTGGGTGCATGATAGGCTTGAACACCGTAGCCTCTTATCAAAAAAATAAACAGCGAAATCTTTTCATCTTGTTCTTCGTTCTTGTTGCCTTCGTGGCTGCATGGTCAAACGAGTCCGTCGTGAAGCACTTAAGTGCCATTCGAAAGACATTTATCTAGCACCATCGTTAGGTCAGTCGATTGGTGGCCGATCATTCGATGTTTCGTGGAAACCAGACTGTATCAAGTCCTCCAAATTAGATATTTATTTGTTCTCACGACATGATCCTATCACATTACCTCTTCATGCATGGCTGGGATTAAACACAGAGGAAGGGTCCAAATCGCTTCCGCTTGACAGTAGTTGGTGGAATGGCACATCAAACTTGGTCGCGAACCTTCAATTTGTTCCTAGTGGCTCACAACCTTGGGAAACGTCCATTCCTCTTGGTCCAACATGGTATTTGAAAGGCGACAACAATAATAAATCAGGACGTTTGGACGCATCCTCTGCGTGGAGCAACGGGAAAGTAACTGACTACAATGATAAGAATTCAGATTTGTCTAACGGCGCATTAGCTGCCGCTGTTATATTGCCGATACTGGCACTTCTCGGCTTGATTGCGGCAGCCTTCATGTGGAACCGACACAAAATAGCTAAACGCGAAGAAGCCCGTCGTGCTCGCTCCATGAAGCAATTATCACCCAATGGCGCCTCACTTCCTGAAGCACCATCACCGATGTATGGTCAGGAGCCCTACAGTTCTATCGGTACTTATCATGTTGATGTGCCAGATGGGTATCTGGAAGAATCAGATGTGAAGGATCTTCACAATCAAGACTATTCTTATGGGCAAGATATGCTACCATCCATGGAGACGGACAATACGCAGTTCGAACACCTTCAATCCCAACCGATAGACTCGTTGCAACACAAAGATGGTGGTTTGAATGTCTCGTCTAATACCAAAGATCAACGCCGGCGATCCCGCAAGCATCCGCATGAGAAGCGCAAGTCCTCTAAGCGTAGGACACGCTCTTCTCGTCAGCATTACTCGATCGGCTCGTCTCTACTGCATCAAGCCAATTCAGGATCTGTTCCCGAAAGTCGTGTTCAGGCCGAACTTCAGCGCCGAACTCGAGAATTCAGACCCCATTCACGGTACGGGATGCTTGAGCGACCATGCTCTTCGCCTGTCGATGCAGACTCTATGTCGGACCTTGATCAGCTTTCGTATGGGCAGAATCATGACAAGGCCACTCCTGTTGCGGTCACATCTTCGCAAGGTCCCGGCACGAGACTCGGTGCCTCTAAAAAGTCGGCAACTCTAGATCCTGCTCCACAGGAGCCCGATATACTTCACGAGGGAAACAAATTCGTCGGCGTGAATCAGCGAGTGCTCAGATACCTGCAATCATTAGGCACTGATGATCAAGAGACTAACGATGATTCATCCGCCAACGCACGTTCCGGTTCGACTCAAAAGCACCAGCTTTCCACCCAAAGTAATGTTTTCTATGACACAGACGATAGTCTGGGTTAATCTGCTCATGAAAAAGACTTTTCACTTTCTTTCATTCCAGGTATAATAAACACGTAGAGAAATTCAGCGATGTAAATGTTCTACAACACATTCGTAAGTGTGCATCTCTACAGCCCCATACGCCATTTCGACATTTTTAATGGCTGACATAATACCGGCCATAAAGATGCGTCGTACTCCGCTAGCATCAAACGCGCTTGGACCCGTCGTGTCATTTGTCCGTGCAAGTCTAAACAATACTCATGGGGGAATTATCATCGTCATGTTTAGGACAAATTCGCGCTGTGCTGTTTGATATGGATGGCCTCCTGATTGACAGTGAGCGCATCTATACAGAAGTAGTAAACGAAATCCTTAAACCGTTTGGTAGGCAACAAACATGGGACATAAAGGCAAAGCTCATGGGTAAGCCGGAACGAGATGCGACACGTACGTATTCAAAGCTCTAATCACAGTCGTACTATTGTCCAGTCTATGGCCTCCCAACCAAGAAGACCCAGAAGACGTGAAACGTGGCTTCGGGTCCGACTGTCCATTTGCCATTGATGAGTTCCTTAGGAAGCGAAACGAACTTCTGTTACCAGCCTTCCGCAACGTCCAACCGATGCCTGGAGCTGTACGCTTGATCCAGCATCTTTCAAAGCACAACATTCCAATTTGTGTACGTACGAAAACGACTTACAAGGAAGGTTGCTACTGGCAGTCGTCGGCATAATTGTACGCATGTTTTTTTTTTCTGGGAGACTCATAAAATGCAGTTGAAATCAAATCCGGTGCGAATCCCAATTTATTTGAACCATTTAACAATCGAGTCGTGTGTGGTGATGATGAAATGATCGGACGCGGGAAGCCATATCCCGATATATTTTTAAATGCTGTTAAGCATGGGCTCGGATGGCAATTCTCTGATGAGGGTCGCGCTATCTTGGAAAAGATCCGCGACCCTGGAGCTGAATTTGATGGGAAGCTTGGTGGTGTAGAAGGCGAAATTCTTGTATTTGAAGATGCATTAGTACGTGAATGCAATGGCAAATTGACCCTCTCTTTCGCCCGTCACCATACTAACCATGATCACTCAGCCCGGGGTCCAAGCTGGTCTCTCGGCTGGCATGAAGGGTATGTATTTAAGCCTTTTGTGTTCTGTACAGCTAACGATGCAGTTGTGTGGGTTCCTGACCCCTCTGTACGTAAGAATATCATGTCATTGGCTTTGGCTCACATAAACGACAGCTGCGAGCCGTGGCGGATCAAGGCCCGCCCATAGGTGCACATCAAGAGCTTTCGTCTTTGGAAGATTTTCGACCTGAGATGTGGGGCTTGCCACCATTCGAAAATGAATAAAGGCGACCAGTGTTATTTCGTTTTGTTTACACTGCACGCATTTCTCCTCTCTCAGACGCTGGTGGCTGTTGATGTCAGATATATCGTCCCATGATTTTTTTTTTGGCTAGAAGGAGGAAAAAAGGGCATCAGCACGTACCTCTGCTTCTTGCGATGGTGGCAGCTCATCTATAAAGTCAGGTTGTGCTAGCAATGCACCTGTCGTGTGCTGCAAGTAGGAAGGAACCTCCATATCATGCTCCAGAGGCTGTTCCTCTCTGCGAATGCGTCAGAATTTTGTTGCTGGGTCAGAAACACACGTACAATGCCTCAAGTTCCGCTTCCAGCTCAGTCTCATCAATGTCGTCGGGCGTCGCATAACTACGAGCAAGTGTTTCTTGCAGTGCACCCGATTGCTCCATCAAATCCTCCATTTCATCCTGGATCTGCTCAATTTTGTCAACATTGATATTCCGATAGGTCTTTTTCAGGTTCTTATTCGCCTGCTGCATCGCATCAACAGTGGCCATGGTGTTCCGCAGATTCTCTGTTACCATCACACTTTGTTCCATGTTAAAGCTTTGTTGCACCAGCTGCTCCATTTGTGCTTCATACATGCGCTTTTGCCGTAAGACTCGAATAGCTCTCTGCTGTATAGCGGATTTCCCAGGGCCTTCACGCATTTTTTTCATTTGGTCTCGATAGCGTCCTAATTCGGCATCAAGACGACTGATCTTTACCTGAGTTGCATCTGCACGAGCATCTGTGGATGTGATAGCCTGCTGTAAATCTGGTTTTGGTGCCTTATTCTGCGATAGGCCAAAAAGTCGTTGCATAGTTTGGCAATTTGATGTTCCCTAGTGAGGTAGGAAAAAGGTACTTGCGAACCGAAGACTTGTACGATTCAATGCTTCAGTCCGTAAAAGACAAAAAACAAGAATCCTGAGAACACCTCGTCTTATAGGACCTCGTGATAAGCTCCAGAGTGATTTAAAACGAGAAAAGTAACACGATGGTTTGTCTGCTCGTGTTGAACCAGCCAAATACGGCGAGACCGGTGCTTACGGGGTAGGGTCTTAAAATGAGGTGGAGGGACGAGAGAGAGTGAAAGTGGGAGGGATAGCCTTTGACGGTGACCTGGGATTGATGACGTGTTAAAACCTCGACTGTCCGAATGCAAGGCACGGCGACCAAGATAGCTTCGCCAGACTCCCTCACCGCTTTGGAAGCGCCACCACCGACAACATGTCTTGGGGGGGATTCAAGAAGTCTATCAACCGTGCAGGCACGCAGCTGATGCAGAAAACGGGTCAGTTGGAGCGCTCGGATGACTCCAGATTCAAGGAAGAAGAGCACAAATACCGAGAACTTGAGAAGCATGCGTCCGCATTACTGAAATGCTCTCGAGACTACCTTGACTCGATCCGGCTTTTGTCTGCATCCGAAGCCCGCATAGGCGATACAATCGAGGGTTTTTATCACGATAATAGTGAGCCTGCGATTATTGCGACGTCATACAAGCGTGCTCTGGAAGAGTTAGACGCTAGAACAGCGAAAGAACTAGATGCACCGTATCGTGCCACAGTTCTTGACCCTATTGGTAAACTTTGCAGCTACTTCCCTGAGGTGAACAAGCTGATCGACAAACGTGGTAGAAAGGTGCGTATCTATCCTCTCCATATATTTTGGATTGAACCATCTTACAATGCAGCTTCTCGACTACGATGCTACACGTTCACGTTACAAGAAACAGTCAGACCGCCCCAGTGACGACCCGTCCAAGCTTCCACGTATGGAAAGCGAGCATAATGAAGCAAAGCTCGTGTTCGATGCTTTGAATGAACAACTAATGACGGAACTTCCTCAACTTGTTGACATGCGCATTCCATACTTGGACCCCTCATTGGAAATGATGATCCGTGTCCAGATCAAGTTTGCTCAGGAAGGCTATGAACAGCTTGGTGGCGTACAACGGTACTTCCCAGAACAAGTGCGTACCGATTATGCCGAAGGACAACTGGATGCCCAGGTGGAAAGCATACTCCAAGAGATGCGCGGTTTGTCAATTTGCGGCATGAACAATTGATATGTTCCCACTCCTCTCACTCATATGTATTTAGTTGGAAACTAAAACCTTATATATAAAACACTTGAGCGTGATCTTTGGTGTTGGTAGCTTGGGTAGGACAACTCTTAAGGCAAGAGAGGTCTTTCATGGAGCATTAGGTTGGTTGGTGCACGTGGCACAGTCTGGAGAGCTTATGTGGTGGGTCCAAATTTCTCCCAGCCGGCTGATTAACAGGTCAGATACTCTGGGTCAAAATGATTCTGAGAGTTAGATTTTCTTCTCATCTCGGCTACACTGATTTGAGAACATGTCGGCAGCACCATCGACAGCACCGTCTTCACCTGGTGCTTGTACAAAATCTGCTACGACAGACATGTCATCTGTGACGACTGCATTGTCAGAGGTGGACGCCTCGCTATCACCCGAAGAGCGTCAAAAGAAAGTCGAACAGGTCAAGTTTGCTGGCAACCAACGTTTCATGAGGGGCGACTATACCGAGGCTAAGGCTTTGTACACTCAAGCCATTGCCTTAGACCCATCGCTCATCACATTGTATAGCAACCGAGCTATGTGCGAACTCAAGCTAGAACAACATGGACTTGCTGTTGCCGATGCTACCAAGGCGATTGAGCTGGATCCCAAGTTCGCCAAGGCATACTACCGCCGAGCCAGCGCACACCTATCAATTCTCGAGCCAAAGAAAGCATTACCCGATTTAAAGATGGTTCTCAAGCTTGATCCGCGCAATGCTCAAGTGAAAGCACAGCTAGATGCAACGTCCAAACTTGTCCGCCGTTTAGAATTCGAAAAAGCTATCCGTGTTGAAGAAGGCCCAGCCGCTAGTCAGACTATCGAAGAGTATTTGGAGCATGGAATGGGTGGTGCGGCCGTCTCTTCTGACTACACTGGTCCACGACTGCCCACGGAAGCTACAAGCAGCCAACGCATTTCGCCGCTGATTGAAGACAAACCTTATCTCGGTCGCATCGATGACGCATTTATTGATAAAATGATCCAGCATTTCCGAGATGGAAAACAACTGCCAAACGGGATCGCGTGGGCTATCGTGCTTGGAGCCCTTCGTGCGTTTGAGCAAGAGCCATCTCTCGTGGAATACACTGTACCTGAAGGCACGACGATTGACGTTGTGGGTGACACACATGGACAATTTTACGACTTCCTTCATCTCTTGACACTAACAGGTCGTCCCTCTGCAAGTCATGCTGTCCTATTTAATGGCGACTTTGTGGACCGTGGTTCATGGTCTGTTGAAATTGCCTTGACCATCTTTGCTTTCAAATGGTTATACCCATCTACGACTTTGATTAACCGCGGCAACCACGAAACAAGTGACATGAACAAGGTCTACGGCTTTGAAGGAGAGTGCAAGGCCAAGTTTGGCGGTGACATGACATTCAAGCTTTTCACTCAAGCGTTTGTTGCTATACCACTTGCTACGCTTATATCTGCATCTCGTTCACCTTTGCCAACGGATAAGCTTCCTGCTACCGCCAGTAAATCGCTCGCCCAGACCGCACCAATTGTTGACAAGGAGACTGGTCACAAACGCTTCTTCGTGGTTCATGGCGGTCTCTTTAGCAAGGACAACGTCACACTTAGTGACATCCGAGCCGTTGACCGTTTTGCCAAGAAACAGCCAGGGCAAGAGGGTCTCATGATGGAGCTGCTATGGAGTGATCCTCAGGTTGCGCATGGCCGCGGGCCTAGCAAGCGAGGTGTTGGTCTCGGTTTTGGTCCTGACATTACCCGTGCATGGTGTAAGCTCAACGGGGTCACTTCCGTGTTGCGGAGTCATGAAGTCCGTCAGGGGGGTTTTGCTGAGGAGCATGAGGGTCTGTGTTGCACCGTGTTCTCAGCGCCCAACTACTGCGACTCTACGGGCAACCTAGGTGCCTTCGGACGCATCGATGAGCAAGGCACACTGTCGTGGACAACGTTCGATGCCCAGCCGCATCCGAATATCCGGCCCATGGCATATGCAGGTGGCATGAGTAGTCTTTTGGCGTAGGAATAGACAAATGATGCACACATTATGGCGGACTTCTTCTGTAGAGAAGGACGCGAGACCTTTTTTTTTTTTTTTTTTTTTTTTGCGGAGACGGAAGCGGGTCGCAGATGAAACATACTCACAGTTATTTGAAAACAATTAAGCTCTACGCTCCTGCTCTGATGAGCTCTCATTCACAAAGAGCGTTCTCGAGGCCCAAGCTTGATGGTATCCACACGAATACGGGTATACGGCTGCTTATGTGTAATAACTTTGTCGTAACCTTTCCGTCGCTTGAACTTTTCAATTCGTTCCAACGGTCCCTTCGCATGCTCTATTACAACACACTGGACCTGGACAACATCACTGGACAACGCTGCACCAACATGAGCCATACCTGTGGGGATAAGTTGGGCCGCCCATGACGAAGAAAATGGAACAATACTATGCGCTTCCTCCGACTTTACCAATTCATCCGTGCGGACGCGAACACAATGCGAGTTGTCTGTTCGACTGCGGAGCAGCACCAATGGGAATCTACCACCCTCAGGATTCCGTGCTCCGTGCGCAGGATCCTGTGCGCGCAGTGTAAAGTCACGGCTTCCAACTTCATGTACCAAGTCGAGCTCTAGTATATCGCCCAACTTCACCCCTGGTAATCGTGGAACGGTAATCACATCCGAACTACTCAGGACGAACGTGCGTCCCGCAATAGAAGCCACGACGTAATGGTTAGGCTGCATCTTTAACAGGTGCAAAGCTTCTTCCAAGTTCTTGACGGTGACTGCTGGTGCTTGTGTGCTCGTTGCCGCGCCTTCCAGACCCTGTGTCGCCATTGTGCGTGTTCCTGTTATCGGCAAGAAAACACGAGCAAGAGGCACATAGCATGTCCGCTGCACTGGCTGTATCAAGGAAGGTACATGGGTACTTCCCTCCAAGGCTCGCGCGACCCCCACTCGACTTAACGCGCGCAGACCGCGCATCATATGGTGGCGACCTTGGGCCATTCCAGGTCCTCCAGCTGCTGCGATGAAACCAGACAACTTTCTTGTCCGCCCAAGCCGGCCACGAGTCTCGTCGTTATTGCAACCATGTGATGCTACACACGTGACTAGAATTTGCTTCTTGACTTTGAGTGGAGATAAAGGGACCTTGGCGCTTGCCTCTATTCAGGCTGTGGGCGGCAGATTCATTCTGCATTCTGCAGCTGCAACCGGGTCCTTCCGGTAGTACACCATTCGGCCGAAACAAGCTCTTCTGCTTTTCTCAGTGCTAGATTCAGCTTCATTATTCGTCCAATTCCCTAGGTTCGGACCCGCTTCATGCGGCCGGGCACGACCGTGGCCGCGCTGGCAGTTCCGCGGTGCGCCCCGGCCGACGGGTCGCTTTCCGTAACGGCTACGGCGCGTTCGCTCTTGTCTATCTACCTTTGCCCCTACCTCGAGTTGTAGTCGCAATGCTCGCTAGGTCCACAGGCATTGCAGTTGCTAACCTCGCCCGCACCGCTGCGGTGCCAACGGTACGTATATATGGGCTCTGCGGCATGTGCGCTCGTGCAAAGCTATTGAATCTTTCCGTCTCATAGCACCCATGTGCGCCATGCGCCGCCGAGCCGTTCATCTCAGCTGGTCGAACCATTTTGCTAACACGTTGGTGCTTCCCGTTTATCGACGGGGATGCCGTTCCTTGGAAAGGCTCGTCGTGCCGTTCCGGCTTTCGCTACTGCCGTTCGTAACTATGCCACTGCCAAGGCCGCTGCCTCGGAAGTGAGCTCGATTCTTGAGCAGCGTATCTCGGGTGCCACGTCTAACTTTGACGTCGAGGAGACTGGCCGTGTACTTGCTATTGGTGACGGTATTGCCCGTATTTACGGTCTCCGCAACATCATGGCTGAAGAGATGGTTGAGTTCTCTTCGGGTATCCGTGGTATGGCTCTTAACCTTGAAGCTGACAATGTCGGTGTAACTGTTTTCGGTTCCGACTCTTTGATCAAGGAAGGTGACATTGTCAAGCGCACCGGCCAGATTGTTGATGTGCCAGTTGGTCCAGAGCTGCTTGGTCGTGTGGTCGACGCTCTTGGTAACCCAGTTGACGGTAAAGGCCCCATTCAGGCTAGTGAGCGCCGCCGTACGCAAGTCAAAGCCCCAGGCATTTTGCCTCGTCGCTCGGTGCATGAGCCTATGCAAACGGGTATGAAGCCTGTTGATGCCATGGTTCCAATTGGTCGTGGCCAGCGTGAGCTCATCATCGGTGACCGTCAGACCGGTAAGACCGCTCTGGCTCTTGACGCCATCCTTAACCAGCGCCGCTGGAACGACGGCAACGACGACAAGAAGAAGCTGTACTGTATCTATGTTGCTGTTGGTCAGAAGCGCTCGACTGTCGCTCAGCTTGTGCAGACTCTGGAGCAGAATGACGCCCTTAAGTACTCTGTGATTGTCGCCGCTACGGCCTCGGATGCTGCTCCTCTGCAGTACCTGGCTCCATTCACAGGCTGCTCGATTGGCGAGTGGTTCCGTGACAACGGCAAGCACGCTCTTGTCGTGTACGATGACCTGTCTAAGCAGGCCGTCGCTTACCGTCAAATGTCGCTTCTGCTGCGTCGTCCTCCTGGTCGTGAGGCGTACCCTGGTGACGTCTTCTACCTGCACTCTCGTCTCCTCGAGCGTGCTGCCAAGATGAGTGAGGCTAACGGCGCTGGCTCGCTCACGGCTCTGCCCATCATTGAAACCCAGGGTGGTGACGTGTCGGCTTTCATTCCGACCAACGTTATCTCCATTACTGACGGTCAGATCTTCTTGGAGTCGGAACTCTTCTTCAAGGGTATCCGCCCAGCCGTGAATGTCGGTCTTTCGGTGTCGCGTGTCGGTTCGGCCGCCCAGACCAAGATCTACAAGGCTGTTGCCGGTTCGCTCAAGCTGTACCTTGCTCAGTACCGTGAACTGGCTGCCTTCGCGCAGTTCGGCTCGGATCTTGACGCCTCGACTCGCTACACTCTGAACCGTGGTGCTCGTCTGACTGAGCTCCTCAAGCAGCGTCAGTACTCGCCTTTGGCCGTCGAGATCCAGGTGCCAATCATCTACGCTGGTATTAAGGGTCTTCTTGACGAGATCCCTGTTGACAAGATTGTTGCGTGGGAGACTGGCTACCGTGAGGAGCTTGCTTCGCAGAACGACCTGCTCTCCGAAATTTCTAAGGGTGTGATGACACCTGAGGTGGAAGAGAAGATCGCTAACTCGATCAAGGCTAGCGTCTCGTCGTTCCTTGGCAACTAAGCACCTAAAGTCTTGTGCTGATTTGATGCGTTGGATTTTGCACATCTGTTGACTCACGTCAGCTCATAACTTCTTGTAGCTAGACAAGTCTCTATATAAGATTTGCAGCCAATACATCATATTGATTCCATTGGATGTTTGCCTACACATGAGATGATGAACCTCAATGATAGTGGCATGGAAGGTTGAGGTGTATCTGTATAGTGACGCCACAGGGGCTTAAAGTCCCGTACGTGTTCGCAATTTTGCTCTGGAGCAAACACCATGGCGCAACAAATTGTCTCTCTTGGCAAGGTCGGGGTCTAGTAGTAGAGAATGGCACCGCACCGAGTGCTGCAGGTCTGGCACGGTAGTGTTGATTCGTTCCATCTTCGGCCGAGGCCCATTGACATCGGCTGCCCGTTGGGGGCGGGGGGCAAGTCAACTCAAGACGACGCGTGGCCGAAGTCAAACACTTGAGCGCGTCCCAGGTTCTCTCTTCACAGCGCATCGCATTCTTTGGCTAAAGAGACTCGGCGTGCCAACAGAGCCAGAATGGATGTCGATCTCATTCAGGTCGTAAACCGACTGCAGGAGACGTTCACTACGATCGGTGGACATAGTGTGGATCTGCCACAATGTGTTGTCGTTGGCTCACAATCGTCGGGTAAATCCAGTGTGCTCGAAACGTACGTAAAATTTTAGCAAATGTTGGAAGATCACTAACAAATGCCACAGAATTGTGGGGCGGGACTTTCTTCCCCGTGGAAGTGGCATTGTGACGCGTCGACCGCTTGTGCTTCAACTCATTCACCTGCCCGCTTCTGACATGTCTGGAGGCACGGAGGAGTACGGCGAATTTCTGCATTTGGATCGACGTTTTACTGATTTCAATGCTATTCGCCAAGAGATTGAAAATGAGACGTTTCGGGTGGCAGGTCAGAACAAGGGCATCTCGAAACAGCCAATTCATCTAAAGATCTTCAGCCCACATGTAATCAACCTAACACTGGTTGATTTGCCTGGTTTAACCAAGATACCTGTCGGTGACCAACCTTCGGATATTGAGCGTCAGATCCGTTCGCTCGTGACTGACTATATTTCAAAGCCGAACTGCATCATCATAGCGGTGAGTCCCGCGAACGTCGATTTGGCCAATTCCGACAGTTTGAAACTCGCTCGATCCGTTGACCCGCAAGGGCGGCGTACTATTGGTGTTCTCACGAAGCTAGATCTCATGGACCAGGGAACGCATGCACTCGAAATCTTGTCTGGCCGCATGTATCCATTGCGGCTTGGTTTTGTTGGTGTCGTTAATCGGTCGCAGCACGACATCAACAATGGCGTGCCTTTGGCGGAGGCTCGTCGTGCAGAAGAAGAATTCTTTCGGACACATCTCGCATACCGGAGTATTGCTCACAAATGTGGTACCAAATACCTGGCAAAAACTCTGAATCAAGTGCTTATGGCACATATCCGTGATCGTCTTCCTGACATGAAGGCGCGCCTTAACACGCTCATGGGCCAGGCTCAGCAGGAACTTGCATCTTTTGGTGACGTTTCGTTCATGGGTGACCAACATCGTGGCACACTTATTCTTAAGTACATGACTCAATTTGCGAGGGACTTTGTTGCGTCGATCGAAGGCACATCCTTCGATATCTCAACGAAGGAGTTGTGTGGTGGTGCACGAGTCTACTGCATCTTTCAGGATGTGTTCGGTCAGGCGCTTAATTCAATCAATCCAACCCAAAACCTTACTGTTCAAGATATCCGTACAGCCATCCGAAATTCGTCGGGCCCACGCCCCACCTTGTTCGTGCCGGAGGCAGCATTCGAGCTTTTGATCAAGCCCCAAATCAAACTGCTTCTGCCTCCCAGCTTGCGATGCGTGGAGCTTGTGTATGAAGAACTGATGAAGATCTGTCACAATTGTACGAGTTCAGAGCTTCAGCGGTTCCCCCGTTTACACGCGCAACTCATTGAAGTGGTGTCAGATCTTTTACGAGAACGACTGGGCCCTGCTTCTGAGTATGTGCAAAGCCTGATTGAAATTCAGACCTCTTACATTAACACGAATCACCCGGCTTTCGTACAGGACTCGGCCAATATCGCGACGCGTATGCGCGATGACAAACAGCGCAAGATGATTTCTGAATCATCTAGGCCAGACACCTCCTTGGACTCGGATCTCGGTGCACCTGCTATTGATGACGATGAAAACAAACAAGGACAAGCGCTTGTCGTCAATGGTGCGAATTCTAAGCGTGGCTCTGAGCATGCACGCCAGGGTCATTCCTTGAAAGAGACCATGAGGCCTCCAATGTCTGATTCGAGTGCTGAGGCGCCTTCCTCGGCAGGGTCGTTGGCAAGCAGTAACCACACAGGTCCTATCAGCGCAAGCGGCCAGCGAGAATCGTTCCTCAACTACTTTTTCGGTGGTGCGACGATGAGTGACACAAGCGGATCTGGCTCCGGTGTTTCGATGGGATCTCGTTCTGTCGAGCAAAAACCCAACATTCTCACTGGGCGTCTGGGACTTGAGGGGGACAGTGCAGCGTTCAACATGAAGAGCTTGGACCACCATCTTAGCACTGAATCTGTGCCAGACGACGAATACTCTCTAACGGAACGTGAGGCCATGGAGACGAATCTAATTCGAGAGCTAATCACTTCCTATTTCAACATTGTGCGGCAGTCGATTCAGGATCTCGTGCCTAAGGCTGTGATGCATTTGCTCGTGAACTATTCACGCGACACTGTGCAGAACCGCCTTGTTGTCAACTTGTACAAGGAGTCTATGTTTGAGGAACTGCTACATGAAGACGAGACACTCACGAAAGAGCGCCAGCGTGTGCAGGCCCTGTTGGAAGCATACAGAGAAGGGTTTAACGTGCTATCTGAGATAACTTATAAACCGAGTAGTGCGTAAACTTAGCAATCATTGGACATCGTAAGTGTGGTTCTAGAGTTCGAGTCATTTGTGAAACTGGGGAGGAAATGGTTGAGGGCAGATGGAAGGGAAATCTACAACACGTCCAAAGTGTTCTTACGAGCGTGTCTTTTGTCGTTGTTTGCGCATGGCCTTTTTGAATTGCCGAGCTGAACCTGAGCCTGATGCAAGCGAGGTATGCATATCTGCATGCTGCTTGGCTTGCGCCGTGACAGTGGGCCGTTTCGCTCGCTTCTGCAACGCGTGGTATGCATCTCGATCGTCACCGCGCTCACGACGGCGTGCATCGCGTTCTGATCCACGCAACAAGTCGCCGAACTCTTCCTCGACACCACCGCTTAGCCGGTTGCCGCGACCAGAGAGACCCAAACCACCGAGAGCCACATCCTGTTCGTCGCGACGCCGGCGTTTCGCATCCTTCTTGTTAAGTGAGAGTCGCTTATAGTTGTCTTCCTCAAACTCTTGCATACGTCGGAGAGCACGTGCACGTGATGAGCCAGCTGTACCTACGGCCAAATCGCCACCCACACCAGCAACAGATGTCTCGTATGGATTGGTCGACATTCCCGCAGATAGGTCGGCCAAGAGTGCCGTGTTACGCGATGGTTGCCTGTCTTTATTCCGTGCCTTGCGTGATACATGCGCATCGGGGTCATACACCATCGGCGCAACTTTTGGTGGCCGGTAAACGCCTTCTGTTGCATCAGCGTCCTCGTTAGGCAATCTGGACTCCTGCCGACCGACTTGGGCGGGTGCGAGTCCCTCAGGATTCGGACGAAATGAGAGTAGGTCCATATCTTCATCAGCAGCTTCCGCATCGGCACCGCCATCCGTTGCTACGCGCTGGGAAGATTCACGCTCCACGGCGACGGCCGCCTGAAGGAGTTTTTCCACTTGATATTTGAGCCGTGCTTCCATGGGACGCATTTTTTCTAGGCGCAAACGCAATCTGACCAAGTTTTGCACGTACAATGCGCCGGGTTCCTGCGATAGAGTGTTTCCACTTAGACGTTGAACGCATAAGAGAGCTAGGTTCTGTATGTATGCTAGAAGTGCATCGACCTTGGCTGTTAAAAGAGATAGTCCTTCTGGATGGTCGAAATCTGCATTTCGAACGGACTCTGAAAGTTTCTGCACCAGCTGAGCCGAGTCTTCTGAGTCCTTTCGGAGCTGAGCCGCGAGATCAGTAAAAGCATGCGATTGTGATTTTGACAGGTCGACCTCGCTCATGGGGCTAGATAGGATCACAAAGAACAGTGCCACAATGGCGTCGCTCTTCACCTCGTCGCTGTTCGTCCACAGAAACGTGTGTACGTTGGGAGCCTTTTACCAAATTTTTGGCTCAGGATGCACGTGATATTCGTGGAGGGAGTGGACGTGTCACACCCATCAACGTCGCACCACAGGGCACAACAGTATGTGCAAGAGGTTCGTTGACAAGCAACAATAAGAATTTGTGTAGCAAGCTGTACAAGTTACAAAATCACACGATGTAGAGAGCTATGATCATGGAGACCAGCATGCCCACCTTCCAAGTTGATGCTGGCTTAGTGTCAGGTGTGAGACGAGAATGATTTTTTTTTAAAACATAAGATACAAAATATTCAGCATCGGCAAACCAATCACCATTCCCATCCAAAAGAGACAGTTCGCAAGTGCCGGCCTAGAGCGAATAAATTCAAGACGCGCCATCATGATGAGAGGGATCTGGCTCATTTGCATCGCAAAGAGGTAGCCGCGGATTTTGCCGCTGACGATAATCATGACGATCTCATGGAACACGGAGCTCAAGAGGAAGGTAAATACAGATGCTGACGACTTGCTCATCCCGGCACGGAAAATCAAGGATACGTAGACGTGTTGAAGCAAGAAGTGATGAACTGGCCGATTCCAATTCCGTGAAAACTCCTCCATCGATGTCGAGTTCCACCAGTCGCGGTAGAATTCGCGGTCGGCGAAGCGAGTGATCTCAGCGAATCCCTGACACACACATTCAAACATGAGGTAGAAAAGAAGCAAGTAGCATGATATCATTGGCGCCATAAGGCGCAAAGAAAGAGACAGTAGACTCGCAGACGTGTCTTCAGTTGCAGGGATAATCCAATGGACAGTGATGACGTAGAGCACCAAGAACGTGCCAAACAGAGCAACGCAGCGCTCAATAACGTACCAGACACGCACCTCCTTTAGTCTCGGATACTGCAGCTTATACACCAGTGAGGGAACAAGTTGGAAGTCGAGGAAGTTCAGGTAGCTCACGTTCAACGGCCACATGGGTCCTAGTTCTTGTCCAGGGATCGGCGCAGAGTACAAAGCCTCGCGCACCTTGGAGATCTCGAGGCTCAATGTCTTGATCTGTTGGTCTGGATGCCAAATCAGAGGATGCACGTCACGTAGGTCTGTGTCAAGTTCAGGTAGCAGACCAGGAGACAGGTGCTCGGATGATGTCGAGGAAGAAATGGCATCAACAAGCCGACGGTGTTCAGGCATGGGCGACTTGCTGCGAGGGATTTCGTTCTGAAGCGGGGGTAGCAAAACATTCGCACGAATTTTTGACGCGCCAGTCTGAACACGGAGATCAGCCCATTTAAGAAACGCCTCTCGATGCAGATGCGAGTTTATTCTTTGCGGGTAAATCGCATCAAGACTTTCGGCCACGCGTGTGATAGCGCGGTTCCAGGACTTGGCACGATCTTGCGGGGCATCAGTCGGCGCATCGACTTCTGTTACTCGCTGGAGAAGCTGCTCTTCTAGGGCTCCGAGTTTGATAAACTCTTCATTCATGGTTGTATTCACATCCATGTAGCTGTGAATTTTCATTAACTGGACAATAGAGTGCAATACGAAGAATGCTGATTGCACCCATGGCCAAGCACTGGTGACGTTAGTTCAAGTAAGGAACAAATGTTTGACGCACCGGAAACGAGCCCAAATTGCGACTGCCACCAACAGGCTTGTGTACCACAAAGTTACGATACATGTCATACTCTGTTTGTGCGAGATGCGAAAACGTTTGATAAGACGAATCATCGGGACACACAGGAACGTGTGACCGACCAGCACCGCGTCGCTGATTGCCAGCATGTGCAAGTCACGACTCATCAAAGTGGCGAGTGTAAGGCTTATGATATGGCCGGTTGCCTCGAATGAGTGCATAAATGCGCTGAGTACTTGTGTTGCAAGACAAATCCAAAACAATGTGTAGAAGCCACGGAACGGATCACTCGTGGCATACTCGTTCTGAGCGTCCAACATAGAAATGCGCGGTACATACTTTACAACCGCCTTGAATCCACGAAGCCCTTTTTCTTTTACTTCATCTGCCAGCGCACTAATGCCTGAACGCTGTTTGGGCCGCTCTTCGGTTTCGTGTGGTAGCTCACCAGGCTCAGGCACATCGAGTGGCTGAGGTGGAGCTAGTCTGCGCTCCGAGGCCATCGACTGGCTCGGTGCTACACTCGAGGATCGACCCTGATCAGTGATCGAAACAGGCCTGGGCCTTAGGATGGAATGCGTATCGTTCTCCGATGTCATCCTTGTTTAGTTGGTGGTGGGAGGGCACACATGATTTCATATGTGAGAAGGCACTATAATTCTCGTCGGAATAGGCAGTTTAAATGTATTACGTTGGAGGCCCGTTCGCATAAGCTTGGTCCGCCCGTCTTGGCAAGGACGACCACGTGGTCAGGATTTATCAGCGAGGGCGTAATGTGTGTGGTATGGCGTCGTGTGGCGGCGCGCTTGGGTGCCCTGGAAAAAGCTTCTTAAAAGAAGCATACACATGTCTGCGTCGATTCGTGCCCGAGGCGCCGCCGACGATGCCGACAAGAAACAAGCGGTAGCAGGAATACATGAAAAAGGAAGGATTACATCTGCACCGAGTTCAGCGCGCTTCAATGCTGCTCTCGCCGATTTCGGTCTCATCATGTCGCTCATTTTTGGCGGGTGCTGTAGTAATGCACTGACGCTGGAACTCACGACAAAGCAGCTTCCTGCCTCTGGAACCCTTATCACCCTTGCGCAGTTTGTGGCTACAACCCTCATTTCACTGGTGGGAGAAGTCGAATGGACAAGCGCGTTTGGCATACCGGTGTTATGGCTAAAGCGACCTAGTGTCCCGATACGTCGCTGGTTGATTCAGGTTGTGCTGTACTTTTTCACCAGCATTCTTAATAACTCAGCCTTTGCGTATGATATTCCCATGTCTGTGCACATCATATTTCGGAGCGGTGGAATGCTGGTGAACATGCTTCTGGGTTACACCGTGGATGGGAAGCGTTACTCGTTTCTTCAGCTTGCCAGTGTATGCCTAGTGACGGTCGGCGTTGTGGTGGCGACAATGTCAGCCATGTCGTCGTCAGATAGTGCTACATTCTTTTTACCGAGTACCACAGAAAGCGACTACTTGTTTGGTGTGCTTCTGCTGAGTCTTGCTTTGTTCACATCTGGCTTCATGGGTCTATTCCAGGAGCGCACGTACGGCAAGTACGGACGACAACACTGGCATGAGGCACTGTTTTATTCGCATTTATTCTCGCTACCGCTTTTTCTGCTCCAATCGCGCAGTTTGTCGAACCAGATCCGTGAGGCAAATGCCACGCCGCGTGAATGGCTATCGATGTGCCAGACATGTCGCTTTAATAAGTTGGGTTTGCATGTGCCGTCGTACTATGTGAGACTAGCGCTCAACGTATTCACACAGCTTTTGTGTATAAACGGCGTGAACCGACTCACGTCTCGCGTTTCGAGTCTGAGTGTATCACTTGTGCTTGTGGTTCGCAAAGCCGTGAGTCTCGTAATCAGTGTTGTGTTGCTGAACGGACAGGCTGGGAGCATTAGCCTCTGGTTTGGAGCTGCTGCCGTCATGGTCGGCACGATCGGATACACGTATGGCGGTGCCAAGCGCCGTCCTGTACCACATGCTAAAAGTGCATAATGTATTGTACAGTAGAGCAACCTTCTAGTATTGTTGACATGAACGTCTTGCTTCTTGATTGTCACGTTCAATTGCGCGATACAGCGCCGTGAGAGGCTGTGGCACCGCTGTAGTACCTGACGATGCCGTAGTCCGCTCCGTCGCTGATCGCTGCGTGTACACTAAGAGAGCCACACCTCGTCCATCTTTGGCTCCTGTTGCATCTGTGAGGATGGTATCTGCATCAGCGGACCTGGCGACGGCGTCTTCCAAGCACCACCAGTGTTCTCCGGTGTGTGTGTCGTGACGAACATAGATCCACTCTGACTCGCTGCTCTGAAAGACCGCCGCGACCAGGTCATACGGTACCGATTGCCATGCTGGATCACGCGCTTGCTGCTCGGTCTTTCGTGCAATGGAATGTCGGATCGACTCCAGCTCTTTTTGTATCTTGAAGCGGCTTGCATCGATTTCTGCAGTCAAATGTAAGTTATGTGCCTGAATGCGTCAATCACGTACTTTGGATGCGGTGTTCTAGTGCTTCTCTTACACGCCGTAGCCACTGAGCCAGAGCATCGGACTGTGCGACATTAGTTAGATGCGTTTCAGCCTGCTGGAGCAAAGAAAGCATGGGTCCTGGATTTGATTCACAATAGAGTGTGCGCTTCGCGTCAAGGTTTGCAAGTTCTTGCTCAAGTGCTTCGGCTTGTTTCGCAGAAGCATCGCCATCTACACGTTCACCTCGACGCTTCTCCCAGAGGAACGGGTCTAGATGCACCGTCATGTCAATAGAGAAGGGGCTCGATACACTCGTGTGTTGAATGGGGAGGAGCAACACTTCGGCTGGTTCCGTTATGAGCAACGAATCCATGTTGTTCTTGCTGGCCAACTTGCGCCACAAACATGCAGGAACACTACTCTCTGTCGGCGTGTGCACGAGTGTGATTGTCGAAGTCGGTTGGGATGCGGGTATGAACGACGTGCTACCATTCGTGGGCCTTACCTCGAGCATACTTGAGGCATCAGCTTCATTTGAGTGCGTGTCCGTGGGCGCTGTCATGGCATCGTCACGATCCTTAGACGTACCGGTATCTAGGACGTTTCCCGTATTTCTGTCGAGAAGACTGTCAGGCTTGGTCGTTGCTTCAGTTGACAGAGCGGGAGCAGCGAACGACTGAAAAAGAAGGCGCCTTTCGCGCAAGAACGAATGTTGCATGGACTCGGTCGCTGTATGTGAGCTGAGCATGATGTCTTGCATCTCAACGTCCGACACGGCAAGCCAAGCACGAACAATCGCCTCCAAGAATGTTTCGATCAATACGCACAGAGACTCTTGATGTGACGCCCGTAGGATGACATCTTTGGGCAGTAACGCGTCTGTGTCGCCCGTGGCAACAGCCGCGCGAGCGGTAAACGTGGCGAAGCCAAAGAGCGTCTGCAGGCGTTGAATCACTGAATATGTGAGTGTCTACCATATGCATTACACCACCTACCATTCATGTCTTGTTGTGCAGCTAATGGTAATGCGATTCTTAATGTGGTCATCCAGCTGCCCGTGACGCACAGTACTCGCTCCCGCCCAGTACATTGCCACACTGTCTGTACGCCTGTCTGGGATTGGGTACGACAACCACGCAGAGCGGACAGGCTCTGCTGCATACAAAGCCTGGAGAGCAAAAGCTGCTGCTTTGTACGTGGGTATGCTCGGAACAAACACGACGGGCTCACTGCCGTGACGTAACCGATCCAGCTCGGGCCGCGCTTGGATATTAGATTCGTTGGAACTCACACTCGCGGCTAGTGCACGCATAAGCTGCTCATCTTCGTCTGAAGTGCCCGCCGCGGCTCCTGCATAACGTGGCTGATCTGCCATGGATGCCTCCATGGCACGTTGTAGATCTGCGTCTTGATCGTCAGTCGTATGCAGCTGAGCATCATATGTCGGTGGCGCAGACTCAATGCGCGCTGGCAGTGAGGGAGGCACTGCCGCCGCTGCCGTCGCCGAGGCTGGCGCTCCTGCTGGAGGGACGTGTGTTTCGAGTGATGAAACAGGCGCGTCAAGGATCCTGTTCATCGCCAATTCGATATTTCCATGACACTCACGTAGAACATTGACTGCGGTTTCATACGTGCACCCCAAGATGCTCTGAAGCTCCCTGCCGCGTCAGCGCTCGCCGCCCTGCTATTCAACACGTACACTGCTTGTTCGTCCATACAGCACAGTGGAGGTTCGAGTTGACGATGATGGACTCTGATCAGAGGGGCGTGATCGAGTGGAAACATCTCATTGGTCATGCTTTTTGATCATGCGGGGCGATCCACTTGCAGAGACAAGCAAAAGTACAAACCCTGCTGGCCAGAGAACCAGACCGTTGACTTGGGCGTAGTTTGCACGCATATCGCGTGTGCGCAATACATATACCATAATGCACAGGGTATTATTGATCCCACTACTTTAGCTAGGTGCAATAGACGCAGTAATAAAAGGCATGATATATTACAGATGAAACTGACCCCTCCTCCTACCTATGCGCCCTCCTCTCTACCGGGACAGAGAGTGCCGAACCCTCCATCTCGATATGCCATTCAAGGACAACGTGTGCGCACAAGAGGGAAATGGCGTGCAATTGCATACAGGAAGGAATGCACTCAGGGCTCCAGTGTGAATGACGCGCTGCAAGATGGTTAGCGGTGTAACATAACGACTCGTGAAGTGCGTACCTTTGGATGGCCATAGCAGACAGGGTATCAAGTTGGAGCATTTCAACTAGGATAGGCAGCTCCACGGGATAAGACGTAGCATGTCTTTGATATTGCTGGAGAGTGATGAATTCGCGAACAATGCATGCTTTCATACGCATGCGGTACACATTCACCAGGGCATCCCAGCTTTGCGACAATTCTTGGTCGTCATATAATGGCATCATATTAGGCATACCGGCTGCATCCACGAAACTTGCAAGCGAATCAATCGTGGACAGGTCTGACACAAATAAACCGAAGAAAGGAATGTACGGCTTCGACGGCGTGCTGATCTTTGAGAAGCGGCGCATGGGCACATTCGACTCGACTGCTTCTCGCATCGAATATCGCAAGAAAGCAAACTGGTCACGTGGCGATGTGAAGCGACGGAGCGCCTCAAAGGCGCGCAGCTCCCACATTGCGACGCGGTCCCATGTTTGTTGCAAGCGCGCAACCCAAGGCGACTGCAGGCCGAACATGATCTGGCACAAAGACTCCATGTTGCCTTGGCGATAGCAGTGCCAAGCGATGCGAATGAACTTGTTGACAATCGCCACACGCTCACTCAGATTCGTCGCTTTTACAATGTGGCTCGCAACCCAAGCACACGTCCGATTGAAGCGTGCAATTAGCATATGGATCCCCTTGCCATCGAAGCACTTCCTCCGCGAGCTTTCCTCCTTCTCGCCCATGGCCTCCCGCACACGTAGAGCAACAAACTCTTGGTATTCGAGCTGCCACTGCTCCTGGCGCACCGTGTGCTGATCCCAGAATGCCTCTGAAAGCTCTGTCCATTTGACATTCGACATGATCTCGCGCTCGACGCCACTCAACTGTCGAGCGATGGTGCTGGACCTCTGACACAACAAGAATGAGTCGCGCGGCGCGACCGCCGGCTCAACAGAACCGCGCGCTTGCTGCGGGACGTGCGGCTGGATCTCCTTGGCAGTCATCATCGACATGCGTTGTGCCTCTTTCCACGTCGAAGTGTTGTGTCGGGGAATCCATTGGAATGGACCTTCACGAACCCGCGCCGAATGCAAGTCCTCAGCACGCGGTGTATCGCTGAGTGCTTGCTCAAGCTGCTGCAGCGCTGTGTCATGCTCGTCACCATCCATGTCCACATCACCGTCTTCATCTGGCACCAGCTTTTCGTACTTGCGTACAGACCCACGTGAATCCTCATCTGGTGTGCTCTCGAAGCTGTTAATATTACAAGTATCACTTCCACTCACACCGCTCGCGCCATTTCGTTGCAGCATACGACGAAGACTGCGCATCGAGCGACTGCGGCCGATTTGACTTTTCGTCTCAGGCATATCTGTGCTGGTGTCAGTACTGATACCAACGTCGGCATTCGCACCGATGCCACTCGAGTTGGCCTCGTCAGAAACGCGTCTTGGCGGCGTCGGCGGAGGCACCGCTGTGGCTGACGTAGTCGGTACAGGCCATGCACCAGAACCGGTTCGCATACTAGGAGTCTGGCCAGCGCCACCGGCGCTTGTTCCTGACATGCCACTAGACTTGCGCGAGTGTCCGCGGCGTGATCGTGGACTTGATTGCGTATTGGACAACATCCGTGAAAGTGAGCGGGACTTGCGCAGGAAGAACGATTCTTTTTTCTCGTCGCCTTTCTCTTCCCGAGGGGGGAGAAGAGATGCCGGCACTAGTGCTTGAACGAGCGAGTAGATGACCTGCATACGCTCTTGCGGCTCAGTTGCTGGCAGCTCTTCGTTATGCGCATGGCGTGTCGTAATTGGTGGAACAGGTAGGTGCGGTGCGACGAGCGGCTTCTCAGGCGCATCCACGGCCTTCGCTACCTGCCAGAACTGGCAGCGAGCGTCTTGATCCGCCGTCCACTGAACAAGACGCCGGGTCAAAGCTTCGTCATTCTGGAAATCGTCTTGGTAGTAATGCCGTAACCAGTGCCACAATGCAGACTGCGAGTACGTCAACACACGCAACGCTGTTGACACGATGTGCGGGTCATCAAGCTTTTGAATTGCCCACTCCATCCGGAGAAGCAGCAGGTCCAGCAGACGACGTGCATTGAAACACTGCCGGTACCCAAGCAGGATGTCTTGCATGAGGCCAGGAGACGATCCGGAGGTCATTTCTGCTACAAGGCGATGAGGCGTCGCTGCAATCACCAAGTGCGAGCTCATTGAGAAAAGAGCCGCATTTCGTAGACATAGCGAGAGTGAGACAGGTCGAGGCTCTTGCGACGGTGCTACATGAGGAGGGCCTTCCAATTCCATGGGAACAGCCACGTCCAAAACATAACCGCCCTCCTCCATACGCTCTAAGTGCGACGTAAATACACCCAGACACAATGGTACAGCATACGCTTGCTGTGCAGGCGGACTTTTGGCAACGATGGCCGAGATGCTGGGCCCACGTTGCACGCTGGTGGGCGGGGGCACCGGCTCCAAGTACCAATTGTCGTATGTATAAGCCACAGGCTTGGGGGGCATGCCCTGCAAGACCGGGTCGTTGTAAACGAGCGTATGTGAGCCGAGCATACACTCAACACGATACAGTTGCGGCTGACTCGTGACCGGCGTCGACGTTTGAACAGACTCTGACAACGGAGCTGGCGCTCCGTGTTGGGCAAACTGCTTCTGTGCATTGGTCGACCGAATCGTGTGCTCCGGCTTTGGCTCAACGACGGGCTGTGGGGAAACCAACGATCGTTGGTCTTCCTGCAGCTCGGCCACACGGGGCAACAGCCCCGGTGGCTGAGAGGCACGTGGTGCGGTCTTCACAGGCGATGCACCAGAAGCGACATCGTCTTGCGAAAGAAAAGACCCCGAATCGCGAGAGACCATCTTGGTAACATCTAGTGGTGGTACGGTCTGGCTTGAAGAAGTGGAGTCAAACAAAGACGGCTCAGCAGTGACAATCGTGTTGTTATCGAGCTTGACCGAGGTGCGCGTCTGCTGGTTTTTCGCTCTGTTGGGTGAGCTTGCACTCTCCAGAGCCAATGTGTCTTTCATGTCTCCTGACATGGGTTTATCACTCAAGACAGAGTCTTCTTGCTCAGGCATGGTCCAAGTAGAGAGGCGATACGAGGATCCATCCGCTGATACATGATAAGGTCGTACCAAGGCATCGCCAACACCACTGTATGGTGCATCAACTGTCTCAGACACGGAGCTTACATTCGGTTCTGTTCCTGCACGTGTATTATCAGGGTATAGCTCTTGATTCTGCGGTGGCGGTGAGATGACCGCCGTGGCGAGCTCGGAGCTCGGTGGTGCATCGATCGGTTCATTATGGCTCGTCCACGGTAAATGAGATCCACCCGCCGCGATGCCAACAGGCAAAGAGATGTTGCCGACCGACTGGTCCAATGTAGATGTGCTTGTGTCGAAGTTGTGATGGTAATTGACCTCCGGTTGATACTCCGGCCAAGATCGTTGAGCCGCAGGATGATCACGAATCTTCGATGCAAGCGCATTGTCGGGCGCTTGGTGTTCTGTGGCCATGTGTGTTCCTGATTCTGAAGGCTGGACAAATGGTGGCCCCACATGCACTACTTGGGGCGGATACACGTCACTCGGTTTGGGTGGTGGTAGCGGCACCTCTGTCGGAGGAAAGGCAGGAATCGATGGAAGCGGCTCACTCGCAGGGGCCGGTGTAGATGGGGGCAAAGCATCGACTTTGACGAAGGCAGGGTATGTGGTAGTTTGGTTGTGCATCGGCTCGTGGGGTGTAGATAATGTATCGGCGGTGCGCATGTGCTCAAAGTCAGGCGCGGATCGTCCACTTTCTATGCGCGACGGTGGAAGTCGCATCCCCATACCAGGCGGACGCGATGTCGAAAACATGTCGGACGTCGACATGGCGTCTTGAGCATTGTACATGCGCGCATGAGGAATGGGTCGTGTATAGTTGAGGCTTGGGCGGCTCAGATTTTCGGCATCTGGCCCCTGCGCGTGTTTGATCCCTAGTCCTTGTGCAGAATGTACAGTGCCTGAAGGGCCGTTGGATCCAAGCCTCTGTGACGGAGGCGAGGGCACAATTTTGGGACTGGGTTCAGGGGGCATGCCCAATTTCGGCGATTTGAACAACCGAAAGGAACGTTTTCCATTAAGCTTTTGCTTCAACTTGGAAGTATCTCCGCCTCTTACACTCTGGGTGTCTGATCGTTTTGCATTCCCTAGCGCGTCGCTTGAGCGCGACTTCCGCAGGAACATGGTCGGCTTCCAGAGCGTAGAAAGGATGTCCAACGAATGCCGCAAATATAAAATTCAATAGAGTGTACCCGCCATTTCGCTTACGTGATGAAGCAGACACATCTCCACAGAAATAACCCAGATGCTACAACCAGAAAGACGTCGAGTGAGGGGGAGGGGGGGTGTGGAAGGTGGGATTTATTTTTTCACGCGCGTCGCTGCGCTTGGGGTCTGCAGCCAACTTGGTTCAAGCCAGGCGCGGTAAGCCGCCGCAAGAGGGGCGGGGTCATTCGAATTGATATATACATATATATTAAAGAGAGTACAGACAAGTTAATTGGATCGTGTGCCTCGTTGGCTACGGCGACTGCTACGATATAGCACGAATGGGGGCGCAGGTACACACAAAGAAGCATACTCAGCGACACAAGGCGAAGCTTGAGCGTCCGCCACACGGCAAAGATGCGAAGCTTCTGGCGTCTGTAGCATCAGGAGACAACGTCACATCACGGAAGCGAGTGTTCCGTCCTATTCTCACATCGCCGTTCACTGCATCCTGGCCACGTATATCCAAGGTCGATGGTGATGTGATTCTGCACACACTGTTGGAAATCTTATGCGACAAAGACACGCAAGGTCGTCGGCCACGGCAACACATATCAAGTCACTTTGTGGTGGGCGTGAATTCAGTGACGCGTTCGCTCGAGACTCGGATACACGCGTCGCGACAGGAAATACAATCGCGCATGTCCACGCCCCCACTCGCTGCACCGCCACGCTATTTGTTCGTATGTACGGGTGATATGGATCCGCCAGTGCTAGTAGCCCATTTGCCCACGCTGGTCGCCAGCTATAACGCCATGTGTACAGGTCCAAGATCCGAGGTCAAAGACGACTCAATTGGTCCGAATTTATCATGGGCACCTGCTGAATCCTGCCTGACTGTGCCTTCGCTGGTGTTGGTCGTTTTGCCAGAAGGGGCCGAATTCATGTTATCGACGGCCCTTCAGATACGGCGACTATCTGCACTGATGGTCGATTCACAGCTCGATCCTGAGCAGCTGCATCGTCTTGATCTATGCGTGCAGCAGGCGCTAGGACCAGAGACTATGATGCGAGGCTATCGCCTGGCTTGGTTGGATCGTCAGGGCATACCGGCATTGGACCCGCCCCATGTGAAGCATATAGCGTCGAGTGCTCCCACTTTATTAAAGGGCCGCGTGAAAAAGGTACGCAAGCCCGATACTGCGAACTAGAGATGAATCACACGCCGTTATGATTTGTCTTCCTGTACTATGTGACCAATATGCATGCAGGTATCTATAAATAGGACCAAGTTAAGCAAACCTGCGGCTTAGGACCGATATTATCGAGCGATGCACTTTCACCAGGGGGCAATTAAGTCGAAATTGTGTGCGCGTCACTGGTGCGGATTCTGTCATTGGGTCTAGGGAATGGGAGTCCCTCGAGATCTCATAAACTAGTGTCTCAGTCACAGCTTTTGAACTTCGTCCACAATCTCGCCAACGCTCGGACGACGACACTTCTTAAGGTCGCGGTACAGCTCTGAGCTGTCGTAGCCTTGCCGGTATGGGGCGCAAGAAGATCAAGATCCAGCCCATCAAGGGCGAGCGGAACCGCTCCGCTACGTTTTTGAAAAGGAAGGCTGGTCTTTTTAAGAAAGCACATGAACTAGCGGTTCTGACAGACTCTGATGTCGCGGTTCTTGTGTTTAACCGCAATGGGAAACTCGCTGAATTCTGCTCAGGCAACATCGAAGAATTCCTTCTCCGCTATACCGAATATTCCGGCACAGTCGAACGTCGTGGACCAGAACACTTTGCCGGTCTCGATGACCAGGCGCTTGAGCAAGAGCGCGCTCTGCCACCGCCGACGTGGTCTAGTCGCCAACCATCCGAGGTGATGGCCGCGACGCATGCTCGAATTGACAGTCGGAGGATGAGCCATGAGTCCAAAATGCAGATGGAGCCTGCGGCAGCGCTGCAGTCGGAATGCCAGAAATGCACGGCCTCTGCTTTTCCGCTGTCTCAGGCTGATATGAATGAGGTCATCCTGTCTGCAACATCTGCATCCAGCCCTGGGGCAAGCACGGCGGGAACTGGGATGAGTCCTAGTTCTGGACCTGGCTCGGCACCCGCATCTACGTACATACAAGACAGCGTGTCGTTAGCTCCAATGGCACCAAATATCGTATCATCTATATCATCGCCATCAGACTTGTCATTCCGCGAGCCTCCCACATCGAGCGACTGGGAATTCTTGTCACAGTCGCGCCATCTGCACCCGAATTCGGCGCGCTTGGCAGCAGATCGAGTCATGCCAATGAGCACATCAGATACAAGGCCGCTCTCGGCAACATATACGCGCTGGAGCCATCCGCCACTAGATATGAATTCACCGAATATGTTTCCCTCGCTTATGAGTGCGGATAACATGGACGCACGCAGGGTACCGACATCATTGTCACAAGCATCTTCGCCACCTCAATCTGCCCCTATTCCGCCGACACAGTCAACACGGTCAACACAGCCAACACAACCGCCCAAGTGTACGCCGACGCCACGACTCCAGCTGACTCCTGTGATGGATGAGACGCCGAATCAGGTGATGCGCTCCCCCACATGCTCGGATCGTGCCTTTTCTATACCAATGGCTGCGCTTCCCTCAATGGGAGTTAGCCGGAATCCTCATGAATCTGCATTCATGCATCGTCCTTCTAGTGTAAGTATCTCTCCGACGTCGTCGATCATGCCGGCGCCGACGCCCCTTCCAAGTCCCATTGAAGCAGTGTCTTTTCAGCAAGCTCAGCAGATCTCTCCTGCACCCGATTCATCTTGCTTTCCGTCTTATGATGTAAAAGTGCCATTGATGTCCAATGAGGCTTCGCTCTCGTCTACGGGGGCACCAGCGCATCCGGACATGGATTCTTCTCGTCTCATGATGGAGCTTCACGAACGGCACAATAGCATACCGCCGCCTGATCTCTTATCACCTTCGCCTATAGTTGGAGCCCAACCCATGTCTCGCTTCACTACCTAATATTGTAATGTCCATTGCGCCGCCACTTTATCTTGACAGCACTTGTATGTAACACAAATCTACTTGCTTGAATACAGCGTTGCATGCCAGAATGGTTTGGCTTGACCCGTTGCAGGAACCTCCCCCATAGGGTGATGCAGACGTTGGCGTATGTCATATGCCTACTTGGATGATCCGCAAAATGTGGAGGAGATCAATTGGCGCGTGGAGTGCCAGTTTATGTGAGAACAGAACGTTGGGCTCACGAATTATCTCGAGGATCGGTTTGACGAGCGAGCGAGCCAACATCTCGCGATTCTATCAGTCGCGAGTAGCCTTCCTTTCCTTTTTTTATTTTTTCTTCTTCTTAGGAGAAATTGAAGTCCATTTGCATCGCTCGCGAGTGACAACGGGCATTTTGTCGTGTTCATCCCTGGGCCAAACTCGCTGCTTCACACACACCTTTCCTGTCTCGTGTCCCTTGGATTTTGCGGGTCGAGTGTGTGTGTGTGTGTGTGTGTGTGTGTCGCCGACGTGCATCTGATCCACTGACCAGCGTGCGTCGACCATACGGTACAGCAACAATCTCCCGCATTAGGGTGTGTGCCTGGCATGTGGTGGCGCTGCGTTCACGTGTACATCGGCCTCTTCTTGGGACTTTCAGCCTTGCTTGTGCGCGCCGCACAAAGTCCGTCGGTGAATGTCTCAACCTTTCCCAATATACCGGCGCAAATCAAGTACTTTGAAGATTCTAGTGTGGTGTTATGGCATGATTCTATCGATGGAATTGTGTATAGGAGTGCTGACGAAGGCATGACCTGGGCACCTGTTTCAGGGCCTCCAATGGGACACGCTTACATGTTGATCCTACATCCCTATGAGCCGTCGCAAGCATTTATTCTCTCGAATGGAAACGATCACTGGCGCTCGGTGAATCGTGGTGAGTCTTGGCAACGGTTCTCGACGCCTGATCCTCCCTCCCTTTCGGGCGTGTCTCCCCTTGATTTCCATGCCGATCCTCAGCACAAGGATTGGATCTTGTACATCGGACGACGCTGTAGCGCGTGGTTCTTTCGCACCGTGTGTCAGGATGCAGCGTATTATACAACCGATGGATTTGCATCGGATGCCAAGCTGCTGCTGGACCTTGTCGACCAATGCCACTGGGCGAAAATGACACCTGAGGTGGCTGTCGCGCCTCAAGCGATGCAGCGCATTCTATGCATTGCTTGGGATGAAAGCGCCAAGGTGCCGCCATTAGCACATCGCACTGGTCTCGATGCGGGCTCTGGAGCTATCCCATCGACGGTCGGCCGTGCTGTACCGCCAGCGGCGAGAGCCTCATCCTGGATGACAGGCATGGAAAAACGCGATGTTCGCCAAAGCCGGCTGTTCATGAGCGACGACCTATTTAACACACGCATCCCTGTGTCGTTGGAGGGTCGATTGGAACCGCGTGGGTTCCTAAACATGGGTAAGTCGGGTGAATTCCTGGTCGCTGCCCTGAGTGATGCGCAGTCAAGCACGCCTGGCGAGCTTCGGCTGTATGTGAGCCGTGATGCTGAGCGCTGGACACAGGCACAGTTCCCGCATGCACCGCTTGCGCACGAGACTGGGTACACGATCCTAGAGGGGCCGCAGCACCGCCTGCTGGTCGACATGCTGGACCAGACTAGCCGCACATCTGCTCTGTTCATGAGCGACAGCACAGGAACGAACTTTTCGTCCAGCATTGTACATACGCAACGAAACGCCGATGGCATTATTGACTACGAGCACCTTACGAACATGGAGGGTGCGGCGATTGTCAACGTCAAAGTAGAGGGCGCTTTGGATCGCGTACAGACGCGGATCACGCATGACGAGGGTGCATCCTGGACACCTCTTCAGCCGCCCAGCACGGATGTGGATGGCCGCCTCACTGGGTGCAAGTTTCAGCCGCCGTCTTCGTCATGCGCACTGCACTTGCATGCCGTGCTCTCGATTCGAAACCTGGGGCACGTGTTCTCCTCGACGGCGCCTGGGCTCGTGATGGGGGTGGGGTCGATTGGAGATCGCTTGCGCCCATATGCCGAATGCGATACGTTCCTCAGCACGGATGCAGGACTCACTTGGCGCATGGTCGCGCGGCATCCCCACCGGCACACGTTTGCCGACCAGGGCGGCTTGCTCGTCATGGCCGAGGATGCATCGAGCGTAGACACTCTCTTGTACTCATTTGATTATGGGTCCACATGGACGAAGCTGCCGCTTCCCATGCCGATTGAGCCGGTTGTGCTGACGACGGCACCTGATGGAACGGCGCTCAAACTCCTGCTGATGGGCTCACGTCCGCGGGGCACAGCGTCACTCAAGGAGCGCCACGTCGCGATCTTCCTCGACTTTGCCGGCTTGTCGAAGCGCAAGTGCGCGGCGTCTGACTTTGAAAAGTTCTACCCAGCCACACCCCACAGCTCTTGCCTGTTTGGCCATCGCCAGTGGTACATGCGACGCAAGCCCCAGGCTGACTGTTTCGTGCGCGACAAGTTCCACGAGCCGAAGGGTCATGATGAGCCTTGCGCTTGTACCAGGGCCGACTACGAATGTGATATGGGCTTTGTGCGAGAGCAGGGCGAGTGCAGGCTCAAGATCAAGCTGCCGGTGCCGCCGGGCGAGTGTGTGCGTGGTGCCAAGACGTTCAAGGGCCCATCCGGCTACCGAAAGATTCCCGGAAACACGTGCGAGCCTGATCCAAAGCATGGCACGCCGGCTCTGGATGCACCCATCGACCGGCCCTGCACGGATGCTGTGCCGGCGGCTGGCAGCGTGTCGCATGTCAAATTCGAATTTCCCTCGCGTGTTGCCGACATCCTGCACTTCCCCGCGTCTCCACGGATCTTGGCGCGTCTGTATAGTGGCGACGTGTACCAATCGACGGACGACGGCAGCTCATGGCATGCGCTAGACCTTCGTGTGCCTGGCCATCGCGCGAGCTCTGTGCTCCAGCTCGTCCAACATCCTCATGATAAGCAACGCGCGTACCTGATCACTCAGGGCAAAGTCGTGCATTATACACGCGATGGCGGCGTGCATTGGAAGTGGTTTGAGGCGCCCATCGAGGCGAATGGCGTTGGCTTTGATACCATGGGCTTCCATGCGCAGCATCCATCATGGGTCCTTTGGACTGGCAGCCGCGACTGTCTCGGCGACTCGCACGCATGTCAAACGGAGTTGTGGTACACCAAAGACGAGCGGTACGTGGACTGGCGGCGTGCCGCAACCCACGTGCGCAAGTGTGCATTCCTTCGAGCCACGATGGACTTTACCGGTGGCGATCGCGACGTCGTTTGTGAGCTGGAGGAGGCGCCCGAGACGCAGAACCACCGAGGCCGCGGCTCTAAGCTGCTGCCTGGTCAGCGGTCGACGCCGCGGCAAGTGAACCTTGTGGTTGGCGGCGAGTTCTTCACTCGCGGGCGTCGCGTCGTCATGCCCGACATCCTTGGCTTTTCCGTGTTTTCGCAGTACATGCTTGTGGCGAAGCTGACGCGCGCCGATTCGTCAGCTGTGCCTTCCTCCCCATCGTCAGCAGGCTCTGTGTCATCTTCACTCCACATGCACGTTTCCATGGATGCACATACTTTTGCGCCCATTAGCCTGCCCCCGATGCTGGACCTGGCGCACTCTGCCTACACCGTGCTAGACTCGGTGACGCGTGCTGTGTTTTTGCACGTAACGACGACGCGCGCGCACGCACGCGCGCAGTGGGGCGACATCATCAAGAGCAACTCGAACGGGACGTACTTTGCCCTGTCGTTACCGAATGTGAATCGGAACGCGCAGGGATTTGTTGACTTTGAAAAGATGCAAGGATTGGATGGCATCGCCTTCGCGAACGTCGTCGCCAACACGGACGACGCAAGCGTCTCGGGCGTCAAAGAGCTGCGCACTGTCATCACACACAACGACGGCGGTTCATGGAATCCCATTACCATGCCCTCGCATGACTCGCTCGGCGCACCGTACGCGTGCGATCATGTCGGCTGTAACTTGCACTTGCGCAATCTGCTGGAGCGACCCAACTTGCGCGTCACACTGACGAGTCCCTCGGCCACGGGCTTTATGCTTGCGACAGGCAGTGTCGGTCGGAGTTTGAAGCCCTACGAGGAATGCGATACCTTCTTTACTCGTGACGGCGGATTCTCTTGGGAAGAAATGCGCAAAGGCACGCACCTGTGGGAATTCGGCGATCATGGCTCCGTGATCGTGCTCGTCGATGACACCCAGCCGACGGACTCCGTCGAATACACTCTGGATCAGGGCCTTACATGGCATGTGTACCACTTTGGCGAGCGCATGCATGTGCACATGATCGACACTGTGCCGGAAGACACGAAACGCAAGTTTGTGCTGCTTGGCGAGGCAGCTGGCCGCTCCATGGCCGTCTTCCTGGACTTTTCTCACGTGCTTTCTCGTGCGTGTGAGTGGGATGCCAAAGATGAAGTACGCAGTGATTTCGAAAAGTGGAGTCCGAGCCAGCAGCGGGCTGAGCCGTGCTTGTTCGGCCAGCAGACATGGCTCTGGCGCCGCAAGCGCGATCGCATCTGCTACGTAGGCGATGTCATGCCGCAACAAAGCGTAGAAAAGACGCCTTGCACTTGCAGCGCAGCAGACTTTGAATGTGAATTCAACCACTTCCGCAATGCGACAACGGGCGTCTGTGTCCCCTATGCCGGCGTATCGGCGCCTGTATCTCCCACGCAGGACGACCACGATACGCAATGTGCACGCGATGCTCCTGACTACGATGGATTCTGGTATGAGCGCACCAATGTTCGCAAGATTCCCTTGTCGCGCTGCTTGGGAGGAGAGCGCCCTGATCGTGGACGCAGGCATCGCTGTCGCTCGCGCTACGGCATTGGCACTGTGCTTTGGTACCTCGTGTTTGTGCCGTGCTTGTTGTTGGGCAGTTGGATGGGCGTCTCGTGGCTTCTGATGCAGCGTGAGCGCGGCACGATCACTCTTCCAGAACTTGAACATATCCCGATTGTCCACCATGCCATGTCTCACGCAGAGTCTGGTATTCATGTTGCTCGTGGATATGTCAGCATGATTTGGGCCAATATCTTAGCTTTCTTGCATGACATGCCCATCACACGCGACATTCTGCGTCGTTCCGAACGTCCGTTCTCTCACTACCATATGCTCTCTACGGACGAGGATGCTGAAATTTTACAAGGATACGATGCGAGCGACATAGAAGAATAATCTTGGTGCATCGAATCACGAAGACAACACAATGACCTGGCACCACGAGCGTAAATTCAGCCAATGCTCGCAGATCATCTCGACTTCTCATCAACATGTCTCTCTCCACATTTGTAGCACATGAACTCTCAGTGAGGCTTCTCGCTTCCCCTTCTTCGCCCAACCCCCCCGCATGCAGTCGTTCCTCCACCTGTTTATAGGAAACGAGGCACCGTGCAAAGTGAGAGTATATATGCATCCGCATCTATATATATATATTTTTTTTTTATTTTTGTAATTCTTTCTACTTTAGACTCAAAATTACCTCTTTCTTGAGCCCTGAACACGTGGGCGTCGGACGTGATCGGACTGAACCCAACGCGTGCGAGTGATTAAATTCACTCTCATTATCACAGCGTGTACTGTCATCGTCGCCAGTCGTACAGGGAGCGTGCTGGCCAATGCGGCGCTCCCGACATCGTCACCAATGTCGATGGGATGCCAGTATTTGCTTCTTGGCCTTCGTGGCTCCTGTTAGTGCCAAAACACACACACATTTACCTGCTGCTGCATCCGCGTCTCAGGGTACCTTCATGGAGACGAGCGGCTCCTTGATTTGGGTTTGTCATATAGATACTGAACAATGTGTTGGCATAAGAAGTCCTTTTAACACTTACAGTCGGCGCAGCGTATGGTTTCAGCGCAAGGCTATCATTATCACAGCTATTTTCCTCGCTCTGTTGATCATCTTGATCATAGGTCTTGCTGTGTTTCTTCGCGACATTGGTGTTGGTGCAAGATATGACGACAGCGATGATGAAACACTTGACCTCGATGACGAGGAAAATGAGGATCATTGGGGCTCTCATTCTCGTATGTCCCAACGTATTCGGCACCCGCACAAGCTCTTCCGTCGGCGGCTGCGACGCCGTGCTCGTGTATCGAATCGCGCACATCGCCATCTGCGGCCGTCTCGCCATGCGTCTGAGATGCAAGTAGACGTGTCCGCGCTGGATCCACCTATCCCACACGCTATGCACTTGACCTCGCCAGTCCCACAAGAGCACGTCTCCGATACCACGGCTTCTCCGCAGAGCGCTCTGGCTGACTCATCTAGAACCAGAACGCCATCGTCCGTTCGTTCTCCATCCAGATACCCCCGGACTAGCACAAATATCGATCAAACTGACATTGATGCCGTGGACGCTTTACCGATGGATCCGTTCGCCACGGTTCCCCCATGTTATGGCACAGTAAATGTTCGTGAACAACGCATGCGTGAAAAGCTCCATCCCATGCAGTCTCTGAGTGAGTCAAGCTCATCTTCTCGCATCCACGATCAGTGCGTGGAGAGCGCGCCGGAAACAAGTGCGTTATGCGCACACATTTCAACGGACGAAAAGTCGACGCTCGAGGCTTTGTACAACGCATCTAGTGCGCCTGCGTTGAATCTCACCACGAATAACGAAGCGCTTGCGCCGCCAACTGCTCCTGAGTGGACTGATCCGCAAGACAATTCTCATGTACAGCAGGGATCCTCCCGCAGAAATATGCTTCCAGGGCCTCCTGTTTCATTCGAGTCAAGATATGACTTGTATGCGCCTTTGGCTTCCGATACCAAAGCCCAAGAAGCTGAAGCAGAGCGTGCAGGCCTCGCCACATTACTTCCATCCATGCCCGGCCTGCATCCAACCGATGCATCGTACTTACCTGTGACATACCTTCCTCAATATGACCAGCATGCTTCCAATGAAAGAGACGTGGCAGACCTAGAACTGGGTTTGCGAGCTCCATCGCCAGCAAACACCGAGGATGACATGCTGCCACTACCATCTGCTCCTATCATGCACGATGTGTGAATGGCTCTTGTAATATACATACATGCTTTTCCAACCTAAAAGGCACCTATTTGTATAGTAGCAGAAGTTCATTATCATTGATCCTTGCGTGCTAGAACAGCGAGTTGATATACGATGACACGCCCAAATCCATCCGTGCTTCCATCCAGGCGCAGGGCCATCGTCGAAGTGACTGCGTCCGGCGACAGGCCTTGATTCTGAAGATTCTGCGATATGGGATCAAAATCGATACTGTCATCCTCGGTTAGTTACACAGCTTGTTCAACCTACGCAAAAGTCTGAGCCATATTCCCATCTTTCGGGTATACATCCAGCACTGATACTGCATGTGACGTGCTCGTTTCTGCCGCAGACACGAGAGCATGAAGCTGGACGCGCACAGGTGAGAAACCGCCCCCAAATGTGCACGTAATTTCGCGAATGCTCTGTAGGGGCACTTCCTCTGCCAAATGGCAGACGAGCTCAGCGCCCGCGCTCGGACTCGGTGTGCCCTGTACGGTCAGCCAAGCCTGTTTCTCTCGCACATACAAGATCGTAGGACCAGCAAGTCTCCAAGTCTGAATCAAAAGCGCGTCGCACCTCTTTTGACGTGCCTATAGATGCCTTGACTTTGCTCGCTCCCTGCAACACATTTGTCATCGTCATTACTCCGTGAACACCACGCGCGGTCGAGTTCTGAAAAGTTTATGTGTGTACAAGACAGGGTCGTCAATCATTGGTGGAGGGAACTTGTAGTGACGCTCGAAGCGACGAACCCAACACGCACGCCCTTCACGTGTGTCGCCAAGTATAATTTTTTTTTTGTGAATATCTGGAAGCTGTCGTGGCAGGCGCCGCAAGCGATTGAGAGTCACCGGGGTTCGTGTGCTCGTAAGTGCTTGAATGGGCACACTACCTGTGGCTTTGCCACCGCATCATATTCTGTGCGCATTTGACAATGTAAATCTTGGCGCGCCTATGGTGCGATACTCGAAGTTGCCGTTTCGAGCGCTCATAGCACGTTACAATACCCATATCACCACCACTCCCATGATCCTCGCAGAAGAATTCAGTCGCCATCCGAAAGCGCGTGATTCAGACTTTTCGACAAATTCTGAGGAACGGGGTGTGTTCCATATGACTCCTCGGCTTGCCAGCACCGAGGCATGCATTCGTGGAGCGCTTGTTTGCCAGCTTGCAGCGAGTCATTCGTCGCCTCTTGCTGATGCAGCTGAGCTTGTCAGTCCTTATGTGGACGGAATTGACCTAAACTGTGGCTGTCCACAGCCGTGGGCGTATGAAGAACGGGTCGGGTCGTATCTGCTAGAGGAGCCGGAGCTCGTTGCCGACATGATACGTACAGTGAAAGGCCGCTTGGGTGATGCATATTGTGTCAGTGTCAAGATTCGCATTGATCCAGACTTGAGGTACGTCGCTAGGTACGCGACTTTTTCTATGTGCTCACACCCTTGCTACACAGACGCACAGATACGCTCGTCCGAAATGCATTGCATGCGGGTGCGTCATTCATCACGATCCACGGCCGAACTCGGCATGAATCATCTGGCTCAGACCCAGTCCATCTCGATGCCGTGCAATTTGCTGTCGATTGTGCGCGTACATGTGGACTTCAAACGGCTCGAGGCACGTCGCCAGGCGATGCTTGGACATGGGCTGAGGACGGTGGTGCAGGTGGATTCGCTCCGTGTGTGGTGAACGGCGACATTTGGAGCAACGAAGATGCTATGGCTTGGCGCGCACACACTGGAGCACGTGGGGCTATGAGCGCTCGAGGATTGCTTGCAAATCCTGCGCTCTTCGCCGGCGAGCCACACACTCCAAGGGAGGCGGTACGGCGCTTCGTCGATTATGCTATGAAGTGGAGTCTTCCCACGTCTCTTCTGCACAGACACTTGGCATACATGCTCGAGGATACCATGTCGAGTCGTGCTGAATCGATCTATTTCAACACCCTCGCGAGCCCTGCAAGTATTTTGGACTGGCTCACCAATGCGGGGTATGTATCATAGATGGGACACATGCTATGTGTATGAAGGAAGGGGGGGATGTATGTGATGCAGGAGGATGGCGAAATAGGGAATATCGCTTTGTTAAGGGAGTGAAGATGAGGTAGACCATGATTAACAGCATGTCCTGAAGAACCTCCAAATCCTGTCATGACTCAAAGGGGACAAATGCACTGCTGCCAGAGCCAGAATCAGGCGCCGGCCGGAACATGGGATTCGGCGTCGATTCTACAGCATCCACAGTAGTGTCATTCTGTTCAGCTTGCGTGCTAGGTTCTTCAGGTGGTTTGATCATCTCCTTAGGATTATCCCTGTTTGTCAATCGCTTTCAATGCGTACCAATTGATATTGAAGCGCGTGACGCGTGGTTTGCTGGCTAGGACCTCCCGACACACTTTGTCAAGCTGAATTTGCTCCGGCGGGTTCTCTCGTAATTCCTCCGACTCATAATCATTGTTCACATAGTAGCCTACTCGAATGAATTCCGCATCCTTGTAGGAACCTGTGAGCAATATGACTGTGACACCTAATAAATCAGAAGCAGGTATCTTTTCAGATGATGGGGCTTCAGCCTCAAACTCGAAAGAATTCACGCCCACTGGGACTGGTCCCACCATGCAACTATCGAGTTCTTGGTCGTATTCTTCCGATTCGGCAGATCCGACGTAAATGAGTTTCCATTCAAGATCTAGGTCCTTGTTAGTTTGAAAGAAAGGTACATACCATCTTCAAGCGGCGAAATACATTCAAATGTCACCTTAAATATATAAGGATCCGAGAACCGGGCCTTGCTGTTAATAATCTCAACATTCTGAAGGTGCACGATCGACATGGATGCTGGCTAACTACGCGTAAAATGCTTGCGACCGCGCCGTGCGCGCGTACATAGACATGGTTCACGTGGCCTCCACAGCATATTCATGTCCGCATCCTCCCAATTCATAATTAGGCCCAACACCCTGCCTGTGTCGAAGCGCAATAAAAATGGATTATGAAATGATTTTCGACAGTCAATCTCGTGGTATGTTACTGCCGGGACTCTCAACGTGACGCGTGCTAACTGCTTTGGTTGATTACTTACAGGCTACGTCACTGCTGCCTTAAGGAATGGTATGCCAGAAATGTGAAAAATTGTTGAGCAAGGCAGGTGCTCCTGATCCTTTTGTACGTTAAGCTGCCTCTTACGTGAAGCGCAACCGCGACGCATCTGGCACCCTTGTATCTTCGGGATCTGGGGCCAAGGCGTCAGCTGCGCGCCATGGACCAGGGCCTGTAGGTGGTGGGAGAAAGGTGGGAGAGAACAAACTACTTTCCAAGTCGAACAGGTTTTCTCCTCTAGGTGCGCAGTGCAAGCTATGTAAGCAGCGAGTCACTCAGAAACATGCTCAATTTTGCCAATGTATGTTGAAGTGAAACCAAGTGCATGTGCACGTTTTCTGACATGACAGCGTGCGCCTACAAAAAAGGTCTGTGCGCTATATGCGGAAAGCAGATCCTTGATACGTCCAAGTACAAACAGTCATCTTGAAAAGAATAAAAAAAGAAAGAAGTAGACTCCTATCGAGAGCCAAGTGATATGCAATGTATTGACGTTGGCTTCATGGGAAGAGGGTGACGTGCTTTCTTTCAACTTTCGCGGAGCAGTCGACATCGCTTCTCGCTTGCTGGAGTTGGAGGACCTTCCTCCACACTATACGCAGATGCATGACACGTTTGTGCACGCGTCGGTGTGCACATGGGTGCCGTCCATGTCACGTGGCACATGCATTCGTCCTGCATTTAGCAGACAGGTCCGAATCAGGTCATATGTCGAGGATCCAGCGCCCGCATCCTCGAATCTGTATAAAAGGGCTCTGCTGGCCCAAAACGTATTTTTCTTGTGTGCTCGTGTGCCGGCCCCAGTTGTGGTGAGTAGATCCCGTGCTTGATGGCCAAGGGGAGAAGGGTTGCGCTGCTCAAGATGAAAGAGATACAGAACGCCTGACTTTGCCATGGAGGTATGAGCCGCTTGCGGCTAACCCATTCAAGTCCCTGAAGCAAGCGCACGAAAGCATCCTGCCTCTTCTCACGCTTCATGACACGATGTATCCTGCTTATTCGAACGAAAGCTGACATATTGTAGTTTCCTGTTCATTCTTATTGCCTTGAACCCTCATGTCTGGAACGTCATCCACTGAGCTTCGTAACAGGCAAGGTATTGCGGACTATACCAAGTTCTGGAACGCGGATTCGACCAAAGATTCAGAAAAGGATCAGGCTGCTCGCTTGGACCAGTATTCAAACGTAGTAAATGCTTACTATGATGGTGCTACTGACCTGTACGAGTATGGATGGGGTATGAACTTCCATTTCGCTCGTTACTATCCTGGTGAAGCATTTTACCAGGCTCTGGCACGCCATGAGCACTTCTTGGCTCATACAATGAATCTGCGCCCAGGTATGCGTGTGTTGGACGTGGGTTGTGGTGTGGGAGGGCCAGCACGGGAAATTGCTCGCTTTGCTGGCGTGCAGATTGTGGGAGTTAATAACAACGCGTACCAGGTCGACCGTGCGAACCGATACACGGCCAAGGCGGAGTTGCAGGACCAGCTTTCGTTTGTCAAGGGTGACTTTATGAAGTTAAAGGAACAGTTCGGAGAGAACAGCTTTGATGCTGTGTACGCAATTGAGGCAACTTGCCATGCACCGTCTTGGGAAGGCGTCTATGGAGAGATCCTGAGTGTACTGAAGCCAGGTGGCGTGTTTGGTTTGTATGAATGGTGTATGACAGATTCATACGATCCGTCCAACCCTGAGCACCGCAAAATCGCACACGGTATCGAGCTCGGCGATGGCATTCCTGAGATGCGGTCCATTGCACAGGCTCGTACTGCACTCAAGACTGTCGGCTTCCAGATTGAGTATGAGACAGATCTCGCTGATCAGGGCGACAAGATACCATGGTACTACCCGCTGGAAGGCGATATTCGCAAGGTGCAGACAGCATGGGATTTGTTTACGTGCTGGCGTATGACTTGGTTTGGAAAACTCGTGACGCAGTCGGCTGTGCGGGCTCTGGAATTCGTCGGAATTGCGCCCAAGGGAACGTATGATGTGGGTGAATCCCTCAAAGTTGCGGCCGATGCACTTGTTGCTGGAGGTCGCAAGAAGCTCTTTACGCCGATGATGTTCTTTGTTGCGCGTAAGCCATGAGCGATATAGTCTCTATGGAAGCACTAAGCCTTTCATGTGTCGTTTCACAATTCCTTTCTTTTGGTATACATAGCTAACTAGACGTAATGCAAGGAAGGCCCACACGGGGCAAAACATGGCGGAGGAAAACGTTGGTTTTAGGACGCACATTCGCTGGAGAGAGAGAGAGTTATAGGCCAACAGATGCACAAGCATGGTGTCCATCAGGTGGTTTGCTCACACATCCTGAAAAAAAGTTGGCGCATCAACGATGCCGCACTGCTGGAATAGGCGCCGCGACCAGCGATGCGAGGGGTATTAGGCGGTCTTTCTCGATGTCCAGAGGTCCAAGCAAAGCACTGCGCACATCATGTAAGCACACGCTGATAATGATACACGTCATTTGCATACATACATGCTGTCACCTCCGACGATATACACGCCGAGGGGTACCTCTTTCCACGGGCGCATCTTCACTGAATAGGCGCTCCACGCTGTTGGCGAGAATGATGGTACCATTCGAGTCATATCCACAGAGCAAGCCAACAATCACGCGCCCATCTTGTGTTACAAGAAGCACTTGCTCTGGAAGTGTGAGTCAAAAGCCGCATTTGGGAATATGGGGATAGAGAGAGAGAGAGAGAGAGAGAGAGAGAGAGAGAGGAATAAAGAGAAAGAGGAATACATGGCAAAGAAAGGGGGCTTGAACACATACGATCCACATAGCTTTGCACGCCTGACATGGCGGCCGCGCAGCGTTGTCAGTCTGTGCTATCGAGGAAGTAGTCTTAAGAAAGCAAGGAGACAAATCCGACACGTGTCGTGAGCGAGCGATGTTACTGCCGAGAATGTGGGAGTAACTGCTAAGTAGCGCCGCAGACTACCTCGCAGCTGGCTGAGAATGTGACCTCAGCCTCCATGAATACGCGCACGAGGTTCTGGTCTTACGCACGGGTCGTCGGACGCGCCTCGTGATCACGTGACATGTCGCTGCCCTGGCGCCAGTCTTACTGTTGGGGGCGCCGCGTGGCCGGGGGGGGGGCGACGATTGGTGGTCGCGTGCGGTCCTCGTTGGCTGCAATGGATGGACCGACGGCGGGGGGCTTCGCATGTGGGTGGACCATTTACTGGCACCTCACATTTGAGACACTCCTATCGGTGACGACGTTCAGTGCGAGAGCGAAAACGTGTGCGTGAGAGGCAGTCGATCATGGTGTTTCGAACTGTAGCGACACGATCCCCACTCGCTCCTGCATGCCATGTGGCGCGTGCCTACGTAAAACCAAAGACTCAGCTCAACGTGCGAGCGATGTCGATGCGCGCGCGACCGTCGACGCCACGTCGTGTCGTATCTGGCCTCGTTACTGTGACTGCCATTGTGGCTGGTGCTGCATTTGGCGTGTACTGCTTGGACTCGCGTGCGGGAGTGCATCGCTGGCTATTTCCTCCGATGATGGAACTGCTAACGGATCCTGAGTCGGGTTCGAAGATTTCAATCAAGCTCCTCGAGCACGGACTCGCGCCACGAGACTGTGGCAAGGATGACGAAGTCCTGCGTACCGAGCTATTTGGAAAGACCCTTACGAATCCTATAGGACTTGCGGCCGGATTCGACAAGCAGGGAGAAGCCATCGACGGTCTTTTTGACCTTGGCTTCGGTCTCGTTGAGATCGGTAGCATTACCCCAGAGCCGCAGCCGGGCAATCCAACTCCACGCATGTTCCGCCTGCCATTAGATGCAGCTGTGATCAATCGTATGGGCTTCAACTCCGAGGGTCACGAAGCCGTGCGGGAGAGATTGCATGCGCGCTTGCACAAATGGGTGCAGCGTGTTTTGTCCGCTGGCGAGGGCTTGGTCTCTTCTGTCGGTGCGCCAGCGCCGGAGCCAACGGCACTCGCAGAGGCACAGGTATTTGCCAATTACCCTGTAATCAATACATCCCTGCTGGACGACGCACACGTGCCGCGCAGTCTAAAGCAAGACCGCCTGCTGAGCATCAACCTAGGAAAAAACAAGTCTTCGCGCGAGGATTCGGTCGTCGACTATGTCAAGGGCGTACAAGCTCTGGGCGCGTATGCCGATATGCTTGTGATCAACGTGAGCAGTCCAAACACACCGGGTCTCCGTCGTCTGCAGCGTCGAAGTGTGCTGGAGGGCGTGTTGCGTGACGTCGTGACGGCTCGTGATGATGTCGCGAAGCAACGTATAGATTCGCTACCCCTCGTCGTGAAAGTGGCGCCCGACCTCAGCGATGCCGAGCTTGAGGATGTGGCTGACGCTGCACGTGCAAGCAAGATCGACGGCATTATCGTGAGCAATACAACGGTCTCTCGGCCCGCTGGTCTTCTTTCGACTCAGCACGTGCATGAGGCGGGTGGACTCTCAGGTCCACCTGTCAAGCCACTTGCTCTTCATGCTCTCCAGGTCATTTACAAACGCAGTGAAGGCAAGATCCCTTTGATTGGCTGCGGCGGCATCATGACAGCCGAGGATGCTTTGGAGTTTGCTCGTGCTGGTGCAAGCGCTGTGCAGCTATACACTGCGCTGGCGTACCGGGGACCAGGTCTTCCACGCCGCATTAAGGACGACCTTGCTGCGCGTCTGCGTGCCGAAGGGAAAACGTGGAAGGACATAGTCGGCTCAGGTCTTCGCGACGTGCCGTCGTACGCGCCGGATGCTGTGAATCAAGTTGGTCTGTACCCCGGAGCCCAAGATGCTTTCGACCGCAGTGTCGCAAGTGTGCGACATGAGATTGAGCAGCTGCGTGAGTCGTTTGAGGGCCATGCATCCGAAGAGCGGCGCGCTTTGCCTTTTGACATCGATGAGCACGATGACCGTTTCAAGGAGCTCCTGAGAGAGGCACATCGTGTGACGGATGACGTGCCCCACTTCAACGACGCATCGTCACCACAAGCAGGCGTGCTTCCTCAACGTACTTCATCTGTTCCCGAGCACTTGCTTTTGATGGCGAAAGAGCGCGGTCTCACGCAGGGCGAAGTGCTTCATGAAGCCGTGCATGACGCTGCAGCTGTGCCCCAGGCCCCTGCACCGGCGCTAGCTGCGTCGCACTCAGCGGACGCGACACCTATGTCCACGGACAAGGCTGCACCAGACCACACAACACTCGGTGGTCTTAAGGGCCATGAAGCAAAGAGTGTGCCAGAAGCATATAGGGCTCCTTCGACAGCCGAAAAGCGTGTAGTTTGACGAGGCAGACATGGCAGCTGGATCAAGTTTCCGTCCCCGAACGTTGTGTGTGTGACACAGACGCAACGGCAGGAGTCTAGGATGCCGGCTTCCGGTATGTCTTTCCTCAGCCTCGTATGTCAAACGAATCGCCCACGCTCGCAGCGTCGACGAGAATGTACGATCAACATTACAAGAACGACTTCGCTTGGCTGCTTGCGACCGCACCTGGCGGCACATCAGCGGCCGGCATCTACAAAGAAACAAGAAATACGGAAACGAAGGACCCATGCACATGTGTATGTGTGTGAATGAAAACAAAACCATGTACCATAGCCAACCATGTACAACACATACAAACACAAATCAATGAACATCATCACTGCTATCATCGTCGTCGTCCTCCTCCTCACTCTCGGGCGCGTCGTCGATAAACGCGGCGTCAGCCGTGCCCTTCTTTAAAGGCATTTGGTGACTTCGAACATGCCGATTCAATGTCGTGCGTCGCGTGAACATTTTGCCACATGATGGCACCGTACAAACGTACGGACGGCGGCCTGTGTGGGTACGTCTGTGGCGAGCCAGCGAGCTGCTGTCGGAAAAGCTTTTTCCACATCCCTCAAACTCGCACTGATGTGGCCGTTCTCCACTGTGGACGCGCGAATGCACAGTCAATGCGGACCGCTGGATAAAGCTTTTGCCACACCCAGGAAACTCGCATGGGTACGGCCGCTCACCAGTGTGGATGCGGCGGTGACGCGCGAGGTCGGAGCGCCGACTGAATGTCTTGTTGCAAGCATCACACACATGCAGCTTAGGCCCGCCTGAGTCGCTCTCTGGCAAGCCAGATGTCATGGCCGACGCCGTTGGCCCCAAAACAGCTGGTGAAGACGACGGCGCGGGACCTGATCCGGAAGGAAGTGTAGCTGTTGACGTTGCTGGCACTGACCCTAACCCGTGTCCAGTAACAAACCTGTGCACCGCTGATCCCGATCCAGGTGCAGGTTGCACGGGGCCTGGCCCCAGTCCAAGCCCTGTGGCAGACGCCGTCGCCGACGAGGCTAGAGCAGACGGCTTGGCCACGTAGCGCCTCGGCGTATGCATCATTTTCTCGTCATCGCCTGAGCGCTCATCAGCCGACGACATGTCTACATCGGAACGTGTGACACTCGCGGCTGCCGAAGAGTACTTGTACGGCATGCTATTCGGCGTGCCACGCGGGTAGGGAGGATTGTAGTACGTATCCGGATACGAACCCGCAGGCGGGGTGTCTGCTGCGTACACATCGTTTTCGTATTTTGGCCTGCTGCGCAAGCCGTACGAATCAGCAGCATGGTCCGCGTACATATCGCCTTGCCATTCTGCGGCCCGGTACGCCATGCCTCGAGGCGGATACGCAACGGTGGGTGTGGAGTTCGCCAAGTATGGCGATGGTGCATTAGGTAATGCGGATGCTCGATACATCGGCGAACTGTAGCCAGACGAGTCGGAGCGCACAGGCATTCCAGCCGTCGTTGCTGCTGCCGCCGCCGACGCAGGCGTGCGTCCGTACGGAGTATATGCAGGAGACGGCCGAACAGATGTAGCCGCTTCATCCTCCGGTGGCAGAACATCGTTACTCATCCGGTATGAGTGGGCATCCTCATCGCCACTCACACTGCCCGGCCGAGATCCAAGCCCTGAACTACCCGCACGTACAGAGCTGGATGCGAATGGAGAGTTCCGATTCTCATACCAAGGCGAGCCATCGCCACGACCTGTGGCGAGCGATGCAGATGATGATGAGCGCCATCCTGGTGCTCCAGCTGGCGCTGCATTAAAGCGGAACACATCTCGCTTCGGACTCGGTGCATAAAGCTCGCCATAGCGCGAGGGCGAATTTGCCGCGTATGTATCGTAGGGCGAGCGCGGAAGCGGTGCTGACGCAAGACCGGTATTGGTTTGACCCGATAGATGAGGGGGCAAAATGCCAGGAGAAAGCGGAGGTCGTGGCGATCCCGGTGCATCGTCAAACATGGTGATATCAGAGGCCCCTGCTGGATGAGATAGGCCAGCACATCCGCTCGCACCCTGTGACAGAGCTGAGCTCACAAGCCGGGACGTATCAGACAAGCGCCGTGGTGGCAATGGCCGTGTTGACATTCGTGCAGCTGCTGACTGGGCACCTGAGCTAGGTGATGGCGAGTAAGAGCGTTCTGGCATATGACTCGTTGATGGTGATGCTGGGCGCGAAGATGATGCTGGATAATGTAGCGATCCAAATGATGCTTCTCGTGTCAATACACTGATACGTGGACTACTCGTTCGTGGACTTCCAATAGACTGGAAGCGTGACGACGAGTCGCGATATGGCGACAAGACGCTAGGCAGGTGGTGTGCCATCACTAATCGCGGCGATCCATGCGGTGACCCAGTCCCGTACGTCGATGATTCCGATGTTGCCAATTTAGACATATGGGGTGGGTTGTTCACACTCCCACTAGTCGACGTCATCACGAATGGGACTCGGCTAATTCACTGCACGGCGGATATGGTCTCACAATACAAAAAGTTCCCCCAAGACCGAAGAGTACTGTTGCTTTTCTACTTTACAGTCTGGGATACAAACCTGTGTACATGACACAGCGACGTTATAGAAAGGATGATAGTTCTCACACACCTTGACACTCGATGTAGTATCGGTCGTGGGTGGTCTGTGGGTGGAAAGCGCACCAAAAAAAAAAAGATTAAAGGCACTGGCCCAGGCGCAGGAGTCGCACCCGTTTTTTTTATCCTCCCTCGCTTTCCAATCCACCTACACCAACTGTGCACAGGCCGCCACCGCCCGCTTGTCTTAACATTTGTCATGCCTTATCTCCGCTTGCATATTTCCTACCACTCACCAACATATTTCACAACCTGTGCACACGGGCTCAGCTGGCACGGGAATGGTCACGTGGTGAGATACTTCCGTCACGTGCTGATATTTACGCGCGGCACGATCATCTACGTTGGGATGAAACGCGTTAGCGGCGCATTGCTCCGCGCGCCGTGCCACGCCTCGTTGCGCCCATGCGTGCCAGTTTGATAGGGAATGTAGGTGTGTCTGTGCAGGTGTGTAACGTGTGTGTTGCTGCTGCGAAAAAGTAGTAGTAATGTTTAATAGAGACTAGGGCGTGGAGAGCAATTCTTTGGTTGCTAACGCGTTGAATGCGCTCAATTCAGCCGCGTCATTCATGGACGACGGCCGTGCGATTCGCGAAGCTCGCAGGAACAGCGGCGCGGGAGCTGATCTCGGCGACGCTGTGAGTATGAAGGCAGCTCATACCTCACAAGAGTCATCTGCGCTGCCGCTGCGGCCACCACCTACGCCCACGGCGTCCAAGTCGCCGCGCAAGCCATTCGTGACCCAGACACCACTGCGTCACCGCTCCATCATGACTCCAGCCCGCAAAATGCCTCCTCCTATCACCCCCGGACGCACGGGAGCACGGATCCATGCGAATACGACGACACCAATTGCATCAGCTTCCGGCACTCTAGGAGGTGCTGCGGCTGTTGCTGCGCCACTACCACCAGTGAAGCGTCTTGTCATCCACAAGCTCGTTTTGCAGGATTTCAAGTCTTATGCTGGCCGACAGGAAATAGGACCGTTTCACAAGTCCTTCTCTAGCATTGTTGGGCCCAACGGCAGCGGCAAGAGCAATGTGATTGATGCACTTCTTTTTGTCTTTGGCTGGCGAGCGAACAAGATGCGCCAGGGCCGACTTAGCGAGCTGATTCACAATCGCGAGGGATTGCCGCCGCCTCCCTATTGTGCAGTGGAAGTCTGGTTTCGCGATATTATTGACTATCCGGACACCGAGAAGTACGACGTTGTGCGAGGAAGTCGCTTGATTCTTCGGCGCGTAGCCATGCGGAACAATACATCGCAGTACACGCTGAATGGCACCAAGTCTTCATTCACAGAAATCACCGCTTTGTTGCGTGACCGTGGCATCGATCTTGATCACAAGCGCTTCTTGATCCTGCAGGGAGAAGTCGAGAGTATTGCACAGATGCCGCCCAAAGGCAAAACCGAGCACGAAGAAGGTTTGCTGGAGTACTTAGAGGATCTTATTGGCACAAGCGAGTACAAGGAGCCCATCGAGGAGCATGCAAAAGCTGTTGACGCTGCAAGCGATGCACGCAGTGAGAAAATGAACCGCTTGAAAATCGTGCAACGCGAGCTCGATGCATTGGAACCACGACGCAAAGAAGCTGAAAGCTTTCTCCGTGATCAAAATGAGCTTGTATGTCTCCAGTCACGACTGTGGCAGTCACATATGGTTGACTGCCGCGACCACATTTCGCGTGCATCAGAGTCTCTTGCCGCTGTCCGCCATCAAATCGAGTCCGAGCATGCGAAACATGCCGAGGCGCAGCAAGCATCTGACTCGCTGCGTGCTAGCCATCAAGCTGAAGTGAATGCCTGTGCAGAAATGGAGACACATGTGCGTGATTTGACGCGTGCGTGGGAAAGTGCCGAGAAGCTTGGTATTGAGCTCAATGCTCGCCACAAAATGATTACCGGCAAACGAAAGAAACTCATTTCTTCTCTCACTGAGTCGAAATCAGCCGTCGCCCGCGCGCGTGATGCGGCTTCGATGGCAACAAGTGATATTAGCAGCGTGCAGCGCGAGTTCGGCGAGCGTGAATCTGCTCTTGTCAGGGAGGAAAGCACACTTGAGAATATATGTGATCGTCTGAAAGGAACAACACGGGAGTTTAGCGATGCAATTGAACAGAAGCAAAAAGAACTTGCCCCTTGGACAGCCAAAATCAGCGAGCATACGGCAGCATGCGAAATCCTGCAGCATGAGCGATCGTGGCTCACCTCACATAGTGAGGATACGATTCAACGGGTCGAAGATGCGCGTGTTTCACTAGCTGACTTGCAACGTACTATGCAAATGCAAACTGAGGAGATGGAATCGCTGCAGTATGAACAGCGCACGCTATGTGACAAAATGGACGAGGACCGTGCACAGCTTGCAGCAATGCAAGACAATGAACGTGCATTGCGACAGAAGCGTGATCAAGCACGACGCGCGGCCGAAGACGCAAAGCACTCGCTTGCATCGACCAAATCGCGCGGTGAAGTGCTACAGAGCTTAGTGCGGCAAGCGGAGCTGGGCTTGCTAAGTGGATTCTACGGCCGGCTCGGCAGTCTCGGCACCATTGATCCCCGCTACGACGTCGCTATTAGCACGGCTTGTCCAGGTTTAAATAATCTCGTCGTCGAAAACGTTGCAACCGGACAACAGTGCATTGAGCATCTCCGTAAACACAACTTGGGGCGCGCAAACTTTGTGCTCCTGCAAAATGTGCAAGTGAAGACAGATGCCATGGGTCCGATAACGACGCCAGAAAATGTGCCGCGCTTGTTCGATTTGGTGAAGCCAAAAGATGCTCGTTTCGCTCCAGCTTTTTACCACCAGCTAGGCGACACGCTCGTGGCGCGTGACTTGGCTCAGGCGAACCGGATCGCCTACGGTGTGAAGCGATGGCGCGTTGTTACCGAGGATGGCCAGCTTATTGATAAGAGCGGCACGATGTCGGGTGGTGGCTCGCGTGTGATGCGTGGTGCCATCAGTTCGACGCTGCATGCAGACGTGTCACCAGAACAAGCGTCACGGATGGAAAAAGAATTTTCCGCCGCTGAGAGCATGCTTCAATCACATATTCAGTCTCTCGCGCATTTGACCACGCTTATTGAAAGGAATGAGGCCCGCCTTCCAGCCATTCAAAAGAAGCTGGCACTTTTGGACATGGATGTACAGACATCGACGCAACGCATCAGCGAAGCCGAGGATCACCTACACGAAGCGCAGGCGCAGAGTGAGCCAAATCAAGATGATCTTCGCCGCATAAAAGAACTCGATCATCAGCTGCACTTGCATCAAGACGAGATTGCTACGCTGAAGTCGAAGAGTGCTGATATCGAACAGGCCATCCACGCTTTGCAAGAGCAAATTCTCGAGGCTGGTGGTGTGGAATTGCGTGCTCAGCAGGCGAAAGTCCAGGGCATAAAAGATATGATGTCATTGTGTGCCGAACGACTAGCGAAATCAGAAGAACAGCATGCAAAAGCCGAGAATGACCTTAAGCGGTATGAAAAAGCGCTCAAGTCTGGTCAAGAACAGCTTGATCTGCTTGATGCTGAACTGCAGACGCTCGAAGAAAGTCGCGTCGCACAAGCAAGCGACTTGGAGAGTGCAGCTGCGCGAATTGAAGACATGCGTGAAGCTCTAGAGGATCGCATCGAGAAGCGTGACCAGCTACAAGCCCAGCTTGATGAGCATGACGCTTCTCTTCGTGCATTCCGTGCGCTTAGGATGGAGCTGGAACAACGACTGGAAGACCACGAAAAGACCAAGTCCGAGAATGAGCAGCGGCTCCAGCATTGGGTAAAGCAACACTCTCAACTTGTTTTGATCCCGGTCCCTCGCTCCGAGGATGACACTAGTAGTAGCCAGCTTATTAGCGATGCCCATGAAGAGCGTCAACATGGCGGTGGTAATGTGGCTGTGAAAGTTGAAGACGGCGGGGGCGATAATGATGACATGGAGCAAGAGCCGATAAACGAGAAGCTATCCAACAACACAAATGAAAGCGAGACGTGCGACGAGGAAGAACTGGCCGACCAGCTGCCGACGCTCACGGATGATGAAGCACGCACCGTCGATAAGGGCCGTGTGCAAGCTGACATGACGCGGCTTGAAGAGCGCTTGGCCTCAAGTGACGTTAATTTGGACGTGCTAGAAGAGTTTCGACACGTCGAAGAAACCTTCCTTGCGCGAGCCAAAGACCTGGAACGTGTCAATGAGCAACGTGATCAGGCACAGAACAAGTTTGAGGCGTTGCGTAAGGAGCGTCTCGAGCGATTTATGGATGGTTTTACCCAAATATCTCTGAAGCTCAAGGAAATGTACCAGACGATCACGCTTGGTGGAAATGCCGAGCTGGAACTCGTCGATAGCTTGGACCCATTCAGCGAAGGCATCGTCTTCAGTGTGATGCCGCCAAAGAAAACGTGGAAAAACATCAGCAATCTCAGTGGCGGCGAAAAGACACTTAGCAGTCTTGCCCTAGTCTTTGCCCTGCATGCTTACAAACCAACACCACTGTACGTGATGGACGAGATTGATGCTGCTCTAGACTTTCGCAATGTTTCAATCATTGCAAACATCATCAAAGAGCGTACACGCGGTGCTCAATTCGTTGTTATTTCATTGCGGAACAATATGTTCGAGCTAAGCTCGCGTCTTGTTGGCGTATACAAAACGGCGCATTGCACAAAGTCACTAACTATTGAGAATGTTGATCTACATGCCACTTCGCCGTTAGACTCGCACGCACCACCCGCATTTGCCGCTGCTGCAGCTGTACCTTATCGCCACCCGCCTGGCGGCGCGATGACGTCCCCTACAAAGTCTGGCGGCCGGACCACTTCCTCTGTCGCCCTTGGTTAGAATAAGCTACGACGCCGACGCAACCAGACATCCCATCCAGCAAGCAATATCAAAGCAAGGGGCGTTGCAACTGCCACGGCAAGGATGCATATGCGATCAGCTTGCAGTTCGGTAGCCTCCCGCTTGAGGTGCGTCTGCAACAAAGAGGCCAGTCGCTCAGACGGTTGTACATGACTCTTTGTCTGTGCCATCCATACCTTCGTTTGATTGGACCAAGAGTGTATGTGAAGCACATCTCGATCAATCCTGGGCAGCGCCACGTATGCATGAGCTTGCAGCCATGTCAGCATGTGATCTGTTGCTTCCAGTTTGTTGCCAAGCACACACTTGGCGAACTGCTGCACGGGATCGTGCAGCGGCGTATGTGCGAAAGCATCGTAGACCGTATCAGAAACAAGGTCCCACGCACCGTTGAGCACTGTGTGAGCTTCCGGCGCTGTTGTGTTGATCCATCCAAATAAAGCACGATTCATACTGGTCTCATACTCTTGCTGCTGCTGCTTTATGTCTTGGAGTTTTGGCTCAACCACAGCATTCAGATGATCGAACAGCTCTTCTAATGGCTCAGTCCACGATGGGATGAATACGTTATGGAATAACCGTTCCGACTCCTGTTGCAGCTCTTGAAGCATGAGCAACAGCGCTTGGTCATGCACAAATTGAAAACATAGCCATGTGCCAACGAGTGCAAATGGCGCCGAGCTGAACCAAGCTGTCCATGTCGCAATCCATGCGTCTATGAACCGAAATCCACGGTCTCTCATTGTGTCAAGCCACGTACCATCATTACACACATTACCTCGCCCATCTTCACAGTATTTCGATATACAATGAGCGTTCGCACAACACGCGGGCATCACGCACCATACCAATAAGACTGCCGCCGTGATACCACCTAGTAGCAGTATGACCACCAAATTCAATCGTTGGGCTATTCGAAGCCATGCTTGTTCGGCATGGTCAAGCGCAAACCAGTTGAATTGACACAGCTTGATGCGCTCAGGCAGCGAAGGTGGCGATGATATGTCCAATCGCGTGCGAAACTCGGTCATGGCTGTGTAAGAGAGAAAGTGACTGGGCGGCCGGCTACGTACTGAGATTCACACGTTCTTTTGCATGCTCGAGACCGCCGAGAAAGACATTCTCGACATCCGTACGCAGCTCGTCAGCTGTGGGGAGTTTTTCACGCAATGTCTTGAATGGATCTATCAAAGAGCTTGGCAACGAAATGTTCCTCAAAACGCTGGATGCGGTGCCATCAATGTAATGGATTCACAGGCGAACGTGTGAGCAGCTTCGTTCTGAGAAAGGACACTCGGGGATCAAAAATAAGAAAGAACTAAGATCTTGCCCGGAGAGTAACGTACCGCAAAGCTGCCGGCTCCGACCAGGAATGCGTCGGGATTTTCTGCTGGCCAAAAAGACCCAAAATGCCATTGATCGTATCTGTCATGATGTCAGCAACGCCGTCAGCGGCTTGGAAGAGCGTGTCAAGAATAGCCCGTAAAAATTGCGCTGCATCATGAACAGCATGTGACACTGCGTGCGTAGCTGCATCTAATACACTAAGTACGCCTTGCACAACGAATTGGATCACGCAGAGTAAAAGGGACTTGTAACTCGATAAAACAACTTGAACCAAGATACGTATCATATCTAGACTGCGTCTGTTAAAGACACGAACATGGATTCATTTCCCAACATACATTCCAAGCACAAGTCGGCCCACGTTTTGAACCGTAGATTCAATCGACCGGATTCCTTGTGACTTCGCACTTTCAAGCAACAGTTGGGGGGTGTACGCAACCAACGATGCTATCTGTTCAGCCTCCTTGCATGCCCATTCAATCTCATTACGCCACTCTGCCACAACTCGCAGAATATCAGCCTGTCTCTGCGACGCCCGCCAAAGCACTCGGTAGATCTGGCAGACTCCAATGACAACCGTACCGACACATGCTGGGACCAGCGGCCTGTGGATGTGCCCGGGCATATCTGTCTTTCTTCCCAGCCGGCCCTCACGAATCAAGCCATGAATCGGTGGCAATGCCTAATCTATCCATTACCTATTGAGCAGACTCATGCCTACTTATGTATTCCTTTCCTCTGCTTCGCACACAGCGTGCACGCAGCTGATCGTCAAAGAACACGGTTGCATGTATGTGTGCGATACAAAAGTTACAAAGACGTTTACATGCTTCTTTCACAAATCCCCCTGTGCGCCTACCTACCTGACAGCACCGACAGGTAGTATTTTAGTCAGCATATTGTTCACATCGGGGTCCAGTGTTCTTTCCATACACCCACATTGCAGCTTTTTGTCACAGGAGGACGATGACGAGCCCTGGATCCGCGGTGAAGCCACAAGTGGCTTCTGCATCTGATTCTGTGCGCGACTCTTCACCAGTCGTCTATGTGTATGGACTAACACATAAAGTGCGCGAGCGACATTTGGATGAGATTTTTGGCTTTTATGGCGGCATTACCCGGCTGCGCCTTTATGCGCCCTTGCACGAACGACCCCATGCTTTCATTGAATACGAGAATGAAGAATGCGTAGATCGGGCTATTGCTCATATGGACCAAGGCCAAATTGACGGCGCGCGCGTCACGGTATCCGCAAACGAGCAGCGAGCACTTTGCATGCAAGATCGACGGCGGCGACCATCGCGTAGACGCTCGCACCGTCGTGACTGGGGAACGTCCCCTACAACGTTTAGCACATCAAATTATGGGCAAAGTCGATATGCTTTTGACGGATCTGATGACCGCTCGATACACCGACCACCTGTCGACCACGGATGGGGTCAGCATGCTTTGTCAGTGTCTTCGAAAGACGAGTCTTCTTCGGCGGGCAGGCGTTCTTATCCCACATCATCCTCTGACAAGTCGCCCTTGACGATGGCAGCAACAGGCTCGGAAACAACGTAGTGACATGGACAGTCATGTTGCATTCATTCCATGAGACTTGCCCATGACTATGACTTGCATATTCTATTCATCTGTCATCGTCGATGCATCTCGAACAAGGGGCATAGCACGTGGCATGACAAACTAAAACCGATCATGAGCATGTTCTTGTTGCAATCACATACCTTTTCATCGTACTCACGCAACATTTCCCCGGATAGGACTTGACGGTCTTTGACATGAGCGGAATACTCACGGGCTAGCATGTACGACTGTGCTGAGAAGAGCGCCATGACGAAAGATGTCACTAGCCAAGTTGCCCACACTGACATACCCAATGAGCCGGCCACAGCCCACCATACTGCATGCGCCGGTGAATACACACTGTATAAGAACGAGTAAGCTCCTGTCTCGCGAGACTTACGTGAAAAGCCATAAAGGTGCCTCGTACACGTCCCACACGCGAAGCGTGTAAATTCGCTCCGATGTTCGGGGCACGGCGACCCGGACTGGCGGCGGAGGAACGAACCACTCCACAATGGGTATCTGTCGAGCGGCAATGCATGCCGTGTCACGAGCCCACGTGTGCCATGAGCGACGAGGTAGTGGATCTGTGGGAGGAAGTTCTAATGTTGCATGCGGATTTCGAAGTACATCCTGTCACGCGTGAGCCACAAGAAACGATCCCCACGTACATGCTCATCTCGATACCATAACCGATACGTTCGGCGCTTCGAAAATAATACGTAGGCGTTGTAAACAGCCAGAATCACAAGAGCAAGTGATATCATGCGTGACTGGACATCGACATCGCAAGTTAGCGCACATGAACTCATAGAATGTGAGAAGCAAACCAGAAAAGGGAGATGGCCGTCTTAGCTTACCATGTATGAGAGAGCGGCAGTGCGTCGCTGAACAACAAGTCGACCAATATAGGTAGAATATGACCCAGCGGCATGCGAGTCATTCGGACGTCGCGCGGTCGATGGCGGGCTGGCAAATAGGTGTGAATGAGCTTGGCGCTGCAAGGACTGCTGCGTGAAGAGAAACGATGTGCCAGGAAGTAATAGCTGAGATCCAAGTGAAATGACATGCATACAAGCGCCAATCGGACATCCCATTTCTTGCTCGTGTACAAGTGCCTCGAGATCCATCCACATGCTTTGAACAGAACCCATCAACACACTGGGTAGCTGCTCCCAGACATCCCACCATGTGTTTTCCCTGGGCTCGGGGTGTCCTAGATCATGCGTGCTTTTTTCTTCTGGACTTAGTGCGACACTCGGGCTTGCCCATGCACCTTTGCGCTGCAGTGGGGATGACGCAAACTTTGCCATGGGGCGTCGATATACACTAGACGCACGTGGCGTCACCGGCGGTGCGTCATCAAAAACGGCCCTCCTGATGAGCGGCGAGGAATGTGGATATGACATGCGCACATCATCGCACATATCACATTTTTTTCGCGTCATTGTTTCGTGTACCATCTCCAGAGCCTGCACCTAACAAGATGGATCGCCAAAACAAGATGTTGAGTGTGCAACTCGTATGGATGTACTCCTTGCCGTGAGCGAAAGTGACACTTCGTACATATGTGGAGGCTATCGACAATCTAAGAGACGCGCGGCTCGATCCGAGAAGCACGTGCCAGATCGAGAGACTTCGCCATTTGCCACAGGTCCGCTGAGAGCTCGGTGCAGCCATGTGACAAGCTTAGCAAGCGAGCGGTGCTGAGGCACCGCTGCAAGTCGTTTTGATCAAAAGAGCCGCGCGAGTCGCGTCGCAATGCAACAAAGTCATTTTGGATCTGCTCTGATACATGGGTCGGTATCGAAAATGTCAGTTGACGAGCGTGTGCCAAGTAAACTCGCATAGCATGTAGCGTCGAAGGTGAGGGTATCGATGATTGCGATAGGTGTGCAGAATTTTGTGTCGTATTTCGCTGGGCTTCTGAGTGAACTTGAACATCGGCAGGCAAGATCGATTTGCCTTGGCTCAAGATAATAAAAACAAGATCCGCCGGTAAATCCATTTCTGAGTAAGGAAAGACACAAGGCAATGTGTGATATTGCAAGAGAGAGAGCAAAGCACGAATATTTTTCACACCTGCCTCATTCAGTTCGCCCTCATCCATTTTTGTCTCATCCAAAATCAAGCAGGTCCCAGGTGCGAGTTGAAGACGGCCGGCCTGGATCCCCGAGTCCGTGCCGCGAACATACAATGGTTGAGTTGGGTCGTTTAGGGAGCCTACGCTCAAGGGCTGACACACAACCGCAGGCATCAGCTGTCGTAACGTTTCCACTAGCCGCAATTGTACATGTTCCAAGCCTGTAAGATTAACAGAAAAGGGCCCAATGATTATCCCATTTCGACGAATGTGGACTTTTCCCAGAAGAGCCAAAAGCACATACTCAGCCATAAGCATATCTCCATCAAGTGCCTGAGCAAGAAAGCGGATGAGTGCATTCCGCACATCAGAGGTCGTGGTCCCCAAAGGGGCGAATGTTGTCGACAAAGCTGTAGAGCTCATGGATCCTGCGACCAACGGTGGCGCATGGCGAACGCAGAGTGTGTGTACACATGGCAAGGCAGGTGCACGAGCTGCTGCAAATTCGGAGATATCCAAATCCCAGTTGGCATCTGGCAAAGTACCGACGTCCAAGAGACCAATCATATCCAGGACGTCAGAGGTTTTAAATTTGTCAGCCAAATCAATATCATACACCTTCACGAGTGCAGTGATGTTTGAATATTCAGGGAGGGGTGTGCGCTTGGGTTCATGTTGCGACTGTTCCACACGCATATTGTTCATAGAAGAGGTGATTGAGGCTGTAGTGGCCGCTGGTGCACCAAACGCATGCTCGTAGGCCCAGTGCGTCTCCCCTGGTATTGATACACCACACAGCACGGCACGTTCACCAAGATGCGCAGGGTCCGTTGAGCCTTGACCTTGAACAGCATCTACATGGTTTGCCTCGGCTCCGTACAGACCACATACATTGCGTCCATCCAACGGTAGAGTGGCGAAACAAAGCTCGTTTCCGAGCTAGCTGAGTCAGTATCAAACTTGAAGATTTGATTAAGAACATACACTTGTGTCCTGAATCATACATCGCCATCGCACGAGTATGCCTGATTCACGTGCCTGAGTGTCTTGTGACGAATTCACGACGCAAGATATGATAGCTGGTTCCAAGTACGGAATCTTTCACGTGTTGGTAAGCAAATTGAGGAGAAACTTTCCACGAACCTGATTGAGAAGTGCAGGGTCAGACCAGACGCGACTGAACTGTGAGCTTATTACACTGATACATTCGCTTAAAGACGACGTTTGTTCTGTTCATAGCCATTAGCAACATATACAGCCTCTCACACGTACGAAACTGTTCTTCAATAATCTTTCGCGGTTGGGTCAATAGGTGCTCCTGCACTGGCTCTGTCGGCACCATTACGCGTAGTTGTAGAGTAAGCTATGTATGGGCTGCATGCATACCACTCCATCTACACGAATTCAGGGCAGTACCGCAATTTCATTTTGAGACATGCGTCGTCAGATTGACCAACCAGCTGACTAAGAAATAACTTTACCAAGAGGCGGTAAGCAGGGTGTTGTTCTACAAATGGTTACTTATCCTCAAGGATAGTGATAACAATGAAAACACCGAGCGGTCAGGACTTGCTCGTAACTTTATGGGTTACCATGGTGCATGATATGGGCTTGCGATGCCTCATTTTTGATTTTGGCCGCATCAGAGGGCTTGCCTTGCGGACCGTACTGCACGGTTAGCGAACGACTCATGCAACACATACTTTTGCTTGATAATCTTTCTCACGTCGGAATAGCAGAATGTGCGGCTCAGGGGCTGTATTCAAGTAATGCAAATAATGGAACAAGGTGTTAGCAACTGGCTCAAAGGCATCCAATATCCAACGCACGTACCGTGAACCTCATAATGTTCCCAGCCGAGACTTTGTGTGATGCCAATTCCTCGCCACTCCGCATCTGACAAAATTCGAAGCACACCAGGCTCCTCAGGATCAAAATAGCTCTTGGGAATGCGCTTAAGAAACGGCTTCGGTAATATCACATGGCTTCGCACGCGTTAGCTCATCACTCATCGACACACATACCGATATTCCCAGTTATCATCTGAATACTTTTCCGAGTAGTGTATGCTAAACAGGTTAATCAGGCTGGTAAACCCACACATTATACACATACCGGTCCACATACTCCTCGAACGTTGGTTCGTTGGACATGATATAACGAAATTATTACGGTGCGTGATGGCTCGGTTTATACCGTGCGCGCGTTTCGCAATATTAGTCGTGAATATCTTCACGTGGACACCACGTGGAGATCCATCACATGACAGTGAGTGTCGGGATCTTGTGCCCGTGCGTGTGCGCTTGATGACTCTTCCACGGACTACGTTCATCCAGCATGCCAGTCGAAACACACCCGCCACCTTATATGACCCTCAACACTGGAGCGAAGGTCTCCATGGTTGGTCTTGGTTGCTACAGCCCTGATGACCCTAAGCAGATCATTGATGGCATCAGGGCCGCCACGAAGGATGGCTACACTCACTTCGACACTGCCTCGTTCTACGAAAACGAAGAGGTCGTCGGTGAAGGTCTCCGCCAAAGTGGTGTACCTCGTGAGAAGCTTTTCGTGACCACCAAGCTCTATAACTTCGACCACCACAATGTCGAAGAGGCCTTTGACAAGTCGTTTGCTAAGTTGAACGTCGAGTACATTGACATGTATCTGATGCACTGGCCTCAAGCGACTAAGCCGGGTCACCATTTTATTGCAGACGATACCATTGATTTCGTCCAGACTTGGAAGGCTATGGAGAAGCTTTTCGAGACTCGTCCAGGCAAGATCAAGGGTATTGGTGTTAGCAACTTTAGTATCAAGACGCTAACCGAGCTGTTGAAGCATGCGAAGATTGTCCCGGCTATGAACGAGATCGAGACTCACCCGTACAACCAAGACCCCGAGCTTTTGGAGTTCTGCCGCGAAAAGGGTATCGTTGTCTCAGCCTACACTCCTCTAGGACAGGCTGGTTCGCCGATTCTCAAAGATCAAGACATTATTTCTATCGCTAATGAAATCGGTGATGACGTCACGCCCGCCAAGGTTGTGTTGAGCTGGAACGTGCAGCGTGGTGTGATTATTCTTCCCAAGAGCTCAAACCCTGTTCGCGTTAAGCAGAACGCTGAGCTCATCACCCTTAGTGAGGATCACATGCAGCGCATCAACAACATCTCGAAAGACCCCGCTCGTCGTCAGCGCTTCGCGCTTACGTACGACAACAAAACGCAGACGGTGTTTGGTTGGACGTTCGAGCAGCTTGGCTGGGAGAAGCCCGCCCACATGTCGACGCTTGAGTAAATCTCCGCAAGGAATGGGAGAGTTGCTTGCGTTCGCGAATGTGATTTGCTCGAGTTTCAAACGCGTAGTCCCCGATGCAGGGTCTAGGGTTGTGAATACACGTGATTGGTTGCACACGGTATCGACGGTGCGCCCGTACTTCCTAGTTCCCGTAACTTATAGTTCTTCTATACTGCTCTACAATAGTAACAAATTGTAAACAGTCTACTACCACTGTCCTGGAAGATGACAAGCGATACTCAAGTTCCCCCTTATATGACGTTGAACAATGGACAGAAGGTATCGTCCATTGCTCTCGGCTGCTACAACCCTGACGATCCGCCAGGTATCGTACACGGTATCGAAGCTGCTGTCAAGGTCGGATACACGCATTTTGACGATGCTGCGTTATATAAGAATGAGAAAGAAGTTGGCGATGCATTGCGTGCGAGTGGCATTCCACGTGAAAAACTTTTCGTAACTACCAAGATTTGGAACTTTGATCATCGTAATGTAGAAGCGGCTTTCGACAGGTCGTTCGACGCTCTCAATCTCGGTTACATTGACATGTACTTGCTTCACTGGCCACAGGCAAATGTACCGGGGGAGAAACATATTGTGGATGATTCAATTAGTTTCGTTGATACTTGGAAGGCTATGGAGAAGCTCCTCGAAACACGGGCCGGCAAAGTCAAAGGCATCGGTGTCAGTAACTTCAGTCTAAAGAATCTCACGGAGCTCTTGAAGCATGCGAAGGTGGTGCCTGCAATGAACCAGGTCGAGACACATCCATACAATCAGGAGTCTGATCTAGTCAAGTTTTGCCAAGAAAAGGGCATTCTTGTCACGGCGTACTCGCCGTTGGGTCTCACCAACTCGCCGATTCTCAAAGATGAAGATGTTATTGCGATTTCCAAAGAGATCGGAAACGGTGTTACGCCAGCAAATGTTGTGCTTAACTGGAATGTGCAACGTGGTGTGGCTGTGCTCCCAAAGAGCATCAATGCTGATCGTGTGAAGGAGAACTTCCGCATTGTGCATCTGACAGACGAACAAATGCAGCGCCTGAACGACATTAGCAAGGATCCGAAGCGCCGCTTCCAGCGCACTTGTCCCGTCTACAATGAGGATACAAAGAAGGTGTTGGGCTGGACGTACGATCAGCTTGGTTGGGATAAACCGATCCAGATGACTCAGGCCTGAGGCTATTTAGCCCAAGACATGTCGACACTGCATGACTTGATGCGCAATGAGCTTCGTTTATCTATTCAGCTGGATTTATAGATGTTGGTCCGTGCGGCAGCCATCGATTCTTGCACGTGATTTGAAGCACAGCACCCACGAATGCAGACGTTTGTGGGCCGCTGGCGCAACGACGATTGAATAGATGAAGACACTATTCGTATCTTGATATTCTTACCATCATATCGAGATCCCAAGACAAAACCTGCTTTTGAACCGATGAGTGCAGATACATACTCGCCACCGCATGCCACACTCAACACAGGAGCCAAAGTGTCCATGGTGGCACTCGGTTGCTTTAATGACAAGGATCCAAATGGCATCGTGCCTGGAATTGAAGCGGCCACCAAGGTTGGCTACACACACTTTGACACGGCCACGTTCTACCAGAATGAAAACGCAGTTGGAGCAACTCTCCGCGCAAGCAGAATTCCTCGCGAGTCATTGTTTGTGACGACAAAGCTGTCGAACTTTGATCACCACCGTGTCGAGGAGGCATTTGATAAGTCCCTGAACGAACTGGGCTTGGACTATATCGACATGTATCTGATGCACTGGCCTCAAGCTAACAAGGATGGTGACTTTTTTGCGACGGATGATACGATCAGCTTTGTCGACACGTGGAGACAAATGGAAAAGTTGCTCGACTCCCGCGCAGGCAAAGTCAAAGCTATCGGTGTTAGCAACTTCAGCTTGAAAAACTTGACCGAGCTGTTGAAGTATGCCAGGATTGTGCCTGCTATGAACCAGATCGAAACACACCCGTACAACCAAGATCGAGAACTAGTACAGTTCTGCCAGGACAAAGGCATTGTCGTGTCGGCATACTCGCCCCTTGGTTTTGCGAACTCGCCCATGCTTCAAGACCAAGATATTGTCTCTGTTGCTGAAGAACTGGGACATGGGATCACACCTGCTAATGTCTTGTTAAGCTGGAATGTCCAACGCGGCGTCGTTGTCTTGCCGAAGAGTTCGCATGCCGAGCGTGTGAAAGAGAATTTCCGTCTCGTGCGCCTCAACGCTGCGCAAGTGCAAAAAATTGACAATATTTCCAATGATCCTAAGCGTCGACATCAGCGTCTCTGCACACTCTACGACTCCAAGACCAACACATGCTTGGGCTGGACGTATGAGCAGCTTGGCTGGGAAATCCCGCCTGTTAAGCCTGCACTTTCGTAAAGATAGTCATAGAAGCACCTCCTGCTACGATCTGCTGCTCGGCATTTGAGAATGTGCGTTCTTTACCATCCCAAGCCCTCCCACGCACGTTGCTTCGTTCAACGAGCAACAAGCGTTGTGGCAGGTCTTCTGGCTCTGGTGGTGTCTCCTCTTCCGTCTCAGTTCCTTCACTTTCGGTTTTGGTCGATTTACCAGTCAGTCCAGTCGTCTTCGTTGACGATGGCATATGCATCATCAATGCAGGTACAGCAGTGTGCCCTTTACCACCGGATCCTAGCTGAGAGGAGTCGTTGTTCCCCCACACATAGACATCGCGACGAGTTTCAGCCTGGTCAAGGGAGGGCGCTTCCATAACAAGTGCACATTGCCCACTTGATCCGACACTCAATGAATGCACATCAATCGGACTTAGGCGCTTCTCGCGCTCTGAATATTCGTACAGACCTGAAAGGTTCTTGACCCGCATCGGAACGCCACACGCCTGACTACGCTGACCACTGCCAAGAGTGCCTCGCTGGCCGCCACCAACTGCCAATACGTCAATTCGCACATTGGGCTTCGAGCCTTTGTCATCAGGATGTATTGGGGCATCTCGGCTGCGAACCACGAAGAACGTGTTGGACCCACCTGCAGCGATGCGAGTACACACAGCATGTCGGCCGACAATGGACACTGGCCACGACACTTCGCTTGGCACGGCAACGGTATTGAATGTCACATGGGCACCGAGCCCAAGTTGCCCATTTGCGTTGTGTCCCCATGTAAGCACGCGGCCATTGGGTGTGCGAACGACGGAATGGTGTGTGCCCGCGGCGATCTGGGCAAAGCAAATGCCCTCAAGTGACGGTACAGGTCGCAACTGTGTCGCATAACGTATATCGGAGGATGCAATCGCATCACTGGAAACATGAGAGGACGAGCCGACGGTATCGCTGCGGCGTGCCTTACGAATGACCTCCGGTTCCAGTCGCGCATCGACGAGTTTGGTTGGTTCACATTGGTGCGCTAACGCGACACGCGAGTATCCAAGCTGTCCATATTCATTCGCGTGTTCGTCGACAGGCACAGAATACACATATCCCGCACGGCTCAGTGCCAAGACATGGTGCTCGCCAGCCGCAATATCCGCAAACTTTTCGCCAGCCTTGAGCTTCACGTATTCATACGGCGACGAAAACCAGGACAATGGCGATGATGATGACGGCGATGTTGAGGCAGCTTCCTTGCGCAATTGTTTCTCGTGTTCTGCTGCGAATACATAGACATGACCCGAGCGTGAGAGGGCATATATTTTAGAGCTACAGATTTGAACACGCAGCAAATCAAGTCCAATGATCGTCTTGCGTGGTTCTGGGTGAAGCTGATCAAATCCAATGCCCCACTGGATGACATCTCCTGCGGCATCTACTGCAACGCCGACGTCATCTGATAGTTGAACATCGCGAAGCGCGACACCGTCGAATCTATCCATCTTTGCAGGATATCGTACCACCGAGGATGAAGAAGAAGGGCTCGCGACCTTACTTCTGTATGATATGAGTTGATTCGAAAAATCACGCACCTATTACGTCCCCAGGCATACAGAGAAAAAAGGGGATATCGATGTTCTGTCGACATTACGCTATCGCTGGATTCCGCCAGGTATGGCGAAAGCGCGTAGCAGCCAATCAACAACGAAGCCGTGCCAAGTACAACCGACGAAGCATATGCGCGCACAGGTCTTCCAGAGCTCCAACAGGTGCGTCGCCAGCTTGCACAGGTAGAAGCAGCAAGAAGGCGCAACATATAAAGTGGTTGTGTGCCAGCGCGCTTATAGATAAGTTGGTCTGAGAGCCGTGCACCAAAACCACGTGCCTCACAACCCGCAGGCACAGCGAACGGCTACATGCGAGGAAAAGGCTTCGGGGCAGACAGGGTCACGCAAGCGACGATCGAAGCGCCTGCGCCAACGCTTGCTCCGACGAAGTCTGTCGCGTGGCTGTCGCTTGACTGCCTATGGCGCATCACATGACTCAGATGGCCTGTGGTATTCTGTGTGGGTGTGCACCTTTGCGAGTAAAGTTGAATAGATTCCAGCACGAATCAAGGTTCCCTCAGTGGATGCTCATTGTGCCTTGGCGATTGATCCCTCGATTGACCAAGCAAGTATCCCGACCAATAGGATCTGTATTCTCGCGAAGTATGGCGACGGCAACAGCTCCACCAAAGGACTTGAGCATGGTAAAGAAGGATGCGCACCCATTTGAGCGTGCACAGCTCGAGGGTCTTATGACGAAGCGCTTCTTCTACACACAAGCGTTCGAGATTTATGGCGGTGTCGCAGGTCTTTACGACTATGGCCCAAGTGGTGCAGCTTTGCAGGCGAACATTATTTCGCACTGGCGCAACCACTTTATTATTGAAGAAGACATGCTGGAACTTGACACCACGATTATGACGTTATCGGACGTGTTGAAGACGTCTGGTCACGTCGACAAGTTCTCTGACTGGATGGTCAAGGACCTCAAGTCAGGCGACATTTACCGCGCTGACCACATGGTTGAGAATGTGCTCGAAGCGCGCCTCAAGGGCGACGAAGAAGCGCGTATGAAGGAGGCCGGGGCCGCTGCCTCGTCGGCATCGCCAGCGCCTGCCGATGACAAGAAGTCGAAGAAAAAAGCCAAGTCGGTTGCAGTGAAACTCGATGACAATGTTGCGAAAGAGTATCGCCACGTCCTCGCTCAGATTGACGATTTTGGTGGTGCGCAGCTGCATGACCTCATCAAGAAATACGACATCCGTGCGCCGGCGACGGGGAACGAAGTGTCGGAGCCGACAGAGTTCAACCTCATGTTTGAAAGCTCGATTGGTCCGACCGGTCAAACCAAAGGCTTTTTGCGTCCAGAGACAGCCCAGGGCCACTTCGTCAACTTTGAGCGCCTGCTCGACTTTAACAATGGCCGTGTGCCATTTGCTAGCGCGCAAATCGGCAAGAGCTTCAGGAACGAAATCAGTCCGCGCGCTGGTCTTCTCCGCGTGCGCGAGTTCACCATGGCAGAGATCGAGCACTTTGTCGATCCTGAGAACAAATCGCATCCGCGCTTCCACGAGGTCGAGTCGCTTGTGCTGCCATTCCTGCCGGCCCATGTGCAGAAGGCAGGAGAGACAACGATCTCGAAAATGACGCTCGGTGAGGCCGTGTCAAGTGGTATGGTCGACAACCAGACTCTCGGATACTTCCTTGGCCGCATCTTCTTGTTCCTCGAGGCTATTGGGATCAATCCGGAACGACTGCGTTTCCGCCAGCACATGGACAATGAGATGGCGCACTATGCCAGTGACTGTTGGGACACTGAGATCCATACGTCGTATGGATGGATTGAATGCGTTGGCTGTGCGGACCGCAGCGCATTTGACCTGACCATGCATAGCCAGAGGACAAAGCACGACCTCATGGTGCAGGAGCCGCTTAAGGAGCCAAAGGTGTATCAAAAGTACGTGCCAACGATCAACAAAAAGGTCTTGGGGCCCTTTTTCAAGAAGAATGCCAAGGTGATTGAGGACACCATCCTGTCGATGGGTCAGGAATGTCTGCGGAAGATGCAGAATGATCTCGAGTCCAGCGGCAAGGCACCTCTTCAAGCGAACAATGAGACATTTGAAGTCACGAAAGAGCACGTGCAAATTGAGTACAAGACGATCAAAGAGAGCGTGCGAAACTTTATTCCGAATGTCATCGAACCTTCGTTCGGTCTGGGCCGCATTTTCTATGCGCTACTTGAGCACTCATTCTGGGCCCGCGAGGAGGACAAGGAGCGTGGTGTTCTGAGTCTGCCACCGCTCGTCGCTCCATTCAAGGTATTGATCGTCCCAATCAGTTCGAATGAGCAGCTTTCACCGATGGCGCGCGATATCAGCAAGAAGCTGCGCTCGCTCAACATTGCCTCTCGCATTGATGACAGTAACGCTACGATTGGTCGCCGTTACGCACGCAACGATGAACTGGGCACGCCGTTCGCTTGCACTATTGATTTTGCTTCCGTAAGCAAAGGCACCATCACACTGCGCGAGCGCGACACGACGCTGCAACGGATTGGCACCGTGGACCAAGTCATTGACGTCGTTGCGCGCCTGTGCAGTGGCCGACTTGACTGGAATGGCGCGTGCCAGATCCTCCCTGCTTACACAGGCACACAGGATATCGAAGCCGAAAAATAGAATGAAATGTGATAGGTAGAAGTGCAAGAAAGAGAACCTGGCCGCAACGTATCTATGAGGTAGAGTGCTGTAAGTGAGGGACTGATGGTTCTGGCAAGCTGCTTTTCCCCAACCGAGCGTCGTACCTCCACTAGCACATGCCCTGATCGCGAGAGAGCGAGAGAGAGAGAGGGAGGGGTCACTGACTCGGCCGACAAAGATACACAGAATAACACTTTCGTCGTTGAGACATTCGCCCGCTCGGCGACTAGACACGCTTCATAACCATATTTCCAACACACGCCCTAGTGGCAAGAAAAGCCTTTGAATACGGCGTCCCAAAACAGTGTTCCCCGTTCACAGAGGTGTGTACATGTACACTGACCAATGGTAGCTTCGCTAAGCAGCGAGGTCTCTTTCAAATGGCCACGCCTATCCGGGAGATAGAAGCTGGCATCGATGCTGTGAAAGAACAGACATACGCGGCCGGCCTCCTGGGTCAGGGTTTGCTGGAGCATCAGCGCATGCTTGAGGCTCTATTGGAGGAACTTAATGATCCTTCGCAGGGTGATCAGTCGACAGAGATTGCTGAGCGTGTGCAAGCAGAGCTGCAAGATCTCCAGGAGCAGCGCGATCGAATGTTTCATGAAATAAGCTCCACGCTCACATTTGCCGCGCCCCGCCCAAGTATCACGCGTCAGTTGCAGTTTGGATTCTCGCCCAGCCCCTCATTTAAATCGCGTGAAGAACTCGACAAATTACGACAGGGTAAGGCCGATGCGGAAAAGCATTTTGAGGCTATGAAGGCACGCGTGCTGGAACTTGAGCGTAAACACGAAGTCTTCAAGCAGGAGAACTGGGACTTGTACGTAATGCAGCAGCAGCTGGAAGAGAAACTGGCGTCGCGCTCCACCGCACAAAGTAGGGCCGAACTCGATCGGCAGCGTCTCGGCAAGGAGCTGGAAAAGCTGCGAGAGTCATTGGAGCATCAACGAGCACAGTTTGAAGAGAATGAAGAAGCATTACGCAAGCTCCGAAAACAGCGCGAGACGGAGGATGCGTCGAGTCGTCGGGAGCGCGCTGGCTTTCGGCGGAACATTTCTGACCTTCATGGCCAGATTAAACGACTTCAGTCCGACCAACCTGCCCAGGTGCCGGCTCTTCCCGCCCAAATTGATGAAGAAGTGCCCGAAACGACAACGTCCAATGAGCATGCGTCGAATGAACGCTCACTACGTAAACGGCTCTCGCTTCAAGACGGCGACTCTAGTCACGATACGTCAGGTGTGATAAGAGACGCGTTGCCATTCAACGCGGAAGCCGATGAGCTTCGATCGAAACTCAGTATGGCTATCAAGCGACTAGGTCGTGACAATCAACAGCAACGGAAACTTCGTGAGCAAATTTCCGAGTTACGCAAACTGCTCACTAGGGCAGGAGTCTCACCGCCAGCTGAAGAGGCCAGTGAAGATGGTGACGACGATGATGACGAAGACGATGCATGGATAATGGAGGCGGCTGAGAAGCCTGAGTCACCAAAGCCACGACGCCGCCTGCGTCGGCATGCGCAACCTCGCATTATCTCGCGAGGCCCGTCGTCGAATGCCGCTGTTATGCCAACAAGCGAGTGGCTCGATGCGTCCTTCGGCGACGATAGTGTCATTATTCGAGAGCCCAACTTGGACTCGACTACGGCTAATCTGTTGAGTGACATGCCGAATGCGTCGGCAGAGAACTTGAAACCGTTCGTTGGCGCAACCGCTGGTGACTTGGGAAGCGAGCTCGATGCCGAAGGATACAGCACGAAACCAGACATGCTGGACGTGAACACTATGACGGATGTGCATCCAGCGGAGTCTGAACTACAGGAAGCTCGTGCATCATTCGAATCGGATGTGCAAGAGCTGAAGCAAGCCCACCAAGCTGATATGGACGGCTTGCGCGCCAAGCATGAGGACGAATTGACGTCGTTATCAGCTGCGCACGAAAAGGTTCTGCAGAACAAGGCTGCAGAGCTTGCTTCTGCTCTCGATGCGCTCCGCAAGGATCATGCCTCAGAGCTTCAACATACCCGGAATCAGCACCAGGATGAGATGAAGGCATACGGTGCTTCTCAGTCAGAGGCTGTAGCTTCAATCAGGTCTGAGCATGCTAAGGTGATAAAACAGCTGGAGAAGAAACACTTCGACGCCCTTGCGTCGCAAAAGAAGGAACACGCCAAGACTCTAGCTGACCTGACAAAGAAGCACGAGGCCGAAGCGAAGTCCAGCACGTCAAAACATACGCAGGCATTGACGAGCCTCAAGCAGCAGCAAGAAAAAGAGATCGCAACACAGAGATCAGAGCTGGATGCAGTGATCAAAAAGCTCGAGAAAGAACATGAGACCGCCTTAGCCTCTTGCAAGCAAACACACGAAAAGGCCACAGACGACGCCAAAGCGAAGCATGACGAAGGCTTGCGAGCACTGAAGGAATCACATGCGAATGAATTGACACGGCTAAAAGATCAGTTATCCAAGGCCCACGCCAAAGAATTGTCGGAGCAAGAAGCCAAGCTCAGAGGGGCGCTGAGTGATGCAGAGAAGCGCCACGATGATGCTTTGGCGCAGCTTCAAAAGGAGCACGCGACAGTTTTGTCGTCTCGTGGCACAGAGCACAACGAAATGATCGCCAAGCTAAAAAACGAACATGCATCCGCTCTAAGCACTAGGGACAGTGAGCATGAAAAAGCCATTGCGACATTGAAACAGACTCACTCGGACGCGTTGTCATCACGAGGCAGAGATTATGAGGATGCGGTAACGAAACTGAAGGAAGAGCACGCCGCGGCTCTTGCATCACACGAAAAGACCCACGAGGAGAACCTCGCCGACCTAAAGGCAGAACATACATCATTCGTCAACTCGCGAAAGAAGGAATATGACGAGGCCATGGCTAAGCTGAAAGAAGAGCACGCGTCGTTGTTGGCGACGACCGGCTCAGATCACGCGCAGTCACTCACGACGCTAAAAGAAGCGCATGCGTCCGAACTCTCCTCGCGCAGCAAGGAGCATGAAGAAGCAGTCACTAAACTGCGAGAGCAGCATGCGTCCGAGTTGGCGTCGCGGCGTCAGGCGCATGACGCGTCTATTGCGAAGCTGAAGGACGAGCGTGATCAGGAGTTGTCCACACTGAAGAAGCAGCATGCGTCTGAGCTCGCCGCTCGCGCCAAGGAGCATGACGACGCTGTTACCAAGCTCAAGACACAGCAAGAAGACACGCTCGTACTTCGCAACAGGAGCCATGAGGAAGCTATTGCTAGGCTAAAGGATGAGCATGACAGGGCCATCTCCAAGCTGAAGGAAGAGCACGCGTCGGCATTGACGGCTTGGAGAAAAGAACATGACATGGCGCTCACCGAACTGAAGGAAGAGCATGCATCGGCTTTGACGGCTCGGAGCCAAGATCACGACAAGGCCATCTCCAAGCTAAAAGAAGAACATGCGTCAGCGCTGGCCTCCCTCGGCAAGGAGCACGACAAGGCGCTTGCCAAGCTGAGAAAGGAGCATGGCTCCGCGCTCGCATCTCGGAACAAAGAACACAGCAGTGCGCTTGACCAGCTCAAGGAAGGGCACGCCTCGAACCTGCGCGCTGAAGTGCAGAAGCATGAGCAGGTCGTCTCGAAGCTGAAGGATGAGCATGCAACGGCGTTGGCCAATCGAGACAGAGATCAAGCAGAAGCGATTTCTGGGCTGGAAGCGAAACACAGGGAAGAGACACGAAGCCTGGGCGACCAGCATGCAAAGGAGCAAGCAAACATGAACAAGAAGCTCAAGGAGATGCAAGAGCAAAGTTCGAGGAACAGTCAGCAGCTGACGGCAATGCGCGAGGAACATGCAGCGGAGCTGGAGGCCAAAGCCAATGAGCACAAAGACGCCATCGCATCGTTGGAGGGCATGCATGTGGACGCGCGCAAGGAGCTTGAAAAGACACATGCCGCTGAGCTTGAACAGACGGAAGCGAAGCTGTCGAAGGCGCTGGAGGCCAAGGAGAAGGAGCACGCGAATGCCTTGGCGACACTGTCTGAAAAGCATGCGGCAGAGTTGGACGCACAGCGCAGAGCATTTGCTGAAGACCGGGCCACTTGGGATCAGAAGCAAGCCTCGTCAGAAGATGCGCACGTGTCGGCGATAACCAAGCTGAAGGAAGAGCTTGCTGCCAAGATTGCGCATCACGCGAAGGACGTGGAAGCGCTGCAGCAGCTGAACGAACAACATGCTCGCCAAATCGAGGACCTGATCGCGAAGCACAAAGTCGAGTTGGCTACGAGAGACAAGACGCATGAGGACGCGAAGAAGGCTTTGCAAACTGCGCTGGACGAAAGCAAGGCAGCAGACCTACATGCCATGGAGGAGAAGCATGCTACAGAGATGCAGGCGATGAAGGACGAGCACAACCGAGCACTCGAAGAACACAAGCTCGCTCTTGATGCACAGCATGCTCGCGAGATGGCGTCTTTGAAGCAGCGCCACGAGCAAGAGCTTGCTACGCAGATTGCCAGCCGGGAAAAGGCACTTTCCTCAGATAAGCAAGCCGTTCTCGACGAGGCGCGAAAGGCCGTCGATGCGCTCAAAAAGGCGCACGCAGAAGAGCTGGCACAGTGCGATGCCAGGCTGCGAAGTGAACTTGCGTCGCTTGAAGAGCGTCTCCGGTCCCAGCACACACAGGCCATGGCGTCCTTGCGCGATACGCACGAGAAAGCGCTCGTGGAACTGAAGCGGCATGCTGCAGACGAACTGGCAGCAGCGACGGACGCGCTTGAAAAGCAGCGCGTCAGTGAACTGGAAGAACAGCGGCGTGTGGCGGCCCGAAGCACACGAGAACGAGCTCGATGCCCTGCAGACAGAGCACGCACAGGAGCGCCAGTCTCTTGCTGATCAGCATGTGCAGGAGCTCAACGACTGCAAGACGTCACTCACGCGCGCTCATGCGGCTGAGCTTGATTCCCTCCAGAACGCACTCGAGCGCCGCATCCAAGAGCTAGAGCAGGTCCAGACACACACGCACGAGGAGCATGCAGCGAAGCTTGCTGAGCTGAACGAGCGCCGTGAGCATGCGCTCGCGGAAGCGACGAAGCAGGCGCGCGAGCACACGGACGAAGCAGTGTCGACGGCGCTTGCGTCGCGTGATGCTGAGCATGCCAAGCAGCTTGAGATGCTGAAGGACGCACATGCAGCAGAGACACGCGAGCTGCAGGCGAGTCGTGCGGCACTGGCGGATGTCGAGACGCAGCTGGAGAAGGCGCGTGAGGAGCTCAGTGCGTTCGTGTCAGAGAGCGAAGAGAAACTGAGCGCGCAGGACAAGGAACATCAAGCGACGCTCGAGCAGCTTCGGACCCAGCATGCATCGGAGCTGGCCTCTCTCCAGTCCACATTGGACCGTGAGCGAGAAACGCATCTGGCCGAGCAACAAAAGGCGATCGATGCTCTGCAGAAGGAGCACAAGAGCGCGGTCACGAGTCTGATCGTGAAGCACGAGTCCCGCATAGCCGCCGCCCGAGACGAGCGCCTGCATTCAGCCGAGGCGACGATTGGTCAGCTGCAGTCACGGCGGAACTTGGCCGACAAGGAGCACTCAACCTGGCGTGAGGCTCTCGAGAAGGAGCATGCACAGAAACTAGGCGCGCTCACACATGAACACGAGTCGGTACTCGATGCACTTCGACTCGAGCACGAGTCCGAGCTTCAGCACGCACAGACGCAGCACAGCGACGCGCTTGACGCATTGAAGAAGGAGCATGCGTCACACGTTGCATCGTTGGGCTTGGAGAACGAAGAGGCGATCAAGGCGTTGGCTGCTACGCATGCACAGGAACTGAACGACCGACTGCGCTCGCTCGAACACCAGCATGCCGAGCGTCTTGCGTCGATGAGTGCGGCGCACGAGGAAGCGATCCGGTCAGCGCACAGCGAGCAGGCAAAGCAGCGAGAGGCGCTCCACGATGCCGAGATGCGTCTGCACCTCCTGACATCGAAAGTCGCTGAGGCACAGAATGCCCTCGCTGAGATGCGCAACGAGGCAGCAGAGCATCGCGCAGCGGCCGAAGAAGCTCGTGCCAAGCTGATCGATCAGTCGGTCCTGCATCCCGACACCACAGGAGCCACAACGTCTTCCGCACCCGATGGCGATGACACGTTGCGTGCTGCAGAACATGCATCACAGCTGCAGGCATCACAAGACCGCGCAGAGCACTATATGGCCCTTGCATCCGAGTTGCGCAAGCAGCTGTCGCTCAAAGAGGCTGAAATGAACGCTGCGTTGCGTGCCAAGGAGCGCGAGCACGAGGCGCCACTCGCCGAGCTCGCTGACATCCAGGCTGAACGAGCGCACCTCCTGCAACAAGTCGTTGAGCTGTCTGCACAGCTCCGAGAAGCCCGTGCAGCAGCGGCAATGACGCGCGCGCCCTCGCTCTCTAGTGTAGCGGGAGCAGCACCAGCCCTGTCGTGGGCTGGCTCGCAGGCGACTATGTCGCGCTCGCCGTCGACTGTGACGAGTTTGTACGCGTCACCCGAGGGCTCGCGTGGACATGGTTCGTCGGTTGGCGACGATCACGGCGAAGCTGACGTGCCTGCCTGGGTCGGCGGCCAAGCATCGATGCCCGTGTTGTTGCCTGGCCACATGAACAACATTGATCCTGAGGTGGCTGACGCCATCATCCAGTGCATGCGAGGCGAGTGGCTGTACAAGTATGCACCACAGCGACGGCTGCTTGGCGCAGAGCGTCGGCACAAGCGCTACTTCTTTATCAACCCTTTTAATCGGACCATTCACTGGACGTCGGAGGAGCCGAAGGCCTCGGCCGGCCACGTCGCTCGCTCGAAGAACGCGTTCATTGAGCAAGTGGCCCTGATGGACGACTACAATTCAAATCCATCTGGCCTGTACTATCAAACGATCGTGATCCGCTCTGGCCACCGGGAAGTCAAAGTGACAGCACCATCCAAGGTTCGACACCGTATTTGGTGCACGGCGCTTGGATACCTGCTGCAGTCAAGTGATTCACCCGTCATGGGTGTGAGTGCCGCGAGTTCCGACGGCACGCGAGTCTCGATTCCCGTCGAGCTCGGCGGTCGCGGCCCCACGACCAGTCGTTCCAAGACCCTCCTTCACCGTACACAGTCGCTCCGCAACACGGCCAACACGCGCCTCCGTGCCTTGGGATCGGCCTCTACATTAGCTTCAACGTCAAGCTCAGCTGCTCCGGCTGCTGAGCACCATGGTCCATCTTCGCCGTTGTCCACACGCATATCCACACAGGCAGCGCCGTCATCCCCGTATGCCGCACCTGCACAACCGACAAGGGAGTCCACGGCGCCATCATCGTCCCGTTTGTCGCTCGTTACTCGGTCCATGCACCTCCCGCGTTCGCCTTTCTCTTCCTCGTCGGCGACTGCGTCCTCTGTGCATCCAGTCGTCAACGAACATCCACACCCAGCGGCAGGAACGCAACAACGCATACCGAGTGCCTGGCGCTCAACTCGCCGGTCCAATCCTGATAAACGTGTGCTGAGCGGACCAGGTGCTGCGCCGCCTGTACATGCCGCTGGTATCATGGAGTCGCAAGCGGCCGAGGTGATTCACAACCTACCACCACCCGTTCAGGCTCCACCAGCCATTGTATCAACATCGACGCCGTCGAAGCAAAGTACGCGAAAATCACGATGGTGGTGAACGGACCGGCCGCCTACAAACGTAACGTGTAATCAAATAGACCAACCCAGCGTTGTTGCTAATTTCTATGAACAACTCGTCTTCCGGGTCCACCTTTTATATTCGCGCTTGTCCGACTAGCTCGGTTGTTGCTATGGTTCTAATCTCGAGCGCTTGTAGTGTTGTTGTTGGCGCCCGTGCGTGTTTTCGTAGGATTGATTTGCACAGTATACTAATACAAGCCACCCTTCCTTGTTTCTACCCTTTTTTCCTCCGTTTTTCCGCTACGCCTTCAGCAGGCTTCCGTTTTATCTATGCTACACGCGTTGACTGCGTCGGCAAGATACCATAGCGTTTTTTGATCGTAATGCGGTGACGAGAAAACTTGTCATCAGGCGAAAACCGAGCAGGGTGTGCGGATCGCGTCATTACCCCGCTGTCCGTCACCTTCTTCAAAGTATACTGGCGCTTCCCATCCTATTTGTGTCAGTTGCTCCTGCACAGACATAACGTACAGGTCCAATTGTATACATCAAATGCATCGTGATTGACAATCGAGATGACAAGTGTCAGATGGAGAAAAATCTCCTCTCCGTCCACATTTGTTAGCCCAACTTGCCACCCACCTTCAGGCTCGCGCCAAGCGACCCCTGCCCCTCCATCACACGTATGCTGACTCAGCAGATTGGCCGAGTCGGAAGCCGCTGGCGGCCGGCGGCGAAAAGCAACAGACAAGCCACGAGCGAGCAACACACACACAAGCTTCTCAAGACCGGACGCGACGGCCTGTGTCGTTATTCTTGCAGCTCCCGCTGGAATCCGACACACTGAGCAGTATGTGGCGTGTTCTGGCACATTCCCTATTCCTTGTGCTAGCACTGCTGCTGAGCTTGTGTGACAACGCGCATGCAATCAAGTTCGAACTCATCGCCAGCAAAAACCCCAAGCCTCTGTGTATATGGAACTATGCTTTAGCAGACACGCTCGCCATTATCTCAATCAACGTGGTCCCACGCGACCCTAAAACGGAAAACGACCAAAGGATCGACGTTCGCGTCGTCGATCGGACTCACCACAGCGTGTACCTGAACAAGAAAGGCCTTCAAGGCGAAACTCGACTCGCAATCAACACGCATCACAACGCCGACTTGGGCGTATGTCTCTCAAACCATGGAAGTCGCGATCATATCCTGTCCGATGTTGATCTGGACGTGCATCTCGGTGGCGAAGCCATCGACTATAATGCTATTGCAAACCAAGAGTCGCTTTCGGGCATGGAGACGGAACTGCGCAAACTCGCTGCTATTGCTGACGAAATCCTAGAAGAGATGGAATACCTGAAACAGCGGGAGATGCGCATGAGCAGTACGCAGGTGTCCACTCACCACCGCGTCCATGGATTCTCGTGGCTCTTGATCTTCTCGGTCATTGGATTGGGTGTTTGGCAAGTATATCATCTACATGGCTTCTTCAAGCGCAAATATCTTATCGACTGATGGGCAAATGTGGGTTCCGAGCGGCATGTTCACGGAAGAATGCCCGCACTGCCTCTTCACTCACTGGTTCATGGCTCTCCGCGTAGGGTCGAAGATGCTCAAATAAGGCATTCCGCAGATTCTGATAGGCATATACAGATTCAATCATTTGTGTGCGTGGAAGTCGCGACAAGGCTGCGACAGCTTGCTCATACGTCGATGATGCTGCACTATGCGTGTCTTGGTCGCTATCGTCACGACCATATTCTTGAGGCGCCTCATACGTCGCTTCTTCTTCGTACACGTATGGGTATAGCTCCTTCCATCTCATTCCGCATGAAGCACATTTACATAGTGCGTCGCGAAAGTTTGTCGTCAAAAACATGTCCATCCGATGCGTGCAGCTCTGAAGTCGTAGTATGTCTGGATGCATCTCTGATGGAGCTGTACATGCACCTGATTCAAGCCGTGCGCGTTTCACTCGTGGCATTGACTCGTCTCTCTTGGACATTCCCACTACTTGCACTTCACATTCTTTTCTTCCTTTGGGCACGATCACCTGCCATCCTGGCATACCTGCATATAAACGAAGAAGCTGTCCTTTACTGCTCCGCATGCACGTGTCGCATATCATGGTATCAAACTGGTCTTGGGAAAGAATACGCGTCTTCATCCTACCCGGACGTACCAGTGCCGTGCACGATTCATGATACCATTCCTCGCAGACAAGACACTGAAACATGTCTTCCTCTTCTGTCTCTGGATCATAATGCTTTCCGCGCTCGCATATACAAAATTTACCCTCGAAGTTTTTAGTATATGTGTTTTCTTTGTTGGCCAAGTCCCATCCTTTGCTACGCTCGAATTCTCGTAAAGTACAAGGGGAAAAGGTAGGTCCCGTAGCATCTGTTGCCAAATCACGCACTTGTTTGTTTTGGAACCTCTGATTTATGTTCGGCGTGCCGCAGTCACAGCGGAAATGTCGTCGATGAAACAGCTCGACAAGTTCGTGGTCTGCATGACAAGAAACACTGCAGCCAACACACACGCCACCGCCACCACATGTTTTACATGCATACACCAACTGGCGAAGGTATCCCAGAGAATACGTGCATTTGTCTACACTGTATGGAATTGCTTCGCTAGCTTGCGCTTCCAAGCGTTCCTGTTGCTCAATAAGCTCTTGCGCCGTGAACCCTTCTTCAGCATTGTGATGTAAAACATCAGCATCAGGATCTGGCGCATTTTTCGCTCTTGAAACGTCCGTATTAGGCTTCTGGCTTTGGTCTTTCCATAGTTTACCCATGTTTTTCACGTCATATGTAGGCCCACCGGTTCAAGTGTAAGTGTGAGTGGCACCCCTCAATGGGTGCTTGCGAAAAATGTGGGGAATTTTAACGCTACAGGAGAAAATGGCGCAAAAATCGACTTGTGAAATCAACGTCCCTCGTCGGTCCTACGTCATGTTCGGACCTTTGTTAGCAAGGCTTGCTTGTTTCATAACCTTGGCCCTGTGCACCTTGGCATATGAGAGTAAAGTAGAAGGTAAGTCTATTCATGCTAATCCGTCTCAGTGGCTCGTCAAGCTCGCACACTATTGCTTGATGAAACCACGTTCTTTGTCAGTTCCATGGGCGCGGCCAAAAATGAGTCTGTCGTCATGGCATTTGAATACTTTGCACCATGTTTCTATCACTTAGACAGTCAGGATGAAACAAATCCTGGTGATCTCCTATTTCTTGCTCTGCCCGTGTAAGTTACACAGCATGAACTACAGACTAACGTCTGTGTATAGCTCAGAGCAATGGCGTCTTGCACTCCGGCCAAATACAACAGTGACATTGGCTATAGCGTCGAGTCCTGATGTGCACGTTGTGGATCCTCGTCACGCATACATATCACCTGTTGGTCGTCTGCAATGGCTAAAGGACCGGCCTTTGTGGCGTCGTGGCATGGCATCGAAAGGCCGCATGACAATGTATGGTCGCATGCACAGAATCACACGCTCGGATGATGTGGCCTCGCTAAGCAACTGCTTCGTTAAGCATCATCCAGATGCCGAAGCATGGAAGCCAGGGGCATCTGAAAGCCCTCACACTGCCTTTTGGGTTCGATTCTCACCACATGAAATCCATTATGTGGGTGGCTTCGGGGATGAACATTTCATCGGCGCTGTAGACATGCAGCAATACCGCTCTTATGATGTAAGAATCGATGCAGATGCAACTGCATCATCGCTTTCACCTCCATCACGTTCTCTTGAGCTTCCTGTTGTCCATTTCCAATCATGAATTTAATGCATCCTTGATCTTGTGCATACGTTTTCCTAAGGGAAGCGAGTCACCCGGCTTACCAATAGCTCTGACCATTATGGTGTGTAGCGCGGCGCGCACACCAGCAAGATCGTTTTTTTTTCTTTTTTTTTTTTTCGCAGCATCAAACTAAAATGAAGATTCTGGCGGCCACAATGTGAAAGGCAGCGTATAAAGGGCTTCACGTCGTTCCATCAGAACATACACAATACCCTTATCGTAGGAAAACCCTCGTTCAGCTAGTGCATGATCATGTGCATACTCGTCTCCCGTAGGATGCAGATTTTTTGCTTGAAATAGGTTTAAACCCTTTCCATACATCGGATGTACTAGAAAAAAAGCTAACATACAATTTTCTAACGAGCTCAGAATGTGTCTCGACAGGTAATAGCGTATGCATTGGTACATCCTCTGCTCCGATGGAGCGTATGCAAGCTTGGCCGATTTCTGCAGAAGCAAAGCCTTCCGATGGATGTTGCAGCTGCGATCACAAACTCTTGAATGTATCTATGGCAACTGCAACATCATGGCGAGACAAGTTGCAGTCAGCACCAGTCTTCACATCGCTGCCGACTGAGGTAATGTCATAACTGACTCGCTTTAGGATCTCGACAACGTAGACCTCGCAAACTGCATCTCTGCCTAAGACGAAGACTTCCTTGCGCACGCATGAAGGATTCCCATTGAGTCGAGGTCTACGATCCAGCGATTGTCGAGCTGTAGCAAAACTGAATGGGAACGCCGACGCCTCTTTCATAGGAAAGGCACCAGAAACCTTAATCAAAAAAGGTGAGATCACAAGCCTTTTGCTGGGAATATGCACCATAGGGCGCATATATTCGGACCTATGGCCCTTACTGAGCCAGCAAACTTACACCCCAAAGATTCTCTGGTGCACGGTGCGAAATTGCTACAGGGTTCAAGAAGAGAGAATAAGTATCAGTGGACTCATCGATGCAAACCTAACCTCGAAGACTAGTTCATCTATTCTAGGCTCTGGTGCAGGCAAGTTCGTGTCGAGTGCGGCATGCATTTCTATGTGCTCAATTATCAGTCCATGCATGGTTCACATTTCTGTCCAGCTTAAATCAGCGTGGAGAATTACGGGATTCATTGGGGGTCTGCAACAAGTGCGTTGGACGCGCACACCCACTAGTTTCAGTACGAAAACCAGGTGTTGTTCGCCTCGAGCCGCCCAACCCGCCGCGAACGAACTGATGGGGAAGAACCCCCCATTTTGTTTCGGCCGATGATGAACGTAATTCACAACGCAATGCCAGTGATACGTGCGAGCAAACACGACACGTCCATTACATTATGCCGCCGCCGTTGGCGTCAGAAAATGCCGCACTGTCGTTCTCCGCGAAAGCGGTAGTAGTCTTGTTTCCATGCTTTGTTATAGCATTTTTGTATATGGGCTCAGTGGCATCAGTCGCTCTCTCGCCCCTCGTGTTCCTTCCGACGTTATGCATGTACTGGGTATGGGTCTGTGCGAATAACGCGCACCCGGAACGGCGTGGTAAACTGGAGCACATGGTATGGATTTACCTAGTCGTAAGTATTGGAGGGACGACAATTCTTGGTGTTGCACAGCTTCTAGCATATCTTGTGCTAGTTTCAGTCATCATGGGCGACTCGGCACCGGAATACTGGACGGAGTTCCTTCGCGGTACGGTCGAAGGCATGTCCGTTGAAGAACGCTCTCGACGTGCAGAACTCGCAGGAACATGGCAAAATTGGCTCCTAATTATTTTATTCTCATTCATAATGGCTGGCGGCTTCGAGGAAGTGCTCAAATATCTACCGGTAACATATGCCAAGCACTTGGACCAAAAGCTGGAGAAAAGGCGCGACCGAACATACTTGGACTTTGCCGTTGCAGGCTCCCTCGGCATTGCTACTGTAGAATGCATTGGATTCTTGCATGATACGTATGCGAGCGGCTCGCATGAATGGCTTGCTCCATTTGTGACTCTGGCGCAACGCCTAATTGCAGGATCAATGGGCCACATACTCGTGGCTGTTCTGACCTCATTCCGGGCGATTCGAAGTGATTTCCATGGGCCAAAGCGCTCCGCCTTGTGGGCTATGGCGCCGTCTATGCTACTTCATGGCTCTGCAAATATGGCTGTCTTCATCTCTTGCACCATGGATGGGCATGTTGGGTGGGTCCATCCAACAGAAATGATATCGATCGTGGGTCTGTATGGAAATTACTTTTGTGTGGTATGCATTGTGGCTATTCTGGCTTATCGGGAACACAAGCTGCTTCTTTGTCTCGAGGGTCATGCTCAATGATCTGCACTTTGGCCAAATCCACACAGATTCCCGCACTCAGTAACGCATCGATCCAGACCCTTTGTGATTCATTCAGTCGATCTTTTGGACTTTTCACTTCAGCCATCCGAATTTGCTTGTCTTCATACCGCCAAAGTGTAAGGTCTGGAAACCCGCTCGTATTCGCTCCATTATTGCATAAAACATGACACAGGGTAGAAAGTCTTGCGCCGCCAAGGCACTCGGCGATTTCGAGAAGGGTTGGCAAGGAAAACTCATCCCAACGACAACCCATGGCATACGTTTTCTGTGGTCTCTCGCGTGAATCGACACGTTGTATTATATCAAGCCCCCCAGTATCACGAATGCATTGTAACTGTTTCTCGATAGCATTTTGACGTGCTATCACAAATACATCTGTCCCGAGATCCATTGGTGCTCGCTGGTATGGTGTCTCGAATGCCCCTGGGATCGGAAGGAAAAGCACATCCCACATTAACAATACGAACAAAAACTTTATGATTCCCCCTTCACTGTGATACCCGCGAAAACCTTGCATAGCGTATTGTTCTAGACAAAACTGCTCGACGGTGCAATTTGCCCCATTTGCTCCCTGCCATCGCGTGCGTTGTCCAACCTTACAGGCATCTGTTTTGTAATCAGGTGATGCAAATGTTGACACTCGTGCCGGCAAGGGGGCAGGGATCGTCCCATTTTTGCATAATACTGTTTGTCTTAGCGCGCCTTTGGGCCGCACAATATGTCCATTTACTCGTAGACCCTCGAAACAAACGACATTTGGCTCACAATGAGATCGTGCGAACAAATGGCGATTTTTAAGTGGTATTTTCAGTTGAGACTCAAGACGCACAACTCGTCGCTGAAGCCGAAACATGTAAAGCAAGTGTGTATCTGGATCCAAAAGTGCTTTATGGCACAATGCTAATGCCTCCGCTTTAGACTTGTGGCGACCTGTTAACAAGATGAGCCGCTCATGCCATGCACCTCGACGATCGCGCCAAAAAAAGCGTTGAGTTAGGAGCCGCTTGCATATATCCATTTCACGCTGATAGTGTCCCAGTCTTGCAAGACACTCGCATGCCTTAAACAAGACACGTGTAAGTGCCCATCCTTGATGGAACCGCAATAGCGGGTAATGCTCACGCTGAATGCCATTGGGGTATTTATTTTGAATCTGACGCAGCGCAGTCATCCATGCAGGCTCGCATGTGTCCAGCAACGTCACACATGTCTTGGCTGCATCTACTTGGGTCCGCATCTGATCCACCAGCATATCCGCGTACTCGGCCCATTGAATTGCTTGCTCATATAGCAAGAGATCGGAGCGTGTCGGAAACAGCTGCGACTGACGCGCATATATATAAGATGGAAACACGAACTTGTTTGTTCGCGCAAGAACCGCTGAAGTTAGCATGGTACCTAACACCGGTTTACCGCGGTAGTAAACGAATGCCAATCTTTCCATAAGCTCAAAGACAACCGGATGTAAACATATACAACCGCCATGCATCATAGCGTTTAGTTCAGATTCAAGTCTTTCATACGTGGGTTTTGTGCAGATCGACAGAGTGCGCGATGCAGATGCACTGCATAGGACTGCATTTGTTGGCTTGGCTAACAAGTTTGCAATAATATCAGATCGATTACCAACACGTTTTTTTCCGAGCCTTTTGGCGAGCGACTTCAGCTCATTGACAGTCAAGAGATCAAGGCGCGACCTGATACCTCCCTCCATATCACGGTCCATGATCGCGAAGCGATCTAACTCTTTTTCAGGTACCGTCTGATCCAGTGTGTCGGACAAAGAAGCTGCTTGTGTTGACATGCTCGGAGTGCTGAGTGGCGTACTAAGAGTACGTGCCGCCGAAGCCACGTCACCGATATCACTAGCATACTCCAATTTATCAATCCGGTACCATTGGCCCTTTTTTCGTTGCAATAAACGCACAAAAAGATATTGGGCATTGTATGGTATCTCAAAAAATTTTGTTAGACACGCCAACTCGCGTGCAGTAAACAAATGCCTTTCATTTTCGAGCACAACGCACATCATTTCTTGAAAAAGCTCGACATACATGGACTGAGCGTAAGATTTGCGCTCCGTGACATCAGATAAAATGTCACTTTCAGTGCTCGACTCGTGCTTCGCGCAATGCACGAGCCCTTGTCCGAAAAAAAGAGCGCTGTTTCTTCAACGCAGCTGCCCGTTCTGCCTCATGAGCCTCTCGTTGATGCCGCTCTTCCTGTAGTGAACGGTTGTTTTTCATGTATTCCGCTTCCCCAGAGCTCTCTGGTTTCATTTTAACATACTTTCGCACAGTCTCCAGGGGATCCTCGTCATGCTTTCGCTTTTCATCACACCTCTTTGCGCGTTCTAGATCATGTTCATCTCGTTTATGGTCAAACCCAATCGAAGTTTTTGGCTGAGTATACCACGGTTTTAGGTCCACTTGTTGATTCCTCATAGTATGTGACAAAAAATTGGGTTCGGCTTGTTTAGCTTCGAAGTCCTCCCAGAAGTTGACATGTTTTTGTCCAGACGGTATCGATCCGTCTTCACGCTTGATTCCTAGAAATGAATCTCGTTTATTTCTTAACTGAAAAATTCTCTCAGATCTTTCGCGCGCAGCGATGTATTTCTCTTTTTCCACTTCTTTTTTCAGTGCTTGTTCTTCATCTCTTCGCACGCGCTCCTTATTATCGTGATTGTATGGGTCTTTCACGTGTTATTGATCAATTGAACAAACGGCAGGTCAACGTACGGTAACTTTTATGATGGGCCAGATGCAAAGGCATTAATCTTGATTAGGTTCAAACAAAAGTCACGAAAGCGATAGCGGCGGCGGTGGCGGTGACTATGATGAGGGGTCGATTCGTCCACTTGAGCGATGATTCGTGTGATAGTGTGGAGGTGTGAGAGAGTGCGAATAAGGTGGTGGAGATGATGGAGAGGAATGCGAAATGACGATATGATTGGTTCAGGGAAATCAACACAAACAAGAGCCCAAATTTAACGCGTCACGCTCTGTTTCAAACCACAACACCCTTACCCATCCGACTCTTTCGCTGGCGGGTATGGATCAGGGTAACAAGGATATCTTCCCATCTGAGCCCGATAGGAGAGACGTATGGGTACCAGACAAGACGCAAGGGTATATTGCCGCTTATGTTGTGCGTGAGGAGGGTGAGCACAGCGTGTGCTGTCTTGCCACCGGCGTCACAGTCTCCGTGCCAACAGCCACATTGAGTGAGATGAACCCCCCAAAGTTCGATAAAGCAGCCGACATTGCAGAATTAACCCATCTAAATGAAGCCAGTGTGGTGCACAATCTGCGTCAACGCTACTTCAGCAATTTGATATATACCTACTCTGGCCTTTTCCTGGTGGCTGTGAACCCATATCATTCGTTACCAATTTATACCGAACAAATTATTGAAATGTATAAAAACAAGCGCCGAGAAGAGAATGCACCTCATATTTTTGCTATTGCTGATGGTGCGATGCAAAACATGTTGAAAGGCCATGCGAATCAGTCTTTGTTAATTACAGGTGAATCTGGTGCTGGTAAGACCGAGAATACGAAGAGGGTGATTCAATACCTTGCTGCTACGGCGATGGATGCTGATTCAATGAGCCCTTGGCATGCAGGAGAGCCTTTAGGCCTATTAGAACGCCAAATTCTGCAAGCAAATCCAATCCTCGAGTCTTTCGGTAATGCGCAAACTGTCCGCAACAATAACTCAAGTCGATTCGGCAAGTTTATCCGTATCGAATTTTCAGCATCTGGTACAATTGCTGGCGGGAATATCGAATGGTATCTGCTCGAGAAAAGCCGCGTGCACAGTCGGAATGCACATGAACGCAACTTCCATGTATTTTATCAACTACTGCGCAGTCGAGACACAGCACTGCTTGAAAGTTTAAGGCTCAGCAGTTTTCCTGAGAATTATGCTTACCTAGCGAATACGCGAAAGGATGTTGAAGGTGTTGATGATAGTGTTGAGTATCATGCATTACTTGACGCACTGCGGACAATGGGCTTCTCCATGACGGAAGAGCATGACTTATTCCGCGTCGTTGCGTTGATCCTGCATATGGGCAACCTTGAGCTGGCTGAAGATCGCTCAGGACAGGCACGCATAACCAATATGGATCAGTTGATGCTGGTTAGTGAGCTTATGGGTGTAAATGCTTCACAGTTGAATACAGCACTCGTGCGCCCAACCGTGCGGGCGGGTCGCGAGTCTGTTTCACAAGCACGCACGAAAAAACAAGTGACTGACGAGATTGCTGCCTTGTGTAAGACCATGTACGAGCGGACATTTGGCTGGCTTGTTGACCGAATTAATAAGGTGCTTGATCGGCCCACAAGCAAATCACAGTTTATTGGCGTCCTGGATATTGCAGGGTTTGAAATCTTTGAGACTAACTCGTTCGAACAGTTGTGCATCAATTACACAAATGAAAAGCTTCAGCAGTTTTTCAATCATCACATGTTCATGCTCGAGCAACAAGAGTATGCGCGTGAGATGATCCAGTGGGACTACATGAACTTTGGTCTTGATCTGCAGCCGACAATTGATTTGATTGAGTCGACGTCACCTGTGGGAATTCTTGCGACGCTAGATGAGGAGTGCATAATGCCACGGGCGAATGACGACACCTTCACTGACAAGCTTGTCAGCATATGGGCTCCTCCGAAGTCCAGTGCTGCCACAACAACGTCAAAGTTTTTGCCATCGCGACAAGTCAAGCGCTTTGTCGTACGGCATTATGCCGCCAATGTTGAGTACAACACAGAGAATTGGCTTGACAAGAACCGTGATCCACTCAACGACAATATTACCCGTGTGATGGTAGGCTCTGAACATCCTTTCTTATCATCGCTGTTCGCACATTTTGTCTCTAGCGAAGAGACTTCGGCTCCGAAAAGTCGGCGCGGTACTTTCCGCACAGTCGGGCAAAGGCACAAGGAGCAGCTCGTGTCACTCATGAGCCAACTTGACTCTACACAGCCGCACTTCGTCCGGTGTATCGTGCCTAATACGCATAAGCAACCAGGGCGTATGGATCTTTCATTAGTGCTGGATCAATTGCGATGCAACGGTGTGCTGGAAGGAATTCGTATTGCACGACTTGGCTATCCAAATCGCCTTCCATTCACAGATTTCATTACTCGGTACGCACTTCTTGCTCAAGACGCACTAAGAAGTCATTCGATGGATGGACGTGTTCAATCTTGTCGGATTGCTGAGAGTATTGGCATGGATCCTGCGCAGTACAAGATCGGCCTGACGAAAATCTTCTTCAAAGCAGGTGTCTTGGCTGACTTAGAGGAGCAGCGAGATGCATGTTTACACGACATCCTGATGCGGTTCCAGGCATCGTGCCGTGGCCACCAAACAAGGCGAATAGTGCAGAAACGTCTGCGACAGCGCGCTTCGAAACAAACTCTTCAACAAAGTGCGCAAGCCTACATGAAACTGCAATCAAATGCTTGGTGGCGTTTGTACATGCGCCTTTTACCGCTACTGGCAGCATCGAAAGATGATGACGAAATCAAGCGGCATGAAATGGAGATGGCAATAGCTCGCGAACGTGCTTTGCGAGATGAGCAAGAAAAGGCACGCATGGCTGAGTTGGAGGCGAGACTCAAGCAGCAGTGCATGATGCTGGAAGAGCAACTGGACGATGAGCGTACACAACATGCCTCGACGCACGACACGCTGAATGGCACGACACAGCGGCTAACAGATGCTGAGGCCGAGCTTGCAGAGCTTCAGTCAGAACGAGAAGCTTGGTTACGTGAAACGAATGACTTGCAGCGACAAATCGAAGAGGGATCTCAGCGCGAGACTGAAATCCAGGCTGAGCTTACAGGTGTGTGTGAGCAGCTGAACAAGCAGCTATCCTCGCGAGCAAAGTTGGAGCGAGAACATGGCGAAGCTGTGCTCCGTGCAGAAAGTTTGGAAGAGGCGCTCGACGATGCTCGCAACTCCCTTCATTCTTACCAAGAACGCACTGAACAACATATACAAGACCTGGCAGCAAAACACGAGGCTGAACTCCACCGTATGCGCACAGAACTGGAGCTAGTCACACAGCGAGCCGAAGACTATGAGGACATGAAAAAACGTCTTGATAATGCTGAAAAGGAACGCACAGAACTCCGCGATGCTTATAACTCTGCGAAATCTATCATGTCCGCTAACGAAACGCGTTTCCAGCAAGAATCAGAGAAACGCCAACCGCTCGAACAAGCATTATCGGATGCAAAGCAGGAGCACGACTCGCTTCGAGCGCAATTGGCAAGCACAGAGGAAGCTCGTCGCACGGCTGAGAATGCACAGTCGCAGCTAAAGTCGAAGCACGATCGTATGAGTGAGTTGTATGCTTCTAAGCAGGAAGCGCACAAGGTACTCATATCGGAGCGTGACGAAGCACGTGCAGAACTTGCGTCACTGCGACAGACATATGCCAAGAACCAAGCGGAACTTCAATTTGAGTGCAAGCGGATTAGTGAGCAAGAAACTGTACAAGAAAAGCAACGTTCTGAATTGCAGTGCAAGTTAGATGAATCCTCAACTAACCTTAAAAAAGCTCAGGACAAAATTCGTTCACTTGAGCTTGAAAATCGCCGGCTTGAGTCGTTGCAGAACAAGACAACTGTTGAGCATGTGCATGTGCTTGAAGAGGCCAAAAAATATACAGACCGTCAGCTGTCTGATGTCCAGACAGAGCTGCAAGAGCTATCCACATACACACGCTCACTGGAACGCACTCGTGCACGAATGCAGCAGGAACATGAAGTCCTCGCTCGCACAGCCGGTGGTCTAAGTATCGAGGAGGCCATCATCCAGCGTGACGAGGCACGCGCCGCCCTTGAAAGGGCTGAATCTGACTCGGCACGTACCTTGAAGAAGTCACGCGCAGAATACGAATCGCGAATTCGAAAGTTAGAAGACGAGCTTCGTCGCATGCATAAGAACCATCAAACTGAGAAGGCACTCACCTCTCTTGGCAGTGGGCGAAAGTCGCACGCTGCTGCTGCGAGGCAGGTCTTGGCTGAAATTCAAATGGAAACGGAATTGCTAGCCAAGGACCTGGCTCGTGCAAGTTCGTTACACCAACCATCTACATAAAGTTTTCACACCCGTTACTTTGATGACCTATTTCCTGGACTTTTTCAATCTTCTCCATGTTTTTACTTTCTTTCTTAATGCTGCATAGTTAGTAACCAGAGCCTGTCACCTATACCGAACAAAGATTGTGGAATAGACATTCGTTGGCCCAGTTCTCGCATCCAACAGTAGCATTTGTCTCATTGAACCTGACAAACACCGCGTGGCGCCTTCAGAGGGCCACGGCGCGTCTTACTAAGCAATCACATCGCGAATACGCGTCGCGTTCAATAGCTTAAGGAAATCTTGCCATGAGGTCAAGCACAACGGCCAGAGGCTCTGTGCATGCCTCTGGGCGTCGTGCAGTGATTGAGAGGACCAAGGTAGGAGGGAAAAAACAAGAAATAGCCAAAGCTCGTTTTTCTCAAAAGAAGTCCCAGAAAATGCACATATGTGCATTCTGTCTTGGCACGGACGCACTCAATCAATACACGCAGCAACCTGAACCGCTTATGGAGTGTAGCGTGTGTAAAAGTTGCGGTACGTCGGTTGAATGACTTATACAGGTCATCCATCATGCATGCATTGGGATATTGGTGGGAAAAAGCTTGCTGCGGCCCAGTCTTATGACTGGCACTGCATGGAATGTAAAATTTGCGAAGTGTGCCAAGAAAAAGGCGATGATGAGCAGATGATGTTTTGTGATCAATGTGACCGCGGATGGCACTTGTACTGTTTGCGCCCGGCACTTGTAAAGCCACCTCGGGGCGTTTGGTATTGCCCAACGTGTCGATCCACTTCCACTAGACGAGACTTGTCGACATCATCGACCTCAACTGTGCCCGCAATAACGGCAGCATCCGAGCGACAGACACGAAAACGAAAAGACGCTCCTTCCAGCACTATCATTCGCTTGCGGCGTACGCGCCCTACACCAAAAGAATCTTCGACACCTGAACCTGAGGATGCGCCATTTAGCGGCTTATTACAAGGTAATGATGCGGATACGAGCGCGAATCTGCCAACGCCGGACGATATAGAAAGGTTCGAAAAAAGTAAGCAAGCTTCTTCTCAGCAACTATTTGGCACAAAAAGTCCGCAATCTGGTGCATTTTCAATGCGGAATTTTGAAACAACCTCCGGTGCAGCAATAACAGATGCCAACGCTGCATGTAGCGGCAAGGCTTTACCAGTATCTATGATCCGCTTTGGCGCATATGATATTGATACGTGGTTTCGAGCACCATTCCCGCAAGAGTATAGTGTAGTCCCTGACGGGCGACTATGGATGTGTGAGTTTTGCCTAAAATACATGAAGAGCAGATTCATGGCGATGCGACATCGAACAAAATGTATGATGCACTTTCCTCCTGGACAAGAGATCTATCGTTCTCACAATGTCTCCGTGTTTGAAGTCGACGGAAGCAAAAACAAAATCTACTGCCAAAATCTCTGCCTTTTGGCCAAGCTTTTTCTTGACCACAAAACCCTCTACTATGATGTAGAGCCATTTCTTTTTTATATCTTCGTGGAGAGCGATGCTCAAGGCTCGCATTTTGTTGGCTACTACAGCAAGGAGAAACGGTCGCCCATGGACTACAATGTCAGCTGCATTATGACGCTGCCGATCTTTCAGCGGCGTGGCTGGGGCTACTTCTTGATTGAAATTAGTGCGTATCATATTTGACTGTGCCGCTAACCGCTTAAACTAAGGCTATATGTTGACTCGAAAGGAACAGCGCCTCGGCTCGCCTGAGAAACCACTCTCTGATCTTGGTTTTCTCACATACCGAAGCTACTGGAAGCTTGCTGTGTTTCGCGCGCTGGACGCAGATCCGTCGTGCACACTTGAGTCAATTTGTTTGCGGACTGGCATGAAGATGGACGACGTGCTTTATACCCTACAAGACAATCGGATGCTTGATGTCTTCTACAATCCCGCCAGTGAAGTGGGCAAACTCCCGGTCGAGTACCTTTCGTCGAAAGTGGCACCTGAGGATCAGAAGCCTTTGCCTAATGATTATCGCATTAATTTCGATGCCGATGAAATACGTGCTCATTTAAGGAAGCACGATGCCAAAAACTATGTGCGGGTAGATCCTAGCAAGTTGCGATGGACACCGTTCCTCATGAAACCGCAGACGCTGGTGAATGACGATCCAGTCAAGACAAAAGGATCATGACATCTTTCCAGATAATTTTCTTTACACATGTAAGCGAAAGTGAGCGCACAAATGTATTTGTAACTATGTATTCGATAGCTCGTTATCATCATTTTGCGGCACTGAGGTATCTTGGTCGGTCACATGGCTTTCGTCTGCGATGGACCCAGGGTCCACATCCATTGCTTCCGAATCCGCAGCAGCCATAGCGGCAGCAGCGCGTGCTGCCTTGGCACGCTCACGATTCTGAGCCGCAGCTTCAGCTCGTAGTTCAGCTTGCTTTTTCTGGAGTTCTCGATAAGCTTGCAATTGGTCACGTAGTTCTTTTCGCATTGATACGGGAAACTCAAGCTCACGCATCGCGTCCATCACATGTGCAGCAGAAATTGTCTTGTTTCCACGCGCTAGAGCGACATCATGCGATCCCGCAGCTATGGTTAGGAAAGTAAACCAAAGACGTACTCAAATAGCTTACAAACACCGACGCAGACTTGACAAGTGCTGTAAGCGTTTCTTTTCTTAACTGCATAGATTCAGGGAGCTGTATATATTAGTACAAATGACCACGCACCTCATTTCGAGCCAATTTAGCTATTGATGCTTTGGGAAGCTCGAATTGATCAAGACCCAGCCCAAAAGTGCCGCTAGCGGCATTTGTAGCCGTCATCGTTCGTGCATTCATGTCGAGGCCCTCTTTCGGTTGCTCTAGTTCCTCTTCGTGACTCGTATCTGCATCTTCAAAAGCTAGTGTCTTGTGGGACTCAGCATCTTGATCCTGCGCCATTGCGTGTACACCGAATAAATATATACGAGCACCGCGTCAATGGCGTCACGAAACGCGCGTCACGAAATAAGATGCATAATTTAATTCCACTTCTCAGAGGAAGTACGCTCTTTCCGTGGGATTTGAGACAGCGTGTAAATCTAGGAGTATGAAATTCGTCCTGTCCTGATCAAAAGCAACACTACTGGTACAAAAGGATAAAAAAAAGAAGGAAGCCAGAGTATGACAAAGGCAAAGGGCGGGGTATATGAAGATGAAAAAGCATATATTGGAATGTTTTCATACACGAGTTCACACGCAGTCGCACGGAAACATGATTGCACGATGAACTCAAGATAGGTGAATGATTAAGGAGCCCAGATTTTGACACTCAGGTCAACGGAACCGGTAGCAACGACATTTACTGGCTGCTTCTCCGAGTTTTGAGACGATGATGACGTATCGACATGCGTACGACCCCAAGCCATTGACGTGGCGAAATGCGCATGACACTCGAATACCTTGAGGCAGCGAGCTGTGGCCAGGTCCCAAACGCGCATTGATTTATCGTCTGAAACAGAGAGCAGGAACTTGCCATTTGGGGAAAATGCGAGTGAACGGACCCAGTTATCATGGCCAGCGAGTACTCGGAGACACTGCCCTTGCTGACTCCAAATACGAACAGTTTTGTCGCGTGATCCCGACGCGAGATACTGACCAGGTTGAACCTGGTCTGTGTCGCTCTTTGATAGACGTACAGCCATGAGCGTCTGGATGGCATTATATGCTGATACAGGAGCGAATGCAACGCATTCGACGACATGCTCATGACCACGCAAGGTATGCCGCGCCTCACTAGACGATGCATCCCATATACGGATTGTTTGGTCATTTGAACCGCTGGCAAACCACCGCCCATCGGATGAAACGTCGACAGAGCGAACCCAATCATCGTGCCCAACATAGGTACGTGAGCAAAATCCAGTAGCAACCTCCCATAATTTGAGACTCTTGTCGCGACTTGCTGTTAGGATATGCTGGTCGCCTGGCATAAACTCAATGCTCGAAACACTATGATCGTGACCATGAATTGTGCGAACATTTTTCCATCCATCATTTCCATCCCAGAGCTTAATGGCAAGATCTGATGAGCAAGATGCTAAATATTGACCAGCATGATCAAATGTGATACCTTGAACAGGTTTTGTGTGACCTTTTAGCGTTTGTTCAAGTTCACCCGTCTCCCAATCCCAGATTTTTATGGTCGTATCCTCACTGGCAGTGGCGACGAGAGAGAACTGCGGATGAAATGCCACGCTAGTGATCGGTTGCCGATGTCCTAGCAAAATATGCCGCGCGGGTAACCTTGGAAACCAGTCTTGCAGAGAAGCACCACGTCGCGCGCTTGGCGCAGCTTGTAGTTCTGCTTCGAGCTCTGCTACTTTCGTGGTAAGATCCATATTCTGTCAACGTCAGATGAAAAGATCGGACAAACACAAGCGTCCACGCCTACTCCCACACATACCTTTTTCTGCAAGCGGATCGTACTGAGCCACTTCTTCTCGAGCAGATTTGCGTACTTGCCTTTTGGATCAGGCTCGTATGAATCTAAAGCTGCGTCGCTTTTGAGCGCGTCAAAGGCAGCATGAAATCCAGCTGTGTGCAAGTATTCCAACAAGGACTTATGTCTGTATTGTTGTAAGTATCATGCTTTTGACATACAGTTCATCACGCTGTCGATCGGACAAGGCGCTGTTCATCACACACGCGCACGCACTGGAACAAAGGTCGCAAGCTAGTGCTTTCGATGCGCCTCTCACGCTCATCAACGCGAAACGTGCTGTCTCTCGCACATCATGGTCCACGTGGCCTCCACGTGGACAAGCGTGTCGCGTCGAGTGTGCATGTGTGAGTGTTGGTCTGGTTGAGACCTGCACATACATTGGCTCGTCTGGGACCCTATTCTTCAAAGGGCGCCGCATGGCACGCGAGCAGGAGACAAACGATTCAGCGATAGCTGCTGTACAAGTAGGTGCGTAATAAAAGAGCCAGTGGCAGCTTACAATGAAGCTGTGCGGATCCGGCCTGATGCAGTGGATGACCCATCCCAAACCGTATCGCGGCTAGCACGCCCAGCCGTGACGGCCACGTCGGCTTCGAGTTTGGTTGTGGAACCAACCATCCCATTCGCTGGAACGCGTGATTCGCGATACACGTTTCATTTCGATCGTGTGTATGGCCCAGAGGCTGATCAGCTCCGGGTTTTTCATGCGAGTGTGACGCCCCTCGTGCGTCGATTTCTGGATGGGTACAACACAACTATCTTTGCGTATGGACAGACGTCCAGCGGAAAATCTTATTCGATGGGAACTTCAGATGCTACTGAGCATATATGTATGGATGAAGAGTTTGTCCATTTCAATGACCACGTTGGCATTTTACCCCGAGCTGCGCGTCAAATCTTCCAAGCCCTACATGAAAACAGTGAGCTTGACCAGGACGAGTGCACGGTATCTGTGAGCTTTCTCGAGTTGTATAATGAAGATCTTATTGACTTGCTAAGTGATAGAGACAACGAGCGGAATACGGTACAAATTCGTGAGACTCGCACTGGCGATATAGTCTGGATGGGTCTGCAACAACGAACAGTAACGAGCGCTTATGAAGTTGTGAGCTTGCTGCAGCAGGGAATGAAAATGAGAAAGACACATGAGACTGATATGAATGCACAGTCGTCTCGCTCTCATGCCATCTTTTCTGTTACGCTAACACGCAAGCGGCGTGGGACGGCCAATTCCGCGATGGAACGTACGCCTTCGACACTGGGTCGTCAAAGTCCTGATAAAACATTTACAACGCCTCGCACACCACGCTCTGGTTTGCCCACTCTTGGAGGACGAGCTCCCATATCGCGTGCCGGGACGCCTACACGACCCTCGACGCCAACCCGCCCTACTGCGTCGCGGGGCGTCGGTGCTTGCGGTACACCTCAGCGCCGAGCCACAGATGATGCGACATGTGTCACCACAACAAGCAAGCTACACTTTGTCGATCTAGCAGGCTCAGAACGTCTCAAACGAACTGCAGCTACAGGCGATCGTGCGCGCGAGGGCATTGCCATCAACTCAGGCTTGCATGCATTGGGTAATGTCATCAGTGTTTTAAGTGATCCAGTCCGCACGAAGCGGCCATCGCACGTGCCGTATCGAGACAGCAAACTCACCCGGCTCCTTCAGGACAGCTTGGGTGGAAATTCGCATACCCTTATGATTGCATGCATCTCATCAGCAGAGGGCAATGCCGGTGAAACACTCAACACGCTGCAGTATGCCCAGAGAGCACGAAATATCCGCAACAAAGTGGAACGGAATCAGGTGGAACAAGGCTGGGACAATATTGAATACTTGCAATCGCAGGTACTTTCTCTTCGTCATGAGCTTGAGCTGGTGCACAGTTCAAAAGAGCTTGTGATATCATCACCGAAACGACCGGCACGATTGATGCCGTCGGAACATGAGAGTGAGCTTCTTGCATGGCAAGAAAAGTGCTCGGCGCTGAGTCGGAAAAATGTGCAGCTAAGCGCACAGCTCGTGCAGCGAGAGCAAGAGCGGCGTGGCACATCTGTCGATTTCCTTCAAGCGGCAGAGCCTGTGATTGTTGAGTATGAAAAAGCAGTTGATGCACTTGAAGGTCAGATCAATATGCTCAAGGCTGCCGTGTCCCATCTTGAGCAAGTCATCCAAGATCAATCCACTGAGAACCTAAGCTTGTCTGATCGAGCGACGAGTGCGGAGCGCCAATTGGACGTCCTTCGCGGATCAGTCCGTGACATGCACGAGCGGCTGGATGAGCGGAATGCGCGGGTTGAGGCGCTTGAACTTCAGCTGCGTCGCGCTACAGCTTCAACTACCAGCACCACACCCCTCTCATTCCGCACGTCTAGGAGCAGCTCGGCTTCATCAGATGCACCGTTCACAACGCCTCAGCGTCCATTTGGCGGCATTCTAGATTACAAAGGCCGCAGTCCGGGGAAACGCACGTATCGTGTTGCTACGCAGGGGCGAGCGAAAAGCGAACTCGACACCTATGCGAACCGGCAAACAGGTGGCGGTGACGGTGTTGAAAGCACGCGTCGCATGTCGCCTTCCGAACAGCCATTGTCCAAGCGGCATGTATCTGACACTACTACAGCACTTGACCGTGAGAGGGCGGCCTATCCGGTTGAGTTTCGCCCTGAATGAGATTCATATGTATGTGCAAGTCTACTTGCCCAAAGTCGCAAGAGCAGCGTCGTTGAAACCAGACTGGTTGCTGGTCGATGCCAAGACACCCGAGTTAATCCGTGTATGGTGGCTCGCAGGTGCTTTGGCACGACGCGCCTGAACACCGGCACGAAGCTTGTCTAGCGCCTGAACAGTCATGTCCCAGCCCATGCAGGCATCGGTAATGGATTGGCCGAATGTCAGGCAGTTGGGTCCCTCTGGTGGCACATTCTGACGTCCCTCGACGAGATTGCTCTCGAGCATGACACCAAGAATGCTCCATGCATTATCATCCCCTGCTGACAGCTGCTCGGAAACATTCTCAGAAACCTTGAGCTGGTTCTCGTGCTTCTTTTCACTGTTTCCATGACTGCAGTCGATCATAATACGCGCGGGAAGGCCAGCTTTTTCGAGTGAGCTCCTTGTTGAGGTGATATGCTCGGAGCTGTAGTTAGGTCCCGAGTTCGCGCCACGCAAGATCACATGGCACTTATCATTCCCAGCCGTCTCGACAATGGCAGAGATACCTTGCTTCGTAACGGAAAGGAAATGGTGAGAGCTCGAGGACGACCGAATGGCATCTATGGCGATTCGCACAGATCCATCTGTGCCGTTCTTAAAGCCAACAGGCATGCTGAGGCCACTCGTGAGCTCGCGATGCACTTGCGACTCGGTCGTACGTGCACCAATAGCGCCCCATGAGATCAAGTCGGCCGTGTACTGTGGACTAATAGCATCGAGGAACTCAGTACCGGCAGGAAGGCCGATCTTGGCCACCTCCAACAAGAACCCACGAGCAAGGCGGAGTCCCTTGTTGATCTGGAACGAGCCATCAAGGTTTGGGTCGTTGATCAAACCCTTCCAGCCCACTGTGGTGCGTGGCTTCTCGAAGTACACCCGCATGACAATATGTAAGTCGTCCTTGGCCTTCTCAGCATATTCACGGAGACGCTGCGCGTACTCGAGCCCTGCACGTACGTCATGCAAGGAGCATGGACCGAACACGACGACTAGGGCGGTCCTGCTCATTCCTGAGAATAGCATCAATATCGCGACGCCCATTCAGCACCGTTTCTGCAGCATTCATCGACAACGGATATTCTTCCATCAAAATCTGTGGGGGAATGAGCGGCTTGATGCTCTTAATGTGGCAGTCGTCAAGCTCATTCAAAGCGTCGTTCCACAACATGGGAGAGTGCGTGCGTGTGCGAGTGTGCTGGCGCGTGAAAGTAGTCCGGCAAACAGATCTAGATGGATAGATATAGAATCGTTCGCTTGCCCATATACCTTCATGTCCCCATAGCTCAGCACGTTATTTTTATCTATCAAATGACAGGCCGCCTACGTAAGAGGCGGATAGACTGTGTGGAGAAAGACTGAACATCCACTCATGCCTATCTCCTACAACCGTACGTCACGTGAAGGCTCATCTGCACTTGGAGAGCGAGCCCGAAATTCGTGTCCTGACCCCCGTAAACCTTCGTGATCTTGGCCGCCATGTTTTGTTGATTTGCGCGCACGGCCGAGAGATGTACACGGTCGAGTGCGCATAAATTCGTTGCGTGTATTTATTTAGCGGCAACCGCGCGCGTAGACCGTGTCAATTATCAACGCACCCACACAGCAGATTGACGCGACTTGATTCTTCTGTGTCTAGTACGGGCGTGCGATCGACGGTCAAACATGTCAGATGAAGAGCATGAATTTGGGAATTCAGCACCTCTAGACGACGAAGACCTTTCTTTGCCGAAAGCGACGATTCAGAAACTTATTCAAGAATACTTGCCAAAAGACTTGAGTTGCGCGAAGGATACACGCGATTTGCTGATTGACTGTTGTGTGGAATTCATCCACCTGGTATCTAGTGAGGCAAATGAGACATGTGAAAAGGAGTCCAAGAAGACTATAGCGCCCGATCACGTTGTCAAAGCGCTTGTGGATCTCGGCTTTGAGAAATATACGCATGAAGTTCGCGATGTGCTGAATGATCATCGCCAACACCAGAAAGAGCGCGAGCGAAAAGCCTCGCGATTCGAACTAAGTGGCTTGACTGAAGAGGAGCTCCAACGACAGCAAGAGGAGCTCTTTGCCGCTAGTAAAGCGCGCTTCGATGCTGCAAACTAACACATTACGAAACGTTGACAACGGAAATGAAGACCATGACCAAGTACTCATAGGCCGGCATTGACTGGGTCGGGGCTATGGGCTATGGGGAGGCAAGATACGGAATAAGTCCCAGTCAAAGGCCAAAGAGTGGCTTTGATTGAATATGTGAGAAATGGCCACGAAACCATGGGAGTAGTTGGATTCCCATGCATCCTTCTCCCCCGCATCCATCTTCATTGTAGACTACTAGCCAGTCAAGCCTCGCCTCTCCCTCCACGGAAAGGACGTGTAGCGAGGCAATTTACACACACACCCAGCTGATGCATAATTCCTCAATCCATACCCTTTGTTGGTAGTCCAGTGTCGGCTGGCGAGCATATGCCCATGCGTCTGGCATCAACAGTGCTCTCATTGTGTCACAGTGGGAAAACAAATAGGCGCTTAAGGCCCCATTGCATTGCACAATCTGTTCGTCACGCTATGAGTGCTGTAGCACCTTTGCCTCCGTTGGACAAACGCATTAATGGCACTGAGATTGCGGCGTACGTGCACTCCTACTTTTAGACACGCGTTCACTGACGTTGCAGGAAAATCCGCAGCTCTGTCGCACAGCGCGTCGAAGCCTTGAAGCAGCGACAAGCAGGAGTAGAGCCATACCTTTGTATTATACAGGTGGGTTTGGACAATGCCTCATCAACGTACATTCGCATGAAGAGTCTGGCCGCCGCCGAGTGTGGGATCCGTGCGCAACACATCAAACTGCCAAGTGGTGCCACAGAGGCTGAGATTCGGGACAAGGTCCGCTCACTGAACGATGATCCGAGTGTGGATGGTGTTCTTGTGCAGCTTCCGTTGGGCGACCACATTGACACTGATGCTGAGCGCCGTATCACCGAAGAAATCGACCCTAGCAAGGACGTCGACGGATTTCACACCATTAACATCGGCCAACTATCCTCCAAGGCCTGCAATCCAAAATTTGCTCCTTGCACGCCTGTGGGAGTGTTGCGCTTGCTTGAGTCTGTCGGTCTGCACAATCTCGCAGGACTCTTCGCTGTAGTGATGGGTCGCAGTGACATTGTCGGCAATCCAGTAACGCACTTGCTTCGTTCTCGAGACTGCACCGTGACTCAGGTTCACAGACATAGCAAGCATGTGCAGCAGGTTCTTGCTATGGCAGACATTGTGGTCGTCGCCATCGGCAATCCACAATTCGTTCAGGGATCGTGGGTTAAGCCTGGTGCTGTCGTCATCGATGTTGGTATCAACTATGTGCCAGATGCCACGAAGAAATCAGGACAGCGCCTCGTGGGTGACGTGGATTATGAATCCGCATGGCCCGTCGTAAGTGCCATCACGCCTGTGCCGGGCGGCGTCGGCCCGATGACGGTAGCGATGCTTATGGAGAATGTCCTGACCGCGGCCGAACGGCGGGCTGACCGAGAAGCTGAAATCCCTCGCGGGGTGACAAAGCTGAACCCCATTGTGCTGCAGAGGCCTGTGCCAAGTGACATTGAGATTGCACGCGCTCAGGTGCCCAAGCGCATCACTTCTTTGGCCCGGGAGATTGGGATTCTGCGCAGTGAGCTAGAGCCGTATGGCGAAGCGAAGGCTAAGGTGTCACTAGATATTTTAGAGCGCCTGAAAGGACGCATCAATGGCAAGTACGTCGTGGTTGCCGGCATCACCCCCACGCCGCTCGGCGAGGGCAAGTCCACAACGACGATTGGCCTCGCGCAAGCCCTGGGCGCGCACTTGAAGCGTCCATCGTTTGCGTGCGTGCGACAACCATCACAGGGCCCGACGTTTGGCATCAAAGGCGGTGCAGCGGGCGGTGGCTACTCGCAAGTGATTCCCATGGAAGAGTTCAACCTGCATTTGACGGGAGATAATCATGCCGTGATGGCGGCGAACAATTTGCTCGCTGCAGCCATCGACACGCGCATGTTCCACGAGGCGACCCAGAGTGATGCTGCCCTGTATGACCGCCTCACACCCAGACAGAAAGGGGTGCGGAAGTTCTCGGAAGTGATGCTGAAGCGGCTACGCAAACTTCAAATTAACAAGACGGATCCCGACACACTTACTGAGGATGAGCGCCGCCGATTCGCGCGCCTGGACCTGGATCCAGCGAGCATAACATGGCGTCGTGTTGTCGATACAAATGATCGCTACCTCCGGCAGATCACGATCGGCGAGTCACCAACGGAGAAAGGACTCACGCGTCAAACTGGCTTTGACATAGCCGTCGCATCGGAGTGTATGGCTGTTCTTGCTCTCAGCCGCGACTTGGTCGACATGCGCGAACGACTTGGCCGGATGGTCGTGGGCTCCAACAAGCAGGGCGAGCCAATTACCGCCGATGACCTCGGTGTGGGTGGCGCACTAGCCGTGCTAATGCGCGACGCAATCAAGCCCAACTTAATGCAGACACTGGAGGGCACTCCTGTGTTTGTGCACGCAGGACCATTTGCGAACATTGCGCACGGCAACTCGTCCATCCTTGCGGATGCAATGGCACTCAAACTCGCAGGTCGTGAGGCACACGAGCCAAGCGAGCGAGCGGGCTTTGTCATTACCGAGGCAGGCTTTGGTGCAGATATCGGCATGGAAAAGTTCTGCAATATCAAATGCCGGGAGAGCGGACTTGTACCAGATGCAGTGGTGCTTGTCGCTACTGTGCGTGCGCTCAAATCACACGGCGGCGGGCCGGACGTGTCGCCAGGCAAGCCGCTTAGTGACGCATACACACAGGAAAATTTGTCGCTTCTCGATGCCGGGTGTGGCAACCTTGTGAAACATATTCAGAATGCCAAGCAATTTGGTCTCAAGGTGATTGTGGCCGTAAACCGATTCGCGTCAGACACCCCAGCAGAGCTGGATTTGGTTGTGCAACGGTCACTGGAGGCTGGCGCAGACGCTGCTGTGCCGTCAGATCACTGGGCAAACGGAGGTGCAGGCGCCGTTCCGCTTGCGAATGCCATTGTAGAGCAGCTTGATCACACCGAGTCACAATTTCAGTTCCTGTATGCGCTGGACCAGCCGATTGTGGCCAAGATTGAGAAAATCGCTCGCTGCATGTATGGTGCAGATGGCATCGACATTTTACCGGAAGCCCAAGCACAAATTGATACCTACACGCGCCAGGGATATGCACACTTGCCTATCTGTATGGCCAAGACGCACCTGTCTTTGTCGCACGATCCTCTGCGAAAAGGAGTGCCTACTGGCTTTAAGGTGCCCATCCGAGAAGTGCGTCTCGCGGCGGGTGCACGCTTCCTCTACCCGCTATGCGGAACTATGCAGACGATGCCTGGGCTCAATACGCGCCCCGGATACTATGACATCGACCTGGACGCAGAAGGACAGGTCATAGGCTTGTTTTAATTGCTAAAAGATGTGTGATACTGAGTAGTTTCCGCTGCGCTCCTAGACGATAGTACTTGAGTGCACACGAGATCGTGCCAGACTGCATAGATGACTAAACGTTTGTAGTGAATCGAGATTGTGGACCGTGTCCGCCCGTCGGAATGACTTGGCACTTAGTCGAAAGCCGTGACTGGACACACGCTTCTTTGCCACAATCCAAACCTCAAGTGTCGGGGAAGGGGGACATTGTTGCGTCGAGAGCACTTTGGTAGGGTGGTGTGAGCTGTGTTACACACGCGGAAAATAGAAGTACCCTTCTCATCAAGATGCGCTCATCATATTCCCCGAGCATGCGCAGTTCAGCTTCTCCATCACCAGACCAACAAAGCCAGCGATCGGCCAACTCCATGGGCAGTGGCGGTGGCCTGCGATATTCGCACGGCAGCCAGATGCGCATGCCTCATTCCTCTCAAGACACATCGCGCAACCTTAGCATGGGCAGCGCTGGTGGCCTCACAAGGGGCCCTGGTAACCTACGTCCAAGCTCCGAGATGCTCCCTGTCGGTCAACAGGGTACGCCTGAGACAGATGTGATTGACAAATGGTTTGAGGATCTTCAAAATTATGAGGCTACCCTTGGTACGTGTCGCGCTTTATGTGCTAGCCAGCATACAGGGCAGATCACTAACCCTTGCGTGTGCGTGTATGCGCGTTTTGTTGAGTAGAGGAAATGGCCGCCGCCTCTATGGACCAAAACTTCAAAGAAGAGCTCGGTGCGATCGAACAATGTACGTGTACTCATACGCGAAGTCGCTTTTACTTGGCTTCTTGACCGACTGACCGTTGTGTGCAGGGTTCCGCGTGTTAAGTGAAGCAGAGCGTACAGCAGCGCTGTACAGTCTCTTGCAGGAATCAACACAGGTGCAGATCCGCTTCTTTATCACTGTCCTTCAGCAAATGGCACGAAATGACCCCGTCGGTGCTTTCATCTCACCAAACCCCACCAACCAGGCCATGAGCGACCAGTTGGAAGCCAAGATGGCTCAGTTGGGCATTAAGTCGCCTTCAGCCATGAAGACTGCCTCTCCCAACTCGCGTGCATTCCAGCGTCAGAGCACTGGCTTCCTCTCACCGAATTCGGCGTCCTTGTATGGCTCTGGCAGCCCGGATGTGTCTGCCGCGCTGGCCGCGCAGCGAAGCAAACTCAAGGCCAACCGGACTTCAGCTCCAGGCGTATTACCCATGGATTCGATGCCATCGTACACAGGCAATTCAACCCTCGAGAATGTCCAAGAAAAGCCCAGGAGCACAGGCAGTAGCAATGGCACACCGCGCGAGCGTCCACGTTCTACCGAGGTGTTCCGTTCGCCACGTGCGAGTGGCCCGCTCGACGACACACTCTCCCCCATGAGCATGGGCGGCAGTTGGGCTAGTATGGTAAACACTCCGATCATGTCTATGCTCGACAACACTAACAACAGCAACCACGGCAGCAACAGCAACCGCTCCTCTGAAGATACCAATGCCAAGCTCGAAGCAACAGCGGCTCAGCTTGCTCAACTTAGCCAGCATGTCTCGGCAGCCCAAGCTGAAAACCAAGAAGCCTCGCGAATAATGCGTGGTAACCAGAGTGCTTCATCGAACAGTGCCCAGGGAGGCATGACCAGTGGTCCCATGTATGAACAGGCTGGTGGTGCAAGCTGGAGTGGGAATGGGGCTGGCAATGTTGCTACTGGTGCCTCTGGTGGGATTCCGAACACACCCGCTAACATGATGAACAGCCCACATTTCGGTAACTTTAGCATTCCAACGATGAGTCCCAATGCACTCGCTGGTTTGCAAAGCCCATCCGGTGGTATCTCGAATCCCGCAAATCTGCAAATGATGAACACAATGGCCGGCATGGGAGGCTTGAACAACATGAACTCTACGCAGTTGCTCGCATTGCAACAGCAAATTTTGCAACAGCAGCAGCAACTTAGCATGGCTGGCTTTGGCACTCAAGGCTCTCGCGCATCCAACCGGTCGAATAACCACCGTTACGCTCATGCTGGTGGTGCCACAGGCTCGATGAACAGCCCACCACAGACATCTCGGACTATGGCGGGATCACCTGCATCGTCATCCACTCATGCGCCTCCGGCACAGGGCGAAGAGGAAGTGGCAGATATCTCTGTTCTGAATGACGTTCCGTCGTGGCTCAGGCACTTACGTCTGCACAAATATACACCGAACTTTGAAGGCTCCAATTGGCGTGAAATGGTCATGATGGATGACCGTGCTCTTGAAGAGAAGGGCGTAGCTGCTCTTGGTGCTCGTCGAAAAATGCTCAAAACCTTCGAAGCTGTTCGTCTCAAATATGGTATGGAAGCTCCACCAAACGCACAGCAGTCTTCTGGTTCAACCAATGAAGCGCACACACCATCAGAGGCATCCGCTACGGACACACATGCTTGAACTAGCTGGCTGGTTTCGTCACCTCATTTTTTTCTCTCCCTATAATCGACGTTCTCTTCCTCATCCTCCTCCTCCTTCATAGCGAGTTAGCATACTGACGGACGAACTTGTTTTCTGTTAACGTCATGTATTGAAAAACATGGGTGACCTGGGATAGACATACATCTGGTAAAACAGACTCTCAAATCTAGTAGCCTTTTGTCTCGACTTTACATGTGCCTGTTTGAGAGCACGGTTTCATCACTTATAATTGGCGACTGTTAACGTCTCGACCCAAAATCTTGGCAGACACAGCAGGAATGTGCGCCAATGTGGAGACCACGTGTCTTTGGCACGCGCAACGTCGGTAATGGAGTTGCTAGCAAGTGTTGTTCGTCCTCACGAGACGTAGACCAGTGCTTTGTGCTTGCACTTCACTTCTCGCTACGCTGCCACGTTCAAGCCTTTTGTGGCATTGAAACTGTCACAAACTATTATATATGGGCTCAGTACGTCCCAGAACACAATATGGTCCTTCTGCTATAGACACAAATGTGATGAAGACGCCACGGCCAGTCCCTGCTTTAAATAAAGCCAAAACGAGATCCATGCCCCTAAAAGCCCGAGTGCAAGTGGTACCGCACACAGGATCACGCGTAAAAAGCCCTGAGCCTATCTCTGCACAAGAGCACTTGTCGCATCGAAACCATTATCATTCGACTAATAACCCTACATCTGCTGAGCAACGGCGGCCTCAGCCGACTCGTCTACGCTCAGTAGCGTCGTATTCTTCGCTACAGCGCAATGTGCCGGTAACATCACTTTCCCCTCCCACCCATGCGCATGCCAAACCTACTATGCGCATGGCAAATGCAACAACTCGTCGCTCAGCTCAGGAGTTGCAAGCAAAAGTATCACCGACTATGCGTTCAGCATGGATAGAACCGGATGTTCCAGCATCTGATGCAATCAAGACACAAGCATCTCCTCTTTTACCCTCAGCAAAGATACCTATGCCTTCCTCACGCCCCAGCAATTCTGCTCAAAGCAACATTGACAAGCCTTTGCGTCCTGCTCGAGTATATTCAGGACAAAGATCAGCGACTACCACACTTGTGTCGCCTACCTCATCCTCAATACATGTGTCATCATTGGAATCAATGAGCAGTTTTCCCAATCCTAACGAGCATGAGGCGGAGATGAAATTTCGAAGTGAATTTGAACCGCCTTTCTTCATTGGACGACACAGCTCACTTGCAACCTCACCTTCAAATGTGTACTCGGCCAAATCTGCACACGGTCAGGAGCGGACTCGAATGAACCTGGATGTTTCCTCTGCACCAGTTCTAACATCGCTACGTGCTCGCACTGCGCAGCCTAATATACCCATTACGGCCAGCGATACTAGCGGTTCTTGGTCCGAGCACATGATGCAATCTCTCCCTGTGTCGTCATCATCACCTCCGATACAAGACAATGCAAGTTTCTTGCAGTCACCACAATGTTCTATACCCGGGGATGATATCATGGAATCATCGGAGGTGTTAGATGCCAAACAGGCACGGAAGCTATTAGACCTGGAAATATCCAACAAAAGTCTGTTGGCAATAAATACTGCACTAGAATCCAGCAAAGTCAAGCTAACAAAAGAGCTGCGCGAATTGCGACAATCAATGGTTTTTCAAAATTTGCCAATCGAACCCGATAGCAAAAACATGACGCAAGAGCCAATCCCGTTTGTCACAGACCCGCAACAATCTACCTCGATGTCAGACAAGCCGCGCGTCGGTTCCCAAGTCTTGCAGCTGTTCATGAGACAAGATCAAGAGTTGGAAGAAATTCACGAACGTTGTCGATCAAAGATTGATGACTTATTAAACCAGGCGCGTACTGCGATTTTTTCTCAGCCTGATGTCGGCGATGTACCTCTTGGAGTCAAGGTTTTGCATCCGTCCGAGACTAAAGTACACGCCTGACACGAGTGCTAATGAAAGCTACATATCGAGCAACTCTGACGATGATATACCCAGATGAATGTGATGTTTGGGCTTTTTTTCATGAAGTAAGAAATTTTGCCCACTGGAATCACTATTTCTAACGCAACGACGGCTTGAACGAATACATATCGCATCCTCGACGAATAGCTTGCAGGCGTGGTGACATTTTGACACCGACATACATATACAAAACCTTTCCCTTTCCTTAGTAACAATACTTTTCCATTGCAGCAACGGGCCAAGTCTACACATGCACACTATAATACGTCATGGCGACACCAGAATGTTACCACATGGAACGACTGTAACATCTAGTCTAGTTAGACTGCTTGCTAATCTCCTCAGCCTTGGCCAGAACGTCTTCAATGTTGCCAACCATGTAGAAAGCAGCCTCAGGGAGCTGGTCATGCTTGCCCGAGAGAATTTCCTTGCACGCCTTAACAGTGTCCTTAAGGGCAACAAGACGACCCTCGATACCAGTGAAGACCTGAGCAACAGCGAAAGGCTGCGACATGAAACGCTGCATCTTACGGGCACGCTCAACAGTGAGCTTGTCTTCTTCCGACAGCTCATCCATACCCAAAATTGCGATAATATCTTGGAGCGACTTGTAGTCCTGGAGCAGCTTTTGCACACCCGAAGCGACATCGTAGTGCTCCTGACCGACAACATCAGGGTCAAGCATACGCGATTGCGAGTTCAGGGGGTCGACAGCTGGGTAGATACCAAGCTCGGCAATGGAACGGTCAAGCACTGTCGTGGCATCAAGGTGGGCGAAGGTGGTGGCCGGGGCAGGGTCAGTCACATCGTCAGCGGGAACGTAGACAGCCTGCACCGATGTAATCGAGCCCTTACGTGTGGTCGTGATACGTTCCTGCATGGAACCCATATCCGTCGAGAGGGTGGGCTGGTAACCGACAGCCGATGGGATACGACCAAGCAGGGCAGATGTCTCCGAACCGGCCTGGGTGAAACGGAAAATGTTGTCAATGAAGAGAAGCACATCCTGACCCTGCTCGTCACGGAAGTACTCGGCGACAGTCAGGCCCGTCAGGGCAACACGGGCACGGGCACCCGGGGGCTCGTTCATCTGACCGAACACAAGAGACACTTTCGAGTCACCTTCAAGGTTAATGACACCCGTCTCAATCATTTCGTGGTACAGGTCATTGCCCTCACGAGTACGCTCACCGACACCAGTGAATACGGAGAAACCACCGTGGGCCTTGGCAATGTTGTTGATAAGTTCCTGAATCAACACGGTCTTACCGACACCGGCACCACCGAAAAGACCAATCTTACCACCACGGGCGTATGGAGCAATCAGGTCAACAACTTTGATACCCGTCTCGAGAATTTCAGCATCTGTAGACTGCTCAACGAAGGCCGGGGGGTCACGGTGAATAGGGCGGTACGAGTCGGTCTTAACGGGACCACGCTCGTCAATGGGCTCACCAATGACGTTCAAGATACGGCCCAGCGTACCATCACCGACAGGGATAGTGATGGGGGCACCAGTGTCCAGGACCTTCTGGCCACGCACCAGACCCTCAGTACCGTCCATGGCAATGCAACGGACAGTGTTCTCACCAAGGTGCTGGGCGACCTCAAGAACGAGGCGGCCACCGTTCTTCATGTCCTGGACCTCCAGGGCGTTGAAAATGGCTGGAAGCTGCTCACCCGTGAAGTGAACGTCAACAACGGCACCGATAACGGCGCGGATGTTGCCAACCTGGCCAGCACCCGAGGCGGCCTCAGTCGCAAGACCACGAGCTAAATTGTGTTAGTCATCTGTTCTGATCGGATAAAGGGTGGTTCGTCATACATACCAGGCGTCTTCATGGCCTTTGCGATGCTGGGCACACCAGCCGAGCGCAGCGACGGAGCAGCCACACGGGCGGCTGTCGACAGACCAGCGGCATTCTGGCGAGCCACACGGCTTGCCATGCGAGAAGCGCGCGAAACAGCGCGAACGGCAGAGCGCTGAATGATAGGCATGGCGCTTGGTTTCGCTCAAACAATGAGGTGAGGGGACAAGAAAGTAGCGGAGGTTGGCGCTTCACGTCCCATGACCCGGGTTGGCTGCCCGGCAATCCGCTACCACCCCCGTCAGCCAATTGCAGGCAGCAGAAAGACCGAAACCACCCGGCGTGCGCTATGTTCGTTCATTGCCAGCAAATTTGACTCGGCCGAAAAGCGGGCTCTCTTACTGTAGTGCCTTCTCAACACCCCGTCCCGTGCTCTGCCGCGGTGCACATGTACCAGCAATGTTTTCGGCCGAGAAATGCTACTCATGGGATCCCAACTTTGGTGACGCAAGCCACCAGTTCATTTTGCCGCTGACTCTATGAAACTTATATTGTAAACCGTCTCCACATTGTGAGATCAGACCGATCTTACCATGGTTTGGATTTAAATGATATGTCAAACCATTGCTATGACGAGAAGGGACGAGATGAAGTCGGACCATGACCGTCTGCGAACGTATCATTCACCATTGTCTCACCATTTTGAATTCTTTAGATTCGTCATTGTCGTAGTCTGATCTGTCGTTACCCATCTTGACTGAGCTAGGCTGCTCAGACTTGACGATGCCCAAGTCTTGGACCTTCTTGATATTTTCCGGTATTCCTCTAGAAATGGGGTATTACTTTGGTCCTCAGGTTTTTGTTGGTTCTAATGTTTCTCTTTGTTTTCAGGCTTAGAGCTCTGTCCCTCCTTCAGACCCTTATTTGAGCTCCGCTCTCTCCCTTTACGAGTTTCTTGTGGGTATAGTTGAGACTTTGTCTTACCTAGATTTTTTTTCTCTTCGTTTAAACCTTTGTTTTTTTGTTTCTCTCATTCGCCCGCATTAGTATTCTCACATCATGTTTCATGTACATGCTTGTTATCTTTCTTCTCCGACTGATGATATTCTTGAAATGAAGTATCATATTCTAATGTAAGAACATATGCAAGGGAGCTACCCGAAACTGGTAGATGAGGCAAACAAGTATAGAGCATCATTAGACTCGCTCTTCCTCGCACCCGATAAGTAAGTGCGAAAGGCCCCACAAGCTGTCCAGCGTCGCATAATTAGGACTGGCACAGAAGATACAGTGTGCGCAGGGGCAAGGATTATCCAATAAGCTTAACGAAGCATGGATATGACTTAATATGATCAGAAAAGCAAGCCCCGAAATGAGTGCTTTTGATACGAGTGCGCCAGTAAGGGACGATGTAAGCTCAACTGCGGCCGTGCGCGCACGAAAGGGCTAAGTATCAGGGACCCATCCAACATCCAATTCTACTCTCACATTCGCAACAGTTTGTGGATGGAGGGACAAGGGTGAAAAGTGGAATGGTCACGTGCGCGTGACAGGGCGCGACGCAGGCCGGGCGCGCGCAAGAAAGCAAGGCAAGGCTAATTCGGTCCTTGATGGACGCTCGTTGGACGACGACCATCCGCCCCCACCCTTTTGGATAGACGGCAAACACGACGATGACATTGCCCGAGCCTATGCCCACGCCCCTCCATGGGTATGTGGGGTTTGATACGTTGACGAAGCAAGTTGAATCAAAGATGATGCGTCGTGGCTTTCAGTTTAATGTGATGGTCGTGGGCCAGACAGGACTGGGAAAGAGCACGATGATCAACACGCTGTTTTCGTCGCGATTGCTTGAAAGCAAGGGCCGAATGGACCCGTCAGATGAGATCCGTCAGACTACTTCGATTAGCACGGGTTCACACGGTACGTTGACCGGTATGTACTGACACCCATAACAGTGATTATTGAGAATGGAGTGAAGCTCAAGCTAAACCTGATTGACACACCTGGGTACGGTGACCTCATCAACAACGAGCACTGGTATGTACTGACTTGAAAGACCTTGAGTTACGGTGGATCTAACATATTCACAGCTGGGAAACCATTATCAAGTACATCAAGGACCAATACAGCATTTACCTGCGCAAGGAGCTGACGGCTGTGCGTGAACGACACATTCCCGACACTCGAGTGCATGTGGTGTTGTTCTTTATCAATCCATCGGGCCACTCGCTGCGCCAGATTGATATTCAAGTACTGAAGAAGCTAGGCGATATTGCGAATGTAATTCCTGTGATCGCCAAGGCCGATACGCTTACTCTCGAGGAGCGTGATCTGTTCAAGCAGCGAGTGCGTGCAGAACTGCAAAACAACAACATTCGAGTGTACCCATTCGACCATGAAGACTATGACGAGGAAGAACGTGAGCTGAGCAGCCAGGTGCAGGCCATGCTACCGTTTGCAGTTGTTGGCTCTACGAAGGTATACGACGTCGATGGTATGCCTGTGCGTGGCCGCCAATCGCGGTGTGGCATGATCAACATCGAGGACCCGATGCACTGTGAGTTTGTGCCGTTCCGCAATTTCTTATTGCGCACAAACTTACATGACCTGATCGACACGACGGCACATACGTACTACGAGTCGTTCCGCTCGAAGCAGCTCTTGGCCCTGAAGGAAAGCAGTGCAAAGCATCAGCAGCAACAGCAACAAACGCACCACTAGTCGCATGCACGGTATTTCAATCGCTTGGGCGCTCGTCCCGGTCCCTTTCACTCCCCTTTTCCTCTCTGATTCCCGCTCTTGTTCAGCCTAGCGCCGCCCTTCTACTTCGTGTAGACATATGGCTTGCATGGCACGCATTGATCCATAGTGTATGTTTGCAGGCATGAGCATAGATTGACAAAGAACGCTTGTCGATAGAATTGTGCTACAAGCGCCCGGCAAAATGGGGCGAGGGCCGCAGCATAGGCGGCCCTGGCGGTGCCCGGGCTTGATACTAGGGATGAAGGCATGAATACAAGTACGTACGTAGAGCACTACCAGTGTGTCTACGAGGGATCCACATCATATGCGTGCACTGTTGAGGAAGTATGCACGCATGCCGTGAGATGCGAGCTCGGCCTTGGCCTGATCGAACGTGTGACCTTTTTCATGGTTATGACGCCAGATGATCCGGTAGTACCACAAGTGACCAACGCCTTGCGCGAAAAAGCCAAGCGTCGATACGAGACTGAATGCGCCCGTAACCCAATGGCTGTTTGCCAAGAGTCGAATGGTCATCAGAGCGCCCGCACAGCCGGTGGCCCATACACCAATGAACGCATAAAGAGAAAAAAGCAGGTGGCAACCACAGAACAGGAAGTATACGTAGTAAAAGAGCGAGTGTTCCTTCATAAGACCGTAGTACAAAGGGCGGAACCATAGGAAAAAACTAGCGCCTCCCACGCCAACCATGTAGATGATGCTCATGACCAGATCACTGATTTTTCCCTGAAGAATCAGTAGGAGTAGACACGTCACAAAGTTCCACACGAGCGTGGCGGCAAGCAGAAGCCACAGATGGTACACGTCTTTCATGATCCATTGCGAGTCAGGAGGAATTTCACCTGCGATATCCTGATACACAATGGGGTAGAACGGTGGCCAGTTGTTCCTTCCGAATTGTCGCATACGCTCAGTCCGCGCATCCAGCTCACGCTCGCGCTCTTCAATTTCGCGTTCGCGGCGTTCAAGATCATCCATGCGCATAGTTGTCGCTGGTGCTGTTCCATGTGTGCTTGTTGGATAGATCTCTTCCTGCTCGTCCAGATCCACTCGCGCAGAGTACACACTGTCGCCACGCTTCAGCGATGTCGTTTCGAACGGATTTGACTCCAAGTCATCTACGTCGCCGCCCATCACGGCACTTTTTATGGATGGGTCATCAAAAGGATCCGCACCGCCCGGCACTTGCGCTTGGCGTGCCATACTGCGTGAACGTATACGTGTACGTGTTTGCACGCGAGGGACTGTTGAGAGAGCTGGTCCTTGGCAGGAGGCCAACCAAATGCAATGTTGCGCGTGTGAGTGAATCCCACATCAGTGTGCCACGTGGCTATCCGACCCTACGCGTGTGGTAGCAATTGTGGCAACTCTGCCGCTTGTGCAGAGGGGCCTAGAATACGTGCGTGTGCGTGTGTGTGTATTTTAAGTGTGACGCGTGTCGTGCGTGTCGAGTGACGAAGTGAATGTCATCACCGATCACCAAGGTGCGCTTGCGCAGGTCCCACGCTGGAGATGCGAACGAAGAGCCACGGAAGAGCGCGCGTATTGTGGAGCGTGCAAACTCGACGGAGCCGCCAGTGCCGACAGCCGACGATGTCGCTTCGATGGGACGTGCAGTCCTAGAACGCGTCACTAGTGAGCGTGATCAACGCGATGATGGACTGCTGGCAGATCCCTTTTTCAAATTGCCCAGTCAAAGACAGTACCCAGAGTACTACGTGGTGATTCGGCGCCCCATCTCACTAGCGGAAGTGCGCCAGAAACTGAAGCAAAAAGAGTATGCATTTCTACAAGACTTTAAGCAGGATCTCGAACTCATGTGCACGAATGCAAAGCGTTTCAATGTTCGTGATAGCGATATCTGGCTTAAAGCTCGCGACTTGCACAGTTTGGTCAAAGATGCGTGTGCTGAAGCGTATGATGAATGGCTCAGTCACGCCGACCAGCGTTTGGAGAAGGTGCCCATGCGGAGCCACAAGATTACGCTCCGCGCGCCGCGTTCTTCGACCGTGGAAGCGCCGGTCATTCAAACCGACAAGAAGACAAACCCAGCCACCACGGACGCCCCCATGGTGTCTTCTTCCTCCACCTCTGCACCGTCGAAGCCCGAGGTGCACGCGTCTGAAAACGGATCGAAACCGATGCCGGCGCAAGACTCGGCAGTAGCGCCTACGCCTGGCTCGGCTGGCGCTGTAGAAGTGGCTTCAGCTGCTGCTCCAGATACTTCAGCCACACCTGAGGCCGCCTCCCCACACACACCGGCGACGCCGGCCAAGATGGCTGTGCCGTCCACCTCGGTCTCACAGACTGCATCTCCCGGACCAGCTGAGCATGCCGAACAAAGTGCATCGTCTGCTCCAGCCGCATCCACGACATCCTCTACGCCGCATACATCTGCCGCACCAGCAAAGACAACGACGACAACGCCCATGTCAACAGCATCCACTTCTCGTCCATCGACCATGACACCAGGGCTGGCCACGTCCACGCCTGACTCACAACGCACGTACTCGCCGACCGTGGCGCGCATCATCGAGTCTGCATCTCAACCAAACCAGAGTCCTACGGTTCCGTCGCCCACGACAGCGTCGTACCTGGCTGAACGACGACGTCGTGGCGCTCCACGAGGAAAACGACTCAAGGCCATGCTCCGCTGGGCCGTGCAAAATATGGTGGCAGCACAAGACTTGCAGGGTCACGCGTACTCAGAGATGTTCATGGAGCTGCCGTCTCGTGACGAGTACCCGGACTACTACCAGTTTATTCGGCAGCCGCTGTGCTTCGCGGACATTGAGCGCAAGCTAGACTTGAAAGAGTACATTAACCCACATGCACTAGTATCGGACATTCGTTTGATGCTGAGTAATGCACAGTTCTACAATGAAGAAGGCTCTCAAATATGGAATGATGCTCAAGCACTTTGGCGACATCTAGATAATGTGCTTATACCTGGCTTGCTTGCAGAAGGATTTACTCTGGACCCCAATGACCACCGTCAAGCGGCCTTGCCGCCAGGTACCCCTGGCGCTGTGCCGCCGCCACCCCCATCGGTGTCAGCGCAGACGCCACCCATTGTGCATGTCCGAAACCCAATGCCCACAACGTCGACGACAGCCACGCCATTGCCCGCGAAAGCACCAACTCAGTCGCACACACAAACAGCTGATATGATGTCCGTCCAAACGCCAGGTTCCATGACATCGCCCATACAAATGCCGATTTCGAGGATGCCGATGGCAGGTCCAAAGCTTATGCCCAAACAGATGCCGTCAGCGCCGGAAGCGACCTCGTCAGCTTCGGCTTCGGCGTCGGCGTCAGTGGCGCCATTTCCAACCACGAAGGCAACTGTGTCGATACTTGGATCAGCGCGTCCTGCTGGCGTACATGCCATATCGACGCCCACAACTGCCGCGGCAGTGCCATCCACAGCTGTGCCTTTGGATCGCGTGATTCGAGACATGGATTCAAAGACCTGGCCGCCACACCCAACGGCCTTTCTGGCACCAGATTCGTGCATGTCGGAGAAAGAAAGCTCAGCAGGGTTGGCGACGCATCCATTGCCACCATGGACCTCGTTGCATGTATATACAGACGGCGACAAGTCACAGGCCCACGCGCACATACGCCTTGATACGTGTCCATCACATGCGCTGGCACTTCCACCAGGCACACGCTCAACACAATGGCGTTGGATCGTGGACAAGGATATGCCGCAGGCGGGCGTGCGCGTCCTGTTGGATGGACTGGAGGCGCAGGGTCACTGGGATGGTTCATCGTATGCGGTGACGTGGAACATGCCTGCAGGAGAACATGTGCTTGAGGCGCTCTGGTTTCGAGACAATGGCTCCCCAGCTGGTCGCGCACACATTTACATTCATAGTCCTTGAGTAGGTAGGGACCATGGACGAATCGTCGGCAGCATGCATCGTTGGTCCCATCCGATGAATGGCATCCGAGTCATGGGTCTCTCCCCAGGCATTCACCCAACTTGACGCGCACTTTTTGGCACCTGTGCAACACTGCGTCACTCTCAGTCTTTCATGGTCTTTTTTTTTTCTCTTTTCATACCGGGAGACAGGTACTCGTCGCATGGACTCATTCAACAAGCCAGCGAGCACTCAGATTATCAAGGAATGAGCGCGCCATTCGGGCAGCTTGGGGCGCATGTTGCGAAGTGACCGAGTCAAGTAGCTGAGCTGTTGTGCTAGTGCGCGACGAGACATCATGCGTCGGTCGCGTCAGTAAACGCGCCCACGCGCTACCGGCGCGATTCTCCCGACGCGTTACACTTGGAACGCCTGCATGCGCCGGTAGATCCGCCATCGCGGCTAGAATACTCGGCATGTGATCAGGAGGTGCCAAGGTGAGCGCATGTGCAAGCACTTGAGCACGCGTTTGCTCGTCAGTCCACAACGGATTCTTTGCTAGTTGGAAGCAAGTGCGCCACGCAGCATCATATGCCTCGACATTCGTCGCGCGATCGATGGCCTGCACAAGTGTTACAAGTCGCTCACACTCACGGCAAGCAGCGACCAAATCGCCATTGGCCGCTGCAGCATCGACGAGCATGGCCGAAATACGTACGGCATTGTCTGTCGATCCACTGCCTTCACTGCACGCTTCGCCCAGGGACCGAATCTGCCGTGTTTGGTACGCGTCCCTGTTGTACGCCAGCACACGGGCAAAGAGCTCGAGCTTCTGTGGCACCGCTCGGACCCGCCGAGGCGTGAGCGGCTCAGCAGATGATGGCCAGGCGTACTCGTGCAGGCGTGCAAGCAAGTTGAGGAATGCCAATTCATTGCGGATGCGGGTTGTGTGAGGCATGGCCTCAAGTGCTTCGCGCGCACGTTGCAACAAGCCATGCAGCGGATCACACGTAGGTGTCTGGTCCATCCAGGCCCGAGCTGTCTCTAACACAAGGTCTTCTGCCTGCGTCGCAGTCATATGGCATGCAAGGGACGGGCATATGACCGGCAGTGCCTGCACTACCTCGTTGAACACAACGGGTTCGCGTGCGAGCAAGAGCTGGCGGAAGAATGTGCGGACACAGGTGACTGGGAGACGCGGGCGATGCACACCAATCCACGGCGCAAGCGCACAGAGAACGCGTTCGATGGCATGTCGTTCATTCCCTCGCTGTGCCAACGCATGCTGTACGAGCTCGGATGTCACTTCATGCGCTCGGTGCGCTTGTACATCATCGGCCCAAAAGAAACGCGGCGCATGTGAATGTGCGCCGGCTCGCGAGAGTGCAACCGTCATGTCAACAAGCACACGAAAGTCACGCAGTCCCTCGGCCAGCAGAGACGGCGAAACGACAGTAAGTCGCTGCGACAAAGCATAAGGATTGGCATCGAGTGTGCGAGCAAGTACAAGGTACAGAGAAGACGGCGGCTTGTCAGGACGAGCATCGCCGAGACCGGCCGCTTCAACTTCGTCGCCATGGAGCGGTGAGGCGTGTCCATCTTCCAGTGCATGTACAAGCTTCGAATACATGGAGAGAGACGTAGCATCAACGGCCTCAGACGTCCCCACAACTGCCAGCACAAGACGAGCACGATCTGCATCGCTTAGCCACGGATGCGGGTAAGCCATCATTGCTTCGATGAAAGTCAGCACACGTGCATGCGGTTGAGTATCCAAAGCCACCAGCATCATGTACACACCCCATTCACTGGGCGTGAAGGCAGGGAGAGCATGTGCATCTGCATACGTGCCGCGCTGCAGGAAAGGAAGGACCGAGTCGTGCAAGTGCCGTATGACCAGGTCCGGTGGCAATGGCTGACTGGTAACGAGGCTAACTAGCTCAGATGCACGCGCACGATGCAGAGTCGTGATAGAGTGGGCATCACCAGCATGTAAATCATACACAAGCATGTGAAGAAAAGAGAGTTCTTCTGCAGCTGTCCGCAACGGCACCAGACCTAAACGCTCGCCCGCTTTGGCAAGATCCAGCGCGGCATCAACAAGGCCCAAGCGACCTTCTAGTTCACGCACCACACCCATATACCAGTCAGACAGAGCATCAGGTGGTGCTGACGGTGCGACGGGATGAATCGCAGCACCACGAAGAGAAAGCGCCGTAATGACGGCTGGGTGCTCGACCCAGAGCGCAGCGGTCGCGAGACTCGTCGGCGTTGGCGCAGCCAGTGCATCAATCCACGCTCCACTCTCGCGATCCTCAACAGGCAGACGTGTGCCCGGCAAGAGGCGTAGTTGCAAGAGGCGCTCTGGCGAGACGCCACCGGCCGTCAGCAGCATATGCAGGAGACCAAAGCGGTGCGGATACAGTGAGCGTGCAACCGTAGCATGTGTTCCTATCAGCGCACGCAAGCCACGCTCATTGCCAGCGAGGCACAAGTTCTGTGCGTGCTCAAGAAAGGGTATATCGGCAAGAGCCGCTAAGTCCGATTCAACGTGCGCAGATTTCGATCGGGACTGAGGAATACTCAAAAGCCATCTCATGTGCCAGAGCTTGCGCCGCAAAATAACGCGTGGCAGCCGATGTGGATCTGCATCGAGCCATTCCAAGATCAGGTCCGCTGTCGACACGGTCGCTGAGCGACGCCGCTTGGCTTCAATCGCTATTCCTTGTACTTCTTGGTCAAACGAGGCAGTGCGCTCCGTAGCATAGTTTAGCACGCGCTCTGCATCGACAGCTAGCCACTGTACGCCAGAGCGAACGGCTGCAATAGCCGCAGCTGCGACCCACCATGCATCGTCGATCGCTGCGAGTGACGTCAGCACACTCTCAGCGTCACTCGGTAAGGACGAGAGGAACGCCCGTTTCTGGGCCGCTGCTTGATGGTGATCCATCATCCAGTTGTTTCCTCCTCTTAGATACCCGCAGCTGCAGCAAGTTGGAGACTGACGAACCCTTCGCGGCGGTCCGTGCTCGTCCCTCAAAAAAATCTAAATATATTCTTGACGACGCGTCGCCTCGAGGATACGGCCGGCCGATACAAAGATAGAATTTCTTAGCCTTCGAACAACTTGCTGACTCATGTGCTCGAGTGACTCCGAGAGTCAGACCGTGCCTGACCTATTAGGCCAGTATTCCTCGCACGCCCCACGAATTTGACCTACGCAGGATTGACGCTGGTCACGCCCGAAGCCCCTCCACCCCTCCCCACCCACTTCGCGAAAGGGCCGCGTGACCTGAGGCCCGCCGCCTTGCATTGGATATATCGGCCACACGTGGACAGCTTATGCGAGGCATGCCAGCGTGGAATGCACGTGCGTGCGTGCACAAGCCAAGTCCCCCAACATCGCCGCGTGACGCACGGCCCGGCTACCGAGCATAGTGCCGCGTGTGCAAGAGAATAAGAAGCGAGCGATATGGAATTCCTAACCGCGTTTGTTCCTTACTTACCCACAAGCTAGCGGCACGCGTCCTGTAGCGCAACGTACTGAGAGTCCATCTGCTATACAAGTTGGGCCTTCTGCTCCCTACAGACCAATCCTCTGCTTGACAAGTGTTGGTTGTCCTGTCGTTCCTGAAGCTTAAGGTTGTGCTGTCTACATTTGCACGTCGTTCCTAGAGGCACTTGACTGGCTCGACCTTTACCCTTACTATTTCTTGTCAATTGGACTTTTTGTCTAGTAAATTTTATTGCGACATCCTTCGATATCTCTTTCTTTCTCTCTTTCTTCCTCTCTCTCTCTCTCTCTCTCTCTCTCTCTCTCTCTCTCTTCATCACGAATCTTTCCCACGTCTCTATATTAAATTGCCATGTGGGAAAGCGTTAGTGCACTTATTCCAGCCATGCTCGAGCGTCTTCAGGTCTTAGCCATGAGCCGCGTGGCGCTGGTGATGAGCGGCATTGCCGGTGGAGTTGCTCTTCTTGCTCTGATATGCCAGCCTGTCCGCCAAGCCCTTGTCTTCTCATATAACTGCTTCCTTCAACCTCTTGGCAAGACGAAGAATCAGGCCGAGCGTCTTGACCGCTTCTACGAACACCAGGCCGGTGTTTACGACGCCACACGCACAGGTCTTTTGCGTGGACGGAAAACAATGCTGAAACTGTGTGCGGCTGAAATGCGTCAGCTGCGTGAAAAGGAGCCACACCGCAAGCTTGTGTGGGCTGACATCGGTGGCGGCACCGGCTGGAACATTGAGCAGATGGACAAATTTTTCCCCGTCGCCGAGTTTGACCAAATCTATCTGATTGATCTATGCGAGCCGCTTCTCAAGGTCGCTCGAGAGCGCTTCAAGCGTCTCGGCTACAAGAACGTACAAGCTCTGTGCCAGAATGCCAAGGACTTCACTCTACCCGGCTTGGATCCTGAGCAAAAGGTGGACCTCTTTACATGCTCGTACTCGATTTCCATGATCCCACCCTTCTATGCCGTGTTGGATAGGATCAACGAGTTCCTTGACCCGAAAGTCGGTGTATTTGGTGTGGCTGACTTTTACGTGTCTAGCAGTGAATCAACGTCTGACCAGCTGACACTCGTTGGTGGCTCAATTATGCGCCGCTGCCACTGGCTCAACTCGTGGTTCTGGCGCCACTGGTTCGCACTCGACCATATTGAACTGCATCCAGCCCGTCGCGATTACCTCGAGCACAAGTTTGGCACGCTCAAGTGTTTCAACGGACGCAACAACTTTGTCATCCCGTACCTTGTGCAAATTCCTTATTACGTGTGGCTTGGTGTATCGCGTCAACGCGACACGAGCAATGCAGCTACGGCGTTCGAAGTTGAGGCGGGCAATCATGTCATTGTGCCGCCGTCGTTCCCCGACGTTGCTCGTGAGCGTCTGAGTCAGTCCAAAACTAACAACATGTCGACCGAGGGTGCGATCGAAAGGCTCAAAGGAGACAGCTCCATGCAGTGGCCTCAGAGCTCGTTCCACTATCAAAAGAAGCTATGGCGTCTGCCATTCGTCGATGACCGCTTCAGTGATATGTTCCGCACCTGGATCTATGGCTTCACGTGGGAGGACCCGTACGTTGACATGGAGCATCTGGACCTAGGCCCCAGCGACTCAATTCTCTGCATCACAAGTGCCGGAGACAATGCGTTGCATTATGCAGCGACGGCGAAGCCACACCGCATTCATGCCGTTGACATGAACCCGTGCCAAGGACACCTGCTGGAGCTGAAGCTTGCCTCCATCGCAACACTCGACTACGCAACGTTCTGGAGCATGTTTGGCGAAGGCAAAATCGACAACTTCCCTGATCTGCTCGACCAGCGCATCTCGCCGCTGTTGTCTTCGCACGCGTATCAGTTTTGGAAGTCGAACAACAAGTCGTTTGAGCGTGCATTCTACTTCCGCGGCTACTCTGGCCATGCGCTGCGGCTTGCCAAGGCCGCGTTTAATCTAATGGGTGCCAAAAAAGATGTCGTGGCTATGTGCACGACCAAAGACTTGGCGGAACAGAAGAGGATCTGGGATACGAAAGTCCGCAAGACCATCATCAATGAGACTTTGATTCGTGTTTTCCTCTCGAACCCTGCCTTCCTCTGGAATGCACTGGGTGTTCCGATCAACCAGTTTGACATATTCAAAAACGAAGGCTGCTCAGTGGAGCAGTTTGCCGTTGACACACTCGACCCAATACCGGCTCGCTCGCTTATGTCGACGGACAATTACCACTACCGCCTCTGTCTTATGGGCAACTACAGTCATGAGAGCTGTCCCCTTTACCTCAAAGAAGATGCATTCAACGCGCTGAAGGCCGATAATGCTAAGGCGCTTGACTGCTTCCGCCTCCACACAGATGCAATCGTCTCCGTGCTCCGTGGAATGCAGGACGCAAGCTTGACCCGCGCTATCCTCATGGACCACATGGACTGGTTCAATCCCGTGGAAGACTCGGTACCTATGCCGTCATTGGACGCGGCTCGCAACGAAGAGGACAAGTCAGTCGCTGACCTCGATCGTGAGGTCGTGGAGCTCGCTCGCGTCATTTGTAAGGGCGGCGCCGTGTTCTGGCGCAGTGCTGCCAAACACCCGTGGTACTCCCAGCGCTTCGAGAAAGCTGGCTTCCGTGTCGCCCCCATCCACATCCGTGAGACGGGCAAGCCCATCGATAATGTCAACATGTACGCATCATTCTACAAGGCTGTGCGGATGTAGACGCTATAGACCGAAATTGCAAAGGGCGCTGGCGTCGCTCATACCCTTTAGAATGTTGAGGGTAATGGACCAATCACCTAGTTCGGAATTCTGGGGTTGACCAACACCGTGGTGGCGACTGATGAGAGGCCCTGTGCCTGTTTTCGCCGCATGCCACTAAGTGTGGAGGACCGTGCAGGGGGGTCAGGGCTGACCACGAGGGATCAAGGCACACTCACGTGATACCTTGAAGGCGTTCAGCGCCTTCTCGAACGACATAACCCAACTCGAGAAAGACACCCAGTCAGCCACACACAGACCCGTGGGGGCGCGGCTCACAGCAGCATGTTTGAAAAGTCGCTCACGTCTCTGATCAAGGGACTACGCTCACATCGAGGAAAGGATGAAGCCAAGTACATAGCACAAATGACAGAAGAAATCCGCAGTGAAATCAAAAGCGCGGACATGGACATCAAGGCCGAGGCTGTGCTGAAGCTCGCTTACCTGCACATGCTTGGTTACAGAATCTCTAGTGCATCTTTCCATATTGTAGAGACGATGGCATCGTCCAACTACCGGATCAAATTCATCGGATACTTGGCCGCATCACTTTGTTTTTCCGAAGACACAGAAGTATTGATCCTCGCCACCAACCTCATCAAGAAAGACTTACATGCAGCATCCCCTCTCGATGCGCTGGCTGCTTTAAATGGCCTTTCCCATATCATCACACAGGAGCTTGCACGGCACCTTGCAGACGACGTCATAATGATGCTTACGCACACACGCGCGCTTGTGCGCAAACGCGCCGTGCTTGTCCTATACCAGGTCATTCTACAATGTCCAGAGGTTTTGGAGCGCACGTACGAACGTATCCGTGATTTGTTATGCGACAATGACCAGAGTGTTGTTACTGCTACGATAAATGTGCTTTGTGAGCTGGCACGCCGAAATCCTGCGCCCTTCGTTCTCCTTTCTCCGCAGCTCTTTGAGATCCTCACGTCTTCTAGCAACAATTGGCTTCTTATCAAAGTGATCAAACTATTTGGAGCTCTCACCCCTGTTGAACCGCGTCTAGTTCGCAAGCTTGTAAAGCCCATCTCATCCATCATTTCGACAACCCCAGCCATGAGCCTACTGTATGAATGTATACACACCGCGATCATCGGGGGCATGCTTGAGAGGCCAGACAGCGATGAGCTGGCCTATCGCTGCGTTGAAAATCTTGGTCGCTTCCTGCAAGACAGCGATCAAAACCTGCGCTATATATCTCTTCTTGCCCTCGATAAGCTTACACCTTCACATCCACATCTTGTCGCCCAGCACCAACAACTTATCCTCGAGTCAATGTGGCACCCCGATTTCACCATTCGATTGCGTGCTTTAGAGCTGGTCGTGCGCCTTGCATCTGACCCACTTTCGCTACGTCCCATTGTCGACTTCCTTGTAATGTACCTCAGTTCCTCCGAAGACATCTCGTCATCACCAAGTGCAGCACAAATGCTACAAAAGACGCTGGATGCAGACAAAGCCCACGTCCTTGAGCCTTCAGTTCCGTCGCATATCACATTTTCGGCCCTCAAAAAATTTCATGTACAAGTTGCCGAGAGTATTCTCGACGTGGGCTGTGCCAACAAATTTCGTCACGTCCGTGATCCTTCTTGGTACTTGAATGTACTCATCCGTCTTGCACAGATGGTCGATGCAAGCATCGTGTCTCGCATTTCAGACCAGCTCACCGACTTTGTATTTATGCACGAATCTGTTCAGGCAGAGGCGTGTGCAATGCTTTTACCTTTGCTTTTGAACGAAAATATCTACAATCGAGAAAATCCCCTATCAAATTTGCTGCGTGCCGGTGCACTGATCACTAGCGAATTTGTCGAGCATATGCAATCCATCCCAGATGTTGTCCAGTCCCTTCTCCGAGATGAAACGCACGATCTGCCTTCGCGAACGGTCGCAGTCTTGGTACACAGTGCGCTAAAGATTTTTGCTTATTGGACCGCTCAACTTTCTCAGAACTGGAACCAAGGTGCGAAAAAGTCTCTCGAATGTGTTACAGAGTACTTGGTGCATCATCTCGTAACACTTTCTCAAAAGGACGATGCTGAGGTGTATGAACGCTGCAAAGAAGGACTTCAGCTCTTTGTTCTTCTTCAAAATGGCATCAAGGGCTCAGATGTGCAAGATAAGGCCCCTGTACCTGATTCGACTCAGGAATGGGGAGATGCAACGATACCTGAAAGCACGGCGCCCCGTGCATTACATCTTCTTTTGCCTCTATTTCATGTGCGCTCAGAAATCCTCGATCCACCAGCGCCGCTGCCCTCATCTATGGACTTGCATGCATGGATCGTGTCGGAATCTTCGTGGAAGCAAATGCTTGATGCAGTTGAGCCCATATCCAAGCCACCAGGCAGTCATTCGAAAATGCTTGAAGGACACACGAGTATCCAGAAAGCATCGACCTCAGCGTCTACCTTGCTCCCCGATGCAAGCAGCACCTTAGCCCGTGCATCCTCTGTGCGTTCGTCATCGGGACCAGAGCACGGATCCAAGCCATTGTCTGCAAGAGATCACTCGGACAATCCCTTCTACCTCACGAGCAAGCCGCGCATGAAAAAGTCCAGTCGAAAAAAACATTCTGACATTGCACGACCGTCTGAACCAAAACCAGAGTTTGACGACCTCCAAGACATTCCGATTGTGAAACTAGATTTATCTGATCTAACTCCTCAGAAGAACCATGATACCCCAACTCCCCGGACAAGCTCACAGGTTCGACCCAAAGTTGTGTCCCACAAGAAAAGCGCTCGCCGAAAGTAGTTACCTTCGTCGACAAATCTCGTTGACTCTCGGCGTTTCTATGGACCCGATTTACCTTCCTCTGATCACCCTTTACTACTACTTTAGTCAATACGCGTCGTAAATATGTAATGGGTGTCTGTCGAATAGCTTACCTGCGGTGATTTTTCCCAAACGCGCGAAACACGCAACTTTCATTGTCGTTAATGACCGAGGATAGTATGTGCGGAAAGGCGCTAGTGTTAGTTTGCTCACGCATTCTAAGCCAAGAATACTGGTGATGTTCAAAAGACCATCTCCATTGCCATTCTAGTTGCGGGACAGCCGCCAAAAGAGATGGCAGAGAAGTATGGTGGATTCGAGTATATGTTTCGCAATGCACTTGCAGAAGCCCTAGGCGTCATACCGCGCCATCATTGGCACCCAAAAATTTCGCTTCATTTGCAGGCATTCAATGTAATGATGGCCGAGTTCCCAGACATTGCACAATTGGATGATGGCATGTGGGATGCCGTGATCGTCACAGGAAGTCGTACGTACGCGCAACGTCTTTCTCTTTAGTCCTCTCTTTCTTTTGACCCACTTACTTACACGGACAGCCGCATCTGCAATGGAGGAGAACGTTTTGTGGATGGATGTGCTAACTAAATACCTTTCGCATCTTGTATACGAGCATCCGCTTGTCCGTATTATTGGAATTGGTTTTGGGCATCAGCTGATTGCACGCGCCTTTGACGGCAAAGTTTCTCATGACAAAAATCGTGCAGAGGTACGTGCCTTGTACTATCTAGAGGAGGAATGGTACTAACGGACACAGTTCGGTGTGACGCGGTTCAAGCTGACACGAGAGGGCACTGACATTCTTTCCCCATTTGAGAAGGAAACAGAGTGGGTACGTAGGATGGAATGCATCAATACTACGATGCGAGAGAGTCTGTATGATAAGACCGGCGCAAACTCACACTTTGGACAGGCATTGGAACAAGCGCACATGGACTACGTTTCAGAGATACCACCGCCCGTGGAAGGAGATGAGTGGCAGTCTCTAGGTGGAAATGAAAAGTGTCCTATACAGGGACTAACTTTGCACTATCCAACGGAGGCGCCGCCGCTTCCCTCCTCTGTCAAGACTTCTACATATGTTGCCTTTGACGTGGAAGACAACGTAACGGGTGCATCGGGGCCTATGCCCGTCCGAAGTGTGCACGTCCTTACCCTGCAAGGACATCCGGAGTACAACGCCTCTGTCATGCAGGATGTATTATCATTCGTCCATGCATCTGGTTTGATTAATGAAAAGGAATTCCATGATGGCCAGGTCCGCGCCAATGAAAAGCAACAGAATCTTGAAACCGCCAAAATTTTACTGGGTATGCTCGGAATGGAACCTGCAACGGTCGACATCGACCCGATGGCCCAATAAGTCAATGCAAATGCTCGGAGCAACAAAACTCTCGTAGCAATCGGGTAGCTTCATGACACGCGACTAGCCCTAATTTGGACAAATCACATGATGCAAGCGCTCTAATTCCGAGAAAAGGTGCTGTAATCTTGGGCACAGGAATGCAGTTGGAACAAATGATTTCTCGGCACCGATGAGTGCTGCCAGTTTCGTCGGTGACGCGTGATTCAAAACAAATATCCAGGGACGCGCTATAAGTGTCCAACCGGCAATCTTGGTTCCGTCACGGGGGTTTAATCGTTAATCTAATCCCGCTAAAAGAGACAACGGAAGAGAAACAGCGACAGACTTTCTGCTGCGTTGGAATCCGAGTTTGGAGCCCGCTATGTATGTCGTCGCACCGGCTTTACCAGCCCCTTACAAGTGGCTTCAGGTCCCTTTAAGTGCGCTGCATACGGATCGATGGCCTGGCTACTTCGCCATGTGGCCAGAGCGATCCAATATACGCTCATACTATGTAATGATCCCTGCCGAGCTCAAAGATGCATTTTTCCGCAACCCTAGCATGCGTGATGCTTCGCAGTGGTCACTGGCAGTTATTGCTACAGCCACGGTAGTAACTAGTGCCATGGCACTTTATTATTATGCAACATACAATGGATTCGAGCCTGCTAACTTGAATCTTGGTTATTATGTTTCTTTGCTGAGCCCACAGGAGTTTAATTGGACATCAGGATTCTCTTTCAGCTTTTTGGATCTCAATGAAGACGATGAGGAAGATCATGATGATGACGAACATATTGACCCTGAGCTCCTCGATGGCTTTGAGTCTGCAAATTTACATCACTGCTGCAATGTTCGTCTCGTTAGTGCAGATCCGACCAGTGATCTTTGTCACCGTCCGCTCCATATGGACTTGTTGGAAGGTAAAACAAGTCGCAAGCCGTTGTGCTCAGGTATATTGAAGAGTCCTCGAGCTTCAATTTTGAAACAACCGAATCAAAGTCTTTGCTGCGATCTACGAAAGCCAGCGGATACTCCTAATCTGCGGCATTCTCGGAGTTTTCAATATGCGTCCTCCTCTCCGCGAGGATCGTGGGTGAAAGAATACACTATATCCAAAGGAGGGAAACGCTTGAAGACAAGCTCAAGTTCAGACTACTTGACTGTCCCCCCGGAACAAACATGTCCAGCGTATGAGCGAGCGTCGCACCCCATCAAGAATCCATCACGGAGAGTCTCACTTACTGAGCCGGACTGGCAACCTTTTGCAGACTCACATTATCGTGCCCGGCAACGAACTGTCCTCGCAAAATTGGTCAAGACATATCTTAACAAGTCGCTTGACTCAACTACGCCCTCCACGCCCACTGAGCAGATGGCTGATAAATTCTTTAAAGAAACGTTGCCGCTAGTTTCATCCTCACCTCTCCGAAATGGATCTGAATTTTGGTTTGAACGTTTCGCTGGATCTACAGCGGCAGGGCGTAAGCGCAGTGATTTCCGTCGTCGCAAAAGAACCCTTGCTGACAGCTTCAACTCGAGCGTATTCGACAAGCTGATCCATTCTCCAAATGCTGCTACGCCCGAATGAAAATTATGATTTCAAATCGAAATCGACCCTTGCAATTCTTGCAGATGCTCCCCGGTCTCATCGTTGTCATTGGATTTTTCTGTAAATGGTTGGGTTTTTGAGTCCTTGATGTGATGGTAAGGAATGTTTTTAAGGATGGTTGTGCCTCAAGCTATTTTGGATAATCGCTTTGCCCCTCTTTCATCTACAGGTGTAATTCTGGAACAAAAAAAAATTGTACACGAAGTTGTGTGTCATGGGCTATAGAATAAAGAATGTGTCAACTGCATTCTCACAATCGTTAGTAGTTCTGTATTAGTGCGTGTAATGGGCTGTGTATATTTTGAACAATTTGGGTTAGAGTTTTGTAACAATATGTGGACTGCTGACTTAGTTGTGAGTGTGCACGTTAAGGATCGATTCTCCTGGTAAAAGCCAGCAAAATGTCAACATGAAAAAATGATAAGTTCGACCGATTTTCGGGAAAAGAATGCGCCAAGGGGGAATCGAACCCCCGGCACAGCTAATCCACTAACATTATGGCAAAGCTGTATTTTACCACTAAACCATTGGCGCCTGACTGTTGAGCAGTAGGTCTTAGTACATAATTTATCGATTTTCACATATATTTAGAGTGGTTATAGCTTCGCGCTACACCTATCCGAGCCCATTATGCAACCCATAGAAATAAGATCTATTCAAATCGCAGTTTTATGGATGTACGTATATGATCCAGGATCTGGATGACAGATTCCTCAGCAATAGGGATGATTTGAGAACGCAGTTGCAGATCGGTAAGCCCTTTGCTGGAGCAGAAAGCAAGCTGAGCTTTGATCTGGGACTTGGGCGGATTCATAGGGTTATAGCCAGAGATGAGAAACGCAAAAACATGCACGCTCTCCGCGTCTTCTTCTTCTTGCGGGGAGGGGTCGATGACAACAAATGCCTCTTCTCGTGAATCTGGGTCCAAGACACGTTCCCGGGGAGCATTAGTACGATTTAGCACCGCACATGCGGTGGCAAGCACAGTTGCGCGAATGGGTATGTTGGCATCCATCAGAGCTAGCATAGACGCATTGATGGATGCTGCTACTTCAGAACCAAGAAAGGGCTGATCAGGACCCAAAAGTTGTGGCCTGTGCTTTGACTCTTCAATCCCTGTGCAGGGTTGGCCATCCAGGGACAGGGGCAAAGTAGAGGACGAGTGCGCAGGTGTCCCAATAGTTTGTATACTCAGTTGGATAAGGGATCGGGGATGGTGGTGCAGCAAGATGGCAGATTCGAATAGTGTTCGAATGTCAGTTGCAAGGGATGTCGTTGCGATGCCTAAACGCGTCTGTTAGACGTTGCGGAGTACGAACCTTGGATTCCATTCAGTGGGGATACATGGACCTGGAGTGTGGCCCGATCTGTTAATTCATCACGAAGGCGGACTTCGACCGGTCCTAAAATTGTCGCTGCACTGCATTGAGTGCCTGTCAGTATTAGCTAGATTGTTTCCATGGGATAGTGTGCGTACCAAAAGCAAACATAGAGCTCCCATCGGCACGAGTGAGCCAGTTTAATTTACAAGATAGAGTACGTGGTGCGTGTAAATTTCGTCGAGACATGTGAATGAGCAACAACTAGACGAAATGTTGACCTTGATGACGGAGCGCTGTAGGACTGGTGTGCCTCGATAAGAACCGGCAGTTGCGGTGTAGCAACATGTGCAGATGGTGGAGGGAGAATTTTAGTTGTCCACCTACATTTGGCGCTGGACAGCGAACGCGCTGAAGGAAAAATGCGCGAAACGGAAGAAAAATGGCAAAATTTTGATAGCGTTACCCCTAGCACTTCGGCGCTGATATCCTACGCGTAATATCAAAGTGAGAGGTGGGATGTCGACCGATTCCAAGGCACCCGTGCCAAAGAAGCGGACGGTTCCCGCGGCCTTGCGCCCATTGAAATATGTCGGGATACCAGAGAGCGTGCTTGCATGGAAGCCACGCCTTCCATCACGCAAGTGGTGCATGTTTTGGGCTTCATTGGCAGGACTTGGAGTAGTATACTATGATGACCGACGTCAGTGTAAGAAAATCATGGAAGAATACAAGGAGCGAGTGCGAGGGCTCTCTGAACAATCGATGCACCCGCTTGAGCACCCGCGTAAAGTACTTGTGTACACGGCCAAGTATCCTGGTGACGACAACTACGATGTGGGCGTACGCTTTTTCAAACGCTACGTGAAGCCAATCCTAGTAGCAGGTGCCGTGGATTATGAGATCACTAGCGGAACGAGCTACGGAAATCTGGCGCGTGAACTTCGGAATAGGATTCATCAACGTCGACGCAATCTCGCTGGCGTCGAACCGTGGACGACGAACACGGTCGCGGGGACGTCACTTCCCACGACGCTTTCACCTGCCCAATACTTACAGCGCGAGCTCGAAGGGGCGGTCGTACTTATTGGGCGTCCTGCGCTGAAGGAGTGGGCATGGGCACTGAAAGAAGGCTGGGGCACCACCATCCCGGTCAAGCCCATGGACTTTAGTGAAAAGTTGGCCACAGAGTTGAGTGAAGATTCCGCATTTGAAGAGATCACTGAAGCGGCGACCACCGAATCCGACGTTTCCACGAGCACACAGAGCCATGAACGTGACAGTGAAGCTGCATTGCCGGCTGTGCCGACTGTGCCAGGACGTGGTTTCAGTGTCCCTACGCAAGCGGGGCTACAGTCTATGCAAAGACGCCCACCATTCTCTCCATTTGCCATCCCCCCCTCGGCTGCTCAGAGCCAGAGCGTGGTCACAGAGGCTACGTCCGAATTAGGTAGTAAGCCGGAGCCCGAGTTGCCGCCCATGTCGCCTATTCCTGCGCAGCCGCCGATCTGCTTTGTTGACTTCACGAACCTGGTCGGATTCAGCAACATTCCTCGCCGTATCGCGCGTTTCTTCTACCGCCGTGAAGAAGTGCGGCGTGGCGCAGAGGCAGGATTGAGCATCGTTCTAGGTACGAAGAATGACGCGCGTGAGTTCCAGGCCGGCGACCGTGGCACAATACCACGCGATCCACCCCAAGGGCACGATCTCGATTGGGGGCTCGAGGAAGAGGCATACTATCCAAGTACATTCTTCAAGACGATTAGTAACATTGAAAAGTGGCGTAAGAGTTATTACGAAGAACTTCGCAAAGAGCTCAAGGCGTCGCGAGAAATTGCACGGGGTATTCGCGAGCCCACGAAGGCGGAAAAGCGCAACATGCCTAAGAGTGAGATCGAGCTCCGCGGCCAGCGCTTTGACAAGGAAGAGCAATGGCGCAATTCTGAGCACGGTTTCAAGATTCTCGACCCCGCTGCAGGCGTTGAATGGGACGAAAGCTGGCGAGGATCATTGCGAGTCTTGGTGCCTCGGTCTCCGGATGAACATGTCCCGCGTCGCACGCAGGAGGCCAAAGATAGTTCTGGAGAAGAGGCATCAGTCTCATCGTAGCAACCCGATACACATATTAATTTACGGGACAGCCGATACAACGCGCCATATGCCCCACCAGTTACCCTTCTCCCAGCCGCCTGCCTCCTTGACGATGCAAAGATCATTGCTGTGCATGTCTTGAGCACAGGCATGTGCAGCATCATCGACAAGCCCATCTAATTCATTCTCTCGAAACAAGTGATAGTCTTTTTTTCAACATGAGTTTAAGTATACGTACATCGATGGTGCACATCTTCCTGCCCATTCGTGTGCTGCGCGGTCCGAACCCAAGGAACAAGTACGTCCTGCGCCTTTGTAGCATCATGGTGTTCGGCAAGTTGAGCGTCAAAAAGACGTCGTCCTCCGCCGCGTTGTTCGAATGCCCATACATACACCATGAACCGCCCATGTCCATGTTCAGTGCCGACCAAGTGTCGCGGTACTGGGCGAACAAGCCGTATGAGCTCCTTAATCGCGTGCATCCGTCGGATAGGTGTGGAGAAATGATGAATCGTTGCAATGCTTAAGGCATAATCAAATACACCCGTTCTGTAGCCGCTGCACAGCGCATCAGCTACGGTTACTTCATGCATACATCGATGTGCCACATCATTCGTATCGGGGAAATTCGTCAGTGCCGCGTCTAGGAGCGGAGCGCATCGGTCGGATCCGAGCGTTGCGATAGTCGCGCTGTTTTTGCCTTTCATATCTGGTGAAACGTGCTTGCCACCATGGTATCCAAAAACGGACCGTAAATGAAGGTATTTCCCATTTCCACACCCTAAATCTACCCCCACGCTCCCGTCAGGTAAGGTGGCAAGAAATTCTGACACAAGGGGCCATGGCTGGAATAAGCCTATCGCATGCACGTGCTTATCGTCCACGTACCTTGTAACGGGTACTCGAAAAATGCTCCGCGATTTCGTCATACACACTACGACATAGTGAGCGCACAGCTCATACGTACGCATGCACATTCTGTTGCTCGTATAGAGCCGAGTCCTGCGCATCTAGTGCTGACGTCACCCGAACTGCCCTCGACGCTGGAGTCATGATGCATTCAAATGTGACGTGTGAATGATTCGTGTGTGAGCATCATGTAATCAATTAGACACTGGGCGCTTGTTTACTTCAAGATCTGGTTAGACGTGTCCTCCACTTGTCAGGGTCTCTCCAGACAACACGCGGGTGGGCGCCTGCAAGGCCTGAGGGGGAAAGGGGTGGGAGAGCGTGGGGCGAAACGGCAAATTGTTCGGGAAAAGAAATGCAGGAAACCAGACTTGTCTGGCTCGCGCCACCGTGTCACTCTTGGACATTCTTTGAGGACTCATGTCGATTACTGCTCCAAAGCCTGCATGGAATGGCCTTCCTATTCGTGTTGGTGTGATTGGCGGCTCAGGCCTGTACAAACTAGATGGTATTGATATTGTCGATATCGTAAACCCAGAGACGGTACGTCCCGAATGAATCCATCTGGGGATCATCACAAACTAATGCATGTAAATATAGCCATGGGGGTACCCTTCATCGCCGATCTCAATCGTGCGCACACCATCGGGCACACTGGTTGCTTTTATTGCGCGTCATGGGCTCACCCACTCAATTTCGCCGACACATGTGCCATCGACAGCGAACATTGCTGCACTCAAGCATCTGGGTGTGCGTGCAATCTTGGCGTTTTCGGCCGTTGGTTCTCTTCGGGAGGAAATTGCGCCAAAAGATTTTGTTATCCCATCGCAGATCATTGACCGGACCAAAGGCATACGACGAGCCTCCTTCTTCGGCGAGGGTGAGGAGCAAAATGTAATTGCGCATGCATCTTTCGGGGACCCTTACGATACACGTCTCTCTCCTATAGTAGAGGAGATTGTTCGCGAAGCTTTGAAGGCACATGCTCCCGATGTCAACGTCCATGCCAACAAAACCGTCATCTGCATGGAGGGTCCTGCCTTCTCGACTCGTGCAGAGTCGGTTATGTATCGTCAATTAGGTGGCGATATTATTAACATGTCTGCGCTTCCAGAGGCCAAACTTGCTCGAGAGGCTGAAATGAGCTATGTGCTCATTGCTACAGGTACGTTCCCGTAACGGGGTCAAGGACTGCTTTAGTCTTACTCTTTTTTTTACCAGCTACGGACTATGATGCTTGGCGTGAAACTTCCGATGTGGTGGATGTAACGGAGGTGCTTCAGTCACTTAATGCGAATGTTCAAGCTTCGAACGTGGTCACTAAGGCACTTGTTGACAAGATCAGTGCTTTGGTCTCGGATGATGATTCAGAGTATTTCTCAAAGATGAATGGAAGCATGAAGAATAACATTATGACGAAACCCGAACATTTGCCAACGCATGTGAAGGACCGTTTGCGTTACTTGCTTCCTTGGTACCCCAACTGAGCATATGAGTGGTTTCATCCATTTGAACGCTGATTCTTTTTACTAGGTGCACCTCGAATGTTTGCCAAGGTCTATCATGGAGGCTACGTTCCAAGAATTTTCGTAGGGATAGACCGGAAGCTAGTAAGGTCTGGATGGTTTTAGTGGACATGGCTCGCTTTTTGCTCTAGTGTGTCTTTTCAGTCAAACAAAGTGTCCTTACCTACGAATGTAGGCTGAAAATTGGCACGACGAAAAAATTTCGACAAGAGTGAGATTCGAACTCACGCGGGCAGAACCCAATAGCTTATCAACTTGTTCAGCTGTGCCTATAGCAGGCTACCGCCTTAACCGCTCGGCCATCTTGTCAGCTATGCGTCTCAAACCTCTCGATTGAGGGTATTTGACGTGTTCGACATGTCAAAGCGGCGCCTTTGGCTCCCCGAAGCTGCTGTTACGGATCAATAGTCGGATGTTGTTGAGTAACACAAGCACATGATCCTCGAACTTTGTCCACACATGTTCACCACCAGCCTTGGTTTGCTGTGCTTCATAGCCTAACTGCATTAGGTAGGCACAGTCACGGACTTCAATTTCAAGTTCGTGCAAGGGCTCGGCTGGCCGGTCGGGCATCACGACCTGCGTGAGATCCACTTGGAAATTCTGCTGCGCGTACGACAGGCGGTCTTTTTCACGCACGAATTTTGGCATGTTCATGTCTTTGGGCGCTTCCACGGGGGTCTCTGTATTAATGCTGATCCTGTAATCGTAAGGATGGTTCGGGCAATACACATTCAGATCGGCCACACGCTGCTTCATTACGATGCCATTAGGTACGATCTGTTGCGACGAAGTGTCGCGCGTGACACGGATGTGCTCGTTCTTGCCCGTGGTATCGGACATTTCGTTGTAAAATGAGTCCGTCTCTTTTCGATGTCGATATGACACATGCTCCACTGGAGGCAGTTGGGCACTGTAAGCCACAAGCTCATTCAGTAGCTTGTTATACACGCGATGTTGCCTCATGGACATGTTGCTTTCAAACCTTGTGCCCAACGCACGAGAATCAATGACTACGGGGTGTTAGCGAACTGTAAGCGCACGCGCGTGGGTTTATGGCATCAAGCACGTACTTGTTTCACAGTGTATGGGAAGTTGCAGACGCGCGTTGGTTTTGCGATCGATCAGCAGGCCAATCTTGGCCTCGATTTCCAAGTTCAAGAGACCTTGGCCATGTTGCCAGATCCATTCTGACACTTGCACTGCAAATTCATCTACAGGATCAACACCAAATATCGAACGCGTGGTCTGCGTGGTGCCTGCCATGCTAGTGCCAGAATGGCCGTGTGAACTGTTAACCAAGAGGAAGTATTTCTAGCCAGCTAGGCAAAAGTAGGCATCTTCAAATTCATCTAATGTACAACTGTCGACCTCCACCGTCATTGTCCTAACATTTTTTTGTTCATATATTCTCATGATGCATAACCGTAGATTCCTTACCACCTGTGCCCTTTGTGTGTGTTTCGACCCATTGTCTCCCCGGAGCATCTTCTGGATTACAAGGTAAAAGAACGGAAAAATCGTCTGCACTTGTTTCATAAGCGGTGCAACGCATCATAGCATCGCCACAAGGTTGAGGATGGGCGGCCGAAGGTAGGGCAAAACTACCATACAAAAACCAAGGATCCCGCCAAAGTTCCAAGCAAGTAGCTCTCTTTTTTGGATCGCGTCGTAGGAAACGGGCCGTAATGTGCCGGGCCTGGGGCGTCACGAGCCGCAAAGATGGATCGTATCCGCCATTTGTTGGCTCATCCTCACACAGCTCATTAGTATGTTCTGGCCAGCGCAGTTCGCCCTTGACGATGCGCAGAAGGTGGGCTTTGCGGTCCCGATTCTCGTGGTACACATCTGGACCGTTTCTTTCTCGCGCATTTCTAAATGCGCTCTCCGAGTATGCGTTTTCCTGCGAACTTGACGATAAAAAGGGAATGGCACCAAAGAGCATCGCATACAACACCACTCCCATAGCCCACGTGTCTGTTTTGCGGCCGTCGTAATTCTTCCCTAAAATCAGCTCGGGTGCAGCATACTCTTCGGAGCCACAGCGCGTTTCGAGCATTTGATCTGCTTTCACAAAGCGCGCGAGACCGAAGTCCGTGATTTTGATCAGAGGCATGGGTCCCAGCTCGTTTGAGGTCAATTTCGTGCTTGTCGTGAAAAAAGCATTCGTTAACATGATATTTTCCAGCTTGATGTCACGGTGTACAAGGTTGATGCTGTGCATCCAATGCACTACATGTGCCAATTCGCCAAAGATCCGACGCACAAGCCATTCGCGCTGCGCCACTTGTCGCTGGTGTTTCTCAAGCAGTTCGAAGAGCTCGTATCCATTCACGGCCTCGAGAACCAGCGTGTAATGCGTAGGGGTCCGAAATGAGCGATAGAAACTGACGATAGCCGGATGTGAGATGCGCTTGAGGATCTCGGCCTCGCGCACCCAGCTTACCCGCATGCGCTCATCAACTTTCCCCGGCTTACAGGCGATCATCTTGAGCGCTACACGCACGTCGTTCGAGCTGTTGACAGGCTTAGCGAGAAGTACTTTGCTGAAAGCACCCGTGCCTAGCAAAGACATGACCTGATAAGGCCCGACGCGACCAGAGGATTCGTCTTCTTCTTCCGTCACCAAGTCAATGGTCTTGAGCAGCTTGTCATCCAGCATGCATTCACGCTGCTGTTCACTTTGTCGATTGGCATCAGAGACAGCGGCATCCTGCAAGGGACTGATACTGTCGGATCTCATGTGAATCGAGGGCCCATGGATATGTCGTGCACCAGACCTCGTCTCTGTCATGGTGTGGTGCTGCAATCGCGCGGCGCTTGCGGGTGGCTCAAGCGAGCGTATCGGCAAGATGGCGTGTTTCAAGGGCGTCTCTAAGTATCCGCCACTAACGATATCGCATGGTTCTGGACGCTGTGGCGAGCTCAAGGCACGTTGCCGGCGCTTGCTGAGCTCTTTAGCGGGACTAGACGTCGATGGGGCGCGGCTGCTGGCGCTGCGGGAGATGCTGGGTGGCGGTTTCGGCGGCGATGGCGCGGCTGTGACCGTGTTGAAAAAGGCATCCGTTTTTGTGTCTGACGGGTGTACTTCCACCCAGCCTTGTGAGCCGTGTGATGAAATCATAGGACTCGGAAGCGCCGTAAGTAACTCGCTAGAAAAGTCGCTCAGAGTGTGCAGGCTTCGCGTCGAGCTAGAAGACCTCTGCATGTTGGATGCGCTGAAGGGATACGACCACGGTTCATCGGATTCTATGTTAGCGAAATTGGATATACCTTTCAAGCCGAGGCCTTGGTTCTCTGGCGGCGAAACATGGTGGGCAGGCGCCATGCTTGCACTGTGATTGATGGCGCCAGGGCCCTCTGTCATACTTGCAGTAGGCGACGTCACATCGATGATGGGCATATTCTGCAGCTGCCGTGTGCCTGGCTTATGTGTGTGACAGTCATCGGTGGGTCTGTGAGGCGCAGGCCAGCCGCTCGGACTCATCGACGTCGAGACGAAGAGAGGGAGAATGAAATACGAACGCCGCCCTCAGTGAAGCGAGCCCTAGTTATCCCGGCCGAACGCGCACGCCCTTCAAGGCCTAAACCCCCTCACCTTCATTCTATGCATGCACCTATTATGCAGGCAAAATTTCGTGCATACGTGTACACGTACTGAACGACTATATTCATACGTTGGTGGGCTTGGCACATATAGAGTCATTTATGGGAAGCCAGGCCAGGAACGTGTGTGTAGGAAAGAAAACGAGAGCCAAAAACGACTCGAGCCAAGAAGACTGTGGCGTGGCGGGTGCCAACATGTCGGCCTCTAGCTTGAGTTGATGGCGCCTGCTCGGCCCATGGTGACCAGGCGCGCGAAGTCTGCGAGCTGATTGAGTGGGATCGAGCAATGTGCCTGCTGGGCATGGAGACGCTGTGCTTCATGCCAGAATTCCCGCGACACGTCTGACGCCTTGGCACAGATGTCCGCGGGCACACCAGCAATATGAGCGACCTGTGTGCCATACGACGATTCCGCTACGCCTGGCACGAGGCGGTATGTAAACACGACATGACGATGCTCGTCGTCGACACGCACCTCCATGTGCCGATTGGCAAGGCGTGGGTACGTGTCAAGGCTTTGGGCCATCGTAGTGTAGTGGGTCATGAAAAAGCACAAGCACTGTGAACGAGCGACAAGGTGGTACAGTACTGCGTAGGCGATGGCCTGGCCATCAAATGTCGATGTGCCACGGCCAAGCTCATCCATCAAGACGAGTGAGCGCGGCGTCGCTTCGCGAAGAATCTTGGACGCTTCAAGCATTTCCACCATAAATGTCGATTGCCGGCGGAACAGCTGGTCATTCGCACCCATGCGCGATGCGATACGATCAACAGGTGCGATGCGCGCGTGTGTCGCAGGCACATAGCACCCCATTTGTGCCAGGATAACGGCGGTGGCTGCGGTGCGGGCGGTGGTGCTTTTACCGGCCATGTTGCCTCCCGTGAGTACCATGACATCTTCAGCATCGGCACCTAATGCCACGTCATTCGGGATAAACTCTGTCGCACCCGTCAAAGAGCTGGGCGCCATGCACGGATGCCGGAGTTGTGTGAAGCGGAACATGGCGGAGTCTTGCTGCACGAGCTCTGGACGGCACGCCGGCGTGCCGAGTGCCATGGAGCTCTTAGCAAGACTCACGAGACAATCCAGCTGCGCGACCGATCGTATCGCACGTGCATATGACGGCAAGTCCTGGCGGAACCAGACATATACATCCTCTTGAAAGCGCTTTAGCGCAGCGACGCGAGTCTCACGCGCCTCTTTGAGCTCGCGAATCAACTCGCGGGTTCGAGGTGTGTAGTAGCGTTTGCATGCTTTCGTCTGACTCATCAGGATCCAAGGCGCAGGCACTTTTGTGCGCGCAGGCACTTCGAGTTGGTAGATTTCATTCGTGCCCACATGTTTCCACCCTGCCTCGCGTTTCGAGATGCGAAGCTCAGCGACACACCGGTCCTTTTCAGCCTCTAAGCGCGCCTCTGCAGCATGTACGCTATCAACGGCGGCATCGTACGCTTCGCACTCGCCCTTGACGGGCGTGAAGGAGCCATCGTCATTCGAGACGAAGTGACTCCGAAGCATCTGTGCCAACTCAGCGACGTCTGGCCATTCCCGCAGGAGAGTGACCAGCACACTCGATGGACGAGAGACTGGCGACTCTGACAACGACAAAAGAGTGAGAAGCTGCTCCTTGGCACTGCCAAAGCGCCCGAACGCTCGCAACACAAGCAAAAAGTCTCGAGGACGGCACTTGCCAGCGGCGATACGCGACTGGAGGCGCTCGAGATCAGGGAGTGACTTGGCGAAAGCATCGAAGGCGTCGGCCCAGGCGGGATTCGCACGCAGGTCGTCCACGGCATCGAGACGAGCCTCGATAGCCTCGATCTTGCTTAGAGGCGACGAGAGCCAGAGCTTGAAGAGCCGGCGGCCAAACGGAGTGGTGCACCGATTCAGCAGGCGGTGCAGTGTGCCTTCATCAGAGCCCTCGTCGTTCTGGAGCACATGCAGATGCATGAGGGACTTGGCATCGAGGACGAGAGCGCCTTGCGCATCGGCCGGGGCCGTTTGCACCTGGAAATTGCCGCTGGCACAAAGATCCGTGTCCAAGTTGAGCTGCTCCAAGTACCACAGCAAGCCGCCTAGAGCACAGAGAGCCAGTCCACCCTGTTCAGCAAGAGGCGCGAGGCCGTCTGGCACGCTGTCAAACAGATGTGCGAGGCGCGCACGTGTCGAGATTTCATCAAGGAACTCCGTGTCGGGCTTGAGCATGGTGATCTGACATGTCGTGGGAACGGTATTGCGAATGAGACGAAGTGTCGATGGCGACATGACGCCCTTCTCATGGAGGACCTCCTTGATCCGCAAAGAGCGCAGCAGAGTCTCGAGCTGAGAAAGAACCGCATCATCCTCGAATGACATGTAGCGGAACTCGGCTGTAGCAGCATCCAGCGTGCAAATGCCGAACTCGGACAAGCCAGATGGCAGGACATGCTCCTTGATACTGATGCAGTAGCTGCTGAGGTCGTCTGCCAGGACACTACCATCGACGATTGTGCCGCTGGTGACAACGTGCCGAAGTTCGCGGCGCACAATGTCGGAGCCGCCGCCACGACTCTTCTCACCGACACGCATACCCTTGGCGACAGCTGTCTCACACTGGTCGACGCGGCCGACCTTGTAGCCGAGAGCTAGGAGTTTCGTGGCAAACATGTCGAAGGAGGCTTCTGGCACACCGACCATCTTCATCTTGACACGATCCGTCAGCTTCAGGTCACACTCGCGATGCCCGATGAGTGCATCTTCTTCATACAATTCGTAAAACTTGCCTTTCTGGAAGAACAAGACAGTGTCCCAGTGTTGTTGCTTGATCTCCCAGAACTGTTTTTCAAATGGTGTGAATGACTTCCATGCACTGGGTGGAATATACAGTGTGCGTTTGTCGTAATTCATGTCGCCAGGCCGGTTCATGTCTTTATCGCGGATGTCCAGGAGGAAGTCGTAGGCTTGCTCATTTTCGAGTCGCTTGCGCTTTTCCTCTTGCACGCGCTGCTCTGCTTTAGTGAGGTGTGAATCGGACCTAGGCATGTACATAGGGGGGGTTGGCGTGAGCGGGGGTAACGACGATGTTGCGGGGGAGGCTGAGGCAGCAGCAGGCGCGCGCGCAGATGCGGACGTTTCGGTGGCAATGCGTTGGGAGCCTGCTGGGCGTCCTCGTTTACTCCGCGGCGGCGTTGCTGCTATATCCTGGACGTCTGGGTCCTCTTCCTGCTCATCTGCTGTTGATGGTTCTTCACTTTCCACGACACTCGCATCCTCATCGCTACTCTCCGAGGACGTCTCTGACAGGACAAACTCATCTTGTGACTTGGTATCATCATCATCATCATCGTCGTCGTCGTCGTCGTCCTCATCAAGCTTCATGTGTCGTTCCGAGTAATTAATGCGTCGAGCCGCACGACGACGCCCTTGTGTTGGAGACGACGATGGAGCGGTCTCCTCCGTCATGGTCACGTCACTTGATGGTGGGGGCGTGAGCGACGACGATGCAGACAAAGTCTTTTGGCTCGTGCGTGGCACCTTGGCAGGTCGAGATACGTCCGGTGTAGGCGACGACAATTCATGCTTGGACGAGGACGCGTCACTGGACCGTTCTGCTGTAGGAGGCGGCGTCGACACAGCTGAGGAAGGGTCCTGCGTGCTTGGAGCTTCTTTCGTAGGTGTTGTTTGCTTAGGCGCTTTGCTAAAGAAGCCCAGCAAGGACGTTTGCTTTGCAGCGCCCGCGGACATGAATCCTAGTGCGCGAAGGAACGCGAGGCGAGAGCCCAAGTTGACGCGAGATCGAGGGGTGGAAAAAAAGGAGGGTGTGGGTGTGGGAGATGCGTGACGCGCGTGACGCGCGTGTCGCGCGCGCGACAGGTGGGCGCATGCACAGAGGGGTGACCGTGACCCAGCTCATGGGGCGCGAGACACGCAATGTACACACGTGACTGACTTAATGCGACACGCGCCCATCTCCACACACACACGCACACACGCGTAAGGAGCAGCCAACGGGGCAAGGATGGATGAAAAGACGACTTGGGCCAGGTGCGGCGTAGTCGCACTGCGCTCGTGCATGCAAGGAACGCGATCGATCAGGGACAGCATACGAGATTGTACAAACACTATGATGTGGATGATGCGGAAGTAGGTATTTGAGATGGCATCGTGGAGACTTACCAGAATGCGCACCAGCCAATGAAGGCCACACACAAGTTCTCGATGGACGTGGCATCCTGGATCAGTCGCTCGATCTGCTCGGGCACCGACAAAGATATGTTGGGATGAAAGTCGCGACCCGTGAGTTTGTTCTGAATGCGACGGACGACTTCAAGAGCACGCTGATTACGAGCCTCGCCTTCGACGCCGCGAATTTCGCCGGCGACCTCATGCTCGTGTTCGTGCGCATCGGGCGCTCGCTGTTCGGCATCCGAGTCGGTCACGAGACGCCAGGAGATCAAGGGATCGTGGACAAATGCCTCGAGCAAGGCGAGCACACTCTCGCGATTGTCGCGCAGGACACGCATGGTGTTTTCTGCGGTGACTTTGAAGGTGCCTTGGATGCCGCCGACCTCCATGGCCTTGATGAGCATGCGTGTGAGACGGAACGGCACCTTCTCTGGGAACTTGGGGCGGTGACATGCGATTTCGAAGCAGTCGCCAAAGTCGATGTGGATGATCTCGCCGGTCTGACGGTCGAGGAGCAGGTTCGATGGGTGTCGATCGCCAAGACCGAGGATGTAGCCAGCGACAGACGACGTTGCCAATGTGCGCATGTAAGCGGTGCGGCGCTCGAGCCAGGCCTCGGATGAGCGGGATTTGAGCCATAGCACGCGGTACAGGTCCTGGCCAGGCGTGTTGTCGAGCGCATACTCGAACACCTCGACTTTTTGCAGTACGGTGAGGTTGTCGTAGTCAGGGGCCATCTGGAGCATGAGGCGGTGCTCGATGTTCAGCAGGATCTTGTGCTGCTCGCGGTATTCTTTGATCAGGATGTGCAGGGTATCACTGTTGGCGACCCAGCCAAGCATGCCGGTGTTGGGCGAGAGCGGGATCACGGGGAAGCGGCGGAGGTTGAGGCGCCGCTTGTACGACTCGGTGTCGATGGACAGGAGCGTGTTGACGAGGCCAAACAGCTGCATTACGCGCTCGTCCTGCCGCATGTCCTCGTGGCCCTTGAGCAAGTACTGGTACGTGCGCCCGTCGCTGCCGCGGATCTTGAGCCGGCGCGGCCGCTGCTTCGACGAGATGACCAGCACGACAGGCTCGAACTGTGTGATGCGAACGATCGGCTGGCCACTCACGTACGTGCCGGGCACGGCGAGCTCCAAGTCGCGCATGGCAAGCAGCTTGGGCGATACATACTGGAGAGCCAGCTGCACGGAGTTGGACGCAGGCAGCTGCTTGGTGATGCGCTTGAACACGTGGTAGTACAGATCCCAGGCCTGGTTTAAGTCGTTGATCTCGCCGTACTGCCGGTACCGCCGGACGTACTCGCGTGCCTCGTTCAGATCGCGTCCGTGGGTCTGAGCGAACGATGTCTCACGCAGCGTCTCGGGCCCGCGCTCAAGCAGATCGTGCAGTGGCCCCAGCGTCGCAAACATGCCCTCGATATTATGCTCGGTAAAGTAGAGACGCGACGCTTCTTCGAGTCCCTCGTGCCACATCTCATGCCAGAGGATCGCGATGCGGATGAGCTCGTTGCTGACCAGCAGCGCTTGCTCCACAAGTACGGGACTGTGCTCACGCATCGTGTCCATGATGCCCATAGCGGCATGCATGCGCACAGGCGACGGCGACTTGGTCGCGACCGTTAGCGGATACACGAGGGCCTGTGGATGCGCTGTGCCGACGTCGGAGAGCAGGTGGTGGATGAGGCGCCGCACCCGCGGCGACGGAGCACTGATGCGAGCGATCATCTGAGGGATGACCTCGAGCCACGTGTCCACGGTGACGGTGCTGAAACCCTGACGCACGGCATCAGCGACATGCTCGAGATGACCAAACTTGAACCAGAGGGTGAGCAAGCGGAGCGTGTCTTGGAGGGAGTTGCCGCTCGCGAGTGAGATGGAGCGGAAGAAGCCATGCACACTGGGCACGATGCTCGCAGCGACTTCGTGGAAGGGAATCGCGACGCCATGGCGCTCGTGGTGCGTGATGACGTCAAAGTTCGCGAGCGCCCATGCATGCCATGCCTTGTACCAGTCGCGGTCGAGCTCCGTGGAGCGCTTGTACGAGCGGATGACGTCATAGTTGTCGTCGACGACCCACTCCTCGTTCATCGCGACCTGCCATTCGCCGAGCTTGAAGAAGCAGCGAGCGAGCAGCTTGGCGAACTCAGCGAGGCGCGGCGAGGCGCGGATGTCTGGCAGGACGAGGTTGTCCTGCTTGTCAACGGAGGCCATGCCCAAGTCTTCGGCCAGGTTCATCGTAAAGTCGCGCAGGTAGCACAGGCTCTCGGCTCTGGCACCGCATGCCCACATGAACTTGAGGTGCGAGTAGATCACGGCGGGCGGCGCTTTCGGCCCGGCGAGCGGCGAGTCCAGCGCATGCACCTCGGGCCCAAGGAGCGAGTTGAGCGTCTTTTCTGCGAGCACCATGCGTCCCGACTTGCGGCACAAGTTCGCAAACTTGATCCATGTGTCCATGTCGTCGGCGGGCGTCAACACAATGCTCCGAACACTCAGGATGCGTTGCCAGACCTCCACATCTAGCTCACAGCCCTGCAGCCGCTTCATCCAGATCGTCCGCATCGTTGCCTGGCGGTCGGGCTGCTCCGCATAGTCCAGTTTGTAGGCTAGAGCCTCTTCCAGCTCGGATAGCATCTGTGTGCGCACCATAAGGTCGTACGCGCGTCCGTAGCTCTCGCTGATCAGGGCCGTCAGCTCCGTGTCCAGCGCGTCGCGCGCACGCGCAATCAGCCGCTTCGTCTGGTGCCGCTGCGAGTGGTGCACAGCCAGCACCGCGCGGTAGAACGAGCGCTCCGACGACTCGGGGCGCATCGCTGCGATGAATTCATCCATAATGTCCCATTGGCCAAACGACCATGCAGCTGCGGTCGCCAAGGGCGCCATTTGGCGCCGGCCGTCGGGCCCCGCTGTCGGCCACTTGGCTTGCACGAGCTCGGTCAGGTGCTCCCACTCACCCAGCGCATGCAGGCAGCGCATCTTGCCGAATACAATCTCTTGCGCATCCGGCTGCTCGAGTGCACGTCGCTCGTACGCTGCCAGCGCCTCTTCCCAGCGGTGCAGCTTTTCGTACCATTCCTCGTGATGCGTGATGTCCATGTGCTCGCGCGCATACGTGAGCGCACCGAACGCCGCGTCACCCTGCTGCAGCTTGGTGTTGATGTCGATGAGCAGCTCGACGATCTGCGGCGTCGGCTCGGCCATGAACTCGGCCTCCTTGTAGTGCAGGGCTTTGGCGTACGCATGGAACTTGTACGCGCGGTCACCCAGCAGCCGAATGCTGATTGGCAGCGCCTTGTCGTCGTGTTCCATGAACTCGGCCAGGTGTAGGAGGATGTGCACAACCTGGTCGGGGATCTCGTAGGCATCGAGGGCGGTCTCGATCGCATGTACAAGGCTCTCCTGGTATGTGTCGTACAGCTCGACCCAGCACGACACAAATGCGGCATTGAACAGCTCGAGCGCCAGTGGGTGATATACTTCCGCGAGGCTCCGGCACGCACGCAGCGCGTGCGACGGCGACTCACGCAGCATTTCCACCGCGACGCGCCGGAGCCACTCGCGCCAGTCCTGGGCGGTCGAGACACGTGATGTGTCCCAGGCAGCTTTCAGGTGGAGTTGGTTCACCGCCATTTTGGACGCCTCCGCATGGGGCGCCTCGTCCGCCTTGTCCAGGGCAAGCGTATCGGGCGGGAGCAGCTCGAGCGGGAGCGGCTCACTGCGCAGGAGCTTCGCGACCACCTGCTGGTAGCGCGGATGCTGGATCCGCTGCTGCACGATCGCCTTGTTCACCACGACGACAAACGGCATGTACACAGGGCCCATCAAGAACACGAGCGCCGTGAGCGTATCGAGCGTCGGTACCCGCAGCTCTGCGACACCGCTCTGTAGCACGCGCACGAGCGGATGGATGATGCGCGATGCATGGTCCGCAAAGTTCACCTTGCGCGACAGCTGGCCCACAGTGACGATCGCTGCACGGCGCAGCACCATCGGCGCATCCGCGCGCTCAAAGAGACCGACCAGCACAGGGAGCACAAGGTGCATATACTCCTCCAGGTTCGCGCCAAACACATAGAAGGCCTGCAGCATGCGTAAAAGCGTCGGCATGCGTTTCGGTGTGATTTCGCCCTCGAGCGTCTGCAGCAGGTTCGGCAGCAGCAGCGGCAGGTACGCCTTGAACTCGCCCTCGAGGGCCCGTGCGACTGCCTCCATCAGCGCGACAATCGTGAGCTGGATCGACGAATTCGGGTTCCAGTCCGCCTGCACAAGCGCAAAAATGTCACGCAGGTAGTTGCGCACGTGCTGTTTGATGATGGTGATCAGGATCGCAAGCTGCTGGTAGTAGAACTCGCTCAGGCCGCCGCCGGCGCATGTGCGGATAACGCCCAGGAATGCCGGCACAATCTGAGGCAGAAACGCCACGCACTTGAGACCCTGCGTCTTGAACATGTACATGATAGCCTCGATCACCGCATGGTGGTGTACAGACAGCGTCGGGTCGCGCAGGATGGCAATGAGCGCCTCGATCGCCACATTCTGGTAGTACTCGTCCGTCGACGTCCCGATGAGCGTCGCAAGCTCGAACAAGTCGGTCTGTGAGCCGCCTGCGGTCACGACCGGGTCCATCGTGCTCTCGAGCAGCTTGTGCCGGTACGGATCCAGCGCACCCAGTATGCCCAGGACGCGGATCGTCTCGCGTCGCACAGGCGCCGCCTGCTCCGTCTTGAGGATCTTGACCAACGCCCCCAGCAGTCGCGGGTACTGCAGGTACGGATTGGCTACGTGGCTCGTGTTCGACGCCAGACGACCCAGCGTCTTGAGCGCCGCGTCCCGCTTCGCGACCGATGCATGCACGGAGCCACTCGACAGCTGTGACACCATCAGCGATACCAGCTCATCGACGAGCGGCGCCAGCTCTTCGCCAGCCACTCGGGCCAGCTCGCCCAGGCACTCTGTCACGCGGGCTGCAACACCCGCATGTGCATCGTTCGCCTTTGGGAGCAGCACCTGCAGGATCGTTAGCGCATAGCTCTTCACAAGCCCTTGCAGCGCACGCACGACCCCCGTCAGCAGCTTCGCCGCCTCCTCCTTGTGTCGTGTGACGGTCGCATACTCCAGTCCCGTCAGCAGCTGGATCAGCACCTTGCGAAGTGACGGCATCACATACGCTGGGTTGTACTTGGCCAAGCGGCCCAAAATGTTGATCGCGACCTCTCGCACGGCAAACTCCTCATCGTTCAACGCAATGAAGATCGCTCGGATGTACTCTGTCTGTGCGAGGTGCCGATCAAAGTGCTCGTCCAGTGCACTCAGCACCGTGAAGCGCAGCTCTGCATCTGGATCTGCAATTCCCACCATAATGAGCTTGTCTAGCACGTCATTAAACACCTCGATCGCGTGCATCGACGTCTGGTAGCAGATCGGATCATTCACATACATGTGGGCACACGTCATAGCTGCCGCCTTGCGTACGTCCTTCGCATCCAGCTCCAGGTACGGCAGCGTGCAGTTGCGGACGAACTCGTTCAGTATGTGTCCACTAAAATCAAAGCTGCCGAGCGTCTGCAGCGCAATCGTCAGGGTCTCGATCGTCTTTGCATCCGGCGACACATGCAGCACAGGCGGCGGCCGGCCACCGTGCCGGGGAAGTGGCGCACCAAGCGGCCGGTACGGCACGCCTATGAGAATGTACGACAGCATCATCAGGAGCCGCTCCTGCACAATCGGCAGCAGCGCCGGAATCGCATGGACAATCTTCTCCAGCGCCGACACTAGCGCGGTACTCAGGCCACATGCAAACATCATATCGAGCATGTCGTGTACATCCCGCTCAATGCGTGTGCCGACAGCCAGCGCCACATGCCCCAAGCAAAAAAATACCGGTCCCTCTGGCGGCATATTCTTCTTACCCCGAAGCAGCAAACTCTCACGCACACACTGCATAATCGAATCGACGTACGGCTGCATCCGGTCGCCCATCGCCATGGACACGAGTCCAATCGCTTCGAGCGTATCGCCCCATGCCTCCTTCGTAGACCGATCTCGCTCGCGCCGCAGTTGGTCAATGAGCGTCGTCATCACAGGTCCCAGATACTCTTGGGCATAGTAAGGCGGATCGTACGCGGCCAGCACGGGAATCAGGTTCGTCACCGTGCGTTTGACAAGAGGATCACGATGCCGGTGAAGTCGCAGAATCAGCTCACATGTGCGATGCAGACGCGTCTTCATAAACATCTTCGAGTATCGCAGTAACTTCAAAATCGCCAGCAGACTCCCGTGGATCACTTCGACCGCGGTATCGCGCAGCCCTTGTTCGGCGTCGTCGTATACGAGCTCGTACGCCTGTGTGCCCATCTGTTTCTCGCGGTCTGAGATGATCTGGAAGCACGCACCCAGTGCCTCGGCCGCCGCCTCTCGCACCGCTACTTTCGCATCCCGCAGTGCGACCCAAATATGGTCCATGACGCGCCCCACGTACGTGTGGAACAGGTAGGGCACATTCCGTGCCATTTCCTTGATGATCAATACGGCTGCGTACCGTCCGTTCTCATTCCTTTCACCCTGCAGAAAGTCCAGTGCACGCTGCATCTCAAATTCCACAAATTGGTCTCCCAGAGAGTGTCCTCCATGCTTTGACACACGGCCCAACACACGCGCTGCAGCAAACATGACTTGCGGATCAGAGCAAGGCAAGTTCGGCTTCAAATATTGGTAGAAGCGATACAGACGCGCACTATTATCCTCGCTTTCGAGCCCAATAAAGTTGTCAATCGCCGTAATGCCACCCAGCTTGCTTGCCGTTTGTGCGCTGTGTGTGAGCTCTATGACGCGCCGGTTCAGCTCATTCGAAAACGCCTGGAGCCGCTCTCCCTTCAGCTCCGACAGCATATATGATACCTGTTACTTCGTCAGCAGTTCTGTTCTGGGCCCTCTCAACCCCTCCATGCTCCATGGTCGTTGGCCGAGGTTCTCACGTACAAAGCTTCCCAGTTCTTTGCCGGCATTCGTCCGCACTCCCTTGTCTCTGATCGCTCCGTTAGTCATACTTCGTCACAAACTCCTTTACGCCAACGTACTTGCTCTTCAGTTCGTCAAACATGCGCGAGAGCGTCTCAGACGGCTGCATCGATTGCGACACAACCGACGCCGTACTCGTGACACTGAGTGACGGAAGCATCGTGCTAGAGCGTGTGCGCACTACACTCCCGATCACCCACACTCACTTCGCTACCTAGCTCACTTTCCCTCGTCAGGCGCTTCTCTGCGCAAGACGTGAGTGCGTGTTCGTCGCCGGCAGCTTACTACCCGCCAAGATTATGGGATGAATGTTCGTAGTCGCCACTCACCCGCGTGGCTCCGCTCTGGCTCGTGCGTGCAGGATGTGTATTACAAATCACCTGTTAGGCTCTTTCGTTTCCACTTAGTGAATACCCAAAAGGAAACTATAACATGTTTCTTGTTGCGGTTGAAGCAAATGATATTCGAGATGATGACTTGGCAAGTTCGGCGTCAGCGCGTCAAAGCTTGCTGGTTTGAATTCTATCACATCCTTTTTTCTATTTTTCTTTTCCTCCCTGTCACTTTTCCATCCCTCCTCCCCATATCCATAGTCGTGGGAGCGAGTATGCGTGTGTAGTGGTACACGCACACATGAGCGCTTCATGTCGAGCACGAAATGCCACACTATTTGTCTTTGACTGTCTCTGTCCGCCTACATGTCAGCTAATTATGCCGACTCCTGCTCTATTCATCACATCGCTCAATTCCATGGGCGCATGGCTGAGGGAAAAGCAGGAAAGATGATCGATCCTTGGGCTCCATATTACACATTACGTGGTTTCTGGCACTTGTGCGTGGAATGGCGTAAGAATGTAGTCCCACATTTCTTTGCGTATACAACAAGAAATATAGTCCATAATTGAGTTCATGTGCGTGACCTGCAGCTTCCTACGTGCTTTGGTCAGGTTCCTCATGCATGGCCCTAGTGTCTTTGCTGCGCGTCTCTGGCCAGCTTGTTTGGGTGCCGGCCACTGTCAATAGTGGGTGCTGGAGTCGCATGTCACGTGCGACGCGGCTTGGCGAAGGACAGGAACCTAGTGTCAAAATGAGGCGGACAAAGCTGCGCCGCGCGAACCCAATCTATGCGGAGGTGTGCCAAAATCCCAAGCGACGGGGTCAGGGGTTGGCGACGCGTCATCCAACATTCACTAAGTGCATCTCCCGATCCGATCACCATGTCAACGGCCCCGCTCTTACTTTCTGCGCGCTGGCACGGTCATACAGCCGATGTCCGTGCCATCGCCTCTTATGCATTGGCTGACGGAACAGACTTAATCCTATCCGGCTCCCGCGATCAATGTGCGCGCTTGTGGGTTCGACTTTCGGACGGCTCATTGTCGGACGTGCATGTACTGGACAATGGCAGCGGATTCGTCAATGCCGTCGCATTTTTCGAGCAGGACGGCACTCTCTACGCTCTCTCGGCTGGCCAAGACACACTTATTCATGCCTTTCGTGTTGATGCTCATGGTTCCAGCGTGTCTGTGAGTACGACGCCGCAGTTCTCTCTTTTGGGCCATTCATCAAACGTATGCTCCCTTCGCACATACAAGTCTGATTATATCGTCAGCGGAAGTTGGGACTCTACCGTCAAAGTTTGGAAGCATTGGAACTGTGTTGCAACACTCTCCGGCCATACACACTCCGTGTGGTCTGTGCTCCCTATTGATGACGATCGCATCTTGTCGGCCTCAGCTGACAAGACTGTTTGCTTGTGGTCACTCTCATCCCCCCAAGAACCAATCTACAAATACGAAGGAGCTACGCAGGCTGTGCGTGATCTTGCACGTTTAAATGACGCCTCGTTTGTCTGTGCTGGCAACGATGGTCAGCTTCGTGTGCTTCCTATTCTGGGTGGCACCGCTGCCCCTCGTACTATTGCAACTCTCCCATCCTTTGTTTATGCGCTCTGTTGCACAAGTACGGAACACATTGGCGAAAGTAGTCTTATTAGCTGCGGTGAGGACCGCTGCTTCCGTGTCTGGAGGCAGAACACCCTGTCACAGCTGGTACCGATACCAGCTCTGTCTGTCTGGTGCGTATGCACTCTGTCGAACGGCGATGTCGCTTGTGGTGCTAGTGATGGTCTTGTGTCCATCTTCACTCGCGATGATGGACGGGCTGCCCCTGCTGATGTCGCCCGTGCATTTGCTGACGAGCTTGCCACACAATCACTCAGCGCGCCAGAAGTGCAGGGTGTTGCTGTGAAGGAGGATCGTGCAGCTCTTCATCAGCCTGGCAGGCATGAAGGCGATGTGTGCGTGGTTCGCGAAGGGTCCAAATCTTCCCGCTTCCATTGGAGTGTTTTCAAGCAACAATGGATCCACACAGGCATCGTCACCGAGGGCGCTGCGTCATCCTCCAAGACCGAATTTCAAGGCAAGCTTTATGACTATGTATTTGATGTCGATATTGCGGATGGAGTACCACCTCTTAAGCTGCCTTACAATGTGACGGAAAATACTTACGTCGCTGCATCGCGATTCCTCGAGCAGAACAATTTGCCCGCCTCTTTTCTCGACCAGGTCGTGCGCTTTTTAGAAAAAAATACCCAAGCAGTCGGTCTCTCGTCCCGAGATCAAGCTGCTGATGCAGTCGATCCTTACACGGGCGGTTCTCGGTACATTCCTGGCTCTTCCAACGGTCCTTCGCCCTCTGCGCCTGCGCCAACCTCTCTGAAGACGTTGCCACAAACACAGTACCTTTCATTCTCTCACACGCAACTTGATGCCGCCCATGCCAAGCTCCGGTCGTTTAGCACAAGCGTACCTGGTGCCACACTCACAGACGATGATGCCCAAGACATCTCTAAGCTTGTTGCTGCGCTCGGCTCAGGCTCAGGCGTCATGAATGTCGATGTACTCAGTAAACTCCTTCACACTTGGCCCGTCTCTGCGCGGTTTCCTCTTCTCGATTTGCTCCGCGCAGCCGCTTTGCACCCATGCACGCAACCATTCCCATCGATCGTTAGCGATGCCCTTGTCGGAGCTGACTGGGACGCACTTGATGCACCAGGCATCGATGCTAAGGTTGCATCAGCTAATGCAATGCTTGCTCTTCGCACACTTGCAAATGGCTTTGTGACACCTAATGGCCCTGCAACGATGGATGCACTTGCTCTCGAGGCGCTTGCGACGTTGCGCCATCCGCCATGGCATATATTGAATCGGCCAGGACAAACTGCTCTGGCAACTGTCGCACTAAACTATTCGATTCGTGCTGTCACTCAGCCCAAGTTTGAGCAAGCAAGTCTCTTGCTTGATTTGATTGCAGATGTACGTTCATTTCCGCTTTGTCGCATACTTACCATCGCCTTTTTTCAAGATTCTTTCTCAGCCCGCAGAAGGCGAATGTGTGTATCGAGCACTCGTGGCTTTGGGTAATCTCGTATGTATTGAAAACTCTAACTACTACATGTACAACTAACGCTTTCCTTTCTCCAGCTTTGTGCACCTTGCAGCTCGTCTATTAGCACGACACAGCGAAGCGCAGCTGTACAAACAGCGTTATCATGGCGCGAGAAAATAAGTGGCGAAGTGCGCATTCAGAACGTATGTGCAGATTTGTGCAGCTGGCTTTAAGACGCATGAAGTGCAGCTGTGCCAATATACCGTCCGTAGTCATCGAGGCCCTCTTGGCGCTGTCGCAGTTTCCATGCGACACACAGAACAAGGAGTATGCCTTGCAGCAAAGCTGCCACAACATAAGGTAGGAGTGATGACCAATTTATGCCTTCACGACCATGTAGAGTGTAAATAAAGACAAATGCTCCTGGAACCTGGATGCACATCGTCAGGATACTCATGCTTCGCACGAGTCGTGCACGAGCCGTGTGCAGAATTTGAGGCAAGTACTGACACATAGCAAGCAAACCACCGAGCACGCCCAAGAAAGCAGCCCATGGCAACACTTGCGCACGGCGAGCGTGTGAGCCCAGCATCACCACACTCAAAATCACAATAATGAGTACCAAGATAGTCGCAACCCAAGCCAATTGCCGGCTGAGTTGGAACTCGTGGACTGAACCGACTTTGCCATGAATCGCCTCTTCCGAGGGAAGTAGATGACGTTCTAAGATATGTCGCATATGTGCTGGTATGTTCATATAGTCGTCGTGGGAGCGGGCATGAGTTGCTAGCGTATCGGCCGCATGCCCATGGTCTGAGTTTGACACTGCTCCGTAGCTCTGGTGGATGTGTGAGTGATACGACTCCAAGTCGCTTTCGGAGCCCGAGGAATCATTCCCATCCTGCTCGGGAGGATGCAACAGAGAAGTGTCGGTATCTTTCCGGACTGGACGCGTTGAGTGCCGCCGCCGTGAGCGCCGTCGGTGCGGGACTTTTTCCAAACGATAATAATACAAAAAACAGGCAAAGAGGATTGTAAACATGAGCTGTTGCAGTCCTGTCTGCAAAAGTCCCATCCAGTACTCAACATGCATCCATGAGACATGCTTGAGCGTACATGCCAGCAAAGGCCATTGTAGAACGAGCACATTGAAGGTAGCACACCAACTGGACGTGGTACCCAGGAACAGGAACCAAGGAGAAAGACCCACTGACGATCGCGCAGATACAATCCGCACAATCTGCGGGACATAAGATGCAACGACTCCTATGCAAACAATGGCAGAAAGGGTCCAGGTAGCTGCATCATGCGGTGGCAACTTGCAGGTGTCCTTCTCCATGGCCGTGCTGTGCCAAAACTACGACCACGTAGCCTGGTGAGAGGCCCGTGGCGAGTGTGGAGGCCTGACAAGAGCAACTCCAACCCTATAGGCTGGCGAAAGATTCGCGGGCGGATGTGTCGCTGACGCAAACATAAAACTCGCGTGTCGAAATGCAATGCACACATTTTTTTTTTCAGGCCCTAGCGTTTTCATCTACTTTGAACTGGGGTTACTGGTTTTCGTATCAACACGCTTTAGACAAACTCAGCCATTTAGTATCTTTTTCTGGCATCCAGTGTTCAAGACCCGCACGAACCCGCTGTATTTTTACTCTCTTTAATTTAGTCCAAGGTCCAATATGCCAAAGCGGCTTGACACAACGCCTAAGAAAGATCGCCCGCGAAAGTCGTTCCCTGAAGAACAAGGGATATCGCGGATTTTGGCCTTGTCTCAACAGGCTGTCCAGAAAAAAGATGAACAGTATCAAAAAGTCCTCGACCATGAGCATGCGAAGCGAGAACATTTCGAACAGATAAGAAAGGAACGTGCCCGGAAAAAAGAGTCTTCTCGCAAGGCCAGTCATATACCCTCTAAGACTTCCATCATGTCACAATTACTTGAACGAGAACGCGAGCGTTCCCGAGAACGGAGAAAAAAACGTAAGGCTCTTGTTGAAGAGGCTCCACATACCGACAAGGCGAACGCAAGACCACAGGGCAGGAAGAAGGCTCATGTTTCATTCGCCTCGTCGGCAGCAACGAACCCAGTGCGCACATCTGAAGCGCCTCAGAATTCTGACGGGAAAGATCTACGTTCTAGTTTGAAGAAGCCAAATCCGGCATCCTCTGTCTTGCAGCGGAAAAAGAAACGCGTGTCATTCGGCTAAAGTTTCTATGGGGTACGAGCTGGTTTCGGCAGCGCCTTGGCAGCATCTGAAAAGTCACGCACTACAATTTCACATTTGACAGTATCACACAGCTTCTTGGCACTCTTTTTGATCGCTGCTGGAAACAGTGTAAGGCCAGCGGCACGTTCCACAGCATCCACATCAACCTCGAAGCTTCGCAATGGAGCAGAGTCCGGGATCATGCTGTTCGGCATAATGAAAGCGCCTAGGGCCAAAGCGCTGTTGTGGGTTGTGCCCAGACCCATGCCCAGGCCTCCTGGCATACCCGACATATGGCCAGAGCCCAGGATCACCTTCGCAAAGTGCGTTGGTACTGACACATTCGGTGGTGTACCAATGACCTCGTATGACACCCGCCATTTGCCGTCCATGGACTGGCGTGGAAGATAAAGCGGCACTGTAAACACGTACAAGTCCTTGAATTGTGACGTCAGTCGGCGTACAAAGTCTTCTGTATGTGCCCAGTAGTCGCGATTCATCCCTGGTCCCACTTGTGGTGCAATGTTTGTGAGTAAGAATGTCTCGTTCATTGCATCCTGGCTCGACTTGGCATCAGCAGCCGGGACCATATGGCCCCGATCATAGCCCGAACGGAAATAATCTTTATTTGTAGCTCGGAACATGGCTGGTAGTCGCACGTCCTCTGCAAAAATCGACTGTGAACGATTTGCATCGGTGCCTGGCGGTCGCCTGATGGATTCTGCCGTCAGGTGCTCGGCTGTCCAGCTTGGATGCCGCATACGACGATCGTAAGCGGTCACATATGCTTGTTGCTGGAAAAAGTCTGCAACTGGTCCTGGATGTCCGGATAAAAGAAGTGCATCTGAGACACTCGCTGCTGACGGAGGCACAACCGCGGCAGGCGAAGAGGAAGGCGCCTTCACCGTCGGTGTAGGCGAAGTTGTCGACACCACGGGTGAGGCTTGTGGTGAAGACGCCGGCGATCGACGTGCCCAAATCGTAGCACCACCCGCACCTAGAAGTACGCCACCTGCAAATAGACCAACGTGTGCAGCGAGGGACATCAGGTGCAAGACGCGCTGTTCTCGGTGATGCTGGTTCCAAGCAGCTTGCCCCGCTCTTACTGGCTCAGTTGAGTCGTGCTGCCACAAGCACCACGTGGCAAAAGGATTCGAATCGTGGCTCAGACCACGTGAGATGTGCATGGAATCCGCCAACGCGGAGAATTTGACACGCCACCTATGGGGTCCACAAACTGTGAATCCCGTTCAAATTAGAAAACCTAAGTGGGTTGTTGGTCGTTCCTGGCAGACAGTGCGCCAACTTTGTTCGCCGCACATTCTTTTTTCTTACCTCCAAACCTTCGCTCCCTTGCACTGCCATGTCAAATTTCGAACAAATTCAACAGAAGCTGAGCCACTTGGGCCAGAGCATGTATTCATCTGCTACTGCTATGGGTCATGCTGCTCATTCGGCGTCCACACGCCAACACCACACGAGTGAAGAACTCATGAAGATGGAAAGTGACTTTAGTGCTCATAACTACCATCCACTACCCGTCGTGTTTGACCGCGCACACGGAACGCGTGTTTGGGATCCTGAAGGTAAGGAATACCTTGACTTCTTGTCAGCCTATTCTGCGGTGAACCATGGTCACTGTCATCCAGCTGTTGTGGGCGCTCTTATTGCCCAGTCACAGAAGCTCACGCTATCGTCGCGTGCCTTCTATAACTCTGTGTTCGCTCAGTTTGCAAAGCGTGTGACAGAGCTCCTGAAGTACGACATGGTGCTCCCTATGAACACAGGTGCTGAGGCTGTCGAGACGGCTATGAAGCTTGCTCGCAAGTGGGCTTACAAGAAAAAGGGTGTGCCTGAGGGCAAGGCACGTATTCTGAGCGCTTCAGGCAACTTCCATGGCCGCACGATCGGTGTCATCAGTATGAGCACAGATCCTGACAGTCGCAATGGTTTCGGTCCTATGCTAGAACGTGTGGGTCCAGTCGTGGATAACTTTACGATCCGTTACAACCACGCTGAGGATATTGAGGCTGTGCTCGCAAAGTATGGGAACGAAACAGCTGCCGTGCTTCTCGAACCAATCCAGGGAGAGGCTGGTATTATGGTGCCAGACGACACATACTTCCAGAAGGTGCACGCCCTTTGCAAGCAGCACAACGTGCTCCTTATCTGCGATGAGATTCAGACAGGCCTCGGCCGTACTGGTCGTATGCTCTGTTGTGAGCACTACGGCGTTCGTCCGGATATCATCACGCTCGGTAAGGCGCTGAGCGCTGGCGTTTATCCGGTCAGTGCCGTGATGGCCGATAAGGATATCATGTTGTGCATTGAGCCTGGTGAACATGGCAGTACATACGGTGGAAATCCGCTTGGTTCAGCTGTGTCGATTGCGGCTCTGGATGCCATTGTCAAAGAGAACATGTGTGAACGTGCTGAAAAGCTGGGTGAAGAGATGCGCTCTTCGCTTAAGAAGATCAACAATCCACTCCTTGTTGAAGTGCGTGGCAAGGGTCTTCTCAATGCCATTGTTATTGATGAAACGAAGAGCACGAAGGGCCGTTCCGCCTGGGACCTGTGTCTACTCCTCAAGGACAAGGGTCTTCTTGCTAAACCAACACACCAGAATATTATTCGCCTTGCTCCTCCGCTTGTCATTTCTGAAGAAGAACTAAGACGTGGTATCAAGATCATTGAGTCGGCTCTGGATGAGCTGGACAAGATTGACACGATTCCTGGTGCCGAGGCACATTAATTCTCAGCGCCTGTTGGTCCGCGTCGCTGACTTTGTCTCCACATAATTTGTACGAGTTCTGTAGAAGTGTGGGATGTTGAAAGGCTTGAATAGAATGTTTTTGCTTTCACACGTAATAGACACAGCCTTGGCGTAAACGTGAAAGCTCGTGTGCGTGGACGGAAACAAGTGTTCCATCCCCGATTGAGCTTGACACCTCATCCCCGATCCCGTGAGTCTCCCATAACAGGGTCTAACCTGCTTTGCGTTGGCGAGGATCGTCGCGTTCAGTCCATAAAGAACGTTTTATTCAACAGCCTCTTGCATTAGGATGTCATCGGCTCAGCAAAGCCAGCAACGCACAGAGAAGCAGCCACTCTATGATATCGATCCTTCCACAGGCCGTAAAGTCCCACACAAACGCATCAATAATGCGTATCTGGTGCACCAGCGATGGGTCGAGAAACAAGAGCGCCTGAAATTGCGACAAAAGGCCAAGGCTGAGGGACGACCTCTTCCTCCTGGAGATGACTTGGACGCAGAAGAAGAGCCTTCATTTGTTGCAAATGCTATTTTCACAACAGCGTATGCCGGGTTTGTTGTTCTTGTTATTGCTTTACTAGCAGGCCAATTTATCCACGGCGACTTTCTATGGGGCTATCGTGGCAAATGGACTAAATGGCAAACATATTTTCCTCCCAAAATGCGTGTTTTCACACCCGAAGAATTGCTGAAGTACAACGGCGACTCTGGAGAAGGGCCTGTGTATTTGGCCATCAAGGGCGACGTATTTGACGTCACGCCGGGCCGTCGCAACTATGGAAGCGGGGGCCCGTACCACTTTTTTGCAGGTCGTGACGCTTCTCGCGCCTACGTCACGGGCTGCTTCGACACACATTTGACGCACGACCTACGTGGACTGACGCCCGCAGAACAGAGTATGCTGGATGGTTGGTACTCATTTTACGCTCAACACCCTCAGTACTTCAAGGTGGGCACAGTCCAACTACCGTATATTGATCCTGCGACACCCATCCCACCTTCATGCGATCAACCGCGCGATCAGAAACCTTAAGACATAAGCTATTTGATTACCAGACACGCGTCTACTATCACAACACGGAAAGAACATCTTTAATAAACAACTCCCTAAACTAGTTAGTATCAACGCCGCCTTGGAATCGTGAAGGAAATAGACAATGATAAGGTGTCTTAATGCTCAGAGTAGTGCCCGGATACAGAATTGGGTTTATCGGGCCATTTCGCCAGCGGCTGATGCCGTACGCAGACCGTCGTGATAAGGACTCATCACGTAGCAAGAACATGGGACTTTATTACTTACACTCCTGTTCAGTTAGTGATAGCCATTACACAAAATGTTGCAGATCATCACAGAAAGACTCATAAACAGCCTCTAAAACGTCCTCAAGACAGGTGCAGGGAGTTGCGGCCCTGAACGCACCCTCAGACGGTAATTTCCAGCAATCGATTACGATTGATAGGTAATCACGGCCTTTTCCATGACAAGCAACACGACAAAGATAGAAATACATACGCTTAACGGTTAGTTTGACAGGCACAAAAGTACAGAGCAAACAAAAAGCGAAGAGCATTCAGGCAACAAGATTGTTATCGCGAAGCGACAAAGAGGCCACCGCGAGACTCTAGTTTGTGTTGTTGAAGCATCCTGATGCGAAACGCTGTGCGAGGCCAACATACATAATTATACAGAAATATCAATCCACCAAACACAGTCAATGCATTTTTCTCTGACTACGATATCATGGCAGATAGAGAGGAAAAAAGTAGCTAGTTTAGAACAAGAAAAAACCCATGTGCTCTGCGGCGAGAACTTCGGCCGAAGGCAACCACATGAGAGAATGGGACTTTCAATGAGCCGTGTATACGAAGCAGTAATTTGTTATCCGCAATGGCGTCAGAAGAAGTGAAGCAGAAAAAATCTGTCACAGTCGATGAAGCCTTGAAGAAGAAGGAGAAAAAGGAAAAGAAAGAAAAGAAGGAGAGGAAAGAAAAGAAAGAGAAGAAGGAAGAGCAGCATGATGCTGTCGGAGAAGACTCGGTCGGAGACGTGTCAATGGCCGATGTGTCAACAACGGAAACAGACGTTGAAGTTGATCCATCGACGCTCAGTGCCATTGCTTGTAAGTACGCGAAAGAATACAGTAGAAATTTTGGTGTCCTTCATGTGCTAATAAGATACAGGCCCACTTGCTCCTAAGCCTCTCACGAAGAAAGTATACAAGACGATTAAGAAGGCATCTAAATCTCGCGGCCATGTTAAGCGTGGTGTAAAGGAAGTGGTCAAAGGCCTGCGCAAGGGAGAGAAGGGGTACGTCCTTTTTTGTACTGTCAATGCTCACATTCTTAGTCTTGTAATTCTTGCAGGAGACATTTCGCCTGTCGACATCCTGTCACACATTCCTGTGCTGTGTGAAGATACGGGTAATCCATACGTATTTGTTGCGTCAAAAGATCAACTTGGCAATGCATCGAGCACAAAGCGCCCCACAAGCTGTGTTATGATCGTGCCTGGTGGCGGCAAGAAAGCCGTCGAGAAAGGCGAAACAAAGGTGAAAGAGGACTATCAAGAAGACTACTCGTTTCTACACAAGGAGGCTTCCCGATTGGTTCAACAGGTGCTTATGGGTTAAGTGCCATGCATGTAGTTCTCTTGTACCATAGGAAACACGATGGCTTGAAAAAAGAAAAAAAAGGACATGGGTTATAGAAGGAATGTGTGATGATGCAAGTATACGGTTGTGTAGCCATTGCAGGAGAACTACGGGTGCGAGAGACCAAGGTGCTTTCTTACATCGGATATGCATCGACTGGCGCGAGAGCGAGCTTTTTCTAACCCAAGCCGTTCCATTTTGTCCAAGTAACCAGAGTCGCCAACAAGTCTTGCGTACTCTGTCTGAACAGGTCGAAGTTCTTCAATGATACTTTCCGCCAGCGCCTTTTTCAGAGCTGCACCTGATCCTCCTCCATACGCTCGAAGAAGAGACGCTAGGAAAGCAGGATCCTGGCATTTTACTTGTTCAGCATCAGTTAAGTGAGAGCGAAGAATGCCACCATCAAGACCGGCGAGAATTTGTAGCAGGTTGCTCACAGCCGGACGTGCCTCAGGATCGAATGTTATCGTAGTGAGGCTATCGGTTACGGCCTTTTTTACTTTTGAGTGAACTTGCTCAGGCGTGTCTGTAAGTAAAATTCGTGAATTCACGTCAGGTGCGGATTTCGACATTTTATGGTCCGGATTGCGAAGCGATAAGATCCGCTTAGACTCAGCTGTACGGTCAGTAACACTTTCAACTTGTCGAAGCACGTACAGAAGAGCGGCTGAGGAATCGGAAAATAGCGCTGCTTTATCATTCGATTAAATTGATGCGCCAGGTCGCGGGTCAGCTCCAAATGCTGCTGCTGATCTTCGCCAATAGGCACGTGTGTCGCGCTGCGTGAGAACGAAAGATCAGGACGTCGAGGTACGTACTGATATAAAAGAATATCGGCTGCTTGAAGAACAGGATACGAGAAAAGACCTAGCTGAAGCTGCGACTCACTGACATGGTCGATAGAAGCACTGTTTTGTAGCGTTGCAATTTTTGACTGTCATGTCAATCACGGCGGGTTACACGTGGGAGCGTACCTTCCACGTCGTCATGCGCTCGAGCCGACCAAACGACGATTGACACATGAGAATCCAGCCCAGCTCTGTATGTTCAGGCACTTGATCTTGGTGAAATATCGTACAACGATGCGGATCGAGACCTGCAGCTATCAACGCGGCGAGAAGGTTTCGTCGATCTTCGTAAAGCTGTGTCGGTTTCTGTGGCACAGTCAGCGCATGCAGACTCGCGATGAAAAAGTACAGCTCATCGCAAGAGCTTGATTCATTTTGCAGGCGGATCCAACTCTTAAGCGCGCCCAAGTAGTTACCAAGCTAGGTTGTTAGACCGCCGATACACTAGGTGACATACGTGTGGTACGCCTGTCGGTTGAATTCCAGATACAATCACGCGCTTGGAAGTTGGTGTCCCAACATAAGATGAGCTTTTGGTAGAAAAAAGTCGCGCACTACACAGGGAGTAAAAACGACGTGTTTGCCGCACCACCCTCAACGCTAGATCTACTTGACACGACGGCTTTCGAATATGAATCATGATAACGAGTGGAGGAAAACCAGAAACGTTAAGGCTCAATGCAATATTATCAGAAGGCGTGTGGGCGAGCGAAAGAATCCATATATCTATCTGTCTTATACTACAAAGATTGATGCTTTTCCTACTCAGAGGTTGAAGATTTTTCGACGACAGGCTTCGAAACTGCCTCGGTCGTGAGAGAGGATGATGGTGCAGCCTCAATTGCAGGCCTGGATTGTTGAGATGCACGTGCAGCTCGTTCACGAGCCTGTTCCAAGGTTTCCACGTACGTGCTGGGGAACCAGCCAATGCGTCCGTCGCGGGTCCGACCACGCCACCACTGGCTTTGTTCGCCGGTTTGTGGGTTCGTTTTGCTGAGAACAGCGACAATTTCATTCTGCTTTAGGGAAAGCTCAAGTCCATCTGCCGCATTATACGGGAAGCGAGCTCGGACGAAGGTCAATTTGCTTGGGTCAAGGCCGATACCGCCCTGCGCATCTTGCATCGTTTGCAGATCAGTACCAGCTTCTGCAGCTTGTTTTGCAATGCGATTGCGCTCTTGATCTTGCTTTGCTGCGATCAACTTGACAAGCTTCCCCATCAAATACGGCAGGCCAATGACAGCGAGGAAAAAAATCATAAGGGGACGCTTACTGCGCTGAGCCTTAGCTCCAGGGCCACCGATGCGGCGAAAGTCGCCGAATTCTTTCGCATCAATGCCACCGACGGGCGGGCGGCCGGTCATCCGGAGGTACAGGTTCTTCATTTGGCGTGCCAAGGCGAAAATACTCAAAACCTCGCCTAAGTAATTGCGAAGGTGAGCAAACTGATCAGCCACACCGACCATCGCAAAGAAACTGGAATGTGTGGCCATGAACGTCGATTCTAACATTTGAGCGAATCCTCCAAACGTGGCAACAATCGAGGAAATCAATTCAAATGTTGCCTGTGTGCCACTTTCCATACGTTGTGTAAGCGAGTTCTCCCCAGGTTGACCATATCCCATGCCTCCGAACCCTCCGTAGCCCATGCCTCCATACCCCATGCCTCCATACCCCATGCCTCCATACCCCATACCACCATACCCCATACCACCATATCCCATACCACCATATCCCATACCACCGTAGCCACCATAGCCACCAAGCCGCGAATATGGCGACGCGTATGTGCCGCCGTAGCCTCCGTAGCCGCCGTATCCGCCATATCCACCATAGCTGCCATATCCACCCATGCCGGTTCTATATGAACCTGGACCTAAAAGGGTTAATTGCGTTGGTTCAAACCACGTCATCTTACGTACCGGTGAGAGTGGCGTCGGTGGACGCCGTCAAAGATGACGGACGCTCGGGAACTGCAGGCGCAGCTTCCGAAGCACCCGAAGTATGTGCAGATGAGGAATTGGATGCACCTACACCACCACCACTTAGCTCCCATGGTTTTGGGGGAGCCGGCATTTCCACGGAAGAGGAAGCAATCGCTTGGAGGGGCAACTTGGTATAGAATAATTTGGGCTTAGGAATCGCACGCGGGGTTCTGGATCGGCTTCGCTCATCGAATGTCACACGTGGCATTGGTAGCTGGGGAAAGGTGGCGCCGAGGCACACTCAACACACTGTCTGTCTATGCCTCTACATATAGCACACACCGAGTCGGCCTTGAGCCCAATACACTTAACCTACAGAGCTCAGACGACTCACACAGTAGACATAAGCTGGTGCGAAATAATAATCAATCGTCAAGAATCAAAGGTCTCACACAACCATGCATTTTTTTTTTCGTACATATAACCAGTTCTAGGCGCCGATGCTATCAAAGACGAGACTCGTCCTGCTTAGGCTCAAGTGGATCATGCATTCAGCAGAAAAAAGAAAATAATAACTCAACACAAAGAGCCATTACTTCGATGCAGCCACCTGAGCCTGGAGACGAATGTTGTCTTCCACGCGACCGTGGTTAGAAATGTACTTAAGGTGGCAACCGTCCTTGATCACACGGTGGCTGTCGCGAGCCTCAATGTATTCTTGACGGCTCATGTCCGTGAAGCCCCACTTCTTCGACACAATGATCTTCTGGCGACCAGCGAACTTGTACCGCGAGCGACGCAGAGACTCAATGGCGTTGGGGCGGAAGTTATCACGCGTGCGGATCGACAGGAGAACCTGACCGATGTCCACACGAGCCACGAGACCGTACGGCTTACCGAAAGCGCCACGCATACCCGTTTGCAGACGGTCAGCACCAGCGCAGGAAAGCATCTTGTTAATACGGATGACGTGGTAAGGGTGAACACGGACACGCAGGTGGAACGCATCCTTACCGGTGGTCTTGGTCATGTACTTGTTAGCACAGATACGCGAGGCCTCAAGAGCCTCGGAGGTGATCTGTTGGTGCTCGTCACAGACCAAGTGCACACAGAATGGGAATTCGTCCACCGATGCCTTCTTACGACCTAGATCGTAGATACGGATCTTTGGGTCTGGCACACCACGGTTGTACCGGGACTTGGGCTGAAAGAGCGCGTTAGTATACCTGCTTTTTTCAATGCAATCGGGGCGCATCAGATACATACGTAAGGCTTGTTCTTGCAGTAACGGTAACAGCGTGCTGGACGACGTCCCATCTTCGCGTCTGTTAGTGGACAAACTCAAGAAATAGGGCGGGTGGCAAAAACGTACAGTGACCTTGCCTGTTAATAAGGGGGTGGTGAGAGAGAGACGTCGTTGCCACCGCCACCACGCCTCATGCGTGCTCGTGCTCGCCTCCACGGAATTCGCACGAATGTATAGTTCATCACGTGCATGTGCGTAACAGTCGAGACGCCGACCGGTTGTTCGCGTGCTCGTGACATGTGGAGCCCAGGCAGTGTGCTGAGTCATCAAACACGCAGCGGTTGTCTGTTTTCGGCTGCTCAACTTGCGTCTCCACACGCCCGCCCGCGCTCGGACCTTGTGCATTCTGGGCATCGGCGATTGCAACGCCAGGACTTGAAGGCTGTGTGTGTTCCGTTGTGCACCGAGCCCGAACGGCGCGGAGGGCGTGCTCCCCACACGTATGTACGCACGGTCCTAGTGCGCACGCATAGCATCCTGCTTACATGAAAAAGTTAGTCTCATGGGTCAAGGATCGAATATAAGACGCGACGCTGAGCCACGTAGGCGCTCGTCGCTGCCAACTTCAGACACACAAATCCGCAGCAACAGCTTTGCGGGCGTCAGCAGTGCGTCGACAGCGACTACGGCACCTTTCCTAACGAACGTTGAGAGTCATTTTGGACGAATCACACTCCGTGCTCCCGATAATATACGGAGAAAGGCCAAGCGGACAGGACGTAGTAGCCGGGCACCAGCTAATGCTAGCACGTCGCCCAGCCGACTGCCATTCCGTGCCTCCATGCAAGTTTTGCGAACGACGCAATCTCCACCAACTGATACCGTTGCTTATGTGCCTACACAGCGTGCGAGACGCATTCGATCTTCACAGAACGTAGCCGGCGGAGCATTAGTACCACCATCTGCACAGCATGTTCGCGAATCCGATGGCGAGTGGAATCGACGCGTGAACGTATGGGATAGCATTGAAGGGCTCTCTATTATGGATTCGGTCGACCCACCACCACCGTTTACGTCTCAAGAATGTAGAGTTCCCACTGAGCAGGCGTTGCCGCCAGCACCCTCGCTGGCGCCAAGGCCAACGTCAGAACCGGGATCGCATGAAGAGGCAGAGCCTGGATCAGCGCCAGTGCCACCACCGCATAGCCCGCCACCTGCTTTTGCCAGTGAAGATGAGTCTTCGAATGACGAGAGTGATCATCAAGAAGCACGCCGCCCAGCACCGATGGATCCCATCAAAATGCGTGAAAGTGATGCTTGGGAACGCGATCGGCTTCTTGGCTACAGTTTGGAGGAACGTGTAGCTCGTATGGAGCGACGACGCCTCGGTGAACCGCATGCGTCATCAACACACCATCCATTCAGTACGGTGTCCGCACAGCCCGAGACGCTTCATTGGACACGAGCTCGTGATACCACCGAAAGGGATCCGTCCACAGTTCTGCATATCGCCAAGGCACCTGCCCCGATTTGTACACCCTCTTCGTTCGATGATGCAACATCGCCTGATTCCTCAGATTCAAGTGGTGACGATTGCCCCGCTCCAGCGGGAGATGACTCCGATCATGAATGGAGGTCCGAGCATGACGCATTACAGGCACTGTATCGCTATGAATCAGACATGCGCGAAGTTTATAAGCAAGGGCACATGTATGCGCATCGTAACGACCGGTTTGGGCAAGCAAAGCAAGAGCCTGCCGAGCACACGTCTGTTACGGATGAACAGAATTTCGCATCGTTAGCCATGTCACCTCGAAGACCCGGCACAAGCATTGCCGTCGATTTAGAACGCGCTCCTTTGTCTCAAGAGCAGCATGTACGCCCAGCTTCAACGCAAGACCCCGCATCAACGTCTGACGTAGCGCCAGGTCGTGTCGCTCCTGTTGGTGTGGCGCAAGAGTCCGAGTCTTGCCCGCCTCAGCATCATGGCGATGGAGCGCGTGGACCTACATCTGACATGGAGTGTGCGCCAGACCAGCTAGAATCGGACCTTGCTTCGTCGGCTCTTCGATCGCACGCGCATCGCTCGGCTTCTACCCCATCACAGCAAAGGCTATTAGCGTCATTGACTCGTGCGTCGGCAAAGGAAGAACGTTCCGAGGGACCGATGGCATTGTCGGAAGACCCGGCAGTTGAACGACCAAATTTGTCGGTTCCTGCATCGTCTTCCGCGCCTGTTGATCAAGCCAGCGAATCATCGCGAATGCAAAGAAATACGTTAATGAGCGGAAACCGACAGGATCATAGTCGGTCTTCCCACCCGCCACCCCCGGCACCGCCATCTCATGTCCCAATGATACGATCTGCCTACGACCAACTCCGTGTGCTACAAGCTGCAAATCAGCTCCCACCTTCACTGCATCAAGATTTATTGTCTTTGGAATCGTATCTGTCCCAGTACGAGACACCAACTGAAACTGCGTCTCTTACTCGGTCCATGAGTCACTTTGGTGGTGCCTTTACCAGCGCTAGGTCTTCCACAGCGCCACTTCCTGCTCAGACGCATCTTCCTGTGGTCACAGATGAAACGCGGCATTTCCCTCCCTCACGACTTTCTTCTGATGCAGGTGCGGTATCGTCCACCCCGCCAAAGAGTCCGTCCACGACACCGACGCAGTCTGTGCCTGAGTCGCTACGACCAGCACGACTTGCGTCTGAACATCTTTTGTCAGCGTCAGCCATCAACACACGAGCCGCACTTGCATCACAGGCATCTATGAATCCTGAGGCTACGGCACTAGCATCGTTGACGGGTCAACACGCACAAGAAGAGCAGCGAACCACGGCATTGGAATCTTGTGGACCGCGGCACGTTGAGCCAGCAGCGTCGACTCGAGCAGAACCTGAGCAGAACACAGAAGCCGCGCCTGTGTCGCAGGAATCACAGAGCTTGGTAGTGTCAACGGATGACGCCGACTCGGGTGCCGCACTTCTAGCGCAACTGGCGCCACGAGCAGTTCCACAGGAGGAAATCACCGACTTGGAGCTAGCCGTCGCACAGTTGGATAGCCCGTCAACACAATACGAATGGGCGAGTCTGATTAGTGATTTCTTGGGACCTGCTCGCGAGCAGACGCGGCTGTCGCCGGAAGATCTAGAGCGCATATCCGTGGGACGCGTAGAATTGGAGCACCGCCGTGTCACGGCATCAGGCCAGGTCCGCGTGCGTCTCACAGTGGCAGGCATCCGAGTGGATCGTTGTGGTATATGCCTCGAACAGTTCAGAGAAAAACAAAAAGCCTGCATTTTACCGTGCTTCCACATGTATGTATACATTTCAATCCAGTCGTGTACTAACACCACGTCTAGCTTCCATAACCAGTGCACTATCGAACTGCTGCGCCACTCCCGGCTGTGCCCCGTGTGCCGACAAGGCATCCTTCCTGCTTCGTAACATTGCTAGCGTAGTTGAAGCGCATGGATCTTATCCACCAGTTCGTGTCCTGCCTTTGCGAAATTAAGCGGCTGGATTTGCGTGACAGTGTAGCGCACGCGATTCGTGTCGTTGAACGTCTCTTGCTTCGCTCGACAATGGAAATCCATCACGCGGCCAATCACGCGGGTGAGGACAGCCTTGAATTCGCCCTCGTTTTCATTGCGGATGGAATCAAGCTCATCGGCGGTCATGCCCAGCAGAGCGACGCCCACTTCGTTGAAGCCACTGATCCAGATCTGACCCGAATAGTCAGCAATGTTGGCAGAGAAAATGTAACGCCGTACAGGTGCCGGATAGCTCCGGTCACACTTTTCACAGCGCCAACCGTCGCTTTCTTCGATGACTTTTTTGTTGCAATCTTGGCCGGGACACGCCGTGTAGTATAGCGTGTTTGGCCGAATGTACAGGACAACAGCGCGTGCATTAAAGTAGTCCGCACGTTCAAACGATGTGCCGAGCGACTCGTCTTTGACCTGAGCAAGCGTGCGGAATTCATTCGCGCGCAAGGCACCCTGGTTGAGAGCGGACGCCGTGGTGCCATCGAGAGTTGCTCCATAACTGCGTATATGTGCACTATTCCCCTCGTTGTCGTACCAGCCACGGAGGCCGTGTGACTCTGGGATGTCAGGGTTGATCGACATGGTGGAGCTGGAGAACATGCTGAGGCTGCGCCCACCAAAGTCGCTGACTTTGACGCCTTTGAATGCAATCACTGGCTTCTCTTCGCCAGCGATGGTCTTCTCAAAGTTCTCCGCCTGTGAGCCCCACAGTGTCATTCGTACACTCATACCACTGCTGTCAATAAGAGTAAGGTCGCGTTTCTTGATGGGCCGCTGCGTCGCTTTCGATAGAATTTCCGACACGTCTGTATAGCCGTCGAGAATAGTAATTACATCAGTTGTCTGGTTCGGCTCAACTGTCGTAAGCTGGTCAATCGACACGAAATTATACTTGACTTCGGGCACGTCTCCTGCCTCTGCACACTCCTCAATCTCACTTCCGCTCTCAAGCGAAATCTCGTACTCATTTGGGAGTGTACTGAACTGCTTCTTTGCGATGGTCACCTTCGCCTTGCTGATAAAGTATACTTTGTTCTCCTGTAGGACGGGATAAAACCGATCCACAGCATCGTTGAAAGCCGTCGCGCGGATTTCGCCACTCTCGTCCAAAAGATTCACGCTGAATAGTTTGCCATCGCCACGTGCATTCGACCAGTGCCTGATGTCGGTCTTGAGCGTCACCCTCGCTTTGATCGTCCATTTGTTCTGGTACGGAGAAAGCGCATCAATCGGGTACACAGGCATGCCGGAGCTGGACTTGGCGACGCCGCGCGATCCTACCCGTGCAGAGTCCCCGTGCGAGCCGGAAAGCGCTTGCGCACCTAAAGAGGGAGCCATGGCGGGAGCAGGCGGCTTCACGTCGGCGTGTGGGGTGGCTCCCGGCACGGCTTTCGTCTCGACAGACGCGTCAGCAGACGACTTGGCCGACTCGATATTCTGTGGATTGCCAATACGATGAGGCAAAGCGGGGGAAATCACCTCGAGATTCAGCAAGATGAGAATCTTGCGGTTTTGTACCGTGTTGGACGTGAATTGCGTGACGCGCACAACGACGTTCCGATCGAGCGATCCATTCTCAACAAGGGGTTTGAGCTGCGTCGCCAACATAGCTGAAATCACATGTGTCAGTCTGTGTGTGAAAAACAAGAGAGCCCATAATACGCACCTTGCGTGTAGTGAACGCCGTCGCTGAGGACAACGCGGTAGCGCTCGCTCACATTTGCACTGGCATTCGTGGTCTGAAGTTTTTTCAAGCTAAGAACCTGGCACTTGGGTGTCACAGACGTTGTACCGTCTGTTGACGCAAGCATAGAGGCAATCACGCCCTCGGTAAGCTGTTCTGCCGACGACATGAATACGCGTGTGGCAAATGAGCAAGTCTGCAAGTAACACGCACACACCACACACGCTACTGAACGCGTGACGCGCGCGCTCGGTCCCCGCTAGCGGAAATCAGACGACGTCATGTGACTTCGTGAGTAGCTAGACCCACGCGAGCATTCGCCGTGCTCCGCGGCGTGCAACATGAAACGACCATTTGTGCCATAAACCAATCAGACATCAGTCTATAGGCGCATAGTGGGGTGAATAGTTTTTTTTTTTGCCTTCTGATAGCGGAGCGAGACATGTTGGGGTGGCACACGACTTAAACGACCAGCCTCTGGCACAATCAGTGAATGCGAATCCAGCCGTGAATCTTCTCTCTTCGAGTATATCTCTTCACAATGCCCATCGGCTCTTGGAGTTTTGTATGTGATGAGAACGAGATTGACCAGACAGCCGTACCATTTGCCGTTTCCTTCTAAGAAAAAGTCTGGCGATGAAGCTAGTCCGACACCCCCAACGGCGTCGGGTGAAAGCTCATCTGTATCTGTGCATCCTCCGCACCAACATCAGGCAAATGGCGACGACACAAAAAATCTCGTGCGCTGTACGACGTCTCACCTGCCTCGTGACTCCAATTCGACGGCCCATGCTGCGCCTGCGCATCGCGCGGCTGAACCGACGTCTCCTGCATCCACTGTCTCCCCTACACAACAGCAATGCAGTCAAGGCCCAAGTGCCACACATTGTAGTCGCCCGATTGCACAATCCTATGGCTCAAATATATCCAGCGATATGGCTTCCCTACGGTCAAGTCCAACAGGCCACAGTCACACGTCTGTGGAAGAATGTACCGATACCAGCGAGACAGAATCTGTCACGAGTGCCTTTTCGGCAGAGCCCTCTGAGACGCCTGGATCTCTACCTCCACCATTCTTGTATCCAGTCCCTCAAGATGCCATCCCTCATGTTACGAATCCAGCAAGTGGATATGCCACTCCCCTCGTGCAGACAAGCCCCGCCCCTCATATCTCATCAACTAGTTTTATTAGTACCCCTCATCTCCTTCGCAGTCCTGGGCCTCCATTGTCAGTGTCCACTGCGGGTCTTCGAGTCTCACCACATGCTATGGGCATGCAGCCATCCGTGTCTCCTGCACATGCAGGCCATGTACGGCCCAATTCTCATGAAACGACCGCGCAATCACAGCTAGCTCCGCATGCAACTCCGCAAGAGACCTTTGTATCGCCCTACTTATCCCCGATGCATCAACAAAAATTGGAGGAGTACCATCAAACATCCATGCCCTCGCCCTTGACATTGCATTCGCCTCTGGAACAACAGCAACAGTCCTCGTCGTCGGCATCATTGCTGCTTCCACCATCGTCCACGCGAGCCCAGCCGGCAAACCAAGACCATGACGAAATACCCCCGACCCCAACAGAAATCATGACGCGTCGCTCGTCAAAAATGGGTGCACCCGCGTTGTGGATGACATCGCAGGCCCCCACCCCTAGTGGTTCTGCCACGCCCACTGTGGTGCGCTCGCAACTCGGCACACCAGGCTTTACACCATCGCCATCAAGCTGCTGGAATGCCTTGGGCATCGGCAGAGGTCGATTGGGAACTTCGGCCATGACACCGATAGAAGCTCCAGCATCGAACGACGTCCCGGTGTGCTCAGAGCCACTTGAGCACCAAACCCGCAAGGGCCTGGCGTCAGAACCTGAAATGACCGATGAATCGCAAGTTTCGCAGCCTCTATGGCAGCGCCGCCTGCAACGCAATGAAAAGCCCTTTATCAACTTGGCGCCTGTGACGACCGTATCTAATAAAGCAAAAGAAACAGAAGGTGATTCAAGGGAGCTGGATGACACAAATATCATGCTTGCACATGCTACCCAAGCGCTCAATTGTTTGGTGCTCGAGCAGGAGCGCGCTCTTGTGGCAGAGGAAGGGCGACGGAACATGTCATTGCTCGATGGGAACCGGCACAGCCTTGCGCTGATGGGCAGCGAGCCACCGAAAGACGGCGAGGAGGAACTCCCGCCGTATGAGTGCACCGTTCATATTGAAGGCTATTTGCCATGCAAGATGGAGGTGCATGGCTCTGGAGATCCTAGCAAGATGCATGATTGGAAATCACTGTATTTTGTACTACACGGCACAGCGCTCCATTTGTACAAGAAGGATATATCGCTCTTGTACAGCAAGCGAGTAAATCTTATCAACGTGTGGCATGTTCAAGATGGTGCGCTAGTACACACAGTACCAATGAATGAAGAGCCACATGCGAATGAGATGCCAAGCGGACGGAACCTAAAGCATGACGAAAAGGCGCACACGAATCCACTGCCGTTGGAGGACCTTGTTCTGCGTGGCATTGAGCTCGGCCGCTCGCTGGCACATACAACCAGTGATACCACGCAGACGCGAACGGAAAATGTAGAAAAAGAGCTGGATGATGTCCAACGTGCACTGAAAAATCACCATGCCCACACTTATTCGATGGAGGGCGCTCAATGCGGGTTCGCAGCCGATTATACGAAGCGGCCACATGTGATCCGCGTCAAAGTCGCAAGTGATCAGTTTTTGATCCAAACGCGTAATAACTATCATTTGGTTGATTGGATCGAGGCCATACAAGGCTCGATCAATGTATCGACGGATCTGGACCGGCGCACAATGCCCAAGTTTGTCACGCTTCCACGCCGTCGACGTCGTCGCCGTGACATGGAGGCTATGGTGATTCGCGACCAAAATGCCGAGCAACACCGACGCCCGTCGATACAATCGCCCACAAGTATTAGCGACTCTCACTTGAATAGTTACGCACAAAATTTGCAAGTGTGAAATTCTTGTTTGCATTTAGTGTGTGTGTGTGTGTGTGTGTGTGTGTGTGTGTGTGGGCAAGAGTGCAAGCCTATCGTTTTAAAGCATTGAAACGCTGCATGAGAGCTTGCCATTCATTGTCCTGTGGATGTACCGCTGTGGCAACGGTAGGCGCACGTCCGAGGACGGTATGACGTGTGGATGCCGGTGGAGATGAGGTCGTGCAGGTATCTGGTGAGAAGGAAGCTTCTGTGTCCGTTACATTTTGACAAGCGACCTCGGCAGGTACTTGGACTTGGTACGCTCTGCAAACTGAAAAGAAAAAAAAAGGTTGGTTAGCCTCCCCTCTCCCGCGCTATCACACATACTTTCGGTGAGGTAAGCATCAACAAGCTCGGGTGATGGCATAGAGAAAGCCAATTTCCGCGTAATACGTTCCGGCACACGACCATCGGGATTTTCTAGCGCCGCGTCGGCGAACTCTGAGCCATAGCGTGCACTAAGCATGTCCTTAAGTACATGCAATTCCTGAAGCTCCGTTCGGTGCGCTGCATGGATGACAGCTAGCATAGGCTCACGTATAGCATCATCGGGTTCAGTACTGACGAGGAAGATAGAGTAAGTGGATGCGCATGAAAAAAAAAATCGAAGGCAACATACTTTTTCAGCTCAAGTAATGCAAAGCGAGCATGCAAAGTCTCACAATACAGCTCGAGCACCTCAAGAAGTTCTAAATGAACCTGATCAGCGTGAGTAAACACATAGGATAAGGTGGGCACGTTGGATAAGGTGAAGCAGGCATACATACATCGTCCATAATGAGCGACTCGACCTTAATACGAGCCGATTCAAGCTTGCCACGCTCCACCAGCTCAGCTATGTCAAGTCGGGCTCGCTTCGCAAGAGCGGCCTTTTTCTCTTGTAGCATGCGTGAGCGCTGAATCGCCAGCTTCAGCTGAATCTTTGTCCGTGCAGCATTCCAACGAGTCATCGCGATGTCAATCCAGTCGCTCCAATGACTATGAAGGCACACCGAACCGTCCGCGCAAGACGTGTAACACGAAGTACGGCGAACATGGGAATTTGGGCCTCACACTCCACGCACACGCGGCAGCAGTTTTTATGATCGGCGATTTGTTCTGTGTGTGTGTCGTCAGCGCGTAAATGAGTGAAAGAGATCCTATGGCACGTGGGCTCAATGACGCGTCCATCGCTCCACAACAAACGCGATCAGTGAGCGAGCGAGCAGCGCGTCGTGACGCCGTCTGTTGCTCCCGGCCTATACCAGGAATGAGACACGAGAATGACATGGAAGAAGACGAGTTGGACCAGTCTACGGTCATGAGCATGGCAGACGATGCCGAGCAAGAGAAGCAGAAACAGGAAAGCGAGCCCCTGGACCCCATGGCGCTCTTAGCCTACTACCGCCGACTACTCCCATTTAAATCGCTCTACACATGGCTGAACCGCGACATTACGCCTACACGGCATTTCACACACCGCGAATTCGCGCTCACGCTACAAAATGATGCATATCTGCGCTATCAGAGCTATTCTACATGGGACGAGTGGAAGAAGGAAGTGTGTCGAATGAATCCATCTCGTTTCGAGATCGGGCCTGTGTACAGTGCGAAGCCTAAAGACCGCAAGACATTGCAGAAAGCGAGCTTCCGACCGGTTGCACGTGAGCTCGTGTTTGACATTGACATGACGGACTATGACGAGATTCGTACGTGCTGCTCGGACAAGAGTATCTGCCATCGATGCTGGAAACTCATCGCCGTGGCGGCCGAGGTGCTCGACATGACACTGCGAGAGGATTTCGGATTCCGGCACCTTGTATGGGTATATTCGGGCCGTCGAGGTATTCACTGCTGGGTATCGGACCAAGAAGCATTTCAACTGGCGGACGACGCACGCAAAGCACTCGTCGGTTGGATCGAGGTGGTAAAGGGCGGCGCGAATCAGGCCAAAAAGGTCGCGCTGGGCTCATCGATGCCGGGACACCACCGCGTCTTGCACCCAAGTTTGCGACGTGCGCTGGGGCAAGACGTCCTTCGATCAACTGCGTCTGCATCCAGTGCAGCGACCGAGAGTCACCCACGCCAAGGTGGAAGTGGACTGCTCCAACGGGCATTTGTCGATGTCATACTGCGGGATCAAGACTGTTTCCGTGATCCACAGCGCTCAGACGTGCTGCTTGCGCTCCTGCCAGCATCTGAAACGGACGCCGTTGCACGTTTGCAAAGTAAATGGGCTTCGTCTACACGATCGAGTGTGCAGAAATGGGACGACGTTCTTGACATGGCGGCGCGGAGCGCGGAGCGAGTAAAGCCCATGTGGATTGCCGCTCTAGAAGATATCGTGCTGCAGTACACGTATCCGCGCATTGACGCAGAAGTGTCGAAGAGGCAAAACCACCTGCTAAAGGCGCCGTTCGTCGTGCATCCTTCGACAGGCCGTGTTTGTGTGCCGCTGGAACTCGACCAGGTCCAAATGTTTGATCCGCACTCCAGCGCGCCAACGATTGCACAAATCCTGCAGGAGCTGAATCAGGAATCAACAAACGCGTCCTCAGCACGTGGTGAGTGGGAAAAAACGTCTCTGCGCCCCTTTGTCGAACAGTTTGATCGGGCTTGCACTCGCATGGTTCGCGAGACGCAAGAGGCTAAGCGTGCGGCCCAGCGGCACTCGCTGGACTTTTAGCGGCACATACGGCTGATGCGGCGGGTGGTGTATGCGCTGCCTGTGCCGCACTCTTGTTCAAGACAAACGCGTACAAACTCGAGGGACCTCGTCGCTCAGGCGCTCGTGTTGTGTCGAGGCCTGCACTGGTCACAGCGACCATGCTTGAAGTGTCTGAAACAGAGGCCGCTGCTGTTGGCGACGGCGATGACGACATGCCCGACGGCAATACCACATGCGCAAGTGCGTGCACATCGACATCCAGCTCAGCACTAAGCTCTTTTAGACACCAGCGCGGCAATGCGTCAAATCCATGAACGGCATGTACGCGCATCCAGTGTAGTCGCAAATACTGAAGGATGACTTGGCGGGCTTGCTCGACGGTCTCGGAGGCATGCCCGGTGGGGAAAGGGCCACTCTCGGTCAGCACAATCTGATCGACGATGAGCTCATACAAATGCGGTGCATTGTGTACGGAGAGTTGCTGCAGCATCTGCGTCAAGATGTAGCTCAAGAGGGGATCGCATTGCTCGATGATGTGCGGCCATCGCTTCGCTTGCACAAGGCTCGGAAGCTTGGTCAGGACAGCCTGCGTCGTAAGGGCCGTCGCGCGTTCATCATGACTAGAGTGTGTGCGCACGGCGTCAATGTAAGCAAGATATGCATCCCCAGGGGTTTCGACCGAGCATCTCTGTGTTGACGACGAGGGTGCGTCCGTTGCGCTGCTAGTAACGAGCTTGCTGGTCGAGTCAACCTTGTCCGCAAGCACTGTCGTCAAAACCTCGTGCCAAAATGCTTGCGCTGCCTGTTTTGTCGCTAGATCATCACCACAACAGCAGGCCATCGCGTGTAAACACGCTTTGTCCTCGTAAACGAGTGGATGCTTCAAAAGTGCGTCACATGCAGACACCCGATGCGTCAAGAGCGCATGTGTCAGCACGAGACGCGCAGCATCTGTCCATGCATACTTGGAGGCCAGTATCTCAGCCAGATGCAATTGCTCTGTTGGAGCGATGAACTTAGAAGCCTCGATGCGCCCGAAATACAGGAGTGAGCGAAGTTGATACGAGGCACTTTTCGACAAAGTCGGTCGAGCTCGCAACATGGCTTGCTTGGGTATGAATGACGGCCTAGTAGTGTCAGGACCAGTGGGAGCGGCGGCAGCGGAGGAACATCGGTGCGAGACTATCGCACGACAGATGCGATCCTGCTTCTCATTCGCATGTGCATCTTCGTCTAAGAGCCAGTGCATGTCATCAGCAAACGACGGTGCTAGACTCGCACGTATGGCATCGACCGATGACCCGGTAGCTTGACATAGGGTGCAGACAAGATGGCGCTGGATTGTGTCTGTAAACATCCACTTGAGCAGTGCATGGAAGACATCAGATGAAACGACGGCCTGGTGCGATACGAGCTGCGACTGACTCTTGGGCTGTCGCCGCCAGAAAGAAACGAAGAGTGACTTGCACCGCGCAAGTCGCGATGACGGCCCTAAGGGGGGAGATGGCTCAAATAGCCCTATGAGCTGCTCCAGTGCGCCGTGTGTGCGCGCACGTATGATATCTCATCGTTAGAGATACGATCTACGAAAGCATTCATACGAATATGAGCGTACCTTGCTGAACTGTGCGCATCGTTGACGAGGTTCGTAGCGAGTGCGAGGTGACGAGGTCCTCTGATGCAGGCACATTCTCATGCAAGAGCATTAGCATATCGTGCTGCCATTGCGTATGAAAAGCAGCGGCCCGTTCTTGGTAGAGTTTCGACAGTGCTGTGCGCTTATCATCCATCTACGTCGACGAACCTAGACAGCAGCCGTCGTCCAAGTGTGGGTGTGCGCTGTACCTTTTTCGTGCCAAATTTGCCACACACACACACACACAATGGACAGAAGGACATTCACACACAATCACGCGCCCGCCCACCACACACGAGCATCGACAAGCGGATGAATGTGGAGGTCTCCTCTCCGCCGTGTTCGATGGTGCGTGAGGACTTGCCTGGTACCTCCTTTGTCCAGAGAAGCAAACTTGCGTCACGCGCACTTGTTGCGGAAACGCGTCGATACAGACGGACTTGGTAAAGTAGCGAGACGACGTGTCGCACAAGCGGCGTATGACATCGTCGACGCCTTTGCGCGCTGAACATGCTGCGACGGAGCTAGATCGCCTCGGCACAAAATGCCTAGCTCTAGTGACCGAGTGGGTATCGCAAGGACAAGACAGCCGCACGCTGGCTGCACCGTGGCCAGATGCATCCTCGTTCCGTTCATCGATAGATGTATGCGTACCGGAGGAGGGTGTATCGGAAAACACGCTTTTTGCAAAGATCCGCGCGATCCTGCACAACAGCGTCAATCCATGGACACATCGATTTCTCGAGAAGCTGTACTCTGCACCAGCTGTCATCTCGATCATGGGAGATCTGCTTCTAGGTGTCATGAATGCATCCGTGCATGTGTTTTCTGCCTCACCTATCCTTACTATGATCGAGGAGCAATGTGCCGCTGCATTGTGCGAGCGTGTGGGCTACACGGCCGCCGATGCAGATGGCTTGTGCATGCCAGGCGGCGCTGCATCCAACACGTTCGCTGTTCAGACAGCGCTGTCTCAGTTGTTTGGTGGTGTGTATCGGCATGGTGGCGTGTGTGCGCTGGTCGATGCATACACGCAGCACAAGGGACGCATCGGCCGTGGCGCACGTCCAGCAATTCTCGTGAGTGCCGATGCCCATTTCTCCCTATCCCGCGCGGCGTTGGCAGCAGGACTCGGCACGGACGCCGTCGTTCCGATCGCCGTCGACAAGCATGGCAAAATGGATACGAGCGAGCTTGTTCGTGTGTGCCTAGAGATGGAGCAGGAGCCAGCGCACACACGTGGTGTACCCATGATGATTTGCGCGACGAGTGGGACAACTGTTTTGGGCGCATTCGATGATCTTTGTACCATCGCACATATCTGCCGCAGATTTGCCTGCTGGATGCATGTCGACGCATCATGGGGTGGCGCTATGGTATTTCTTCCATCTGATGCACCTGCAAGAGCCTGCCGGCTCGATGGCCTGCAAGAAGCCAACAGCATCACAATCAATCCACACAAACTCTTGGGCGTTACGCACCAATGCTCGTTTTTGCTCGTCAAGAACAAGCTAGTGCTGCAAGTGGCCTCACTGACAGAGGATGCAGGATACCTCTTTCATGACGCATCTACATCGTCGTCGGTGTCATCCTCGTCGCCGTCATCATCGTCTTCACAACCGCCACGACCGCTTGTCAATGACATGGCCGCCAAGACACTGGGCTGTGGCCGCCGGGGCGATGCTTTGAAACTATACCTGGTGTGGCTTCGTTACGGCACACACGGGCTGAGTGAGCACATTCAGCATGGCTTGTACATGGCGCAGCTCATTTTGGCACGCATTGAGCAGACGCCGACACTAGAGCTTGGCCCACTTGCAAAGCCTCTCTTTCTACAGATCTGCTTCCGGCCCCGATTCGGCGGCCCAGACGCCACTCGGCGCATGCATGCAAAGCTCAAGGCGTCTGGTCAGTATGTCGTTGACTATGCACCTGTACATGAGATGGGCGACTTCATGCGCCTCGTTGTGCATCCCACAACACCGCTACACGTGTATGAAGCATTAATCGATACATTGGGGGACATGGTAGACTCAACATTATAATACTATTAGTACGGTAGTCCGAGAAAATTACCGAGACGACGGCAAGAGCATAGTGGGGGGGCAGTGGTATGCGGTAATAGGTCGAGGATCTGGGATGACGGTGCGGGCAGATGAAGTGTGGGGAGCTAGACAACGTAGAATCGCATAACGACATGATCCAATTAGAGGAGGAAAGCAGGCGCACACGACGTGAGCGAAATAAAAAAAAGCACATTCGAAAAACAAAAATGCACATGATGATGCCCTCTCTCTCTCTCTCTCTCTCTCTCTCTAGTCCCTCGAACCGGAGCCAAAATCCTGTTTACTGTGATCAACGCATCATACGCCTGGGTCCTGCATCATTTTGCATGCTTCTGCACTCAGTCCCATCATGAATGCGGCGATGCCGACGAGGCAGGCGACGACGATGATGCCGTTGTCGTCGTCAGCAGTACATCTCGCACGTAGCGCAACTTCTTGATGACCTGGCGCACAAAGCGGCGCTCACTAGGCTTGGTCGTGAAGTATGTCGGGAACTGTGCCGTATCGTGCAAAGAAGCTGTCTCTGTCGCAGAGCGGCGTGGATGAGCAATAGCCACGAGCTCAGTGAGCGTCCATGTGCGTAACACTGGCACGCCATCTGTGCGGTCAACAGGCTCAATCGCCGAGATCACCAGGCCGTCACAAGACAAGAACACCTTCGTGTGGTCGTAAAAGTTGAACTGGACAGTCCCGTTGCTGAGGCGGAAGACAATAGCCTGCTTGCACCGGTACCACTTGTGAACGAATCCGAGATGCGACGTTGCATGTTCGTCCACATAGGTCAAGGGGCTGTCGGCGCCGTACAGACGCTCCATGATCTCGCTCTCAAAGAAGCGCAAGAGCTTGAACTTCGACACAAGCTCACGTGGGAGCCAGTCCAATGGACCTGTCGCTGTCGATGGCGGTAGTGCATAGTTCTCTCGTCGCAGCTGATCATGCCGCTCGTGGTCAGAAGAACGCTGCCGTACTGTGTACACATAGTCAAACGCTTGGCGCCGAGGCGCAAGGACCATGCTTGTCGAGTCGCGGAAGTGCACGCCGACGGTGCCGTTGCACAGAGCGTAGCCCAGGCCGTACTTTTCAGAGTGGTCCAGCCACGAAATAATAAAGAGACGCGGCGCGTCCGGTTTCAGGCGGAGCTGTCCACCTTCTCCATCCATGACATTCGGCAGCGGCACTGTGACGACTTCGCCCATAGGATCCACACATACCATCGGCTCAATTATATCAGCGTCTAAATGTGCGAGTGCCTGACTCAAGTAGTGCTCCGTCAGCTCCATCGTTGAAAGTGCACGTTGGTCGCCGCTGCTCTGCTACACCATGGCCAATGTCGATGTTTCGCATCATAGTACCCGGCTTGATCAATGCAGGTGGGGCGCCANCCGCGCCGCTGGGCGCGAGTGGCATGCCGAACGCTTTGTCATGGATGTGCATGTCCTGCAGGCGGTTCTCCAGTGCCCATTCGTTGGTTGACGTGCCTTTGTTGCGTGTGTAGTGAGTGCCCGGAGCCAATACTGCGGACCTGCCAGGTGCCACAGCTGGCGCCAAGGATGACATGGTAGCCGCGCCAGGTGTAGCTGCAGTTGTCGTTGCCGTTGTCGGCGCATAGGGCGCCTTCACAAGCGGCTGTCGACCCACCTTGAGCAACGTCGAAATGGGACTGCCCGGGTTGATCGCCTGCTGCGACTCTCGGTCCAAGCGGTCGCGGTCCTCTTCTGCCGCCTCGAGATTGTTCAGCTCGTGGCGAGCATCCGGACGTGGCGAGCTGACGACCTCTGCAGCAGCTGCAGCTGCCTCCTGCTCTTCTGTGAGCCACTGCGCCTCCAGCTTCAGCTGCTCAAAATTGCGCAGGCTCTCGGCCTCGGAGAGTGCGGGGATATATGGCTGCTGGTACACAGCGGACGAGGGCACCGTAAGAGGCACAGTGCCAACACGGAACCAAGCGTGGTTCATAATCTCGTGCAGCGTTGGACGCTCCGATGGGCGCTGAGATAGAATTTGACGGATCAGCTCCTGGGATTCGGGCGACAAGTTGGCCTCAGGAGGAATTTCGTACTCATTACGTCGGATCCGGTCGTAAATTTTTTGCACATTGCTCGTCTGGAATGGCGGCCGGCCGACCAACAGCGTGTAGAGAATGACGCCGACCGACCAGATATCGACTTCAAAACTGTGACCTTCGCCTTGGTCGTAGAGGATTTCAGGAGCGATGTAGTTGGGCGTACCACAAACGGTCTTTTTGCGCTCCTCTGGGTACTTCAGCAGCGCCGCGAGTCCAAAGTCGCCGATCTTCACCTTCATGTGTTTGTCGAGGAACACATTTCCCAGTTTAAGATCACGGTGGATGATCGAGTTATTATGCATGTTCTGAATGCCTGCAAGAATCTGTATCATAAAGTACCGCGCCTCAGACTCCAGGTATGGTCCACGCCGTTTGACGATGTCATTCATGTTCTGTTACAAATGTTAGCATCCCGTCCTCGATCTCGTCAGCCCTTGAGGCCGCTCGATACGTACTCCGTTGTGACACAGCTCCAACACAAAATACACATTTTCTGAATCTTCAAACACATCTTCAAAGCCCACAATATGCACATGTTTCAATGACTTGTGGATCATGATCTCTGCGAGAATCTTCTGCCGATTCTTCTTTGACTGCATAATCGCACTCTTCGCAATGACCTTGAATGCCTTGTCTTCTCCAATTTCATTCGTTACATGGTACACACGAGCAAAGCCACCCTGACCTAGCATCGCATGTCGTTCGTACTGACGGCCCTCTGGGTCAACAATGACACGCGGCGGCGTGGGCAGCTGCGGCTTCTTGCTCGTGTGCGACCCTGCGGCGGCTTCTTTCGTGATGGGTGCAGGCGCACGCTTCGGAGATAGCGGCTGAACATGCGCGGCTGGCCCCAAATTGTTCAGACCATCTAACGGAGCGAGTTGGTCACGACCACGCTCCGTCGCCATCATCGTTGGCGCCGCAGTTCGCATGCGATCCTGTACATACTTGTGTGCTTCGTGTTGCATGCCATTCTCACTCAGCTTATGCATAGGCGCAGTTACACCATGACGATGCACTGGCACAGTCTCTTGCGTCGACAGACTTTGAAGCACAGCGCGGCGTGGTGCCATAGGCAGCGACACGGCCGGCTCTCTGAAGTGGCGGGGAACGTCCGTAGACATTCACTACGACGTGTATAACGAGAAGGCAATCACTAGAGTAGGTGGTGCAAGCAGAGGGGGGCAGCACACGAAGGTGGTGATTAGCACAATGCCAGACAGTGAGCCCGTCACAACAAGTCTTGGAGTGTGTGTTGTATCGATTCAACCCTATACAATTCTGTTTCCAACGTAAACCAACACCTCACCACACTAAACTCTCTCCTGCACCAAGACGCGTCGCATCATGCAGATCACGTGATACTTCCACCAACATCTCAGTCCAATGCCGACCTAGTCAAGTCGCCACATGTTCGGCAGCCCAACCAGTAATTGTTTGTAGAATAAATGCGTCCATGTGTTATTTTTCTTATTTTTGGGGCGAGCTCGGTTCAAACGTCTTCCGGCCGCTAGGCTTCGGACATTTGTTCGGCTTTCGACAGAAGCAGGACTGACAGCGGCGGCGGCAGGCCTCGTGGCCTAGAAATAGATGTTTTTTTTTTTCTTTTTGGGCGGAACACCGCTCAAGATCAATGAAGCACTCAGACGCGTTTCCGTGACCTGGCGTCCAGCTCAGGACCAGTCTGTCCCGCACCTTTTATCAATACATTGTTACAGTGGGCGGCGTATATACCTCGTATCGCGTGTCGTTGACAGAAATGCATCCGCCACACATTCGCGAGCCCGCCACGAACGTCCCTGTGTGGGTACGAGCTGCGTAATTTCATACCGTCCTCCTTCCTCCAAGACATCTGTGTCACCCCACACGCTTAGCTGAGCCGTTCGTCTGCTAGTCCGTCGGGTGGGCCATGCATCTCGCACGCGCACAATTCGAAAAGCTCGAATGTGTCGCCGTGGACACCTCTCGTGTAGCGCAGATGTATACTCACCGGAAGAAGGCTCGCTCAGCACGTGCACACGCTCGTGCAGTGCGTGCAATATCGCAGATAGGTAAGCATTCGTGTAGGAGTCAGACTCCGTGGCCTGCACGACGCTTGCGAACGGATCGGCTTGCGTTTCAAGCTCGCGTACATATGCGTGTGCTTTCTCCATGTCCAACATACCCATAGCGCCAGCGTCATGAGCGTCATTACTGTCACCTGGCTGAAATACTGTAGCCGTCGTGCGAGAATCGAGCCAGGCCGCTGCCTTGCTTAGTTGCGGCAAAATGGCAGCAAACCGGGCACGTGTTTCGGCACATCGCAACTCCCACGTCGCATGACGCTCAGCTTCTTCATCCTCACTGTACTGTGGGCCGCCATACTGGACGGTGCCCCGAGAGGTCAGTGTACCTTCCATATAGCCCACGGGATAGACACGCTCTACAATCACATCGATCTTCCCAATAAGCCCACCATCTGGAAGTAGACGCGCTAAACTCGAAACAAACACATGCTTCTGAAATCCTAGCTTCGCATCCCAACGAGCAAGCGCTGTTGAATTTGCGCTTACCATCAAGTCGGATGTGTAAAGAGCATCTAGCACGGGTGATGGTTCTCCAGACGAGCGCAGCTGTTCTCGTAAGTGGCAGGTTAACATACCTTTGCCCCGATAATCCCGACTTTTTGTCCTACACGTAGCGCTCCTCGTCGCACAGCCCGGCGCATAGGAGCATCAATTTCTGCTCGGATCAAGTACCATCCGTCAGTTAGCTCTAGCACAAGAGAAGCACCGTCTTCTTCGACGTCCTTATATGTCAGGATCCGGTGGACGCAGAGTATCATGCTCCTGCTCGCTGGCGCTAGTTGTTCCTGGATGCACTTGATGGCACTGCTCTGTTTTGCGTGGAATTCTCGCTCGTACCTATAGCGAAGCTGCCGCATGCACGACTCCCATGTCCACAGTTGACTTGGTTGGTCAGACGCAGTCCAGTATGTGTATGCAGCGAGCTTCCACAGAATGAGCGACCAATGGTGCTGTACCCATTTGAGCGTCGCTCGTGTGGCGCCAAGTTCCTGAAGCACATTGAGTGCTTCTGAAGTGCCCAGAATACCAAGGCTTTGCTTCGCACTGAACGCGTACTGACCTGCTAAAGGTGGATCCCGAAGAATTAGACGAACTTCACACGGCAGACCAGACTTGCTGTCAGCTGACGAAAAAGTCGACATAGCCTGTCGTCGAGGTACTATCCCTGCATCTCTGTACGTGATGCGCGGCGTCCGCGGTTGAAGGTCAAATAACTGTGGCTCGACCATTCCTGACTGCATAGCTTTACCTGATGACCCACCAGATCTCTGCACAGCCGCAGGAGACACGATGCCCTTCTTGAATGGAGGTGTAAATGACGCACACTTATTGTTGGCATTGAGTCCGTGCCGGTACGAACGCGGATGTATTCCGACAGAGATGACTTTGGATTGCGGCGTGAGTAGACGAAGCGGGCTTCGAAATCTTCTTTTGCTTAAGGATGCTGAAGATGGGACCGAAGCTGAGCCTGCCACTGTAACGGGGCGTAGTCGTGAAGATGATCCAGCACGCGGTGGTGTTGACAAGACTGGTGTTCCCTTTGGGACAAAAAGGCCGCCCTGAAGTGGGTATAGAAGTTTCAGACTTTGCGGCGTAATCAGGCGATGAGGTGGGTATATTGGTGGATGTGGGCGGATCATCGTCCCAATCATCCAATCTTAACCGTTTGGCTGCTTGTTCCATGGCAGCTGCACTGGGACGTGCTACTCGTTTGCCGTTCGCTTTTTGAAATCCAAAGTTTGTTTGATCTTCTGAACTTTTGCTTGTTTCTGGATCAAGTGAGAGCTTACTCGACGCTTTTATGCTAGAATCGGAAGTTTCATCCAAAAGCTGCCATGAAGATTCGTCGAGTGATTCGAAAAAGTCTAGCTCCTCGTCCCATGGGTCTATGTTTTCTTGATCTCCATCATCGCGTATGCGTTTTTTGTGTTGAACCGAATCTTTTAAGTGAGGAAAGAGTGATATACAACTGTGATATCGACGCCAAAACGCATGTTGCCGTTCACGCGTGTGTGGCGCAAGAGAAAGATCGTCGCGACTAGAGTTAGTGTTTGTGGCACCCAGATGAGATATATCACAGAGGGCATTTGAAATCATGTCTTGAGGGGCTCGGTCGCCATTCTTGCGCATGGCAGGCGACCTGGCGCCACTGCTGCGTATGACAAACGTATAGGCGTGTTCTAGCGTGCCGTGACGCGTCAGGACTTAAGTACACCCAACCAAAGTGTTGGTCAACGGTGCGTAGAATATTCGGCCGAGGGAGCCTCGACGCGTCATCATGTCAGCTCTGACGCGCACAGAGTAAGGTGGGTGCAGCAAGACACGCGCGCTCGGTACAAAGTCGACAGGTCGCGAAAGACGACTTGCGGTAAGTTTCCTCCCGGTTACGCTTGAAGAGCTTATGTATGCTACGTCCAAGTAAGTGCCTCTCTAAAATTATGCTTACAGTCTCTAGTCGAGGAGGCACGCGTGGTGGTGCTGCGGACTTCTCGTGGGAAGCAGTTCGTCAAGACAAGCACCGCGAGAATTATCTAGGCAATTCAGTGGCTGCACCACGCGGCCGGTGGGCCCTGGGGCGCGACATATTGTGGTATAACAAACATTCGCAGAACGAAGGTTCGAATGAAAGCACAAAGAGGAAAGAGGTCTCGGATGTGAAAAAGGCTGAACAAGAAACTATGGAGCAGATGCTGTATGTATTGCGTTTACACTTGGAAATGCATTCACATGCTTACCCATAATTTAGCGGGCATACATCGTCCGCAGCAGCTTCCAAATCTTCAGGCGCTTCACACAATCTTCACGGGCGAATGGCAAACTCCGTGGCACCTCTCGGCTCGGGCGCCAATGCGGCTCCCCTGGACCCTACGAAGCAGCGGTATCCACGAGTGCCAGTATCTCCGCCTAAAGGTGCCGAACACGACCAACACCGCAAACATCACCACCGCCATCACCGGCATCATCGGCATCATCGGCAACCTCATCGTCATCAAAGCAGAGATCATCGACATGACGATCGGCTTGGCGACGAAATTCGGTACCAGTCACACCGGCATGAACGAGAAATGTCGCCGACCCATGCTACAAGAGGCAGTGATATTGCTCGACAAAACAGATACAACGATTCTAACTTGGATCGACATGGACAACCACATCGTCATTCGGAGACCCCATATCCCGCTGCACACGGCTCCTAAATTTTGTAAACGTTTATTTATCTAGACAAACATGTTACTTCGCAACATTGTTATAAGCGCGTTGGCAAGTTTCGAAACATTATACATTCACTATTGGAGAATAAAGCAAGCAATCTAATTCCATGGTCAACGACGATGCGCGACTTATTTGTAGATATGAAATGGGCTAGCGATTCAAATGTATACCGAAATGCGCGATTATATCGATACGCGTGTGATCGTACCGCTAGCGATGGGTCGGACGTGCATTGACGCGTAAATAGTCATGGAACCAGCTGACCTTGAAGTACGTTAGCTACGACTGCATGCGGACATGCGCCATTAACGTGTTTGATGTTGAATAATGCTGCGTCATGAACATTAGTTTGTCCAGCCTCTCTCTGTTCAGCCAATCACTGTGGGTTAATGGACCTCGGGATGATGTGTTACAGAATATGCGCGTTTGTGATTGATTCGGGTCTACCACGAAATACTAAGAAATGTGGAGTTTTTCGAATGGGAAGGACGCTAGGATGGAAGCTCAATTGACGCGTCATCCACCCGAACAGAGTTTTCTAGTTCCCTTCGATTCAAGGACGTCACACAAACCTTTCCGCCCATCCCGGAGTGTTTCCGACGGGTGCATAGGTTCCTATTTGTCAAGGGATTATCACGAAGGATCGTGAAGTAAGGAAATGGTTCGTATAGGATATTTGGAAGAAAGAAACTAGGAATGAGTTAAAACTAACACGCCCGTCTCAGTGTGGTATTTTTGCCTACGTGAATTACCTGGTCGAAAAGGTTTGTATTTCTTCCACCGTCGAAGGAAGGCCATTGTGACTTACATCGTTTTAGGACCGTCAGTATATCATTGACGTGCTGGTGAATGCACTGTCGCGTCTTGAGTACCGAGGATATGACAGTGCTGGACTCACTGTGGACGGCGACCGCGAGAAAGAGGTGTTGCTTTTCAAGCAAGTTGGAAAGGTGCATGCGCTCCGTAAGCACATTGCCGAGTCATCGGTGGACATGGACCGGACGTTTGTGTCACATGCCGGTATGGCTCACACACGTTGGGCCACTCACGGATCACCATCACCCCTCAACTGCCACCCTCATAAGAGTGATCCAAAGGGCGAATTTACAGTCGTGCACAACGGCATTATCACGAACTTCCGTGAGCTGAAGCTTGTGCTCGAGAAGCGCGGTTACACGTTCGAGACAGACACGGACACAGAGGCTGTGGCTGTGTTGGTCAAGTACTTCTGGGACAGCTATCCGGAGAATCGCAAGCCTGACTTCCACACTGTAGTCCGCTGTGCCGTAAAAGAACTCGAGGGAGCTTTCTCGTTCGTGTTCAAGTCTGTTTACTTCCCCGGTGAAATCGTCGTGGCTCGCCGTGGTTCGCCCTTGTTGATTGGCGTGAAGACGGAGAAAAAGCTCAAGGTGGACTCTGTTGACGTGCAGTTGGGTAATCAAGTTGAGGGTGACTATGCGAATGTGCCAAACTTGCACTCTGCACCGAACTTTGACCAGCCGGGTGCCCCACAGCCTGCAGCGCCCGGCAGCATTGACAAATTGATCCGTTCCCAGTCGCGTGCGTTCCTGTCTGAAGACGGCATGCCGCAGCCTATCGAGTACTTTATTGCGTCAGATGCTTCGGCAGTGGTCGAACACACAAAGAGAGTGCTGTACCTCGAAGACGACGACATTGCGCATATCGCAGATGGCGAGCTGCACATCCACCGCCTGCGCCGCAACGACGGTCTCTCATCCACACGATCTATTGAGACTCTAGAAATGGAGCTTGCTGAAATCATGAAGGGCCAGTTCGATCACTTTATGCAGAAAGAGATCTACGAGCAGCCGGAGTCGGTGGTAAACACGATGCGTGGTCGTGTGAACTTTGACACGCGCCAAGTTAGGCTCGGTGGTTTGGTTGCGTATTTGAATGTGATCCGCCGCTGCCGTCGTATTGTGTTTATTGCATGTGGTACGAGTTATCACTCGTGCTTAGCGACACGGGCGATCTTTGAAGAGCTGACGGAGATCCCTGTATCAGTCGAGCTGGCCTCAGACTTTCTCGACCGTAAGTCGCCGATCTTCCGTGACGATGTGTGTGTGTTTGTGTCACAATCGGGAGAAACTGCCGATACGATCCTTGCGATGCGATACTGTTTAGGCCGTGGCGCTCTGTGTCTGGGTGTCGTAAACACGGTGGGAAGCACGATCTCGCGCGAGACGCACTGTGGTGTCCACATCAATGCAGGCCCTGAGATTGGCGTGGCGTCGACCAAGGCATATACGTCGCAATACATTGCGCTGATCATGATGGCTGTGCATCTCTCCGAAGACCGCCTTTCGAAAATGGGCCGTCGTCACGAAATTATCGATGGCTTGCATGCGCTCCCGGATCAAATTCGGACAGTGCTGTCTTGCGACAAACAATACCAGGATCTCGCATACAATATCCTTGTGAACGAGAAGTCGCTTCTTATCATGGGCCGTGGCTACCAACATGCCACGTGTCTTGAAGGCGCACTCAAGATCAAAGAAGTGTGCTATATGCATTCGGAGGGTATTCTCGCTGGTGAACTGAAGCATGGTCCGCTAGCTCTCATTGACGAAGCCATGGCCGTGATCCTCATCATGACCAAGGACTCTCTGTACCCGAAAGTGCAGACTGCCTTGAGCCAAGTCTCGGCACGGAATGGCCGCCCGATCATCATTTGTAACGAAGACGACAACAATGTCCCCAATGACGCGCGTGCTATCCGCGTCCCGCTTTCTGTCGACTGCCTGCAAGGCCTCTTGACTGTCGTGCCATTGCAACTTCTCTCCTACCACCTCGCTACAGCGAACGGCGTTGACGTGGACTTCCCCCGCAACCTCGCCAAGAGTGTTACGGTGGAGTAAAGCATTAATATGGGATAGGCCGCCAAGTATATACACACTCTCTCTTACATGTTGTTGAGAAATCGCTTATGTAGACTGACTGATTGATTGATTGACTCACTGGTTTGCTATTTTGATCGAGTAGTGGCAAAATTTGCGAACATACACGCGATTGCAATAGCTAGTGTGAACGAGCGACGCGGCCCTGCGGATGTGTGGGCGGAACAGGCTTTTTGGTCAGGGCGAGCGCTGGGGTCTAATTCGAGAGGTGCAAAAACGGCAAAGTCAGGTACCAGCCCTCTACACGCATGAACACATTCAGTGTCTCCTCTGTGTGAGTGTCCGAAACGCGTGAGGAGTGGAGAAGTCTGCTAGAATGTGTCGGAGGCCGCCGCAAAAACGTACGCCAACTGAATTTGCTGGTGAATTTCTTTTCGAACGCGCCTAGATTCTGGAACACATGCATGGTGTCAGCAACAGCACGTAGCCACTCGGCACTAGTTTTGCCTGTGCCGGGTAGCTCTGAGCCACAGAGTGACGATGCTGCGAGGTCACGCGCGTTTCATTTCCCCTACCCCACAGCATACCGAATACAACTCGATCTCATGTCCGCCCTGTTTGACACGATCGAACAAGGCAAGGCAGGTGTGTTTGAGAGCCCTACAGGCACAGGAAAGACACTTAGCCTGCTCTGCAGTGCACTAACATGGCTTGAGATGAATCGACAACGGCATATCCTGGGCGTCCGAGCATCGACAGAGACGAAAGAGACTGCCACAGGTGGCGAAGATGACAGTGAGCCTGAGTGGGTCCTTGCACATGAAGAAGCAAGGCAACGAGAGTCTCTGGCATTGTACGAAAATGAGCTGCGTGAGCGCTTAGATCGTGCCAGACTGTGCCTTCCAGGAACAAGGGCGGCACAGCAAGACGTCCGACCAAGTCGTGGCCCAAAACGAGCGCGCGTTGATACCGGCAGCAGCGACATCACAGACGACGACGAATTTCTTGTGGATGACTACAGCGAACGACCAAAGCCGATCGTATCCAAAGGACAAGCTGGATCTGATATGAATCTCTCAGACGAAGTGCGCGCAATGATGCAAGCATACGAAGAACAGGGATTTGCTGGCAGACAATGTGGTGGCATGGCGCCCGAGAACACACCAGAGACACGGCCAAAAATCTTTTATGCAAGCCGGACACATTCGCAGCTTGCACAGCTGATCAACGAAGTGAAGCGCACGCCATTTGGAAAAGCACGCGAGCCGGTACGAAGCATCAGTCTCGGTAGCCGGAAACACATGTGTCTACATGCGGACGTGCGCCGTGTAGGTGCTACGTCAGGTACAGATGCAATGAATGAACGGTGTCTTGAGCTCATACAAAACAAAAAGGGTCAGCGGTGCCCGTTTCTCCCGCCGCATGATGCTATGGGTCAAGTTACAATGGATAGATATCGTGACCATGCTCTGGCACAAGTTCATGACATCGAAGAGCTTGTGCAGCTTGGGAAGGACCTGCGTATCTGTCCGTACTTTGGTACGCGACATAGTGCGCGAAATGCGGAACTTGTGACGCTGCCGTATAACTTGTTGCTCCAGCATGACGCTCGCGAAGCGCTGCAGCTTTCTCTTGAAGAAAGCATTCTTCTCATTGACGAAGCACATAACTTGATCGACACCATCCTTGCGACGTATACAACAGAGCTCACGCAAGCACATATTGATGAGGCCACCGCACAGGTCGACGTATACTTACAACGCTTTTCCAAGCGCCTGAAGGGTGTAAACGAGGAGCACATACGGATTCTTCAAGTGATTCTACATGCGATGCAGTCATTTTGCGCTGAGATCTGCAAAAATAAGCAGCATATGTGGCAACGAGATACATCCCTGACGCTGCCTGCATTTATGGCACATCTGGGCGGCTCTGTGGACCAAATCAATGTATGTATTCTTGGCTCACGTTCTCAACCCCGACAGGAATGGATCGCTGACGTGATAGCTCGTACGTTTAGAACGCTGGCTCAAAGATACACGTATTGCTCGAAAGATTGGTGGATATGCCAACAAAGTGTGGGAACGTGCTCAGACAAGCGAGAATCCAAGTACCTGGAGACCTGCGACACGCCCTTCATGCATGACACGTGCCATGCACTCGCTCGAGGCTTTTCTGCTGGCCCTTTGCAATAGGAGCATGAATGGGTGTATTCTCGTTTCGAATGAACGCGCTATCAGTGGTGGCAGGGGTACTGACAACACGGTTAGCGGAGGTGTTCGCTTCAAGTATCTATTATTGCATCCTGGCGATGCGTTCGAGCCTCTTGTTGCCGATGCGCGTGCCATCGTTCTCACTGGCGGTACGATGGAGCCGGTGCGTACCACCCATCTTTGTGTCTAACGAGCCCAGATCTCCGACTTTCGCACACAGCTCTTTTCCAATCTACCCGACGAGCGTTTGTCATTGTTTTCCTGCGGACACATTGTGCCGCGTGACCACGTATTGGGTGCCGTCGTGCCCGTCGGCCCCAAAGGGCACACACTCGAGTTTACTCACGAGGCGTGGCAGCGCCCGTGCTTGCTGGACGAGCTTGGCAACGTGCTGTCGAACTACAGCAACATTGTGCCGCATGGCATGGTCGTATTCTTCCCGTCCTATGCAAGTCTTGACATGACGGTGGCGCAATGGCGCAAGACTGGCATGTTGGATCGTCTGTCAAAACGTAAGCAAGTATTCATGGAGCCAAAGGATGCAAAAGACGTCGATACCATTCTGAGGCAGTATGCCTCGACCGTCAGTACGCCGCCACCAACGTCACCCAAAGGTGCCATGCTGCTTGCTGTCGTTGGAGCCAAGCTATCGGAAGGCATCAATTTTCAGGACGAACTAGCACGTTGTGTGGTGATGGTGGGCTTACCATTTCCGCATTCTCAGAGCCCAGAGCTCGCGGAGCGCCTGGCTTTCGCTCGTTCTACACAACCACCAGATACACGCTCTAGCACAGATCCAGGTCGAGATCTGTATGTGAACATGTGCATGCGAGCTGTGAATCAGTCGATGGGCCGTGCCATCCGCCACAGCGCCGACTATGCGGTGTTCCTGATGCTTGATCAGCGCTATGGACGCGATTCCATTCTCATGCGCTTGCCTGGATGGATCCGTACTCAAGTGCAAGTGCATGAGCGCTTTGGTTCGAGCATCAAGGCTGTGGCACAGTTCTTCCAACAGAGAAAAAAGACAAAGTGAACTACTCATACACGCATACCTACAGCGCCTGTTTCCCAGATCGTCTCACGGCCAAGCTGCTTATGCACCTTTTCCCGCGCCTTTTGCCCAGCTACTCTTGTCGACCAAGCCCGAGTCCTTTGTTCCGACCCAGCCAGAATACCTGTCGTCCAAGCTCGGACATTCTTCCGAAAAGATGCGCTGTACCTTGCCGTCATATAGCTGGAAGATGACGTCGAAGCGGTCTGATGGATACTCTATGCCGTCGTCAGTACGTGTTCCACATGTTCATACTTTTCCATCCGAGCGTGCGCATACGCCCTCATACGTACCAAGACCGTCTACGCCAAGCTTGTCGGCAATGTCGCTAAGCCTCTTGTGTTCCCAGCACACAAGAATCCGCTTCGCACCATTCTTCGACGCTTTGTGTATCTTGTCCGCTGCACAGCCCGCATCATCGCGGTCACATGAGTGGTCAATGTCCAAGTGCAGTTTCTCAGCGATGGGCTTTACGGTCTCGTATGGACGGATCCGCTTGCCATTCTTCTTGTAGTTCTGTACCACGATGTAGCTGGCGTAAGTACCTGGCCGTGTGCGGTGGCGTTCCAATGACATACTCTGGTTTCAATGCGGGCTCCGAGAACTTATTAGCGAGGCACTTTGCACGGCTCTCACCATCTGCCGAAAGCCCGATCGAGTCATCATTTACCTTCTCCCCGTGGCGGATCAGGAAGACCTCGGATTTGACATGTTTGTGAGATCCACGCATCTCGAGTCGCAATGCAGTCGTGCCCAGGAGTGTCGTGAATGCACCGATTACGAGCAAGCCGAGTCCCGTCTTCATACCGGTGTCGAGCGTTCCGTACACGCTGGTGGCGTGTCAGCATCAGCACTGGGTCTATAAGCCTTCAAAAGAGCCGCACAGGCCAATCACGGAGCTATTGAATTTGAGCCATATGTCACGGACATTTTCTTGCACGTGCGCCGAAATTGTGTCCATTTTATGCATTGTCCTATGAAATGAGGCGTGCCATATCCACATGCTCCAGTCCACATGCCGAATCCAGACTTCGTGTAACCACTCCGGTTCTCATTGCCACTCGGGGGTGCGCGACGGACTCGGCGCAATCTATGCGAGACAGACTGTGCATGTAGATTGGGATCGTACTTGATATAGGGCGAAAGACTGGATTTCGCAAGAACTCACGTTGTTGTGGGGGGTCCAGACTCCGGCTGGTGCTGTGCTGAATGATGAAGCTGGGATGGAGGTGAGGGTGGATGTTGGTGATCAAATTGCGGCTGAAGCTGAAACTGATCCTCTTGTCCTTGCCCAAAAGACGGTCCAGACGTTTGCTGCGGATCCGTCTTACTTCGCTCGACTTCCGAAAGCAGAAACTCAACGAACAAGTTCGAGACAGACTCGTCAGCCGACGACTGCGTCTCTGCTGTGGAGGCCTTCCGTGGTGACGACATTAGACCACCTAAGCCTAAGAATCCATAGCCATGAGAACGATCGCTCTGACGTTGAAGGCCCGCCTTTTCACGCTCAGCATCGTCCCATTGCAAAATAGATGCAATAAGTCGTAATATCTCGTAGCGTTTAGTATCTGCCCGCGGCATGCTCAGAAACTGGAGAATCAAGTTTGACATTAAGCGCCTGTCCACACAGTCCTCGGACGACTCACGACGCAGACGGCTTAGTGCATTCTTGAGATGCTCATTTAATATAACTGCCTCGTGCCGAAGCTTTCCAATAATGATATTTCTCTCCTTCATCTCCTGCTCGAGCTGCTGATTCCTCAATGTCGCTTGCCGCGCTTCCTCTAACGTCGATTTCATCGTGTGGACCTGGACTTTGTACTTTTCCAGCTGCGATTCTGCTACATCGACCTGCTGTTGCATCTCACCAAGCAAGCGCTGTAGATCATGGTCCTGTGTACGCTGGAGCTCCTCGAGCGTCTGCTGCAGTTGATGCGCGACTTGCTTTTCCTGACTGACTGTCAACTGCAGCGAATGAACCTGTGTCTCTGCATGTTGCCATGCCTCATCAGCCTCCCTAAATCGCGCATGCAGCTCCTCTTTGAGCGCACGCTCTTCCATGCATGCATTTTCCCATCGGTCCACGTTCCACACGGCTGGCATGAAGTGCTTCTTCGAGTTCGCGACAGCGCAGCTCAAGGCGATGGACCTCCTTTGACTCATCTTGCGCTGCTGTTGACATTCTTGATCGCAGCTGCTCTAGATCAGCTGTCAAAGTGCGCGCTTCGTCGTTTGAAACGCCCAGCTCGTTTTTCAGCGTTTCGACATGCGACCGAAGTCCATCTACCTCCTGTGTCATAGCGTCGCTGTGCGACCGGAGCCCATCCACTTGCTGCGTAAGCTGCTCGATCTGTTGTTCCCGACGATCTAGCTCTTCCTATTGACATTGTCAGTCTAACAGCGCAAACACACGTACAGAATCCTGTCGAAGACGCTCGCCTAGTGTCGTCCGCATTTGCGACACTTTGGTCATGAGACTTGTGTACTGCTCTTCCATTTCATCCCTCTCTTCTTGCAAGCGAAAAACATGCTCCTTCAGTTGGGCTGGATCATCATTAAGTCCAAGCTGACTGAGCCGCTCTTGCACGGTCCCGGCCGGTTCCTCATCCTGTTCAATGGCCTCGGTCGATGCTGCTGTCGCCGTTATTGTCTCGGTCGGTCCTGTTTCTACAGCCTCATTTCCTGCTACGCTCGCATCAGGATTTACTTCAGATGCTCCAGAAGTCTCATGCTTGTCCATACTGCATGCCTCGACAAATGCGCGATCCTCAAGCTTCCCGGCTTGGTCTGTGACGGAGCTCGCCTGTGAGGGCTGAAAGTGGGATTTCAGCACTTCCTCCACTTCGCTCCATCCATCTTTCTAGTGCCTAGGACCTATCGCATGAGCTACATATGACTAGCGATCTAACAGATCGTTGGACGAGCTGATCGTCCCCAACGACCTTCAAACAGCAAATATATCTCGACATGTCACCAAGTCCAGAGCCTGTGAAAATGGGAACTATCTGTTGCACCGGGTATGTGTGCACGTCCTCTTGTTGTTGTGAAATTACGTCAAGTCCATCATTACATGTAAATCGACTCGGTCTTACTGAAAGACAAGGCCATGTAGAGGGTTCGATCATGTCGCGACAGAATGCGCAAATGTGTTGCCATGCTGAGCTCCAGTCATCATATCGTGAACTCCAGCTACGACGGCGTGCATTTGGTTGCACACTCGCGTTCATTCCCACGTGACATATATTTCCACGTGATCGTTTCGATGAGACGAAACTCTCGAGCAGCCCTTTTCTTCTCCTTCACTTGGTCACCGCTGGTTCCCAAATCGTTGTCAAGATGAGCTACGTCGCCAAGGACAAGGATGTCGATGCCCCTGTCGCTCCTGTGAAGCTGCACAAGATCCGTATCACTCTCACGTCGCGCAATGTGAAGAGTCTCGAAAAGATGAGCAATGACCTCGTGAACCGCTCCAAGGACAAGAAGCTCCACGTCAAGGGCCCTGTTCGTCTCCCCACTAAGGTTTTGACGCACACCACCCGTAAGTCGCCTTGCGGTGAGGGTTCGAAGACCTGGGACCACTACGAAATGCGTATCCACAAGCGCCTAATCGACCTTCACAGCCCTAGTGAGGTCGTCAAGCAGATCACATCTACAGCCCTTGAGCCTGGTGTAGAAGTCGAGATCACCATCCTCTCGACATAAGCGAGGTGTGCATCGGACAATCCTCTAAAAATGACCTTTTCGGGAGGTCTTTTTTGCATGTAGGTAGAGTCTCTTAGACAAACTATCTGTGTGCATCGACGTAAGAGCTCATGTTTATGTGGACGTTGAGTCCTCTTGGTGTTCGGCTGTGTTTGATTTGTTCGTAGAAACTGACAGTGTAAGGAACATCTTTGTGCGGTAAGCCGGGACGCAAGCATGTTCCTGCTTCGAACGACAAGCATGCAAAATTGGCTTTGTCTTTGATAAAGTCGCTATTCTCAACCACTCAGAAAGAACCGGCTTAGCATGCTGACTATTCAACCAGGATCTTCCAAAAAACGCCATCTCTCTATCGTTATCAATAAATCTCGTAGTTTTACTGGCCGTACAGTTGCCATCCTACAAATCCATTTTTGGTCATATGATATACACAAAACACTTCTCGAAAGAAGTTCTAGTGTACGTGTGCGATATTATCGCATATGAATCTCGAGCATAGCAGTGAGATTACGCAACCAACTTGACAACACCACCCGCTTGCTTAATCTTCTTCTCAGCCAGAGAAGAGACCCAGCGGGCCTTGACAATCATAGGGACTTCAGGGAGACGGCCCTTGCCAAGCACCTTGCCGAAGCCGGCCGCGAGCGTGTCAATGACTGGGACTTCCGTGGACGAAGACGTCGTGTTGCGACGGACCTCGGCAGGAACCAGCGTCCAGATCTTGTCCAGGTTGATAATTGGCTTGTGCTGCGGGTTGCGCAGGAGGTGGAAGTGACGCATACCGACCTTACCGAAGTAACCTGGGTGGTACTTGTCGAAGTTGGTACGGTGGTGGTGGAAACCACCGGCAAGACCACGACCACCTGGGTGCTTGCGGTGCTTGCCAATACGACCGTGACCGGCCGAAACGTTTCCACGGTGCTTCCTGGTCTTGTGAAAACGAGTAGGCATCTGCAATGTATGTTAGCGATTTTCACGTCAATTGGCGACAAAAAACAGTGTGCAACGATACGGTGCAGAACAAATGCACGAACGATTTCCAGGTAGAACAAGCACAATTGCTAATGCTTGTCGAGGAAATCATCGCTGTATCGCTGCGCACTATGGTATTACGCACCTTGAGATGAGTACCCGAAGTTTGTGGTCGTTAGGAGCCTGCGATGTTGAATGAAGCGTTTCGCTTGTGTGTCTGCCCAAAACTATATTCATCACGTGTACACTTCATTCTTAGTCAGGCGCCCAAATTCTGCCCGCACGGTGCCCAAGGCCGGTCCAACGAGACATGTCATGCTTACGAAATATATGGAGGACCTAAGGCCATGTCGCTGGTATCTCCACATGTTCATGCATACACTCAGGCAGTGGCAACAGGTCTTTTGCCCCGCATCGTTGTCAAGTAGTCGGTGTTGATCGGTTGGTGACAACGGATTTGCCACCGGTGAAGGTCGCGCTTGACAGCTTGGAGGTTGGGTCTCCTAAGTACTCCGTAATATAGCTATCATGGCGCACGACGAGGAAGATGATTTTGTATGTATATAATCTTTGATATTGCAGCATCGGAGAGCGGAAATGCTCATAGTGATTTGCGCAGATTCGTGACGACGCTTATGCGATGGACGAGTACTCTGATGATGAAGACGATGGGATGGATGTTTTGAGCATTGGAAATGATGATTTTGAACTAGAGTACGATGATGAAGATGTGGCTCTTGACGTCTTGTCCGACGAGGATGACTTGTTCCTGGATCAGCCGGTAACAGATGTGCGCAAGAAGCCATATGAAGTTGATTTCAAATGCCTTACCATTGAGGGAATTGAAGCCGCCCAACGAAAGGAAGCAGAACACATTGCGGGCATGTTTCTGGTTCCAGAAAGTGAAGCAGCTGTGCTTCTGCGACATTTCCAGTGGAACAAGGAGCGGCTCATTGAGCAGTATATGGACGAGCCTGACAAGGTAAAATGGGAGGCTGGTGTTCTGGACAATCAAGCTTGCCCAAGAATGATGGAAATGGACAATTTTACGTGCGACATCTGTTTTATGTCCGCCGAGGATTATGGAGGCCGAATTATGACCACGTCCCTTCCCTGCGGGCATCGATATTGTACAGCTTGTTATACCCATTATGCCGAGCAGAAAGTGCGAGAAGAGGGTGAGAGTCGGCGAATCCAGTGCATGAAAGACAAGTGTAATTTGATCGTTGACGAAGATACCATGTCGAAAATTCTGTCGCCTACACTCATGCACCGGTACCGGATCCTTTTGGATCGTGCATACGTTGATGATCATCCCCACTTGCGATGGTGTCCTGCGCCTGATTGCGAGATGGCTGTTGAGTGTCCAGTGACGCGCAAGCAGCTACACTTTGTTGTTCCCTCGGTTCGGTGCGACTGTGGTCACTGGTTTTGTTTCGGATGTGGTCTGGCTGCGCACCAGCCTGTGATTTGTGCGATTGTGCGTCTCTGGCTTAAAAAATGCGAGGACGATAGCGAGACGTCGAATTGGATCCAGGCCAATACAAAAGAGTGCCCACATTGCAATTCGACGATCGAAAAGAACGGTGGTTGCAATCATATGACTTGCCGGAAGTGTAAGTACGAGTTTTGCTGGATTTGCTCCGGTCCTTGGAGCGAGCACGGTACCAGTTGGTATCAGTGCAATCGGTATGACGAGAAATCGGGCACGGATGCACGCGATGCTCAGGCACGAAGTCGTGCGTCTTTGGAACGATACTTGCACTACTTTAATCGTTATGCGAATCACGAGCAATCTGCACGCCTCGATCGGCAGTTGTATTTGCGTATTGAGAAAAAGATGGAGGAGTTACAGCACGCGTCGCAACTCACATGGATTGAGGTCCAATTTCTCAAGAAGGCGGCCGATACTTTGACGGAGTGTCGAATGACACTCAAGTGGACCTACTGCATGGTATACTATCTACAACGGAATAACATGACAGAACTTTTTGAGGACAATCAAAGGTACGTATGCATGTGGTGATGTTTTTCTCATGATTACAGGGATCTTGAACGTGCTGTGGAGGAACTTTCAGGCCAGCTTGAATCGCCGATTGAACGAGAGATGATTCCCGCGATGCGCCAGAGGGTCACGGACTGTACGTATATTGAATACAATTTCTTCTAACCATCGAAGTAACAGCGTATGTGCAAAAACGACGCGAAATCCTCCTCACCGATACGGCGTCCGGATACCAAGAGGGTCGCTGGCAATGGAATGTGCCTGTGTGACGCTTCGAGCTATCATAAATCGCATAGATGGAGCCGCATGAAATAGCAAGAAAGTTACCAAGCCAGACTAAATCAAGTCAATGAACAGACACTGGTAGTTGAGAGCGGGACGCTCGTACGGACGAGAGTACGAATGCACGAGCCATATGGGTGCTGAGGGATCCAATCGTCGTCAGCAGCATTTGGACAAGTCATGAGAAGAGCTGATTCGCACACTCGCGCGATGCTCTCCACGTCACTTCGGCCGAGAGAATTCGACCCGGTCTACATCTGCGCCCGGACCTTCGGTTTCGGCCAGGGGAAGTGAGAGAGGCCACGGACCAACAGGCGCAGGCGTTCTCCCTCAACACCACCTAGTATCCAATATGATGGCTTCAACGATTGGCGCCCGTTCACTCGCGGCCGTGCGCTCGAATGGTGCCGCGCGCTCATTTTCTACCTCGGTATGTGTGCAAATGGGTGCATGAGTTCGGCAAGCTGACGCTGTGTTTGCGTGTGTGTCAGATCGCAGCACAAAGACATTAAGAACGTCACTGTGTAAGTTTGTGCGCAAGCCACAGAAGCATGCTAATGCAATTTTGTAGATTTGGTGCAGGTCTGATGGGAGCAGGAATTGCCCAGGTGCTCGCACATGTTGGACAATACAATGTGACGCTGACGGACGTAACGGACAAGGCAATTGCCAACGGCCAGAACATTATTTCCAAGTCGCTCGCGCGCATTGCCAAGAAGAAGATGGCAGACAAGTCGGCTGAGGAGCAGCAGTCATTCGTGAAGAGTGTGGTGGACTCGATCAATGTGACGACGGATGCTGCGAAGGCAGTTGAGTCGACAGACTTGGTGATCGAGGCGATTATCGAAAACATGAAGATCAAGCGTGAGCTGTTCGGCTTCCTTGATACGAAGGCGCCAGGCGATGCGATCTTCGCTAGTAACACGTCGTCTTTGAGCATCAATGAGATTGCCAGCTCGACGAAGCGCCCAGAACTGTTTGGCGGTTTCCATGCCTTCAACCCCGTGCCGCAGATGAAGCTCATTGAGGTTGTGCGCACGTCGCAGACGAGCGAGGACACTCACAAGGCACTCACAGAGGTGGCAAAGCGCATGGGCAAAGTGCCCGTGTCGTGTATTGACTCGCCAGGCTTCATTGTGAACCGTCTCTTGGTGCCATACCAACTCGAGGCCATTCGTCTTGTGGAGCGCGGCGTTGCCTCTGCTGAGGATGTCGACACGGCCATGAAGCTGGGTGCTGGCTACCCAATGGGTCCATTTGAGCTCGCTGACCTTGTGGGTCTTGACACGCTTGAGCACATTGCTGCTGGCTGGCGCGAGACTGTGGCTGGCTCGGAGCACGTACCAGCTAACCTTGTGACCGAATCGCCCATGCTCACGAAGCTGATCGAAGAGGGCAAGCTCGGCCGCAAGACGCCAGAGAAGGGCGGTTTCTATCAGTACAACAAGTAAGTAGATAAATTCGTTTGCGCATATAGAACGAATAAGGAAGCGAGCTGGCATTACGACCCTCAGCATGCAACTCTGGCTGCTGAAAGACAGTGCCATAGAGAGAGAGAGAGAGAGAGAAGAAGAAGAAGAAGAAAGAGAAAGGCGTTCTGTTCCGCGTTTCGTCTCCGGGTGATAAGAGCGAGTTCTCGTAAAAACCGTACGCATGCTGTACATCATTAAATGCCTACAAACAACTGCCACACACCCTTGGCGTAGCCGACAATCTCGTCCCCTCCGAGTTTACTTTCACCATACACACGGTCACAGAAGGTAATAGGCACTTCCTCAACCTTGTAGTCAAGGGCCTTGGCACGCACGAGAATCTCCATCTGGAACACGTATCCTTTTGACTTGATTTGTCGAATTAGGTTGTCAATCACCGAGCGTTTGTACAGACGGAAGCTGCCGGTGACATCCGTCGTGCGGGGATCCAGCACGAACGTAGCCAACACATTGGCTCCACGGCTGACGAGCTTGCGCTTCAAGTCCCAGCCGTACACACCAGCGCCAGTCTTGGGCCCGGAGTATCGCGTGCCTTGAACAATATCGGCGTTTGTCTGCAACTGCTTTGTGATCATGTCTGGAATGAACTTTGGATGGTGGGAAAAGTCAGCATCCATGATGATCACAAAGTCACCCGTGCAGGACTCGAGACCATGGATGTACGCGGTGCCAAGACCCAACTTGCCAGGCCGCGGACGCAGCACAATGTGCTCAGGGCCATACAGAGCAGCAAGCTGCTTTGCAATCTCTTGCGTGCCATCAGGAGAGTTGTCATCCACAATAACAATTTCATAGTTCAAGTGATGCATCTGAAACATGCGGCACAGAAGAAACACAATGATTGGCAGATTGTGGCGCTCGTTGTACGTTGGCAGGATGACACTAGTGTCATGTTAGCGACTGGATCGCGAGGTGCACATACTTGCACGAACGTACCTGTACTTGTGTGTCGAGCCTACAACCACACCCTGTGTCTGATCCATGATAATGATGTGGATGCCCAAGACCTACGTTCCAAAGCGAATCGATCGACAACGTGAGGCACTTCCAACCGCGCGTAAGCAGCTGCTGTTTGCTTTCGTCTCTGCCTGATGGCCCTTGTCGCTTGAGGCCTGCCCATCGGGTCGACAGACGGCCCAATCAATTGGCTCGGTCCATGCCACGCTCATTAGGTCTTGCCTCCGCCCCGATCTACCCAGCCTGCCGTCCTTTGATGACTAAGTTCCACCGTTGGCTTGGCTGGTGGTCACTCCCAAATAAGATGCGTTGGCCCATCAGTCCGCATACGAGCTGACTCCACAATCACCACAGTTCAGTGAGGGCGCGCGTGAACATTTTTTCTTGTTGAAATAATAGACTTGAGGTCGTACATTTGCCGCCACATACAGAAGCACATACGCAAGCACCTACGCGGGGGAGAGCTAGTCATTTGCCACTAGCTCCAGTGCGTGTTTAAAAGCATGGTATGTACCTGTGAATCGAAGCCATGCAGGCGCTAATATGCATGCACACAGAAAATCAAGGCACTTACGAGGTCACTTGATGATCATGCTCCTGCGCGGTTGGGCGATGCGGCGCCCGTGCAGCGGAACTTGGATCCCACGATGCATCCATTTGAAAAGCCTCGCGAATATACACGCGCTTTAAACGCAGCAAAGTTAGACCGTCTGTTTGCGAAACCATTTGTGTCGGCATTTGAAGGGCATATTGACGGTGTATACGCATTGGCAAAGCATCCGAAACGTTTGGATATTATGGCCAGTGGAAGCGGAGATGGGGAGATCCGTCTTTGGGATGTGAACCACCAGCGATGTACATATACATATCCACGAGCACATGCAGGTATCATTCAGTCTCTCTGCATATCGCCACTGTCATTCTCAGGGAATGCGTCAGCATCAAAACGCATGCTCTCGTGCTCGACAGACCGCACCATCAAAGTGTGGAATGCTGATCCGGTGCCTGAGGGCTATGGCGAGTACGCCGAATACCGGCCGGATGTGAGTGATGATGAACAAGACGAAGATGACGACGACGGCGATGTTGTGTCTGGCGCACGAGATGCGAATCTGTTTAGTATGCAGCCCCCCAAACTTGCTGCGAGTGAGCCGTTGTCTGTGTACCAGGGACGAACGGCATTTCATTCCTTGTCGCATCATGCGCACTTGCCGCGCTTTGCTTCTGCGTCTAGTACTGTGCAAGTATGGGACTTGAACCGCGGCGGCGGTTCTGACGCTCTCATGACCATGTCGATGGGTGTGGATGCTGTGCATGTGGTGCGGTACAACCAGAGTGAGACGGATGTGCTTGCGAGCGCTGGGACGGATCGCGGTGTGACACTGTACGATATGCGGAGTGGCAAAGCATTGCACAAGGTTGTGCTTACGATGCGTGCCAATGACCTCGCCTGGTCGCCTCTTGAGCCGACCACATTTGCCGTGGCTAGCGAAGACTATAACATGTATACGTTTGACATGCGGAACATGTCGTCGGCAACGCAGATCTACAAGGGTCATGTCGGCGCGGTCATGTCTGTCGACTGGGCACCCACGGGCCAAAGTCTTGTCACGGGCTCGTACGACCGCACTGTGCGCCTGTGGGACGTCGGCAAAGGTGCTCGATCTCGCGACGTCTACCATACAAAGCGCATGCAGAAGGTGTTTAGTGTGGCATATACCCTCGATGCACGCTTTGTACTGAGTGGCTCCGATGACGGCAATGTCCGTTTGTGGAAGCATGGCGCCAGCGACAAACTAGGTATTGTGTCTGCGCGCGAGCGTGCAAGTCGTGAGTATGCGCAGGCTCTTCGCAAGCGTTGGCAGTCCGTGGGTGACGTCGCGAAGATTGAGCGCCAGCGCCACGTGCCCAAGCCAATTCGCTCTGCGCAGAAGCTGCATCATACAATGTCGGAGGCTCGTCGTGTCAAGGAAGACCGTCGACGCAAGCACACGAAGGTACGTGCGCATATAAATATATGCAAGAGAATGTATCTCCTGGCTCACACGTGTACAGCGGGGAACTATGAAGCCGAAAGCGGCACGAAAGTCGGTCGTTCTCGAGGAGAAAGAGTAGTAGTTCTTTTTACCGTAGCGTGGCGTACATGCAAGGGTAAGGCAATGTCCGTGACCAGACTTTGATCTGGCGCTCATCTTTTTTAAGAGAAAACGTAATAGAGGCTACAAGATATCATGTGAGGTAGCGATGCTTGTTTCTGCGTCCAAGCTGACATCTAGCACCTACCCTTGAATCCATTGCCGTGGTTGAGCATTTTGGCACGTGTTACACCCTACTGCCATCTGCATTGGTGGATAACTGGGTAGCCAGTTACATTGGATGGAGACGCGTCACTGTCAGGTAAACAGGCAGGCAGAAGCTCGACTCGCTAGCCCGATTCGTCATGTTCAATCTGATTGCATAGCTGCGTACGTGTGTGTGTGTGTGTGTGTGTGAATGTGGAGGATACATTATTGGGGGGCGTCGTTGCGGCTCGCCTTGTGCCGAAACTTTGATCGTGGTGATCAATGGCGCCTCGTGCGCTCATTGACCAGCTGCCGCTGGCCACGCGATACGCACACTTCCAGCTTGTTTTACAGATCCACGAGCTGCTGAATGTGCCGGTACTTTCTGGTGAATTTTCTGTCGTGTACAAAATCAAGCATGCTGTCCAATTGCCGCGGCGACGAGCCAACTCGGAGACTGCGGGGAGCGATGTTGCCTCTCCAGCGGATGATGTCCTCCAGAACGGCTCTATAGATAGCAGTATGAATCATGCAACTATCGAGACAGGACAAGACTCGACTGCATCGGCATCGGCATCAACGCTATCGGCAGCCTCTGTATCGATACCAGCGTCACTATCGACACGAAACGATACCATTGTGCCCAATAATTCGGACGACTCACCCAATACGACGCTCATGCCATCGGCTTTCCCCAAGGGCTCGGCGCAGAGAAGCCATACATTGCCTTTGGCAGGTGATGTGCATTCGACGCCGATGTCTTCGACGTTGCCTCAGTTCGGATCTACAGAGGAACTCGTAGCAAGTCCAGACTCGTCCGTCTTATCACTGGATCATCTGCCTAGCGCCCATGGTAGCGCTGTTGACGAAACGACTTCGGTGGCGTCACCCAGTATGAATCGCCGAGGCGATGCCCGTCTGCATCCAGCGTCTACGATGAGCTCAATGTCTGGCTTTTCAATGGGTCCGAACAAGATCATCAGAAGTACGACGACATTTGAAGGCGTCCAACACCATACTGTTAAGTGGGAGGCCACGGCACAAACGGATGTGCGCATCGGGATCAATCGACATTTGACGCATCTCGACAGAGAGACCGAGGCTGGGCACTTGCATTCGTCCGCCTTACTCTTGACTGTTTGGTGGCGACAGCCGGATGATCCACCAGATACGCGGCGGCGCTTTGGGCAAATCAAAATTAACCTTGCTGAGTATGCACCGGGGATGCCGCCGTCGCCGAGTGAGCGTATCGAATCTCGGCAGTACTTGCTGGACAAGTGCGCGTGTAATGCCTTACTGCGCTTGTCGATCGACATGCGCCGTTTGGACACGACTCATTCGTACAGAGTGCCACGTATCAAGCAGGGACTCGTTGACCCAGCCAATGCCATAATGCAAGGTCGGAGTGCGTCGGGTGAGCGCGACGCGATCTATGCTTCGTCGCAACGTGAGCCCGAACTGATGCACGGCCTCGAGTGGCACTTCAAGCTGCCTTTGCCCATGATGTTCAACATTGCAGCTGTGCGACCAGAATTTTTAAATGCGAGTGGACGGCGCGAATGCACGTCCTCGAATCCGAACTCACTCATGCATGGCTTTTCGCGAGATGCATCGCAACCTAGGCATGAGTTCTGCCAATTGAACTCGGTGGCGCTCGTTGACGAGCTCGTTCAGGGCATGTTGGGGCCGACAGTCGATCAGCGTGCTGAGTCGCATGACGACGAGGATGCATCCTCATCGTCGCGGTCTCCACGGAGCCAAAAGATTCGGAGCCGCTGGAAACGCATTATTGAGACGGTCGCTGGAACACATCATACAAATCCACATCGCTCGTTCTCGGGGAGTGATGCAGCGTCTTTGCGTCGCGAGCTGCGTCCACGCGTCCGAAGCGACCAAAGCAAGCGGAGTATTCCACTTCCGCCACTGCACATGCGCTTCAAGAACGATGACGATTCAGACCCTGCCCCTAACACATCATAGACGATATAAGTATTACCAGTCATGTAGATCACACCCATATACCTAACACAAGCTTGAGCGACAACGCATGCCAACGAGCACATGCGCTGTCGGGGAATGGCAGGACGCTGGCAGTCCCCATAAGTCATTGGCACGTGTGCCACGCCCCTTCCTCTCAGCCGGGCTGCACACATTCCCACATGCTGCACATCATGTCATTGTCATGCGTATCTAAGCGTTGTCTATTCTACTTTTCATCCTTGTCATTGCACACACAATGTGCTAAGCGGTGTGCTGCTGATTCGGCCGCCTTACGCGTCCTGTCCAGACGACACTTGGCGCAAGGGACTCGGCACCGTGGCTGCGTGGTCTTTTTCTGAGCCACTTAGCACACCCAGGCGCTTATCAAGTACAGCGCCAGAGAGGCTCGGATGCGAGGGCGACGATGTTGCTGAGCGGGGCGGACTGTGCGTCGGCGTATCAGCCCCTCGCCGGTACGGTTGCACTGTATCGTAAGGCACCTGGCTGAACAGGACAGACACACTCTCTCCGTAGTGAGACCGACGAATTGTCTCGGCAAGAATGTGGCTCACGTCAATTTCCTCAATCTTGGCGCACTTTTCCTTGTTGGCTGCCTGCGGCAACGTGTTTGTGACCACAAGCATTTCCAAGCTGCTCTTAGAGATGCGCTCCAGCGCCGGTTTCGACAAGATACCGTGCGTGACCAGCGCAAACACACGATCAGCACCGCTTTCCTTCAGGCGTTCTGCCGCCAAATCCAGTGTGCCACATGTATCGGCCATGTCGTCAATCAAGACAGCAATCTTGTCCTTTGCGTCGCCGACCAGGACCATGCGTGACACCTCATTGGCCTTCTTGCGTTCCTTGTGGAAAAGAGCAAAGTCGACGCCCAGCTGGTCTGCAATCGACGTAGCTCGCTTTGCGCCACCAGCATCGGGCGACACAATCACAACACGGTTGATATCGAGCATCTCCCGCATGTACTGCAGAGCTGCTGGCTCCGAGTACAGGTTGTCGACGGGCACATTAAAAAAGCCCTGGATCTGCGACGCATGCAAATCCATCGTCTGTACTGAGTTAGCTGCCGATTCCACTACGCTTCTTTCTCTTTCGCCCATGGTGCACGTACAATCACATGGTCACAACCTGCTGTTTCCAGCATGTTCGCAATGAGCCGAGCTGAGATGGGAGCCCGACTCTTATCCTTTTTGTCTTGCCGCGCATAGAAAAAGTGCGGGATGACTGCCGTCACGCGGCGTGCACTCGCCGTCTTGCACGCGTTAATCATAATGAGCAACTCCATCAGCGACGTGTTGGGTGACACGGGCCGACCATCCTGGTCATATGTCACACAGGAAGTATTGATAATGTACACATCATGCTCACGCACAGACTCATACATGCGAACCATGAGCTCGCCAGCATCATTTTTCGTCACACTTGATCGACCCAGAGGTACACCGAGTCTAGATGCGTGTGTGTTAGTGTCCCGTGTTCTTCCTTGTACAACATACCGTTTGCATATGAGGTTGGCGAGTTCTGGATGACTGGAGCCTAGGCATAAGCTGCGTTCAATAGTCGCACGCACCACAAAAAATTTTAATGTCTGCCAGTGTGCTCATGGTCCAGATCGCTGATCGCCGTCAAAGCGTTGAGGAAAAAAGTGTGGATATTCGCCCCTCGCCCCCTCCTCCCTTCCCCTAAACAAAAAAAAAAAAAATTGTAGTGTACGGCAGTGGCTGTCGCATAAATCGCCGATAGTTACACACTCGCACTGGCCGGGTTCGATCTCTCAACATGTCCGAAGTATAAGAAAAGAATTTAAAAATATGAAAAAAAAATTGATATTGTCGTCGAGCATGGACGAAATTTTGTGGGCGTAGTATATATCCCATGAAAGACCAATTAGCACTGCCTTAGCATTCACTGACGCGACCTGCTCGTCATGGATGAGTAGACGAACAAGCCGGTAGCTGAGGTTTTGCAAAATGGACAGACGTGCGCCTTCATGCTAGCCTAACCTGGGTTCAACAGTGAGGGGGGAGTGGGGGAAGTGGCATCATCTGTCCCACGTCAAACAGGTCGTGGGCATCTCCAACAAGTCTTGGATCAGTGTCACGAATTTTTATGTAGCATTGAAAGACTATCGTGGAAAATATGAGATTTTTATGCCTTGTTGATAGTACATCATCGGTATAGGCCGTAGGATTGGGCTGAATCGAAATAGATCAAACGGGAAGATGGCAAGTTTGGTATGAAGCGTGTGGAAGCGAGACGGAGACAGAGGGCAATGGTGGACATGCAAAATCCTCAGAGACGAGTTCCGCATGCGCGCCTATCTGCGCACATGACATTACGTGCATCGATACAGAGGCTTTGTCTGTAACATGCGACATAATTCTGCTGACATTTTGTTTACGGCCGGCCACGTCCGCCGCGTCCACGACCACCACGCCCACGGCCACCACGCCCACGGTCTGCACGCCCACGCAGCGCCTCATCTTTTCGTTTCCCCTTTGGACGCGGCGCGTCATCCACGAGCAATGTATCGAGCGGCAGTGCATCGGGCAAAATCCAGTATCGCGTATTGTTGCCACGAATCGACAGTGTATCAAGAGAAATTGGCTCGCCACCGCGCACAGTCATTTTGACCGCTTTCAAGTGCGTATTCATTTGCACATCCACACCTGTGTTTGAACGCGTAAGTTTCGTCGCCCTTTTCGTCGCCGCTGCGTTAAACGTACCTGTGACGGTGCCATGAATGACGGTGCCATTTTTGAGCTCGATCGTTACGCTCTCATTATTGAGTTTCATCAAAAACCTTTTCAACGGTGTGAATGGCTGTCATGCTCGCGCACGTACCTCACGAGCTTCATCGTGATTGCTCTCTCGCCGTAGTGTCAACAGCGCCGTCGATGTGCTCGGTGCACTTGCTTGCTCTACGATCTGACACAACCTTGTTGTGCGACGGCCTCGCTGGATCACGTGAACTGTTCTCTTGCCTCTTCGTGTCTGTCTCGTATTTGCTATCACCCCCTAATAGGTTCCTGTTGTCGCGCGTGTTGGAGTTGGGGCGTGGCGTGGCGTGGCGTGGCGTGGCGTGGCACGGTACGGTGCAGTGCGGCGTGTCGAGGTACGTGTTGAGTCTCAACTACTCGGTAGGTCATATTCTCTCTAGGCTCCCTTGCTGCTGGGTCCTGTTCGCATCCGCCGCCCAGTTGGTCGTTGCGAGTGATGGGCATAACTGGCTTATTGCCTCTGCTCAAAGATATCCAGGTGCGTACAAACACAAACACTGCTTGTGTTCTCACACGCGTAGCGAGAGACACATGTCGACGCGTACCGTGGAAAGACCTTGGGCATTGACGCGTACGTTTGGCTGCATCGCGGCGCGTACGCTTGCGCGACGGATCTGGCTCTAGGGAAGCCCACAACGCAGTATGTAACGTACGCCATGCACAGACTGCGCATGCTCCAGCATTATGGGGTAAAGCCGTATTTTGTGTTTGATGGAGCGCATCTACCCAGTAAGGCGGGCACAGAAAAGGAGCGAGCAACGTACGTTGGAGACAATACGTTCAATGAGTAAACGGGACAGTGTGTCTAACCTGACCTACAGACGTCGCCAGGAACATCGCACTCGTGGCCTTCAGTACTACCGCGAGAAGCGTGGCTCAGCTGCGCGTGATGCATTCGTGCGTAGCATCGATGTTACGCCGTCGATGGCCTATGAGTTGATCAAGATCTTGCGTGCACAGGGTATACCTTACGTTGTTGCACCGTATGAAGCTGATGCACAGCTGGCCTACCTGGAACAAGAAGGTCTGATCGATGCTATCATCACGGAAGACTCCGACCTGCTTGTGTTTGGGTGCAAGACTGTTTTGTTCAAACTCGATACCTATGGTCACTGTGTTGAAATCCAACGCGATCGCTTTGTGCACGCCAAGCAGCTCGCCTTCGACGGATGGTCACTCGACGACTTTCGCCGGATGGCCATTCTCTCTGGCTGTGACTATCTGCCATCCATCACAGGCATGGGCCTGAAGAACGCGCACAAATTTCTCCGCAAGTACGAGTCCATTGAGCGCGTTCTTCGTGTTTTACAGCTCGAAGGAAAGATGCACGTGCCGCCCGCGTACGCGGCTGACTTTGCACGGGCCGAATTCACTTTTGCACACCAGCGAGTATGGGATCCACGCGGACCTGGCTCCTTGACGACATTAGCGCCTCTTCCGTGTGACATAAATGAGGACTTGTTGGCCTGCATCGGCATCCCACCGTCACTCGAAGAGGCACGTGCGATCGCACATGGTGATCTGTGCCCCATCACGCGCCAGCCTCTCTCACGTCCTGCTCTTGGCATCGCACTGGCACCTGCTCAATCCGTGCTATCAAGTCACTCAGTGCACGCAGGACATCCAGGACGAGCGCCTCAACAAACACTCCATTCTTTCTTCCGATCTTCGGCGTCTGCGGCGCCTCCAAGGATGTCGTTGGCCGTGTCGAAAGACAAGGTGGATCGTGCAGATTCATCCACTAGCTCGACGACGACAACTTCTTCTTCTTGTGCGTCTCTATTGGACACCGCATCACGCTCAACGCCATGCACATCGCCCGCACACAGTGTCAGCGGTTCCGGCACAGACGGAGAAGCTGATGTTGATGAGAAATCCAAAGGCACGACACCACCGCCTTCATCGCCAGATGCACAGAGCGAGAGCGATGTGGTGGATGCGTGTGTCTCGAGTCCGGCATCGTCGCCACCACCCCCCTTTGCACCGCTGGCCAAGGTAGCCGTGAACCCCATGCACAGCACACCTGCACGTCGTGCATCGCCGCCGCCAGTCACACCCATGTCGACAGGGCTTGCATGGCATGATACAAGTGAGAGTGCCGAGCATGATATGGCCCGTCGATCTGCCTGGTTTCAACGATTCAAGTACTCGGGCACGCGCGCACGACATGTAGTATTACCGAAATCGCTGCCATCTATGCCACGTACGCCACCAACGCCGGTGCCGAAACCAGACCGACGTTTACGACTCGGCAAACGTCCTAGTCCTCCTCCTTCTGCGGCGGAATCCCCAACGACGAAGCGCATGGCTCTTGATACCCCCCAACATCCAGATGTACCTGCCGAGGCATCCATGGCTATGCGTACTTTACCAAGCATGTCAACAACACTAGCCACACCAGAAACGCTGGCTTCGCGAGCGACTGCCCCAGTTTCCTCAGCGGGGACGAGTGTGGGGCATGGCAGCATGAAACTTTTGCAATTCCAATATAGACAGAGTTAGCCGGAGTGACTCGCAAATTCAATGCGTGTGCGTTTATGCTGAGCGGCTTGTGAAGCCCGCTCCTCGGTGTACCGTTTCTGTGCCTCGAGAAGCTTTGGTGCCACACCGTGTGCGAGAATATCCGGATCCTTGGGGTCCCATGCTGGCGGCCACGCATGCTGAGCGCGTGCCATCAAAACAGAGTTGCTTCCATGTTCGTCTACACCTGTCCATGAAACGAGTTTCGCGTAAATGTTGGGGTTGTGGAACGACCGATTGCGTGCGAGAGCTGCATTAAGATGGGTGCCCTGGGCTTTGAGCTCGTGAAGGCGAGTGATCTTGGCAGCGATGCTTGGCTCTACTGGCGAGCTGACTTCTGTTCCAAGACCCCATTCGCGGTCTTGGTCCATCGCGCGCGGTGGCACACACAGAAAGGCCGGCACGGGGGATGACGTTGCTGTCTCTAGCATAGAAGGCAGGGTCGGAGAAGCTTGTGATACCTCAGTTGACGCCCTTCCACATATACTGATACCTTTCTCTGTCGACTCCATCGCCTCTGCGGGCGCAACATGCTCGGTCATGTCAGCGTCACAAGCTTGGGTCAACGGGCCACTTCGCTAGGACGATGAGGACTCGTCGACACACGCAAGCGAAGAGCCAGGCTTGTAGACGTAGTGGATATGGCTACATCGGGCGATCGGGCTACTGCCGCGCGAACGCGCATCATGCCATGTGTCGAATATAGTCTATCTTTGAGTGCCCAATCACGTCTTCTGGTTTAGATAGTCTGCATACAGCGCAGGAACAGAGATGCAAATTTATGCCATGATAAACTGCGTAGATCCTTTGCAGCAGTACGACGGCGTATGCGGGCATTCACCATCCAGGGTCCGTAACAAGTAGAGGCAACAAGGCAAAATCGAGAAGAGAGACAGGAGCATAAGCACATTATGTCTGCCAAGCTAAAGGCATATCTTCGTCGAGCTCCAAGTCTTTTCGCGCATGTGTAGATGTGTCCGCACTCGATACACGTCGCACAGGCGTGAATGTGATGCGCCGCGTCGATGTGCTGCTTGCTCCACTGGCATTGCCACCACCCGGTGGCGCAAGTGGCCGAAGACCCTCAGCGTCATTGTCCCCTACATGCGTTAGTTCTTCAGCTAGCCTTTATTTGTGTGTGTGTCATCTCAATGGCAACAACGTACGCTCCAGCTTCAGCACAATCTCACTACCCAAAAGTTCGTCGTACGTGCCCTGCATGACAGTTTCGCCGACTTTAAGAAGAGGCATAGGCGTGTCAAGGCCCTAATTTCGGGTAAGAAAAAAAAACGTCTTGTACAAACACGCACGTACCGTCAATACAACACTCGTGCCTGGTGCAGCTGGCACTTGTGACCAGGCTGACGACTCTGTCTGCTTAGTATGAGGCAGGTCAAGCAGAACAAGCTCTGTACTGTCCTCCACGAGTTCCCACGAATCATCCTCGGCCGCTATGCCTGGCGGCAAAAATTCATCGACGCGTTCCCAAGACGAATCAATGAGACTTGTCATGGAAGAAAGTATGCTGAAAGCCTGCCAGAGCAAAAGAGACGGGAAAAGAACGCGTGAACAAGTGACAAAAGGTGCAGTTACGACCCAGCCTTGCTTGATTGCTGTAGGCAAGAGGGGAAGAATCCGGTAAGATGCTCAAGTGCTGGTTGCGAGGGCTGGTGCCCTGCACATGTACCGAGCGTGTGCAAGAGTTTTCGACGTCGTCTTAGCTCAGACTTTCGCCTGAACCCGGGTCAGCGGGCGGCTACGCAGGCAGCCACGCAAGCGTTTTAGTGCTCCAGCCGGACGGAGAGGAGCACGTGCGCGCCACTCGCACGGAGCAAGGGACCACGTGCACGTACACCGCGTCGGCCGTGGTCGGCAGATAGGTGTTCTAGGACCTAAATCATATAGGCCAGGCCAGGCGGCACGAGCAGCGCGATACGCCAAACACGTAGCAAAGCGTCCGAAGCTCCCTTCCCCCTTCCCATTTGTCTGGCGACGCAGGCGAAATACAAGCGCACGGTATGGTACCCGAGAAGGTAACATCCATTTGCTGTATCGGTGCTGGGTATGTTGGTGGGCCTACATGCTCGGTCATTGCACAGCAGTGTCCGGAAATCAAGGTGACGATCGTGGATGTAAATCCGCAACGGATCGCGCAGTGGAATTCAGAGGACTTGAGCCAGCTGCCCGTATTTGAGCCGGGCCTCATGGACATTGTGCGCGAGTGCCGAGGACGAAACCTGTTCTTCACCACAGACATTGACGGATCCATCGAAGAAGCACAAATCGTGTTTGTTAGCGTCAACACACCAACGAAGACGTCGGGTGTGGGTAGTGGCTATGCAGCAGACCTTCGATACGTGGAAGCATCGACAAGACGTATCGCACATGTATCGGAGACGTCCAAAGTCATTGTTGAAAAGTCGACAGTGCCGTGCCGCACGGCTGCATCCATGCGTGCGATCCTCGAGTCGAACAGCAAGCCGCACGTCGAGTTTCAGATCCTGTCGAACCCGGAGTTCCTGTCGGAAGGCACTGCGATCCAGGATCTGCTCCGTCCAGACCGTGTTCTGATCGGCAGCCTCGCGACGCCCGCAGGCCGCCAGGCCGCAAGTCTGCTAAGTGGCTTGTACCAACACTGGGTGCCGGAAGAGCGCATCCTGCACACAGGTCTATGGAGTAGTGAGCTTAGCAAGCTCGCAGCGAATGCACTGCTTGCACAGCGCATTTCGTCCATCAATGCGATCTCTGCCATTTGTGAAGCCACAGGCGCAAACGTCGACGAGGTCGCGCATGCATGTGGTCTGGACCGGCGCATTGGCCCGCACTTCTTGCGTGCTAGTGTGGGCTTTGGTGGCAGCTGTTTCCAAAAAGACATTCTGAATCTGTCATATCTAAGTGAGAGTCTCGGCATGCCGCAGGTGGCTGAATACTGGCGCCAGGTGATCGCGATGAACGAGTACTCCAAATCACGTTTCGCAAGAAAGGTTGTGCGGACGCTCTTTAATACCGTTACATCGAAGCGCCTGGCTATGCTCGGCTTTGCGTTTAAAAAGGACACTGGCGACACGCGCGAGTCTCCGGCCATTTCCCTGTGCAAGCATTTCCGCGAAGAAGGCGCGTACCTTGCGATTTACGACCCTAAGGTGAAGCGCGAGCAGATCTACCTCGACTTGTCGGAACCTGGCGTGATCGATGATCGCAAGTCTCTCGAGGAGACTGTCTCTGTGTGTCCTTCGGTGCTTGATGCTTGCTATGATGCTGAGGCTGTGGTCATTGCCACGGACTGGGATGAGTTTAAGCATATTGACTGGTCCCTCGTGTACAATGTGATGCGGAAGCCAGCAATGGTGTTTGATGGTCGACGCGTCACTGATCCTACGCATCTTCGCGACATTGGGTTCAGGGTACACGCTGTGGGCATTGGACCAGAACTGCAGGATGATGTGTGGGTGTAGTTGTTGACTAGCATGGACTGTGGATCTCAGCTACGTTGTTTCTTATGTCGTTCTTTTCTTCTCCGTTCAATATCTCCGTAGCATTTGCATGCATGGAGCCGTACCTCTTGCGTCTCTGTCGCATCTGTCCTGCCTGCACCGGGGGCTATTCAATGAGGGTCGGGAACACAGACATGCTGTACAGTACACTTGTGAAGGTGGTCCACGCCACTGTGGTTACTTGCGCAGAGAGACGCCCGGTGCATTCGGTCCGTCTTTCACGTGGTCGTCACCCGCACATTCTAACATGTGTTATGTGGCTAATGGGAAAGTCTTGTGTGCAAAAAAGACCTGTGGCAGGACACTTGAATGGGGAGAGAATATGTGTCAAAGTGTGTGTGTGTGTGTGTTTGTGCGTGTGATTGTTAGCGTCGAGTCAGGGGCTTGCGTGTGCTCCGTCCATACAGCCAACGAGGCCGTACGTAGCGGGGCCGATATGCGTGCGAGGCACGGCGCAAGTTTAAACCGTCGGGCGACGGCAACGAAAATCTGGCCCATTTCGTCTCTCCACAATTAATACACCGCCCAGCAAGCAGTTGTTTTCTCAACACGCCCATTTGCTCGCAGCTCCAACAGACACCTGCCAATCAGCCATGTCTGATCCTCGAATTGCGTCTCAAACGCTAGGTTCCGTCGCAGGTCTAGGTGGATCTGGGTTTGTGCTACCAAGCTTTGAGGACTCGTTCGAAAGGCCACCGCGTGTGTGGCCACCACGCACGGGCTTCTGGGGCCGGACCAGGTACCTTATCAGTGGTATGCTTCCTGGCTCACATCGAATCCCGCGCGATCTGCCGAAGCAGTCTGAGGATGGATCTGGTGTGCCACATCTGCATGAGATGCATGAGCAGGCTATGCCGCGCATGTACCGCCTTCTGGGGGACACTCGCTTCGGCCATGTTCGTGGCTATCGAAGTGCGAGGAAGATCGTCGTCATTGGCGTTCATGGCTGGTACGCACAGAGTATTTTGAAGAATGTGATCGGCGCTCCGATCGGTACATCAGATAAGTTTGCTACAATGATGACCGAGTCAATCCGGCGCAAGTATGCAGCGGCAGGCGTACACTTGGGCCCCGAGGACATCACGACGATTGCTATGCAGCATGATGGCTGTGTTCTTGAGCGTGCCGATGCTTTTTATGATGGGATTCTCCAGAACTCGGACTGGGTCACTGCTCTACGTAATGCAGAGGCCATCTTCGTTGCAGCCCACAGCCAAGGCGCGATTGTTTCGACACTGCTCCTTGCGCGGCTTCTGGACGAAGGACTGGTTGAATCCTCGAAAACGCGTGTGTGCCAGCTGACCATGTGCGGCATATTCCAGGGTCCATTTGTTCACATCAAGAACAGCATAGCCTCGTCGTACCTTAGCTACTTTGAAACAGCTGCGGCTCGTGAGCTCTTCGAGTTCCAGTCATCCGAGTCGGACGTGTCGCGGCTGCATCGTAAAGCGTATCGACGTATTTTGGGCGCCGGCGTTAAATGCGTTCACGTCGGCTCTGTCGATGACAATGCTGTGCCTCTATACAGTGCGCTGTTTTCTTGTGTCGCACATCCCTCCATTTTGCGTGCCGTATACGTGGATGGCGTGGCCTTTCCAGAAAAAGACTTTTTGATTATGCTAATTGCGCTCTGTGTGCTCATACGAAACAGCGGATTCCACGACCACAATCTACTCACTTTGTTGAGTGCCTCCGTCGCCGGTTCCTTGTACACAGGCATGGGCCACACGAACCTGTACAATGAACCGGCCGTGTACGACATTGCTACGCGGTACATGTTTGAAACCTACTCGCCCCACACTTCTGGCGCAACAGATGTTCCGTTGGTCGGCATCCCGTATACCTCCCAGCGGTGGAACTCGTACGAGCTGCCATGGAGTCTGCGTGGACTCCTGGAAGACCGCGTCATAAGCCACTTTTTCATGAAGGACATTCGTGCCTTGATCAAAGACTATGCCTCGTGGAACCCGACGAACAAACGGCTCAAGGAGTTGCACCGCAGGCTCGCACCGATGGCAACAGTACATGTGCCGACGGCGCCGTCATTAATGAAGGATGAGCCGTCTGACGAAGACGAAGAAGATGCCTTTCATCCCGCCGTCCACAAAACACCGCCTGCCAAGTTGTAGTAGTAGACTGGCTGCTCTACAGACCATTGCTGACACGCTCTGCACGGCCTAGCTTCCGTCTCAGTACATACATGAATCTCTGCATACGATTAGGAAATGAAATGCCACAGCTTTTGCCTACCATGCCACATACGCTATTGTGATGAACGTGCACGCTTTTTTGCATTAGGTACCTTGGTACCGGAGCTCTTGCGCTTTCCTTCAGATTTGGCTGCCGTAGAGACGGTCGACGCCACTGTACCCGGCTTGGTCGTCTTGTGTGTCCCTGTCTTTTTTGTATCTTGGTCGTCGTCTTCCCCTACATCCACCTCTGCATCGTCATCCTCGTCGTCGACTATGTCTCTCTTGGCATGCTCACTCTCATTTCCCATGCTCCATCGCACATCATCTCCACCTCCGTCTGTCAGCCGACAACTCCAAATTGGCAGCGCCGCGCTCTTGCCGGTCTTGAGCTCAATGTTTTGAATATTCGCCCACTTGCCAGGCACACGCGACACAATCGCAGGAAGTGCTAGCGCTACGTTGTCCACCAGTTCAGCTGGTGAGTGTCGGTGCAAGAACCCGATTTTCACCGTGCTGCACGATCCTTTGTTCTGTAAGTAATACGTCGACGCCACTGCGCGGTCAATTGCATTGGCGAGTTGCTTCTTGTTCGTCAAGTCAACAGGCACAGGAAACTTGCGGTCCTTGTAGAATACACTGCCGCATAGTTTAGGGAGCATCGGTACAATGCGCTCATCCGCCAAAAACAAGTCGTGATCTCGCACAAGTTGGCGCCGTGCGTCGAATGGACGGAACTTGCCCTTGAGCTTCTCAACGCCCACAACTCGATTCACGGCAGTGATATTCTTCTCCATCAGCAGGTCTTTGTATTCACGCTGCGGATCTTTGGTCAAGAGGCAGACGGATGCAGATGCATCCAGCAACGGATGTGCAAGTGGGATACGTGCAGGTTTTACCTTGCGTTTTGTGTCGAGGGCCTTGACCGTCAGTTGAATCCAAACCGTGTTATCTGAATCCTTTCCTACACCAGGCAGCAGTGATAGATCCTTCTCTTTGGCTGCTTTTCGTCTCTCAGTGTATGCAGCGAGTGCCTCACACGCCTTAAGCACTTGCTTTGCGTCGACTTTATCGCTAATCATCCTCGGTGGCGTGCTACCAGTTTTGGGACGACCAGATTCTGAAGACACACGCCTTTTTGGTAATTTGCTACTCTCTTTGGAGGCAGCCTTCTTCTTACTCGAGGCGCTATCGGTTGCACTGACTTGGCGCACCTTGCTTGCGCTGCCTGCAACTGATGGTGGCATCGTGTGTATGTATGTCGCTTACCAGATACCGTGCAGCAAAATAAAAAAATTTTTCTCCTACTCGCCAAAAAAATATGACTTTGTGGTTGCATCGAGTCAGGTGCAAAAGTACCTTAGAGGTACTTGCATAATTCCCATAACATTCTGCTAAGAGGTATACGTTGAATTTCGCATGTCTGACACGGATGTGCGTCCCACACAAGTCAGCTGCTTCTTGATAGCGATAGTATGGTATCCAAGAGCCAGATGGCGTCGCCACTCTCGGCATGGTCGACGCATTACGATATGATTAAGCCAAAGTACGTCAAACGGAATGGGTCGCCCTTGCTCGATGCGCTGACACACAGCACGACAAAACTTTCGGCTGTGCCCGATGCCATCATCGGATACTTGGATCCCAAGGTTTGTGCGACTCATGATACATGTCGAACAGCCTCTTACTACAGAGCTTGACAAAGCATGAAGGCGAAGTGACAAAGAAAGAAAGTTCTTTTGAAACGTCAGGTATCCAACAATCTAAGGCATGGGAGCTGGCCCTATCGCCAACAAAGACATTGCCGATGAACTTTATGATGATGTGGATGAGCGGTAGCGGTGTACAGATCTTTAGTATGATGGTTGTTGCAATGATGATCACGAATCCGCTCAAGGGGATTCTGAAGACGACGCAAGGTTTGTACGCGCAATCATTTGCATGCTAACATTGTGTTCTTTCTTTCCACTCACCCTAGTATTTGCCCCATATTATTCTCCAAATCATACGCTTCTCCCCCAGATGCTTGCCTTCATTGCTTGCCATTTGTTGTGTGTAGCTATGGGAATCTACAAGTGCTGGAGCATGGGACTTCTTCCCACTGAAAGTAGCGACTGGCTTGCTTGGTACGTCGCACCACAGGTACGTACGAAACATGACTTGTTCCTCTCTCTCTCTCTCTTTCTCTGTCTCTCGCATGCCAGTGTATTCTAATAATGATCAGCCCACAGAACTTTCCGCTTCCATTGTCTAGGTCTGATGTAGTCTGCTAATGTCGGACGAGTTGGATCGTCCTCGGCGCTTTTCGAACTGCTCTATTATTCCTTTCATACGCATTTGCTCAGCCGCCCGCGAGCGTCGACATGTTTCCCTGATGATTGTTAGTCTGTTCTTTTGGAGAGAGGAAAAGTGAGAAACTAAGAGAAGACGCATGTGCGCACGTGTGTTACGAGCGGTACTTACCAGCCAAAGATAGAAATAAACACAAAGGAACCAACCGCCCAATTCATTGAGCGCATGATGCCTTGTATTCGTAAGCATCTTTCATACGCACCTCTTCCGAATACCACTTGAATCGTTCCGACGCATGCACCGGTTGCCATCCCCATGAGCAGATTCGTCCGTGCACAGGGCACTTGCGGAAGTTGTCGGATCTCGTCGATAGGGGAAAAATTCCGCAGCGCATTCATCCATGATATCTTTGGAGTGATCTCGTATGTAAGGAGCTGAATATTGTACGAACCTCTATCATGGACTGGTTCCGATTCGACGTCGGTGCATCATCCGCCGTCGCCATCGCGCTACCCTCCCGCTCACTTGCTGGCGGTCGATCAGTCGCACAAACCTTCTTGAATAGCCTCCACGCGTGCCAATGGCGATCTGATAGGGGCATGTCATAGGGGTACCGAGATCATGCCTACTGAGTCATGCTGACTCAATCATTGGTAACGGAATTATCAGATTATAATTTGTGTGTCTCACACTACTGCTGCCCCTGCTGGTTGCAGGTCGTTCTCATCTTGCGTCTGAAGAAGATATGGCGACGTATTGCGACGATGAAATAAAGAACGTCGTCGTTCTTGGTGGGAGCTACGGTGGTACGTCGTTTCATGCATATGTGACACATCTGACATATGTAGGCATGCATGCGGCCATGGTCCTGGCTCGCAAGCTTCCACCCACGCATCGGGTCATTTTGATCGAACGCAACACCCATTTTAATCGTACGTTGTCTATGGCACAACCTGACATGCAGACTTGTATGTGTTTCCACGATACTCTGTCGTACCTGGGCATGAACACAAAGCATTTGTTCCATACACGTCAATTTTCTCTGACTCACCCGCTCGAGGGCGTGGGTTTCAGAAGGCCATGTCTCAGCCACCACAAATCCCTGACGACGCAGAGAACATGGAGGCTGCTATTATGCGAGATTCTGAGAACCTAGTTGAGAAGGAACAATTAGATCATTCAAAGTGCTGTATTTTGCAGGTCAGCGACCTCATTTCGAACCAGTTGCATGTGGACAAGGATCATGCTCGACAACCCGTGGAGCCATTGCACAAAAATAACCAGCATTTCGAAGATGACCCATATGCGTATGCACATCCACATATGATCGTGCACGGTAGTGTGCAAGCGATTCGCGACACGTATGTCACGGTGAAACAACACAACTCTGAATCTGCGGATTGTGCAAAACAGCCCTCCAAGAAGCCACTATGGTCTCTCGATACCATCAATATCCCATACACGCATCTCATCTACGCACTAGGCTCACACATGCCAGATCCCTTACGGCGCGACTCAGTCTCTAAGCAACATGGTGTCGAATGGATGCAGCGCAACCAGCAGCGCATTCGCGAGAGTCACGACGTTGTGATCATTGGTGGTGGCGCTTTGGGGGTGGAAATGGCATGTGATATCGCAAGCTTATACAAGCAGAAAGGAGAGCCGAAGAATGTGACGCTTATCCACTCTCGCAAACAATTGCTCCCCATCTTTGATCCACGCATCCATGAAGTGGCGTACAAGCACCTAAAAGACCTAGGTGTTAATGTCGTGCTGGGGCACCGCTTGGCTACGGCTGAAGGCTGTCCATTGGGTAGCACGGTGCGCAAAGTGGCGACGACTGATCCATCGAACGTGAGTAAGGATGCTATGGAGGCCGTTGCCGGCTCGTCTCGCCAGCGCATCCGCACAACCCTGGGTCTCGAGTTGGAATGCGACTTGTTGCTGATGTGCACGGGACAGCAGCCGAATTCTGAGATCATGGCCGAATTTTCACCCGCGAGCGTAAATCCCAGCACGCGCCTTGTGCGCGTGCTTCCAAGTTTGCAAGTCATGATATCTGAAGATGAAGAAGCCACGTCTCAGCCATTTTCTGTTGTACCACCTTGTGTCGATTGTGATTGTTTTTTGGATAGGAAGGCAGAGGGTGCAAGCCGCACGTTCGATGAAAATGGCGTGATCCCGCCACACTTTCAAAATATCTATGCAATTGGCGATGTTGCCGATGCTTTTGGTGCGTTGAATGCCGGCTTTCAGGCTTGGTTCATGGCAGATATCGCTGCAGAGAATATATTGCGCGATATTCTGCACGTGAAATCAACGACAGATCCGGAGAATAACAAGCTTGATGATTCTGAGCCGGTACCACTCACGTCGTTCAAGCCTGGACCGCCGCTTCTGAAGTTGGCTCTTGGACTCCATAAGCTTGTTACGCAAGGAGCACCTGAGCCTGACGAGTCATTGCCAGGGAAACCAATTCGACCGACGATTGCTGTGAAGGAGGACTCTGAGGATATGGATATTGAACTGACATGGAAGTACATGGCTTTAGCCGACCCATCAAATATGCACGCATAGTGACATGGAGCCTAGTAGGAGATTATAGTACGTTACTGTAACCTTGCTTGGCCATCTCCTCCGTACACATACCGTAGCACGACAGTTCGCTGGCATATTTATCTGGAACTACACAACGCACACACACACACTCACACATACACATACACACCCGCGTGCACTCAAAGATACATGTCAGACGGATAGCGTAATCGCAATGGTTACACAATACGTGGGAATGGCAGCCAAGTTCCTGATTCATAACTGTGCCTGTCTAAATACCAGCCTTTTTATACCTGAAAAGGAGAAAAAACACACACATGGAGTATAGTGAGACGATACAAAGCCAGTAGCTCGATGGCTGGATTCGAGCGATGACTGCAGAGATATAAAAGTCCGAAGAAGGGGCCTGAGCGTTACTTCTTCTTCGAGTCGCCCTTCTTCGTTCCGCGAACCTTCTTGCCACGGCTGAAATGCGTTAGTCACACCATTCTTGAATGCAGCAAAGTCAGGATGTATACATACTTCTTACGCTCCTTCCGAAGCTTGCGCGAGGCCTTTTCGATCTTGGGAGCAAGACCATTCTATCCATAGTCAGTATCCAATTCACACAAGTCAGATGATCCTAATACGTACGCGAACAATGCGGTGCGTCGGCTCAAAGCTCTTCATGGCCTCCTGGCTGTCATACACAAGAGCGAAACCTGTCGAACGACCACCACCAAAGTGCGTGCGCATGCCGAACACCGAGACCTGTTCCTTGGGGGTCTTGTACAACTCGCCAATCTTTTCCTGCAGCTCGCTCCTCGACACGTTCGGGCGGGCTGGGTGGATCACCTCAAGCACCATCTGCCTGCGCTGGAGCAGACGGTTACTAAGGAACTTGCGGGTCCGCAGGGTGATGGGGGAGTTCAGATCCTATCCATGTTAGCTTGTTTGTTCATGCTGTCTTTATTGCACATGCGCGAGCGTCGAATGTGCACACGCTCGTCGTGCATACGCTGTCCAACTCACCATGTTGAGTGACGACGAAAGGTAGGCGAATGCGAGGCGAGCTATTCTTCGCCTTGCTAGTCCTGGATGCCTGGGGGGTTGGCTGCTGGTCGTAGAATCACGTGTCTAACTATAAACACGTGATCAATGATTTCGTAGATGCGCACCTACATACATACGCGGTCGCGCGACGGGTGTGCACGAGAGTGGCTGTAACACGAGTCAAGTTTGGTCAAGAGAATGAGGGGTGCAAGGGATAGAAATTTTTCCTGAACTAATCTGTGATATCTATCCTGCCAGGGATTCTTGCACCTCTCCCTTGGTTTGCGCCATAAGAACATAATCCGATACGGTCGTTAAGCTGAGTTTGATTTGAGAGGAGCATGGTGGAGCTGGTCTTCTGACTTTGTTTACACTATACGCCCCCCTACAATTGGCGGTCGCATTGGATAGCGAATAGTGACAGTGAAGCACGACAGCTTTTCACACGCGATGTCAGCAGGACGTTAGAGAAGGCTCTATGTTGACTTGGACCGCGTGAATGATTGCGCTAGAGCAGCTGTCTCGTCTTGCTATCATTAGAATCGTCATTCCTGTAGAGCGGTTGAAAGGGCCATGCCGCAGGTATACTGTATTCGCACGAAGAAAGAGTTGTGCTTACCATGTAAAGTAGTTTTGAATGGCTCCACGCGCTGCACCAGTTGCCATTAAATGCATTATTTCACGTTACGACAAGAAAGTGAGCCTATAAGCGTGTGCTGCAACATCCTCTATCACGAGGATGAGCAGTCCATCCTTGGTATCTGGACTGCACTCTCACGAAGCCGTAATGGTAGAGGGACAAGGGGAGGGAGAGAGAGAGAGAGAGGAAAGAAAAAAAAGGAGAATATGAAAAAAAAGGTACAATGTTCGGTGCTGAAGTTTCACATCTTGGGCGGAGATACCTGGAACGTGCGTAAGTGATGCCAACTTTCCAAACGTACCAGAATCACACCGTCTCCCCGTACAAACATCATTTCCAACGTCCTCTTCACGACCTTACATACATGTTAGAGTCCCATACAAGCAGAAAAAATAAACAAACCTGAATAGACTCAGCACCTGTGTCTTCAGATACTTGCATGTCGTAAATAGTCTCTTCAACATCGCCTAGAATCAAGTTCATGTGGCCGTCGTACGCATGCAAGATGCCCCGCATTTCACGGTCGCCACGCAGCTTAACGAGGACCCTCTCACTCAAAGATAAGCGGATCAAATCAAATGGCTCGTGAATACCTGTCGAAACGTCTGTCATGCTAGTCAAAAACGAAACAGGGTTAGAGTGCAACTGCGGTCTCCAACACTAACGCACGTCTCACGATAACGGCGTTCGTTGGGCGCCCGTTGTTGTTCGCTGACGTTGAGGATGTGCGAGAGGTGTTATAATCATTACATAAGCAGGAGTAGGGCAAGTCGATTCGATTCGAGTTGGGCTAAGGGGGTTGGTTGCATTTTCGTGGCTCCTGGTCAAAGAGCGCGAAAGACAGAGTGAGTGGAACGTTTGCCTTATTGTGTCTTCCCTCGTTCGCTATGCTGCGTGCAACGATGAATCGCAGTATGGTACCACTAGCACATGCACAGCATTCTTTTACAAGATGCTTTCACCTGAGTAGTGCAAAAAGCCTAGATTATGTGCCAACGCGACATCAGTTGCCCACTCCACCTCTTGTCGTAGGGGCGATGCAAAAGAGCCGACTTCGTGAGCATTACGAACGCACGTTGGCCGCAGATATGATGTACATGATGTATGAACCTGAGAGTGGATCTACGTCGTCGAAAGATTCACCGGCTCTTGGCGACGGCGCCCGCGAGACGGATCGTGTGCGTCGATGGTCGAATGAGTCGCCATATCACGTAGGTCGGTCGGCTCGCGCTCAGCTGGGAAATCGGCCGCTGATTCCTCTGCATAAGCCATTGTACATGTCAAGGCATATTGAACATGATATCCCACGCCTTGAACGGATTGTTTTCACAGCTTTCTGTCGAGAAGCCATTACAAACAAGCAGGCACTGCTCCCGCTTCTTGGTCAAATGCGCGCGATCACAGGCTTGCCGATTCTGGGTTCCCTCGCTGATCCCTCAGCGGGTGACTCGCCTGAATCAGCAGGTCCATCTGCGCGCAATGGCTACGTACAGGTGCTTCGTGCGAGGCAGGGCGCTGCGTCGTTCAAGCTTCGTGTGGGCATGCCCGTTGGTGTGAAGGCTGTGATGTATGGTGATGCTGCGTATGAATTTATTGAGTCGCTTACGACATTTGTACTGCCGCGCCTGCGTGGATTTGCCGGTCTATCGTTGCCACCATCGACGCAACCTCTTCTTAGTCCTGCTGCGGTGAGCGGTGTTGTAAGCTTTGGCATGGGTCCTGAGGCTATGCCGCTTTTCCCGCAAGTGGAAATCAACATGGACCAATACCCGGGCCGTCGCTATGGCTTCCAAGTTGACTGTGTGACGAATCAGCGTGGTCGCCGCGCTACGGAGCGTGCACGCACGCTTCTAAGTGGTTTGGGACTACCATTCGTCCGCCGCGGCACTGTGGCTCTGTAGCTTTCCTACCACGGTAGTTATACAAAAAAAGCGCGTACCTATACGATGGGTGGATTCAGTGCATCTATTCTCTCCATCGACAGCGGTTCGCTGACATCATGGCTCGATGGGTGTGTGTATGTGCAAAGACGCGATTTGACATGACAAAGGATTCGTCGCCTCCACATTCAGCGCCTCGTTCTTGAAGAACAGCTGAACGAGGAGAGGAGAGGAGAGGAAAGGGCAGATCTGGTGCTGCTTGTCTGCAGTCGAACTTACCACACTATTGCCTGCATTCATACACGCGCGTCCATCTGAACGTCTGCTCGACGTGGTGTCAAGATGGTCGTGTGCCAGTTTTTTTTGCAAGGTCGCTGTCGATTCGGGAACAACTGCCGGAATGAACATCCCGTGCAGGCTCGCACAGGCCCTAGTGCATTTGGACGAGCGTCCACAGCATTTTCTGGTAGTGCCTCGGCCTTTGGCGGTGCAAAGTCGGCCATGCAAGAGCCAGAAGTCGCTCTTTCCAAAGATGGCATCATGACAGATCTCGGTGCGAATGGTCGCCCAATATGGCGCTTGACATGCTATGCACCTGCACGGTTTGAACCGAATCTGATCCAAGGCATAGATGTCAGTCCTGAGGAAGACCGTCTCCTTGCCTACCAAGCAAAGCAAACAGCGCAAGATATGGCCTATGTACGTGTCAATACATGCACACACGCACTCACTCACACCTTGCAGATGCAACACACACAAGCGCAATCCACGAGCGCCGACGCTATGTACCAGACCATGGCCAGAGATCCCAACACTGCAATTCAGGTAGCGCAATCCAATCGCTCACAGTATAAACAGGCTATGGCTTCCAGGGCAGCATCTACGGGAGGTCCTGCGATGCAAAGCTTAGTGGCACCGGCGTTTGGCGCTTCAGTGGCTGGCAGCACATCTACAGCTTTTGGTAAAACATCTGCATTTGGACAACCAGCAGCTTCCACTGCGTCATCCTCTGGATTTGGACAAGCGGCAAAACCTGCGACAGCTTTCGGTCAGTCTCTACCGACATCAGCCTTCGGATCTGCATCATCGAATCCACCACCGGCTTCCACCGTATCAGCGTTTGGGCAAGCGGCCCGGCCACCACCAGCTTTTGGTCAGCCGTCGACATTTGGTCCATCATCTTCGGCATTTAGCCAAACACCGAAGCCAGTGACGGCGTTTGGGCCAACGGCCCAGCCCACGACGGCATTCGGACAAACGGCTCAACCTTCAGCTTTTGGGCAAGCAGCCAAACCATCGACGGCATTCGGACAAACGGCTCAGCCCTCAGCTTTCGGGCAAGCAGCCAAACCATCGACGGCATTCGGACAAACAGCTCAGCTTCGGTTTCGGGCAAGCAGCCAAACCATCGACGGCATTCGGACAAACGGCTCAGCCTTCAGCATTCGGACAGGCGCCGCAAGCAGCACCATCCACGTCAACATCTACATTGTCTGCTTTTGGTCAAGCGGCGCCATCATCCGTGTTCAGTCAAACATCTGCCCCGTCCGCGTTTGGTCAGTCATCAGCATTCGGTCAGCCTTCTGCGTTTGGCCAAGCAGTTCGGCCGCCCGCCACGGGATTTGGCGCCACGAACCATGGGGCGTTCTCAGCGTTCGGCCAAACAGCACAACCGTTGTCATCGGTGTTTGGGTCCACATCACAGCCAGGGTCAGCGTTCAATCCGTCGAATCCCGCACCGTCAGCTTTCAGCGGCACAACCGCCTCACAAAAGTCCGCTTTCGGACCAACGACGCCAGCGACAGCATTTGGCCCAGCGGGGCAGTCGGACGCCACAGCGGCAGGAATGACGTCGGCTTTCGCCGCGGGACCATCTGTTGGAGGCAGCCATGTCGTTACGGATGTATACGAGTCTGAGCGAGTGAAAGAAGCACAATTGCCCGCGGATGTTCTCTCGTCATTCCAAGCAGAGCAGTTCGAATGGGCGATGATCCCTGCCGTCGAGCCCCCATCGACTTTGTGCACATAGTCTCACCTACTCGTATGGCTAGTCAATGATACCCTAATGCCTTTTTGCTACTCTTTGTTGATGTTCACTGCGTCGCTATAGTCACAGGGAATCCACGCAGCTTTCATCCGAGAGACGCTCGCGATACGCGCGTGCACAGATAGGGCATCCATGCAGGCCTACATCCAGGCGATACAGCTGACGATTCTCGATCCATGCGTCTCGATCAGCTCGTTCCAACATGGCCTGTTTGCCTGAGAGCTTGAGCTTGTCGTCGTTGGTTGCATGAGAGGCTACCGTGAGCTCGGTAGGTGCGGAACCGAACCAGGTGGAAGCTCTCGACCGATTGTACATGTCTGTTGTTGTCGCATGCAAAGGCACCGCAGCATAGGCGCTCGAACGCAGGCAGGCAGAGTCTGGGCGCGTTTTGGTCACACATGCACGATGCGCTGTATGCGAACACAAATACAGAACAAGTGGCTTGTACGACGCATACTCCGACAGCTGAAGCAAAGGTTCGTGGCACATAGCACAAGGCGTGTGAGCGTCGCAGGCGAGTGCTGTTTGTAGAGAGGCATAGTACTGCATGCCACGCTCGTGTGCGTCACGCTCCAGGACTGCGAGGCCACCACAGAAGAGCGAGTGCTGCAGATGAAAGTTTGTGAAGATCTTGATGAGGGCTGAGCGCAAGCCTGGGATGATAAGGCCGTGCCGAATAGGACGGATCATGCGCACGGGATCAATCTCACCGCTGGCATGCTCAAGGAGACCGCGGATAAACTCTGGCTTGTTGTCCGAGTAGGCAAGAAGCGATTCCCAAAGCTCACTATCGTCCTGCTGCCGCACAAACTCAATGGCCATTTCAACATCACGCAGCCGTTCGAGAATCAGCTGCAAAGCGCCGCGCAAGTCGCCTGAGCGTCCGCGGAGAAATACCATCTCTGGCACGTAGTTGTGTGCTTCACACACTGCATACGCCTCTTTCAGCGAGTATACGGAGCTCATGGAGCGGAGAAACGGCATCAACTTGGCATAGTCGTAGCGACAATATAGACGCAAAAGATCGAGCGCATAATTCGTCACTAGGGATGCATCGCGCTCAAAGAGCGCATGCAGGTATAGAAACTCGTACCAGGGATATGGTTGCAGTTGTTGCATTGCACGCTCAATAGGGATCGAATGGGTATATTGGACGAGCAAAGGCATCAAAACGCTGTGCCGCGGCTCGCTTGTGCCGGCCAGTTCCTGATCGAGCTCAACAAGGGTACCGATTCTGTGCTGGACATCGATAAGTAGGTTGTGCTCGCGGATCAGGGCAAATACGGACGCATCCCGCAGATGAATCATGTATGGAAGTGCCTTTCCCGGCTGCCGATCTGCCATGTACAGCTGTGCGAGGCACTCGAGCAGCATACGGCTGTTGCGTGCCTTGTCGTGGATCGCAGCAGCTACTGCTTGCGTCGAGTACAGATGACTTGGCCAAGTGGTCAATGTGGCTAGTAAAAGCGCCTGGTTCTCCTGCAAGAGATGCACAAGGACAAGATCGTAGACGACCTCACTGAGCTCAGGGTCTTGTGTCGGAATGAAAGGTAGGATCGTCTCGACTTGATGCCTCTCAAGAAACAGGAGCACGAATGAGTCCCACGCCGCCTTGTCAGATCGGAGTAGCAGAGGCAGCAATGCAGCAGCCCCCGCATAATCATCCTGCTCGTCAATCAGGTACATAAGGTACTCGCGCCCAATAGCTGCGACATCAAAGCCCATGGCTTTTGCCGGCGCACTGCCTAACGCTTCGAGCGCCTCGAGTGCTCTACGGTACTCATCATGCTCCAGCAGCCATTCAATGTGGTCGCGCTCGTCACGCGGGCGCAGCACACTGATCTGGCGAGGCGAGGCGACGTAAAAGACGGGCCGACGTGTCTCTTGCTGGACGACAGGGTCGTATTTCCACTCGACGCTCATCTTCATATGGAAGTCATTGCATCGATACCGGCCTTCATACACCACCTCCAGTACATCGCTGCTGAGCTCTTCCCCCTGCGAGTTGACACAGCGAAGCTCTGGCGCTTGGCATGCTGTACCGTCCGACACATACGCAAGCGTGGCCATGTAGTCTGGCGTACAAGCCATCCCTGCAACGACGCAGTCGAGTTGAAAAATGTCCGTGATCTCAACATATTCAGACGGCTCTGGTGCCTGCCGGTTAAGACCTGTCACAAGGCCTGCGAATGTCGGCATGCCGGGGATCACAGCACGGATCTCGTCGTCCGCCGTGGTGGACTCACGAGTCTTGATGCTGGCGACCGTGATAGTATCGCCATGTGCTATCAGAAGCGTGTGGGAGTCTCGCCATACAAGGGAACAGCGTGCCAGTTCCGCGCGCGGCGATCCTTGAGGCGTTGGAATCATGGTAATCATATCGTGCGTTGTTGCATTTGCCACACGCACGCCACGGTCCGTCGCCCATGCAAGCCAATGACCGCGCCAGGCTGTCGTCCAGATGGGCCCCTCATCGCTGTGGATCACCATATCTCGGTAGCCGAACCAGCGTTTCTCCCGATACACGAGCACCCCGGACATGCCGCCACATACAAACGCACGGCTTGATCGACTGGCAAAGTGCGGCTCCAAAGCAATCGTGCGCATCGGACGTTGGTGGTCAAATTGATACTGTTCAGACGTTGTGAGCGAGGCAATGGCCACAATGCCGTCCATACCAGCACTGCCAACAAACTCACCCGATGTATCGAACACAAGATCAAGCACTGGTGCAGAGTGGAAGCGGAATCCCTTTTCGAGATGGCCCGAGTGCGATAACACATAGATCATGCCAGACTGCGTACCGAGCGCGATATGTGTCCGACTCACTGCCATTGCGCTCGCTGAGTCTTTTTTCATGATATCCTGGACGCTTGCCAGCAAACAAGTCTCATGGAACGCTGGCTCATGAGAATCAGACACAGCCGTCGACAAAGTATCATCAGCATCGCCTGATGCCTCGCACCGATTCTTTTGATGATCGGTACCAAGTTCATGACTCTGCCTATCCATCTCTGTCACTTGCTTTGGCGACGCACCAGAAGCACCTGGCGTCTGTGGTGGGCTGTCTGTTTGCGACGTGTTTGAACCACAAGCGTCAGCTCGAGGCGTTGCTATTCGAGAGTCATCTTGATGTAGATCGCCCTCTACAGGCACCTGCCCCGGCATCGCATTGTCCCTTCGATGCCTTCGTGTTCTAGTTTGTCTACGTGGTCCCATACCCCCCGACTTGTCATGGGCAGTCGCACTGTTCGCCACTCACTCAACTAATTTACTCCACATGTGTTCCAGCGGAGAGGAAGGAAGTGCACGTTTGATATTCTGCAAGCCATTGTCCACCCATTAGGTGTCATCAAACTGTGCTCAACGTACCGGCACACGGAAAAATATGGATGTCGCGCGGCCCACGTTTCTTACTTGCCAAGACATGAAGTAGTATTTCGCATAGAACCATCTCTAGTTAACAACAGATGCTAAGCGTTCCATGCCGCTCAGGAAAGATAAAAACATCCCCCTTGATTTTTTTTTCCTCTTCTATGTATGGTGATGGGCTGTGCGAATTCCCTACATAACAACAAAGTTGTTTGGTGTGTAGCGCTTCGTATTGTATACACTCTTGCCAGCCTGGAACAGAAAACATAAGCAGATAAATATACCGAAGAGATGCGATAAGCACTGCGTTAGCCTTCGCGCCCACAAAATATCATGCCGGCATGGACAACAACATACCTCCCAGTCCGGCACATCCTTCATGAGTAGTTTCTCACGTAGAAGTGCTGCACGATCGCGACGGAATGCATCGCGATCAGCTTCCGCCAACAGAAGCGGCGCAAGGTAGATTCGACTCCATGCACGCTCACGAGCCAGTTCGCGCCTCTCGGCATTTCCCAGGCCGAGGCGCCAGAACCCAAATGCCGAAATACCGATCGTTGCGAAAATCAGCATCACACCACTAGGGCCGCGCGCGGGCAAGTTCCGCTTGTACCGGATCGGTGCATATCCTCCTGCTGGTGGCAGGTCCCTGTCATCAAGTTAGCTTTCACTGGCACATTCATCATCCACCAATGGCTTGTGCTGGCCACCTTGCCGCTGCGCCATCCATATCCTCATCTTGGAAGCAAGTACGTACTGCTTGTATGTGACTATCACCGGTGCATTAGTTCCATAACGCTCAACAAAATGCGCATATTATACGTACTTCCCTCGCTCATGTTGGAACGATGTGTGTGAATCTAAAGGTTGGCCGACAAACAATCTGAAAACGATATGCGCCCGCCGCTCGACGCTTGCGCAGGCTGACTGGACTTTACCTATACACTCACCCCTCTAGGGGGGGCCGCTTCCTATTTCGCAACCCGCGCCCGCGCCTGGACGGGCGCAGACGCCAGTGTATGCACGTGACTCATGCTTGGCTCGCCCCTCTGAGTGGCTTCTTAAGTGTGTCCATGGCTAAATTTTTTTTATTTTTCATGGACGTGCGTTTACAACCCTGGCTCTACTACCACGTTCACTCGACCTGCAAGTGGCACGTACCTATTCTCCGTAAGGGTGCGTGAACTCACGAAAGTGCTTGTAAAAAAGAGAGCACTTGGAGCGTGGATTGCAGGTGTTGAGCTCATTTCCCCCTTTTCCCCCTAACAAACACATACAATTACACATACGCCGCTTACATGGGCAGTGGGAAGAAGGGCGGCTCGCAACTTGCTCAGCTGCGATCAGGACTCCGTGATGCAGGCATCACAGGTTCCAATTCGAAAAAGGGGAAACGGAATGACCGGGATGATAGCAGAGTCGGACAATACCGTGCGCAACAGCGACGGAAGCGATTGGAAGCTCTCATGACGAATCTGAATGCTTTCGATGAACGTGTAGCCTCAAGCAAGAATCAGGCGCTGGGTGCGAAGGTCAAGGGTGCGTCAGGACGCCCGGCCAATGCCAAGTCATCTTCAATCCAACAACGACGCGAGAGGCTTTTGCCTGAATATCAAAATCGGCACCATTCGTCTTCCTTTCATGATCGCCGATTCGGTGAGTACAATCCGCATATGTCACTCGAAGACAAGATGCTCAAGCGATTCACGCATGAGCGAATGCATCGAATACCTAAGACATCCAACACATCTCTCTTTGATTTGAACGACGATGACGATGCGGATTTGACTCTTACCCATTATGGTCAAAGTTTGAGTGGGATGGATGAATTGCCAGACGTGAGGCTTGATGACGATAATGACGATGACAATCCTCGAGGTACGTTGAGTAAGTTGGCGCGATGGTGGGCAACGATGAGAACATTTCTGTTATTCCTGTATGGGCCACATTGCACACATTTGTGTGTACACATCTATAGTGGCCATGCCAGGTTCATGTTCTACTGGAGATTGCTGAGCCCACACCGTGCCTACTTTCTTTTTTTTTGTGGCTTCAAAATACTAACGAACAGGACATATCGATGCCAATATGACTCGGGACGAGCATTTTGCTGGCTTTGATGATGCCGAAGATCCTGATGCGGCACAGGCGCCGCGCAGTAAGCATGAGGTCATGAAAGAAGTCATCGCCAAGTCCAAGCTTGCGAAACACGAGCGACAGAAGGTCAAAGATGCCGACGAAGAGCTGCGCATGGAACTCGATGATGAATTGGGCGATATTCGCTCTCTTTTGTTCTCGCGCCCCTCGACTGAAACATCTGTCGATGTAGCCGCCACAGAACGCGCAGCTACTCCAGCGTCATCCAAAGGCGACACATACGACGCATTCGTCCGCGAAATGGCGTATGAACGACGGGCAAAGCCACAGGACCGCCTAAAGACTGCAGAGGAGCTCGCCCAAGACCAGGCCAAGCGATTGGAAGAGGCAGAATCGGCGCGTCTTCGGCGCATGCGCGGTGAGCTGGACGAAGAAGGCGAAGCGCTTATGGACTACGCGATCGATGACGACGATGACCACGAGAATGATGCCAACTCAAATGTGAAGCGAGCTGTGAAGACGGACGAACCTCGCACAATGCGCTCTCGATTCGGATTAGGACATGGCCTGGATGAACAATCTTCTGCAGCGAGTGAGAATGATGAAGATGCTGGCCAAGATACAGAAACAGCCATGGAAGAGGAGTACGATGTCGATGAGGAAGAAGACAATGAGAGCGACGATGATGAAGGCGATGATGCTGAGGACAGTGCAGATAATGACGAAGATGGCGATGAAAACGATACTGCCGCACAGCTCGCTGATTACCAAAACCTGGAACAGTATGGCGAAGCCCCTTATACCCCACAAACGGTGAACAAGGCCGAGCCGCAACCAACGCGACGACTCCCACGCGCCTCATCGGAGCGTGTATCTACTCTTCCCTTCACTTTCCCATGTCCTTCTACTCATGACGCATTCCTAGATTTGTTAGAGCAGCATCAAGTGGCTCCGTCGCAGCTTCACACCGTCATTTCACGGATTCGCACATTGCATGCGCCCAACTTGGGGGAAGAAAACCCTGTCAAGCTGCAACGCTTCCTTGGCGTACTCGTTGATCATGTATTGTATCGCACTAGCCAGGACGATGCTACCAATGAAGACCTGCTCGTGCTGAATGACCTCGTTCTGCACATCTCTGATCTGGCCACAATGTACCCACTTCGAGCCGCCGAGCATTTTGTGGCAAAGTTGTCGTTGATGCAGCGCAACTTGATGCAAGGCTTGGCCCAGGGCGCATTGGAGCCAGCTTCGCGCACGTGGCCTTCTCTTCCGGAACTGTCGTTCTTGCGTGTATGTGGGTTGCTTTGGCCTACTAGTGACCGATGGCATGCCGTCACGACTCCCATGTTGTTACTCGTAGCCCAGTATCTGGCGCACGCACGCATTCGATCACTGCGCGATATGGGCTCGGCCTTGTATTTGGTCTCTCTTGTGTCATCTGCGCAGCGTGAGAGTCGGCGCATTGTGCCGGAGGCACTGAATGCCTTGTTCAATATCTCCGCTATGTTGCTGCCACTTCATCATGGCAGACGCATGCATGGCCGCTCTCCTGTCAAAGCGCTTGCCGAGGAGTTCGGCATCCCTACACCGGACGTCGAGGCTCAACACACACACGCATTCACTATCCGCGCTGACGCGCAACCACATGCAAAAGTGTCGCTTGCACATATTTTGACACACGCGGATGCAGTGTCGTCGTCGTCGGCGGTGCAGACGCAAGTGGATCTTCTTCGCATGTGTGTGGCACTCCAGATGTCGTTTGCTAAGATGTACGAAGGCAGTCCAGCCTTTGTTGAATTGTTCATGCCAATGCTATTCCTGCTAGAGATCGGCGAAGCAGGTCTGCGGGACACAGCACCGAGTGTTGTGTCGTACGTCCACGACGCTGCAACGTCTATTCGGTCACAGCTTGAGCGTGCGTACGCCTCACGGCATGCTCTGCGTCTCCAGGCGCATCGTGCGCTGTCGATTGCGACGTATGCTCCCAAGTTTGATCAGCAGTCGTTCGATCCCAAGCGGGCCACTGATCCCGATACTGAGCGTGCGTATGCAGCCAAGATGCGAGCACTGCTCAAGAAGGAGCGTAAGGGCGCTATTCGTGAATTGCGGAAGGATGCACAGTTCCTCGCTGACGAGCGTGAGCAGCGCCGCGTCGCTGAAGACGTCGCATACAAAAAGAAGATCGACAAAATCTTGGGCGGTATGCAGGATGAACGCTCCGAACAGAAACAGCTTGAGCGTGCGAAATCCGCCATTCGTAAGCGTGCTGGTAAGCGTAGTCCTTAGGCATGCATGGTCCTTCTGCCAGATAGTTGATTCCTTCACGTAGTTGCACGTGGCATACTACGTCGCATGTATTCATAGCTAGGTGCAAGTATTGGCGACTGGCCACTGGCAGATTGGCTCATTGATTCATCGTAGAGTGCCATCCTAGTTTGGACGCTTCTGCGCTCATACCAAGCCAAAAAAAGGCTTCTCTTTCCGTCGCAGCCTTGCGTCTATTCGTCTTGCTGTCACATGCAATTCGACTCTTTCCAACCCGGCTGAACAGATCGACTTGCTCATCCTGCACTTACTTGACCTCCACCACTCCTCATCATGGTACGTTCCAGGCCCGTTATGACAGAGAGAAAAAAATGCCAAAGCATGAGGTAGGACTAACGATGCCAGGTCAGTAGCAGGATATCAAAGTCTACGCAGATTCAACGCTTCTGCGGAATCGCGAATGCGACAGATCAGGAGGCGCAAATATATTTACGACAGTATCAGTACCGTCTGGAGCCTGCACTCGATGCGTTCCTCAATGATCAAAGTGCGCACGGAGGCGCATCACGTTTGTCGGCACAAGAAGAAAAGACGGCTCGTACTCTTCTCCATACACAGTTCGACATGTACAAAGGTTTGTTGGCACTCACACACGAGCGACTGACCATGACCAGATGACGTTGACCCTGATGCAATATCATCTGAAGGTGCTTTGCGCATGCTATCAGACATCAACTTGGACCCTGCAAGTGTTACCATATTGCCACTCTCGTACTACTTAAGTTCGCCAAGTCTTGGCCAGTTCACGCGTAATGGCTATGTGGATGGATGGCTTCGTATCGGTGTTGGAGCCTCGCCAGAATCTCAGGGCTCCTCCCTTACATTACCACATCTTGTGGAACAGCAAAAGCGTGCTGTGTCGGAAGTCATGCATACGTTCACATCAGATGGACTTGTTATGCCCGAGTATAAATCGAGCTCCTCGTCATCGCCCAAAAAGGGCCTGTATACCACTGTTTACGAATACACGTTCGCTTTTGCACGGAATGAGGGCCAAAAGAATTTGCGTATGTGATTTCTATTCGTTTCCCAGCTCACATGTTCCAGCACTTGACTTGGCACTCACCTTCTGGGATCTTTTGCTTCCTTACGCACCAACATACGATGCAGACGGCACACGCGCTAGCGCAGGAACACCATCCTTCTCAGCCACACAGTATGAACTATGGAAGCGCTTTCTCACATCAGCATCACACGTCCAAGTCATTTCCAAGGATACATGGTCGCAATTTCTAGAGTTTACACGGGAAATCGATCCCAAGTTTGCTAATCATGACTTCGAGGCTGCGTGGCCTTCAGTGATTGACGAATTTGTAGCCTGGGTCCGCGAACAGCCATAGCAGAAGCAGCAATACAAAGGCCGTAAAAACCGCATGAATGAAAGCTCGGATCAGCTCCAACAGGTCTCAAGTCACAACAACAAGAGGAAGGGGTATGCCAGAGGACGTGAGACAAGCTACGATGGTATAGCAAAGCGTGGCCATGCATGAGCCACGTACGTTCCTTGTTTTTCAGGGAACAAACTTTCTAAACCGACAATCATGGGTCTTCATTCAGTTCACGCAAGTATAGAACATTGTTGCATCGAATGAATACTTCACCAAGTGTTCCGTTCGACTTGCCATCCTGAATTTCCTCCGTATTCGCAAGCTGTGTGTATGAGCAACTCAATCTCCTGCCCATCCAACGCACCTGGAAGTTCATATAGTTGTCTGTGCTTACAAGAAAACCTTTGTACTCAAGACCCCATTTCAGCCGGATTAGGACCTTTTTCCCAATTTGCTGCTGCAAAAACGGCTTGGGATTCACTGGAAAGTCCTAGATAGCGTGTGAGTCCCATGCTTACGCGAAAAGGCACTTTAGAGACGTCTTGGACCTCTCCTAGATCCATACATACAGGCATGATCAAGCACCACTAGCAGGATCGCTCGTTGCTCCTCTCTCTTGGGCCACACCAAGTGTGCTTGCAAAGCACTTGCAGGCTTCGTTGTTGACCATCCGACCAAGTACCAGCGCGAGTCAGCACGTGGGTCCACGTGGTTTATTCAAAGGTACTTACCGCCTCCACCTGTACGCAGGTTGGCTACAGTATGCTGGTGCATATGTGTGTGTAGGCCAACACGGTGAGTTGCGGCATACACGTCAGTGGCTCATCACGCCGATTTCCTGAGAAGTGTGACTAGGAAAGAGCCGCTTACTCGCGCGCGCAGATTCCATGGCCAATACCATGGAATTTGTAGCAGCAGATGAACAGGCGTCAGAAACACACTTGGAAGGCGCCGCTACATTGGCGGGACCGTTCCAACTCCGCTCACCGATCTTGACGATGGGCCATCTTGGCACACACGTCGTTTGGTCAATATTGAATGCACGGGCTACACTCTTTTTGCAGCGGCTTGGCTTGTATAAAAGTGTCGTCGCACTCATTATGATGGCCGGTCCGCTAAGTGGTCTTGTGGTGCAGCCCGCTGTTGGAGTCTTGTCGGATCAGTGCACCAGCACGTGGGGTCGGCGACGACCATTTATCCTGCTGGGATTAGCTGCTTGTGCTACATCATTGCTGAGTCTGGCTTTTGCAAGCTCACTTTCGCGGCAAGATCAAAGTACACAATTCCAGCCGTTTGTCGCACTTCTTGGTATCGTGGGCATCGTCGGCATTGATCTATCTGTGAATACGCTATCAGCTGCACACCGAGCATTGACGATGGATGTGCTAGGTCCTGATGAACAGGACATAGCTAATGCTTGGTCTACGCGCTATTCGAATCTAGGCTCTTTGCTCGGCTACATGCTGGGGGTGCTGGATTTGCCTCGCATATTTGCGTTTACGCGGCTCAGTGATCAGCTCGCCATATTGAGCTTGTGTGCGATCGTAATTGTGATTGGTACACACACGACTTTGTTCACTCTGTTGCGCGAGTCTGTGCTGATAGACTCTTACCAGCAGCAGCGCCCATGCCGACGCCAGACGTGGTGGCAGATGGTCAAGAACATTGGACTTGACCTGTATCGCTGTGGACGTTCACTTCCTCCATCTATATGGGACTTGTTTGTGATTCAATTTTTCTCCTGGCTCGCATGGTTTCCTGTGTTGTACTATGCTGCGTCCTGGGTGGCTGAGATCTTCAGCTTGGCACAGGGCGCATCGTCAAGTGCAGCCTCGTCGAAGGAACAGCTTGGCGAGGAAGCACGTCGAACAGGAAGTCTCGCACTGTTTTATTATGCACTGACAGGCTTGGTTGCATCTATCGTGCTGCCATGGTGCGTTTATGATCCTCTAGCTGCAAAACGATCCTCGTATACCCACATTGAACCTGCAGATCAGGTTGATACCGAATTGGAAGATTTGCGGCCAGACACAGATCGTGTTTACCATCTGGAAGATGTTTGTTCAAGGAGTACATCAGATCCTTCTTCATCATGGACATCGTCTTCATCATCACAGAAACCCATATCCCTGTTACGCCCGTTCCGTCATTGGCCTTGGCGCAAACGTGGCCCGACACTTGCTGAAATATGGTTTCTCGCGCAAGTCATATTCGTTATCACTGTCCTATTTTTTACGTGCCCAGTCTTCTCATACAAGAGCGTCTCTGGAGCCGTCGTTCTCGTGAGCGTGCTAGGTGTCCTGTGGGCAGTTACGCTGTGGGTGCCGTATGCCATATTGGGAATTCTTGTATTTTCAGAAAAGCCTATGCCAGCAAACATCCATTCCTTGCGTGGAGTATCGCAGCGAAATGGCGAAGCCGCCGCCGTGAGATCTGAACATGCGCGAGACCTGCGGGCTGAGACTGGGGCCATAACTGGGCTACACAACTGGAGCATAGTGCTTCCACAACTGTTGATTTCATTAATATCCTCACTATGTACGTTAAACAAAAAATGGCCGTGTCTTTTGTGTCATGGTTGCGCACAATTCGTCGACGCTAACACATGCGCTTGGACGCGCGTATTTTCCAGTGTTTCTGCTGCCCCACATACTTTGGGACGAGGCGCCGGTGGAGACGTTAGACAGCACGGGTCTGTTGTTACGCGTGGGAAGTCTGTGCACGCTGTATGCAGCCACGTGCACATATCGATGGATTCGGACTCATGATGTGTGCTAGCATGCGTGTTATGCATACGCTATGCATCTCTTATGTCATCAGGTGACATGGGGCTCATTGGTAGGTGTGCCGCAGCAGCTGAATACGGCATGATGCGTTTGTAGACTAGACCTAGTAGGATCGACTTTGGGACTTACTTTCTTGGGGCAGCTGCATGTAGCAATTGGATTCACAGCTGATTGGTTTGCAGTCGGGAAGTGATCGAGAGCAGGCGTGTGGAAATGGCAAAAGACGTGGCGGCTATCAGTGGACGGTGCGAGAGCCCGTCGCCTCCCCGGCTGGTCAGCCGTACATTCGCCCAAGCACAACTGAACCACCCATTTCTTGGTTCGCTTCCGAACACCGAGACCAGTGTCGGTACGTATTTCCGTTAATACGCAAGTGCTGTCTGTTTCATCGTCGGAGATGTTGGTGGGCAGAAGCACTAGCGCAATGGCTGTGAACTGCAGTACTAACTAGGATGTGCCTCCGTGTGTGCACGCGTTTGTGTGTGCGTGTGTGTGTGCGTGGACGGGCGTTTCACAATCAGACTTGGAATCCATTGACCAACTATGACCACCCCATCGCGTGAAGACTCTGTCTACCTCGCCAAGCTCGCCGAGCAGGCTGAGCGCTACGAGGAGATGGTTGAGAACATGAAGCGTGTGGCTTCGTCCAACCAGGAGCTGACTGTTGAGGAGCGCAACCTGCTCTCGGTCGCGTACAAGAACGTGATTGGTGCTCGTCGCGCTTCGTGGCGCATTGTCTCCTCGATTGAACAGAAGGAGGAGTCGAAGGGTAACGAGACACAGGTCTCAATGATCAAGGTGTACCGCGAGAAGATTGAGACTGAGCTCGCACAGATCTGTGAGGATATCTTGCAGGTGCTCGACACCCACCTCATTCCATCGGCTGCCTCGGGTGAAAGCAAGGTATTCTACCACAAGATGAAGGGTGACTACCACCGCTATCTCGCTGAATTTGCTACGGGTGAGAAGCGGAAGGACTCCGCTGACAAGTCTCTGGAGTCGTACAAGGCTGCCTCGGATGTGGCTGTCACGGAGTTGCCACCGACGCACCCTATCCGTCTTGGTCTGGCTCTTAACTTCTCTGTCTTCTACTATGAGATCCTTAACTCGCCCGACCGTGCGTGCCATCTCGCCAAGCAGGCGTTCGACGATGCAATTGCGGAGCTGGATACCCTGTCGGAAGAGAGCTACAAGGACTCAACCCTGATCATGCAGCTTCTGCGTGACAACCTCACGCTCTGGACAAGCGACATGCAGGAGACAGAGAAGCCTGCCGAGGGCGCCGCTGCGCCTGCCCCGCAGGCTGAGGCAGCTGCCGCACCTGCTGCGCAAGGTGGCGAGTCGAAGGGTGAGGAGGCCGCTTAAGCTCTCGGTGGCTCCTATAGACTTATTTCTTCTCCGTCTTTCCCGATTGTCCTATGATGCATATTTGTTATCTTGTTTCCCCATTCCATTGGGAAAAGTATCGAGAGTTTATATATCTCTTTCAGTAGACAGAGAGATCCTATATCATCATGTTCTGCTGCTTTTTTATGTCAAGAGCTTTTCGTGTCCGTAAATCGCATGGTCCGTTGTCTCTATCGTCTTTGTTGCTGTTGGCGTGGTATGGAATGCCAACATGTATTGCCAACGCTAGCAATAGCGGAGAAACAGGTGTCTAAGCTGGATGGCGTTTTAGGTTTCATCACACGCTCATTCTCGGCATACGCTTTATCATGAAGTTAATGCACACTGTCACTCTTCTTGCCTGCACAGTGCTCCCGCCTTACCTTGAGTGTTAAGTGACGCGCACGAGTAAAAACTTCTTAACTCCGACGTGGGTTGGACATGTGTAGTCTTGCCACTTTAAGATAGAGTGTGCTGAGCTGGGCCAGTGGACAATGGTAAATGTGAACTCCACTTTCGCACTGCTTAGGGTCCACATTGAATGTGTGCATCGGCAGACAATCTAGCACAACAAACAACGTGGACAGGATTACGCGACAGGGTCACATATTCTCGCCTAACCGGGCAGATCAAGGCCCTTCTGTGGTGAGGCATTCCAGCAGTAGTCTCTCGGACCGCGGAATACAGCACTTGTCGGGGCCAGTTTGTTTTCACACGTCGACAGGTAGCATGCACAATGAATCGTGGACATCCCTTATCGTCTAATATGCGCGGATTGTCTCGATATATATCTGAGCTGCAGTCATGTAGCTCTCTAGAAGAAGAACATCAGTGTGTGCGCCGAGAAATGATTCATGTGCGGTCCAAATTGATATCCTCTGGCTCCAAGTCGGATCGATATGAGCAGAAGAAGTCGGCCGCCAAGGTTATTTTCACTCGCTTGCAGGGATTTCCTGTTGATGGCATTTCTTTGGAGCCTTATGCGCTCATGTCAAGTCCCAAATATTCTGAGAAACAAATGGTACGTTAAGACGACCCTATATTTGCCCTTGTTCGGTCCCTTTCCGAACCCACTCTTTTTTCGCTTCTTTCTTTGCCTCATACCCCTATCTCGTTCCTCAGTACTTTATGCTAACGTACAGGGCTATTTGGCATGGACAACATGCTTTGCGGATTGTCCTGAGGTGCTCGTGCGCGCTCTGTCAATCGTCCAAAAAGACCTCGCGAGTTTGAACGAATCAGATACTTGCCTTGCGTTACAAGCCGTGTCTTGCATGAGCTCCCGGGTATTGGCACGACAACTGGGCGAGGAGGTACTCAAGTTGCTGATTTCTCACACATCATCAGTACCTGTGCGCAAAAAGGCAGCTTGTGTGGCGCTGTCGTTCTACCGGATGGACCCGTCTTTTGTGGATCTTGCCGAGTGGCTCGACCGCATTGCACCTCTCTTAGAGCATCCCCAACTCGGATTGGCACATTGCGCATGTCTGTTAGCCATGGAACTGGTGCGCAATGCGCCATCGTCATTCTCTCTGTTTTATAAGCATGCCATTGATGCGTTAAGCGCAATCCTTTTGCAGAATGACGTTCGCCGCGACTATGTCTACCACCGAGTACCAGCACCCTGGCTCCAAGTCCAGCTACTTGCTCTTCTTCGCTTGTATCCGAGGCAGCCTGTGTTGGATGCGGACTACAAAATCAAGCTACATGATATCCTTACGTTTATATGGAAGCAGGATGTTGCTCTTGCTGCCAAAGCAGACGTGCATGAAGCCAATGCACGATACTCTGTGCAACTTGAAGCGATGCGCCTCGTTGTTCACCTCGACGCCAGCTCTCCATTGGTTAGCCGATTCACGTCAAGTTTGGGCCAGCTGCTGACGTCGCCTGAAACCAATGTTCGATACCTGTCAATGGAGATCATGGCCCACTTGGCGCAACGAATTCCATCACTTTCACCGATCAATCTGCACCGTGACGTAATCTTCGTTGCTCTTGGTGATACTGATATTAGTGTGCGCCGTCGAGCGCTGGATTTACTTTATGCAATGTGCGACCGCACGAATGTGCGGCAGATTGTGCGACGACTCCTGGACTACTTGGTCGTCGCTGAGCCAAGCTTGCGGCAGGATTTGACACTCAAGATCTCCATACTTGCTGAACTGCACACGAGTGAATCTTCGTGGTATATTGATACGACCCTTGAGCTGCTGCATGTGGCCGGCAGGCATGTGAGCAACACGACTTGGCAACGAATTCTGCAAGTCGTCACGAACCATCCCAAAGTGCATGTGTATGCCGTGGAACAAATCATAATGTATCTGCAGCAGGCGTTGTGTCACGACTCGTTAGTCAAGCTGGGCGCATACTTGTTGGGCGAATATGGCTACGTTGTAGCAAACCGGCCTGGATGCACACCTATGGATCAGTTTCAGCTGCTCACCCGGCACATGCTATCATGCACAGCGATGACCCAAGCGATGTGCATGACCACATACGCGAAATGGGCCGGCATGTACCCTGAGATGCAGACCACATTGCTCACAACACTGCAGCGGTACGTGCACGTCTTGCACATGGAAACGCAACAGCGGGCTTCTGAATACGCACAGCTCATTTTGCTTAGCATGAGAGAGAAACTGGACTTACAAGATGTGCTCGATGAACTCCCGCCCTTCAACGAGTCGCAACTAGGTGGCACAAATGCATCTGTGAATGGAATCTTGGAGCCGAATCGGCGTGTCTCAGCAGTGCCTGTGGTATCCTCTGTCCGCCGTGGCGAGGCAAAGTACACTCAGAACGATGCTTCTTCGCGGCACAGATTGCCTGCGTTGACGTCTGTGCTCCCTGAGTCGACGTATACGGCGCCCGTCGCAACAATAGCACCAGTACCGGTTGCGAATACGACAAGGAGGTCGGTGTCGTCAGTCTTATCTTCACCAGATCATTCATCATTACTCACGTCCTCGCCAACAGTCTATACGGGCGATCTGTCCATGGATTTACTTGATCTTCAGAGCCTTCATATGACATCCCCCCACACCGACGTGCCAGAACAGCCGTGGGCGACTAACACGGGCATGGTGGATAGCTCACAAGCACTGTTGACGGAGCAGACGACAAAAACGGCATCGTCTCTGCCTTTGAACCATTCGTGCCACGAAAGACATGAATCACACGAGCAAAAATGCTCAAGGACCTTCTTTCCTTCGCCCTCACACTCTCCCTGGCATTCCCCGTCGCAGTCCATGCTGCCATTAGCTACCCAGCAGTCTCCAACTCGGTCCCCATTACGCTCTTTGTCGGAATCCTCTTCGCACCCGGTGCCATCGCCTCCTTCTCCCACACAATTTCTCTCACGCTCACGGTCCTGGACCCTGCCTCAGTCGCTGTCCCTATCGCCGCCACCGGCATCGACGTCTCCAACGACTTCCTCGATACCTGTCCCCGCACCAGCCGTCTCTGTGGCGCTGCCGTTTCTTCCATCACCTCTGACAAATACCCCGGCGTCACCTGCGCAGAGGCCATGCTCATTACCCTCTACCACTGGGAGTCTACATCATCTTTACATTGACATGCCGTTCATGCTCTTGTTTGCCGAGCGTGGTACACTGCATGAGACCAAGACCGAACGACTCACATTTGCACGTGAGCGTCCTAAGGCCACAATGAGGGATGCGCGCATCCTTTGCACTCTTAGCATTACAAACAAGACAAAGTCTACGCTGCTTCACATACAGGATGTTCATGTGCACGGGCCTGTTCAGTCACGTGTCATAACGCCACCTGTCGAGAGTCCATCAGGGTCCAAAAGACCGACCACTGTGGCACCACAAGGCACCAAGGGCATCTCCATCGAGTTCGCTTGCGTCAAACCTTTCGTAGACACGCCCCAGGTCGATATCGAATGGCGTCAAGGTGATGAACGTGGGCATTCCCAAGCAACTGAACTGTCGGGCGACCGCCCTCACATAACTTTCACAACCCATGTGGTCCTGCCTATTGCGCTCATATCATTCGTCACACCACATATCATGGAGCGACATGCCTTCTTCGAACATTGGCATGCTATGCGCGCCCAGCCCGAGCTTGAGGTCCAGTATGTCTGCCGCATCTCTACAGCAGCAAATTCGCAACACCTAAGCATGTTGCGTGAGGCCGGATTCGCGATCCTTGACAGCATTGACTCACGACCGGAAAACATCGTTGCTGCTGGCCTGTGTTGTATGAAAAAAACACAAGTCCTCGTCCTTTTGCGCTGGGAACCAAATCAAGAGGCGCAGCTCGCTCGTCTCACAGTGAGAGCACCCGACGCGCAAGTTGCTCGTGCCATACATACATCCATGAGGAGGTATCTGGAGCTTCTGTAGCTTCACTCACCAAAACAATCCTTCTTTCAGATGCAAAACATTATCCCGTGTAAGGACTAATGCTCATGGCTTCCATGCTCTGAGCAATCGATTCGGGCGTGGCATTCGCATGGGAGGTATCTTTTTGACTCCGCTTTAGCACCGTGCTTAGCTTGGTCACTTCGTCATGTGGCAAGATGGAGATGTCGTCATCATCATCGTCTCCCTCTTCGGCGTCGCCAACCAAATCCCGTTCTTCGTGTTCATCTTCGTCCTCACCTGCATCCCCATCGTCATCTTCATGCTCAGCATCGTCTTCGTCTGGCGCCACATCAGCCCATTCTCTGTACAGTCGATGCACGAACGAGGACGAGTCTCGTAAGCGATAAGGATCGAATGGGAAGAAGATATCAAGCGCGGGCGTGGGCAAAGCAGCAGGCGCGTCAGAGCGAGCGCCTGTCGCCGCCCCAGGCTGCGCGTTAGGCCCTGTCGTGGGCGTGGCCTCTCGACGGGCTGGCAGCGATCCTGCTTGTCGCGACGCGCCGCCCGTGTCGGCGAAGCTGGCTTGCTGCCGGTATGCATTCGCTTCCATCACCGAGTAACAGTACAAAAAGTCCGTATACTGTGCCACATAGGCAAACTGTTGGACCACATGCGCGTTACAGTATCGAATAGGATTCAATGGCGATGTAATAGCTCGCTGCACAACAGCAAGGCCTGGCGCCCATCCCCGCTCGCCGGTAACAGACGGTGTCGATGAAGAAACACTCGATAATGAAGAAGCATGAAGCACAGGCATAAGCTGTGGCGAAAGCTCAAAAGACCCTGCTGTCGGATACGTCGCTGCTAGCGATGGCGTACCTTCGTCATCAAGAGCAAACGATGGCGCATCTGAGACAGCTCCATCCCGCAAATCGCGCCAGCGGAAGCAGAACACATAGAAGACCGCCTGTGTGACAGCATAAAAGACCGCATGTTCACGAGCCCCTGGCGGTGGAGCCGTCGCTCCTTGAGCGGCAAACGCCTCAAGACATGCATCCATAAATGTACACAGATTCAAGACGACCATGCGCGTTGTCGACGCATCAATGTACCGAGCGCGAGCAACATAGCTCGCTACATAGCTTGCAGCTGCGATACGGAGAATGGTTGCCGACTCGCCAGTCTCGCTCGTACCGGCAGTCGGGACAGCATACAGGCTTTTGCTTAGCAGTGTTCCAAGGAACATATCAGCGAACTCGTGGTCCAACGAAGCGAACCAGAACATGATAAACTGTACATGCCGAGACTTGAAAGTAGTGAGGATGGTACGCGTGAATAGACCCAAAAGTGTCTGGTACAGTTGATACCGCCGGGTCAGCATGTTTTGCGAGCGAGGCGTGCCGACCTGTCGTTCTAGGAATTCGTGCAGTGCCTTCATGATCGCATCAAGCTTGCCAGCAAGTACCGCAACCTCATTCCACGCCGGCTCGTGCATAGCATCGGTCGCTCTCAGACCAGGATCAAGTGCATCAGATGCGTCATAACCATCTTCATCAGACAGGTCTTCTAGTGCATCAAATGCATCATCGTCATCATGGGTTATCGTCCCAGCCAAGTCCTTGTCTCCACGCGATCCCGATGAGGAACACGACAACGACCCCTCGCTGTCAGAATCTTCTGACATGCCCTGGTCTAACACCTTCGACAGACTCCGATGCGTCGTTGGTTCAATACCTTGCTCCTCGAGCTCGTCTAGTTCGACCTGAATTGCCACATCTATCTGGAGCGTATGGTCAATTATGACGCTCCATATAGGCTCCGTAAGTGCTTCACAGTATTCTGTCATTCGAAGCAGATTCTGGATATACAACACTTGGTCCATTGTTCTTTCTCGTTTGTGTGGGAAATGCTGGAGTAAGAGTGGCTGGAGCGTTGCTGGCAGCGTAGGAATCAAGCGCAAAAGTGTCTGCAGAAGACTGTGCAGCCGGTCATAAAGCTGCCTTCGAGATAGCGAAGCGCGTTGATCTGGTTGAAATGTGTCCGCTCCCCGATACCAAGCCGGATCTGACGTGTGCGTGTTAACATGCGCAAAAAGACAATGCACTCGCATACGTACGCAAACTCATGTTTTGGAAAAGAAGTGAGGCAACATGGGATACCCACTCACTCCGTGCACTGACAATCGCACATACAAGACGCACCCACGCATCAGCGACCATATCAGGCATTGCGAGCCATGGAAACTCAGCAACTGATTCGACCAGCGATGCACATGTGCGATCCAGCGACGGTGCTACGTGTGTGAGTGCGGAAAGCCACGCCTGAAGTTGCACGAGAGAGGACGCTGCTGAAGTTTTGGAGCTGGGTATGGCACTAGCGCCCATTTGAAACTGCGCTACGAGCTCCTCGTACGGCGTAAATTGTCCCTGCATGAATGTGAGCCACCATTCACACAAACTTTCATGTCACGACACCCCTTCTCCGCCGTGTAGCATATGGGGGCATAAACGTACTTGTGCTTTTTGAACCATGGCATTTTTGACAAACGCCACATACATGCCCTGACGTGTGCCCTGAGGTGTTGGTGCACAAAAGGCAGAAGATCCTTTCCGTGTACCCATTGACCCGCGTTGCGGCGATGCCCGCATGCTATGATCAGCACCTTTGCTCTTGTTTGTATTTTCCTTGCTTGAACTGAGCGTCGTTTGGTCCCTATAGTCTCGACCTTTTTCTCTCTCAGATGCTCACGCACGCACAACTCGAATGGATAGGCGCACCGAGGCCTGCTTGAATGGCTGAGTCACTAGCTCAACGCATTGTGCCTCGAAAATTTTTGGTTGTGTGGAGATTATGTGCACGTGAGTGACGGACATGCCACCACACACCCAATGCTCTTAGGCCTGGCTAGTCGGACCTTGACGCTGTTGCTGGCGCCTGCACATACTGATTCATGTTGATTTAGGACTCGTTTCGACATTTAGAAAAGTCAAGGAGCCATCTGTGAATCAATTGTCACGCAGATTGCCTACAGAGCAGCAAAAGTCTAGAGTGGTACAGCAAGCTCATGTCTTAGCTCACCAAAGCAAGAAAGAGCTTCGTTCCATTTACCCCATCCCGTCACCATGCTGAGTGCTCGCATCATGCAACCTTCCTCCGGCGCCATGTTAGCGCTCTCATCATCAAATTTGTTTGAGTACACATCACGTAGCTTGAATCTATATGCTGGTTTGGGACGTGAATAACACTACGCGAGAGAAAGCGAGCAAATAAGAAAAACAAATGAAGCTGGGACCATAGCATACAAAAAGGTCGTCCAGGCTCACCCTACGTAGCAATGCAATGTGCATGAACAGTGCAGCATGTCCCCGGTTTTAAAGGTCGCCATCGTCTTCATCAGGAAGTGGCGCGGCAGCAGCGGTTTCAAGCTCCTTGTTGTACTGTTCCATCAAGTTCTGGTCAACCTGGACCTCTGGAGGAGCAAGAGCTGGGGCAGCAGCAAATTCAAGAGCTGGGTTGCCGACAAGCTTGCGGGCAAGCCACAAGAATGGCTTCTCGAAGTTGTAGTTCGACTTGGCAGAAATTTCAAAGTACTGCAGGTTCTTCTTGCGGTGGAATGTCACAGCACCCGTCTTCACCTTTCGCTCCTTCACATCAACCTTGTTGCCACACAGGACGATGGGAATGTTTTCACACACACGCTCCAAGTCACGGTGCCAGTTGGGGACGTTCTTGTACGTGATACGAGACGTCACATCAAACATGATGATACCGCACTGGCCTTGAATGTAGTAACCGTCACGCAGACCACCGAACTTCTCCTGACCAGCTGTGTCCCAGACGTTGAACACAATCGGGCCAAAGTTCGTGTGGAACTGGAGCGGGTGCACTTCTACACCAAGCGTTGCAATGTACTTCTTCTCAAATTCACCCGTCAGATGGCGCTTCACGAACGTGGTTTTACCAGTACCACCATCACCGACAAGAACGAGCTTAAAGTTAGGGATGTTTTGGGCGTCCGACATGGTCACAGATGGATGTGGAAAAGGTTTGTGCTTCCGACACCAACTCGAAAAAACACTCACTCACTTTCCACGCCGCTCTTTCCACCTCTTCCGCGCCTGTGGCCGTAAATCACGTGAGATCACGGCCTTGTCGGCAAACAAATTTTTTTTCTCGCCCTGTAGTGCATTGCACCGCATCGCAAGCCTTGGGCGGCGGCAGCGTTGGGCTGGCCATTTTTGGAGTGGATTCGGGCTACATTAGAAACGTGCGTCGCGACACGATCATGGGTTCAAAGCGTGATGCAGATGTTCATGATCGGAATCCTGCGAGCTCAACAGGCATAGTAAAAGTTTCTGCCGTGATGCATTTCGCCATACCGCCTGTGTGGATGAGGGACCCAATGGCATCCGTCTTGGATCAGTTAGATACCCTTGTGATGCGGTACGTAGGCAGCAGCGATGCGAGCAAGTCCCTGACTTTTGCATTAGTTTTCTTCCGCCTTTGGAAGGCGTCCTCATTGCACATTCACATGCTAGGTTTTTGTATCCATTGGGCAGCATTGATGGTGACTCGGCCTTTGCTGAGGTGCCTGTGCGTTTCACTGGCATCGTGTGGCGACCGGAGATTGGAATGAAACTTCAAGGCACAATCACTCTCTGTTCGCCGAGTCATGTTTCATTGCTACTATACGACACCTTTAATGCAGCCATCTCTGCCCCCCACATTCCCGCATCTATGTGGGAGTTCGTTTATTACAGTGATGTGGGCGAAGTGCAACGAGTCGATGCAAAAGATCGCAGCGTAGGGTTTTGGCGAAACAAAGAGTCCGGTGAGCGACTAGGTGGCAAAAATCATATGCTTCAATTTTCTGTCATTAGCATGACTGTCGCGAACCAGATGCTGTCGTTGCATGGCAGCCTGTTGCAGGATCCATTCAGTGTGCCGCCGCCACGGCCTGGTACACTGTCATTTGACCAGGCGATGGGAACCATGGAGCCTATGGACGAAGAAACAAATGAAGAGGTGCCAATGCCACGACGTGTGCGTTGGGAGGACTCGGATGAAGAGGATGAACAGAAGGACGACCAACAGCAAGACAATAATTTGGTAGAAGGCGTGGTGGAAAACGAGACAGACCCCGAACATGGCAATAATCAGATGAATGGAGAAAACAATCAGAGGTCTATGGAGAATGAGGTGTCGCAAGAACAAGGACCCTTGGCAACCGGAAGCTTGGAGGACGACGAGAGTACATCAAAGATCAAGAAAAAAGATCGAAAGAAGGAAAAGGAGAAAGAAACAATAAGCGCGAAAGAAATGAAGGGGGAGAAGAAAAAGGACAAAAAAGCAAAGAAAAAGGATCAGTCCGAACATGGAGCAAAGGACGCTTCTTCCGAACCAAAGAAAACTAAGGGATCAAAAGAAAAGAGCCGAAAGCATAAACACCACGACGCAGAAAAGGAAAGCGAGTCCGCAAGTAGCAAGCGCTCGCGCCGAGATGCTTAAGGAGTGTGAGGGTGTGGTGATTTATAAAATTTACACGTGTAACATAGCAATACAACAAGCCAAATGATGCCTAGGTCGTTAAATTGGGGCCTATTTTTTGTTGCGCAAAACATAAATCCAACGACTCGTGTATCTACAAGTTCTCAATGAACTGACGAAGCTTTGGCTCAGGAAGCACACCTACGAACGATGACGCGAGCTTTCCCTGCTTGAATGCCATGACTGTGGGCATTGCGCGGATCTGGTAGGTAAGCCTAGCTAGACGAGAAGGGGGGGGGGGAATGGGAGAAACGTACGCCGTATTTTTGAGCGGCCTCCATTTGCTGGTCGACGTCAATGGTGACAAGATCAAGCTCCTTTCCACCAACCAGGCTTGGCGTGCTTGCAAGCTTATGAAGCATGGGGCTTAGCATCTTGCATGGTCCACACCATTCAGCGACAAAGTCAACAAGCAAGGGCTTCGTGCCTTGCTCTTGTAGAAGCTGAGCAAGACGGTCCCCAGTGATATTCTCTTCGATCCGTCGCCTAATGACCGATGTCGAAAACGTGCGCATAGAACGCACTGCACACACAGCGGCACGGCGCATGCCAAGCAAAGTGGTCATGGAGACAATGGGTTAAATAGACGAAGTGGATGCGGTGGGGATATAATGCGGCGCAGATCTAAAAATAACTCTGAAAGAAAATCCGTGCATGAAACATCACGTTCAAAGGGATGGGCGCACACGCCGCATTGTTGAAACAGAGGGGTTTTTCTGTAGGCGGAATCTCATTTTAAGATTTTCACTTGGCGAGCGTCATCGCCCATCAGGGTGAAGATGTCCAATGCGAGCAGTGGCGAGCCTGTCGACATCAATGCAGAGGATCGTCAAGGTTGGAATTGGACTGACACTATACAGAGTGCTGTGCGACGAGTCCATGAATGTATTGCCGTGACCAGCCAGCCATGGGTGCCAGACAATTCTTGCTCAGTAGCATTGGGCATTCTTCTCGAGGCACTGCAGCATTATCGCGATACTGTGTTGGACTCGCTGTTGGATGTGCTCAAAGACATGGAACTTCCAAGCACATTGAATACCATTGATGCGCGGTTGCGTCTTTACCAAGTACTTTGTATGACGCGAGTCGTGTCATCCTGCATGTTCCATGAGTGGCTATCTTATCAGAGAGAAGACATTACGTCGACGCCATACGGTGCATGGAGAGATCCAAAGCGACAGAGAGAAAGCACTGTGCGCAAGACCGTTGCCACGGTCGCGAAACATTTTGAACGTTTGCTCACGTACGAGCATGCTTTGATTTCGGCGCGTGCGAATGAACCAGCGCACGGGGCCAATGAGTCGGACAAGTCACGTCCTCTGTCCTTCTTGTCGCGTGACTCGGATAGCAGCATGCGCGACGAAGAATGCGTGTATGCCATGCATGATGCGCACAACGGGCTGAATATGACGAGTGCGAGCCCCGATGCGTACTATGTGTTGGACGCCCACTTCCCGCCGACACGCGCCCCCATCAAAATGTCGGCAAGTGGCGTTTCATACACAGCTACCATGTGGCAGACACCAGCCGATGCACTGGATGCACCACCGCCTAACATTGGCGGCGTCGCTGTACCGTGAGCTGTCATATCTAATGCTGTATGTTAGCTCGAGTGACTGGGACCTGTCTTTTCAGCGGTGTGAGAGCCATCCAGACTCGCGCGTAACAATCCGGCTGATGGAGTGCTTGCACTGGCGGTGGCCACAGCTAGACCGATTCTTGCGTGCAAAACATCGCGACTTGCCTCTGCTTCCACGCACGTTGCTCAGTGCGTATGTTGTGATGATTCGACGCATTGTGCACAAATGGGCGCTTTTCCATGCGGATGAGCGAAATGCTGTGTGTGCTTCAGAGATGCCAGAGGCCGCTTCACTGCTGTTCGACGGCTTGTACGTGCTGTTAGACTCACCGCGTCGCCGCGTTATGATCTGGCCCACGCTGGGCGTCCTGGTGGGTCTTGCACCTGTAGCGTATGCACCAACGCGAATGCGACGCGAATCACACTCAAAAAAATGGTCGTATCTGGACGCGTTGTACCATCACATGTCACACCCGCGGCTTGGGCCGGCAGCCTGGTTTTCGACGGTCCTTATCCACAATCTGTGCGCGCTTGGCAAGTCAGCGAGTGTGCCTCAAGCGATCACGTCAGCCACAAGCACGCGGCTGTGTGAGCTGCTGCACTTGTACCGACCGGAAGATGCGCGCTTGGCAGGCCTGTTTCTTGCTTCGCTTATTGTACTCGGGCACACGGAAACAGCCATGGACCTCATCCACTCGTTTTTGTATGCGCGTCCAAGCCATGCAGGCGTTTTGGTTGTAGCGCATGCGCTCTTGAAGCTGCTGGTGCGTGATTTAGGTGCGTGGCGCCGCAAGCTATACCCGCCATGTGCGCCTGTGTTACGTCGTACTTATCGAGGTATTATCCGCACATGGATCGCAACAACCAAGGTCGACGACATGTCGATCGCTGTGCTTCACAGCATACTGTATCTTGCATTGTTAGATCCCATGGCTGTGCTAACGCTTCTGCCGAATGAGTCAGATGCAGAGCTGCGTCTGCCACAGACGCCCACCGTCGCCCAGCTTGATGCAGCGCTGCAGAAGGACTCGCGTGTTTCGTTAATTCTTGGATTCTTGCACATGCCCACGACAGTCGTAAGTTTGCATGCGGCGTCGCTAGCGGCGCTGAAGCGCCTTAGTGGGGGTACACCTGCATCGGCAGTGCTTTCGCGCTTCCCATACGTGCCAAGCTGGGTGGTCGAGGGACCCAAAGCGGCGTTCACGGATACCTCGCAGATCCTGGCGATCCTAGCACCGGCTGACCTGGAATCTGCTCGCTCTGCTTCGCATCATGTCTTACAGGCTGAAAGCGAAGGCGCAATGCTATATTGGCTTGTTGCACTTCATACGGCGCTTTCGCGGATCCTTCGCTCACACGGTTCGATAAAGCCGACGATCGGACCGACAGCCGTGTTGTATGGCCTGTGTATGCCGAACTTGTCGGTCGTGCAACAGTCACTGGACGTGGGAATTGTGCTTGACCAACTTGCTGACCTCCCTACTCCGTTGCCGTTGCTCATCAAGACACGGCCCAACTTGTCGCTCATCTGCCAGGTACTCAGCGCTGTTGAGCCGCCGAACGCGATGGTCGTCACGGCTTGGACGGGTCTCATGCGCGTCTTGCAGCATATTCTGCCACGGTATTCGCACGGCCGAGTGTCGAAGTCGGAGCTGACACACATGGCGCATGTGCTTGTTGCTGGTGCGCACGTTGCACTGCACGACGCACCTGAGTCGAGCGAAATGCCGCTTGTCCGCACTGTGGCCGACTTGCTCCTTTATTATTCGACGCTGCATGACCTCGCGTTCATTTTGCTTGAGGCCGTGCCAACGCCTGTCTTGCCGCACATCGTAAGTATCGTGCACGAAGGCTTACCTCGCGATACGGCATCACTGGCCGCTTGGCTCAGGCTGCTACATGATATCATACCACGTGTCAATGTCGCTACGCTGCCGTCTACGATGCTGCGCCAGCTTGTCGACATGCTGCTTGTGTGTGCCCGATCTGCCGAAAGCTCTGGCTCACGGCGAAACGTGTGTCAAGTGGCTGGTTTACTTGCGCAGTGTGAGCGGGTGGAAGTCGACTGCGCACGCGCTGAGCTTGTCGATTGCATCCTGCCGTGGGCGTTAAGTGACGAAGCTTTGCGCAAGGAGACGCTCGAATGTGTTGCACCACTGACGACGCGTCTCACGGATGACATTGCGCCTATTGTTCTGCGCTTGGATTCGTCGTCGCAGTCGGCGCTGTCTCGGCGCACAGCGCGCATCGTGGACCGGCTGATCTGTGCCGCAAGTCTTGACAAAGACATGGATGCTGGTGTGCGGGACATGGCATTGGGGCATGAGCCATCATTGGCTGTCACAGCCCTGGAACATGTGCTGCGTCAAAATATGGACTTTCTGGCTCGTGAGGCCGTCACCCTGACTGTGTCGCCCCTGTCGTCTGCACGCATTGCAATTATGTTGGCTGTGTCGCGGCTTTTCACTCTGCCTGAGTTCGCAGCACTGGATTCGGCAGCAGAAGTGCCTCAGTTCGATATAGCTGATGCGCTCTTTGCCGAAGACGGTTGTTGGATAGCGCGCTGCATCTCCAGTGGCGCTATCAGCGATGCTCAGCTGCTTGAGCGCGTGTTGGCCGGGATGATGCGCATTGACAAGATCCATAAGATCCTGCTTGCCTTGCTGGACATGGAGATCGACACATGCACGGGCAATGCCCAATGGCTTCGGACTAATTCGTCGACGCTCGCTTTTTTGTCCGCATATGCACGGCGATCTGCATATGTCCACACCCAATCTGTTGTGCACCGCCTGGCCGGAGTGGTGGCGTCGCTTCCGCCAGATGCTCTCGATTGGGATGCAGCACAGTCGGAAGATGCCCAATCCATGCGTCTGAATGAGGCGATGCGTCTTATCCTCATCGCGAGCGATGAGCTTATTGAATTTATCCGCATGCTGCCGGCGGAGCTCCATTGGCTCTGCGAGCAGGTGTATTCCGCTGTCCAGGTGCGCTTTGGGGCGGACCTAGCAGCTCACTCCCTTGGTACGTTCCTTTGCTTGCGTGTGCTGGGTCCAGCAATTGCCGCGCCTGAGACGATCGCCGTCACGATGCCGAAAGGCGATGCGGCCCGTCGTGCACTTCTCTTCCTCAACAAAGTGCTCGTCGCACTTCCACAGGGTCGCTTCCCCGCACACCGTGAGGGCACTTTCACCGCACTGAATGACCTCATGATGGAACGCGGCCAGGTCCTCGTGCACGTGCTACATGAGTCTAGTCGACATGGCCAACAGCATGCGCAGCAACTGGATGTCACGACGCGCATCTTGCCACAACCCGTACTGCGGCCGCTTCGTAGGCTCATGGAGGAGCGTGCGTTGCACGGCGATGCTCATGCGTCCACATTGTTGCAGCTGCTCCCTCGGTCCCCGTCGCTGCATGAGCGCATTGCCACAGCACTTGGTGGTCAAAGTGCTTCGACGATGCTGGATTTTTTCTTGAAGACGTACTCCTCGGGTGACCTGCGTGGCACCTCCGCAATACGTACGACGATATGCAGTGATGGTCGCATCATTCTAATGCTTCTATATTCAAAATTCGATACAGTGCGTGCTGACTTTGTGGCACTCGCACATATGGTGCTCACGACAATCTTGCAATTCAAGCGGCCGTGGAGTATGCTACTTGATCTGACAGGTGCGACAGAACGACAGCTTCTTCAGACGCAATTCATCGTATTTGTTGCGACGCTCATACCGGCGCCCATCTTCCTTGCCCTGCAGTCGATCATTGTTGTGCACGCCGGCACTGTTGTTAAGCGGCACGGCTGGAGCATTAATGACGAACCGTTTCACAACTGCTTTCTGATACGCCGTGAGAACGAAGGTGGACCTCCTCTCACATTCACATGGGTCACATACGCAGACGATATCAAAGCGCTACATCCAGACATTCGTGCATCGTTGCCACCCTCGACCACGCGTCTTTTTACGCTCAAGCCAAAGTACATTCATTCGAACATAAGTATCGACGATGGCTTCTGCACGCCGATGCCTGCTACGCTCACTTTGTTTGAGGATGTGATCGTTGTGCGCAACAAACCGCTCGCCATTTCGTCTCACACGGCCACCATGCGTGTATGCGATGTTATGCCACTCGCTGATATTTATATCCGCTCAGACCATGTATCGCGTTTGTGCATTCAACGACTGTCGTCAGACGATGTCCTGTATATCAGTACGCTCGACTGCGCGGAGCTCGAACATCAGCTCTACACTCGCTGCATGGCGTTGGGTGCGTATGCTGTCGGACTGTACACACCCGTGTCGCAGCAGCGCATCCGCGCCGTGTTTGTCGGCATGGGCCTATTTTATCGCACCTCGTCCGACATGCCGACTCGTTTTGCGGCTGATACCATGCTGCGTGCCGCGGGTGTGATCCAAGATGAAATGCAGCCAGTCTTTATTCCTCCTAACATGCCTGACCTGTCGTCCCTTCGTATCCAAGAGCTGCTCCGTGCTGGTGCACTGCGCTCGGCCCTCGGCATCGCGACGTGCCTCGGTCGTGAGCACGTCCTCTTCGGCTACGTCGACCAGTTGATCTCCGCAGTTTGTGACATGCACCTGCCACAAATTCTTCATACCGTCCTTCTGCTGTGGATGCTGCATCCAGAGCTTCGCACGGCGCTTCATTCTACGCTCAGTGTACTTCACACTCTTCCCTACAAGGCGACGCAGGCGTTTTTGGATGTATGCATAGATCTGACGCCCATGAGTGCCTCACCCGTGCTGAATTCAATTCAAGACACTGTGCTCACAGCGGCTTTGCCTCATCTCCATGACGAGATTATCGCACACCTTCGCAACGTCCTGACGTGCCCACAGAGTCCTGGTCTCTTGCACAAGATGCACGCTCTCATCGCACTGCACTCAGTGCAATGCCTTGTGCCTGGCACGCCTGTGCGCAAGTACATGCCCGATGCCATGCGCATTGTGCTCTTGTTTTACCAGGACGTGTCGATGACCTTTCATACCGCATCTTACATGACCCTCTTCCATGTGCTAGCTGCATGGCCTGCACCGTCGCTCGCGCCTCTTGCGCGTGAGAAACTCAAGCCATCCATGTCTCTGACGGCGCTTGTCGAACTTGTCAATACAATTATTTTCACACTCTCGACCAGCGTCGAAGAGTGCTCGCATTGGACCTTGACGCTCGAGCGTCAGATCCAGGCCGTTGCCTTTGCATCTGGCAGCCTTATGCAATCGCGTGCTCTGCACGTCTTGGGCCATCTCAGTAACTCGTCGCAGGCGATCATGCACAGCCTTGGTGGAGTCCTCATGTCTTCTTTTCCACACGTGCCATCCACGAGTGATGCGGCAGCTATGTGCCTGTCACGCGTGTTTTTGCCGCAGTATGCGCCGATACTTTTCTGGGCCGGTCTGGTCCTCATCACCGGCGGTGCATACCGCGGGGGCTTGCGTCTCGCACTCACTGCTCTGGATGCGCTGGGCTCCGATGCATTTGCCTCGATAGCACAGAGTCGTCTCCAGTTTCCAGATGATGCCGCTGCATTCGACACAGCCCTGGGTATCTCGTTTGAACGCGATTTCTCGTTTGCTTGTGCATCGGTTTTGCGCAAACCTTTGTGGGATGGCGACTCGGGCATTCAGAAAGAGTCTCGCATGCTCATCGAGCGCCTCAATGCGATTGTACCAAACGAAGCGAACGATGGTGAGAACAAGGATGCTTCGGGTCTATCACTTCTGCTCTTTTTCATGAATCCCTCCGATACAGCATTGTCCGCGCATCCACTGCCGCCCCAATATGATCATTTGAAAGACAAGACGCGCTCAAACAACAGGATTCTGAGTGTCGCACTTGCGCGCTCCTTTTTGCCGCATGCTTCTGATGCTCAACTTCAAGCTATGCTCCCTCTCCTCACCGAGGCCGATCCACATGCTCCAAGCAAAGCTCATGGCGACGTTTTTCATGACGCCTCTCCACTTTCACAACTAGGCTTCTCTGGCCTCAAGCGTGAAGGCGGTTCAGGCCAGATGATCACTGAATGTCGAACATGGCTTCAACACATCGTTCAGCAGTGGGCTTGACCCCTGTATCGATCAAAACCGTGTCCGGCAAGCTTTGCTCCGTGAATGTGTTGGCGCGCTCTCTCTCCCTCTGTTAGCAGCTCATTCTCTCGCGCCTCTCTCGTCTATCCTTCTCCACATGTGTTGACGTACTTCGTGTTCCTGCAAATATAGTCACCACCTCACACATTCACACGCCTTCATTACAGTACTAGCCACCCCCCGTATACTCGATAATACGACCTTTGACGTTCTTGAAGATTTTTGTCGAAAACTCTTGGTACTAATACGTATGAACGTATCTTTTCATGACTACCAACAGTGCACAAGTCTCAGCACGTTCCGAGCAACCAGATCGGTCTCACGCAGCTGTGCATGATTCTTATCCCCTCCTTCCAACGCAATTCTTACCTTCACGTATCCGACATGCTTCTCTTGCACAACTAAAAGAAGCGCTAGAGAAGCTTTATTCTGCATACGCTATAAACGAGCCGCGCGAAGAGTGGATCTGGGAGCCGGATCCCAGGCATGAGATCAGTGACAGTTGCGAGCCAACTGAATCGGGATGTCAGTATGAGATTTCAGATGCGGTTTCTCTAAGGGCTGAGTCGGATCCGCCGGATGACATGTTTGAGACACAGTACGTGCGCACATGGCTTAGTGCTCTCATACAATATGGATGCAAGCAAACAGAAGCTGCGAGCCTCGTTGACGATGCAGCTTCTTTGCTCGTGCATTTGGCAGGAAAAGCAGCAAGCGGCGAGCGCTGGTGCACGTACTATTTTTTTCTTTCACAAGATGGTCCACCTCAAAGTCGCGACGAGGCTGTAGCATCGATCCGCATCCGCGATGCCGCACTGACCGAGGACGCCTTGGGCATTCGTACTTGGGGTGCAGCGCCTTATCTTACACGTCGACTTATTCAGCAATATGCTGACTCGCGTGAAAGGCCGACAAAGATCCTTGAGCTTGGCGCAGGTACTGGGCTCGTCGGCCTTGGTCTGGCTTCCTGGTTAGAGAAGCAACAACCACGACAGGCCAAAGCCCTCGTCACTTTGACTGATCATCATGCTAACGTGCTGGCGAATCTATCTGAGAATGTCACGGCAAATGGCATTGGTGGTGTATGTGTTCGACGTCTCGATTGGCAGCTTGTGTACAACGCGAAGCACCAACGTCCCTTGTCATCTAACGAAACGCTAGCACAAACACTGCCGCAGAATAACGAGTCCTTGACCGCCAGATATGGTGATGTCGACGCACATGTCAAGTTTGATCTGTTGGTCGCTGCGGACTGCATATACGACCCGCAGCATGCAAGCTGGATTCATGCAGTTGCTGAGCAGCACTTATCGCGGCCATCCACCGACTTCCCAAACCCTCAGTTGCATTTGCTTATACCGATCCGTGCAACTCATCTTGCCGAGTTGGCCAGCGTGTATGATGTGTTTTCCGCACAAAGTACACTCCGTATCGTTCACACCACTGATCTTGAAGGGCACGACGATTTCGGTCCTGTCTCCATGTGTGCAAATTCTTTCCCTCTTCGCAACAAAGGGTCGGCCGTCTCGTATAGGCATATGATCGTGGAATGGACACAAGCTTCTTTGGCTTTCAATTCTCCTACATCTTCTGGTCCTGCTCACGGGACTTGATTTTCTTTCACCCAAGCCTGCAGGCGCTGCCTCGTTGCTTCAACGGCCTTCTGGTCCATTTTTTCATCGCGTGCTGATGCCGAGGCTGATGCACTTTCGTGCAAGTCACACTCAGCCTGGCCCTTGTGGCTGGTAGCGTCAGATCCGGCAAAATTTATAGTGTGGACAGGCACGCCCTGCACGGGCGTAGTATCCTTAGGATTGGCAGCCATGTCATTCAACGTAACCGGATTCCATACATTTGGTTGCGATGTCCTTGCGTGGATATCGACGGTTAGTAGATCACTGTCGTCATTGTCAGCTCATCATCATTCTCGTATACACATTCATACCTTCGTAGACTGTTCAATAGTTCATCTACCACATGTTTTGGAAACACGCAGTGCTGCTGCTCCACGATGTCTGAGTTTGTAGACGCAAGCAGACGTTCTTCTTCTCCAGGCTGCTGTGTCAGAATTTATGTCGTAATGGACTGGGCTCATCATCCAATCTCTATTAGCACGTACTTCGATCGCGGCGTCTCTTACATCCGCGTGTCCCTTCTTACGCACACCTAAGCAACACCCAAAACAGATGCGCAAGAATTCCATTGCGGCTCACGATCTCTCTTGCACGGTACTCGTCACTTACACTGAGAGCCAGCCAACAATCAATTCGTCACAAGTATTTCACGCTGTTGTGGATGATAGGCAGCACAATTTTTCTACTCGACAGTGTCTGCTGAGCTAAGCGTCAGTCGTCGAAACTAAAGCTAACGTTGTGCTTCGTATCAGAATTACGCTCGCAATGCAAAATTTCAACAATACTCGCCGCCAGTTACGTATAAATAGAATTATTTACAAATTATGATTTTGCGCAATACGCTTTCCGGCACTTGCTTCTGTATGTGCAGATAGATCAACTCTGGTGCTCAAGAGTGGCATTTTTCAAAGAATCACCGGCTGGAAAACAATGCGTCCTTGAGCATTGCTTCGCCTGATACACGTCTACAGCACGGCATAGGATCGGCTCGACAACATGCGTGCTTTTGAGCTGATTGCCGAGCGTGACCCATCCTGGACGGATGTTCTGCCGCCGGCCAAACAGCTCGAGTTTTCGACCGCCCGGGCAGATTCGCTCAATCATAGCATATAATTCATCTGGTTTGCGAGACGTTTCGCGTACCTGAGACACCATCACATTCGTATTCAATCCAGCATGCATCCATGGAAGCAAAGGCGGTAGCTGTCCAGCTGCACACGCGCTGCGATATGTGTTCGCCTTGGTACCGCGTATACCCACAAGACAATGCTCTTTCGAGTGATTGAGCCAATGTCCCGTGCGCCCCGTTCGCACAAGCCTTTCCATCTGATTCGTTTTTATCCATATCAACTCGTCAATACGAACGAAACCCCACTGCCTCAGCAAGTGCCGGCCCAACTCCATAGCACGCCCAGTAACCCACAGAAAAAGCAAGCCTTCGTCCTGTAGTGCTGGGATCTGAAGTGCGTGCATGTCCTCGTCCGACAGGGTGCCGTAGGGCAATGACATATGAATGTCCCATGGGGGATCTGCAAGGATAACATCAAACTTGCCAAGTGAAGACAAGTCAAAGTCACGCACATCACAATCAATCCATTGCGCGACAAATGGTGAGCGCAATGAATCCCACAATGCTGAATGAAGCCATGCATCCATGCCCATACGCTTCAACTGTGTATAAGGCCCATGAATAGAAGCATACTTGGCCTCATCCGAATCAATTGCATACGGCTTAGAACTCGTGCACTCCCAAACGAATGGAGCATGCGGTGGGCTGGTGTCGATTTCATAATGCACATACTTGCATGTCGTCTTCCGATGACAAGCACTCAGATACCCACAGTGTCCTAATGACGGGTTTGTTTGCGGGAATATGACCGGTCGGAAGTGCACCCGATCACATTGACCGTTTTGTTCCCAATAGCTTCGCGCTTGCATGCATTCTTGTCGGGTTATGTGCTCGCATAAAGGCTGGAATCGGTTATCGGTGCTTCGAAGCTAGCTGCGTCAGGAATCGTGTGACAGAATTTCCCATACATACTGCATATGCCAACAATCGCTGCTTGCCCGTGGGCCTGCTCAAATACCGTTGCATTATTTCTGTGGCGGCATGGTGCTGATCACATGTGCTGGCGTGCATTTCATGCAGCGAAACTCAACCACTGGGCACGTGAAAAGAAAACAGAGAATCACTTTGTCGTTATGTCTCTGTGCGCAGTAGTGCTATTTGATGAAATTTCACACACTGTCTTGTTTCTAGGTCCAATCCCAATGTCCAGTGATGTAGAGGATGGCCTGGGTCCTAGCAGCTGTCTGCTGTGGAAAATCACAACCCTAATGAATCCACGTATCACTTCATTTCTTCGCCCGGCGTATGTGGAGGAAGAACGTGGGGATTTAGAGCAGAGAGCGAAATAGGTAGGGGGAAAGGGGCGCTGACAGGCGCAGCTAGGGGTTGGGACATACTGTAACTTGTTGGTCTTAGGAGCTGTTCTTGGCGAGAGTCGACCCCTCCGTCCAGTAAATGACCAACGAATTGCGTCCAAAGTTTGCGGAAGCCACACGAGCATTCTTGCACAAGGACTATGCAAAGTGCCTTCTAGATACAGAAAATGGAATCGAGCAATGCAAGGCTCGATCCGATTTGGACGTATGGCTTGAACAGTTCTTTGTGCTACGGTTCACTGTCATTCATACAATATACACCAATCCAAGTGTGAGAGCGCGGGCTAAAGATAAACTCAAAAATGTGCCCCAAATTAGATACCTTCTGGACTTACCGGCCACGCAGCTTTACACGAGATTATGGTACGAATGCGTGTTTCAAATGAGCCACAAGCCACTCCCAGACCCATGTCCTACAGCACTTGAGCCATCTGATGAACTCAACCCCATGGTTCTGAGACTCCCTGCCCCAGTGTTATCATCTGCTATTCTCATGGCATTGCGCATTGATGCATATGTGGACGCGCAGCAGAATGCCCCTGCAACACCATCGCCATGTGCGCGCCAAACATGCGATTGGTTCTTTGCTGCACTACTTCATACAGACTCAAGCTTCCATGACATGGCGACATATGAGCGGATTCTTCGTCTATACGTTTTGCAAGTTCTCGGATCCCACTCAGGCGAATGGAACTATGCACATGACTTTGTTGAATACTCTGCTTTACCTTCTTCAGCCAAGTCCGAGCTTGCGAAAGAACTCGTTTTGACACGGGCGGAGGTCGAGTCACGCGCGCAAAAAGAGAAAGACATAATAGAAGGGGCCAAGAAAATGTACAACCTCGAAATGGCAAGGCGCGGTATACCAACGCTAAAGCCAGGTAGCCAAGCCGGCGCCAAAATGACAACCGCTCAGCAGCAAGACGATTCACCGAACACTAGCAATGATGCCGCGCGCGGCTCCAAGTCGTTGGAACGCAAGCCAAGTATTCATGGACGCACTGTTAGCCGCCACAGTTCGAAGACGTCAGACGCATCCAAGGACAAGTCTGCGGCTGCAAATGACTCCGAGAATATGAGCTTGAGCAATGCTCAAATCTCTTACGCGCAGCGTCGCAATGATGTACAGGCTTTTCTGGAACGTCGGCCTATGGACGAGCCACCGTCACCGCCGTCATCACTTACGTCCATACGCACTCTATTTCATATTCTTTGTTCGAAAATATCGCGACAGGGAATCATGTGGAGCATCGTGTGCATCGTCGCCGTAGTTCTGGCCTCTTTTCGTTTCATTCAACATCGTCGGGGTCGTAATTCGCTTACAGGACCATGGTCTCACACACTAAGGCATCGCTTATGGGATACAGTAAGAATGTATGTATAAAAAGAGGTACCTACGTTGACCACACAGGGCTACCCAAGTGACTTATTTATAAGACCCATCTTGGCTGAACTTGCTTTAAATAGAGAACGCGATTCAATGTCGTATAAGCAGGGCTGGGGATTCCGTTGTTATTTGTGCTTGCTTACATCAGATGTCGGCGCTATGCGCGACCTGTGTCGCGTTATGCCCTATGCATCGCTTGATTGGCTTAGTCAAAGTCAACTCGTGCAAGCACCTGACATGCGGCAGTTCAACGTGCCAGGACCTAATAATTCTACGCGCAAAGCGGACAAATGGAAAACTGACGTAGTCGGTTAGCTTCCCATCCTTGCCGCCTTCGAAGTTGTATTGACAGTCGCGTAAGAGTTCGCAGTACACCGACACTACATATTAGACGAGCTCATCATGTGGGCCATTCGAAATATCGTAGTGGGCCAGGCAGGTGTAAGAATAAACAGCGCAGTCCTGTTTCAGTGCATTTTCTGCGCCACTTTTGTCCTGTCCCTGCAACTCTCTGCGGCGCATACATCCTTCATTTATGCTCGTCAAAATGCGCAGCTGCAGCCTACATCCGCGACGTTGCCTGAAGCCTCTCCCAGTTCTGCGGCGCCGGCTGCGTCGTCTCAAAGTCTCGGCTCGGACGATTCAAAGTACGTTTTGTACTCGTTCATTTTTCGATGGACTAACGTCTGTTCAGAATCCCTGATCCAAGCCTGGATTTGCCTTTTATGAAGTCTTCCATTGCTTTCATCTCTTCATGTGCCTTTTTGTTTATTTTAGCTGTCCTGATTGCGCTTGTCCTGCAATGTACAAACCCCCCTCGTCTCGAAGCACGTCATCCATCTCTCCCGCCTGTGGGTGTAAGAAAGCGGGATGACCAGGTGAATGCCGTACAATATCCAGCTCCTGCGCCTACTACTGAGACGTCACAGTTGCCGACGAATCCCCTTAACCGCGCTCAACCAGCGGCTTCAATGTCGTCTCAGACGCTAAGCATGGATCCTTTCGAGAATGATACTACTAAACAGCCATTTGTGCAGTCATCCTACGGACAGTTGCCGCAGCCAACAGTAGACGCGACAGCTCCTATTCTACAACCTGTGGCGGAGACAGGAAGGTACAAGAAAACTAGGTCTCGTGCTTTGCCGCAACCGCCTGTGCCATCGCGATCAGATCATGGCTCGCACCAGGGGTATTATGCTAATGGTACCAGTGCGTACAATAACGCGAGTGCGACAGGATACAGCGATGTTGGCAATGTTTATAACCAGCAAGGGTATGGATATGGATATGGATATGGATATGGAACAGGAACGGGGGCATCGACCGGTTACACTCACGTTCCCAATTATGCATACCCATACGAAGGTATGTACCAAGATGCATCATCGCCTTTCAATGCATATGAAGTTTCAGCGCCAGTCAGAGGCCAGGCTTCATATCAATCGCATGGATATGTTCCACTTCCCGTACCTTCAGCCTCTCAACCTTACGGAAATTACCAAGATCCAAACACATTTAACTCGGTCTCTCCTAGCCAGCATTGGTCATCAAAATATAATGACTATTCACATCATCGACCATTAGCAAGACATGCAAGCCAAGCATCTTCAGGCAAGAATTCACATTTGAGTCGTGTGGACAGTGTAGGCGCGGGTGATTATCGCAGACACAGCCAACGCCGGCGTAACCGGAAGTCGGAGGCTGATACCACTCTGGAGAAGTCTCAGCCCAGAAAAAGCTTTGCTGACACCACTGGGAATAAACAAGCACCTACACCGTATTCGTATGACCCGGGCTTCTCTGTCGCGCCCAACGAAACCTTTGCTGTGAATTACAGCTTCAATGAAGACTCCCATTATCCTTTACGCGATGAGTACAAGTATTCTCAGCCTGAATTGCTATGGAACTCTGACTATACAAACAAAGGTCACTACAATTCCTACTACGATGCGTACCCTAACAAATACCAACATCGATACGATCCTTTCTAACCATGTTTTATTTTTTCTGTCCTTTATTTGTGAGTAACCACGTTCAATAAATTGTCTTGGAGGTTGTCGCAAAGATGCGCGCGTTCTTTTAGTATTCATCCAGGCTGCGTGGCCATTGTATAGATGCCGAGAATGCAAAAACTTGTATGACAACAGAACTCTTGTGTGTTGAACTGTCTCGATATATTACGACTTGTGGGTTCGCGACACGCCTCTCGCTTGTGGAGGTGCCCATTTTATCGCATTCATGGTAGCAACTGTTGTGCAGCCACAGACGAATGGCTGCACCGTTTCTAGCGTTGTGGCATGACACTCGGGTTACAGGTTTGCCCATTTTATTCCCATCTCCCAGATCCAGTGTGGCTTTTCATGAAACAGCGCTTCAATTGCATGATACAACCTCGTTACGTTGTGTAGGTGCGTTTGACACAGTCCCAAATAAGCAACAATGAAGGAGGTGAAACTGACAAATGTTCAGACATGCTCGCTCATTTGCCGCATGAAGTAGCGATCTACATACTTTCGCTACTGACGCTTGAAGATGTCTTGTGTGCATCGCTTGTTTCGCGTCATTGGAATCGTCTCACCACCAATCCCGCGTTATGGCACCGGCTATTTTTCAAAAGACGCGGCTGGCGTATCCGGCCCGACTATATCACATCGCTGTTAAACAATACGGCACTGAATGCTGCGCGTATACCCATTATTGATTGGAAGGCACTATACGTGGGACGCCACGAACTTGATCGTCGCTGGTTTGCGCTCAAGACGAAAGTTCGATCGAACACATTGGCCGTGCCCTTTAGTCCGAAACTGGCCCGGTGTAAAGGCCACACGAACAGTGTATATTGCTGTGCCGTTTGCCCGCCAGCACCAGCTTGGCCTCATGGGTATATAATTACGGGCTCACGCGACTGGTCTATTCGTATATGGGACGCTGCTTCTCGTGAATGCCTTGCAACTCTTCAGCAACATCAAGGCAGCGTGCTATGTATGACCTATTCAAACGGTATGCTGGTCTCAGGCAGTTCTGATGGAACTGCGTGTGTATGGATAAACGAAACACTCGCAGGGCGGCCATGCCCTGCTGGGACAGACCAAGCTAATTCGCCTCTCTTCCATGCTCGGTACCAGCTGTCTGGGCATCGTGCAGGCATATTAGATATTTGTTTTGACAAATGTTGGATTGTAACGGCAAGTCGCGATGGTACGCTGTGTGTATGGCACCGTTATAGCGGTGAACTTGTACGTGTGTTTCGTGAACATGGCGCATGTGTGAATGCGTGCAGCATAAATGACGGACGTGTTGCGAGTGCAGCGAGCAATGGAACTGTGTATATTTGGGATCCAGCATCAGGCTATGTGCTGCAAAGATTGAATGGAATTCGTTGTGGTATTGCTACTATCCAATTATCAGGCGCGATATGCTTGACAGGAAGCAGCGACAAGTGCATCCGCATATGGGATGTGACGTCAGGGGCATGTATATGTATGTTTTGGGCTCATGAACAACTAGTCCGAACGTTGTGCTACGATGAAGACCGCCAGTTGCTTCTCAGTGGTGGCTGGGATCGTAAGACGCGACTATGGGATCTTTCACGAACACTCGCACTCGAATCGCATCCCACACCCGTCCTGCTGCTTGAAATCGGCGTCCATCATACGCGCGTATTCCACGTCCAGCTGGACGTAACACGCATACTCTCCGCATGTGAGGACCATTCTCTATGGATTGCAGACTTTGGTGGCCAAGGCATAATAACTGACATGTACACTTGACAGTGTGCTTAACCCGCAAGACATGACGAATCCTCTCACTTGTACCCTCATCCATGTGTTCCTCCATATACAGCCTAAATCCACCAAGCCGTGCGCGACAGAAACTCAAGGGTTTCTTTAGTAAAGTGAGTGTGAATTTTTGCAATCCCCCTGGTTTAGACTCTTTTTTTGGCATGCCTGGCTGCGCGGGATGTTAAGCCTTTTCATTGGCTATATCCGCGTTACCCTTGCACGCCCGCTTTATCCACATGCGTAGCTAACGAACCCCAGCACACTTCGTCTCTACCTCATTCGAGTAATGTCCAGTACGAAGTGGGCGGATGAAAGCGCGCCTGTGTTGCCACCAAAAACCCGGAAGGGAAGCTATGGTCTTATACCCAGGTTGGGACGCTCAAAGAAGAAGGAGAGCGTGCGGCTTTCTCAATATGTCGACCCGCAGATCATCCAGGATGAGCCAGACGCAGCAGATCATTCGCGTCTGGATGTAATCGACCAGTTGGACATCTCAGGTCTAACAGGCGGCACTTGTATGTAGCGTCGCATGCATGCATTGAGTTTCTGACGGGCCAGTGTTTCACCATGACTCTCCGTACGACGCGTGCTCGCCGCAATTCAACCGCACAGACAACAATACTGCACCGATTAATGCGTTCGACCGATCTGTCGATCCGATCACTAATGCACTACTAGAGCACCATAAGAAACGGGAAGATGGAATTCAACACCAGACGCCCGCTGATGATTTAGACGGCCAACGTACATACGCAAACTATGACGACCCTTATGCGGTGCCACAAAGTATGGGGTACGATGGCCCTACGGATGCCGACAATCCAAATAGTGTCTTTTACGGTGTGACATCGGAACCATGGCAAGAATTCTCGCGCCCTGTTAAGGAGCAAACGTCGCCTACGCAACAGCAAAATCCCAAACCTGAAACCAAGTTCGAAGATATGGAAACGATTCTCCGTGGAGGCCGTCGAACACAGCCAGATGTATCAACAACGTCGTACAAGGATCCATTGGATCTGTCATCTAGGCAAGATCATCTTGACGTGAAGTCCTCTTCTAATCCGGAACGGAAGTCCCCCAGATCGAAGAGCGGTACTTTGAGCCGTTCAAAGAGCTTGCTCGCTCGTTTCCGTCGGATGCGTGTCGACCCGGATCAGAGCGCTGAGTCGGAAAATCCGCCTTCCACACCGCCACTGCCTGTCCAAGAGCAGCAGCAGCAGCAGTGGCAACAGCAGCATCTTTCATCACAACGACCTTATGTCAATCTTAATGCGCATGGTGTCGCGGGCCCTGTCACAGTTGATCCGGCGCCAACGACAACTACTCTTCAAAATCAACCCTCTATCCCTACGTATCAAGCAGACTCTGCAAAGAGCTACACGATGGCGCCACCCATTGCTGCACCGATGTCGAACCGGCAGGATCCGAGCTCCTTGGGTTATGATACCTCGTATGCGTATGGAACAGCGTATTCGAAGCCGTTGCGCCGTGGCTATAGTGATGCATCGGCTCCACCGCCACCGCCAAAGAACTATCCGACTGTATCGTCCTCGTCTCATCCAAAGTCGCGTTCCATGCGCAGTTCTGAGAAAGCGTCGTCACTCTCGTACATGACGCACTCGGATCGAGCAGCGCTGAATCTTGAAGACTCGGAGCCACCGGCCCGGGTATTGCGCCGATTGGCCACGGGGGGCCGATCTCAGCCGCGTCCTTCAGTGTAATTGCCCCTTATTTTTTGGATGCACATACGGACTATTTAGTGTAATCTAAGTTGGCAATCAGAACCCTTTTCTTTGTGGCATGACGAGTGAGTGTGAAGTAGACTGATAGGTACTTGGGTCAACGAATTTTAGATGAAATAAAGTCAGGCCGTGTGGCACGTTTGCTAACCTCACGTGGAACATGTATGTGTCCCGTCCAGCGTAAGCGCATGTCGCGTGGGACACAGCGTCCCGGTTACCGATACTACCTTCTACTAGTGTAGGGTCAAGCAGCTCTAGATAGAATGTTGTGAATATACGAAGAAGGACCTTCGACTGCTAGCCGATGATACTAGTGAAGCGATGCCTCGGTTTATAGAGTTCTGCCCGGCTCTAGAAACGTACCGAGACTGCTGACTCGTGATTGATTGTCGCGCGGTAGCAAATCAAAAAACAGTCAGGTCATGCAAAAACCTCACATCTCGGTCGTTTGATATACATAAATCATGAATTATCAACACTCTAAATGGAGGATACCATAATGCAATAAGTGTAAGCCAAAGGTTTGTTGCTTGCTTGCGAGCCAAAAAGCTCATTTATGCCTTGGAGCGTTGAGCCTTCAGCACGTTGTCCAGCTTGGTCGCGAGCATAATGTTGCCTTTCACTTTGAGCTTGCCAGACATAAAGGCCTTCTGACCGTTCAGCTTGCCTTCACCAAGGTCAGAGAAGGTGTCATCACTGACGTTGATGACACAGTCAGCCTTGCCCTTGGCCTTGCCCTCGTAAACGGCAACATCCTTCTTCAGGTCAATAGTTTGGACGAGCTCCTTGCCAGCAGCATTCTTAACGTGGAATTCAAAGACGGCATTTGTCTGCTCATGTGTTAGTTCTGCAGTTCAATCGTAGCCAATGACGCATGTTTGCTATATCACACACGGCGAAGGGCTATTCAAACGTACCTTCTTCTGGAGGTCCTTCTTTTGGGCATCCGAGAATCCGCTGATACCTTCTTGAATTTGCTTGAAGAGCTGGGCAGACTTGAAGTCACTCATATTTGGAACGTGGTAAGAAAGCTATCTGCTCGGCAATGTGCGCTCATTTATGTGTGCGGCGTTTGACCGTTTCCACGTTTGTGGTCTATGTCGTCCTCTCATGACAGCCAATCAGCGCAAGCCATTTGTGTCGGCACACGAGCGTGGTCCGGTGTGCTGAAGCGATTGATCGGCCGGAGCAGGCGTATCCCCGCACGCATTTCTCGCAGTAGTGACGTGAATCCGCGTGTCTTGCATATTTCGAGTAATATTAAGCCAATCAATTTAATCTAATAAAACTTATGCGACTACGTACACCACACATGAGAGTCAAAAAGTGCAGATATGCAGGTCCAACCTCAAGGGTGAAAAGCGACTTCTACGACAGACTTTGTGGGGAGAAAGAGATAGAGGGGATAGATAGGTACAGACAAGTGTGAAAACAAGGAATAGCGCAAGAGAAGGCAGGTTCCGCCTTGGTGACGTATGTAGGACAGGTTTCACATAACACGTGCAAAAAAAAGCAGATATGTGTAGTGCGAAAAGGATTTGACACGATAGTTTCAGGCAAGTTAGTAGAAAGGATTCGTTTGCGCTGCTGTGTCTGACACCCCGAAGTCCAGGTCTAGTGTCCACGAACATTCATCAAGGCCTAATGATAGGCGCTTCTCATCGAATGTCGGATTCGGTAGCGTTGGTGGCATCGAGGTGCTGCATTTGCTTGCCATCAGTTCAGGCGACGGTGACACTTCTTTCTTGGCAGAGATTGAGTTTGCATTTCTTGATGCGTGTGGTGTTACATCAAACGAATGAGCTGGTGGAGGAGTGGAAAGTGGTGGGATAATGTCAGCTAGTTTTGATGATGGTGACGTATGGGATGCATCATCGTTGTCTCTCGACATGTTAAGTATTGGTGTCGGTCCAGTCGATTTTGGTGTTGGCGCGGACACGTTCTTTGGTGTCTGCTTGACTTCAAGCTCAGACTGCTCTTTCCTCAGAGGCGGGGGCTCAGACCGGGGTTGAGGTGGCTGAGGAACCGAGGGTGCACCAAATGAAGAGCGACGACCAGGTGATTCGTGTACCGATTCAAGCTCCTTTGAATGAGGATTAGTTAAGACAGAAGCATCGGGCGAAGTGCTTTCGTCTAGTCGCGCCGGCAGAGAGCTCGATGGGAATGGCATGGAACCACGTGTGCGCGGAAATGGCGGAAGCTTGGCGGGATATGTCCTTGCGGGATCCAAGCACTGTTGTGAATGTGCCTGATCAAGCCCGTGTACATGCGGATACGGCTGCTGCAGATGCTGCGAAGCGTTGTAAGTCTTGAGGTTATTGAGGCTCGTGCTTGATCCATAAGGTGTAGTCTGCGCCGTAGAAGCACCTTGATCGCTAAGCATAGAAGAGCGAGCATCAAACACATTTGAGCTTGACGCATACGTACTAGCCGACATGCGCTGTTGGCGTTCTTGTGCAGCTGATGTTGATGGCGCTGGCACAGTGAAAGGCATCACTGGTGGTAGTCCCGGCTGAGCATCTAGAAGTGCAAATGCAGAAGGGTCCATGGCGGGCACATGCGTGGTATCGACCGAATGTTCCTGGACGTTGGGTAGATACTCGTTCCCATTTGATCTTGTTACAAGGTTGCCTACGCTGCGACTGCGGCGTCGCGAGCGCATGAGAGACTCCTGCCGCTTTATCTCGACTTCCACAGGCACCGGCTCTTCGCTGGTGATGCGCATAGGCAAGATGCCATTCGAGGCTTGATGCGAGAGACTTGTGCGCTCAGAGACCATGAGGTCCGATGGTCGCTTCTTCAAAAACGTAGTGAGTGGGGATGTAGCGTTGGATCCTAAAAATTCCTGCTGCTGCGGCTGCGCCGACTTGCTCTTGGCATGCGCGCGGCGTGTCGGCAGTGGCGAGGGTGGTTGTTGAGTGTTGGACAAGTCAGGTGAATAATATGGACTGGGGGCATCCCGATTGAGCCGTTTCGGCACTTTCGGAGGCTCTGTGCTTGCTAAATTCGGGAAATTTGATAGCAATGGATCCAACTGCTCCGAACCGGTGGCCCGACCTAACTGGTAGGCTAAAGAAGGTAGTTGCTGTGACGGTGACGACGATGTGAACTTGTTGTGTGGTTCTTTTGTCTCTTGTTGCGTTCCGCCACGAGTGTTTGCGGTACGGAATCGATCGCGTAGGTTCCAGCGAGCCTTGTTGGGGGGTGATTGTGGTGGCAATTGTTGGTGTTGCTGCGGCAACGGCGGTGTTGGCGATCGATACGAACCTTCTGCGGCACTAGTCTTCGCTGGCGCATCGGGCGCTCGTTGCTTCGTTTTGCCCGAGAGCATGGACTTGAAAAAGCGACTAGCTTTGTTCTTGAGTGTGCGATTCTCGTGACCAGGCGTCTTGGTACGGGACTGTGGTGTTGCAGCCAGGGAAGAAGAGGTGTCACTTTGCCCTTGTGCCTGTTGACGCACAGAAACGGGTTCTTTTCGTTCCGCTGCCGATGCCCGTGGCTGACTTCTTGTCGTGCGCTGCGTATTGGGTCTTATGGGCGGGGTCTCATCAAAGAAGCCTTTTGCATGGGATGCTTCGCCCTCATGCATTCGATTCGACAAGTCTGGCCGATACGACATTTTTGCATGTGATTCATCCATACGAGTATCACACACGTTCTCTGTGTCAGGATGCTGGGTTGAGAAACGGTGCCACGTAGGCATGTCATGACTCTCATGCCTTGCTCCTGAGATACCAAGTCCGTCTACCTTTTCAGATGGTTGCGAAGTAGGCTCGGGTCTTGCAGCTGACGCATCAGGACGATCGCGTTGCCTTGATATATTTCGCTCACGATTGAGAGAAATGCGCTCATTCGGCTGAAAGGAGTACATGTGATGCTTCATTGAGCGCAATTCTGGCACCTGTTCATATTCAATGGGCGATGTTGACTCGTTCATGCCATGATCTTCGGGATGATTATCTCCGGCAATGGTTCCACTTGATTCACGCTCATTGATCCAGCCACCATAGACGTCACCATCAGGACGAGTGGACGTATCGGCTTCGCCATCCGTATGGTGGCTCTCAAGGCCACCATCGACATTGTTGTGGTCACGGCTGCCCCTTTGAACTCCAAAATGATCATAATCGGGATTTTCTTCTTGGTCAGTGTGGTTGAAAAGGGGGACATCGTCTACGCTCTGGCGCTGACTGTCAGTGATACCATCTCCATGATCTTTGCGCAAATGACAAGCGTCTGCATTTTGCTTAGGTCTAGCTGCTTCTGGCGAAGGATCATCGTAAAGACTTTGTTCCTGCGATTCATCAGCAACATGTGGCGAAAGGCCTGGATTTGTCCCGCTTGTGTCCAAATGAGGCCGCTCGCTTGAAAGTCTTGTGACCTTGCTTATACGCGACAATGTCTGGTGTTCGAGATGCTCTTGGACAAGTGCGCGTTCAAAGTCGTCAAAGCCCATGTAAGTGTCCGAACAGACTACTGCATGATGCTCAGGCGCATCATTTACGGAAGCGTCTTGCGCAAATTGAGCATACTCGTCTGACGGTGCATGAATATGCTCTTCAATAGACGCCTGAGCACGTTCACCTGTCTCGAGAGGCTCGTGTGAGATACAAGACGGCCCGAACATATGTGAAGACTCCTGCTGGTGCTGATGGTGCTCTTCAGCTGGCATCGTGCAAGGATATGCCAAAAAACTTGGGGAGTCAAGTTGATGCGACGTAGTACTCGAATTGTGGCGCTCAGGAGACCGACTTGTCGGCGCGGAGAATGTGTCTGGCGAGCGACATGAAGATGTACCATTCATGTAACCTGGCTCATCACTCTCATCATCAGACTCAGACTCAGCCATGTCGACATAAAGAAAGTTGGCTTGGCCACCGACGATCGTAGACTCACCCGTCTTTTCCCACGGAAAACTGATGCCAAGGTGCGAATCCATATGCATCGGCTCGCCAGGCTGCGTGGCGATGGGCGAGGCAAAACTCATGTTCACACACAAAGACAGGCCTGCCCCTTAAGAAAGTGAGCCGCTATCGCAAACGCAAGATTTGTACTAGTCCAAACACACACGGCTTCTATCCGTCTGACCTCGAGAGGGGGGAGGGGAAGGGAGGATGGGGAATGAGAAAATGATCTAGTTGGTACGAAGCCAAGACGTGAGTTGCGGCACTTTCTCCCTCTCTGAGCATCTTCCATGCAAGACCCACACGGGTCGAAGCCTGAAGTGTGGATGCTAGTTGGACTGCGCATGCGGCACGTTGCAGTTTTTGCCTACATTAAAGTGCACAAAACATTAGGTGTAGAAACTACTGCCAACATGGATGCAAGAGCCAATTTGGAAATGTGTGAAAATCTTTAGTTGGACGCCCTGCTGTGGAGGCGTGCGCAATGTATCGTTCATGTATGACAAACGGTCAAGCTACAGGCCAGTGCGTCTAAGGCCGACGCCTTGGGCCGCGGTCAAGGCAACGTTAAATGATTGTTACATCATCAAAAATTCGAATTTTCAAGTTGGAGATAGCAAAACAGATCAGCAAGTCATGCGCCTTAGCTGCGTTCTTCTGTGAAACGAGGTGGACGAAGTAGTAGTAGTAAGAGAGAGAGGGAGGGAGAAAGAAAAAGAGCGGGATGCACATTAGATTCCGAATCTGTGCTCGTCGAGGTCCTTTTGTGGTCTCAACCCGTATGCACACTTCAACACGATGTCACAATTGTCCGCACGTCCTGCAAATGTCTCATTTTCTGCAAGCGTGTCTTGCCTTGCGCACAAAGTGCCCTATGCACCAGCCATCCTTTTTGCATTGCTACTATGCCTGCCGCTCCCGTCCTGCCCTGTGATTAGGCGCCGTTTGGCGGGCTAACCAAAAGGGTCGTGGTTATCTCTAAGCGATTGAGTTCACGACCTGTGTCCAGAACACATGTTCTAGATTTTGTGCGCTTCTACTGCTGGTTCTTGCCTCGCTGAATTCACGCCCTGAAGTAGCATTGCCTACATCTAGAAATGGTTCAGGGTATTTTACTTTTGCTTATTGGTTTCCTGCACTTGTTCTCGTGCTAAGGCTGGCTTCACATTGGATGAACCGGTCATATACTTGTGCATGTTGCCAGAATGGGTGTAGACCTACGATTGAAGCCCATCTGAATGGGGATTGTGTCTCACGCAGCTCAACCCACGAATGCAAGTTTGATGGATATGGCTTTCATGTCAGCTTACAGAGAGACTTGAACTTAAAAGTGACAAAATATTTCCATCTACGTGTCCCTTGTATGGTACTTACTTGTTTTGCAAACCACGTCGAACGTATATTGCACATGTATTTCCTTGATGTTCTCTTTGAGGGGTCTTGCTATCATGGATGTCTTTTCTTTGCGGCAAGTGCATTGAACCTTCAAGCTTTTGTCTTAATGCATCGCGTGGACAAGTAGTAGGATCGTATGGTAAGGAAAATAAAGCATAAAACAGCATGCAAAAACATGAAGGTTGAACGGACCGTGGATGAGGTATTCTCGGCTTTCGACACAACGATGACCTTCTACACCTCAGCCTTCTCTGCATATGCTCCTGAGACGTGTTGCATCTGTTTCATCATTTACTGCCTCCTTTTTATTGTCAAGCTTTATCTACCATAATCTACTTAAAGCGCCATAAACTTGACTACGAAAGAAATTCAACTTTTCTTTCTTACAACTTCTTGCTTTTGACCAGTGTTGCCGTGACGCATCTGGTACAATTTGCACAAAGTGCATCGATTTGTACGTTTATCTGCCGCACGAAACTACAAACATGTGCGTGCGCATGGTTTGTTTACTTATTGAAATGGAATTGCAGCCTGAGATACACCGCATACATTTACTTGCGTATGGGTTTGTGCAAAGAGCGTGAATCATTGAAGGTATGGCATTGGGCGCCAGCATGTCATTTTCATACGTGCAGTCTGGCTCGAGTTTCCTTGCATTGCGCCTGCTTTGCAATTAAAATATTCGCCATGCTAGTGTGCAACAACTGGGATGATTATCTCGGTACATTCGTTGCCACTCTCTCAGACCGATCCACGACTTTTTTGTTTTTCTAGAGCACTACAACACTATGCCCCTGGAATGTTATGACTCTCGCTTGATTTATGAAAATGCTTTTGGATTTCTTCGAATTTTCAAAACAATCCATGCGACCCTGCGGGGGGACTATTATCATTCTACACGCAGGTATGGTTAGTATCATTATTGGTGCCAATACTTGAGTTTCTGTGGCTTTGATCGCGTTACTTCCTCATCCATGATATCCCCTTGTACTTTCGTAGAAATGGAGACACAGATGTACAAGCCATGTTTTGACCATCGATGCATCTGCTTGGGACCCAGTCGACAATGTTTGTCTGGGCCTCTTATTTAGAGAAGTGCCTACCGGCGTGTCATGAAGGCTTACTTGGCCTCTCTCATGGTCGGATTCGTACGGGTTCGTTCTATTATCCTTTACCATGTTTTCTCGCCTCATCGACGTTATGCCATTACACTTACTCGCGCGTCTCCGTTGCATGTGTACGTCCTATCTCTTCTCTATTACGATGTTTTTCCACTACGTTTTTCTCGCTGCTTCGCACGGTGTGCGGCGCGTTTTCTGTTCCGTTCCACAGTGCCAACACCCGCGTAAGAGTCAGCATCGACTTTGACGACACGCAGCGGCGCACGGCCAGTGTGGAATGCATCTATCATACGTGACGTGTCGGCACCAGTGGGAGACCCAGTGGGAAGATGTCTCATTGTCTCGCGGTGCATCATGTTAGATTCGCGAATTGCTGTGGCCAGTGGCGACACGTAGGTCTTGAGTACGTTAGAGAGGGGCGGTTACCTTTGCATACGTACTGAAGGATCCACGTCTTCAGAAAGTTCTTCATAAGGTGCACCACGCGGTGAATGTGGCCGGCTAGTAGCAACAGGCTCGGACTCGTTCAGAGACGTTGGGCGCGAGCCGAGCAGACGCTCCATATGGCGCTGCAACTCTGTTTGCAGCGGCTTGCCCTATTCCTAGTCAGTCCTGTTTTGCACGATGCTGCAGATAACAAAAAAAAGTTTCGAAGTGTGTGAGTCGCGCATGCTCAGTCATCATGGGGTAAAATGTAACCATGAAAAGTGTCTTCAAGACTAATCGAATATTTGGTAGGTAAAAGACATCCTAGCGTGCCATGTACACGCACACTTCTCGACTTTCCACGCATCTATGCACGTACCTCTTTTTCATATACATCTTCAAGCGCTTTGAGCCGTAGAATCGCTTCTGTGCGTTCCATGTTCACTCGGAACTTTGATGATAACGAGCGTACGGTCCATTGTGTTGGTGACTGTGTGTGAAGGCGCCACATGTCATCACGCACACTCTGGTGGACAGGTGGCAAAGGCGCAAAGGCTGGATTCAAAGGAAACGGCGTATCTCCTATCCAGTGGGGACCGCGCCGCGGGCTCGGATACCGGAAAGCTTTTGCACCACTCTTCAGCCATTGTCGATATGGCGGCAGAGGTGCACTTGACAAAGATGAGCGTGCCGACCGATCACGTCCCCCTTTTCTAACTGGCATTTCTGTGCCCGATGATCCTGCACGCGTCGCATATGCACGCACACTGGACCGCGCGGCGGCAGACGACCGCACGGCACCAAACTCCCACCACATGCTCCGTCCAGTTGAAGGAAAGAAATGCCACCGAGGTTTACTTCACGCTTGTCATTTTGTTGCACATGACTCGCTTAATGCCTCGACACCTCACTGCCTTTGTGGACGCCCCGGCCCCTTGGGGGATATAGTGGTCGTGTTCATCCAACCGAAAAGCTTATGGAGGTCATGTGATACGTCATACTCCACCTGTGATACCAGGCTAAGCGAGTGGGTGGCACGTCACCTGGTTCGCTGCTGCAGACTGTGTGCCTGACTGATTCAGTTGTGAACCTACTCATCCCCTCTCGGAATGGGCCAGGTGACGTCACAGGATGCTGAGGCCCTTGAGTCTGCTTATGCTTGCGTCAAATCGATTATCCGCTCTCAGAGTGTGCAGCTCGATATCGGGAAAGAACGCGCTACATGCACGCTGCGTGCGGAGATCCAGGTTCCGTCTAATCCGTGTGCCAGTGCATGGCGCCTGTGGACGGGGAGCGAGACGTCTGCCTCTTTTATGGATAGCCAGATCGATGCTCCTCAGTGTGATCGGAAACCATATGTTGTATCGCATGATGGTGGTATTTTCTTGATCGTTCCTCCTACACGAACTTTTGAGCCAAGCACCTTTTCTCTCACGTTGTATATCCAGACACCTCTGGCTCCTCACCAGCCAACAGCTCCATGGGCGGTTCAGATTCCGGTACTGCGCTGTTCGCGCAATACATTTTCTTGCACATTTTATGGGTATGATGCAAAACCCATGGTCCATATCACGAATCCCCCCTTACACGCCAATGTTCATTCCTCCGACTCTGAAGCAAAAGCTGCTACTAACACAAACCATCTACACGGAACATTTCCTGAAGCAGACGTTTTCGGGATGGAATGGATGTATGAATCCGATGTGTGCACCAATGATCTGCATTCTTCATCAGCTCAAGTCAATTATATGACCGATGCCTATGTCATGCTTCTATGGTCGGAATCACACATGTCCTACATGCCTTTTGCTGTCGTGGATATGAACATTCATATTTCTTTATTCTCCCCATACATACAGGACTTGTCGCACGATGCGCGACTGCGAGTCCGTGCTGATACGAATGATCCCGCTATAGCGTGGGACATCTTGACTGTCCGCAGTAACTCGACTCCTATTACTCTGGATTCTTTACCGTCTTTCTTAGGCGTAGACGCTCACAATATGTCGGCTCTTTCGGCAGGTGATGCTGCGTTGTCTGAGAAGTTGTCGTCTCACTCGGTGCAAGAACCGCATTCACGAACCCTTGCCTTGTCTGTAAATCGGCAACTCGTCTGTGGTGCATTCGGTTCGCCGCCGACGCATGCCATGCGTTTACTTGTCCGAGGGCGTATCTCCGTTCCTATGGAAAATCGGTCCAATGCACCCAGCATTGTATTACCTAGCGTCCACTTACCGTTGGATCACGTTTCACATTCACACACTATTCGGCACGCTGTGAATTCCCAGGTTGATCGTTCTTATGCTATTGAGATCGTCGAACCATTGACACAAAGTCCCGAGTTGCGCAACGTTAGTGCAGATCATGCGAGAATTGTGCATGCAGAGCATTGTGTCATTCGTTTCTTGCCGAAGCCTACGTCTGATTTGATTTCGCCAATGCCGTTGAGCTTGAACAACCTCTCGGTCCTCCATCAAGTGTATTTGCAACCTGAACATACCAAATGTATGCATCGACTCTTACTTCGCACAAATACATTAGCTCCTGGCACGTATGCCGTTTGTATTTTGCCAAACCTTCCACATGTCCTCAAAGCGTTGGAGCATGAGCACGCCGTGCATCTATACGAGGCACCATCCCTACAACTTCAGGAGACGACTCCTAGGTTCCAGCATGTCGAGAATACAACAAATTCTGCGCTCGCGTGTCGAAACAGCATCTGTATGGTCGTGGATGAGCCTCAGTCTGCTCATGTCGTCGTGCAGTATGAGACTCCTCTCTGCTCAAATGGATTGAACGGATACAACATTATGCGGCCGCTTTTTCTTGATCACGTATCTACCTATAAACTGCATATACTGGATGCAAAGAAGCGCCATGTTCTATGGAATGATGTGTCTGGTGCATGTAAAGTAAGCGGTGACGATGTTCCATCTGTGACATGGCTCGATATGCCCCGCCGTACGGCCAAAGCAGTATCTTTCACTTGGGCGGAAGCGCCAAAGCCGCGACCAATATCGATCATACACATCGTGTCCACTTTGTGTTGCTTTAGTATGGCTGTGGCTCTTATGGCCTTGCTCTGGGCTCGTGCCGCCCACATGGAATCCCAGAAACTGCACATCCGTGTGGAAGCACTGGCCATGGCTCTCGACATCGACTTTTCCGATGGGCAATGGAAACCACTTCCTGCTTCCTCGCTTGCGGCTTCTCCAACACCCACGTCTCACCCTTCATGGATCGAACGGTTACAGGCGCGTCTTTAGTCAATTTGTGCCTTCCCGCATGAACTCCTGTCCCACATATTCTTAGCACCAACAAAGAAAATACATACAATAATAAGGATAGAATTCATGATTGATGTATTAAGCTCACGACCACGTGCGATTCCGTGTGAATCGCATGTGCAGACAAGCGTTCTCTCCACTCAGCACGGACCGTTTTTTGCCCTACGTATCCCCAAGCGCATATAACATCAAGTGCAGACGATGACGTCGCTAATAAGGCTGGGCGTCGCGGCAATGGACCGCAAAGCTCGTTCCAAGCCCATGCAAAACATTCTGAACCGCATGCTCTCAACGGGTCGGTATGAACTCATTGTGTTTGGAGACAAGGTCATTCTCGATGAAGACGTCGACACGTGGCCCGTGGTCGATGTGCTCATATCGTTCTTCAGCACTGGTTTTCCTCTAGAAAAAGCTATCAAGTATGTCGAGCTTCGGAAACCCGTGTGTGTAAATGATTTGTACATGCAAACCGTGCTGTGGGATCGACGTGCCGTACTGCGTATCCTACAGCAAATTGGAGTACCAACACCGCCGAGTATCTATGCAGATCGAGATGGCGGTCCCACACTTGATCCAGTCGTAGTTGAGGATGTGAAGGCACGCGTTGGACTGGATCTTGGAAAGCGTACGAACATGCCTAATGTTGTCATGCAAGACCATGACACCTTGTTAGTGAATGGCTGTCCCATACGGAAGCCGTACGTGGAAAAACCTGTGAGTGGCGAAGACCACAACATTCACATTTACTTCAATGCTCAATCCGGGGGTGGTGGTCGTCGCCTATTCCGCAAAGTCGGGAACAAGTCGTCGGAGTTTGATCCGGAACTCGTTGAACCTCGTATGGATGGCTCCTACTTGTATGAAGAATTCATGGATGTCGATAATGCCGAGGACATCAAGGTGTACACCATTGGCCCAGAGTTCTGTCACGCAGAGACGCGCAAGTCGCCTGTCGTTGATGGCCTTGTAAAACGCAATCCTGACGGGAAGGAAATCCGGCACGTGGCCGAGCTCTCGCCTGAGGAACGCGAAATGGCACGACGTATTACGATTGCTTTTAAGCAGTTTATCTGTGGCTTTGATTTGCTGCGTGTGCGCGACAAAAGCTATGTCATTGACGTGAACGGATGGAGCTTCGTCAAAGGTAACGATGGTTACTACGATAAGTGCGCCGATATTTTGAACAAGTTTTGCGAGACGCATCAAATTTCTCGGCCGCTCCGTCGGCCTAGTGATGATGTGCGGGCAAGAGACGAGACATCGAGCTGGGTCTTGAAAGCCAATGTGACTGTATTCAGACACGGTGACCGCACACCAAAACAGAAGATCAAACGCAGCTACAAAGCCCGTGATGCATGGACGAAGCCAATTGTTGACTTGATGCACGGATACCGTGAAGAGATTATTCTACGTTCGAATTTGGACGTCGTGACAAGGGCACTTCACGAAGCCATGGAACTAAGTGGCGCGGACCATGGCGATCTACTCTTCGTGTCAGACATCATCGATCGAAAGAAGGTCTTTCCCGGCACCAAAATTCAATTGAAGCCGAGCTTCTCCGCCGAGACGGACCAGCTGGAGAAAGTGCAACTTGTGATCAAATGGGGTGGCGAGTTCAGTCATGCTGCCTTACACCAAGCGCGTGACTACGGCATCAATATGCGACGCGATATCCACATCATGAACAAAGAAGTTCTGGATGAATGCACGATTTATACCAGCTCAGAGCGCAGGGTTTCTGCATCCGCCGAGACGTTTGCTGAGGCGTTCCTAGAGGACGAGTCTGTCCGTGGGGCCGGGCAACACAAGCCAAAGGAAATGGTCGTTCGGAAAGATTTGTTGGATGATTCAAATGCTGCTAAACACATGATGGACGAAGTCAAAGAAGAGCTTCGCTCGTGTCTGCAGCCAACACCAGAGAATGTAGATGTGCGTCCTGATGGCTGGTCCAAAGACCTCCCACCGCCCTCGCTCATTAGCACAGAAATCCAGCACTTGCTTCAGAGTTTGGGCGAGACAATGCATGCAAACTTTTCCAGACTCGATGTCAACAAGATTCAGGACCGCTGGTGCACGCACGAGACGCCTACTTTGTTTCGCGAGCGTTGGGACAAGGTCATCGAAGACTTTAAACACCCGAATGAGCCATCGCGTGCTAGTGAATTGGCTGATATGCTGTCACACGACGGTTTGCACAATCGCACTTTTCTGGAGACGATCTTTTCTGCTCCAGAAGACGATGATGCATGCAAGCTTGAGCGGCTCCATCGCCTCTACCGCATGAGTCTCGCTCTCTTTGAATACGTATGCCCTCGAGAGTATGGTATCACTCCCGAGCAGAAAGAAATGATTGGGCTCCTGACCTCACAGCCGCTACTCAACAGCATTGTGCAGAACCTGAAAGCATCTCAGGACAAGAAAGGGATGTGCACTTTCTATTTCACCAAAGAGTCCCACGTTCACACACTGCTGAATCTTCTTCTTTCCTCGCATCTTTCCATCATCATGCCACGCATGCCTCCTATGGACTATTTCTCGAGCATTACTTTTGAAGTATACGAGCGCGAACGACCGACTTCATCATCGAGCATGGCACCTGCCAAGCCTGAAAGATCGCTTGTCATTAGCGTTTCAGAAGGCGCACATAGCTCAGAGGTCCTCTTTATTCGCTTGGACGGCCGACATGCACTCACGCCTTTGCCCAGCAGGCCATTGACGTCGCACATGGACTTTGACTCGTCGATTGATAAGCTGTCGGCGTTGTGTGAAAAGCGGGAACAGCTCGACACCCGCCGTGGCCAGGTCGAAGGTGCGAGCGTGTACTTTGGAGAGGCTGACCAAGACGAACATGTTGTTCAGATCCGAGGCATCCAACCAGACTCTCCATAGCCTGCTTCATAATCGATCGTCCTAACTGCTACGTTCACACCAAGCCGGCGATCGTGATCGAGCAAAAGAAGTATCACGTGATCTGTTGGTCGTCCAGGACTCGCTGCTTATGCAGTGTTGTATCGAATGACTGTGCGTGCGAGTGTGTGGAAAGCTCTGTCCTTCGTCGAATTGTGGATCGTTCGACATTATTCACTTGTGCTGCTGGTCGCTACGTTGGTACTCGCAAACCATGCTTTGCCGAGTGCATCCATTCAATATACCGCAGGTGCGCTTCCTATCTACGCAGCGTTCAGCTGCGCTCCTTCTTGTTTCTACGAGTAGCTCTGCCTCGTTCCGCTGTCGTTCGCATAGCCCTCAACGCCCGCATGTTGCCACACGAACACGTCTTCCCATGAGCATACGCACATTACATTGCTCGCCATCAAGATATGTCCAAATGGAGCCGAAGAAAGAGGATAAAGTACCACAGAATCTAGCGGAGCGTGCAGCGCACATGTGGTCAACTATCAAGTATCTTTTTCGTTTCTATATGAATGGGGTCAAACAAATATGGCTAAATCGAAGAATTGTTCTTCAGATCAAGGAAGACGTACGTCGCAGCAAGCGTGATTACACATGGGAAGAGGCTCGGATGGTCCGCATACACACTTCTGACATGCTGAAACTTCCGTTGTTCTTGTTGATCCTTGTGACAGTGGAAGAACTGCTGCCTTTGATGGTCATTTATACCCCATTCATGCTCCCATCGACGTGCATTCTTCCGAGTCAGCGTAACAAGATCCGGCAGCGCTTTGAAGTGAAACGAGAAAAGGCCATTCAGGCGCTGAACAAGACGGTACCTTCGATAAGCGTGCTACAAACAAATGACAACACAGCAAAGGCTGCCGTTGCTGCCTTATCACCGGCTGCATTAAAGGAACTTGTCACGTATGTGCTTTTCATTTACTTCGTCATGGCCAGGATGCTTACACTCGCGCAGGGTATATAATCTCTCCCAATGGGGAGGATCTGCACTTCGTCGCCGACGTGTTCTGTCGCACATGAGGATGCTCGTGCAAGACGATCAACGTCTTGAAACATCTGAGACACTCTCGTCTGCGGAGGATGCTGATGAGAAACTGTCCTCTGCTTGTGTACAACGCGGCATGTACGTATGCACTCTATCCCTATAGTCTCGTGCTGACCTTGTCCAGACGCGCTGTGAATGTATCCTCTCAGGACATGCGCCTGTGTAAGTATGCCGTTTGTTTTTCATGCATGACTCACACCTACGGCCAGCCTTGCGACTCTGGCTCGAACATACATCGAAAGAGGCCGAGTTATCGTATTTGGAACGCTTGCTTCTTCCCACTCGGATTCCGCAACTTGGCACACCGGGTACATCCTTGGATACAGAAGTCAATCAGCATGACAAGCGGAGTGTTTCTGAAAAGACCTCGACAGTTGTGGAAGAAGTCGTCGAACAAGAAAAGCGCAGGGAGTCGAACCAGTCCTCCTCATAGTTTAGCACAGAAAGAAAAGAGGAAAAGCATTCGTGAATCTCATCTGCATTTCTACCATCAATAGCTATCGCCTTCCGCACCCTCTCCAGAGAAGCCACGTTCGCGTCGAAGCACAGCAGCACGTCGTTGCTCCCATTTGGCCTTGTATTCATTCTCGGCGGCAAGAGTCTCCAAGAGCTGTGGCACAGCTGTGCTGGGTATCGATGAAGCAATAGATGCTGGGATATTCTCTTCCTTCTCAAGATCAATTTCGCCCATCAGCACGACGTTTTCGCCGCGCACAATGAACGTGCCTTTGGGCACATCCCCATATCTATGCCCCAGAAAAATTCGTTCAACAGCATCTTGTAACACAAGGTTTGCTAATTTTTGTTAGTTTACAGGTTCTTTGTCGCTCCTTCGTATATGTGCATGACATTACATACCAAATTGATCATAGGAGCGAAGGACACCAAGAAGTTTCCGGCCATCACGCAACACGACGATCACTCTTTCTTCGAGTCAATGTGAGTCTAAAAGTGTGTCTTGAATACATACTGTCCACCAGGTCAACCAATGCACCCGATGTTGTGAAGGCAATATTGGCCAGGATCTCCTGTGCTTCCATTGCCGCCGATGTAGTAGTAGTGGTGATGCGTTATGTATGCTGCTTGCTTCCAACAGATAGAGGAGAGATGTGGGCAGTTCGATGCAATGGAGGTGTATGCCCTTCGTCCTCAACTTTCGCGTCGCTCCAAGCTTTCTCCACTCTTGCACATCCATCTAGCCATATAATGCGGCAGCTTGCGCGGCTTGGATAGCTTGTTTGGGCTCAAGGGGTGGGTCGCACAGGCCATCCTGCGTATACATGACACATAAATTCCTCATCCGTGACTTTTTGGGGTGCAGTAATGGTTGGCTAAATGGGCGACTCAGTACGACACGCGCGAGTCCAGATCGAAATACAGCACACAAATGCATCTATTCGACTGACATCCGACTTTGCCTCAGTACTTATAACAGATGCTCCTAGCAGCGGAGTTTCCCTATGTTTCTTTGACACTTGCACATACACATTCGCACCCTCCAATCACTTATATTCAAATTCCCTCGATGACGTCTATGTCACACCTGTGCTATCTTCGCTCTTGAATCTGTTCTAATTTGCACTACTCTTCCCAAGTGCGACGAATCGAGTCAGATGAAATGAACCTGCATTTTGCTTCGTGAAAAGATTGTGAATAGAGAAAGGCTCTTGAATTTGCAGGAATTTACCCCTGTATATAAAGGGTTGCGAAGATTTCAAGGCGTGTGCCTTTCACAAATTGATTAGTACCTGCCTTCTATGCGAGCTGATCATAGACACGTATTGCTAGTACTTTTTTGATCGCGAGATAGGGCTTGTCCGTGATTAGTTGCCTTAATATATAGTCATGTAAGTCTCGGACTATCGGCTTTACGCGCAAGATCTTTCATCCTAATATCGATTTAAGTTCAGGTTTTGTGCTTAGATGTAATCTATCGGAGCAGGTCGTCCTTGTCCGACGATTTGAATACATTCGGTGCATTTGATTCAATTCGGCAAAACATTCCTATTTCAGCAGACTCCCTAAATCAAAAGGAAGCGCTCTCGCTTTTAAATGGCCCCGAGTCTTTTACGGTAGGAAAGTGCGCGAGTTTGACACTGGATCTGCATGTCCACGTTCATTTTTTGATTCCCTCACAACGCTGATGCATCACCGCACGTCGTTTAGACTCTCAGGGATTCGGATTATCACAAACTCAGATATCCAAATAGCAAGGATATCGACGGCAAAGACATTAGAGAGCACAACGTAAGTGCCAGTGATGACCGCAATAAAAATATAAAGCGATATGGGAAGCATGAAACGTGTTGATCAGCCCGTAGAATCAATTCTATCTTATTCCGGAGCCCAACCTATCTGCAGAACGACGCGCCCAACCCCACTGACTTGCTCATGTTGTTTTACGTGCCATGCTTGCGAGTGTTCCAGTTCATGAAGAAATGCATCAATGCCTCCGCCGACTCCAAAGTATAGCACTTTGGCCGCGACAAGACAGAGAGTCGTCTTTCGATCAACACCGGTCTTAGCATTCTCTTGGGATGTGGGCCAACATGTTGACTGCAGTACACGACAGAGAGAATGTAAGTTCGTCAAAGAATACACTGTCTCACTCGACAACACAACATCAGCGCGTGTTTCAAGCTGTAAAGAATCCCAGCCACCTGAGAAAAACCTCAAATGAATGGAGCGTTCCGCTAGCGCTTGTTCAAACTGAGCCACCAGCTCCGAGTCAACTTCCAAATCACCTGGTTCTTTGACCAATCCTTTACCTGGTCCAGCTTCTGAGAAGTACCATGCTAAGAACAAGTTCGGAAAAACCACCTGTATGCGTCAATTTTTTTTGCCCCAAATTCAAGGTACATACAAGCGACAGAACTTCCTCGTTGTAGTCACACAAGCTTAGCACAGTAGGAGTTTCAATTTTGTCTTTGGCTGGTGTTTGGAAGATAGAACTAAAAATATAGCAAGAAGGAATAGCTGTACCACAACCGAGCTTGGGAGTTAGTGTAAGAAGCACGCACCTCGACAAGATGCCGCCCGACTGGCCAACTGGCATCGTGGTCACACAAGGTCTTGCGTATTCGATTCAGAACAGCTACCAAGTCAAGCGCACACTCCCATGTCTTAAGCCCTCCCTCATAGACGCCAGGAATCAGGTCACTCCCTGCATCTGCAAACGTGTCTTCGTCATGCATGATTTGGAAGCGCACGTCAAACAAGTCGCGACGCATTAGTACTACATCCCCAGACGTTTCTGACATATGGGGCACACGCAGTGGCGAATAAGATAGCTTTTCTGGCATACGTGCACGCTACGTGAGTCTTTGCAAAGAACGTACCACGTCTTCGAAGTTCAGCTCACGCGCTGGCAGCTGCTGGTCTTTGCCCACACGAGTCGCGTTCTGTGTAGCGAGATAGATTTCATCAGATACTTGTTTTCCCTCATCATCTACGCAGAACCCAAACGAGAAGGACATGCTCCAACCGTTGCTGCTGCGTTTATTTGGGATCGGAATAAATCTTTCAGTTTCTCGTACAGCGAGTGTTGTTGCGTCTGACTGGGGGATAGGTGTGGGGAAAGGTGGAGGATTTTCACTTTTTACATGGCTCCTCACTGGTACCTCCACTCTCACTAGACGACACGCCATACTTCGCATGCCTATCAGGCCGCCGCTGACGCCAGCATGGATAGTAAGGCACCATGCACCAGCCCCTGTGCATACTGTGGCTATTTCGAACAATGGGGATCTTCTTCTTGCTGGTGATAGTCAAGGTCGTGTCTCCGTCACGCATCTAAGTTATTATCGACCACTTGTATTTTGGAAGGCTCACAAGGACACGGTTCTTCGCGTGGATGCTTGGGCCGGCTACTTGGTTACGTACGTATATAACTCTCACACAATCTAAAGACATGGTCGGGATAATTCTATTCGTATTTGGAAAATGCCAAGTGAGGTGGGATCTGCAACATTCTCGAGTAGCATGGTGACGAATTTGCCTGAGCCGACCCTTGTTCATGACATGGGTGTAAACGCACTAAACTACTGTGCATACGATATGACTTTAACAAAAGGAGATAATCTCACATTGAAAGGCTGGCTTGTTACGCCACACACACTAGATTCAGCGTGGCTCGACGTGTACGAATTGCCATCCCAAAGGCGCATTGTTGAGGCTTTGGGCCGCAATTCTCCACCATCAACATCATCCATTGTTCCAGGCCCAGCAGCGCAAGAACGGCGCCCTCCTGTTGTCATGTCGCTTCAAACCTGTTTCGTGGAGAAGGTCCTTTGGATCATAGCGGGGTATGAAGATGGATCATTACGTGCTTGGACCACATCGCTCTCGACGAGTGAGCCGATGCTCATGTGGGCACATAAAAGTCATGCGGAAGCTATCATGGCGATATGTGTCTCACCAAAACTAGACAGTGTTCTAAGCGTTGGAGCTGACTATCATATTGTGCGAACATCTCTTACACCGAATGCTGTCCCAGAAGTGCACAAAGTAAGACGTCCAGGGAACGCTTGTGTAAGTATTCGCTGGGATGAGCGCGTGTGTGTTGTTGGTGGTTGGGATACGTGCGTACGTGTGTATGCATGGCCGTTAATGGAAAAGCTAGCGAAGCTTTCGTATCACAAATCCAGCATATATTCATTGGCATACACACGATTTGATCCGGCTCACGTGCTTGACGTATCCCAGGATGGCGACAGCAGCAGCAACGGCAGCAGTGACGAGGCTGATGCAGGAAGTTTTGGTATGAACAGTGTCAATGAACCAAGTGCGAAACACCTGAATAAAAGACAGCCACATTCTAAGATGCAGCTCTTAGCGTGTGGGAGCAAAGATGGACGCATTTCCCTGTGGAAGATTCCATTTACACCTGAAGACGAGCAACAAGCAACACATCCATCGCAGATATAACGTTCCATGACTTGATTGCCTGTTCTTTATCGTATAAGGTTGCTTGACACTGCACATTTCCAAGCTGGAATGTACCTGGCTCCGTCACAAGGACGCACACATCGATTGGGCAGGAAGTCCATGCACCAACAGTACCAGAATGCGATAATTTACCCAGCCACGGTGCAAATCCCGCTTGACTTGTCGGTTGGACGAGTGTCAGCGAAAATGATAAGGGCCATGGTGCTTCGTTCCGAATAAACAGGGTTATCGACTGCGCAGCTGGCACTTGATCCAACATTACCGAGTCTAGATTCGCATAAACAGAAAGGGGCATGCCGACGGAGCCAAGTGGCGTATGCCTTAGACGTCCGCGAATCATAGCTTGCTCCCGTGCTGTTTCTTCATACATTGCATGCGACGGTCCATGTAAGTCCAGCAAGGTTTTGAGCGATGCCATATCCTGTGCTGTGCAATGTTGGATGCCCACTTTCACGCCACACAAAAGTGTTTGACCTCGTCGGTGATTTGCGTCATGCCAATGCAACACTAGGTCCACATCGTTTGGCCCAATGAGAGGAAATGCGCGTTGTGCAAGTCTTTTTGGCATAAAGTTATACAGACGATCCAGCTCGGTCTGCCGTTGAATATAGCGCGACGCAGAATACAGCGAGGGCATAGATGTCAACGCTGGATCATGTGCATGACCCAACTGAGACACATGCGTCGCAATCTGCATTGACGTAGTAAGCGACGAATCATAGGCTTTTCCGCTCAAGTATCGGTGCAATTCATTCAGCATGTGTGTTACGATATCCGCATTCTGTGGCAAGAGTGTTGGCTGCAATCGCACAAACGTCGTGAGTACATCGCCAGCTGTGAGCGTTGCAGGCAAACTTGCTTCTGTATGTGCCTTCCACAGGGGACTCACGAAAGTGATTCCATCACATGTGAGTGTATCAGACGAGCAGTTCTTCGTATCAATGGCAAGTCCATACAAGGGTTCCCTTCGCGCAGTCAATCTCACTCGTGCAACGGCTTGCATCGCAACATGAGCGATCAAGGATTGTTCCATGCGTGCTTCAAAATGCTCGTGTGCCGCATTTTCGTAGCAAAGAACCCATGTAAGCACTTGTTCGCCGGGCGAGAGTACATGATACACAAACGTGATTTCGTGCTCTTGGCCACCCTGAAGTGCCGGTAGGGGAGCGGCATGTGTGAAAGACGAGGATGGGTTCCATGGAAGCTCGAGCTCACTTGCTGTTAAGCATGAACATTGCATATGAGCAGGTATGCTTTTGATAGTCAGGGATGAGATATTGGAGACACTCGTATTTACTAGCCGCATGCGAATATGGACTAGTTCGCCAACATAAGCATGCGTAGGAACGTCAACATGCATGTCTACATGCGGCATGTCCTGCCGCACACGGGCAAGTAGTGATAAGTCAGGTGCGTACATACGAGTTCGTCGCTGCTCCAGCGTCGAATTCAGTCGCTTTCCGTGCTTCGACATGTCTTGCTGCACATGAAGCATGCCTGCCAAGGTGTACGTGACGTGAGAAAGACGCACATACTCCGCCTTTGCATCATGCACGTAAGCAGCGGCAACGACGCTACGTCGTTCGTGTGGACCTAACGTGAGATCATCCAGGCGCCCTAAGGCATTGACTTGCGCACTGGATGCGTGGCCGTTTTTATGTGCACTGACAAAATGCAGAGCGACATTTGTGAGTGCGACTTCAACACCAAGTGGATTGCGTAAAGTAAGCTGAACATGGAATGGTTCTTTTTCACGCACGCAAGGTATGCCATTGTCACTAGCAGTCGATTGCAGGATATAACTAGCACCTGGCTGGAACAGAGGTACGGGCAATGTGACGCGTGTATCATGAGCATACTTCGTTACAGTTTCGAGGGCATGGAGGAGCACTGCATCTAGTTCAGGCAAGCTGCCATGAAGGAGAGGCAACAAGTAAGCCAATGCGTCATCCATGCGACCACTGCTGTGTACTAGATGGGCCATTTTGAACAAGGAGTGATCGTGCAAGGGCGTATTACAGGCTTTGTAGAAGTCGGCTGTACGCATATAACAGCGAAGTGCGAGTTCGTTTTGTCCACATGATTCATACTGAGCAGCAGCGAGCAAAAGAGCGGCAGCACTCCGCCGCATATGCGGACGCGACATGCGCAAGTATGCAAGAGAAGCATGTTCAAGAAGCAGGGCACGCACGATTTCATCTGTGAACTCGGCTGCGCGCATATACGCCATGGCCATGTGCTCGTAGTCAGAGACAAGCTCCTGCATTGTGCCATATAGTACAGCTCCACGAAGAGCAAAAAATTCACCCACGCGTATACTGACGTACTCATCACACACATGCAAAAATAATTGGGTCAATGAATTGTGGTATGCGGGTGTCGTCGTAGCATGCAAAAGCTGTGCCAGGCAGTACATTTCACCTGCACATGCGCTGTGCAATGTAGCTTGATCGGCCTGGAAGTCGCGGCGTGCAGCTTCATACATTTGTGCAGCTAGACGGTAGTCACGAATATGCATCGCCATATCGGCAAGGCGCCGTGTCTGGAAAGGAAGAGACGTAGTCGGGTATATACCATGGTCGGACAGGACCTGGTCAGAGGAGGGTCGACTCGAAAACCATTTGCGCCCTGCACCAAGAAGCCGACCGGTGAGACCACGCCGCTGAGAAGCGATGTGTTCACCAAGCTGCTGGACCGTACGCTCCAAGTACGGTACAAGGCTTTTCGTAATCATCTCCCGGACATATGCCTGTATGCGCTGAACATCAAGCATGGAAAGTCGAGCTCCTTTCAGAGCCTCTTGAGAAGCAGCAATAGTTGTGCTATCATCAGCAGCTTTTGCGGCTGAGCTCGTCATAGGCGAAGAGCGTTGGTCATCTGCATGCATGCGAGACATTGAAGCATGCATCTTACATGTGTATATGGCATGTACGAGTGGATCCGGCTCCTGCGCTGAGTTTACATGCACAATGGCGCAGTCTAGACCGTACGTCTTTCGCACTTCCTCGAGTAATGCCATAGACCGAGACATGTCCGTACCAGCTGAAGCGGTATCATGGATTACAAGATAGCATCGAGGAAGATTCGAATCAATAAATGGTTGTTTCATCAAAGCATCGGCTTTTTTTGAATACTCATAAAGACGGGTCAATTCATTAAGCGGATCTGGATTACTCGATGACACCGCCAATAGCACTGCTTGTGTTAGAGTATAGATCGAACAAAAACCATTTGTCTCAACGTACGAGCAGTAGGGTGCGACATGGTATCGAATGGGCATACGGGGCGGTAGTTATACAAGATAGTGGTGAATCGAGCAAACGTCGAATTCGTATGGTGCACTTTATCCATCCACGCTTCATACGTGTCATCATGAGGTGGTGCAATGGGGAGAATCGGCTCCTCGTCGCGGATTTCACCATGAAAACAGCGCTGAACCAAATCTAAAAGTGTATCAATAGGCACAGCAGCATCCTGAGATACGGCAAATTCATCCAGCATATCAAATCGCACAGGAAACATGGTGCATAGGCGTTGTTCCAGCTGGGACGTCCGAATATTGACTGCCTCATCAATATGACTCGAACAACAAACGTACTGTTTTTTGATGCGCTTTCAAATGGGCGCAAAAGATCGGCTGCGCACGAAAGCCCGTTCATTTTGGCAATGTCATCGACATCCGGGCTCGCTATTACAGCGATGCGCGGGCATAGTGCCCAGTGGACAGTGCTCTCAGCCATATGCTTGGAAAACACACTTACGCCTCCTACGCACTGCTACAAATACAAGCACACTCGCAAACACTCGCACAGACGCGCGCAAGTACGCACTCCAACAGAGACGATTTTGGTCCTTGCCAAAGCCAAGCGCGAGCGCGATGCACTGCGCGTCAGCTCCTCGCTCACAAGACGCACAGGTGCTCGTGCGAGACGGCCACGTGATGACCACGTGGTACCTCATTGACCCCACCCCGAGGCCTTATCTCAAGCTGCTCGAAGTGTGTGGCTGAGGCTTGAAGAACGCGTGGGTGCGGATGTGAGTGCTTTCCCCCGGAGATGAGGGTGGGAACGAGAAAAATATATCCAAGTGTTTTTCCCCAGATCCCTGTCAAGATTCGAGTATGACGTCGCCAGCGAATGGTCCAGAGCCGGTGACAGAGGCGAACTTGGCCAAGCTTAATGGCAGCTCACCAACGTCAAGTGATCAAGGCTCACAGGATATGCAAGCGGAGAAACAAAGCCAAGCACGCTCAGCAAAAACGAGTATGACCTTTTCCCAACGCACAATGGAATCGATGAATTCAATACTGGTTCGCTCACTTGTCGCCGTCAATGCCGAACCAGAGCGATTACCCACACAGAAACGAAAAATGCCGCTATCGCTCCCAACAACGGCACTCAACTTCCGTGGCTTCGTGCAAAAATCCGGACCGGTTTTTGTGTTTCAAGATAGTGTGGAATCGACGCTCATGTGGGACGACTGGCCATGGACAACAATGTGGATGGGTATTTGGGCTGTTGTTTCATTGAATCCACGCCTGCTTGTATGCCTGCCTCCTGTGATTGCTATTACTATCATGTGCAATACATTCTTTATCCGCTTCCCCATACGTGAAGATGACCGCAACTTATCGCCGAGTGATGCGCTGCGAAAATCTCTTCACATGCCGGATCTTTTTCAAGCTGAGCCTCAGGCCCCGCCGATCGAACCGCGGCCCGTCATGGAGAACGACATCAAGTATCTGATGCATATGCGTGATATTCAAAATATGATGCGCCTCATAATCGATGGCTACGACCACATATCACCTGTGGTCAAATACTTGAATTGGTCAGATGTGCGACGCACGCTGCGTATATTTCAAGCATGCATTGTTCTATTGTTGGTCACCTACTTCATCGCTCCACTAATCCCGTGGCGATTGGTTTTGTTCTTCGGTGGCGAGTTGGCTCTGGTAGCACACCACCCTTGGCTCAAGCCAGCTATCGAGGCGATCAAGAAACAGTCTAATGAAACTCCTGGTAAATATCAGCGCGCTCAACGTCAGCACCGTTTAAAACAACGCCTCATCGACATACTTGACGAAGATCGCTTGCCTGAATATGTCTGGCAGCGCGGATGGAAAGATGTCGAATTATTCGAGAACCAACGCCTTCAGCTGGATCGTCGTGGCGGAGCCGATGAGTCGCGATGGAGTGCACAGAATCTGCTGTGTGGCGAGCGACGTCCTTGGACGCGCGGTAGTGATGGATTCTCTGCCGAAGGTAATTCGCCCCCTGAATATGAGTTACATGCCGAGGATGTAAACTACGAGCTTGAGTCAGGCTATGAATGGATCGAGGGAGAGTCATGGCGAATTGATTGGGGTGGTGCTTGGAGCCCTGTCGGTGTGGATGATGCCGGCTATGTATATACAGACTCGTCCTGGCGCCATGCAGCCCCATATGCCTATGGTGTCGATCCAGCTATGCCCACATCGCCTACGCGATGGAAAGATGAGGAACTAGACGAAGACCATCAGCTAGAGGAAGATCCATCCCCTTCTATGCGTGCATTGACACGACGTAGGCGTTGGCTTCGTCGTGCCGTTCGGGTCGAACCGCCGATCGAAAATCTGCCGGAAGACGAGTCGACGAGATAATAGGCAGAAGCCGGAACGTGATGAGAAAATAATTATTCATGTATCACAACCGATGTCTCGCATAAATGTATAAAGCCTCTGTGTCACAAGGCGCATCTTGGAAGTAAAGAGCATAGAAATCATGCAGTGGGAACTCACGAAGCTCTCGAACGAGCATGCAAATGTGATTCGTGCTACGCTGCCGCTGGTGGGCGAGCACATTGAGGAGATTACGAAGCTGTTCTACAAGACAATGTTTTCGAACCATCCAGACCTCATCAAGAACCTGTTCAACCGAGGTAATCAAAAGCAGGGTGCGCAACAGAAGGCGCTTGCCGCTTCTGTGGCGACGTTTGCGTCCATGCTGGTGAATGATGATGCACCACTCCCCGAAAGCATGCTTTCTCGCATCGGTCACAAGCATGCGACAGTAGGTGTGACCGAAGACCAGTACCAAATTGTCCATGACAACTTGTTCGCGGCGATTGTGCAAGTGCTCGGCGCAGATGTAGTGACAAAGGATGTCGCTGAAGCCTGGGACCGTGTGTTTTGGATCATGGGACGACTTCTGATTAAGTTTGAAAAAGATTTGTATGCAGAAGCCGGTGTCGAGCCCGGTAAAGTTTTCCGCCAAGTCAAAGTCGTTGCGTGTGACACCTTGGCTGAAGGAGTCACCCACTTCACAATCGAGAGCACAGAGGCATCAAAGCCTCTCCCAGGACACAAGCCGGGTCAATATATTTCGGTGCGTGCCCACTTGCCAGATGGGGCTGGCCAGCTCCGCCAGTACAGTCTCACAGATGCTGGCAAGCAATCGCACGGACGTCTTACTTTTGCCGTCCAGGCTGTCAAAGCACACGACCAGTTACCTGCTGGAGAAGTTTCAAACTGGTTGCTGGAAAATGTCAAGCAAGGCTCGGAACTGGAAATCTCCCTGCCATTTGGTGATCTAGTCCTAGACGAGCAAAGCAACTCACCTGTTGTTCTCATCTCTGCTGGCATTGGCGCTACCCCCATGATCAGTATGCTCTCGCGCTTGGCGCTGGACAAGTCTGAGCGCGAGGTTGTGGTTTTCCATGCCGATTCGAGTGCTGCAGCTGATGCATTCGCATCCCAAACGAAACACCTGGCATCTCAGCTGCCAAACTGTCGCTTCCACACTTGGTACGCACAAGGGGAGTCCAATGAAACTACGACTGTGGGCGACCGTTTGGATTTGACAAAGGAGACCCTGCCTTCTAACGCACAATATTATTTGTGTGGCTCAACAGCATTCCTCCAAGCATGCTCGAAGGATCTTGAATCACTGAGCGTGCCTGCCAGCCATACGCATTACGAGCTCTTTACACCAAATGAATGGCTTCTTAAGTAGAGCATTTGCTCTCATAAGATATTAACGCGACTCTACTGTATACCTAACGATGAAATCATCACATGGCTTTTGTGCTAACACCATGGGCCGAACAAGCGTCGACGGTTCCTGTCACAATAGCTACCAACTAAAGTTGTTCGCTTTCTGCTAGTCTTTTGACGCTATGATTGCACGCACCACTCTACGTTGTAGTGTCTAAACGATTGAAACTTTCACGTCAATCCAAACCAGCGTTCATTCAATACTTTTGTATACATAATCACGAGCAAAAACTATGTAGCAGCGAGCCGCACTACTTTTGGAATATATACGTATATATATATATTTATATTTATATGCACATAAACATTCATTCGTCAAACGTCATTTTCTTGCCCGTCGACTGGGCAATGGCTCCAGACCGTGAGCTGCCAGACGCAGAGCGCGCACCGCCGCCGGCACGCGCGCCCCAGCCACTATCACGAGGGCGGCCACCAGCACGTGCCCCACCGCGTCCAGAGGGGCCAGAAGCACTGCTACCACCACGCGATGCGTTGTTACCATCACGCTTGCCAGCAAAGTCAATGCGGATGGGTCGACCACCAAGAGCCTGACCATTCATAGTCTCTAGAGCCTTGGCTGCGTTGTCTTGCGAGACGAACTCGACGTATCCAAAGCCCTTTGGTCGGCCAGAGTCAATTTCTTTCGGCAGGCGCACACCAGTCACTTCACCAAACTCTGCAAATGCGTTCCAGATATCATCTTCAGTGAGTGCCCACGCGAGTCCGCCAATGAAAAGCGTGTTTGATGGAGCACTACGTTCATCCTTGAAGTGCTTGGCTCGGGATTCTGCCCGGTCTTGAGGACCGCGTGCGGGCTGAAGGTCTACACGGAGAGCGCGACCATCCAGCTCTTTCCCATGCGCTTCTTTTGATGCACGGAGTGCTTCCGCTGACGTGGCAAAGTCGACGTAACCAAAGCCACGGCTGCGGCCCGAGTCGCGGTCACATTGAACCCGTGCATCCAAGACAGTGCCGTACTGTTCAAATTCACTCTTTAACCAGTCGTTGTCGACATTCCAACTGAGTTGACCCACCCATAGTGTCTTGATGCCATTGTCATGGGTCGGATTCTCATTGCTGTCGGTTTTAGATTTCTTCGTCGATGATGCCGGTTCGGCATCAGCCTTGCGCTTCTTTGAGTCCTTTGCGGCAGCGACCTCTTCCTCGTCATCGGATTCCGAGTCTGAGCCAGAGTCCGACTCCGAAACTGAATCTGACTCTGAGCTCGAGTCTGAATCGGAATCAGACGAGTTTGAGTCCGAGTTTGAATCGGATTCAGAATCAGACTCTGAGTCTGAATTCGAAGAGTCACTTTCTGTAGAGTCCGATTCACTCTCTTTCGTTGTTTTACTCTCTTCTGAGTCTGACTCCGACTCCGAGCTTGAATCCGACTCAGATTCAGAATCATCTGAGGACGAGGAGTCCTTTTTATCGGATTTTTTATCTTTATTGGTCGATTCATCGTTGTCCGAGTCTTCATCGGAGCTATCAGAGTCCTCGTCTGAAGAATCTTCGTCGGAATCGCTGTCAGATTCATCAGAATCCTCGCTGGAATCCTCGGTTTCTTTGGGCTTCTTTGAATCCGCTTCCTCATTGTCAGAGTCCTCCGAATCACTTTCATCGTCAGAACCATTATCGCTGCTACTACTGTCGTCTGAATCGTCTTCATCAGACTTATTCTTGGCTGGTTTTTTCACATTGGACTCATTCTGTGAGTCTTCGTCGGTGTCACTATCCGAACTCTTCGAATCAGAGTCTTCCGATCCACTGTCTGAACTACCGTCTGAATCATCATCTGGACCATCGGACGAACGTGACGATGATTCAGAAGAAGCTTCAGATGACGATTCAGACGACGATTCAGACGAAGCTTCAGACGACGATTCAGATGAAGATTCAGATAACGATTCAGATGAAGATTCAGATGACGATTCAGATGACGATTCAGATGACGATTCAGATAACGATTCAGATGACGATTCAGATGACGATTCAGATGACGATTCAGATGACGATTCAGACGAAGCTTCAGATGACGATTCAGAAGAAGCTTCAGACGACGATTCAGACGAAGCTTCAGATGAAGATTCTGATGAAGATTCTGATGACGATTCTGATGAAGATTCTGATGACGACTTGGACTCATCAGACTCGTCATCTTCCTCCATAGGCTCAGGCTCCCTAGGTTTCTTTTTTTCATGATCAGTGCCCTTTTCGAGCTTCATCTCTGACTTCTTTGATTTGACATCCGTTTTAGAGACGGGCTTCACAGGAGCTACCGCCGACTTGTCTTTCTTGCCCATGTTCAAGGAGGTACAAGAATAAAAAGTTAGATGCGATTCGCAAGAAAAAAGTTGTGGAATAGGAAAAAAAAAAAAAAAAAAAAAAAAAACATGCATGTTGACTAATCTATATGTGGAGAATCACTATCGGTCAAATACCAACTGACGTGGTGGAGCAAGTGTTGGTTTTTGACTGACAAGGGCTGGCATACCTGTCCCAACGGTCTGAGCGGGGTTGCCCATAATAATACTCTCACTAACGCCCGAAATCGAGTCAGACTTGCCAAAGAGCGCCGCATCGAAGAGGTGGTCTGTCGTTTTCTCGAATGAAGCAAGCATCAACACGGAGTCCTTCATTTTAGCCACACCGAACCGAGTAATGCCAAGGACCTCACCTTTGTACGTCATGACATCTGCGAGGAGCATGACGTGCCGTGGATCAATAGACATACCATGACTCGCCATTGTATAGTCAATTTCGCGGTAAATTGAACTGCGAGCAGCCTCAATGCCTAGCACCTGCTGCATTTCCATCACATGGTTCGTGTGCGTATGTGTGCCAACGACACCTTCCGTCGTCATGACTTCACGGAGACCGTATCCTTCAACGAGGAGCTTTCGCTGGCCTTTCTCGTCACTGATAACAGCACGACTAGCATGAGGAATGCCCTTGATGACGACTTTTGGCAGTTGGCGCTTTAGTTGCTTCAGGGAATAGTATACATCCTTCTCTTTCTCGTCAGGGTGAATATAAATCTGCAAACGGTCTTGATTCGGTAGGACAATGATGCGCTCCTCTTTGATCTTCATGCGAGGCATCGCAACAATGGCGCGCTTGATATCGTCGAGCGTCACCTCCAGCTGGAGCTTTTGAATAGCCGCCGTATCAATGTCAATGCCAATGTAAGTGTACGTGCCGGACCAGGCCTCTTCAATAACAGATGCAACGTCACCAAGATACGTCTTTTCAATACGACCCTTGACAATTCGCGCAGCTTGTTCACTCTTTTCGCTCACAAGCGTGGCCGCAATGATCGGTGTATTAATGACTTTGGCCGCATTGATAATTTCCTTGATACGCGGCACACCAAGAGTTACGTTCATGGACGCGACACCTGCAAAGTGGAAGGTCTTGAGCGTCATCTGCGTACCAGGCTCACCGATGGACTGTGCACCGACGGCACCGACAGCGGAGCCTGGTTCAATCTTGGCACGCATGTACTTATCCCAGCACAAGTTAATAAACTCCAGTATGGTTGCTTCTGAAACGCGCACTTTGTTCTCGACCACAGCCCGCTGCGCATCGTCAGCACCAAGTGACAGGTCAGTATCTACATCCCAGTCGCCATCGCGCTCCAGAGCTGGGTACATGCCGTAGGCTTCGCGAGTCTCGGCCATGCGTTTCGCCACTTGTTCGTAACAGAATTCTCGCACCTGGTCGATGTATTTGGATGTGCATACACGTTCAAAGCGGTCTTGTGATAGTAAATGGTTGACCAAGTCCATGACTTCGTACGGAAGGAGGTAACGGCTCGGTACATCCGCTGTCTTAGCTGAGGCGTGGCGGAACGTGCGGTTATATTCGACAGGTAGAGCATTCCCTTCCAGCTCGGCAGGATCGAGACCATCATCCCCGTACAGAAACTGAACGACACCACCCTCCGAATTTCGTACGGAGAAGTCGTAATGCGTCGACAAGTCTTCAAGAGCCTTCATGAGTCGACGCTGCATGTACCCAGTTTCAGCAGTCTTGACGGCGGTATCAACGAGACCCTCACGGCCACTGATGGCATGGAACAGGAATTCTGTAGGCTCGAGACCTGAGAAGAAACTGTTCCGAACAAACCCTTTCGAAGGAGGGTCCTTGGACTTCTTCGGGAAGTGCGGGAGCGAGCGATCTTGGAAGCCATTTGGCACACGCGAGCCAGAAATGATCTGCTGGCCGACACATGCAACCATTTGTGCCACGTTAATTTTCGAGCCTTTCGAGCCACACACAGACATCAAAAGGGCCGCGTTGTGTCGACTGAGCTCTGTCATACAGATTTCACCCACATCACTACGCACACTCGATAAAACGCCGGAAATCTTGCTTTCAAGCGTCTGCTCCTGGTCACAACCTGGCAAGTTTTCAAGTTTGCCACGCTTTGCAAGCTCAATCAGGTCACGACACTGCCGGTACGCAATCTCAACGTTCCTGTCTTTGGTTTCGCGCAAATGCTGTCCAGGGGTGACGTCACCGATGCCGAGTGAGAACCCCTGGTTCGAAAGCCATCTCGCACACGTCTTAGCGAGTCGATTCATCGAAGCCACAGCAGCATCAGGCCCATAGTCGCGCAAAATCACACCAAACACTGACTGCTTTTTACCGTCGCCGACGGTAGCTTTATCCATTACACCACACAGCACTTCACTGTTTTGGATCACAAGGTAACCATCGTTTGGCGACATCTCGTTTACATGACCATCGCGGGGCTTCTCAAATGTTCGACAGCGTGCCTCGAGGTTCACAAGGACGGGGGACTGCTTGTTTGGACGGATCATGCAGCTGAACAGCTGCTTTCCCGTCCAGAGACGCACAGGCTTAAGGATCGCTGGCGGCGGAAGATCAATATGCAGTGACGCATCCCCAAAGTACGAGCAGATCTGAACAAACTGCGCACGAGTAAAGAAGCGGCCGCGCCGCGAGAGAAGGAAAGCGGCTGTGATGAAGTCCTGCGTCGCTGCGACGATTGGCTCCCCGTTTCGTGGCGTCACGAGATTATGCTTCACGCCCATCAACGTAAGGGCCTCGGTCCGAGCTTCCTCCGTCTGAGGCACATGCATGTTCATTTCATCACCGTCAAAGTCTGCGTTGTAAGGACTGCACACACATTCGTTAAGGCGGAATGTGCGCCATGGTCGGATCTTGGCGCGATGACACATAATCGACAGCTTGTGCAGACTTGGTTGTCGGTTGAACAAGACAATATCGCCATCGCGGATGTGGCGCTCCACGATGTCACCGACACGCAGATTCGCAGCGATGTCATCGCGCATGCCAGGGAACTTGAGGAAACGCTTGAACCCGTCGCGCCCATTTACATGGTAGTTAGCGCCGGGGTGGGTATCGGTGCCGTTCCGGACCGCCTGGCGCATAGCCTCAATGTTGTGGGCAAATACGCGCTCTGGGTACGTGAGGATCTTGGCGACTCGCTCAGGCACGGCAATTTCGTCGATCGCCAGATTCGGGTCTGGCGAAATGACTGTGCGACCGGAAAAGTCGACGCGCTTGCCACTAAGGTTGCCACGGAAACGACCCTGCTTGCCCTTGAGTCGCTGACAGAAGCCGCGAATTGGCTTGTGGCCGCTCATGGGCGGCACACCAGGCATCTCCGAGTTGATGTACAAGGCGACACTCAGCTGAAGAAAATCCCATTGCTCAACCAGCTGTGCGGTCGTTGTGCCTTTGCTGCCTTTCGTGAGGCCAGACTTGATGATGTTGTTGGTAAAGACGATTTCTGTGAGCTTGACAGTGAGGTCATCTTCATTCGTAGCGCCGTCCTGAGCGACACTGGGCCGAATGCACACAGGGGGCACGCAAATGTACTGCCAGATGTACTCTTCTGGCCGACCGAACTGGGGCTTAAGCGCGAGAAGCTCGCAGTCTTCGTCAGAAATACGGCGGAACAAGTCCAGTACACGCAAGGGATTCAGATCTTCTTGCGCCTTGTTCAAGTGCGGCGCCAGTTCGCCATTGCCCATACTGACGGCTGTCGAGAAGGTTTTGCGGAATTCCAACTGTTCCTCTTCGGTCTTTTTCTGCCGAAACTTCTCGTGGACAATTTTCAAGACGCCCGCCTTCTTAACAGTACCATTTGTCGAGCCGCAGTGTGGGCAATATAGCATCTTACGGGCTGCAGCGTTGACAGCTTTGAATGTCTGTGCGCGCTGTAGATTTTCAAGCCCCGGTCGGCGAAAGCGCCGAAGAAATCGTCGGCGATCAGGTTCTTCTAACAGCACGCGAGCGCACGACTTGCAAATCATTTGAAGAATGCTGACAACATGCTTGAAAAAGCCGACGTGGAAGACAGGCAGCACCAGCTTGATGTAACCATAGTGACCTACGCAATCAGCCATGCGTTGACCACAGGTTTCACACGTGCTAACCTTGTCACTCACGCCCATCCGACGATCAAGCACACCGCCTCGGCGTGGATCTCGGTTTGGAAGGTCGTAGATGTCGCGGGTAACGACCTCCAGTTCCGCAAGATTCACGATCTCTTGCTTCGACATGACGCCGAACTGAATGTTTTTACTGGGCGTGGTTAGTGCATCTCCTTCTTTCAAAGCAAGCAGACTCTCTCTGCCTCTTGTTCCCCCTCATGTTCTTCGACCCGTTTACGTACATCTTCTTTGGTGCATCCTGGACACTGGTATGTCAGTCACTATGGTCGCGCGGGTCTCCATACGTACACTAACTCCTTCATCTTGCACGTGTAGATGGCAGCACAAGGTGCAGGATGGCCTCGTTGTCACCCGATCGTGTGGGAATAGTGGGCACGCCTTTGGAGCTATACACTCTAGCCCACACCACACAAGCTGCGAGAGTTACGACTGCTTGCCAGAGAAAAATTGGGATGGGTGACGAATGGCAGAAAAATTGGTCGTGTTTTCATTTGCCACATGGAAAAAAGGGCCTTGACGTCGACAAGTGGCGACAAGTATGTGTCAGAAAAAATGTTTCGCAAACCAATGGATGCATGGACCAACCATTGCATGTCCTGCTGGATGCTGCGTGCACGCAACGCGATGCGTCGCGTGAGCTCATCGATGCCTTAGCAGCTGTCCAGAACGTTGATGTGAATGAGGCCGAGGCATGGGCCGATCAACTGAGGAAAGAAGTTGCTAGTCCACAAAGCGATCGACGCATACAAGTGATGGCGCTGGTGGGGTTCGTGTGTCTAGCGAATGCGCCCCTTGCAATGGGTCTTGTAGATGCATCACTCTTCGATATGCTTGCTTCACTTACGAACGCGTCTTCAAACGAAATAGAAACGTGTGCCATGGCGCATTTGCTCAGTGAAGGAGCGTCTCACACTGCGCTACGGTCCAAGCTTGCTACGCGACCCAGCATAGAACATTGGCTCTCCGCGCATGCCCAGAGCTCCCTCACCGATGAACGTGTGCAAGTGTGTCTTGACCTCGTGCGCATCAAGTTCGCGATCGGTACCAATAAAAGGCAGCATGCCCTTTCCCTGCCATTTGACACATGTAAACTGATGTTCGAGACATTCTGTGCATTCCTCGAGTCGGCCTCTGTGTATGAAAAGCAGGAGCTTCTGTCATTTGATCCAGCGCAAGTAGCCATAGCTGACGCGCTCGAGGGTTTGTTCTATCTTGTGTCGATGCCTGCGCTGCGTGTGGCGTTGAGTGAACGGACTCGGACGCTGCATGTTCTGGCCCTGTTCCTTGGGGCGTCAACAAAGAGAAAGACCCTGTTCCCCCCGCGTGGGTCATCCAACAGGGATCACAGCAATAGTGAAGATCTCTCTCCTTCCGATGACGGCAATATCAATCGTCTTTCTGTGTATGATGATCTCGATATGCAAACGATCTCCACGGGACCGACACATGCATATGTGGTAACGTCGATCCTCACTACCATGACGGCATACCCGCCTGTGCTTAGCGCGCAGGATCGGCAGATCGATGCACTGCGTCGCTCAGCTCTCAAGCGTGCGAACCCACACCAAGAACATGGCCACAGTGCTGATGCTCAAGAGCATAGTGATGCTGAACATCTCGCACCCACTGCTACTGCGAAGCGTGTGCGTCTGCTAGTCGAGGCGGGTCTCTTACCTTCGCTTGTTGCCCTGGCTATGGCCCCATCGACGGCAAGCGACTCGCATCTCGTGCCGCTGCGTCGGCAGCTTCAGCTCCTGTTCCTCTCTCTTGTAACGGAGCAGGATGCAAAATTCCGTGGTCGTCTTCTTCAACAGGGCATCAGTCGGGCGCTCTTGTCGCTGTCGCAGCAAGTATATGCGAGGGCGACATCGTCGCCGACGACTGTGGAAGCGGATGATCTTTTGCCATTTCAGGCGCTTGCCAAACTCAGCATATCGACCAATCCTGCACTGATGTACGGCCTCGATGGTACGTCAGCACGTGCTGCAACATATCTCGCCGTGCTGTTTCTTGCGCCGTCGTCCTCATTGCTGCAGGTATTTGAGGCAGCTCTAGCTCTTACGAATCTTGCGAGCATGTCGCCTGCGATGGCAACGCTTGTTGCCCACACCTCATATGGGCCATCGGAGCATAAGGATGTGGCTAATGCCATTGTGCCGATGTTCTTGCAGTTCGATTCAGTCATGCTCCGTCGTGCTCTCATGGAGCTACTTTGCAACTTGGTGCAGGACGAAAGTGTATACGCACATTGGTCAGGCGAAGGCGATTTGGATACTTCTCGTGAAACGGACATCAAGCACAATGGCGACGAACAGAATGGCGATCTTGTTGTTGATGACCGTTCACCTACCTCTGCGGCGACTCTAGATGCGGCAGAGTCAGTTCGTTCCTCTACTCTTCGTTTGCACACTGCTCATGGGCGTCTACAATTCCTACTCACTTTGTTGATGGTACCTACAGATGCTCATGAGACAGCACTTGTCAAGGCTGTAGCTGGTCTTGTTGCAATGCTGGGAGCTTCACCAGTCACCTGTGAGCAACTCGTTCATATGCCGCATTCAAAGCTGCGCAACGTCGCTGACCTTCTTGAGTCGACAGAGCTCTCGCCCATGGATACACATGAGCTTGCGATCCGGACATTGACCATTGTCTCGTGCATGACTGACTATGCCCAGTGGCTCGGCCCATCCGCACGGACTGACAGCATACGTCGCGTCCTTAAGGTGACTGGTCTCGTTGCAGCTGTGCAGCACTACCTGCAGCGTCACTTGACGTCTACAGCCCGTGCACAGCAAGACGACGTTGTCAGCGTACAAAAGCACGCGGTGACCCTCGCTGTCAGCATATTCAAGACTATGGCCACGTGGAACGAAACGTGCGCTATTAAAGTGGGCGCTTAGCGTGTATCGGAACAAGACCACGCATCTACTGCAGCGTGGCCATCTGTAGATGTATTCGATGGGCGTGTGTCACCCTGACTCAAACGATCCAGTATTCACGCTATAGAGCTTCACCTACGCCCGTTAGCGGATCCGCACAGTGACTGAAGGCACCTCGACATCCTCGCCATTGCGGTCGTCGGCCATGATCTCAATGCTGAGGAACTCGTGGCACTGGTCAATAGGTTTCTTGGTGACATGCTCAACCAGCTCGCGCATGCGCATCGGCAGACGCTCCTCCTTCTTCTTCGGTGGCATGAAGTCCGCATACAACATCGCCATGTTGCCTGACACGAGCGTGATGTCCAGGCCATGCTTGTCGTGGAAGTACTGGATAAAGTCACGCAAAGGCATATCATCGACCTCAAAGCGCGACCAGAGCGTCCACTCTTCATCGTTGAACTTGTGCACGGGCGCCGGCATGGGATCACTGAATGCAATGAAAGGAAGGGCCAAGTTTACAAACGCATTTGAGTACGACTCGAGCTTTCGCTTGTGGTCCAGTAGTTTATAAAGCTCCAAGTTTACAAGTCCTGTCACAAGCGCAGTCGTCGTGGCAATGGCGGGAATGATCTTGCCGGCAATACCCTTGGTGGTGTAGCGATCCACAGGCTCAATCTGGTAGTTCGTCGCACGCAGATTCGAGGCGGCCGTGATGAAGTCGATGTGGTGGTTCGTGTCATCGTCCTTCTCGAAATCGGCCGGGCTCATCCGGTAGCCGGCCATCGATGATGGCGCTGGTAGGGTCGAGGCGACTTCCTCTACATTTGCCTGATCTTCCGCCGCATTGCTGCCACCGCCACTTGTCGGCGCCGGATCGTTGTCATTGATCTGTACCTTTGCTTCCCGCGGCACAAACTCCGGCACTCGCACTCGCGATGCGACGTCCGCAATGTGTGCCACGTCCGTCGAACCATGCAGGCCATAGTTGAATGCATGGATGTTGGCCGCCGCCACAATATAGGCCAAGTGCAGTTCGTTGTGAGCGTCAAACACAAGCGGCTTCGGTGCACGCTTTGGTCCACTCCAGAACGGTTGGCCTGTGGTTGTCTTCGCATCAGGCGGCAAGTTGAACAGCAACTGCTTGATGATGTTAACATAATTCTCTTCAAACTTCAGTCGCGCCCACACAATGCAGGCATCAAATGTCTGTGGCCTAGCATCAACCAAGTATTCCTTGATCTGCTCGACTTGTTGGGCATAACCCGAGTCTCCTGCTGATGCAAGGGAAGACAGGTAGTCGCTCTGTGTCAAGTACTGATTCACATTAGCAGCTGGCTTCTCAAACAACTCGTCAAATTGCTCACGAGCCCACTGGATCGTGTGCTCAATCTGGTTCGGGAAGTTCTTGAGCGTGCATACGGGGATGGACTTCTCAGGCGGGTCCTGCGACGATGAATACGACTCCGTCAGGTCAGGCACCACGACCTGTGTGTTTGCCTTTGTACCCAGAGTGCCGGACTCTAGCAAGGGCTTACGGAAAAACACGCAGCGACTGTCCATGTAGTGACGCGCTGCCACGTTGTCAAGCGCATTCGTAACGCCATCAAGCCCATCGAAAAAGCTCCGGTCGTACACGTTCTCTGTCTCTGGTCCAACGCGGTGCTGGAATGTTGTGATCTTGCCTTTCAACTCTGGGTTCATGTCTACAACAGCCTCGGCCGCGGTGTCAGACTTGAACTTGCCGACGTCCTTCGTGCGGAAGAGGAACTGCCGGTTCAGATTGCTCTTTTCAATTGTGTCTAGGTCCGTCACAAAGATCTGGCCCTGTGGACCTGTTCCAAGCCCCATCATACTCCAATTCTTCAGCATTTCGCAGCCGATGGCACCACTGCCGACCAAAAATTCACGCGTATTGGCGATGCGCTCCTGGAACTTTTTTCCGAACACAGCAATCTGTCCATCGTACCGCGACCCGATAGGGGCAAATTCAGACTCCGGCAGCGATGGCACTTCTTTCGGCAAAGCTTCCAGCACGTCCACGTACATGTGCTGTAAAAGGGGATGGAATTTGCCACTGCAAGCCTTCAGCACCTCCTGTGCAACAAAGCCTCCAATAAACGCGACCATAGGTGACAAGTCGCCAGTCGCTTGGAAAGCGAGTTCAGTGGTGAGCCAGGTTGCAAGTTTGTTCGCCTCCTCGCCCTCAGGCAGCTGGCCGCGAGACTGAAGAATCGCCTGAGCTTGCTCAACCACGGCACGAGCATCTTCCTTACTACGGGGGCGAGGTGAGCGGCCGTGTTGCTCCTCGAACGACGACAGTGCCTCAAATGCTGCATGCAGAATGATCGGCCGATCCATTTTCGCGAAATCGGATATGATGCACTCCGGCGCCGTAAGGCTTTCACGCAGCGACTTGAAGTTCAGAAACTCGGGCATCTTCACTTGCTTGAACAGACCGCCACCTTTGTATTGACCAAACGAACTTGTGTCGCCGATCGTGAATGTGTAGGGTCCTTTAACCGTGACACGACGAGGCTCGATTCCATTCAACTCCGTCATGCCCTGCACTTCCGAAAACGTCACAAAGTCACCATCCTGCAGCCCATGGCGCTTTTCATCAATGGTCGTTACAAGACCCTCCTTATCCTGGGTGACTGACACGACAATTCCATCCATAGGTGGCTCCCCATTCGTATCCTTACAAGTAAAGTTTGTGCCCAGGTCTGCAAACACTGTGCCGAACAAGCCTCGCACATCCGCCGACAAGAAGTGTGTGCCTGAGCCATGGGTCATATCATTCACGCGCAGCTGCTCACTCAGCAGAGCATGTGTCATCACTACTACCTTGAACGACTGTAGCGTCTCTTTATCAAGTGAAGGCACATCAAGCGCCTTGACGGGCACATAAGAATTCAACTCTGCAAGACGTGACGCAGTCGCAGAGGCGCGCGTCACACCAGGCTTCCCAACATCTTCCTTTCGCAGAAAGAATTGTGAGCTCAGATCGCTCATCATGACAGGGTTAGGGTCGTATAAGGTGACACTCTTCACACCCGCGAGTGCAATATTCTTAGCAATCTCTGCGCCAAGTCCAAGCGCACCGACGATCAGCACATTGCTGGATGACATTTGCTTCATAGCATCGTGTCCTAAGACGTACAGCTGCCGGCTATACAGCGACTCGTCAATGGTATCTTTCGAGGACATGATCGATGCGGAGCTGAAAGTGTCGTCGAGTAAGCAGCGCATCGCCACACAATTTTCACCAAATCTGTCAGTCCTGAGGGTGCCACACGGGCGCCCGCTGCTGTGTCGCCTGCTATTCGCTCGATATTTTGGCCTACAGCCCGCCGGCCACGCTTGCCTGATGGTCCACCCCCACCGACACCCCAGCGGGTTGATTACGCAATTATGCTTATATAATACTTTTAAGTCGCTGCTTCTGCCTCATCGCCCATTATTTAACTATTTTTGAGCGCCGTAGCGCCATTTAACCCTGACGCAGCTAATAATATCCCAATCACGAGAGGCCCTGATTGACGGAGTCAAACCCAAACGGATTTGGCTCGTTTGTGCGTTTACATCTCTTGAAGTTTGCTGGGGAGAAAGGAAGGAGGCTGTGAGTCGATTTTGTGCTCCTGTCTTTTGATCCTGGGTACAAGCGCATATCTTGTTGAACAACATGTCTGAGTACGACATGCACATGTCGAATACCAGCCGCTCCACTGGCCCACACAGTCGGCGTAGGCAAGGCTCACATTTTTCCGCGAATACTGGCAGCCTTGCTGGCGTCCCAACGGCGGCTGAAACTGCTACAGCTGGTCGTGGCCACGCAAATGGGACCGAGTCGGCCCCTGTTGTCCCGCAGCCGCCCACGCCACAGCACATGAATATTTCCCTGAAGGATCTAAACGGACCATTGACAGGAGATAGCGAGTTGGGCGGTGCACCTCCCAGTCCTAGCACACTAACAGACATAATCTTGTCCTTACATGCATCTTTATATGGTGCAAAGCGGCAAGTAGATGAAATCCACGAAATGGTCCGGCGCTACTATGACGTGAATGCAGTGTTTGACAGTCCTCTTGTTTCTGCACATGGGCGCGATCGTATCATTGACCAGTTCGTGCTCGCTTTTGCTCTGCCCGGACTTGAGGTTCGTTCTGAGCTAAGAGATGTGATTTGTAGTGACTTTGAATTCGACGGCACACGTGCGGGTATCATTGATCACACTATCACTGTCACGTTTTTCCCCAACCTCTTTGGCTCTTCTTCACAAGAACAAGATGTGGGCATACACACACCTGGAACTAGCCACGGCAATGTTACGCCGCACCCGTTCTTAAACTACCCCACGTCTGCCGGTCATCAGGGTGCTTATCCGATGCGGCGTCATAGCTCCGGCTTTTTCTCCAGTCCACGAACCCCATCCACGCCTTTTTGGCAGCCGAGTAGCTCGTACGTCGGCGGCTCGAATTGGAACACACGACCACGCCCGCCCGCCATAATGCAGCAAGGAAGCATGCCATCGTCACAGGCTCAGTCATCTCATCTGTCACTTAGTCCAGGTGTGATTGACTCACATGGGCCATCCTTACCGAGTCCGCGCGACGGCGTCAGAGCAACTTGCACGCCTGTGACACCCACCACACCTGTCGCTCGAATGATGTCTTCGCCTGTGCCTGCAATGCCTGTTGATGCCGCAAAATCTCATTGGAATGCACCCCAAGGCCTTGGTCGACGTTCGGTGTGGTCTCTATTGTACGACTTGTTACGTCCGTCTCAGGCACTGCGGATCATTTTTTCTCTTGAGCTAAGTCTTTTCAGTCGCTTGGAGTTCAATGAGGCTGGGCGGATCGTCCGTCATGAAGATACCTGGAGTGTGCGAGAATTGGTCGTTGGCATGTTACCGTTCTTTTCCCTGTGTATGTATGATGGTTGTTGTGCATGAACTAACGCGATATCAGTCTATAATATCCAGCGATTCATTCTTGGATTGTTTGTTTCAGTTTGGGTGCGATTTCGCCAAGATAATATAAGGTAAAGCAGGATATGTATGGTGATAACGTGTATGCTACACCGTCTCGTCGCCTGACCGGGCTCCTGCATCCATTGTTCTTGTTGTTGTACATAATATTCATACCTAGAGTTCATGTCTTGTGGAGGTGGAGTCCCACGTTAGTCGCTTCTCGACTGACGCATGGACTTTTATCTGCTTATGCAAGTGGATGTTCGCCGAGAATCTAACTGTTCCTTGTGATCAAGATTTTATAAGGATGTCGTTCAGAGTCTGAAGTTTCGTTTTCCTTACCCCACCCTATCTTTTTCAGCGACCCTCTCGCTTTCTCTCTTGCACCTGTTGTGTGCCAACTGGCTTGGTACACTCTCCCTTAAACCCTTTGCATATCCCCTTATTCTATCCCTGCAAAGTTCTTTTTCCAGACACTGGTTGTCTTGTTCCCCACATCCTGAACTGTTCATTACATTATCCAGACCATGAAATTCTCCGTGTTTGTTCTAACAGCTATTTCAATGGCTGCCATTAGTGTGCATGGTGTGCCTATTGATGTACGTGGAGAGCATGCGCATTCATCGAGTTCGTCGGCTGGCCCGACGTCCGTTGAGGTGCAAACGGAAAATACCAACAATTTGGGTCTGGGATTGAATAACCTTCAGCAGACAGCCGATGGTCAGCACCCTGTTATTCTGAGTGGTGTAGCGAATGGGCTTGCTGGCTTCCCGCACCTGTCCAGCAAAAGTAAGAGTCAAAGTCAAGGTCATGTCAAGACAATCTATCACAATGATAACGTTCTTGGCACTGTTCCGACGTTGGAAGAGTTTCGAAGTCAGGGTCACCAAAGAGTCATTGAACAACTCAAAGCCGAAACGTCTCAGGGAAGTCTTTCGCCTGAGCAACTTGCTCGAGTCAGTTCCTCTTTACGTGTCCTTACCGCCTCCAAGACTGCAACTTCTACGTCGTCGTCCTCAGCCAGTAAGGCGACCAAGACAGGTCACACTTCGCATCACGAAAAGCACAGCAAACGACCTAAGCATTCAAACAAGAAGAATGGTTCACAACGCTCATATCATGCTAACCATGTAAGCAAGGCGCGATCAAGCAGGAACTCGTTTATGCGGCATGCCTCAAAGCACCCGAAGACGACGTTGTCGAAGCAAGCAGTGAGCCCAATGCCAACTGTCTCATTGCCAAGCAAGTCGTCGGCGTTACTCGCTTCGATTTCTAGCGTTGCCCAGTCCTTACTCAAGCGCGACGAAAATGTACAGTCGAACGTGTTTGAGGCCGTGCAATCGATTTCGGATGGCAGCACAGTCGCAGATGTCACTTCATCGACTGCCACTGCAACGACCCGAGTGGATACTGCTTCTGCCAAGCCAACATCATTGGCATCAAAAAAGAGGAAGGGCATGCGCCGTTGCCGCCCGCGGTCTTCAAAGAAGGTGGCTGATAACAACAACAACATCAATGCTTACCAGACTGACGATAGTGACAACAGTTCTCCTAGCTCGACTTCGAACAGCAAATCAGGCAAGTCCGACTCCTCTTCAAGCTCTCACTCGAGCAAGCACCATGACCCCAAGTCAACCTCGATGTCAAGCTCTTACTCGAGCAAGCATCACGGCCACAAGTCAAACTCGATGTCGAGCTCTCACTCGAGCAAGCATCACGGCCACAAGTCAAACTCGATGTCGAGCTCTCACTCGAGCAAGCATCACGGCCACAAGTCAAGCTCTTCCAGCTCTAGCCCAAGCAGCCACCACCACCACCATCACCATCACCATCACCATCACCATCACCATCATACAAACTCGTCCTCTTCTAGCACTCCTTCAGGCCATCACCACCACAAGACAAGCTCATCATCGTCGTCTCGCAGCTCGCCAAGCTCGAGCTCAAGCTCTAGCAAGAGTCACAAGATGAGGTCTTCTTCGTCAAGCAACTCGCCAAGCTCGAGCTCGAGCTCCAGCAAGAGTCACAAGACAAGGTCGTCGTCGTCAAGCAAGTCGAGCTCGACGTCATCAGATCGTTCCTCCACCTCGCCAACCTCCAGCTCTAGCTCAAGGGCCAAGTCCACCACCTCCTCGTCATCTTCAAATGAGCATGGTGTGACTGTGTCGCAAGGCAGCTCGGAAGATTTGCATGGGGCGAAGACAATGTCTTTCTCTGATGATGACTCTGTCGGTCAGGAAGCCTCAGACATTTTTGATCAACTTCTTAACTAATGAGACATTGTGGTTGTTGTACACATAACCGTATATATTTGTACACACTTGTTGGTAGTCTTGTAAATGCTAAGATGATGAGTTGTTCTATTATCAAGCTGTACAGAAACTACGTAAGGTCGTAGGGTGGTTTTTCACGAACCGTGAAGTAGAAACAAGAGTGATAGTTATTCCTGGTGCTTTTACGCGCACGCCAAAATAGCGAAATGCCACGGCAAACATACGTCCAGTCCCGGCCATCGAGCTTTTGTCATACACTCCAAGGCATACAAATGCAGAACAATGTCGTGAAAATAAGCATCCATCTCATACGTGTCATGGGATTGTAAGAGGTGAACTGCATACACTCCATGTGTCATATAGGCTGAGCGCAACACAGGGAGTGGCTGGCCCGTGTGCAATGCCATAGGCATGTCGGCCATATACACAACTTGTGGCTGTGCATGTGGCTGTGTGTGGATTAAAGGCCATGCATTTGGCTCAAGGCACAGTAAGCCCACCGACAAGATAAAGGATTCTTTTCGACTTATCACAAATTTCCATGTCTGCATCTCTTCAGCTGGCATGTCACTGAATCGTCCGATCACAACATGCCATGTCGCAAAAGTATCAGCAAGCACGCCGCATATCACCTCCCATGCATGCAAGATATCTGTTTGAGCATCAGACGCGTCCCATACGCGACATACAAGTCTTTGAGCCCTGTCATCCGTACAAACGACACGCACCACCGGTGCAAGTCTATCGTAGGCGACATGCAGCACAGCACCTTGATGCAAGGGATCGTGCGATGACTGCAATGGCCACGCCAACGCGAAAGATATCTTCTCTCTTAAGTAATGACATACTTCAAATGTGCGGGGCGCCAATTGAAACACACGATGAAGTGGGTCTTCATAGGCCGCCCACACCAAGCTTTGTCGGATTGGATAGGCCAACAGGTCGTTTTGTGGCACAGGAAGAAGGGTGACATCAGCTCTAGGTTCCGGCCAGGCACTGTACAGGCGTTCACACGCCCTTCGATCATCATACACTAAGATCACAACAGTATGGCCCTTGGCGAGACTAGGTGAGGAACCGTGAGTCCAGGTGCCCTCCTTATATTGCCAAACGTGCCCCAAAGTTAACGTACCGAGTGATTGTGCCGAGTATTGATCGGCTAGGGCTTGGAGCCATGCCCGAGCTGATTCGAGGGGAACGGTTGAGTCGACCAGCACAAGATGTGCATGAATCATGCGTTTGCCAGCGACAGGCTGCAAGCCGAGCTGCGTCCAAAATGGCAAGGCTGTTATATGAATCTGCACGAATGACTGCTGGCAGCCAGCAAAAATGCTGGGAATAGGAAGCGGCTCACTTTGCACCTGTGCTGTGAGCACAGGTTCAGCATGCCGAGGCAAGTTTAGCGAATGCTGAGCGTTTGCTGCGTACAGTGCAGTCCATGCTAGACGCATACGCATGGCACGTGTCTCGCTTACGCGCGAATATGTTGGTTTCTGTTCAGGGTATGCGGTGCTAGAGCGCAGCCGAGTCAGACATAATGAACGCTGGACTATGGAGGGAGTTCCAGCGAAATCTGTCTCGTCGTCGTCGTTCGACTCGTCGCTTTGGAACATGGGCGAGATGGATGTCCATGCAGCCATGTTGCCACTAGCACTTTGTGGCGACGTGAACGAAAAGCGGGGCGACAAGCCAATGCGGGTTACATCGTCCGAAGAGCGCCATCGGCCTCCTGGCGTGAAGAATTTGCCATGTTCATCATACTTGTGCGTAAGCGCATCTGGACAGGTCATGGGTGTGGGTGATGTTGGAGTGGGAATGTTGGATGATCCCATAGGGTCGCATACAGGTTGCGCGTGTGCATTCGGTGGTTCAATGAAAGCACTCAAAGTTGTTGGCATTTCAAAAAAACTCAATTCGTCTTGAGTTAGCTGACCAATAGAACTGAATACACCTTCCATATTATCTTGCATAAGTGATAGCGGCGAATTTTTATTTGGGGTTTGCATGTGGCTAGGCTCCGCGATGCGTTCTGAAGCTATTGTACATAGAGGAGACTGCTGCAGTCCAGGCCCCGCCTCAGACATCACGTCTGGCTCTGCGGCATCGGAATTAGTGTGCCAAGTCTCCGAGTCGAGCAGCTGCGCTGCTGAGTACAATGGCCACGGTGTCCGAGTCGTTTCGGTGTGTGAACTTTCATCTCGCAAACATAAGGCCAATGGCCATAGCACTGTGCAAAGGGTTGTTCGAGGGTTGACCCCCGTACGCATATCAGATGCGTCCACCGGCAAAGACGGTGGTGGCTCCCTAATCGAAATGCGAAGGACGGCGACATGTGAAGAGTCTTGATTTGATAAATGCAAGAAAGAGTCGTTAAGCACTGATAACACATTCGACATGTGGGGCTCGGCTTGCGTTTCCACACATGTTGAGAGTAAAGTCGCTCGTTGCAATGAAGGCAACATTCGAACTTGTGTCTCACCAAGAACAACGTCGCGCGGGACTGCATCTGCTGGTGTGATCCGCAAGTCGAACGGCCTCCACTGGGTATATTCAGTGTTGGACATGACATAAAGGGTGTGTTGAGAGGTATAAGCGCGGAAAGTAGTGTAGCAGGCCAATGATGGCGCTTGAAACTCGCAAGAAAATGGGTTTAAACGAAGCAAGCCGCCAGCAACACGCGTGTTGAAACCATCATGTAAGCGGTCAGCGATGGCGTTGCAAACGGCACGTAAAAAGAACGTGTGTGACTGCGGGAGAGGGTCTGCTGCGTGCGCAGCTGAGCCGGGGTGGTGCTGTTGTTGCACAATATACTCGCCGGACGAATGTAGCAAAAGAGCCTGTAGGTAGTTTTCCAACTCCACGCTGAGAGTTGTGTCTGACCAAACAAACATCCAAAGTGCTTCGGGCATATCAGTGCCTTCGACGGCGTAGAAAGGAAGGCGGAGATGGGTGAGCCACAAAACAGCAGGCTCTCTCGTTTTAGGTGAGGCGATAAGCGCTGCTTGGAGTGTTTGCGCAACTTCAGCGATTTCGTCCAGAGCCACGCCCCGAGGCGCGACATATCTTCGCCAGCGGACCTTAGCCTGGGACGCAAGAGACACTGTTGCATATTCGCAAGTAACTGCATTCCCCTTCATGATCCTTCAAATTGTGCTCATTTCCAACGTGTTTAGAGAATGCGAAATGTGTGTCTTGTTGAGCGCAGGTTGCGAGACACGCTGACGTGTCAGAATGAGGATGCCCAGTGTCTCCTACCTGTAGGATGTGGATGATGACTCGAGTTTGTGTGGAGGAGAGTTCGGAAACTTTCATGCGAGGCAAGTGAGCATGCGATGATCGGGCGCAACGACTGAACGTTTTAGTAGCAGCAACCATTTACCAAGGCGTGTCGACACCATGGCGGATCATTGGACAAGTATTGCTCAAGTTCGAGGCTCAGAGAATCGTTGGTATGAAGCCAGTGAGTCATTTCTGGAAAAGGGTGGAAAAGATGGGACTCTTGAGGATCGAATTTGCTTGGGCAAGTACCTGGCGACTCTCGAATTGGACAAGTTGGATGAGAAGAAGCAAAGTGCATATCTCCGTATGGTCCTTGTCTTGTCGCGTGAGACAAGCACATGTGAACTGCTGAGCCACGAAAGCTATTTTAAGATGCTGCTGCGCTACTTTAATTACACCGGGTTCATGCATGGAGAAGATCTGCACAATAACACACTCTCTATTCTTTGTAACATCATGAGTTTGTGCGATAAAAATCAAGAAATTTTTGCTAAGGAAATCGGCTGCAATCTAGTATATGCATTAGATGACCTGAATTTCGGTCCGACAGACGAGGAAAAGTATGAAGGAAAAATGGGCAAGTTCACACTAGTTTGCTTGGCAGCATCATTCACGTCTAGCACCAACTTTTTTGCTGGCTTCAATTTTCTTACAATGTCAGAGTGGGCCATGTATGTTGAACAGCATCTGACAAAGAATCTGCCCCCAAATGATACAGCAAAAAATTCTTGGGATCCACCTCGCTACATCATATTGTTGCTGATGGTTTCTATGCACATCGCACGCACTGAAAAAGTTCGCAATTGGACTAGCTTTGTCCCAGCAATGCAAGCATTTTACTACATGAAACTAGGCTCTCCGTTTATTGTCACAGATGGTCTTTTTGCAGCCCTGCTTGTTATAGCGCTCACACAATCACGTATGCGCGATGATGACAAAGAGAAACTGCCGCCCATTCACGAAATTGCAGACAAAATTGGGCTCATTGTCTTTTCGCTCCTCGAGCGATATATTAAGGAAGATGGAAAATTGGACATGGATCTTTTCAATCAAGAACGGCCCAACGGTTACTTCGACCTCATATTTGCAAGCCCCCTCGAGATTATGAAGATCTTGTTGATGACGAATCCTACTGTCAGGGCCGCAATCGAGCCTCATTTTATCGAGGGCACGTCAGAAGAATCACGCGGCATGAAGCCCCGATGCTCTCAGCTTGCTCAATTCATGAGTCGCCAAAAGACCAAGTCCGAACTCTCGCCAACATTTGCTAGTTGCATGTTTCTTTTGAGCGACTGGCGGATNCCCAGACATGTATGCCCCCAATCGGGTTNNTNGGTGATGAAGCTTGCGCGGGAGTTCCTCGCTGAATACTACAATTCACTTTTGACTCTGAGCAAGAAGCATGAAAAGAAAGCTGAGGAGCCCATTGCTCAAGTGCAAGTGCATGAAGATGGGGAAGAAGTGCCTGGATCGCTTTCTGTCGACGAGCTCACTGACAGAATCAGGGAAATTGAAAAGGATCTAGTGCCTCTGCTTACTGGTTCGGATGATCCACTCTACTGAGGTTGACGAGGAAATTTTGAACCGTATCATGGAAGGACTTGGAGATCATCCGGGTCGCTATGAGGAGGAATTTATCGATGACGACCTATGACTTGTTTCCTATGAATTCACGCATGGTGCAGAGAAATCTCAAGCCACTTTTTTCTAAAAAAAGAGCCTGTTATTTTATTTGTTTGTCCCATGCTTTCTTTTCGGTCTGTAGAAGGTTAGGAAGCGCAAACATGTCCATAAAAACATGTCTTGCTCAGGAGCTCGAAATGCATATTATTTCTCCTCGCCCATTTAGCATAGAGAGTGGAGGCGCCAAATTTTCGTGTTCTCTAAAGATGCGTCTTCGCTACTACGCGTTCAAACGAGCGATGCCTGAGTGGCCCAGCAGCTTTACTTTCCCAGCCTCCACTTTCATGTGCGATGGTGGCACACGTCGCAGCGGCCACGGCTCGACAGCGTAGGGCAGCGCGACGAGCATCGATCCATTGGCGCACACACACACTCCTCTCGTTGGCTGAGAGCATTCTAGGACATGCTGCTCTCGTTCGTGAGGCCAATGTGTTGTGCATGCGGTTGGGTCTCCATGTTCGTTTGCAGCTCGGCGTGCTCAGACCCTGGCCTTGGGCTGAATTACATTCACAGCATGATGGTTTGGAGCTCGATGATATACGAACACATACATGCATCTCTCCATGTGCCACACCAAAAGCCATTGTTCGTGTAATGGACCTTGATACATGCACCATTCAAATCTGGTCTTGCACGTTTCTTGTACATCAAGTGCGCATATGGCAGCGCAATCTGTGCTATGCAAACACACATGCTGTATGACATCGATGCACATGCTCAAGTAATGGGTCAGAGCCGCGCACGCTTCGTGCCTGTTGCACGCGTATGGATTCCCCTCATTGCTTGTGAGCTCACTGTGCCGATTCTCCCTTTGCATGGCGGAAGCGATGTACTGGGCATGTGTCAAATCCAAGTCACCTGGCTTGCGCAGCATCGTGCCTGTCGTATCAAAATTAGCGATGTTCATGGATTGTCGTCAAATGACTTGAACGTCGTGCACTGGCAGCTCCGGTTGGGCTCTCACACGTATGCGACGCAGCCTGTTGACTTGCATTGGCAAGACCCACAAGCGACTTGCATGCAGCATACATGGAAGCACGCGTGTTGCAAGGAATGGCCCGATGCAGTTGTTGCGACGCTTTTCGCTCAACCCACACGGACTTTTCTTACAAAAATCGAGGCACAAGACCAGAGGATCGAGCTCGAAGCTTTGCGGAGTCAAGTGTCAGCGCATGCAGCTCAGGATCTTGCGCAAGTTATGTGTGATGATGAGGATAAGACTGAAAGCAATGACATTCGTCCGCGGCATGGCTCCTTTGCAGGTAGCTCGTGTCGCAAACACGAGCGACATCGTCGCTGGGAACAGTGTTACGGAGTGTCCATGCGGATCCACCTCCAAGAAGAATCTACGTGGTTGAATCTACAGCAACAATGCATTGTTCCCTTGCAACATCATTCACGTCATCCATGCTCAGTGCCATCCTGGCTTCTTCGCGATGCACCAGCGCACCTGGTGTGCGTCACACTTACAAAGCCGGCTACGGGAACTGTGCCCTGGACGCACATTAAGCGGGCGCGGATGGGAAACGTTTCGCTTGTCGATGCGCGTGGCAAGGAGCGTGGACATGATGCTCGCTTCGTACCTCTGCAGCGTGTGGGAGTATCGACGACGACGACGAGTGACCAGTGTTTGTGCTTGCAGCTGCTGTGGCACAGAGCAACGCATGATGTACCCGAGCCTCGAGCTTACTTGGATACGTGGCATGCGACGCTATGTGTTGACGTTGCTCACGACTGGGGTATGCCTACTCTCACATTCACAACACATGTGCAGCTCAAATGGCAACGTGTGCAGGGTACTGTTCCAGCCATGTGGGATTTGACACTCTGTGCAGGCGAGCATGTCATGTACACGCACTATTGCGTGCGTTGGACTCCCACTCGTGCCCACCGTCTTGAGGATCTCTGGCGCGTAGACACACGGACTATTCAAATGCCTGGCAGTCGCCTTTTGGGCTCCTCGTGGCACGTCCGTGGCTTGTCGCTCGTGCGTGACTACCTCGCCGAACTAATATGGGCACGCCGTCTTTTACATGCCCTGTGGCGTGGCAAGCCAGAAGAAGTACCTCGGTGGGAACCGGTCCAGCATGGCCGTGGGGAAAACAACAACGATTCATTCGCGATGCTCCGTGCGCATTGGCGTGGCCTAAGCGCGGCAAAAAGCGAGGCGTTTGTCGGATCGGCCGAAATCGCCGATACCTCTGTGTGCACGATGCGTGGACCGCTCACGATTCAGACCGATACCAGGAACGATGTGTGGAGCCAAGTCTGGTGCGAATTGCGAGGGTACGTGGGAAAAGAACGATTCGGCTATGGTTGCTAACGACAGTAGCTCATTTCTACTAGTGCGCCGCGTTCCACAGAGTCGCGTGCTTATGCTCAGTTTGTTCTTGCACCGCGCACACGTTGCATGCCTCGCTACAAATTCTGAGCATCCGTATTCATTTGCCTTGTACACATCGAGCGATTCCCATGTGCTTAGTGCCAGTTCCGATGCGCTCCGGACAAAGTGGTTGTAAGTGACAACATTGCTGCCTGCTGCGATCAGCGCGACGACGCGTGTACTAACTCATGCTTTTTTAAACAACGTACTATGTGAAGGCAGGTCCTGGGTGCGCCATTGTCTCCATGATTCACGTGACATATGGACTCGGCCGACGCATACTCATTTACGCGAGGGCGCGTGCGTTTGGCAACAGCGAATTAGATTCCGGGTGTCGCCTTTTTTTTCTGGCATTAGAGCTCGAACAAACCAAGATCCCCGCTCTCTAAGCCTTAACAGTAATATCTACGTCCCTACGTCGAATCAAGCACCCAGTTGTGCAAGATACCCTGAAGAGTCAGTGAGATCTTTCTCTTCGACGACTTGCGTGTGCAAGGCATCCCATCGTCTCGTGCGTTCTGGAAGCGCTCATGGATGACGCGCACTTGACACCGGGGCCCGTCCATTCTGTCCGACATGACCAACATGAGCTGGCTGTACGTCGGAAGCGTATGCTTGACGAAGATGAAGACACGGACCATGAGCTCATCACGCCTAAGCACTTGCGCGAATCGTACGAGCCACGGCAACATGTTGCTCTTGTCGGTTCGGAGCTGCGCCCCGCTGTCTTCAACATGCCGAGCACCGTTGCCTCACGACTCTCAGAGCGCGCGTCGCCAACGAAGCCAAAGCGTGCACCTTTGCTTTTCTCACCCAGGGATCTCGAGCACTCACAGCGAGCGGCGCATCGAATGGAGCAGGTATTGGCTCTGCCATACGTCTTGGATGCACAGCTTGATCTACCCACCTCTTTCCAGCAACTTATCATATATCACAAAGCTGTGGAACATTCTCTACTTGTGCATATGGCAACACATGGTGCGCCCGCAGCTGAGCCATGCACCCCGTCGTCACGCCAGCAAGTCGTGATCCCCAATGTGCTCACATTCCAGCGACTTAGACCTTTGGTCGAACGCACTTGCCGTCGGTCCTTCAGTGTCGCTGATTTTCGCCGACTAGTGTGGCTATGGTCTCACGCACCTGACACACCCGACATGCCTGGTCTTCATACGGGCGGCATGGGCTTTCGTATATCTCGTGTAAGCACAGTGGATATGCATACGTCTCGCAGGATGTACGACTGGGCTATTGGCATTGAAATGTCTCTCCATCGGATTCGTGCACCGCCTCTGAAGGTTCATTATGGCCCTTCACAGAACGGTACAAAGTCCTTGGAACGTCCACATTCGCCTTTGCAGACCCCCGCTAAATCACCCACGGCCTCCTCGCCGCCGCAGACACCTTCGCGTGATGACTTGAGTCACCTTGCCGTCTGGAATGCTGGTATTGACGAACGCCATATGGAGATAAAGTACCGTCTTACGCATCTGGTCGCCGCTGCGCATGCTCAGTGGCTTGGAGGGCATCCTGAGAAGTCTCTGGATGCGTGCTTGGAAAGCGGTTCTCCATCTTCACATGAAGCATTGGCCCTCGCTGTATCTTCCAAGATCGACCCGTCTACAGTCCGCACGCCAGGCGCTGCTCTTGCCCCGCCTTTGACTCCTACATCCACTTCAAAGCCGCGTTCGATGGCCCCTCAGGGTTATAACACGCGCGAGTCAGGTCTTTTGACTCCTGCTGCTTCTCGGTCCTCTGATGGACATGCTAAGCGTGTCGTGATGGATGTGTCAGAACTCTCGCCTCCTGCGAGTCCACTCGCGGCGCGTTCTCAACATTTGGAGACGCCTATGACGCCACCGTCTCCATCCATGCATGGGTCTTCTCCGTCCCTAAGACGCGTGTCTCGGCGCCTCGTCCGTTGGCACCCTGATTTTTCGCTTGACTCTTTGCCGCCTATACCCTTGGCTCAACTTCCGCCACTTGCGGCTCTTCCATCGGAGCTGACGAAATCTACTTCAACGACCTTGTCTTCCATGTCTGCCTCGGCGCAGTCTCCTATGTCCAAAGTCGTATCGACACCGGTGCAAGCTCGACCGCAATCGCTTGAGGAGCGTATTCGTGCCAAAGAACAGGCAATTCGGGCTTCCACTCAAGCATCAAATTCCATGTCTGCTCTGCAAGAGCGGTCTGTACTTTCGCGATTGGGCGAAATGGCCGATGCCATCTATGTTTTATATACTTCTCTGCCTAGCACGCAAGCTGCTCATGGCGATCGCCGGTCTAGTGTTCTGCCTTTGAATGACGTGCTGGCGTCCTTAGAGAAGTCTGCCCGTGTTGCCATGAGCCGCGCAGAGAGTCGTGCTTGCCTCGATAAGCTTATGCACATTGTACCCGGCTGGCTGGAGCCTTGCACGATCGGTTCACGTACTTGGCTCAAGTTGCACCACGATGCAGCTCCTGGACGTGGCCTGCGTGAAGTTCGCGAAAAGATCCATGCCGCCATGACAAAGTCTACCTGTAGATAAATACGTATGTGTGAGGACGATCATGACTGTGATTTTTATAGATGTAGTAATGAACCTTGAATCCATGTAGTTTTACTCTCAGTATCTATGGAGCTACTTCAGGCAGGAAGAAGGAAGGACCGTCCAGTTGAACTCACGCAAGTGCACGAAGAATAGCTCCTTCTACCTCAGACGTCGTAGCCTTGCCCCCAGGCAAGTCAGGCGTCAAAACCTTGCCCTGTGTCAGCACGGCATCGACAGCACGGTAAATGGCAAGTGCTGGCTCCGTGTATCCCATGTACTCAAGCATAAGGGCAGCTGAACGCACAGCTGCTATCGGGTTCGCGACGTTTTTACCACAAATATCAGGTGCGGATCCATGTACAGGCTCACCCATGATGAACGAATCGCCGGCGTTCACACTCGACACAAGACCAAGAGAGCCGACAAGCGCGGCTGCGCCATCACTGATGATATCCCCGTACAGATTCGGCGCAACGACGACATCAAACACATTAGGCTCTCGGAACATACGGTACACCATGCTGTCGACCAGTTGCTCGTCAAGCAAGATCCCTTCATAACGGCCTTGACCGCCATTCTCCTTCTTGTCGCTTTCGTACACAGCCCGAACAGATGTACGGAATAAGCCATCCGTAACGGAGAGAACATTTGATTTGTGGCAAATGGTCACTTTGGTGGGATCTTGACTGCCAGCCTTGGCACGCATAGTCTTGCGACTCAGGGCGACTTCCATAGCTTTCTTTCCAATCCGTGTCGATGCCGACTCTGTAATCTGGCGGATTGCACGCGCCACTTTCCCATTTGGTGTCTCTTCGAGCGTTTCTTGCTTAATGTATAGACACTCTGTATTCTCGCGAATCGTTACAATGTCCACAGGTGATTGAATTGGCGAGCCTGGCAGGATCGGTCCACTCACCGGTCGGATGTTGGCATACAGTCCAAGTTCTTTCCGCAAACGAACAATTGGGCTCGAGTATCCCTCAACCTTGTGGGATGGGCTCGATACTGATCCAAACATCGCCGCATCACACTCATTCTTCAGTGTGTCAATGGTCACCTGTGGCAATGCTTCCCCCGTGGTCTGAAAGTGTTCGAAGCCTGCCTGCAATGGCACGAACTCAAACTGCGGCGCGCCAGGTGCAGCTGTCATAACACGCTGCGCTACAGGCAAGACCTCACGGCCAATCCCATCAGCTGGAATCATACCAATTCGCATCGCTCGCTGCATGAGAATAGTGGATGGACGCAGCATTGTCGATGAGGGAGTCGGAGGCGAAAACGAACTCTTCCATCCATGTGAGTCCGGTTGCTTCCCCAAGCCAACACCTAAGGCCCCATCTTATCGGTCACGGCCAGGCTGTTTCGTCCAAGCAAAGCCTGCTGGACTGGACCAAGATGCATCGCTCCACGTGGTATGTTACGTAAACATAAGTCTCGCTGAATCAGAAAGTGTGCACATGTGTGTTCGAGCACAGGGCTGGGCGTGGACTAAGGCGCACAAAGAGGACGAGCAGGCACAGATTCGTGTGGGCAACTAGCCTTTCTCCGCTGCTGACGTACGCGTTCCCCTCTGACTCGATCTGAGTCTATTCAGTGTCAATCAAGCAGTCGTCTCTCTATCTCTACCCTTTCTTGCTTTAGCGACCTCATAAAGCATGTCACGCCACCGAGCCGTGCGAAACCTCGACTTGGATGAGGAACTTGCTGACGACTATGGCGACGACTATGATGTTCTAGGTATGTATCCATGGGCTTCCAATCCTAACCCGAAATCCAGACGACCTGTCTCCAGAGCATCAAGAGGCTATGGACGAGGCACTTCAGAAAGTCATGCAAACGCTTGGCAACCCAGAAGAGTGTGGTGTGAAGGAGCGAAGGATGAAAGAGGTACTGTGGGACTCCTACTTCGACGCACCCGTGGCTATCAACGCACTCATAGAGGAAAAGCAACGCGAAGAAGCACAAGCCCGTAAACGCGCAGGTACGTACTCCTTGCCCCATCGACACGTCGTGGTGCAGCGTGTGGTCGGGCTGACCAGTAGATGCGGTAGCGCCTCTGACTGGGACACTGAGCTCGCTGAATCAGCCCTTTTCACTATCGCGTCTGACGAACATCCCGCTCGAGAAGAATAGCACAAGCCCGTCATCCAGTCGTTCTTCGACGCCCCGCCCGCTCCCGCAGCAATCTTTGCCAGCACCTTCCCCAACCCAGCCTGAGCCGGGCAAGAAATTGTCCAAGCTGCAGCAAAAGATCCTCGCATCTCGTGAACGCAGAAAAGAAAGTGGATTGCCGTCAGCAACGCCCTCGCCGATTTCTCGAGCCACGAGGGCACCAGCAACTGCCCCTATGTTGGCGGCAACAGCAAGAGAGACAGGAGTTAAATCCCAGGCTTCCGACGATACACGCCCTTCTCGTAACGGCCAGTCGTCATCGCGAACACAGACGACGCCCTCTGGGACCGCGCTGCATGTGCTATTTCCACGCACTGCCCTATCCGAACGGCCATCGCGCTTCGGTAACATTGCTAGGAGACCATCGCATCACTTGCAGACGACGGCGTGCGGGGCTGTGAGCGTCTGTGACCCCGCTATGGCTGCGAGCGAGGTGGATGTACAGAAGCTGCGTGAGGCGTTCAGCGAGCTCAGTCCTGATGACCGTGTTCTTCAGGCCCGCACCGGCACGCGCTTGGTCAGCTAAGTACTAACGAACAGAAAAAGAAAAGAAAAAAGCGGAAAATGCACCTCTTCCTGCGTCTGTGCAAGAGCTACGTCAGTCTGTCATGAAGGTCAATATTGGGTCGCAGTCCCCATCATCAACCTCCTTGTCAAGCTCGTCAACACGATCACAACTGCCTCCTACACCGAAGCTTGCCTTTTCGCGTGAGCAGATCTTACAAGAGCTCCGTGTGCGTGAACAATCACAGCATCGAGAAATTGGGCTTGTTGTCGTGGGACATGTGGATGCAGGAAAGTCAACTTTGATGGGTCGCATGCTGGTTGAACTCGGAAACATCACAGAGCGTGAGCACAACCAGAATGTACGCAGCAGCTCCAAGGCAGGGAAGAGTAGCTTTGCCTATGCCTGGTCATTAGACTCGTCTGAAGAGGAGCGTGCGCGCGGCGTAACGATCGATGTGGCTCATGATACGTTCCGAACCAAGCATACTCTGTTTCATTTACTTGATGCACCTGGTCACAAAGACTTTGTACCAAACATGATCAGTGGCGCGGCGCAGGCAGATGCCGGGCTGCTGGTCGTGGACTCGATCACCGGCGAGTTTGAAGCAGGCTTCTCCCCGCAAGGTCAAACACGTGAGCATGCGACGCTTCTCCGCTCGTTAGGCTTGCAGCAATTGATTGTCGTTATCAACAAACTTGATGCCATGAACTACAGTCAACAGCGATTCGATGAGATTGTTTCTACGCTGAGTCCCTTTTTGTCTCAACTCGGTTTTGATGTGAACAAGTGCGTGCAATTTGTTCCCTGTGCTGCTATGATGGGAGAAAACCTGCGTGCTCGATCGGAAGAGGCCAGCCTTTCTCGCTGGTACACCGGCGTGACGGTGGCAGAAGCGCTTGATCGTCTTGAGCAACCCTCGCGCATGTACGAGTCACCTTTCCGCCTCTCTGTGAATAACGTGTTCAAGGGTGGCTCGCTAGTAAGCTCAGGACTGGGTGTAAGTGGCCGCATCCTAAGTGGATTTGTGCAAGCTGGTGAAGTCGTGCGTGTATTGCCTGGAGATGCTTGGGGCATCGTCAAGATGATTGAATGTGAGAATGATGCACGCCCATGGGCTGCAGCCGGCACGATTGTCACGTTGTATCTAACACACATTGAGCCCAATGAAGTTAGTGTCGGCAGCTTCCTGTGCCCACCAACGGCACTCGTCCCGCTTTGCAAAGAGATTGTAGTCCAGCTGCTCACGTTCTCGTTGGTGTACCCTATTCTCCCAGGGACAACCGTCGAGGTTTTCCATCACAGTGCGGAAATCCCTGGACAGATTGTCGAGCTCATAAACTTATTGGATCGTGCCTCTGGCGATGTGATACGGTCACACCCGCGTGTTATGTCTCGTGACGCGGCTGGCACGGTACGTGTCACATTGGGCCGTCGCGGTCGTGACGGCTCGGGCTTTCCGATAGAAGAGTTCAAAACGAACAAAGGCATGGCGCGTGTCTTGTTCCGCATGCGGGGAGAGACAGTAGCGGCAGGGATTGTCCTGGAAGCTAAGTAGATTGCAGAGTTGGTGCTTTGGATTGAGGTTGTGACTATGTCTTGTTCGGGGGTGTCGCATTTGAACTATCGCCACGTTTTGAGGCCGGCACGCTCTGGTCGCCTTGCTGAGTCCGTGGGTTGGCGCTGTCGCCACCCTTACGACGTGCTTCATCATCTCGGCGTTTGAGAAGCAGCCATCGCTCACGCACCATCTTGTCAGAACGGCTTCCCACATAGGCAGCGACCTCAACCCACGTGTTGCATGAATGCACACACGCACGTAGTCGATCGTCCTCTTCCTTTGTCCATGCGCGCCGCACGGCCTGTGTCTCGCCTTCAGGAAATGTTTGCAAGGCGACCAACCCAGCGTTCGCGGCACTGCTGCCCTGTCCGCCCATGTACACAGATCTCGACACGCTTCCAATCACAACCGAACCGTGCTACAGCTGAACGTAAAGCTGCATCTTCCTCTGGACTCCAGCGCCCCATGACGAGCGCTTGGCTTTTCAGCTTGTTGTGTCGCTGGTGACATAGAAATGCACATCCAACAGGGTATCCAAGCTGAAGAGCCACGGCTTTCCAATCGGGTCCTAAAGCACGGGCGGCTTTCAAAAGTGCCTGGTCAAGTTCAGGCGTCCATTCAATGCTCCGCTTTGCACTACGCTGGTACATTTCTAGCGCCTGGAATCCAGTTCTTTCAGTCCCCAGGATAGAGGCAGCCTCTTCCCATGATGGTGTATCTGTTCGATCGACATACGCAAGTAAGTCTTTCTTTTCTGCTGCACTCCATCGTGCATGATTCAGTCCTGGCCGTTGGTATAGATTCCACCGCGTTCGACAATCGGCTGGCGTATGATATGGCACATGCATGGCGATATTGTTCCAGTCTAAAGAGTCAGGCGTTCCATACAAGATATTTTGCCGAGTGCGCTCATTTTGAACCGCGGTATGGAGACAGTCTACATCTCGCGAGCTCCATGGTGGCGTCGAGATTAGGGCACGCAGACGGCGGCGCTCATCGGCGTGTGAACAGAGCAGAGGTATCGAATTCACTTCCTCGCGATGAAGCAAAGGTAACGAATACTGAATCGAAGGGCCTACCGATGCGATGGTCAAACCTTCATCATTTGTACTTGACCCTTCACTCATGTCAAGCTGACGCAGAGCATTTTCAATCATTTGTCGTTCATTCTTCAAGGCATGAAGAGCTTGCTGTTGAGATTGCTCTTGAGCAAAGCCTGCATTCTGAATTGCATTGATACGGTCAAATAGTCGCTCTAGAGCAGCCAACTCTGCATCTTCATTCGGCCACATTGACGCACCAGACATGTTTGTGTACTCGTCCACGCTGGCTTTCCCCTATGTGCGCCCAGATTATAGCTGTTTTCTCAGGCTACTATGTTGCATAAATGCCATAGAATCAGGACTCAAAGCCCCTGGTCAACCAAAATGAGCAACGTCGGCTTCGGCGTTTAGAAGAAGTACGTTTGAACTCCAGATTCCTGTCTACCCCGCCGAGTTCGACATGACCGTTGCTAACACGACCTCCACACACTCCAAGCGAACGGACACGACCGCCTCTTAAGATCCAGCTTCTGTCTGACGCTGCTCCTACATACACGCATATACCCATGTCTTATTATTTCTGTGTTGTGGGAACGAAAGATAATCTTTTGTATGAGGCAGATCTATCTCCGGCATCTATATCGTCTTCAAGTGTGACTGGCACTTCCTCCGTCACGGGTACAGGTGCTACGCCTGATACCGATCGTCAGCGACATAGTACCGTCTTCGGATTTACGAATGCGCTCGGTCAGTGGACCAGCGGCTTTCCGTTGCGTCCAGCCTCAATAACTACGCAGGAAGCTGTGAAAGAAGAGAATAAGTTGTCGAATGCGAGCTCATTCACCAATGAACGACACCATTTACAAATGATTGCGCACGGCTCACTTGACACCCTCGAGGACCGACAATTTCTTGATTCAAACATGTACGTTCTTTGCATTTGCATATATCTTACACAGTTACATGAAAAATTTGGACAAGGTCTATGATTGGACTGTGTCTCTGTTCCTTGTCCCTGGCAGTACGTGGGAACCACACACACACAGATCTAATGTTTGCACAGATATTAAATTCATCCTCCTCCATCAACATAAACATGAGGAAGGAATCCGCCAATTCTTGATGGACGTATGGGAACTATGGGTCAAGGTTTGTTGCCATTCCTACATTATTGACAATCATTGTAGGTCTTCATGAATCCGTTCCAAGAGCTGGATGCTCCCATCAAATCCTCGTCATTCGACGCCCGAGTTCGTGCAAGTGCCAAGCGTCACTTGTAATGTGAGCGTCGTGATGCTTAGTAAACTATCACAGTGCGTGGCGTGAGAGGATAGAAGTCATGCGGTAGATGCTCAAATGCTGGTGTTCTTGGGAGTCGTGGCACGTTGTGGCGGGTAGTTTGTGCATGTGCACAGAGAAGTACTTCATTTTGAATATACAAAACGCCGCGTAGGTTCGCGCGTGAAGAAAAGGTCGTTGATCATCGGACATGCAGTCGTACATGATGTATGTGTATGGAGGTTAACATGCTTGTGACAGTATTTTTAAGGATGAGGCGTCTGACCCGGACATTGAAGCTGCGATGTCCGATGTAAAAGAGGCAGGCGGACAAGTGCACCGGAAGTTCGATGCGTCATTTCTACGTGGTTTTTCTGCAAGTCTGCCAGAGTCGTACGCGGACAAGCTTCAGAAAGCGGCACAGGGCGGTCAGCATCCGAAAATGTATGTATGAATACTCATGTTGTAATAAATGAATTGACACCTATGTAGTGAGTATCTCGAGGCCGATCAGGCCATTCATGTAGCCAACTAGCTTACAGCTCATCATGCACAAAGTATTCGTGGTTGAAGGACTCGTCGTCATCGGCTGTGGCACGTGGGAAACACACGGCCGGCGTTTGAGCGCGCATAGAGTACGTGCATTTTTCTGCTTCGAACACATGCAAAAGGGCATCATCGTCACCGCACTCCAGCGTTATTCGCGAGCTTCGCGGTGGTCCATTCCAGCACATTTGGCCATTGGCATACAGCATTGACAAGTAATGACGATCATCTGTCTCATTATATTTCTTGTCCACATCAAAGCGCTGGAAGGAGCCGAGATTGAATCGGAAGCCATCGTTATTGGAGATTTGACTAGCTTTTCCACCGAAGCAAAGTTCGTAAGTGTAAGCGCCCATGTCTTTTGTGACACACTTGTCTTGAATCGCGAAAAACTCGTCCTCGCGCCCGTACTTATCGGTGCGCTCACTCAAAGATCGTTCTAACGATTCGATCTCCTCATGGATCCGATCAACTTCTTCTTTGCTTTCTCTGTGCTTCTCTTCAGCTGCATCGAGCCCTGCAGATGCCCACGCAGATGAGCGTGCTTGCGATGGTTTGATCATATCGAGCCTTACCAGCATATTGACGAGCCATGCCACGGCCTGATCATACATGGGAATTAGAGCATCAGGCAGGTACGAGGGAACGTGGTTAAGCGTAGGTTCATTGTCTTCCAGCCCTTCGCTTTCTGTCGGAAGGTTGTCAAGCATGTCGAAAATACTTTCCTCCGTGAGCGCTTTCACATCCACCTGAGTCGGCACATTCATGCGGTTCTCACGGAGACGCTCTTCCAGGGCCATAATGTTATCATTTGAATCCCTTCCTCGCCATACGTTGTACGACTCTTGCACACGTTGGATGGATCCAGTGCTATCTTCTGGGTCAAGAGTTTCAATCAACTGCGTGACAACACGGAGGTCGCCCATCGCCTTTTCATACGCATCGGAGAGTTGATTGAGCACGGCGTGGCGTCTCTCCAGCTTCGAAAATAGAGCTAGACGTAAGCAATGAAAGAGCGATAAAGAGAGATTCATACGTACGGTTCTGACGTTTCTGCTCTTGCACCAGCGCCTCCTGATCACCTGCTTGTTCAAACATCTGGCGCAAATGCTCTTCCAGCTTAACTGCGTCAGGAAGTTGATTCCTTAAAGATTCAAGTTTGGAGATGTCTTTTTGTTTCTCAACGCGCGCCATCTCGATATTTTTCGCGCGTACTCGAGCGCCAGTTTCGTGTACCTTCTTAGCTTGGGACTTTCTACGTTGGTATGCCTTGTTCACTTTGGCACAGACGTTCTCGCACCGAACTTTGCCATCAGTTTCATCGGATCCATCACAGCATTCTGGATCTGCAGCGAGTGAGTCATGTCGCCATACATCAACGTACCACATACGCCGTCATTCACACGGGAGCTCCTGATATAACTCGGAAAGAATCCCTTGTTTTCACAATAAAACCGGCCTTGACTACACGCAGATGTGCCTGGCTCATCCGAGCCATCTTCACAATCGCAGTAGTCATTGTTAATTTGATCATACCGAATAAGTTGATCCGAGTGCAAACACTTCCACATGGGCTTCTCGTGCACCTCGAGAGGCTCGTACAGGTGGACATCTCACAGTCAGAATAAATGGAACATACCATCAGGAGCAACACCTCGCACGTGCGTTGCAGCGTACGTACTCGTGCTGAGCGCTACGAGTGAAAAGAGCCACGCCCACTGCATGTGTGTGTATTGTGGCTTGGAACGCTTGGTTCTTTGGCGTGCACAGTGGCAGCACGTCGCGCCCAGATCACGCCGGCTCCCACGGGCGCCGCCTCCACGTGTATTTCCTCCTCACTTCCTATGAATGGCTCACTCACCCGCCCGATTCTCATCGGCAACAAAGCAAGTCATGCTATATGTGTGGAAGCGCAAGACGCTTGTTTCAATGAAAGAAAGAATTTGAAAAACATGGCAGATCAATCGTGCATATGTCATTTCTAGTGCTAAGTTCACCACACGTAGTAGGGCTCAAACGAGTTCGATATTTATCTATCTTGAGCAAGTGTTCTAAACTTGCAAGTGCTTATACATCAGAATCGGGCGGACAAGCCAGGCAATGCACGTGTGTTGACAGACGAAGATGTACCAGATGAGTCTGAGCTTGCTTCGATCTTTTGTTGTTTGACATCATTGGCATAGCTCAGCAGCTGGGAAAGCATCTTCTCGCGCACCGTGTTACAGAGCATATCCACATCTTTCTCCGTCATACCGGTAGTTTCGATGGGTGGTAGAATCTTGAGGCGAATCTTGCCAGGCTCAAATCGAGTCTTGCTGTCGAATAACCGATGGTAGTTTTCACACACCATGGGGATGATGGGAAGTTGAGTTTGAACAGCCAAATGGAAGGCGCCCTTCTTGAATGGAAGCATGTCAGGCGTAGACAAATTAGATCGCGTGCCTTCCGGGAAGACAAAAAGCATGAGATTGTTCTTACGCATGTGCTCTCCAGTGGCATTCATTGTCTTGATAGCAGAAGCGCGACTCTTGCGGTCAATAAAGGCTGAGCCACTGAGCATCATGAACTGACCCAAGAAAGGAACCCATTTGAGCTCTTTCTTGGCCATGATGATGGAATTCACGGGGAACATACGGCCCAGGTACAAAGTGTCAATCGAACTTTGATGGTTGCCTACCATTATAGCTGGGCGACGCTTCAGGTGCTCTTCGCCTTCGACTTCAACGTACATCCCGATTAGTGGCTTCATGAAAAAGTGGAAGCTGCGTGCCACAATGTAGTTGACGTTGAACCGCTTCCCTGGAAACAGGCTGAGGACAAGTCCACACACAACGCCGATCGAGCTGCTCAGCGCCATGCTAATCACACAAAGGATTGAGTTAAGGTAAAACCGAGCCCTTTGAGACCTGCGTGATGCCAGCGTCAACAAAAGGAATGACACGGCACCGACAGTCGATACTCCATGCACAAGCTTGCCCATGCTGGATGTGGTCTGGTAGGATAGTAAGTAGACTAGAGTACTTCATGCCTACGTGTAACGACTCGGACCCCCTGGCTTATCCCACGAATGTGGATTTAAGCACTTAAATGGCCATCCTAACCAAACCGTGCGCAGTAAGAAATCGCCGCCGTAGATCTGGTTGGCTTGTGCTCGAAGTCATTCTTAAATGTCAGACCTGGTTCATTACATGGTGCGCTGGTAAAGTATTTCATGAAGCGTGTGAAAGACGACATTGGGCTGATCTATATACAAAAAGCCAGCATGATCAACGACTTACACTCGTATGGCGAAGCTGCCGCATTAGCGAAAGGAGTGCACGGCCAGCCAAGGGGCCCCATTCACCCGTGGACACTTGGTCACAGCAATACTCGAATTCCGGACTACTCGAAACATCATTCCAATTTTGAACAATGTATTCTTGAATAGCTTTCTGAATTTCCGGAAGAAGAGCAGTACAAAGTAAATAATGGATGGCGTTGTGCGGTGTGAGAAGCGACAGAACATGGGTCATAGTAAGATCGCAGAGCTGCTGGAATCCGTATCGATGAGAAAGTCGATATAGCGAAAGCGCTGACGCTGGCGGTACGGGGAGCATGGGTGGGTGCGGATGCGGGTCCGACATGTTGGGCCACTTATCAGAGGTACGCGAGCGCAGGTCCCCCCTTGGGGTTGCCGACGTGGAATCATCGGCACTTCGGGGTATGTGCCCTTCGGACAGCAACGGTGGTGCAGCCTCATTCATTGGAGGGAAGATATCGTCGTCCCATTCATCCGAATGCTCAATCCGGCGCCATTTCCAATCCGGCCACGCAGATGATTGTGATTGATTCAAGATCCAATAATCGTCAAGTGCCACTCCCTGGACGTCTTCTTCACGGAGCAGCTCAACTTCTTCCGTGTAGAGGTATCGGAGGAACCAATACATCGTAACAAAGTCTGCACCAGGAATACGCAGCATTCGATACGGGCGTCGCCAAGCATCACGAGTACGACCACGACCGCCGTTTGGCGGTGTCTCATGTAGCGCGCCCTCAGCAAAGTTTGACTCGATCATTGTGGCAAAAAACTCACTGCGCTCTCGCAGAATGGACGAATGCGCCCAAAGGACACGATCACGAACGAACACAGCAGGGTATAGGTCGGACTCCAACTCCGGCAATGGCGTTCCGGTAGGCCAGGGTTGAATAAACGTCTTGAGCCCCACGCTTTCCGCAAGCTCTTCGGTTGGCTGTTGCTCGAACCCCTTCTCCAGCACTGTGATCATTATGTCGCCACTACTCCCATCATCCACAAGTGCAGAGAGTGCATGCAAGAGACCGCGGGGCACATTAACAGTATCAGGTGCTTCGAATGGCAAGCGCATTCTGCTTTGTCCCTCACTATCACGCACATCACTTTCAGGGAGCACGGATGGCCCCGTAGCAACTTGGATTACCAAATCCATAGCATTGGATTCGGCCACATCAGGGTCAGCCAATACATCAGCCAAATCCGGTAGCCGGTCGAACACGACTGTGTCATTGTCTTGCTGGAACGTGAAGGAGAAAAAGTCACGCCACAAGAAACCTGAGTCTAATGCACGTGGCAGTTTGTGAACACGCTGGGCAGGACGAATGCCTATCATGACATGGGCAGGAAGCTCAGCTTTAATTGGCATGCTCATCAGACCCAGGTAAGAAAGGTACAGGCACAGCACATAGGGACGAGATATTGCGTGTGCTGCGCGAGACTTGGTTGGTGTCGCCGTATTGGGTGTCTGTGCCTTGTGGCGACGAACCAGCTCCAAACGCCAGCGTTCCTCGCCAAAAAGCGGCTGCAATTTCCATGCCTCGCTTTTTTTACCACCAGATGTGGCATTTGAACCATGTTTTACTTCATCGTTCAGAAGAGCGACATCTTCGATGACCCACGAAAATGAGAGTGCTGCATTCTCTTCAAACTTGCGCGACATGTGAGCATCTTTTGCTTTTTCAGCGGTGCATAGCGACGACGTGATACCAGCAGGAAATAGCATCGAGCCCGGACGCACGTGCACGTTGCGTAATTGTGAGGTTTGTACACGAAGCTCAGAACCTGGCGACATATGAACAGTTGACGTTGATGGATGCAGATTTGTGACACTAGGGCCACTCGCAAGAATTCGTTCCGACAGACGAGGATGAACATATCCACGTCCATCACTGCTTGTTGCGCCCAGTGACGTGTCATCTTGCCAAGGAACGCCCACGCGGCCGTGTCCGTGAGGTCCATAGGCTACACCGGCAGGTCGTAGCTGTGTGGGTGCAGGCTCATTCGAAAAATAACCATATAGGCTCGGCAGTAGCACACCAGGTCCAGAATTGCCCATGTGCACTAAGGGCCGCAAGGAGTGGTGTGTTAGGTTCGCGCCGATTCCTTGGGAGTAGAGATAGACGCCGCTGACTTTCCCGCCGTCGACTTCGCTGAGATGCTGGTGACACCGCTGACTCAGAAGATATATGGGTCTGTTGCGCTGGCCCGGGTGGCATTGTTTGCCTTTGACTTGCACGTGCAGGGGAATCGTGTGAAGGCACAGACCTGTTGGTAAGTTGTTGCCGTTCCAGCATTTGTTGAATATTATCTGTTTCATCTGGAATCGATTCAAGGCGCCGATGGGAAGAAGTATCAGACGTGAATGCGGTCATATTGGATGTTCGATCGGTTGCTGCGCGTTGTGATGCCGTTGAATGAAGTTGCAAGTGTGACATGCGAGCACCGAGAAAAGCGGGGAGCGCCATGGGAGCACGTAATGGCGGATGAGGTCGCGGAGAAGGTAGCGTGATATTTGGTACTGCTGGTGAACTTGCTGGCCCTGAGCTTCCTGGATCTGAAGACGTCTCAGCAATGCCTGTTGCATCCTCTTCTTCCAGCTCGTCTTCTTCCAGATCTTCACCAGGAGCGTGCGGCTCATTTTCAGGAAAAGACGCGGTGTTTTCTTGTTCTTCCATGGTTGCTGCTGCCGCGGCGGCGGCGGCGGCTGCTGCTGATGCGGCCGTTGATGAAGGACGGCTTGCACTCTCAGCTATGCCCGCCGCGCGTTCACGGCGATGCTCAGCAGCACGAACACGAATGTCTCGAAAGTCTCGAGGTAAAACGAGGTTGTCAAATTCGATCTCTGAGTCGGCATCCGTGGAACCGGACGGATTTGCATCCTCAGCATTCGCATGAGTGTGCGAACGAGACAGATCGGAGATGGAACTGAAAGAGCGCGGCATGTGACGTGAAGGTGGCGCTCGCGGCCCGCGAAGTCCAGAAGTATTTTCTTTGGTTGAGGAGGTTAACTCCGTTGGCTCCATATGGTTGGAGGAGAGAGCAGGGGGATGAGGGTGTGATCGATTCGACAAACAGAATGCGTCAGGACAACGATGGGTGTGTGGGTGGGTGTGTGGGTGTGCGTTTGCGAACAATTGCCTTGGGGTGATGCAATTAGATAAGCCACAGTCAAACAACACTCGCGCAAAATCAATCTACGAGGCGGCTGTGCTCCGTGATGCAATGTCATAGGTGATGCCTATGCCAGAAAAATGAAACGAGAATGAACATCAGGCATCGTTTCCTATTCGTACATTTCGTCATGCTCTAGACTAAGGCGAATATTTACGGCATCGCTGATGATCTGAATGTGTGAATACGAAGGTGCGGTAACGTACGCGATCCACATCCATAGGCGGAAGAGAGAAGAGCATGCTCATCGTCTCAGAACGGTCGAGATCTTCTAGAGCATCGCGACAGTTGGTTAAAATAGCTAGGCACACGTATAAATGTAAATCCAGCAAGTCTGGGACGGCAAAGTAGGTGTCTGGAGAAAATACGCGTTAGTGCACCATATTCACATACCCCATAACCGCATCAAGTCGTGAGTCTGCATCTCACGCGCAAGAAGATGTTGCAACCAGCTGGTGGCCACGGCGAGAATATCGACCTCTTCCGCCTCAAAGTACGCATACAATTCAGGAAGTGTTGTTCGAAACAGTGTAAGAAAAGTAGCGACACGCTGTGGAACAGGATGGACTTCGTTATATTGCGCTGCGTTCGGTGTGTGAGAGAGTATGCGAAATGTGTACATAATTTATGTGGACATACCGATCATGGACATAAGGCGCTCGAATGCAAAATACATGCCTGCCTCAGCACGCACGCATTGTGCAAAAGGGGCACACAGGTACACCATGGAGGGATGGAACTCGTTCAGTCTATTGCCTGGGAGCGACACCAAATTGATGGGCCAATCAAATTCTTTCTGTGTTTGTGTCGACATGCTCTTCACGGCACATGCGCGCGCCTCGCCTAGTTGCTGATCAGGCTTTTCCTCTGCGGCAGCAAGCAGATGACGATTGAGATACGCACAAAGGACATTTTCCACACTCTGTGAGAGCCGTCGTTGTTCATGAATGAGCACAGAGTCGTCCACATTGGGACATTCCCGCATCGTCGCAAGGCCATATTGAGTTGATGGAAGGATTCGTGGAATACTCGGACGCTCAAATAATTCGTCCTCGGACGTGTTACCAAGCTCGCTATGCTCATCTGATTGTGACAGTCTTGTTTGCCGTATCACTAGAGCGCGAATGTCAGCGAGCAAGTAGTTGTAGTTACAACACGTACTGGCATTGGTGTCTGGCCGACTACGACGCTGATTAGGATCCAACTGGCGCCGAAAATAACGCAGCACCTCTGTTCTCACTTCTTTTTCAACTGCAGGAATACGCTTACTCACGCCTTCGTATTCAAGGAACTTGTTCCTTACAGCGGTCATTTCCTGACCTAGCGTGCATTAGCTCGCCAAACGTTCTTCTTTTCAACACAGACATACTTTTATCTGCTGATAGCACACCGAGCAAGTAGAGCCACACTTCCTGTCTGTTATCATACTTGTACATACGCCACGAACGCGTGGGTGCACACCATGTCGTGCATAATTGCGGAGTTTCACAATATCAATATGTCTCACATTAGTACAACATAGACAACACACTGTTCCTCATTTAAAATCTAAATAGTTTTCGTCAGTTGTTCTTCTCCAGCTCCGAACCGCTTACCTCGAGAAACTCTTCTAGTGTCACAATCGAGCTCATGCACCACGGTCCGAACCCGACACTCGATACACGGTGGCACTGGCCAACAAGCCCAAATGAACTCACAAAAAGGGGCAGGACTCGCCACGATGTTGTTTGTCACGTGCATCCGCCCTTATCCACCCTTGCCGATCGTCCACTTGTGCTCTCTCGACTTTGTCGGCCAGTGATCACGACCAAACACAAGCACACGCAGCATGTCCGCCGTGCAAGGAGTGACAGCGTGGGATCAGCCATATGACCCAGAAACAATAGCATATAACTTGTCACAGGCGCATGGGTAAGTTAGAGAGAGTGCGGAAGTGCGGAGAGTCTCATGCGTGCCAGTTTCCGATCCCTTGCGCTGTCTATCGCAGGCGCAGTAGCAGGCGTGCTAGGCCTTCAGAATCTGTGGGGCTTTGGTTTCTTTGCCATATCTGTGGTATTTGTCAATCTTGTGCTGATTGCTGTAAATACTGGGTATCGCCCAGAGCTATTCTTCGTTCTTGTACCATCGCCTGTCCTCACGACGTCTATGGAGAAGCTCGTGCCCGGCAAAGCCGAACAGCTGCGTAAGCCATTGCCATCTATCAAGCGACTGGCATATATGGCGCAGTGGGTCGTTGTGCAAGGTGCGCAAGAAAACCTGCTAAGCTTTATTTTGTGGTGGACGCTTTGGTTCGGCTTAGTTCACGGTATGTGCGCCAGAGTACGACCAAGCAATGCTAACGATGTCAGTGTATGATTAAGTGCATGAAAATAAATAGAAAAAAATACGCTGGCATTTCATAAGAAAGAACCAAAATACCTTTTCGCCTTGGTACTTTCGCGAGAAGAAGTAGGAGATATGCAGTGAAAAGACTTAGTCGCCCTTTCCGTCGCCGAGTTCATAATCCTCCAACAGAGGCGGAATGAGAAATGCGACTTGGTCGTCATCGTCGCCGTACATATCTGGAGAGCAAGAGGTCGTTGGCCTTCGCACGTCTGCTGCTAATGTTGAAAAGGAGCGATTCAAATCTGTGGGTACGCCCATGCTCGGCAATGACGTCTCAGGTACTGGGCCGTTAGCAAAGAGATCGACAAAGTCAATTTCTTCCTGTTGTTGTCGCTGGTCTTCATGCAGCTCATCAAGATCAAACTCGTTCTCCCGCTCCTCATACTCGACGTTTTTCTCAAGCTCTTCAAATCCTGGCGCATAAGCACTCCAGATTTCCGTCATCTTTGTTGACCATAAGTAAACGTCGCCTGAAGATGCGATAGAGGCCACTTGCGGCTTTACTGGGTGCCATTGAGCATATACCAAAGGTTCGTTAGGTCCTTCTAGAATTTTGACCAAAACACCAGCATCGCGATCCCATATATATACATTGTGCGTGGTGTCCTGAGCCGCGCCGCCCATCACGTACTCCGAATCTTGACTAAACCCAACCCCACTCCATGGCGTTCGTCCTACCATGTCCTGGAATTTGTGCGTGTGAATCAAGTGAATTGGTGTGCCCCATGTGTCAAACGCAATCTTGAACGTGCGAACTGTGCGATCGTTCAGATTTACAACCATGTGTTTTCCCTGTGCATCCAAATGCATTTCACGAACCATAGAAGTACCGACACTAAATGGCTCTGAACGCATTACGTGACCACTTTGCGAATTGATCAAGACCACGACCCCTTTGTTCGTGCCCGCAAAGATCCATCGAGCATCGGGTGAAAAGCATCCAGTCGTTACGGCAAATGCACCGTGCACTGGGATGCGCAGTGGCGCGGTGCTTGTATTCCCACTGCTCTCGACAGAGTGCCAGGTCGGGAAATGCACCAGAAACGCCTCGCGAGTTTCGAGAACTACGAAAAGGGTACGACTTGATTTGTTAGTGGGTGTTGGCATCCTTGAAATGAAGCAGGAAAACGTACCTAGAGCAAGGCGAAAAGCGAACGAGCGAAACAGGGGCCGAAAAACGCAATGTTCGCACGCATTTAGCTGGTCCATTACGCAAATCCCATATATGTACATTCCAATCCAATGAGGATGACGCCAAGTATCTTCCCAACGGCGACCAACACACAGACGTGATGTTTTTTACATGCGCTTGAAACCAGCGCAAAATACCGCGCGTCTCAACGTCATAAAGTGCAATGTAGTAGTCCGACCGCCCAACAGCAAGGTACTGGCCTGCAAACAAGCCACGACCATGATTAAAGGCAAGGCACGTAGCATCAGCATTTTCAAACAGTCCTTCTATGCGCTCAGGTGTATCGCGCGCGAATGGATCTTCTTGATCAGTATACCATTCATCCCGCCTTTCAATACCTATACGTACTCAAGAGTTGCGCATTCATCAATCCGGGCGTACCTGGCGTGGCGGACCTTGACTCATCATTGCCATCTGCCACACTTTCTTCGGCCCCGCCCGCCAGCGTCCGATCTTTCGAGATCGGGGTATACCTGCTTCCACTGCATCGAACATGCGCGCGCCGACTCAACGAAAAAGAAATGAAAATTTACCGCACGCTGTCGCGCTCACACCTCCGCGTGGAGGGGATGCGCACATTTCATGCGAGTCACATGACAGACGAGAAGGCACAGGATGGAGCCCGAAGCGTGTAGAACTCGGAGAGCGTGCGCACGGGCCATATATGCACCCGGAATCACCCTACACGGTCATGCGTATTTAAAGTTTCCATGGCAGCAGACATCTCGCACCAGTCGCATCACAAACATACATGTCTGGCTTTGATTTCACAGACCGCGCACAGAACTCTCTGGCCGCGGCATTTCAACTAGCGAAAGATTATGCACATGCACAACTAGCGCCTTCGCACATCGCGCTAGCTTTACTTAATGATGATACCTCTAATTCAACAGGCGTGCAAAGCACGAATAAAGACTCACAGTCGCTCTTCAAGAGCATCTGTGAAAAGACCGGCGTCAGTGTTCCAGACTTGGAGAACAAGCTACGTGCGGCACTACGGAAGATCCCACAGCAATCGCCTGCCCCTGACGATGTGAGTTTGACGGGGGCCGCAAGTAAGATTATGAAGAACGCTCAGCAATACAAGACACAGCAGCGGGATGCGTTTATTGCACAGGACCACGTGCTTCTTGCGTTGCTGGAAGACTCGAGCATAAACAATATGCTGAAGGAGGCCGGCCTTGCAAACCCGGACCTCATGAAGAATGCCATTACACAAGCGCGTGGTGGCCGACATATTGACTCGAAAACAGCTGAAGCTGGCTACGATGCGATGGGCAAATACTGTACTGACCTCACGGCCCTCGCCGCGGAAGGCAAGCTGGACCCTGTAATTGGTCGTGACAATGAGATCCGCCGCGTTGTTCGTGTCCTGTCGCGACGAACGAAAAACAATGCTGTGTTGATTGGTAGTCCGGGTGTGGGTAAGACCGCGGTTGTGGAAGGACTGGCACAACGTGTTATTGATCGCGATGTGCCTCCAAATCTGCTTGGCAAGATCTATTCCCTCGACATGGGCGGATTAATGGCTGGTGCCAAATACAAGGGTGAATACGAGGAACGTGTAAAGGCGGTGCTAAGTGACATTGAAAAGATGACCAATGATGGCACACCATGCATTTTGTTCATCGACGAAATGCACCTCATGATGGCTGGCAAGGGCGGTGATACTGGCATGGATGCCGCAAACCTGCTGAAGCCCATGTTGGCGCGTGGCAAGCTGCGCTGCATCGGTGCAACGACGCTGAATGAGTACCGTCAGAGCATCGAGAAGGATGCAGCCCTTGAGCGCCGCTTTCAGCAAGTCATCGTCGAAGAACCTACGGTCGAGGACACGATAGCGATCTTGCGTGGACTCCGGGAGAAGTATGAAGTGCACCATGGTGTGCGCATCCTCGACGCTGCGGTTGTATCGGCTGCCCAGCTTGCTAAGCGCTACCTTACAGCGCGCAAGCTCCCTGACTCGGCTATTGACCTGGTCGACGAAAGCTGTGCGGATGTAACTGTGTCGCGCGAAACTGTGCCAGAAGCCATCGACACTTTGGAACGCCGCAAGGTACGCCTGCAAATTGCCATGACGGCGCTGGAGCGTGAAAAAGACCCGCAAAGCAAGGAACGACTTGAAGAAACCCGCCAAGAACTTGCTCATTTGGACGACGAGCTCGCGCCGATGAAGGCGGAGTTTGAGGCGCAACGTGCTAAGGGAGACGAGCTGAACAATGTGCGTCGCAAGATCGAGGAGCTTCGTGCCAAGGCGAGTGATGCAGAGCGTCGCTACGACCTCGAGACAGCAAGTGACCTTATGTATTATGCGATTCCCGACTTGGAGAAGCGAGCGGAGCAGCTGCAAGAGCAAGCACGGAAAGACGAGGCGGAAGGCAAGACAAGCCAGGCGAACACGGTGACGAGCGAAAACATCGCATCGATTGTAAGTCGCTGGACAGGCATTCCAGTTTCAAAGATGATGGAGAGCGAGCGTGTGAAGCTATTGAGGCTCGAAAGGATCTTGCAACGTGACGTCGTCGGTCAAGAAGATGCAGTGAAAGCAGTGGCACAAGCCCTTCGTCTCTCGCGCCTCTGCGCGCAGTGGCCTTTCGACAGCAGAACCGACCGATTGCGAGCTTCTTGTTCTGCGGCCCGTCGGGCACGGGTAAGACGCTCATGAGCAAGACGCTCGCCTCTTACATGTTCGACGATCCCGATGCGATGGTTCGCATTGACGCGAGCGAGTACTCTGAGAAGCACAGTATTTCGCGCCTGATCGGAGCACCACCGGGCTATGTGGGCTTTGACGAGGGTGGCGTGCTAACAGAAGCGGTGCGGCGCCGGCCATTCTCAATTGTGCTGATCGATGAGATCGAGAAGGCCGCACGCGAATTCGTGCAGCTGTTCCTTCAGGTGTTGGATGAAGGACGTCTACAGGACAGTCAGGGGCGCCTTGTTTCGTTCCGCAACACAATCATTATCATGACGAGTAACTTGGGCTCAAGCTTCATCAACGAGTCTGAGGACGAGGACCTGACAGAGTCTGTGCGCCAACTCGTGCAAGGAGCGATTTCGGCACATTTCCCGCCAGAGTTCATCAACCGAATCGACAGCATAGTGACATTCCGCAAACTTGGACGTGTTGATGTGCGCCGGATCGTGGATATCCGCATCAAGGAGCTGCAAAAGAGACTCATTGAGAACGGACGCCAGTCGCGACTCGTTGTGGACGAAGAGGCGAAAGACTGGCTTGGCAGTATCGGATATTCGCCGACCATGGGAGCGCGTCCCCTGGGCCGTGCGATCCAGGACCAGCTGCTGAACCCACTAAGTATGCTTATTCTTCGAGGCCAAATCCACAATGACGATCCTGAAATCCACATCTCATTCGACAAGTACCGCAATGCACTCACGGTGCAGGCAAATCATGAGGCAGTGGCCGGCTTCTTGGATGACGACGATGTTGACATGGACGAGGACGATTTAGAAGACCCATTAGATTAAATGTAGAAATGAGTATGCTATAAACTGTAACAATGATGATCTAATGCGAGATAATGAAGTGATAAAGTGAGCGCTTGAAATGTGTCTAGTCAAGCGAAAGAATCTTGACCCCGTAGCATCAAGGTCCTATGACCTGCAGCAAAAGCTCTCGACACATAAGAATGGTGTTGAAGACATTTGACTTGGCATGTAGGCGTGTGGAGTGTGGAGTGTGGATATAATAATGCAAAGATAGAAAAGCATGGTATAGGGAGCAGATGCAAGCATAAAAGCCAAAAATAGATTGCTGTCGTTCCTGCGTAGCAACATAAAAAACACACGGATCACGAACACATCCAAGCCTAGTTGAAGGATCGCGACGCGAGATACGGAGTTGATGCCGCATAAGAAGAAGCCATCGCTCCGTTGGGCCTAAGTTGAACAAACCTGTGCATGTCTCTAGCATCGTAGCCGTCCATAGGATGAGTGATGGATGGGATGCCGGCACCGTGCGTTACAGCCTGAGAAGAAAGGACGCGAGGCGAGAAATTCGGATCCGTAGCGTAGACGACCAGTGGATTAGGAGGCATAAGCGTCGTTGCCATAGACGATGGAGATGACGACGATGTCGCTGCTGGTGTGCTATCGCCAAACTCCGGACTCGGCTCCAAGTGCACGCTACCGTAAGGGGCAGCGGTAGACATGGAGGAGCGTGACAAGCTTGGCAATGATTCGTTCGGCGCGGTATCCGACATGGTAGTGCCCATGGCATGGGTATGAATAAGCTGAGACTTGAGAAAAACAACTTCTGAGCGCAGTGCTTCGACAGTCGTGCGAAGCGAGTTATTCTCACTCTCGAGAAAGTCGACTCTAGCCTGTAACGATGCAAGCCATGCCTTCTTACGTTGTCGGCACTTGAGTGCTGCCTGTCTGTTGCGCTCTAAGAAGCTCTTGCGCTTGGAGGAAGAGGAGCTCTCAGAATATTCAGAATTACACTCAACAAGCACGTCCGAAGCGTCTGAGGATGAGTGCCATGCCATGACTGACCGTTCGTCGCATCCACCCGCGTCAACATTCGTGGGTGAGCGTGACAGCGGCGATACGGCTAACAACCGCGAGCTCTTCCTTTCAACAGGAGACAAGCTCAGACTGGAGTTACCCTCATGCATACACGTAAAAGGTCCTTCTACCGTCACTTGAGATAGACGACGGGAGACAGACTCAGGATCGGAACTGGACCCGTGACCCACATGAAACGATGTATTTTGAGATGCGGTGCTCGCACGTCTTGATGCTTTCGAAAGAATGGACGAATCTGATGCAGCAGCCAAAGTGCTATTATCATCAAGTGCTGGGTACACTGACGGGAGAGAGCATGTATGATACGAAAGCTGACGCGGCACATGTGACGTATCGGCCACGCGTTTGATCGATCGTGCAGTGTCTGTTGAGTTGTCAGCGACAGGTACGCATTCACACATTGACATAGAGACAGCCTCCAACAAAACAGGAGCAGATGCATGTGTGCGATGGGAACGGATATCTAGTTTTCCTCTCATTATCGCTGCCTTTGCAGATTCGTCCATCACAGGCATCGAGCAAGACAGGCGATGATCGTGAGCACAACCCGTAGATTCAGTCAGTTGACCATCACAAGAGCTGGGTGCATGTTCTGTTTGTAAATCCTTATCATACGATGCGGTGGCGGAACAATTCAACATATATCTTGGTGTGTGCGATGACATAGCAATGGAAGAATGAAAGAACTCGCACAAGAGGAGGGAGACTGCCCTGCTCTGTACACAACAAAAAATTTGAGTGTGTAGATAGATACGTCTAATTCACGTAAATGTGATGCGTGTATGAAAGGAGCCGATAAGGAACAAGCAAGAGCGTGGTCTTGCGTTGAAGAGAAAGAGAGAGTTTTGCCCGAATCGTTCTAGAGTTAGAGAAAAGAACTACAGAAGGAAGACAAAATCCCAAGGTCAAAGATTGTTAACAGACATGCAGCTCCGATACACATGCATGGAGCCACAGGCGCAAGCAGGCACACGTAAAAAGAGCGTCTCGAGACGAACCAAGCGAGTGGACCTGCGAGTGGACCTGCGAGTGGACCTGCGAGTGGACCTTCCTGGAGCTGACGTTCTAGACACTGATGGAACACACGAGCTAAATTCGAAGTGAGCAATCTATTGGCACGTGGCGTGTACCTCGCACTTTCGAGCGGGGGAGGGAGGGTGAAAGGGGACTGAGGAGATATCCCTGTCTCCACGCCCTATTAGTAAAATACACATAATTGCAAAACTGCCCATGCGCAGCGATGCAAGCGAAGTCGACCGAACACAAGCCGTACTACTTCGTCTCATACGAAACGTCGTGAATATGAACGCCGAAGGAGTATCGACCGCACCGGCCAATGTGCCTTCGCATGGAAAGACAGGAAACAGGATGAGCAGCAGGGTTCGTAGGAATTTGGAACGCTTACATGCGCAGGTGCAAGTCAAGAATATCAGTGCACAGACAAACATTGCGAGCCTGCTTGAATTCCTGGGACGCGAAGGCGATGTGTATGTATATGAACAGTCACATGCGGGCGGATTCGGGTATCAGGGATAGTATACTTACGCGGCAGTGTGTCTATGGAGCTGCGCACAGTGAAGCGCCGTGGCAATGTGATGATTAGGGCGCAAGTCACATACAGGAAACCTGTGAGTGCAGCAGCTGCGGCGGAGACGCTGGATGGCTCGGAGCTGGACGGCAGTAAGCTGGATGTAAAGCAGCATGTTCCGAAGCGCTTCCTTCAGGGAGAGCAAAAGGGTGGCTCGGGCACTCAGCCAAATGATGATGCCACAGAAAACGATGGTGATGGCAATGATGAAGCGCACCATGATGATCAGCATGACGAGAACAATGCTGGCGCAGGAGATGGAGAGTCCTCTCCGGCTGACGGTGGCAACGCAACTAGTGGTACGCCTTTGAAAGCCAAAAGGTCCAAGCCAGGCGCTCCTCGCCGTCCCAAGTCGAAACCGGCGAAGGGCGAGCCCAGTGAGACAGTCTTGTACGTGTCGCACTTGGCGTACTCTGTGAACAACGACAAGCTGATGGAGTTGTTCGCTCCCTATAATGTAAAGAGTGCGCAAGTTGTGTACAACCGCTTCCGACCGAGGCAGTCGCGTGGCTTTGCTTTCGTGGATTTCCACTCCAAGCAGGACCAAGAAAAGGCCATGGCTGAAAAGAACGGCACTGAGCTTATGGGACGTACGCTCAACGTTTCGAGTACGTATTTCTGACAAATTGAAGAACTGACATATGTCTCTTCTCAGTCGCCCTTCAGCAGCCAGAGAATGACAACGAGAATGGTGGCCATAATGGCCAGGATCTAGAGCCGAGTCAGGAGCAGGACCAGAGTCAGGCTCAAGGTCAAAACCAAGATGCGCCTCTGGATGTCGACTAACGTGTGAGGATACACACATGGATTGTCGGCCAAGTTTCGCGCTTGCCTCCCAACCCACGCACCATAGGATGTAGGTAAGTATATTAGACTACATCGTATCTTTCTCTCTCTTTCTCTTTTCATGGTATGCCAATACAGGTGGTGCTTCTGGCGGTGCAAGTGGCGCGGCATATCGGTGGGAATTGTAGCTGAACAAGTGCATGGAATTCGGCCTGACTGCAAGCGACAGTGAGTTGTTCGGGCGACCAAGGGGCGTACATTCTCATTTAGCAAAGCAAGAGACTTTGTCACCCGCTCTGGCTTAGCATTGTGTCTTTCGGAGTAGTAGGGTTGGGGGGTAGAAGTGGGTGAAAAAGTACCCTCTTGTTTCGACAGGCAGGTTTCCAAACAGGATTTATTTTTGGCTGTCGGTCCACAAAATGTGGGGTTCACAACGGAATCAATCAATCACTACACCAATGGACTCGATCATGAAAACCACACCTGCAGATACAATTCCCGCGCTCGTAGGTCGACTCCGTGCGACGTTTCTCACGGGCAAGACACGTTGCGTTGAGTATCGGAAAAACCAACTGAAGCAGCTATACTTTCTGGTCAAAGATAATGAGGAGGCATTCGTCGACGCCATTGGGCAAGACTTAGGACGACCAGGCATGGAAACGACATTTGCAGAAGTGATTGGGATCGAGAACGATCTTGCTACAAGCATATCGCAACTGAGCAAGTGGTCAAAGGATGAATGCGTGGGCGCCGGACCGCCGTTCATGCTGCACGGCACGAAGATCCGCAAAGACCCGAAAGGCACTGTGCTCGTATTAGGAGCCTGGAACTATCCGATCACTGTACAGCTGGGTCCCATGGTAGGTGCGATTGCAGCAGGAAACACAGTCATCCTGAAACCGTCGGAACTATCGCCACACACGGCGCAGCTCATCGCTGATTTGTGGTCCAAGTACATGGATACAGAAACGACCGCAGTCGTCAATGGAGGCATCCCCGAGGCGACTGCGTTGTTGGACCAGCGCTTCGAGCACATCTTCTATACGGGGAATGGCCGCGTCGGCCGTATTGTGGCAGAAAAAGCGGCGCGTTGGCTGTGCCCAGTATCGCTCGAGCTGGGCGGCAAGTCGCCAGTCATTGTTGATGCCTCAGCGGACTTGAAGATCGCAGCGCATCGAACACTGTGGGCGAAAGCGTTCAATGCGGGTCAGACGTGTGTGGCGCCAGACTATTGCCTTGTGGATCGACGGGTGCAAGACAAGTTTGCGCATGAGCTCCTGCAAGCGCAGCGCGAGTTTTGGCCATCGAGGGACCACCAGGAGCGTGATTTTGGCCGCATCGTGTCAGACAACCATTGGAAGCGAATTCACAGCCTTGTTTCTTCGTCGAAAGCTGAGCTTGTGGTGGGTGGCACAGCTGGCGCGGACCAGGCGAAAAGGTTCATCCCACTCACGATCTTGAAAAACGTCGACGCGTCTGACTCGGTCATGACGGACGAAATCTTTGGACCTGTCCTGCCGATTGTCCCATTTGATACGATCCGCGATGCCGTGGACTTTGTCAATGAGCGAGACCAGCCACTGGCACTGTACGTCTTTACGAGTTGCAACGAGACACGCGACTACATTCTGGCATACACACGCTCAGGCGGCGTGGTGCGAGGCGATTGCTTGCTGCACTATGCGATTGACAGCCTGCCATTTGGTGGCACAGGACCGTCGGGCTACGGCTCATATCACGGCAAGGCTGGGTTCGATTGCTTCACACATGAGCGGGCCGTCGTGGATGCACCCTCGTACGGCATGTTGGGCAAGCTTGTGGAAGTCGTCATGGCGCGTCGGTACCCACCTTATTCGAAGAGCAAGCTCGACTTTTTCCGTTTCGTGCTGCCGAAACTCGTCTGGTTTGGACGCCCGCCACAGCCGACGCGCTCTAGCAAATCGATCGACCACCCGCCATCCAAGGTACGTACTACCGCCCCACGACATGGTGGTCACCCGTTGTCACTAGTCTAACGATACCTGCAGGGAGCATGCTTGTCGGTCTGTACAATGAAAAAGATCCTCGCTTTACTGGTGGTGGTGCTTGTATGGTGGGGTCTTAAGTAAATTTACATACATTGTTCGTCAAAGACTATGGCCGTCCGTCACTGCATCGTCTTCTTCCTGAATCACAGCGGCTTGTACGTCGCGACGGATTTTGTGTCGTAGAGGAGTTCCCATGACGTCGGTATCAGGCACAGCGTATGTAGCAGGAAACGATGATGGACCAGTTGGCGTTGACGATGCCAGCGAGGCGGGTGGCACACCTGCAGCGATAGGACCTGAGGAAGCCCACCAACGTGGCCGCGGCATGGGGCACGGTGAGCCACGCCGTGGCCGTGCGCCGCATGTACGGTCCAAGCTCGTTGTTGACCGGGGGGCCTGGCCCAGTCCTCCAACAAACACGCACTCATCGTCAATCCAGTCATCCTCTTCGTCATCAGCGCCAACGAATGTGCGAGGACAGAGTGATAGGCTTTGAGATCGTGGGCTGGGAGACGGACCGGACCGTAGAGTTTGCACCTTGGCAGACTGCTGTTCTAAGCGACGAGTGCGCGGCTTGCGTTTGGGTGTTACAAGCGGCGATGAAAACAATGGTCCCCGGAATCCGAACGGCGAACGACTATGCTTCATGAATTGGACAGACGAAGCACCCATACTAGGGGAGAAGAGCTTGGGTGACGACTCTCGAACGTCCAGAGACGCGCGTTGCGCCTCCAGGCACGTGAGTGCACGATCGTCCAGCGATCGCGGATGTTGTGGGTCAAACGAGTAGGAGGACTGCGTGCTGCGTACATGGGGCGTGAAGCGGCCACCGCCGAGGCCTTGGTGTCGATGGATGCTGCGATCTCTTCGCAGACGATACACGTTGGATTCTGAGTCTCGACGGCGCCGGGGTGCGTGGCGAGACGGCTGGCTCGATGAGTGCACGAGTGGGAATGCACTGAACGACGGCAAAGATCCGGCACTGTTCACAGAAAGACGGCGCCCCACTGTCCTACTACTGCGCGAGACAGGGCGACTCGGCTGATCCTGCGACGACGAGACACGGCTCGAGCTGGATGGTGTGCGTTGTAGCAGGGGAAGTACGAGGGGCGGCAGTGGTGAGGGCATGGACGATGACTGTGCATCATGCTGAGAAAGCGATGGCAGCTCCTTCATGGGCGGGGACACTGGCTGAGAAGCCGGTGTAGATGACTCTCGCGATGCACATCCTGACGATAGAGAGGCTTTGCATGGGTAGCCGAGCGATGGAGACGACGACGACTTTTGCCGTGATATGTGCACGCCAGGCATGGCGAGAGCAAGAGACTCACGGGCGGATGGCTCGTCGATCGCATCAACAGACGCATTGCTGACAGTGTCTTGGAGCTCTTGCGTATGTCCTGACACGGCAGGATTGGCATTGCGACTGCCACAGCCGCCAGTAGTGCTGTGATGTGCGTCAGAGTCCTTGCGCTGGGCGCACCCGACTGCCGTGCTTCCCGATTTGGTCAGTGTACCCTCCGATAGATGAAGCGTGCTTCCGGTGGTCGGGAATGAGGAACGTTTCTGTGTTTGCTGAAGCAGGAGCCACCAAAATGCGCCGGCAGAGTCACATGCATGTGTCAGCACGCTATGACGGATCTGACCAACAGCGAGACCCAGAGCTTGCAAAGCATGAAGAAGCTGCTTTTCCTCGTCGCTTTCCATCAAAGGTGGGCGTGAGGTCGCGGGCCGTGCCGATCCGCCGTCCGTAGACGAAGGAGACGGATGTGCGTGGAGCCACGGATGACGCAAGATCAAGGAGATCGACGGACGGTGCACTGCTTCTTTTTGTAGCATGGAAAGAAGAAGGTCTTGAAGATCAAGCGAGAGGGAAGAAGGAATCACTGGCTCGCCATGCAAGATCTTCTCATACAACACAGCCTCGTTATCGTCATCAAAGGGCAAGGTTCCACACACAAGCGCGTACAGAATGACACCCATCGACCAAACGTCGACGGCCTCGCCCATGTAGCGGCGACCATCAAGCATTTCAGGTGCCGAGTACAGTGGTGTGCCACAACGAGTATCAAGGGCTTGATGTGCTTCAAACTCGCGAGTGAACCCAAAGTCACTCAGCTTCACTTGGCCCTTTCCATCGAGCAGGATGTTCTCGAGCTTCAGGTCGCGATGTACGATGCCCAGCTCATGTATGTATGAAACAGCAAGACACAGCTGGCTGAAAAGAGCACACGCTTCAGTCTCTGGCAACGCACCCCGTCGAGCAACGAGGTCATACAACTCGCCTCCTGTGCATAGTTCAGTGACCATCCAAATATGCGACTCTGTTTGGATCACCTCATACAGCTGCAGGACATTTGGATGATGCAGTCGCCGGTGGTGGTGGATCTCCCGCGTTAGACTCGCTACATGCTGTTTGGGTATCTGCTTCACAGCCACACGTGCATTGATCAGGCGGTGTGTCGCCAAGCGAACCTTGCCATACGTTCCCTGACCAATGGTCCGCTGCAATGTATACTGCCCTACGACAGGCAGCGCACTCGATGTAAGCTGTTTTCCCAACTCATGATAGGCGCACGTAAGATCGGCCCGTCGATTCCGCCCACGTCGGCCATACATGATGTGCTTCTGTGTGGGAGCAGCGATCAGTGATCTAGCCCAAGTGTCCGCAGCTTAGCTCAGGCTCTGTATTTGGAGTGATTCTCCGAAGGCCTAGTCACTAATCACTCGTTGTGACGTCACTTTCCTCTCCTCAGCGGCGGCCTAGTTATGTGTCCACTTGGCGAATTTGGTTGGCACTTCCACGCACAAACACAACACATATGCAAACCTGGGCCTGAATGGCCAGGGGGGGACATAGGGGGGTTGAGGACGTGGACAAGCGCGCGTACATGAGCTGAGTCAGTCTTATGTCACCTGGTCTGAGCGCGTGCGCACCACGGGTCCAAGCCGTCAAGTTCGGCGCTTGTCCACGCACAAGTGGGATTGGCCCAAAAGGCCGGAGTAATCATGCCCTGGCCGCGCGGCGGAAAGTCGCATGCGCGGAAGGACCGCAGGACATGTGGGTGTGGTGATTGGTGCGTGCACCCGGACAGTGAGCGAGTGCCTCGCGCCTGCGCAACCCTCTACTCCCCCTCCAACTTTCACCGCTTCCAAAGCCGTCCATCATGTCAGCTCCCTCTTAAGTATCGTGATGCCAAGTATGTATTCCTCACAGACTTTGATGGCACCATCACTCTACTGGACTCGAATGACCACATGGTCGATACAGTCGGCATGGGCTATACGGAGCGGCGCAAGATCAACGAGGAAATTGTGGCAGAGCGGATTGGATTCCGCGATGGTTTCCGACAAATGCTCGAATCTGTCAAGCATCCATTCGAGGAAATGAAGGAGCTTACACGCCGCGATGTGAAGTTAGACCCAGGCTTCAAGGAGTTCCATGCGTTTGCCAAGGAAAACCAAATCCCGATCGTCGTGGTGTCATCTGGCATGACGCCGATCATCCGTGCCATTTTCTCGAATTTGATTGGCGAGGAAGAAGCTGGCAAGCTTGATATCATTTCCAATGATGTCGAGTTTACGGACGCTGAAAAGGAAGGCAAGACTTGGCAGATCAAGTACCGCCACCCAGACAATTCGTACGGCCACGACAAGTCACTCAGCATTCTGCCGTACCGCGATCTTCCCAACCGGCCTCTCCTGTTCTTCGCTGGCGATGGCATCTCTGACATGTCAGCTGCTCGTCATGCAGATGTCCTCTTTGTCAAGGACAAGAAGGACAACGATCTCGCCCGCTACTGCGACAACAACAAGATCGGCTACCATCTGTTCAAGGACTGGACCGTGCCAAAGCAGATGATCCAGAAGTTTCTGAATGGCGAAATGACGCTGGATGAATTGGTCACACGTAAGGACTAGCGCTCGTACGCCATGTCGAGACAACGAACACGCTGTCTTTGGTTTTTTCTCGACCTTGAGGCTCTCTTCCTGGTTCATCTACGCATCATGTACGGTAATTAGTATGAATATATCTGAATGTGTGATTTTGTGTGTATTTGTGTTGTTTTTTTTTTGGGGGGGGTACATTTTCCTGTCCTCTATCTGCATAGACCTAGCCCCCCCCTCCCCCCTCGCAGCAGCTTCTCATAGTAAGTAGGGTACCAGCCGCATAAAGCTTGAGGTGTTTCCATACGCACGAAAAGCGTGCGTGTTGGTTGCTTGCCTCCACCGAACGTATGCACACCACGTGACTCACAGAGCGTGTCGTCATCTACCCCTTTGCCCTGCCCTCTTCTACGTGTCTAGTGCCGCGTGGCCTCTCATCGCCGTCGTCATCGACACACCTCGTTGCTCCAACGTCGAGCTCTTATTGTCGACAGCATCCACTCAACTGAGCTGCGATGAGTGCAGGAGCTGGAGAGGGCGCTTATAGCTTCTCCTTGACGACATTCTCGCCGAGCGGCAAGCTTGTGCAGATTGAACATGCGCTTGCAGCAGTAGGACAAGGCACTACGAGTCTCGGGATCAAGGCGTCGAACGCCGTCGTGATCGCGACGGAAAAGCGACCGCCATCGCCCCTAGTCGACGACTCCGCTATTGAAAAGGTTGCACTCGTATGTCCGAACATTGGTATTGTATATTCGGGCATGGGCCCCGATTTCCGCATTTTGCTTGCTCGCACCCGCAAGATCGCTCAGTCGTACTGGAAGATCTTCGGTGAATACCCCACAACCAAAGTGCTAGTGCAAGAGATCGCCACAGTGATGCAGGATGCGACACAGAGTGGTGGTGTGCGACCTTTTGGCGTATCGCTCCTCGTCGCTGGCTTCGATGCCGTGCGTGGCCCCTCGTTGTACCAAGTGGATCCCAGTGGCAGCTACTTTATGTGGAAGGCCACTGCTATGGGCAAGAATATGACCAATGCAAAAACGTTCCTGGAAAAGCGGTATAGTGATGACATCTCGTTGGAAGATGCGATTCACACAGCAATTCTCACGTTGAAAGAAGGCTTCGAGGGCCAAATGACTGAGAAAACCATCGAGATTGGCATCATTGGACATGCCACCAGAGCCACAGTCGGTGCGGGCACAGAACTTGTCCCAGTCTTCCGACGCCTCTCAGAACAAGAAGTCAAGGACTACTTGGCTTTGTAACGAGCAGCCACAGGCTCCTTGTTCAATTTCTCTGCAATGTTTTTGTTCCCTTTGTTCACCACCTTCCTATGGACCAGACGTTGCGGCCCGCATAGCATTCTTACTGGCACTCCGCGTAGGCTTTCGGCGTTCCTTGCGCCCAGAGCGTGCCTGTTCAGACAATGCTTCCACACCATAGCCCTGCTCGACACCAGCACCTTTGGATAGACCCATACCAAACGTCTCGGATGCAGCCTGCTTCTTGGCCTTCTTGGCCGCTCTTGCAGCTTCGCGTTCAGGTCGTGCGGAAGCGGACGGCGTCCATGAAATAGATGTGCCAGCGAATAGTGCATCATCTGATACTTGTGGACGCGAAGATTGACTGCGCGCACGATCACCGAGAGTTCGTTCGTCGTGGTCCTCGCCAGCGGCAGCAGCCTCGAATGAATGTACCATGCGAGGCATATGCTTTGGCTTGACATGCGAGGGTGCCGTATGAGACGCCGCTTTAGCTTTGTGCCTTTGATCTAGTTCTGGCTCTGGCTCTGGCTCAGACTCGGACTCGGACTCGGATTCAGCCATGTCTTCCTCGTCAGGATCAAGTGATTCCGCATCACTCTCCATTTCCTCAGCCAGAGCAGGCACCGTCTTGCGTTCCGACTCGCGCAGCGCAGGACGTGCCTGGAGCGAAGCACTTGGATGCAACAGAGCATACTCGCGGCTGGATTCATCGACTTGGAATTCAGGATTGGTGAACAACTCTTTGAATCGGTCATCGTGCAAGAGTGATTCGCTGCCATCTCCAGCATTTTGTGCCAGCTTTTCGGCTAAAGGACGGTTCACTTGCACATGACGACCAGGCTTCGACACTTGATGCACACTGCGGACGCGGCTCTCGGCCTCGCGCTCCAACTTTGCTTGGATCGCTCGCTGCTTGGCTTCGTCAAAGGCCTTGGGATGTGCGAGAAGACGAGCACGTTCATACAGCTTGAGAGCAAGGAAGTAACCATGCATGTAAGGCCGCAAGAGAGGTGTACCAATGAGATGTGTCAGTTCCAAACGTTCCAGCTCGGCTTGATCAACGAACTTGAAGTCCTCATACGCATTCACACCACTGCCTCCGACATTGGCCATATCCGTCATTTCAATTTCGTCCGTGATGTTATCGATAAAGCTGCACCAGCGAGGCGATGGACCTAGCGCAGGGACATACCAAGCAGCCATCTGTGTAGCTTCGACGGCCGCCATCAACAGTCCACTGCCTGGATACTGGATCACCTGATTCAGGTTCGTCAAGGCACCAGCCGGTGCCACGGACACCAAATTGTCGCCTGACTGCTTATCCCAGATCTTGATAACTTTCGCATCGGCACTAAGCACTTTGCCTTCTGCTTCAGAGCGTGTGCGTGTTTGCGTATCGTGGTTGGTATCGCCTGGCCAAGACAGAGACCGGATAGGTAGGCCAAATCCTTGATCCTTGGTCGTGTATGGCTTATCCATCCGTAGGTCGTATAAGAGGACGTGCCCTGTATTCGTCCCGACGGCCAAATTCAGCCCATCAGCAGCACTCGACAAAGACGTCACAGAGAGCGAGTTGGATGCCTGAGCCACCGCCTCGCCCTCTGGGTCGTCTGTCAGCTGAACGCCAGGCAACTGCCGACGAGCAGCAAGCAGAGCCGCATCCAGGACCGTCCGAGTTGCAATACTAAGAGAGCCGGCCTGCCGACGCATGCGAGGATCCCACAACTCCACAATGCCACTCCCTTCCGTGCCAAAGCTCAAAAGCCCGTGAGCCGGATTCACGTCCACTGCATTACAGCCATGCACTGTATTTCCTTGAGAACCTAACACATACGGCGAAAGGAAGCGTCCCTGATCCAAATTCAACCGATAAACCTCTTGACCAACAGCCCCAACGAGGGCATCAGCCGATGGATAGTGGTATGCCAGAGCCCGTCCGAAGCGCGGCAGTCGCACGCGCGTGTGCATTCCGCCTTGATTATGCAATTCAAGAGACCGATCACTTTGCAAATGCAGGGACTTGGTCCAGTCATCCGAAAGAAGCTGCAAAATGGTCAAAACGAAGCATAATTCAAGGATGAGTGAAAATGAGAGGTAAGTACATGGACACATGCAGCAAGAAAGACACGCTCGTGCGCATCAGCGACATACGTACCAGGAAGTCGACATTCTCAGCATCCGTGTGACGTTCAAACTTGAGACTTAGCTGCTCGCACTCCCACACACGTATCTGTGGCTTGTAACTGCCTGTAGCCATGATGTGCATGCCATCATTCGTGCAGCGAATCTTGTTACTGGCCACAGGGAATTCGAAGTCCTGAATCAACTCGATTTTCGAGAGGATCTTGTCATTTTCAATAGCTGCTTTGCGTTTCTTCCGTTTATTCGAAGATCCAGATCGACGCAATATATCTGGCAATGAGGTTGAATTGTACGACGCCTGCTCAGGTGCGGACGATGTCCCACCTGATACCGAATACACACGCGCCAGCTCAACAGAAGCTGACATGGTCGCGGAGTGAAACCTCCACACAAGAAACATTTTTTCTTTTCTTTTTACACGCCGACATGTTGACAACTGGAGGGGGGGGCGAGGAGAGAGTGGTGATGAACAATAGGCGAGTGCAAAGTGCATCACGTGCACACACCCACTCACTTACTCACACTAAGGCAAGTGGCAGTGGAAAAGGCGACGACAACGCGACGTCTCGAAGGGTTAAAGAGAGAAGAAAGCCTTTGATAGACACCAGCATGTCGAAAGCAGGCGGTAAAGGAGGCGCCAAAGCAGCCGTCGCTACAGTCGTCAAACTATTAGTGCCAGCAGGGAGTGCTTCTGCGCAGCCGCCCGTGGGTCCTGCGCTGGGTGCAAAGGGTGTCAAAGCCATTGACTTTGCGAAGGAGTTTAACGCGCGCACAGTCGATCTAGAGCCTGGTTTGTTGACGCCGACGGTCGTCACGATCCAGCCAGACCGTACATTTTCATTTCGCACGTTGACGCCACCGACATCGCTGCTCTTGAAGCGTGCTGCCAACATCACTACAGGTGCGCGAAAACCAGGTGCGGAAGTCACTGGTACCATCAGTATTAAACACGTGTATGAGATTGCCAAGATCAAAATGAAAGATGTGCACATTACGGAAAAAGAAGTACGTTGTATATATCTATGTCTAACATGTGCACAGATGTGTAAGGTTGTTGCTGGTAGCGCACGGAGTCTGGGAATCAAGATTGTTCGGTAGTGTATAGAGTGACGAAAACATTCATGTAAGCTAAGGATCGTTTTAGGCTAACTTGATCTCTAGTAGCTTCCTCGTTCTTCTATCGTCCTTGACACCCTCGTACTTATCATAATACATGATCCGATAACGGCCGACGTACGAGAAGCCACGCAGACCGTTCTCGCCATCCTCTGGACAAGCCTAGTGCAGCGAGGCTACATCCAAGTTTGTTGTCATGCAAGAACTACAGGATGAAAAAGAATGCGTCTTGCCGAGATGGACCAGGATATTTAAGAACGTATAAACCTAGATACGTCGTTCCTGGGACCAGGCACCCATCGAAATTTGGACAGTACTCCGGCTTACCAGAGAGTGAAGCCACCGTCAGGACGGATGTGGCCACCAGTCATGTAGCTTGCGTACTCACTGAGCAAGAACACACACGGCGCACCCTGCTCGTGGGGCTCGCTGAAACGGCCCATTGGCACGCTCGAAGCCTGGTAGTCTCGGATCGTCTTGTCCATCACACTAGTCTGCTCTGTGTTGCAGAAGCCAGGCTCAAGAGCATTCACGCGAATCTTGTACTTGGCGAATTCAGCCGCAAGACCCTTAACCATGTTCGTAGCAGCGCCCTTCGAGGCGTTGTAGAACACCTGTGTGAGCGGATCATTCGGGCCCTTTTGGTTGTAGATTTCTGAGCTCATACTGGACGTGACGACGATCGAGCCCTTCTCAAAGCCCGTCTCAACCCAGTGCTGGGCAACGCTCTTGCATGCATTGAAGACACCGAGCACATTCACGTTGAACACCTTGTAGAAGTCCTCAGGCGTCAGCTCCAAGGCTGGTTTGACGATCGAGACGCCAGCATTGGCAGCAAGGCCAGTGATCTGGCCAAGCTCAGACTCAGCTTGCTGGATTGTCTTCTTCACGAGCTCAGCGTCACTTACGTCACACTTGTAAGCCTTCACCTTCACACCGTACTCCTTCGCCACCTCTTCGGCTGTCTTCTCAGCGTCGGGGTTCGAGTGGTAGAGGATGGCTACATTCGCACCTGCCTGAGCACATGCCTTGGAAATGGCGAGACCAATACCACGGTTACCACCAGTCGTGACTACAGTGCCATTCAGTTTGATTTCAAAGACCATGTTAGTTGTAAGGGGATGAGAAAGAAACCAACGCACTGGCCTCCCGAACTTGCCATCCCCCCGGCACCAATCCAACCATACACGCCACACACAAAAGCTAGCCCGCCCGTCTGTGCGCTAAGCTTATGTAATAATAACACAGCTGTGCCTGGGATGCTGGTTTGGCCTTGTTCGTCCGTGATGACATCGAATAACGTCAGACAAGCGGATGAAGTCCGCGCCATCATCAGAATAAATCAGCTGTGATTGGTTCGCGATGCGGTAAAACTTGGGTCAGCGACCATAGACCTGAGGAGCCGAAGGAAGCGATTATCAGATTGACATCCTCAGATTACGTTCATCAACCTCCAACCACCACTCGATTACAATGTTGTTTCCTGTAACTTCTTTGCTTCGCACAACTGTGGCGCGAGTACCGCGCACTTTGTTGGCTACTGCCCAGCCAGTGCGTATGTACCATGAGAAGGTCTTGGATCACTACAACAACCCACGAAACGTACGTATGCCAGTCGTGTGAGCTTCTCGACGGAAGAAAGCTAACATCTGTCCAGGTCGGTTCATTCACCAAGAACTCAAACGATGTGGGAATTGGCCTTGTTGGTGCGCCTGCATGTGGTGATGTGATGAAACTCAGCATCAAGGTCAATGAGGCCGGCATCATTGAAGATGTGCGGTTCAAAACATTTGGCTGCGGCTCGGCTATTGCCAGTTCCAGCTACATGACTGAACGAGTCAAAGGTCTCTCACTTGACGAGGCTGCGGCTATCAAGAACACAGAGGTGGCTCGTGAATTGTCACTTCCACCCGTTAAGCTGCATTGCTCAATGCTAGCAGAGGACGCTATCAAGAGCGCGATCAATGACTACCGTAAGAGGCGCAACGAAACGGGCAACTTCAAGCAGGGTCACATTGAGGTGATGCAGGATGTGGCCTCAGGTCAGACAACCGCCACACCACATGTCGGTTCCGGCACAGTCTAAATTGGACGGGTTCATCGCCCGAGTTATCTATTAGGACCCCTTTCTATCTTTCGTCCCTCATGACTCTGACCTCATGTACTACTTATTTACTCTCGTGAATATTCATAAGATGATGCGAATTATTTTACAGTGACGTTTCTATGTGAACATGCATCGTCCGCTTTAGTTAGGCTCCTCACTACAAGCCTTCGAGTATGGCCTGTCGCTCCGGTGATGTATTTACGACAGTTGTGGAGTCGCTTGATGCAGGTGTTGGAATGTTTGTAGGAACCGATGGCAGCTTGGCAGCTGGTTGCGATCCAGACAGTGCAATTTTCTCTTGCTGCGCCTGGAAAACGAGTTGTTCAAGCTCGTCCTCTACGGCTTGCTGCTCGTCAGCAGACAGTGTAGAAGATAGCATTTGATCGATTTCCTGTGTGACATTAATTAAACCATCATATCGCACGTACACGCTGATATGTTTGTGACTCAGCCGTCTCTTCCATGAGATGTTCAACACGTTCGAGACTGGTCTCCCTGTGGATTTGCTTAAGAACCTGGTTGCCTTGGGTCAGACCATAAATTATACTTTGCTCAAGCTGAGCAAACTCAATATTCGATACCTTGATCATGTTAGTATTGCATCGTTTCGACCACATATGTGCTGTTGTTGCTGAATCAACACGTACTAATTCTTGTAACGTAGCTAACTGCTGGTCCGTCTTGGAAATCAAGCCGTTCTGATAAGCTCTTTGTCGCAGAGCAAGACGCGCGCGCTCCTTTTTTCCCTCACGAATGGCGATCTTTGCAACTTCATGCTCTCGTTCAAGTACAACTTGTAGCTACAAAAAAGCTGGTCAGTATTGTGGGATTGTCGCATCATAGCCTGTCAAGCAATAACTCGCACCTTCTTTTGGTACTGCTGCACACGATCGCGCTGAAGTTTCAAGCTTGCTGTAAGATATACATCTTGACATACTCCAAGATCGCTCGATCCTGCGGCGTCACACGAACATCGCGTGAATGACCCGCACCCATAAAGAATCGCCGCCGTCTGCCAATTGGCAGAATGAGTCTAACTGATAGAAGGACGGTTTTCGGATGCAACTCCACAAAGACACTTTTTCAGGCATGGAGACAGATGTCAATGAAATTCGGTGTGGAAGGGTAATTTATGTATGGGACAGATATCTAACCACGGCGACCGCGCTTGTGAGGTCGAGGAGCGTCGCTGAAGTGTCGCATGGGCCTTATATCTGTGCGTGAGCCACCGCCCAAAGCTGCGTCAAGAGATTTCTTCTCTTTTTGTGCATCTTTGCGACGCTTGCGGTCCATGGCCTTACGAAGCGAAGCACTTGAACCTGTGCCTGAACCTTGTGCCATCTCATCGAATTGCTTGCGCAGCAAAGCCTCTTGAAATTGGGCCTTCTTGGGGAAAAATGGTTTGAGACCAGCATCGACGCGTCGCTGATTCTCTTTCTTGAAGTCGGCTTTCACACTGCGTTCACGCTCACGACGTGTGCGCTCATTCTGTCGACTCTCTGCACGACGAAGCTCCTGCTCAACATGTGCACGCTGGTCGCGAATTTCAGCAGCTTGCTGACTTTTGGCTCGAGGACCTGCGTGATGTATTTCGGTCCGCTTAAGCTTTGCATGCTGGTCGCGCAACTGTTTGATTTCTGTCTGGTATAGATCAGGCAAAAATCCATAAGATTTTGCGTGTAAGTCCAAATTCACTGGGCCAGCTGATAAAGAGTCAAAACGTGGATCGCGTGCCTTGGCATTCTGGATTGGTTTGACGACCTGGCGAAGTCTTGATACAGGCCGACGCGACGACATGACAGCGGGAGCATTTTTTCTTTCACGCGAGGCAAGGAAGGAAGACGACGACGATGTAGGGGGTAGCTTGGGTTTCGAAGAAGACGAGTGCGAGGATAAATACATCTCACGCAGTTTCTTTTTGGCGAGATCGCGCTTGGCCTCAATAGATTCGTGTTCATTATCGTCTTCTTCATCAGTTGCATGGCCGCGTGCGGATTGACGTCGCATGATACGTCGAGCCTTAAGTAGTTTGTCATAAGGAACAGATTCAATTTCTGCGTCAGTGCATTGAGCGAGTATGTACCATGCCGTAATGTATCCTGAATTTAGCAAAACGAGTATACGCACCTCTTCATGATCGCTATTTTCCTCTTCGTCGTTGCCTGAGACTTCCATGCCTTCCTCGTCATTTTCGTCAATGTCGTCATCCGGATCGATATACTGCGCATATCCGCCACCTTCATCAGATCCTTCTGCTCCGCTGCCTTGATCAGACCATTCTTCATTCTCTTCTACCGGCTCGGCCTCAATTGACTCTTCTGAATCGACTGTGTCAGCGTCCAAAAATTGGGCATGTTGCCCGTCATCTATTTCGTCATCGTCGCGATTCCCAGAGGAGGCTAGCGTATCTTTAGTTGAATCTCGCAAATGCATTCCTGCATATTCGCCACCATCTATCTCTCTAGAGTAGTCTCTGCTTCTCCTTCCCATACTCTGTCGGCAGAACCTTGGTTTTACAACATCAGATGCTCGTTAGAACGAGTCAATTTTGAAAGATTAGGTGGTCACAAATGTTTAGTCATGGCAGCTAGTGGTCTGTGTGTGTCCCCTACAAAAAAAAATCTGCTTATTGTCAGATCGATCGATTCATTTAGAATTTTCGTTCTGGCGTTAGTCGTGTCCCATGCCTCTGTCGTACGTACGAATAGGGTCAATGCGCTGGCCCATCTTGGTTGTGACACGCGGCATGGTCATACGCTGATGTTGTGTCCGCGTGTTCCACTCAGCACCAATAGGCGTTCGCATCGCGGCCTCATACTGAGCAGCGCTCGTGTAGGGGAACGGCAAGTCCTGGGCCTTGTATTTGGCAGCTTTCTTGTCGAGGCGTTCATTAACAATCACATTGTCCATTCCAAAATCCTTGCGTTTCGCCGGATCGAGCCCGCCAATTTTCTTGATCAGAGCGGGATTCTTTGGTTTTCGTCGCACACCCTTTCCTCCCCAGCTTCCCCAGCCAGGGAGCGTGGTGTCTTCTTCTCGGGGTGCATCGGCTTTTATCGCCGCACGCTTCTCTTTCGCAAAGTCCAAAGCCACATCGTCTCCAGCAAATGCTTCAGCAACAAGATCACGCTGCATCGATACATGTCGCTGGCCACGACCACGCTTTCCTCGTGATGCATGCCGCGTCACTTCGACAGGCTCTGGATCGTCCTCTTCTTCACTAGTAGCCGTCTCAAGCTGCGCAGTAGGATCAATGTCTAGCGTCGCGTCATCAGCCGCCAAAGCGCGCGAGTCGCTTCCACGCGATGCATGGCGTTCAGTCCGATGGACCGAACGCGAGGCTGCGCGACTATCTTTGCCAATGAGAACTTGAGGTGTTTGCCTAGATGCGCCGGCGCTATGGCCACCACCCGCCATGGATGCGTTAGACTGGAGCCACGGATTCGAACCACCTGTGTGAAATGGATTAGTGGGTCGCGCAGGGACATGAGCTAATGGAGCTTGTACAGTCTTTGTTGCAAAGCCCTTACCATACATGGCACGACCTGTAGATGCAGCTCCCATAGCGTCGCGATTCGAGTCGGTCCAAGCATCTTCATTCACATCGTGATCATCGTCGTGATCAGCAGCCGCATGCGCAAATTCATTGCGAAGCGACTCGATTGTCTCCTGTGTCGCTCTTTTCTGTCGATCACTCGCATCTTTCATAAACTTCATATGAAAGACGCTCTTACCCTTTTTTCCAGATGCCTCAAGCTCCGCTTCATCACGTGCATCCTGTTCGGCTTCCCTCCGAGCAAATGTCTCAAGCTCATCAAAAGCCACGGCCTCCTGCTCATTTGTACTGTCCATAGAACCGATTGATTCGTCATCATCATCACCTGCAGCATGAATGCGCTTTCTCAGCTCGTCGCCACGTCGCAACTGCTCTTCCACAGCTAACCGTGCATCAGTAGATGCATCATCATGCCGACTAGCATGGAATTTGGCCCATTTGCCGGTATTTTTATGACGAAGCGTTGCTCGCTCTCTCGCTCGCTCTTTCGCAGCTTGGAACCGTTCTTCTTCATCAAGGTCGCCATCACTATCCTGATCAGCAGCACCCTTAGCTTCCTCTCGTTGCTGCTGCTGTAATCGTTCGCGCTCCCTACGATGAATTCGGCGATATGTTTTGCTCTTGATTTTGTTGGCTCGTCGAGCCTTTTGTTCAGCACGGAACATGAGTTCACGCATACGACGTAAATCGGCTTGGCGTTGTGCTGCCTCAGCCGGATCCATCGCGCGTAGCGCAAGTCCTTCCTGTTCAGCCACTTGTTTCTCGGTGAGGCCGCCATCTTGTAGTAAGGCAGCGACAGAGCGCTCCATTTCATTTGATGGCGTAAAGGATGCAGTGAGTCCTGCATTTGACGGCCGCCGGTGGTTGAGCAGGAGGCTGGAGTGGAAATGACAAGTGTTCAGCCTCGCGAATCCGCTTAATGGTAGGTGCCCAACCTTCGACTTCCTCTTTAGAGAGCTTGTATGCTTCAACGCGATCCAGTCGATCTTGTACAATGCCGGGCAATGGCGCGTGCAGCACACCACCCCCACGCTTCGATGCCACTGGCTGTTGGCCAATGGCATTGCGCTTCTCAGTCAGCGCTTGCACATTTTGCAACGAAGCACCACTTCCATGGGCCATTAAGTCTTCAAGACGTAGCTTTGCACCACCACCTGCAGCATCCGTACTTTCATGAACAGCTTCGGTACGCTCTGTACGTGCTGGGCGCCGCTTCTGCGGCACTAGTTCATCATCATGATGTGCACGCTTTTTAGTCCAAATAGCGCCCCAATCAGTATCATCTAAATCATCTTCATGATACTTTCCATTTTGACCATCATCTTCTTCTTCTGATCCAGAGCCTGGTTCGTCATCTTCAGGTGCTTCGTCCAGCAGATTGCTTAACGCTACCATATCCTCGCCATCTTCTTCGTCCTCATCCTCATCCTCCTCATTCATGTCATCCTCCTCATCGCCCTCGTTATTATCGTTATATTTCTCTGGTTTCCTCGAAGTATATCTGCCACTCATTTGACCCATTTCATACTCATCATCTTCGCCAAATGCCTCATCACTATCAATGTCCTCATCCTCACCCACAATGCCCTCAGGCTCGTCGTCCGAATGATCAAAGACACGCGGACCTCGCAGGCGTGAATCACCTTCTTCGTCCGACGAGGAAATATCCCGTGGCATGATCCGCTCTTGGCGTCGGCGATCAGCTCGACGACGCCCCATGACCGATGACGAGTGTCTCGCTTATGCAGGAAGTCTGCTTTCTATCGTCGCAGTGTTGAAAAAGTGAAAGTCGAAACAATTGTCGGTTGAGCCACGTGCTTTCCAAAAAGATGCTCGAATATTTTTTTTTCTCTAGTAGTTATAGGTACAATTCCTTCAGCTGACGACGTCGACTAGTCACACTGTCGATTTTGAGTCAGGAAAGGCGCGTGTTAGACCATGCGACCGCTCACAGATGCTGAGACAACAACGCTCTTTGAAAAGCTGGCGCATTACATTGGAAAAAATCTAGTGCACTTGATTGACCGACCGGATGATCCGTATGTGTTCCGACTCCATCGCGATCGAGTGTACTATGTTTCAGAGGCAAACATGAGACTGGCTGTGTCTGTGGCTCGACCGAATCTCATGTCTCTTGGGACGTGCTTCGGGAAGTTCTCAAAAACTGGCAAGTTTCGTCTGCATATCACTGCCCTTGATTATCTCGTACAGTATGCGCGTTACAAGGTGTGGATTAAGCCAAATGGTGAAATGCCCTTTCTTTACGGGAATCATGTGCTAAAGGCGCACGTCGGTCGCATTACTGATGATACGCCCGAACATGCAGGTGTTGTTGTTCTTAGCATGAGTGGCGTCGGCCTCGGCTTTGGTGTCACAGCACGTTCAACTTCCGATACCCGTAACATGGACCCGACAAACATCATAGTGTTCCATCAAGCTGATGTGGGCGAATACCTACGCGACGAAGAAACCCTATTTTAACCTCAGTCCCCTCGACCATTTTTCTCGTCTTCCATGTAGAACTACAGATGAATCAAAAACAGTGCAAAGAAAGCAATGAACAAATTAGACCGATGTACAATCAGTTGGTCAGTCCTATGATGTCGATTCATGGCGGTTCGCATGCTTGCAAACAGGGAAAAAAAAAAAAAGGCTATCGTGCCTGACCATTTAATACATGAAAAGAAATAGTACAAACATCATGACGTCTGTGCAAATTAAATATGGTCTTCAGGCGACGGGTTCCGAACCATGAGATTTTGCGCACTTGCTCGTGGCGTCGGCACGTCACGATCAGAAAAGTTGATCGGGCCTTGTTGCTGAGTGTGCAAGCCCTGCAACATGCCAGGCTGGTCACCAACTGACGTTGGGAACCAGGCACTCGAGAGCGCAGGCGGGTCCCAATCTCCATGGTCGAATGCACTCTGGCCCTCATTGTCACCACCAAACGCTTGGACAACCCCATTAGCACGTTCTGGCGGGAATTGAGTTACAGCATTATCAGAGCTTCCTTCTCTTGGCATAGACACTGGTATCTGCTTTGAATCAGATACATGAGGTGGGTTGTCGCCCGGATCGTACGCCGGTGCTCGATCAGCAACGGCGGACTGATTGACCATGCCGTTTTCTGTCGAAAATGCGGATGTAGATGCGGATGGCGCATTGTACGACACAGGCGCAGCGCCCGAAACGTATGGGGGCCATACGCCACTATTTTGGTCGTTTGGCACTCCACCAACATGTTGAGTGTCCATTAGATTATGATTGTAGTTACTGTTACTCATGTTGTGCAATGCAGTGGGTTGAACAGAGTTCTGAGGCATGTTTGGAAGCGACACAGGTTGCTGGTGACCCATCGTGCTGTGCGCGGGCTCGTATTCTGATGCAGAGGAGACACGTCCAGAACCGCCAGATATGCCCCCCATGCTTGGCAAGGTAGGCATTACGCGAGTCGAGTCTGGCTCTGATGAATCACGGAAAGGATCCTGTGGGGCAGCTGCATAAGCAGCTGCCGACGATCCTGCGCCATACGGCACGGAATCGAAAGACGGACGTTGAATGAAGTTGTATTCGTTGGTATTGTTGTTGTTGTAGCCCAAATCGGTTGGCACACTTTCATAGTAACCGCGCTGTGAGTCGCTCGACATGCTGGGGCCACGATGCGGCGAGTAGTATTGCGTTGCAGGTGCAGCCAATCCTCCCATGCCCAGGGCAGGACCAGCGCCGGCGTTGCCACTTCCATTCAAAGAGCTCGCATATGGGTCATCGACCATGTTCAGGTAGTGCTCAGGCTGATGGTAGCCAGACTGGTTGAACGCTGTTGAGTAGTAAGGATGCATGACATTTCCACCATTGCCATCGATCGATGCGCCATTTGACCCACTGCCTTCGCCAGGTGTGTGGAACGGACCCCCTGCGGCATTGTCCATACCGCCCATGTACTCGTCATCATCATCGAACGGTGTGCGAGTGGTGGCCTGCGCGGCTGAAGCAGCAGCCATGACATCCCTATCCATACGCTTAGCTTTGTGGCGACGATAGAGGAACCATCCTAGACCCAAAAGCGAGGCCACTACAACGATACCAACGACAGCAAAAGTACCGCCGACTTTGCCACTGTCATCAAAGAAGCCATTGTTGTCATTTGACCCGCCAGACTTACGGTCACCAACGCCGGGTGTCGATGTAAACACGGATTGGCGCGTCGATGTAACGGCTTTGCCGTTAATAGTCGTCACAAACACATCTGTTGATGTTGCTGTGATAGGACCACTTGATGATGCGGGCGCCGCCGAGGAAGACGCCGAGTCTGTTGGACTAGACGACGAAGCGCTGCTGCTGCTTCCTGCGGCAGCACCATCACTACTTGATGATGAACTTGAAGGGCCAGAATTGGATGATGACGATGCAGAACTGGAATCAGCGCCAGCACCATTGCTTGTACTTGATGCACCACTACTGCTGCTTGGTCCTGATGTGCTGCTGCTGCTGCTATTGCCGGCACCATCGGCATTGTTGTTGTTGCTGCTGCTGCTGCTGCTGCTCGGACCCGATGAGCTGTTGCTATTATTGCCACCACTACTGGTGGTTGGGCCCGCATTCCCATCGCTACTGCTGGATGTCCTCGTAGGGCCGCCTGCTCCGCCATTGTTGCTTGATGTTGATGTATCGTTGCTACTACTTGACGTGGGCGACGGTTCTGCACTGCTACTTGTGCGATAGTCGTTTCCTTCGTTTGACGAGGTTCTGCTGGGACCAGAACCGCCGCCACCTCGCGTGGTATTGTTTTCATTCGAGGACGAATTATTGTTGTTCGACGGCGATGATGAGCTCTCGCCATTCCTGCCACCACCACCGCGCGTGGTATTGTTTTCGTTTGAGGACGAGTTGTTGTTGTTCGATGGTGATGACGAGCTCGCGCCACCACTGCCCTGTTCATTTCCTCCTGTGGTGCGGTTGTTGTTGTCGTTGTTGTTGTTGTTGTTATTCTCGCTGGCGGAGAGTTAGCATAAACAATTTCGACATACCTGGAGGTCTCTCGAGGACCCGAAGAACTAGTTCGGTCCATGGTTCGCGTCGGTTCCTGAGTAGTTCGGTTGTCTCGAGTTGTCCGGCGCTCCTCGGAGGAAGTGTTTCTATTGTTGTTGTTTTCGGATGATGTTGGGCGCTCCTCAGACGAGCTGCGCTGATTGTTATTCTCCGACGTGGTTGAGCGTTCGTCAGAGGAGCTGCTTCGGTTGTTATTCTCCGACGTGGTTGAGCGCTCTTCAGACGAAGACCTGGCTCTGCTTTCGGAGGACGTCGGTCGCACTTCTGATGATGTGCGAGTGTTTTCTGTCGAGGATCTCTCGCTTTCAGACGATTCTCGAGAAGAAGACTCCTGCCTAGGAGAATGACGCGACGTTGGTCGGTCGCTAGAGCTACTATCAGAGGAGGAGGTTAGAGAAGTGGTTGGGTTTTGACCCTGGCTTCGAGATGTCGCGGACGACGACACTTTGTCAATCTGTCTCGACGAGGACGTGTCAGAGTCTGATCGACTGGATGACGAGGCCGCGGAAGACACTCTGTTATCTGAATGAGACGATTTGTCAGAAGACGCTTGCGACGTGCGCTGAGAACTTGTGCTGTTGCCTGCGCGACGGAATAAAGTGTGATTTAAAGAAGTCTGCGCAAGCGATGGACGAGCTTGCGGCGCCGTATGTTCCGGTGAGAAAGGATGTGTCTCTGACACAGATCGGGGACCTGGAGCGTCAGTAAAAAAAAGAGACGACGGATGCAAAAGCGCTCACGAACCCATGAAATGTATACGCCCGGAGCTTCTCTTTCTCCCCTTGCGGACAAAGTTACAGCCACACGAAGCCTTTTGGCAAAAAAAAAGACGCGGCTCAGTTCCCCATTGCACGGATTTCCGTGGTCATGCACGTGACATGATCAGGTGTTTGCACATTGAACGTGTTGCGTCTTGGCATTGTTGGCACCAATCGTGCATAAACAAGCCGACGTTTACAGTGCTGCATGCAGAGAGAGTGCGTATTTCGTCTCTCCCTGGTCGGTCAAAATGAAAGCAGATGACGAACCCCAAGGAGGAATATTCTGTGTGGAGCGACGAAGCCTGATGAGAGCAAGACACGACACCGTTGATACTACACGGGCACAGTGTCACGGTCTAAAAAAAGTGATCTATCACAGACCAGGGTTAGGCACGCATAAATCAACCAACAACTCGACATCCAACGCAATATCCTTTTCGAAGCAACGTGAAATCCTATGTTGACGGCATTATCTTCGTTTATATAGACATGGTTTGAGAATTTGTGCGCCGCTACGCACCAGTAAGTCGAGGACATCTTGTGCCTGAGCGGGCTGTGCCACAGCATGACGCAATGCAAGAGGATCCACTTTGGTCCTCGTGTTGGAAACCATAGTATGCTCAATAGGGGATAGGGCCTCCTGAGACGCTTGCCGATAATCCATGGTTTTCGAGAGTTTCAGTAGAACGAAATGCGTATTGGACGAGTCTTGCCAATCGAGATGAAAGCCTAATGCCCTGACCAATTCTGTAAATGCAAGAGTTTCGCCCGTGGAGCCGAAGCGACTTGATACCTCGGCAATGACCAGCTCGCCCCCGGGCTTCAGGACGCGCCAAGCTTCACAGATCATGTGAACCCAGTTTGTGCCCATGAGACTCAAACAAAAAATAGCTACGTCGACCATGGCAGCAGACGTGGCGTGATGCCACACAAGTCCGAGGGGTGCGAATACACCTGGCAATGGGAGAGCATCAATGGCGGCAGCATCGAGTCCACGAACCCAGCCATCAGCGGTCGTGACGAGATCATAACTCAATATGTGGAAGCCATGCGGGGCAAGTTTCTTCGCAAGTCCACCTTCGCCAGCACCTAGATCGACGATAAGCGCTCCAGGTAGATTTGAAGCACGGATGGGATACCGGTCAGCGTGGCTTTTTTTCGTTCGTATGAGCAAATCCGCGATCCGGTCCACGGGGTTCGTAGGCCACTTGCGCACCTGTTGACGGAATCCTGCGTGGTAGTCATCGAAGAGCTGCGGCTCGTTCTTCATAAATGCGAGCGCGTCACTTGAGTGATGGGTATAAAGTCGCTCGTTGATGGATCGGAATCTGGCGCCTTGCAAGCTGGCTAGCATGGACGATTGCAGTGGCGTCATATTCGATGAGGAAGACGAGGAGGACGATGACTCCAGCAAAGGCACAGGTACCTTATGATGACTATCCAGTTGAGTAGATGCGTTCTGAACGTCCTCACCAGACCCAGAAGCGATGCCCTGAGTCGGAACAGGCGACGGCTCAGACGAGGCAAGTGCATTGGGAGGAGACTGCGAGGAACGAAGGGATGGAGTCTTGTCCGAAGCATTAGAGACAGACTCTGCGATTCGTTGACGCTTATTCCATTTTTTGCGCTGAGCTTTGCTCATAGTGGCCAAGTCCGGCGGCACAGGACGAGGTGGTGCCTTTGTATGCGCGGCTTTGGCTTTGGCCTCGGCCGCCGCAAAGATGTCGGACGTTTTCTGGGGCGCTTTTTTGCGGGGCACAGAGGAGCGCGTGTCTGCTTCTTCGTCGATATCGCTGCCGTCCTGAGGCTCGTTCAATGAGCTTGATGCATGTTCCCGCTTTTGCCCAGCTCGAGCACCTAGTTTCGCGCGAAACTTTTGATCCGAGGGATGGATCGGCGCAGATTTGCCCCCATCAGTCGTCGCTCCAACACCAAGAGTCGCAGGACGACGGACATCAACAGGCGATTGCTTGGATGCGGGCGGCGATGAAGCTGATGGCGATGGTAGATGTGAAAGGATCGCATCTGACAATGAAGAGCGATGTTTTTGTAGCTGCTGCTGCAGGGACGCCAAATCGAGCGAAGCACGCTCGTTGGTCATATCTCGTATATGCACCACTACGCTTGAGTCTACGAAGGCAGGTGCACCAAAGAGCCCCAGCGGAACGACGGGGCCAGGGAGCTGGGGAAGACGTAAAGTGGGAACAGTCGGTCAGGCAACGATTGTTTGTTCGCGCATGTGGGCGATGCATCTAAGTACTGCTGGGTCAAAAAAAAATGGGGTCGAGGGGAAGGTGGAGCAAGTCTGGCTTTAGTCAGCCGACCCGCCGCCAGTGCCAGAGTGCGTTCAAGAAGCGAGGGGGGAGGAGCGACCAGAAAGTTGGTCAGGCAGGCTACAAGTCGTACGTGGCGAACAACACTCAACAGCGAGCGTGTTTGTGTTTGTGTGTGTGTCGGTGTGACGACGCATGGAAGTAGACGAGCCCACGGTTCGTCCACCATCTGAAGCGCAACCGGACGCGGTGAATGCAGGTCCGGAGACCGCCATACAGAGGGAAGACCACGCACGTGGAGACTCTGTGGATGCGGACAAGAACGAGGACGACGCTCACCGAACGAACGAGACGAGTGTGGCTGAGATGACGAGCGCAAAGCCTAAAGATTCGATGCAGAACTTGGACGCGAACGGCGAGAACGAGCGTTCAGAAGGTGCGGAAGCCACGCAAAATACAGACAGTGCCCCAGGAGTTGCCGAGTCGACGCACCATGACCATGTGCCAGGTGGTGGCGACGATCAGGAGACCGGCTCTGTGATTGATAAGCTACATGATCAGCATGATGGCCAGCGGTCTGCACGGGAGATGGACGAGACCGAGTTAGTGAAGCCAGAGGCTGACAGTGGGATCGTGAATTCTGAGGATGCGGGAGTTTCGCCGATCACAGTGGCACAGCAAGAGAAGGAGGAGGCAAAGGCTCCAACACCATTACCAAAGTCGCCATCTCCATCGCCATCGCCGGCGCCAGTACCCGTAGTAGCAATCTCAGCTGCTACAGCTGCGGCATCGTCGTCGTCGCCGTCGCCGTCGCCGTCAACGATAGGAACGGAGCGTACAATGCACCACTCGGTGTCATCGGCCAAAAGCCTCACACGTGGCGGTGCAGTGTTTGTCGTATCGGCACTCGAGACCATTTCGTCCTCGAAGGAGGCTCGGCGCAACAAGGCACTCAAAGAGAGCGCGACTACGGCATTGGATATGGTGCGAAGAGCCACGTCGGGCCCTGATACCCAGGAAACACCAGTTGTTCTAGACCCACGCGTTGTCTTTGAGCCATTGCGGCAGGCATGTGCATCCAAGAGTGTGGGGCTGCAAACGACGTCGCTGGACTGCATAGCGAAGCTCGTGAGTTATGCGTTCTTTGCCGAAGACGACGCCGGTACATATGCGCAGACGGCAGAGTCACCACTGGCGGATCTGGTGGTCGAAACGGTGTGTGATTGCTTCGACGACCAGCTCGACGAGCGTGTGTCGGTGCAGATCGTCAAGGCGCTGCTCGCGTGTGTGCTGTCGGTGAGTATCCGGGTGCATCAGTCGAGTTTGCTGCGATCGGTGCGAACCGTGTACAATGTGTTTCTGATGAGCCGGACGCCGGTGAACCAAGGGATTGCCCAGGGAGCACTGAATCAAATGGTCGGTGCGGTGTTCAGCCGCATGCCGCTGGAAGAGGCGCATGGCGAGCCGACGGACACCAGCACGAGTGCAGAGCCTGTGACGCTGCAGATGCTAGAGAGCCGGCACTCGCTGGATGCAGGTGAGAAGGACGAGGCGTCGTTGCCGATGGATGCACCGGACCTGCTTGTGAAAGATGCGTTTCTGGTGCTGCGTGCGCTTTGCAAGTTGACGATGAAGCCGCTAAGCTCAGAGAGCGAGCGGGACATGAAGTCGTACTCGATGCGCTCGAAGCTGCTCGCTCTTCGCACGGTGAAGGGCGTGCTGCAGCAGCACATGCACGTGTTTACGACTGGGACGGTGCGCTTCCACAGCACGACGAGCGGTGGCGAGTCGACGTTCGTGCAGGCCGTGAAGCAGTACTTGTGCCTGTGCATCAGCCGGAATGCCGTGAGCAGTGTGCTGCCGGTGTTTGAAGAGAGCTGTGAGATTTTCTGGCTCGTACTCTCGGGCATGCGGAACAAGATGAAGAAGGAAATTGAGGTGCTGATGAACGAGATCTACTTGCCGATCCTGGAGATGCGCTCGAGTCCCATGGCACAGAAACTGGTGTTGCTCCATACGCTGCTGCGTCTGTGCAAGGACCCGCAGGCGCTCGTGGAAGTGTATTTGAACTACGACTGCGACCGCACGGCCCTGGAGAATCTGTATGAGCGCCTCATGAATGTGATATCGCGACTGACGCAGATGCCAGGATCAGAGGGCGCGCAGGTACCGGATGAGCGCAAAGAGGCCGAGTCGGTGGATGTGCGCCTAAAGCGCCACAGCCTTGAATGCCTCTGCAGCGTGCTGCGTTCGCTTGTCGAGTGGATGGGCCGCCTGATCGAGGAGCCCGTCGGATCGACGGACGAGGGCGCTGCACATGCAGACGACGCGGCGACGGGCTCGAGCACGGCGGCGTCAGCAGCACCGGCGTCAGCAGCGTCAGCGTCAGCGTCGACATCGACATCGACATCGGCATCGACATCGGCATCGGCATCGGCATCGGCGTCGGCGTCGACGGCAGCCGCGCCACCAGGCATGGATGACGACCCGGGCCGTTTCGAGAACGCAAAGCAGCGCAAGACGGTGCTGCTCGAGGCCATTCGCACGTTCAACTTCAAGCCGAAGCGGGGTATTGCGCAGCTCATTGAGCACGGGTTCATCAGGGGCGGTGAGCCAGAGGCGATTGCGCGCTTCCTGTTTTATGCGGACGGGCTAAGCAAGCGGTCCATCGGCGAGTACCTGGGAGAGGGCGATGCACACAACATCGCGACGATGCATGCGTTTGTGGATCTGATGCAGTTCGATCACATGCCGCTGACGACGGCGCTGCGCCGCTTCCTGCAGGCATTCCGCCTGCCGGGCGAGGCCCAGAAGATCGATCGCTTCATGCTCAAATTTGCCGAGCGGTACACGGATGGGAACCAGACGGCGTTTGCGAACGCCGACACAGCATACAAGCTAGCCTACTCGGTCATCATGCTCAACACAGATGCGCACAACCCGCAGGTCAAGCACCGCATGACACTGCAGGACTTTCTCAAGAACAACGCAGGCCTCGATGACGACCGCGATCTGCCGGAGGAGTACCTGACAGCCATCTACGACGAGATTCAGAAGAACGAGATCAAGCTCTATGGCGAAGAGGCACCGACCGTCCCGACATCGGGCGGGCTCGCCGGCGTGATCGCAACAGTCGGCCGTGATCTGCAGCACGAGGCGTACGTGCTGCAGACGCAGGGCATGGCGAACCGCACCGAGGTGCTCTTCCGCACCATGCTGCATGCGCAGCAGCAGGCCGGTGTGCAGCGAGCGCTGGCGGAGCGGTACTTTAGTGCGTCGCACATGGAGCACGTGAAGCCAATGTTCGAGGTCGCGTGGATGTCGTTCCTCGCCGGCATATCTGCGCCACTGCAGAACTCGAACGACGCCGACACGATCCGCATGGCGCTCGATGGATTCAAGGACGCCATCAAGATCGTGTGCTTCTTTGGCCTCGAGCTCGAGCGCAATGCGTTCATCACGACACTGGCCAAGTTCACGTTCCTCAACAACTTTGGCGAGATGAAGAGCAAGAACGTCGCGACGATCGAGGCTCTGCTAGACATTGCACACACAGAAGGCAACTTCCTGCAGGGCAGCTGGCGCGAGGTGCTAACGTGTGTGAGCCAGCTGGAGCGATTCCAGCTGATCAGTGGTGGCGTCGACGAGCGCACGCTGCCGGACCTGGGGCGGCGGCCCGTCGTGGTGCCGTCGCCGGGGTCGTCTGGCGCGACGCCGGCATCGACGATGCAGGCGTCGGGCGTAGCGGCCACCACCATAGCGACATCGTCGACGTCATCGACATCGCGGGGCACCTCGCACATGCCGCATGAGGATGAGATCCAGGCCGGCGCCTCCAGTGAGATCACCGTCACAGCCGACCGGGTGTTTTCCGCCACGCCCCAGCTGTCCGGCGAGGCAATTGTGGACTTTGTGCAGTCGCTGTGCGACGTGTCGTGGGAGGAGATCCAGAGCTCCGGCTTGTCGGACAAATCCGCGGCTGTTCTCGCTGCAAAAGGTCGTTCGAAATCTCCTACTACAACATGGGGCGCATCCGCATGGAGTGGTCGCGTCTGTGGGCAATCCTTGGGCGAGCACTTCTACCATGTGTGCTGCCATCCGAACCCGGCCGTGAGTGCATTTGGCCTCGACTCGCTCCGGCAGCTCGCGAGCAAGTTTTTCGAGAAGGAAGAGCTCCTCCACTTCACGTTCCAGAAGGACTTCTTGAAGCCGTTCGAGTACACAATGCGTCGCAACGCCGACACGGGCGCCAAGGAAATGGTGCTGCAGTGCCTCGACCAGATGGTGCAGACGCGCGCCGAGCGCATCCGGTCCGGATGGACGACGATCCTCAGTGTGTTTGGCGTCGCGGCGAGTGCGACCGAGCGCATCGCCCTCTTTGCGTTTGAACTCGTGCGCCGTGTGCAGCAGCAGCACATGCATGCGATTCTGGTGAATGGCAGCTTCGCCGACCTGTGTGTGTGTCTGGCGCAGTTCGGCAAGGTGACGAACCAGCGCGTGAGTCTGCCAGCGACGGAGCTGCTCAAGTCGATCGTGCCGGCGTCAATGCAGGCTGCCCACGCGGCGGACACGCCGGCCAAGTCGCTGTGGCTGCCGATGCTGTTCTCGCTCTACGACATCCTGATGACCGGCGACGACCTGGAAGTGCGCCGCGTCGCGCTCGATGCCCTGTTCTCGATCCTGGTGGAGCAGGGCGGCACGTTCTCCATGACGTTCTGGGACCAGGTCTGCAACGATGTGCTGTTCCCGATCTTCAACGTGCTGCGGAACCGCTCGGACGTCACGCGCTTCTCGACACAGGAAGACATGAGCGTGTGGCTCTCGACAACGATGATTCAGGCGCTCCGGCAGCTCGTCGCACTCTGGACGCACTTCTTCCACACGCTCAAGCCACGGCTCCCAGGCCTGCTGGAACTGTTATGCGCGTGCATATGCCAGGAAAACGACACACTTGCGCGTATCGGCACATCCTGCCTGCAGGAACTCATCATCCACAACATGGCGCAGATGGACGACACTTGCTGGCAGCAGGTGGTCGATGCGTTCCTCCGTCTGTTCCGTGCCACCACCGCGTCGCAGGTGTTTGACCCCGCACTCTCGTCGCCAGATGACCCCCTGCCGGCCCACGAGCGCCGGCACGCCTTTAAGCAGATCATCGTCAAGTGCGTGCTGCAGCTCCTTTTGATCGAGACGTCCAACGAGCTCCTGCAGAACACCGAGGTGTACGAGGCAGTGCCAGTGCCGCAGCTCCTCCGCCTCACAGCCGCCCTGGAAGACAGCTACCGCTTCTCCCGCCGCTTCAATGCCGACCGCACTCTGCGCACGTCGCTCTGGAAGGTCGGCTTCATGAAGCAGCTGCCGAATCTGCTCAAGCAGGAAAGCACGTCCGCGTCCACGCTTGTGTATGTGTACCTTCGCATGCACAATGACCACCGCGCCGGCTTCGCTGCTCATCGTGCGGAGGTCAGCGAACGCTTCCTCCCACTCGCCGAGGAAATCATCAGCGTGTTCTTGCCGCTCGACAACGAGACTCAGGCACGCAACATCTCGGCCTGGACGCCCGTCGTTGCTCAGGTGCTCCTGGGCCTCGCGTCCATGTATGAGATGGACCCACATGCCCACAAAGCTGCGACTCCCACATTCTACCTGCTGGTGATCGAACTACTGGACAAAATCTCGCTTGCCCCAGCTCTCACGGGCCCGTTGCGGCGGTACTTGGCGGCCGTCGGTGCCGCACATGGCCTTATTGACAAAGACGCCGCAGTGGCTCGTGCACGTGCTAGAGACGAGGCCCGCGCTGAAATGCTGCAAGCCGCGCCTTTGGGCCACACGCAAGTCGCTGCCGATCAGTCACAGGCGGATCTTCGGCACATGGCCCTCTCCAATCCGTCCGTCGATGCATTTGCATCCCCTACAACATCTACATCGTAAGCAGAACGGGAAGAAGTGCGTGTGCGGATCACAGTGCCGCATCGATGCGCCCATCTGTGGCATCGGTCCGTGTGTGAGGAAGTGACGGTGTGGGTAGGGGGGTGTATGTTGGTGTGGGTATGGCTGTATGTTTGCGTGTGTGTGTGTGTGTGTGTGTGCGTGAGTGTGTGCGTGTGGAACGCAAGACTGGGAGTGCAGGTTGCACACCATTGTCTGTCCCCTGTCCCCGGCTCTGCCGCATTGGCATGCCATCATCCATCCTCATCTATTCACATGCGCACACGACCACGTTGATTCATATAGGTACTATACATGGAATCATGCATACGAATCGACCAACGCATCGCGCAGCTGGTCCACAACAGCGCCAGCTTCTTGGTTCTGCAAGCGGAACGTCGACTCAATGACGCTCACTTCTGTAGCTGTGGTATCGAGGCCAACAAACGCCACCCAGTCATTCACCAGCAATCCTGCACCGATCAGATCTGATCCCCGGTTCACCGTGCCTGCAACGAGCGGTACTTGCAACAGCGATGACAATTCGTCCTGGTCTTGCAACGAGGTCTTGGGATGCACAAGTGCGCCTTGGTTCGACATGGTCGCATACGAGCCGACCAGCACATTATCACCCACTGTTTGTCGGAACACTTCCACTTTTAGTACGTCCGCAATGATCTCCTCTGTCTCACGATCCAGATCCGGGTGTACAATGGCCACATAGTCATTACATGCAATCACATTGCCCAAGGCACTCAAGCGCTCTTCCACGCGCTGGATAGCCACCTTGTCCGGCAAACTATTCCGCAAGTGTTGTAGTTCCTGGTCGGTTGTCGTCATGGGAACAAGGAGACCGTGTCGGTTACCAACCGTCAAGCGGCCGACGAGCCGTGTGCCTGCAATGGTGCAGTGAACAACTGGCATCAGGTCGGCCAACTCAATTTCGAACGTGGTGTAAAAGTTGGCAGACCCACCAACGGCCACAAGGCAGTACCAGTTCGTTAGCCTGGCAAACACGCCAATTTCGGACGAGTTTTCAAATTGACAACGTAACGCCATGGATTGCAGTAGTTAGAGTTATCGATGTCAAACGGTGCGTTGCCACGGAACGTCGTAAAAGAAAGTCAAATGCCCCGGCGCAGTTGGCTTTCCAAAAAAATAAATAAAAAAAAAAAAAAACGTGAATTGCTCCGCGAATGTGACTCAGATCCACAGCTGTCTAATAAGAGGCCTCAGCGGTGCCGACGGTGCGTGGAGGGTGTGCGTGTACGTGTGCAGTCCACACTCACCGACAGGTGACCGATGTGCTTATGTAAGCATTGCGCGGCGTCGTACCTGCCCCTTGGTTTCGCTACATTTGTCGACCGAGTCTTTCTCAACGAAATCGTCTGTGACCGCGCGCCAAGATGGATTGTATGTCCGCATTGTCTCGTCTCACCACGCAGTGTCCACGCTTTCGTCTTCAGACCAGCTGCAGATGCAGCGTATCATCGAGCAGAAGCAAATGAAAGACTTTATGGGGCTGTACTCGGGCCTCGTCGAGCGCTGCTTCTCTGGCTGCATCAACGACTTTACGTCGCGCGCCCTCACGACCAAAGAGACTGAGTGTGTGTCTCACTGCACGCAAAAGTTCCTGAAACACTCGGAACGTGTGGGAGCACGCTTCTCTGAGGAGAATGCTCGTCTCATGGGTCAGCAGCAGTAATAGATGGAGACTGGCTCTTACTCTTGCTGCAGCCGTGTTGGTGTAGGTGTGATTCTACTTTTTTTATCGAAATACATATGACGCTCGCGTAACCAAACGCCCAGACCTGTCTTTAGGTCCGCCTGTAGAAAGGCAAGGCTCCGGATTCTTTCTCGTTCCATCTGCTCCCATCCCCACACCTCTCCCTGTGTGAGAGAGACTGTAGTATCCACGACCGATGCCTTTTCTTCTTGTTGACCTGGAGCTTGAATTAGCAAGTTCACTTGGCTGATGCGATGTGCTTGCTAGAATCTCTTTGCTTTTCGGTGTCGTCTGGGCTCGTACTACGTCATCCTACGCACAGGGTACATAGTTCCTCGAGATAGGGCGCGGTGGCAGGGGTATGAATGTGACATATGCTACATGCGCGGTAAGTGCGCCTATGTACGCGCGATGGTCGCTGAAATGCCGCTCGCTTGTACGACATTGGGATGACCCATAATCTGGCCGAATTTTTCGTAGTCGGCTGATAGGACTGCTTTGGGCCCATTAACGCAGGGCACACCCCTCCACCCATCCCGGCCCAGTTGGTCCACCAAACACCCAGCTCATCCTTGCACCGCAAAAATCCGACACACGCCTCGCCGAACGAGCATCTTGTCAGGCATCGCGCGGGCTCACTGTGCGAGAGTGGGCGTCGCGCAAAACCATGGCTCACCTGCAAGCGCCACTGGCTATTTCGAACCATCGCACACGCGCAAGAGGCATCTTTTCGCCACGCACCCGTGATCCGCTCACGCACGTGGAGCCTGAAGCGTTCGAACTCAACTCTTCGTCACGGCAGGCTACCTCACATACAACTGCGGGCTTTGATCCATTAACATCTGGCGAATATGTCTGGATGTTCGCATCTACAGCTGCTATTATGGTTATAACGGCCATTGGACTTTACTTGTGCTTCGGCATGTGAACACATGAATGGATCGCAGCAGCAGCAGCAGCAACCGCCCAACCATTCCGTTTCACACCCTCCGTCTTTGTACATGTGCACACCCACTTTCATAGATCCCGTTTCTTGCCACCACATACATCTTTACCCCTATGCGCTGGCCCACCATGTCATGTTGATTGTCTACCAGTCCACCAGCAGCTGCTTCGTGCTGTCCACTCAGATCATGTGCTGTTCTGTTTCGCCCATACGCCCCGCCCCAGATGGCCAGCCCGGCCCCCCACCCCCCTCCTTCCTACATAGTGGACGAGTGGTGGAGGAAATGCCACGTGACACCCCTCCTTCTCACACACATACACACATACACACATACACACACACACATATCCTCGTCATCAGCACACGCGCCATCGATCAACGCTCGCTTTGGACAGCCGCGTATGGCAACGACCAAGTGCGATGCGAATGCCAAGCCGACATGGCTTGTGCAGACGCTGAGCACCTTGTCTGATACAAACACACCGTCTACCGTGTACGTATACAAGTAAGAGTGCGTGCTAACTGACGATGTTGTAGCCGCGAGTCCCTTGCACAGCAATGGGCATCTGACCCATCTTCCACACGTCTTGCTGTAACGCATCTCGTGCGTGAATGCCTACAAGGGGCATCGATCTCCTCTGTACATGCAGCACAGACACTCGACGTACATGATGCCGCCTGGCCAGACGCTTTGCTCGACACATTGTGGGCGCTCGACTGGGAAATGGAGGCGCGACATGAAGCGGGGGATACGTCCGCCGTGTCTCTAGATATGGCGCGTGCGCGTCTCGCGGATCTACTGCATGAACTTGTTGCTCAAGGTGTGCTGGAGCGGCAGAAGGTCGCGGCGCGCATCGATGCGCCGCTGCTGGGCAAACTGGGCATGGTGGATCCGTCCCTGTTCCAGCGACGTGGCATACAGATTCGCACGGCCACTTTTTTCAAGCAGCCCAAATACAACCTACTGCGTGAAGAGAACCAAGGCTATGCGTCGCTATTTATGAGTCTCGAGTCATGTGTGGGTCCGTCGCTGGTCGTCGATGATCTCGGTCGCGTGCGTGAGGACGAAACGGCTGCAGAGCGAGACGCACGAGCCGCTGGCTGGCTTACGACGATGACCAGCCTCGTTGGTGCGTACAACCTCGATCCCGCTCGTGCGCTCGATGTGGCTCTCACGCTCTTCTGCTCGCATGTTGTGCACCATTATCCGTTTTTTCTTAGCCTCTTCCGCCAGGCGTCGCCAACGTGGGACAGCGAGCGGATCACAGAAATCCTGGGTTTCCAATATGCACACTATGTCCATCCTGACACACGAGAGTCTGCGCCCGAGGAGCTGTACCTCCTGACCGCATTGCTGATCCGCGAGCGGATCGTGTCACTGGCGCAAATGATGGCGTATATCGCGTCCGACGATGCGATGCGGCAACTCCGGCACGCATATGAAGAAGCCCTCACGACCAAGACTGCATCCGTTGGCGCAAATGCTCTGACGATGGCTGCGCCGCTTGTCGATGACGATGCCCCCACGTCGTCGCCGAATGTGTCTGCCTCCTCGTCCGCACCAGACCGTGCTGCGTCTGCATCGCCAGCTGCGCATGGCGTGCATGGCATCAAACTGGTGCGCGCCATGCTCCGCTGTGGTGCGCTGGACGAGGTGCGTGCGTTCATCGCGGCGCATCCATGGATCTTTGGTGCCTATCCCAGCTTGACGCACGCATATGTACGGCTTGTTTGGCGTCGTCTCGACACGCCAGCGTTCCGACGCATCGCTGTCCTTTGTCACGTCCCAACGCGTGCGCAGCGCACCAGCACGCTCACCATGTTTGCGCCGGAGCCCCGCGCAACGCGCACGCACCAGTTTGTGTTCTGTGTGGGTGACTGGGCCGACGCACATCCGCCGTTCGAGCACGCAGAAGACGTGCTTCCGCTCCTTGCGCCACTGGGCGTGTATGTGTGTCAGGACCGGCGGCTTCTCCAGCTCCTTTGTCGTGTGTGTGCGAACGCAACGAACAAGACGCCGTGGATGCACTTTCTCCGCACGCAGCTCATGCCAGCTATCACACTAGCCGATGGCGGCGCGCCCGTCCTGTATGAGCTATGGCGCGTGTTGCAGACGCTGCCCTACACCGAGCGGTACAGCTTGTATGGTGAATGGAAGCAGCGCTCAGGAAAACGGCCGGAGCTGCGCTTTGCCAAGATGCAGACGGAGCGGGAGGCGCGTGGCATTCTCCGGCGCATTAGCTCCGACAATGTGCGTGCGAGTGGCCGGAGCTTTGCAAAAGCAGCGCACGCACACCCGACGGTGTTTTTCGACGTGGTGCTGCATCAGATCCAGTCGTATGATAACCTGATTGAGCCAGTGGTCGATGCGGCCAAGTACCTGACGCCGCTCGAGTACGACGTATTTTCGTATGCGCTGCTGGACGCACTGAGTCAGCCCGCCAAGGAGCGGACCAAGTCGGACGGGACGAACGCGAGTCTGTGGCTCAAGAGCCTCGCTTCGTTCGCCGGTGCCTTTTACCGAAAGTATGTCTCGATGGACGGCACGCCTTTGCTGCAGTATCTGGCGAACCGCCTCAAGCAGGACAATGTAACAGACCTCATTGTACTTTCTGAGCTTGTGCTGAAGATGAGCGGCATAGAGCCGGCGGGCGAGCTGTCCGAGTCTCAGATGGCCGCCCTGTCCGGTGGGCCGCTGCTGCAGACCGAGGCCGCCATGACGCTCATGCCCGGCTCCACGCCTGCCGCCATCCTGCTCGCTCGCAACGGCTTCAAGAAGGGTGCGCTGCGTCTGTACCGCATGCTCGTGCAGAGTCGTTTGGCCATGCCGATCCTGATCCTCATCGCACAGCAGCGGCAGGCGTGCGTGTTTACGGCAGCGGACGACGCCGCCGATACGCCCATCAAGTCGCTCAGCAGCACTTTCGATACATGTGTCGCGATCCTGTTCCAGTACGCACACTTTCTCGCCGCACAGGGAGCCGAAGACCACGCTCAGCGTGTGCCGTTACCGGCAGACTGGATCCGCCGCTTTGGTCTCGACGCTTCGATGGCCTTCCACCTCGCACGGCCCAGGCTCCTGTGGGACATGCAGCAGAGCAGCAAGTCCGAGGACAAGGACATGCACGTCGATGGCGACGTCGAGGTCGTCTGGCACGCTGCACTGCAAAGCACCGTGCAAGGCATCGCGTCGGTGATGCCAGCAAACTCGATCTCCGCCTTAGGTGCGCCGTTCTTTACCACGTTCTGGCAGCTTGCTCTTCCAGACGTCACCGTACCTATGGAGCGCTACCAACAGGAACTCTCCCGGCTCCGGCAGTCGATCCAAGATGTCGATGCAGCAGCCGACTTGTCAGAGAGTCTGAAAAAGTCCGCCCGCGTGCGGCTGCAGGAAAGCATAGCGCATCTCACCACAGAGTTGAAAGAGCAGACGCTCGCATACCAAGCGACGCGCCGGCGCCTGCAGGCCGAGAAAGTGCACTGGTTCGCTCCCGACGTCCATCGTGGCCAGCTTGTCCAGCAGCTCGTCGTTCACTGCCTGCATCCCCGAGCGCTGTTTTCTCCGACCGATGCCGTCTACACGGCCAAGTTCCTTCGGATGCTGCACACGCTTGGCACGCCGGCGCTGCCGACGCTCGCGGTGTACGATGTGCTTTTGACACAGCACGTGGCCTCGACGCTGTTTTTGGCGTCCGAAAACGAGGCTCGGTCTTATGCACGCTTCCTGCACGCCATACTGGGTGACTTGCACGGCTGGCTTCAGTCCAAGGACCTATACGACAAAGAAGCCCTTGGCGACGTCCCAGGATTTTCTCTCGCTTGGGAAGGGCTCCGAGGAATGCACACGCGGCGAACCGGCGACCAGCCTTTGTCGTTTGCTGCCTTCAAACTGTGCATGCTGACCTGGCACACTTCGCTGCATGATGCGTTTGCTTCCTGTTTCGGCTCTGAGTACATGCGGATCCGGAACGCGATCGTGGTGCTGAATCGCATCTCTGGCTACTTCCCCTTGCATAAAGAACACGGTGCGCATCTTCTGCAGGCGGTCGAACATGTCGTCGCCTCAGAACACCGTGGCGACCTAAAAGTACTGGGCCAGGGTCTCGTTGCCACACTGAAGAAACAGGCGCCCACCTGGGTGGACGTGAGTTTCTTCCGTCCCTTGACGAAGGAAGAGCGCGATGCCAGAGCTCGGCACGAAGCAGCGCTGCGTGCGAAGGCGGAGGACGAACAAAGAGAAAGAGAAGCGAAGAAGGCCCAAGAGGCTCGTGAAGCACAGCAGGCAAAGGAAGCCGAAGAAGCACGCCGCGCTGAGGAAGCGGCCGCAGCAGCCAAGGCAGACGAAGCCAGGCGTGCAGATGAAGCGCGTCGTGCTGAGGAGGCTCGTCGGGCCGAAGAAGCACGGCGCACTGCCGAAGAACCTCGGCATGTGGACGAGGAGCCTGCGCCTCCGCATAAACAGTCCCGAGACAATGCAAAGCATGATGCTCGTGCAGAAGATGGCATCGTGGATCGCGATGATAGCTGGAGGAGAGCTACGCCTGATCGGCGGGGCAGCAAAGTGCCGTCTAAAATCGACAGACGAGACCGAGACCGCAAGTCGGAGGATGCACCATCGGCGGCACACGACGAGCCACGAGAACTTCGGATCCGTGGTAGTGGCGATACACGCGCCAAAGACCGGCCGAAAGACTCGACGAATGACACTGCAGCATCTCGAGGAGACGACTCATTTGGTGCGCGACACGATCCTCGGCCGTCCCGGTCTGAACAGCGTGCACGTCATGGTCGGTCGGACTTCCCTGACCGCGATGCACGGCCTCCGCCCCGGGATGCAAGGTCTGAGCGTGCCGGCGGTGGTCGTTGGGGTCGAGAACGAGAACGAGAACGAGAGCGTGAGCGCCATCGTGAGCGCGAACATTACGGACGCTATGACAGGCGCGCTTCAGACGATCGACCCTATCCCCATCCCCATCCCCACACCGACCACTCCGACGATCGGTGGCAGGAAACGAATGCACAATGGAATCGGCGACGCAGTGATGTTTCACCCTCGCCAGCAGCCCCGATGCAGCAAGGTGCGACTGATGACGCGCATCGAGCGAATGACGAACGCGGTGGACGAAAGCGCTCCTTAGCTGATCGCTTGGGCTCTTCTGACACAGGTACACCGTCCTCTGACTCGGTACGTATACCAATACAAGCACACACACGTACGAGCGACACTCAGTCTCAGCAGGGCACGCCCGACATGAAGCGCATGCGTAGGGACCGCATGTCCGTACGCTCCCAACAAGGAGCGTCCACCGCTTCGGACGACCGTCCACCAGATCATGCGCCAAATGCATGGCCCGAGAGAGACCGACCAGCACGCGCGTGGGGTCGCGAGCGCGCAAATGACATGCCACGTGAGCATCGTGAACGAGACCGTCGAAAACGTCGTGCTGGTGGTGATGAACATGGTTGATGTAGGTTGGATTGCTTAGATTCGTACTACCGCGCCTCAAAATGGAGCTGTATGTGTGTATGTGTATGTGTGCGTGTGTGTACAAGGAAGACGAAAAGACACGACGCGTTAGCATAGAATTCTCAACTCTGCACGTACCATATGCTTTGTCCGCTTTTTGTACATAATTCGATGTCCACATTCTCGACACCGAATAGGCTCACGAGGACGAATCTCATTTACTGCCGAGCAGTCTTGGTGTTAATGGCATACTAGAGAGATGATCGACATACCCGCACAAATGTATTCGACTGATGGCTGGCGCACACCTGCACCACCAAGCGGCACACCACCAGGGCGCGTGTAGCTCATCGTGTGAGATGTGTGGGTGTATGGGTTGTGAGTGGACGAGGAAAATTTCGCTGGCGCCTCCGCTGTGATGACGACAGCCCTAGACGTGTGGGTCTCGTGATACCCAACTCACACACCTCCATCACATATCCTACTTGCAGCGACCAAGCTGGGTGGGGTGGGACGGGGGGGGAGCGCCAATCATGTCGCCTGGGCAGACTTGTGACATTCTACACGTCGAATGGATGGCCTGATCATCGCTGGCCGCGATGGCCAGCCGATCATGCTCTCCCGCTTTCGAAATGGCAACACATTATATCCCATGATGCATGTGTCGTATTTATGTGAAAAGATCAAAGACGTACTAGGCCGCTCAGAGAATGGCGCCTATTCTTCCCTCGATCCCGCGGCTCCCATGGCTGTGCGAGATATCCCACCGGTACTCTCTGTTCCTCTCGCTGATTCTGTGCTGGAAAGTAGCTCAGAATCAGATGGAATGGAGGATGAGGTGGCTGACGATGATGATGATGACCACGGCAGTGAGGAGCATGAAACGAGTCCACAGCAAGGCAGTCAGACACTGCCTGACCTTCCTGACGAAGCCCTGGCTTGGTCTGATGGCGCCGAGCGAAACTATGCACCAAAAGCACCAGATTCGAATTCAGAAACATGTATTCCATTGGAAGGCGGCTCAGTCCTGTGTCATATCATGGTCGGCAGTTTGCGGTTTTTATGCCCCATGTCCCATGACTTGGACCCATTGATCTCTTTTGCCTTCTTGCATAAGGCGGCGGACGTACTGCAAGATTATTTAGTGGGCTCTAAGGATCCTGCTCTTTTGACAGAAGATCTTATTCGTCAACACTTTGACATCGTGTATCAGCTCATGGAGGAAATGCTCGATGGAGAAGGCAACGTCCTTCTGACAGAGATTAATGCTCTCAAAGACATCGTGGTACCACCCCGCTGGCTTGATAAAATTGCTAACAAAGTCGGCTTGAACTCTTCGCCGGAGCATGCACGCATGTCTCTAGCATCTCCTGTCCCATGGCGCAGGACTAACAGCAGATATTCAAAAAATGAAGTCTACCTAGATATGATCGAGTCTATCGAAGGTGTCATTGATGCAAATGGATGTCCAGTTGCTCTAGACGTCTGGGGCAAGCTCACTTGCTCAGCATGGCTCTCTGGCATGCCAGAATTGCTTGTGTCACTAAATCACCCATCGCTTCTAGAGCTCCCGGCCTGGCATCAGTGCATCCGCCAGCAAACCTGGGAAAAGCAGCAAAAACTTTGCTTCGTGCCCCCCGACGGCGAGTGCGTGTTGAGCGAGTTCCGCATTCGAGTGCCATCGAAATCAACCTCCTCATCTTGCACGCTAAAGCGACCCATTTCGTCCGACTCGTCCGCGTCTGAGTTCAACTCTAATTCCTTACCCATGAAAGTCTATGCATACTATTCGCCTTATAATGCAGCGCACGGCGGCCTTCCATTTAATATCACCGTTGACCATGCTCTTGATCCCGCATACGACTTGCAAGATGTGTGTATTGACTGGCTTCTTGGCGATGGTGTGCAAGGTGTCGATGCCATTACTCAGGTGAACACTGTTGCAACGAAAACATCTATGTCATCAGACATAGGCTCCATTCCGAACCTGTCTCGTACGGCAGGTAACATGGTTTTTGACCGGAAGCAGCAACATCTTCGGTGGGTGATTCCCAAGATCTCACCATGTACTCAGTCTGTTTTGAAAGGCACCATCCTCTCGACATCCGCTTGCCGTCCTATGTATGCCCTTGATGTCCAATTCTCCGTCTTTGGATACACAATGTCTGGGCTACGTGTGAGCTCTATACAGATTCAACCTGAGTCTTACGTGCCAACCAAAGGTGCGAGAGTTTGTCATTCCGGACGACTCGAATGGAGATTGGCATCCTAATGCTCGATACCCCTCGTGATGTACTACCATACAAGATTCGTACTCCAAATTAAGCGTGCATATTTACATATGCACACAACATATATCTTGGACAATAAAAGAACTTCCTAGTCATGTGGTCTCTTTCACGTCTTTTTCCTCCCTCCACAATGTGACTGGATCTCTTGGTCCATGCGTGCCCAGCGTGCCTCGGTGGCTCGAAGAATCGTGAGACGCCGATCTTCTCGCTCTTCATCCACATCCACAGATGTAGTTCGACCAGGATTATACACAGGCTCGCTGCTGAGAACATGTGTATGTTGCTCGCGGGTGTACTCAAATGTCTCGAGTTCGCGATTCAACTGGCTATTCAAGATGTTGAATTCGGGCGGGTGGTCATCAATCTAGCAGTCAAATGGCAGTCAGCGTTTATTGGATACGTACCTCGTTGTGACACAATTCATGAAGCAAAACACGCCGTGTTGTCTTGTAGTCGCGCAAGCCATCGGCGGCGTCTGTCCGCACCCGGAGAAGAATACGCTGTCCTTTGTTTACATTCAGGCCAAGGAGCTCAGGATTTTCATGCGGTAAAAGCTCGCACAACTCACCAACTTTGTAATGATGCAACTTGCACACATGCAGTACAGCGGGATCTGAGGCAAGTCGCTCCAGATACTGACGCACATTTTTGTGCCAAGGATCAGCATCTTGAGTGCTTGAATGTGGCCTACACCGACCAAATGCCGCTGTCACCTGTGCATCGGGAAGACTTTTTGTAGGTTGCATATTCTTTAGAAGACTTGGATGAAGGCGTCGTGGTCCATAAGACTTGTCCAATGATGCTTCTTGCATTTGCTCTCGTTCCACTTCATGTACGGGCGCGCCAACGAGTGTGAGCCGCATATCCGCGCTCAGTCCCACATCAGGAAGAAGTTGTTGATTCGTATTCCCAGAGCGCAGTATCTGACCAAGCTGACGTGCTTTCGGTGGCGTGAGTAGTTTTTGGTGTTTTGGAAGGACTCCCGTAGCCCGACAAATTTGCTCTTGAAGTTCAGCCACAGTCATCGTTTCATGTATCAAAATGTCGTATGAGTGCAAGCGATGCTGCACTTGAATAGAATTATTCTGGTTCTCACTCATATTGCCGCCATTCCTCATGGCGCCCTTAGGCGTCATTGTCCTTGTAAAGTGAGTGGCGAAGTCTCATTCCACTGTATGACGCCAGCTTATTTACACTCACTGATTGGACGATGCGAAATTATTGTGCAGAAGTCAAAGTTGGGTGGCGGTTGATAAAATTCTACGTCTCCACACGTCATAAGTTGATCAACTCTACTAGGGTTCGGTCTATAGCTGTCCATTCCTGCATCGGCAATGAAGATAAAGAAGTCGCATAATGAACCATCCTTATCCTTTCCCTACCCTACCCCTACACTTTCAACTTTCCCTTCCGTATTAAACACATTACCCTGATTTTTGAATCCTTACATTTCACTCAAACTTGTCCAAGTCTTGACAGCCTTTCTCCCCTTTGTCGATTCAATCCTTCATGAAATCCAACCTTCTTTTCATCTTACATACCTTGGCACTTTCCGCGCTGGTCGCGGACGCCAGCTTCTCTCGTCGCCGTCCCCATGATAACATCGTACACCGTCGTGATTTCGGTGGGGGTGGTATCTTGCATGACTTTGAGAACGACGTGTCATCCTTATTTGGCGGCTTTACTCAAGACCCAGGTGCTTCTTCCACAAGCTCGTCAACTTCTTTATCACCGTCTTCTTCGTCCTCGTCGGCTTCGGCATCCACCAATACGCGAACTCGTGCTGCGGAAGTTTCCTCATCAACACCAGATGCAAGTTCTTCAGCCAGCTCATCCACCGGCTTCAACCTAGGACATGGCCTTAGCAGCTGGCTCAATGGCATCTTCGGTGGTCAGTCGAATCCAACCACTGTGACATACATGACAAATCCTAGGGATGGACGTCTTCTTGGTGGGAAACCAAAGATGGGACTCGCATGGCCAAATGGGGGCAGTATGAACATTACTCGTTTCCTGAACTCGAAGATCTCTTGGTTCTATTCATGGGATTCAGTACCTGGATTCTCGCCAGTACCTGATAATGTGACGTTTTGTCCTATGCTTTGGGGATCTAGCAAAGCTGGGAAATTCAAAAGGCATGTGACCGATAATCCTGAAAGCCACACCAATTCCGGCAAGTGCGTCATGGCTATGAATGAAGTGAATCAGCAGGGTCAAGCTAAGATGTCTGAAGGCACAGCCTGCTCGCTCATGCGAGAATACATCTTGCCTCTCAAAGACCATGACTATTATGTTGTCTCACCTGTCACTACGAATGCGCCGAGCGGCAAGAAGTGGATGCAGAACTTCCGTGAATCTTGCTCAGATGTGTGGGATAACATCAATGCAGTAGCTGTACACTTCTACGGCACCAATACGACTGAGTTTAAGGATTATGTGGTTGACTGGCATCAAACATTCAACAAGCCTGTTTGGGTGACCGAATACGCTTGCCAGAATTTCAACGGCGGTGACCAGTGCTCAGACTCCAAGGTCTTCAACTTCCATATGGAAATGTCTGTCTGGTTTGACGAGCAAGACTTTGTTGAAGCATATGCGCCATTTGGTGTCATGCAAAATATGCAGGATGTGAACACTGCGAACCAGCTTGTTGAAAATGGGAACCCCAATCTCATGTTCAATACTCTCTCTGGACTCCCTTAAGCTATTCTCGCGTCACACAAATGATGCTCGCTGGTCGGTTCTAGGCGTGTGACGATTGAAAGGTTCTCCCCCATCAATTTAATCTTTTTTTTTTCTATGTAGAGACAATCGAAGACGTTTTTGTTGGATGTAGAGAGCAATACACATACAAAACCGAGTTGGCGCATATCTTTTGTTTAACTACGTGTTGCTCCACTTCTTGACTAAAAAAACTGGCTGTTATTCGACGCCCCCCGCTATGCAACTGAATTGTGCAGAAGACGATACGTTTGTTTTCGCAGCTCTTTGTCTTGCAGCGTCGTTCATTTACAGCGGTGTGCCATATGTGTTTTCTTCGCTGGAGTCGACACTGAGCACATCCTGACACATTTTCCATCTAGTGACAGAAATTGTCAGGCCAAATCTTCAACATTTTCTATTGCAACAATATAAGACCATTCTTGAATCACGATGAAGGCATTACTGGACCTCCGCAATAATTTAAAGGATCGAGGCACATCTGGTCCCAAACAACACAGAAGTCTTTCAGCTTTGTCCGCTAGCCAGAAGAACGAGGCGTCTCTGCGGCCGCCACAGAAGGTTTTGCGGGCTCACACAGACTACAACTCCCAGTCACCACATGAAATTAGCTTTCATAAGGGCGACTTCTTCCATGTCTTGTCGGACATTGAGCCGTCTCAGAATGGCTGGATTGAAGCTTGCAACCCAGTAACAAATTCCCGCGGATTTGTGTCTCTCTCATACTTTGATGTTTTGTCGCGTACAACACCTCGGAGCACTATTCCCCTCACCGCCCACAGTGAATTGAACCCCGGTTTTCGTCCATCGTCACAAAGTTCGGCAGGCTCTCAACGCTCTACATTTTCAAGCTCGGATTACACTTCAAATGGAACCTTCGCCACCATAAAGTATGATTTTAAAGCAGAACTTCCTCATGAACTGTCCGTAAAGGAAGGCGATGGTGTCTTTGTCGTTGCCCGATCCAATGAAGAATGGTTAGTGGCCAAACCCCTCGAATATGTCGGAATGCCCGGTCTTATTCCGACTAACTACATCACGTTCTGCGACATGCGCACCGGAAAACCTCTCACTCATGAAGATAATATATCTGTCTTGTCAGGCATTCCCAGTGTGTATGAATGGGGTGTTCAAAACAATCGTGCTCATCAACAAACTCTTTCTCTCAGTTCCGCTCAGGATCCATTGCCTCAGGATAGCTCCTCCCCATATGTCGAAGACAAAGTATCGTCCAAGCAGTTTCCTCAGACTCCCCAGTGTTCTTACAACATGGACGACTATTTCTCGTCACTTGACTCCTTTAGCCCGAATGAACAGACTCTACATTCAGAGGCCACTTCCACTGCTCGACCGGTACTTCCATTATCTGTCAAACTCGCGTTTGTTTCCTTGGATCTTCTTCTAGCTGATTCCTATGGTCAATGGGTGCGTTTGCATGTGGTTTACTCTGTGAAATGCACACCGCCTGTCATGTCTGAATACTATGAGCGTCGCGAACTCGTTCTCTTCCGGCTTTATCACGACTTTGCAAAGTTGCGCCATTCACTTGAATTAGATCTGACTCGTTCTATGCCTACTTTGACACAGCCCGTCGCATTGCCCATATTACCGCCTATTGATCATGAAGGACGAGCTTTAAAAGCGTTTGTGATAGCACTATGTGCCCTTCCAAACCAAGTCCTTCAAGAAGCATCCATTCAAAGGTTCTTGGAAGTTCGGGCAGCCGATTATTGCCATGTGACTGTGTCACACGATGGTAATACTCGAGATGTATCACTTAAAGGTTCTCTGTCCAACAATCGCTCGCTTGGTTCCCAGGACTCGTTTGAGCATCATAACTCAGCCAGGTCAAGCACAAACACAAAATACTCAGCGTCCGACTCAACCTCCCTATCAGACTTTTCACACCATCGCATCAAAGTCGTACATCGTGGTGAAAGATCTAAAGTTATTGCCTTGCGCATTTCATCAACCGTTTCATACGAACTACTCGTTCAGAAAGTCCGGGACAAGTTTGGCTCGGCCATTCAGTCTTTGGAGTTCGCAGAAACCCCTGGTCAATGTCGCATATGCGATGACGAAGATCTTCGAGCATGGTTGACCGCTTCTCTCTGCGCGGGCAACAAGTTAATGTTATATGCCAGTGTGTAAATGTCGAAGAATCGCGCAATTCCACACGTCATAGTAGCATACATACTCTTCTGTCAAGACTTGTCTCTAGATTTTCAAATGCTCATTCCATGTCAATTGTACTGTTTTGATACCTTGTATTACTCTACACTAAAATACCTCCGAGCAAGACAAAAAAGCTTACGACAAGAACAAGAAAAATTTAAGAGAGAAGAAAACCACCGTTAAAGACAATACAACAGCTCGAATGAGACAAGCATATAATCAAACAAAATACTCTATGCACACAATTGCGATGTGTGGACGAGTCATTTGACCAACCGAGAGCCTAGGTTCCGACGAGTTAGATCACCATGCCGAGTTCCCAGTTGAAGTGCTTGTTTGCAGGTTCACGGAGCCCGTCATCACGCTTTTCATTTTCCTGCACCTCAAGCACTTGACTGATCACTGGGTTGTTGTCGGGAGTCATTTGACGTTCCTTGAGCTCAGTTTCGAGCACTTGACTGATCACTGGGTTGTAGTCGGGGGTCAATTGACGTTCCTTGAGCTCAGTTTCGAGCACTTGACTGATCACTGGGTTGTAGTCGGGGGTCAATTGACGTTCCTTGAGCTCAGTTTCAAGCACTTGACTGATCACTGGGTTGTAGTCGGGGGTCATCTGACGGCTATCAATAGGAGCCGCCTTCACTATGCCCACGAGTAGCAGCGCAGATGCGAGAGCATTGATCAAAGAGAACTTCATTATAGATGTGCGGTGGCGTAAGATCGGTGAGTTCGCGTTAACGTTAATATATTAGGGGACTGAAATCTGCTCTAATTGCTCAGGTCTTTTGTCGTTTTTGCTTCACTGCCAATGCCGACGCCGAAATTCTAGCGCCCGGTTTAGCGCATCCGAATCATGTATCCGTGGGAAAAGTTCTAGCCAATGACGTAAAAATGAATCGTTCTTCAATCGAGGAATGCACTCGGAAATTTAATTTCAATTCAGTCCGTCAGGAATAAGCCGCAGGCTGCGCTGTCTACTGGCTCTGAAACGCGTCATCGCTGGCCAAAGCGCTGGTGTCGCGCTAGATTCCTGCTCGTATCGGGAAGCGTGAGGCTGGGCTTTGACCGACGAGCTGTACGGTAAGGCTCGTTGAATAATTGAAGCATTAATATTGTGGCTAGCATGTCGTTGTCATCAGGTTCAGCTGCCAAATCCCCAACCCAGCACCCACATAGACACAGCTATACACCTCAAAGCAATGCCTCTCAAAAGAAACATGAGGATCTTCAGCGTCGAACATCATTTCACGCGGCACAGATGATGAATGCGGCCAGTATGATCATGCCACAACGCGACCATAATCAATTCTTTATGCATCCCAACAGCTCGTTGGGTCAACCTGACGTCTTGCACGGTTTTGTGCCTTGGCAATCTTATAATCCTCAGACGAATCCATCCTCTATGTTAGCTGATGCTTACGGGGCAACGCATGGCCAGCCTCAACCAGCTGCTGCCAATTTGGACTGGCACAACGGCCTGGCAGCCTCGATGCTTATTGACCCACGCACGCATCCAGCTGCTCTCCCTTCCACTCTAGTACAGCCGCAGCCGTCCTACATGGATATGTACCATGTATCACCTCCTCAACTTACTCAAAAAATGAACCAGCTTCATCTTCAGAGTCAACAACAGGAGCAAGTCGCCGTTCAGCGAAGACTACTCATGTCACAGTTCCAGCAAGCACAGGAACAACGACTTCTAGCGGATCACCAAAACACAAGCATGTATTTACCACACAGCGGGCTCATGATGAATGATGCTCAATTAAACCAAAGTATTGTTGATCCAAACCCTGATGGTTTCTATTTAAACTCGCGCGTACCAGTCTCAAATGGCAAAACTGCTGGTCCCGATGAAACGTTTATTTCCTTCATGTCAACGCCTGAAGGAAAAAATCAAATTTATGAAAGTAATACTTCGCCTAACACCTCTACTTTGGAAAAGACCTCGAACGAATCTTCCTCCCCAACTGAGTCAACCAATTTGCGTACTGGTGTGAGGTCAAGGCCTGTCTCTTTTACTAGCCGCGATTTACGACAAGAAAGCATTGGTTCTCCTATCAACCATACGTCTCCACAGGCAGAACTTCGACTTCCCTCTGCTTTGCGGCGCGGAGAAGATGCACATGAATCATCTGTGGAACGGCGGAGAAATCTCACTCCCTCAATAGTTATTGATGAAGTCAACCTGGAGCCCTCCGATGATGCATTAACGCGTAAAGCCAATTCTGTTGGTATGCGCATGGGGCCGCGCACTGCCACAGTCGTTCACGAAATACAGGTCTCCCCACAAGACTCAATTTATTTGGGCAATAACAGCGAGAAGATAAGTTCTGTGCGGGGATCTGATTCAAGTCGTCCTAGCAGTGCTCAAGGCGTGCACCCCCCGCCTCTTATCCAGCCACGGAGGCAACCTCGCGGGCCGCCGATGGATGCATTCTTTGCTAATAACTTTTTGGCTAGAAGGTCACTACGGACTCGACGCGAGGCTATGTCAAAACTCTGTGCAAGTCCTCGAGCACCTGCATTCAATATGTCTCGTTCAAGTGGCGTCTCGACATCTTCACCTTTGGCGAGCAAAAAATGACTTTTCAGCGTTTAACGTATATTATGTACATGATTGAATCTATTTGCTTCTTATTTTTTTTTGCAGAAAGACCTCCAACCATATCAGGGGTTTGACAAATAGGAACTAGGCGTGGCAGCAACTTGTGTTCAGTTTAGCTGATAATCTCCACATTCGCCGGTCTCGGATTCCTTCGTGAGCCGATGAGGAAACTAAATCAAACCCCTCACATTTTCTAGCACCCCTTCGTGTTCTAACTCACACGAGCCTGTCGCACCCAACAAACATTCGTACCCTTTTTCATTTGCGAAGCGCGAGCAAGTGAAAAGGGTTTCAAGTTATGGACTGTATGTTGCGTTAGAAACTTGCAGGGCTAACGTGAACAGTAGAGGATTCAGTGGCCGCTGTTGGCTTGGCCGAAAAGGTTAAATATGACGAACACTTAAAAGACGCTAACCAGGAACCTCAACCTTTACCGGCTGATCTTGTACCAAAAGAGCATGGTGATCCAAAAAATGATATCGCACACCAGCATTTTCCTACAGAAGAAGAGCGACAAACTCTTCGTCGTGTGCCAGAAAAGCTAAGTTGGGCTATTTTTTCTATTGGCGTGTGCGAGTTGGCCGAGCGATTCAGTTTCTATGGTGTTACACAAGTATTTACCAACTATATTTCGAGAAAACGGCCTTTTATTGATGGAGAACTTTCTTCGTCAGGTGCTGCGAAGCACTTGTCGAGACCGTCAGGTGCTTTGGGCTTGGGCTCAGAGACTGCGAATGGCATTGTCACTTTCAACCAGTTCTGGTGTTATATTACGCCCTTATTGGGTGCTTATCTTGCTGATGTCTACGTTGGGCGCTATTACGCTTTATGCATTGGAGTAGCGTTGGCCATGGTGGGCCACATTCTATTGGTCATATCAGCTATTCCACCTGTACTGGACAATTCCGATGGTGCTTTGGCTTGCTTTATAATTGCTATTATTATCATGGGTCTTGGTACAGGTTGTTTTAAGAGTAATTGTTCGGTTTTGATTATTGATCAAATCAAAATTAAGGAGCAGACAGTGGTTCCGCTCAAGTCAGGGGAGCGTGTCATCGTTGATCCAGCACTCACCACGGAGCGACTATATCTTTGGTTTTACTTAATGATTAATATCGGTTCATTTTGTGGACAAATTGGCATGGTTTATGCAGAAAAGTGGATTGGTTTTTGGCTCGCATTCCTGCTTCCAACCCTTGTTTTTATTATACCCATCCCTGTTCTGTGGATTGGCCGCAAAATTTACACGGTTGCGCCACCGGATGGTTCTGTTCTGAAGAATGCCGTTCGGGTCTGTGCACTTGCGATTCGGAAAAACTGGAGTTGGAATCCCAAGACCTTCTTGAGGCTTTGGAAATCGCCGCACTACTGGGACTGTGCAAAACCATCTCTGGTGCCTGAACATGATCGCAAGTCTTGGATGACATATGACGACCAATGGGTGGACCAATTAAGTTGCGGTGCCAAGGCATGCTTTATCTTCCTTCTATTCCCTCTTTACTGGGTCTGCTATAATCAAATCTCGAACAATCTCATTATCCAAGGTGGGCAAATGGACATTGGTTCAACACCGAATGAAATTCCTGGTACACTAGATCCCATCTTCATCATTGTCTTTGTGTTTGTATTCAACCTTGCAGTATATCCCCTACTCGATCGTATGAGGGTGCCTTTTACACCGATTAAGCGGATCACAGTCGGATTTTTCACTGCGTGCGCCGCCATGATCTTTTCAGCTGTTCTTCAGCATTATATTTACGCCAAAAACCCTTGTGGTAATCGCGTAGGTGATGACATTGTCATCAATGGTATTGACTGCAGCGGTACCAATGCTAACATAACTGTCTGGGTGCAGGCGGGTTCGTACGGTCTGGTTGCGCTTAGTGAGATATTCGCAGCTGTTACTTCATTGGAGGTCGCAGTCTTACTGGCACCTACTAACATGCGATCCATTATCATGGCAGTGAGTCTTTTCACCACTGCCTTTGCGTCGGCCATAAACGAGGCCTTTAATCCACTTTCCAAGAACCCATTGTTTGTTGCGAATTACACAGTTTTTGCATGCCTTTCGTTTGTTGGCGGGATTTTGTTCTATCTCATGTTTATGGGTATTGATCGGAACCAAGAAGAGCTTAATCTTGTTCTGCAACATAGCGCCAAGAACGCGCAAGACAATAACGACACCTCTGTCACCCACGCCGATTTCCCATCCGACTCTCACACTGATTTGCATGTTGAGAAGCCCACTTCAACCACCGATTTTCGCACTGATAAGCCAACAACCTCTACAGAAGCTCACGACGATGTCCGTTTCACTGTTGAGGAAGGCACGTCTTGATGATACATACGATGGATCGACGCCAATATCTACTTCACTAGTCGGATTTTTACGAAAGAATAATTTATGGGCAAACGCGTGCCAAAATACGGCATCGTTCCTCTATAGATCACTGTACTAAAAGTGTTATTACATAAGACATTCTCTCATTTCTGCACGGGGATGCACGTATGTCATGAATGTGTTTTATCGGCATCTATTTGCCGCAGCCCATGTCATTGCACGCGAGGCGTGACTTGTCCGACGGGAACAGACAACACTCTTCATCACTCAACTAAGCACACCATGTACCAAAACCAGATGCAAGGCGGCTACGTAAGTGTACGCTAATAGTGTCAAGTTTAACACGCGCCAGTACCCACCTCAGCAGGGTGGCTATGCTCAGGCTGGTCCTATGGGCGGGTCGGTATGTATTGATTTGAGGAGGACAGTGTTGGACTAACTTGTGTAGCCGCTTGACCAGCGTCGCGCACGCGTACATGAGAAGCGTACGTATGAATGTGGATGACTCTGAACTAACGGTACAGACGGTGCTTGCGGTCCATGGTATGCTTTTTCATTTGTGTCTTTGGGGGGACTAACTTATTGAAGCTGTGGCTTCTGTGTGGGTCTGCTTGCTTGCTGGTACGTTGCTAACTTTCGCATATCTGACACTCCGCAGCTGTAAGTGATCTGCAATATATTTTCCCCATGTTTCATGTCTTACGTCTTAGGTCTCGAGGACATTATTTGTGCCGGCTGCCTTGACGCCATCTTCTAAGGCTATTACACATCAATGAAACTTTTGATGCCTACTCAAATCATGGAGTAGTCGCAGATTTCCGTATCTTTATATTAGTGTTACAATCCAGCTGTCAATTAGTTTAACATATCCAAATGCCAAACTTTTGCTTCTTGTTCGTAGGGTGCCGGTCCTGATGCAATGTCATCGTGGTCGTCCCAATGACGTGCTCCACCAACGCTGACAAGACAGTTGGGATCAAGTGGGTGGAACTGCACGCTCCCCACAGCATCTGTTACATAAATATAAAGAACGTAATTAGGTAGTCGAACATACCATTGTGTGCACGCCATTCGTAGATAGGCTTGATGGCATGCATAGACTCTCGACCATGCGCAAAGATCGATGACCATGTCCACACACGTATTAGCCCATGCTCATCACCAGCCACAAGAAACCTGCCACCAGAGTCCATATCAAATCGGAGGCGCTGGTACGTGCTACGAGTGTCACGATGCAGCTTAGCCATAGGAGTCGGACTAGACGAAGGTGGTGTATCAAAATGACAGGGACGGCTCATTCCGTACAAATAACTGGTGTCATACACATAGAGGGCTGATGCACGCCGCAAAGCAACGACGAGGATCTCCGGGTAAATGGGATGCCACGCGAGCTATTCGTCAGTGCAAATTGCTAAAAAAAGCACGACGTACTTGAACAATCCCCTTCCCCTCAGGTACTTGGAAGCCACAAAGACACAATTGCTCCCCTGATAAGTGATTTGAACCTCCAAGCCTGGGTGATGAAGGATCTACGCAGGATTGGACCATATCCGCAAGCCAACCAGGTTCTGTAAGATAGATTCTGATCTTGTTCGAGAATGTGCCGACTGCTGTTACTTCCAAAAGTTCAGGCACCTCCTGAGACTGGAACGTCTTTGGAGAAGATCCAATGGCCAGCGCTGAGACAATGCCGCGATGACCGCCATTCGTTTGTGAAGACGAGCTCATTAAATCAAGAGTCAGATGAGTATTATTGCCAACCGCGCATAATGGAAAAAGGGCCACAGCGTTGGTGATCCCACCATAGAGCCTGGGGTTGATGTCAGCTCAAGACGCTGGATTCTCGTACCATGCACCGTCGCGACGGAGTGCTAGAGAATAAGGCGCAACAAATGCTTCGAGATGATTCACAACTCCATAGGACGCCAGTGTCTGCGAATAAGACATCAATGTTTTTCGTATGAAATTTGCAAGAAGGCATACGTATACTTACTGTTCCACGGAGTGCATCAACGATTCGAACGGGAATATCTCGGCAGCTGATAACATAACACCAGTGCGACGTTTTTGCATCATCCTCATAACCAGCGGTTGGAATAATATACCAAGCAATATCAAGAATTGGTGAAGGAGCTTGATGCCGGCTACAAAGATGCACATTGCTATTATCGCGTGCCCACACGAATATGGCGTGAGTTTCTGACCATGTCAATATTAGCGAGCCATCAGGAGACCTGTACAGTGTTCGAAGGAGTCCCCCCCCCCCCAAAAAAAAATGCAACCTACCACAAAGCACCACGCCAGAAATCATTCGGGTCTGTGCATGACAGAGTGTACTTCAACGACGCGGGCATCTCATGCATACCATGGCAAACCATGTATGAATCTAACCGTACTCGAGTTTGAGCATGTTGTGGAGGGCCTGACAAACTGAGTAGACTGTTGCAAAAGCACATCTCATAGCACAGACACATACACACACACACACATCTGGACGAACCAAAACTATGAAACAGCAAGGGACATTTTTTTGGGAGGGGGTGGGGTATGAACATGTCACCTATTGAGACGTGTTTGGTAAGGAGGCATGAGCGGGAGCCTGTGGCTGCTGGGGGAGTGGGATGCGGCGTTTTCTGCCCCATCCACGACGGATGGCAACACGACGGCGATCCTGCTCAAAAGCACGGGCAGCCTCAAATCCATTGTGGCCGTAACGTCCGATATGCTTGGTTCGGCGCTCATCCGAACGAACGCGCGGTGCATTGCGCACGTATAGCTCCCACGCAAGACCAAACATATCGCCACCAGCCGGGTACGGCGATGGGATGTCCGTGCGGTAGACCACCTCAGTGGATGGCCGCTTACTGTCCCTATTGTTATTGCGCGAGCGAATGATCGAAGTAGACAGAGTTGGATGACGCAGGTAAATCGCTGAGCAAGTTCTGAAACTTACGTCCAAGTAAGGCGGTACAAACAGGAAGGGTGCAGCGAATGGCGGCAAATGGAAAGGAAGGACGCCAGCGGGCAAATCGTTCTGCGCCGAGTGTTGGGATTTTGACCTTTCCTCAGAATGTTCCGCGGTATTGGTGGCAGGCTTCACATCCTCTGATGCGGCAGCAGGGGCTCCTTCGGCAGATTCGCCCGACTCCGATAAAGCCATTCCATTTTCCGCAGAGGCATTGGCTTCGCTACGCTCAGTCATTACGCTTGCATCACCATTCTCCTTAGTGGGAGTTGGTGACTCCTGAACCTCAGGAGGGCTTTTTTTGACAGCATGGCGCTCACGATCGGCTTGCACACGCTTTGCGACGTGCCCATTGAGCATGGGCACACAAGATGGTTCAACAGAGAGAAGATCCCCTGGCTGCAAGAGGTAGCCCGGATCTCTGTGCACATTTCCATTCAGACTAACTTTGCCATGCAGAACAAGTGACCGAGCATAGTACACACTGTGAGCAAAGCAGCAGCGGAAAACGGCTGTGTCGATGCGGCGTTCAACGTCACGCATGAACAGGCTTTTGACCGGCGGCGTGGGAGAATCAAGAGCATGATCACTTTCGTCCGCATCAGACAAAGGCTTTACTGTGCTGAGGAACGAAGGTGCATAACTTGGAAGAGAAGTTGGAAGGAACCAACGTTTGAAACGACGCTCTGGAATCCAGTCGCCATGATAGCCACGAAGCATGCGCTTTGAGCGCCAACGTTGCTGATACATGGTCATACTTGTCTTTGTGAAATTAAGCTCATTTACGAGACGACCCGTGGATGAGCGAGCAATCAGATTGTACAAGTTCCTAGGCGACCATGACATGCGTGGGATGGCCGACTCAGGACGGAACAAATTGGCCTTTCTCATGGTGGGGATGAGCAGTGCCAAACAACTGAATTTCTGTGCGAGCGAGGCTCGTAGGGACGAACAGCACGTTGGGTAGGCGCAAGCGACAACGACGACGACACCGCTGACGACGACGAACAGCCGATGCTTGCTTAGGCGTGTTGTACACTCGGCCAGCAGAGCAGCAGGAAAAAGAAGTCGATGTCCTCATCATGACACATCCTCCACAACATCAGGATGAGGCCACGTGCTACGAACGTACCTGCAGGGATGGCGTGCTACAGGGGCACATGCTGCAACACGCGTGTAAGATTGGGTGAAGCTGGCTTTACAGCAGCAGCACCGGCCGGTGCCAGCAGAGCGCGCACGACCCGTTCGCCAAACTGGATGACGCGGAGTGGGCAGGTGGGGGCGGATGAACGAGGGGCAGGGGTTGGAATTGCAAGAAGCACGGACGGAATCTTCTTACCCACCCACACTCAACAACCTCATACTGCCATGTCGAGCCAACAGGTGCTGCCAGAGGGACACTTCTTGTTCACGTCGGAGTCGGTCGGTGAAGGACACCCAGACAAGATCTGTGACCAGATCTCTGATGCCATCCTGGATGCGTGTTTGCAGCAAGACCCGAACTCGAAAGTCGCTTGTGAGACGGCGGCCAAGACGGGTCTGATCCTTGTGTTCGGAGAGATCACGTCGAAGGCGCAGCTTGATTATCAGAAGATCATCCGTGACACGATCAAGGAGATTGGTTACGACTCGTCTGACAAAGGATTCGACTACAAGACATGCAACGTCATGGTCGCTATTGAGCAGCAGTCGCCTGATATTGCGCAAGGTCTGGACCACGGTGAACTGGAGTCACATGGTGCTGGTGACCAGGGTATCATGTTTGGTTATGCTTCGGATGAGTCGCCGGAATTGATGCCGTTGACTGTCGTTTTTGCACACAAGCTGAACCATGCGTTGTCGGCTGCACGTCGCAACGGCCACCTGCCGTGGCTCCTGCCTGACACAAAGACGCAGGTTACGATTGAGTACAAGAAGGACGGTGGCGCTGTTGTGCCTGTGCGTGTGGATACAATTGTCGTGTCAACGCAGCACACAGATGACGTGTCGACAGAGGAGCTGCGTGAAAAGATCAAGTCGGAGATTATCGAGAAGGTGATCCCCTCGAACATGCTTGATGAGCGCACCGTTTTCCATATCCAGCCATCAGGTCGCTTTGTGATTGGTGGTCCACAGGGTGATGCTGGTCTGACGGGCCGGAAGATCATTGTCGACACGTACGGTGGCTGGGGTGCTCACGGCGGTGGTGCATTCTCCGGCAAGGACTTTTCGAAGGTCGACCGCTCGGCTGCTTACACGGCGCGCTGGATTGCCAAATCGCTTGTACATGCGGGCCTTGCTCGTCGCGCGCTTGTGCAGCTGTCGTACGCCATTGGTGTAGCTGAGCCGCTCTCGATCTACGTCGACACGTATGGAACAAGCTCCAAGAGTGATGCGGAGCTTGTTCAGATTATCCGCAACAACTTTGACCTGAAGCCAGGTGTCATTGTGCGTGACCTTGAGCTGCAGAGGCCCATCTACCGCCAGACTGCCTTTGGCGGTCACTTTGGTCGCTCAGAGTTCTCTTGGGAGCAGCTGAAGCCGCTCAAGTTCTAAAAAAAATAAGTTGCATACCTCTCATCCGCCAGGATGGTCACTTGCCACACTCCATTGCCTGTCGTTTCGCTCCCGATTCAACATCGTTTCCTTACTTCAATCGCTCTTTCCGTGTACAAGTTGGCTAGTGAGAAGGGTGGGTTGGTGTATGCTGCTCGCTTACCCGTTTGTTGTTTGTTTGCTACGTGCCCTGACATGTGCAACGACAAGGCCTCAACGACCGCCAACTGCATCTTGACGCTCCAACACCTGATCCCAACTTGGCCCAAGTATCCCTGACTCCCGTGTCCTTTTTTTTTCACCTTTTTTTATGAGTTTGAATCCTTGGTGCATTGTGGTGCGTTGTGCACCCATCTCATAAGTTGCGTTTTTCACGTCAACCGTGTTCATATACAACAAGAATAGATCTAATAGTCGGAATATTTATACTACGAGAGGTTCAAGGAGACTTAGCGAATTGGAATGTATGTGGTAGGGGACGACGATACAAGGCATTGGACGGGGAACACAACCTACCAGTGTGCATGCTACACGCAAACGAACGTCGTGTCGATTCGCGAGATGCGGTTGTCAAGACAGCGTGTCATTATGGCTCTTGCGTACATACACTAGAAGAAATGCCTACATGGAATGCTTAGCTAAAAAACAGATATCAAAAACAGTTATTAGGAAACAGGCAAATGAACAAGAATAACAGCATGAAACAAGAGCAAGACGGAACGAATGAAGGTGAGAAAAAGAAGGGATTATGCATCAATCAGGCTTAGGGAAGACGAGAGGATCCACGACAAGCTCCCGAAATGATGATTCTTTGGCAGCGACAGACGAGATCCATCCTTTAGCGGTTCAGTGCACTGGAGACAGCTTCGCGGAAGCTACGCAGCAAACGATCGACCAGCTCCGTCCTTGGCGCTGGAGCAGGCTCTTTCGGCAGGAACGGTTCGCGGCGCATATGCCCGTCGCCATCGCCGAACACTTGGATACTAAAGTCGGCCTCTGTATCGCCGGCAGCCCACCGACTAGCAATTTCCATTTGACGACCACGTTTCCTCCGAGCAGCCTCGACGAGAGCCACGATCTCGGCCTTGATGTTCGGGTCCAAGTGCGTGTGATTTGACAAGACGTCGACATTGAGTGAGTTGAACTTATCAAGATTGGTCGAGCGCAAGGCGGTGGTCACCTCTTCCACGCTTGGGTCTGTCTCATGCATGACCGAGGAGGGCGGATCCCATATACTGGCGAGATCCTCTGAGCCGACACCGACGCTCATGGCCAAGTGACGGAACCAAGCAAATGTGCTGAACACGGTTGGATCGACATGCGACCATCGATGAAGGAAATCGTACAGGCCCGGTGCACTTCGGTCCAGGAACGAGGCTAATGTGTTGATGGAACGGGCTGGGTCCTGCACACGCGCGCGAAGACTCTCAAGAAGGTCAAAGAGACGCAGGAGGAATACGTGCAGGTCCATCAAGTCTTCGCGTATGCCTTTGACACGATGCAGGCGTACGAGCGCCTCGAGCAGGGGCTCTAGCAGGACTGTAAGTGCATCGAGGATCGTTGGGTCTTGCAACATGCCGCGGATCTGTGTCACGTCGCGGTGCAGTGAATACAGGCGCAGCACACGCTGCAAGTTGACAATGAGTGTGAAGCCGGGGCTTGTGTTGCCTTTCTTGCGGATGGCCGTTGGATGCGAGTTCATGAAGTCGGTGTACTCGCGAGAGGCAGCAATGACGCGCTGGACGTCTGTCTTGCTGAGCTTGGGAGCGTCGGACCCGCGGACAATCGCAGCGACGAGCGGGATCCCGGCCTTGACGGCGTGCTGCCGCACGAGGCGCTTGAAATCTTCGGGGCTCTCGACGTACATGCGAAGCTTGCGGACCATTGTGTCAGACTCGATGGCCTGCTGTAAGGCACGCAGGTCCTCGTCCATGACGACCGGGTTGTCTTCGAATACGATCTGGAAGAGCGCATGAAAGAACCGGTTGCGCAGGAACTGCTTCTGCCACTCGGCCACCATCTGCACGGCAGGTAGACGCATTGCATTTGCCAGCTTGCGCCATGGAATTGCGTCGATCATGTCACGGGCACGAGCGAGATTCGCACGAGACTGGTCGCCCTGGACAAAGATGCCATAGAGGAAGCGAGCTGCCTGCAGATTGCCCCAAGCCCACATCATCTGGTACGACGATGGCAGGTTCGCGTAGGACGACGTGGCCTTCAGCGCATCGAACATCTTCAAGAACCCATCTCCATCGACGCAGTCGACCCAGATGCGTTGCTGCACGCGGCGGATACTTAGCACGCTTTCACCGGCCATTTCCGCATCCTTTTCGCGCTCTTCGATGCGGCGACAGTCGACTCGGCGGCGCTCTGCGATATTCAGCAGCTCGTTGGTATCGAGCTCGCGGTCGTTGAAGCAGCCGATGCTCAGGAAGGCACGCACTTCACTGCTGTCTGCAATGCTGCGGATGGCAAGGGTATCACGCAGCCACGAACGCAGGAGGCGGCGGTCCACCTCGAAGCGCGGCATAGAATGAGAACGAGGGCCGTACAGCGGCTTGAGGATGTCAGCTGCAGTCATGCCAGGCGGTGGCCGAGACGTGCTAAGTGATGCAGGGTGTTCGCTGCTGTCAGTGTAATACGAGGCAGAGTCCGCATAGCTGGTGCCAGAGCCAGAGCCAGAGTCGAAGACCGAGCCGGAGCCAGAGACTGAGCCTGATTCCGCGTTGCCTTTGGCGTACGACGACGCACGCGTGTAGTACGATTCCGAGTCAGCACTGCGAGTGTCATCCGACGCATCCATCGCTTGCTTCTCAAGCTCGATGCGGCCCGGCAGACGCGGCAGCGGGCGCACATGCACAAAGGGGCCTAGTTCATGTGCGAGCTTCGCACGGAACTCGTCCCAGTCGCGGTCGTTCCGGACGACGAATTCATCCATGCGGTTCGGCCGGCGGATCCGCAGCAAGAAGTCGCGTTCTCGGTGTGAGTGCTCGCGCACAGCGACAATGTCGACTTCAAAGCCGCCAAAGCGCAGACGGTCGGTGGGGCGCCGGTAACACACGAACGCCTCGGGTGGGAGGAGCTTCGCGTTGGGCCATGGCAGCGAGCGATTGTGCACCGGCTCCGCGCCATAGTAGGGACTACCTGGGCCCACACGCAGCACGGCGGTGATGTAGCGGGTGGACCACTTTTTGATGAGCTGCATGATAGATGACGTGAACGACTGTCCCATGAATGGCATGCCGTCGCTCTCACCGAGTCGATCGACCGTCGCACTGAGAGAACGAGCCTGAATCTCACGAGCAATCGGCATGATGGCCGAGAAAAAGTACATGCGTGCTACGGCCGACTTGTTCGGCATGCGAGGACCATTCTTGCTCTGTTCCGGCGGGACAAACAGGGGGAATGTACAAAAGGCATTCCGGAGTAAGAATCGTAGTAGTGGCAAATCCAACGGAGGCGGATGGGGATCATACACGTCCCGACGGAACACATCTTCGTCGTCTGTGAGTCCAAGCGCTGCTGCGCTGGACGAGTCGGAGAAATCGCCGGCGCGTGAATCTGAGTCGGACCTGGCTGGTCGGCGACCAGCCTTGCGCGGCTGCAGCTGATCCGAATCCATGGGGCGATCGAACGAGCGCATGACAAACAGCCGGTCCCACTCCCATGTCAGCTCCTTGCTGATCATTTCGCGCAAAAAGTAGTGTGTCTCCTCCGCCGACAGGTCACGCAAGAGCCATGGCCGCCGAGACGCTGGCGGCTGTTTCTTTGCTTTCGAGCCTGACAGCTCGGCCTGCTCCTCGGAATCTGTCTCCGTCGGCGCGACGGAAGGTGTCAGTAGATACTTGCTCGGATCGCGCAGCGCTCGAGGCGTTCGCTGCTTGCTACCGGTGCGACCTTTGGGCGCTTTTTTCTCCAGGTTGCGGAAACTCATGGGCGCCTCGTGCTTCTTGCGATGCGTGCGGTTCGGCGTGGGAGATGCTTTGGGCGTTGGCAGCACTGGCGGCACAGGAGGAACGGGTGGCACGTCCTTGGCCTTGGACCGGCTCTTGTGTGCACTACGGCGTTCAGGCGACATCCCATGCGAAGTGTGGGTGCGGGCAGAACCCCTAGCGCGAGCCGGCGAGCCTCGGTTTCCTGTGCCCGCGCGAGTCACACGATGTGCCGAGCGTCTAGCCGCACGCAGGCCAGGCATGGGCGTACCGGAGCGAATCGAAGCGTTGTGGACGGTGAAAAAGTCACTGGAAGTAGTGGAATCGGTCGGCTTGTGCTGCTTCGGCGTCTTGAGCTCCGCCATCGTGCGAACGGCCGGCATGGTAGACGACGAGTCTGAGTCACGCTGCCCACTCAGCGGCCCCGTGCGCGGCATGAGGGGACTCGACGGTTGCCCGCCAGACGCAGCCTCACCATCAAACAGGCTAGGCTCAATGCTCTCAGGCCGACGGATCTCGCGCGAGAAGCGGTCTAGTGCATTGCCATCCGCGAAGGGATCCACGAACTGTGGCACACGACCACTCGTTTCGTCGCGCAGCACGGCATTGTGCGGACGTGAGCTAGTTGCGCGTGAGTACAACGCATTGGCTGCACTGCCGGATCGAGTGTCGGTTTGGGAGTCCGGCAATGTCGAGTCGATCGTCGATGCATCGCCAACGCCGCCCTGCGCATGCTGCATTGGCAGCAGCTGCCTTGACATGGCGGGTGAGGTTGGCACGGAGCCCATCATCGATGTGTCCACAAACACATCAGAAACCGAGGCTGGCGACCTCGCGAGAGCGGCCGAACCAGCCCCGACGCCAGCGGCACCAGCGGGGCCATGGCCTACGGGAATGCCACGGCTCGACAATGTCGGCGAGAGTATGTGTGGCGACACAGCCGCCATGTTCCTGTACTGCGGCATGACTTGTGCGTAGCGCGATGACGCGCTTGTCATATGTGGCATGCCTCGGAATGGTCCCGGCGTTCGGAATTCTGGCGACGCCGTGGCTCGCACTGGCGTCGCTACAGACGCAGCAGTTCCTGCTGATGCAGTGAATGGCGCGCCGACCGACGGTTCACGCTCCGTGTCTGTGTCGATCTCTGTTTCTCGCTCAACGTCGGACTCCGTACGGAACGAATCATCGCCGTACAGGCCGGGGCGTTCCGTGAGGGTGCTGCTTGCTTGATCCGAGTATGCCTCCGTAGTCGTGCCCATGTACGAGTCGCTCCGCTCACTCTCAGCCAGGTCGTTGTGTGTCGCCGCAGCAGCCGATGCAAGCACTGGTGCGTTTGTGCTTTGCATGGGAGCCCCACCCGGATGCGAGTCAGGGCCATAACGCGGATTCGTCGGCGGACGAGGTTTATGCGGCCTGCCGGGCGCCGCGAGCGCAGGCATGGCACGGCGGTCATTCGATGCGAGCGGTGGATTCGCCGCCCGTTGTTGCACTGGCAGGGAGTCCGGATTCATTACCCGCATGCCTGAAGGACCTGCCGGCCCGGTGGGCACGCCAGGCCGATGTGCTGGCGCCTGGTCGGCCCCCAACACTCGGGCACCGCCTCCGATCGGTGGGGCCACTTTGAAGCCGTCAATTGGAGGAGCTGGTCTCGCATCCGGCATCCCATGAGAGACATTACCCATAATGGCAGCCTGGGCATCTTGCCGAAGGTCCCGGGCATTATCACGACGTTGCGAAATAGATCGGCGAAGTGACGTTTGTTCTTGACGGTCCATCGTTGTCTTTCGCTTTTGACCCAAGATGGGAAGTCGGCGTAGAAGCGACATTTTTGGCTGCGGCGCAGGCTCCTGTCCAGGCTCCTGCTTGCGACGCAGACTATGGAGAAATATGCCTTTTCTTTGACCACCATGAGTGACATGTGCCGGTGCTTCGCGACCTTCCATAGAGCGAGCCGCTTTGGTCGGGGCAGCAGCGGCGGCAGCAGCGGTTCCAGTTCCAGTTCCAGCTCCCGCTCCAGCTCCCGTTGCTAGAGCTCCTACGTCCGAAGCACCTGGACGAACGCCTGCCGAAGAAGGAGAACCAGGGTCACCGGTTCTCGACAAGGACAGCGCACTAGCATTCGGACTGGGCATCTCATCTGAGAGCGTTTCCGTAAAGTCACTGGCGTACTCATCGCCGTACTCCTCTGGCTCTTCCAAGTCACGATCGACCGGTTCATCGTCGTACATGTAATCATCGTCATAGTCTTCGTACGTCGACGGGTATCGCTCGGTCTCATCGACCTCACTCTCCTCCAAACTCTGCAGGGAAGGATCAAAGGCCCGATGGGAATTCCCGTCAGGCAAAGAGCCGTGCCCGATGCGTACATCATCCGTGGTATCATCGTCGTATTCGTAGCCAGTCACATCACCCTCGTCATAGCCAGTGCCTTCAGAGTATTCGTCGCCATAGCCAGTGACCGTGCCTTCAGAGTAAGCGTCATCGTCGTAGCCGGTCTGCTCCGTGTACGCATCGTCTTCATAATCATAGCCGGTCTGCTCCGTGTACCCGTCGTCGTATCCTGTTTCGTCTGAATACACACCATCTTCTTCTTCGCCCTCGTCGCCATATCCAGTGACTTCCGTGTGTGTGTCTTCTCCATCATGCCCTGTCCGTTCACCATACCCAGCATCCTCGTCGTCGTACAATTCATCTTCGTATGATTCATCGTCGTCGTATGGGTCGTCGTCTTCATCGACATCGCGTTCTTCATCCAAATAGCCTGTACGCTCTGACACGTCCTCATCGTATGGATCATACCCATAATCTGTGCTCGCGCGACGGACACCCTGCAACGGTGAGGTGCCTACGGCCGCAGGTTCCGCAGCGCGATTCAACGCCGCATGTCTCGACAGCACGTGCTCTGGCGGCTGCTGGTCCCCGACTTCGGCTTGGTTCTTGCGCAGCCGCGGAATGTTCATGGCATTGAGTGCTTTTCGCATCGTGGGTATTGTAACGAGGTGACACGATCTTCCACCACTGAGTGGATGCCAGCACTAGCAGTGAGTGTGAACCGTGACCACCGACTGAATAAAGCAAAAGGGGAGGTTATAGACAAGCGTGTGCGAGTGTCTGTAGGAGCGTCACGAAAAGGAATGTATGCGTCGTGCGCACCACAATCAATGACGTAGGGCACGCGTGAAAATTGAGATGGTGTCGAACGTCCTGGACAACGTCTCGAAAAGATGAACCGAAATTTTGGCCCAGCCTATCTTAGCCCAGCTCAGGTTCGTTCGCGCGCGCGCGCGCGCGCGCGAACCTGAAATTCTTTGAAACGCTTACGACACCGTTCCATCAGCGGGAGGGCGTGTCGGCGGCCCCAGAATCTGGGGAGATCCGCAGTGATGAACTGCGAGCACATGCACGGCAAGGATGGATAGACATCTAGTATAGCCAATCACATTCGCATAGTATGTGTCTGCGTACATGTAACAAGAATCAACTGTGCTTTCATGTGCCTCCACAGGAGACCCTTGCGTAGGCCCAACGCGCAAACTCCCGCGTAGTTTCACCCCACCGCAACATCAAGCCACGTGTTACGGCGCGTATTCCTCGTGAGGCACATCTTCGCAGCTCGCCTGCCCCCACTGTGACAGGAGAAGGAGTTGTCTGCGTGCGCGCCTCCATTCATCGTTGGATCGGGGGCTAAGTCTCTTTGTTCTTCATTTCCCCACTTTCTCTCGCGCCGAGTCATTGGCGTTGTGCACGTGATGTGCGAGCACGACCGATGACGTGCTCACACGCACACCGTGGCGACACTGACGCAGGCGGGTGGGAGAAGGTCCGGCACTCGTGCTAGCTGTTCTGGCCGAGGATTGAAAACATCCGCTCTTACACTGCCTCGTAACCACAGCAGCGGAAGAACAGTGGCGTAAGGCCGTTGATTTGTGCACGTTTTCAACTTCGTCACTTTCACTAGGGCTGTGTGCCGAAGCATCAACTCACTGAGACACATCCATGTCCTCTACTAGGACTTCAGCGCTCAACGGCGCAGCCCTCTTTGCTGGTGGCGCTGTGGTGGGCACGGCTTTGTATACGCTCGCTCGTTCCCTCGTAACTGCGTCAGGTCGCGGTGGGGACCGGTCCTCCGAAGCAGGTACCACTCCTGCACTCCAACACAATGTTGATGATCGACAGAAGGCTCTGGAGGCCACAACCCTCCGTGCACCTGCCGAGTCTGTAGACAAAGAGGGGCTTTTTGTGGCGCCGACATCGAACTTGGATGCTACGTACGACAATGTTGGCGTCATGGGTGTGCCGAATGAACCCCGCGCATCGCAGCCACTCGTTCAGCCGCAAGACACGCATATTCAGCTGGGACTGAACGCAGCGGGCCAGCGAAATGTGCATGAGCTCCCTGACTTGAGCAAAAGTATGCTTACGCTTAGCCTTCTCGTGATTGAAATGCTTGCCCTCGAGCACAGCGGCACCATCTTTACGTACGAAAGCAGCGCCACAGGCTTTGGAGCATTCTGCGAATCGCGCTCCAACGACACCAATGTCGCTGTGCACCCTATGCAGACTCGTGCCGGCGCTGGCCAGGCTGTCGCTGGTTTCCTTGCTGGAGAAGGCAGTGCTGCGACGCCAGCAGGTGGTCGCTCGACAGTGACAGTGCTCACCAACGCTGCGGGCTTCTTGGCCATGGGTCCATCGCTCGCTACGATCGACGCCGCTAACGCTGACCTCGTCGTTCACGTGTCGGGCGTGAACCAAGCCATCCATGAGGACCTGGCCGTCACGAATGACTATGCGTCGACGCTCGCGACTGCCTCCATGCTAGGACATGCGGGCTTCGAAGTTCTCTTGTCTGCATCGCGTCAAGAAGCGATCGACATGGCCCACTATGCATACACGCGTCGAGATAAGCGTGCGCTCGTCCACATCTTTGACGGTGCTTACTCTGCGTGCGAGATGGGCCTCTTGTCGCCACCATCTAGTCAGGTACCTACACCGTTTGCTTATACGGGTCCAGCAGCGCCCGAGACGGTGTTGTGTATGCCAAATGGCGCCATGTCGTTGCGTGCGCGCACGCTCCTCCTCTCTTTGCCTAGCGCCCTGCGTAGCAAGCTAGGCATCGTCAGTGTGCGTGTGCTGTGCCCATGGGATGACGTGGCTCTGCGCGAAGCTGTGCCGACGAGCGTTCAGACAATCCGTGTGGTGGAAGAGGCATTTTCTTCCACGGACGGTGCAATTTATTCGAATACACTCGAATCTGTCCTGAGTGGCGCATTTGCGGAGCAAGTGCCGAATGTCCAGTCGCTCGTGCGTGCCCCCGGTCAGCACATTGGATTGGCGGCTTGGTACGAGATCCTGCAAGCGGCTGCTTCTCAGCCATCGACGCCACTCACATTCACAACCATTTTGGAGCGTGCGAACCAGTCAGCAACCAACGTAAAAGATCTCACGCCATTGTCTGGCTCGCACCTCATCACGTTCTTTGGCTCTGATCATGGTGTGACACTCGAGGCCGCTTCCCTGCTGACTCGCGCTCTGTATGAAAATGGCAAGCATGTTCGTATGCTTTCTCGCTTCGACAACTTTGCAGCAGGCGGTGCTGTGCGCACGGATATTGTTGTGTCCGACCGTCAAGGTTTGGATATCCCGATGGATCTCCTCGCACGCGATGGTGCCTCCCACGTCGTCATAGTGAGTGAACCGTCCACACTGCTCTCTGGTTACAAGCTCTTCGATGCTTTGCGTGACAATGGTACTGTGCTCTTGAATGCTTCCAACTGGACTCCAGACGACGTCAGTGCGTCGCTGTGCGATGCTGACAAGGCGCTTTTGGCTAAAAGGCACGCGAACGTGTTTGTCGTCGATGCCCTAAACTCAGCTCAGTGCCTGCTTGATAGTACAGCTACTGCCTCGTCTAACGGCAGTGGGAAGACGAAGGACGGTCGTCCTCTCGCTGCGGCAGACTTGGCTGCATCCGCCGTTCTGACGAGCGTCATTGTCGCCGAGCCGACGCTTGCGTCAAACCTGAAGAAAGCTGTGTTCTTGCGTGATCAGTCCATGCACTCTGTATTGGCTGATAGAACAGCGTCTGTTCCTACCGACACTTGGAATGCGGCTTCTATTTCGTCTGACGACGAGTCCGACGAGGCCACCGGCATCCGACAGGCGCACTTGTCGTACAACGGCTTGTATGCAATAACGAAGCATTCGGGTAATGAGAGTCAAGTGACACGTGCATCGTGGGCTTTGGCTGCATGGCAACTCATGTTCCGCGAGGCTTATGATTTGGATGACAAGGCATTGCGCCCCGACTTGCCAGAAAAGACCTACAACATCACCGTGGCTGTGAACAAGCGCTTGACACCTCTCGACTACGACCGGTACCTATTCCATATGGAGCTGGACACCACTGGCACTGACCTGCGCTACGAGGTGGGTGAGGCACTTGGTGTGCATGGGTGGAATGACGAGAAAGAGGTTGAAGACTTTGTGCGCTGGTGTGGCTTGTCTCCCGACGAGCTGGTCTACGCGCCGAGTGTCACACGCCCAGGTTCATGGGAAAGTCGGACGGTCTTCCAGACGCTTCAGCAAAACCTTGACATCTTTGGCAAGCCTCCGAAAAGCTTCTACGAGGCCCTGGGCAAGATCGTGCGTAGCAAAGACGAGGCCCGTTGGCTCCGTTTCATCAGCTCGAACGAAGGCAACTCGACGTTCAAGAAGCTGTCCGAGTCTGAAACGGTGACATATGTGGATGTACTGCACATGTTCCCGACGGCCGACTTGAACATCGACTGGCTCGTGAAAAACATTGAGCCCATCAAACCGCGTCACTATTCGATTGCCAGTGCACAAGTGGCTGTCGGAAACTCCGTGCACTTACTCATTGTCACTGTTGATTGGAAGACACCCCATGGTAGCCCTCGCTTCGGCCAATGTACTCGCTACCTGGCCGGCTTGAAGCCTGGCACAAAGGTGACGGTGAGCTTGAAACCGTCTGTCATGAAGCTTCCGCCTCTCGACTCGCAGCCGATCATCATGGCGGGTCTCGGTACAGGTGCGGCGCCGTTCCGTGCCTTTCTCCAAGCTCGCGCTTACAAGAAGAGCCTGGGCCATGAAGTGGGGCCGATGTATTACTATTTCGGCTCGCGACACCGCGCCATGGAGTATCTGTACGGAGAAGAACTCGAGGCATATGTCCAAGACGGTCTGCTGACACATTTGGGCTTGGCGTTCTCTCGCGACCAGAAACAGAAGGTGTACATTCAGCACAAAATCATCGAGGATGGCAAACAGCTCGCGAAGCACCTCGTGCCTGACATTGACTCAACGGACAACAAGGTTGTTCGCGACGAAGACAAGGGTATCTTTACTCTTTGTGGTCCCGTGTGGCCAGTGCCAGATATCCAAGAGGCCCTTGTTACTGCCTTTACCGAATATGGCTGGTCAAGAGAGCAAGCTGAAGAAAAGATTGCCGATCTGAAGGAAGAAGAGCGCTACGTGCTGGAAGTCTACTGAGAAAGAAAAAGACAAATTGATATAGCCCTCTGATAGCCAGATACATCATGTCTTTCCTTGGCCCTATTTTCTGCACTGTTCCGATTCAGATCTCGAATCTGCGTCTCGACTCGCTCGTCGCCAAGCATTCTGAGTGTCGCAGAGCTTTGGCCATAGCAGTGCATGATCGCGTCCGTACAAAGCCTCCACATTGTCCCCTGCCGCACAGATTGCCACTAAGCACTCCCGTTAATGCGGAGTGCGCGTCGTCAACGAGGATGGAACTGTCCACGTGATTTGTATCATTTTATAGTTCTAACGATGCGCGCGAAGGTAGCTAGCTCTACAACGTGTTCGGAGCACCAGTGTGCTTGACTCCTACCACTAACGCGATGGCGACTGTCAACCAGAAGATCTTCCGCACGGCGAATGCGCCGGCTGGTGCTCCATCTGAGGCCGAGACCACGGTCTGCCAGGCTCTCATTGATCTTGAGTCGCACATCCCTGAGCTGAAGATGGAGCTGCGTCCTCTTCAGGTCAGTGCCGTGAAGGAGGTCGACGTCAAGGGCGGCAAGAAGGCCTACGTGATCTTTGTGCCTATGCCCCAGCTCAAGGCTTTCCACAAAATCCAGTTGAGGTATGTACAACTCCAATGACCCTATTGTCGTTGTCTTTTCTGGGTCATGTTCTTTTTGCAACTAACACCAAACAGGCTCACACGTGAACTCGAGAAGAAGTTCTCGGATCACCACGTCGTGTTCATTGGCCAGCGTCGCATCCTCAGCAAGCCTTCCAGCCACAGCCGTGCTAAGCAGCCTCGGCCCCGTAGCCGCACTCTCACCTGGGTGCACAACGCCATCCTGGAGGACCTTGTGTTCCCAACTGAGATTACTGCCAAGAGCCTGCGCGTGTCGACTGACGGTAGCAAGCTCGTGCGCTGCTCGCTCGACTCGAAGGATGCAACCAGCCTGGAGTACAAGCTCGAGACGTTCTCGAGTGTGTACCGTAAGCTCACGGGCAAGGACGTGGCTTTCATGATCTAAATCTGTTAGGGTTTTTGTTTCATGAGGGCTACTCGCACGTATGTGTGCTTGGGTGAATGCGCGACTATGTGACATGATTTTTTCGGTGACAGTCGCTTTGGTGTGCATGCGTGTGAATTTGCCTGCTCGTAACTTATTGACCCTTTCTTTTCCTATGACTGCGTGGTGGTGCTATTATGTGAGAGCGCATTTCGTTTGCTCTGCACGCATACGCTCCTGCGCTGATTAAACTCTCGTCCTACTGCCTGTGGTGCTTTGTCCTTTTAACACATATGCTTCAGTCATACCCTGTAGTCGGACGTATACGCTTCACCCTCCCAAAAATAAAATCCGAATGTTTTCGTACGCGAACCGAGAGGACTTTTTTCGTGTAATTAGTCTGTTTCTCCGGTCAAATCAAAGCTGGACGTGCTCTTTTTTGGTGATCTGGCGCCTGCAGCAGCGGTCGGGATAACTGTCACCTATGATGACATCGACGCCGTGCGGTGATAATAATCACGTGATTCAAGCACGCCATCCTCACAGATCGAGCACAACTTTGGCATCATGAATGGTGTAACAGCTGATGGCCCGAGATAGACGAGCAGTCGTGCGACACAACTCTCTTGCGTACGATATCCTTCGTCACAAGCAGAGCAACTGAGATGACTAGCGTACAAAAAAAGATTGGAATTTGGTTTAACAAGACCTCGAAGCGTTCATCAAGTGACGGAGAACTTTCCGATGATAGCTCGAACGGTGTCGGATCGATTGCCGGCGACAACGAGCGCGTGTATACATCACCAGCCGTCGTTGAGTCTATCCGGCACGGGAAGAATGCAACAACAAATAAGATCGAGTTCTTCTCCAAAGATCTTCCTTTCTTTTGGCTCAACAACGCATCAGACCACCCTGTAGTACTGGACGGCGTGCGATACCCAACCGCAGAACACTTGTTTCAAGCGCAGAAGTTCATTGATCACCGTCCCGATATCGCCAACAAGATCCGCAAAGCGTCAAATGCCGTTGAAGCGATTCATATTGCTCGTACATTCTCCCGAGACGTCCGAGCCGACTGGATCAAGGATGGCGTCAATGTGTCGACCATGCGTATGGTGCTTTTGACAAAGTTCATGCAGTACTCTGACTTACGCCTTGCGCTTCTCGAAACAGGAGATGCTGAAATTGTTCACGCAAGCCCCAACGATGCATTCTGGGGCTCCGCCGCTGCACCGAACTCAGTCGGTCGGGGTCGTAATATGTTGGGTCGAACTATTATGCAAACCCGAGAGCTACTACGCGTAGCTGCTGGCGTCGGTGCTAACAGCGGCACCCGAACTGTATAATCCTAATTCAAAGTATGCTTAGCTGTTTCTGTATAATACTAATTGTTCCAACCCCTTCGCTTTTTATTTCCCTATCTCGCGATGTTACAATGTAGACGGGTGTTCGATAGTGAGACGAACTACCAACTATTCTGTCAAGGTGCCACCGCGGGCAGGTCGTACGTATCTCCCCTCCAGTGAAAGACTTTCAATGTGCGCGACCGTCGTTAGAGAAGAAAAGGAAATTTAAATATCAAGCACGTGGCACTAATTTGAGCATTGATCACTCACGCATTCTGATACACATCCCTGTTGTGTGTGCCGACATATGAGCGAGATCATACCTCGAGTTTGGTTGGACAAACTACCAGAATGCAAGTCGCACGATGCAGCCGATCACTCGAATACCGCTGGAATTATTATTTTTGGGAAGAAAGGAGCTGAGCATTTGTCCTATTGCTCGGCCTCTCATCATGACACACTGCACATCCCCATTGATGACTCGGACGACGCGCCTATATTTCTATTCTTTAGCCAAAGCACGCACTTTATTGAAAATTGCCTCAAGTCCCACTTAGAAAAATGTGTCTTGGTGTGTTGCGATCCTAACGACACGCAAGGTGCAACCGTATGTATATTTCACTGTGATATTGGATGAGCATTTCATACTGACATAATACGAAGCTGATAGCAGCGTATTTGATGAAAAGACATCATTGGACCCCAGAAGAGGCTATTTCATGCATCAATGCAAGTTGCTCATATACTGAGCCTAATGCAGGATTTATGGAACAGTACGTGACACACCCGCAAGTATGACTCACTTGGGCAGATTACGATTGTTTCACGCAGAGAGTTATCGTGTCGAAGTGTCAAAGCCCAGTGTGCGCACGTTCTTAATTAAGCATACATCAGCGATGCGTGGATTTGTCACACCTGCTATGCTCATGGGACGCTCGATCGATCCGGACCCATTCTCGGATCCCCCGCCAGGGACGCAATCAACGAATACAACGTTCGCCCCACATGCCACGTGCTTGCGATGCAAGATGTGCCGTCGAGTTCTTGCGAATGACGAGGATGTAACGCAGCATGCTCCAGGCAAAGGCGAACTATCATTCGAGCCACATAAACGCGAAAGTGTGCGAAAAGGACTTGATTCAGCACCTTTGCCCCGTCAACGAGGCACGGCCACAGACGGTGTAGCCCTTCCGTATATGTCTCAGGCGGCGGGCGTCCGTCCCATGCAGCGAGGATTGCTGCATTCCGCTGCATGTTCTGCCTATTTTGTCGAGCCGCTTGAATGGATGAAAGAGTCGTCAGATCTTGTCGAAGGCTTTGTATCGGGACGGCTGATTTGTCCGAATCCTCACTGTCACGCAAAGCTCGGCAACTGGACCTGGGCTGGCACTCAATGTGGTTGGTACGTCCACAACCTTGCAGCATGTGCTGACCAGCAGTGGTGCATGGGTCACTCCAGCATTCGCACTTCAACGAGCCAAGGTGGATGAAATCAATAGAGCATGAGTATTTTTATTTTGTACATCTAGCCAAGGAAGTTGACAACGAAAAAGTGTAAGACTACAGATGCGAAAAGGAACTCGGCGAATGCTCTTTTCATGTGTTAGAATTACATGCTTTTATGGTAGAATGTACGAGCCAGCGCGCATGCGCACTCTCGAGTCCACAACGTACCTGCCTTCAGCGACACGCGGTTTTCCAGACTCTCCTGCGCCAAGTTGCAAACGCAGCGCAAGAGAAAGCACAAATTGACCCACAGTGGCTGAAAATCCAGCGAGGAAAGAGTTGAAGGGATAGTTTGACAAGACAATACAATAAACGAACTGCAAGATTCCAGTAACGAATAAGAATGCCAAAAAGGCATCGATGAGTTTGAAGCGTGGGGGTGTGTCCGCAGAATAGTTAGAGATCAGCTGCTTGTATGCATTTTTGCTGACAGGAGCTTTCTGGGATGCCCGCACTGTTTTGTCTTTCGCCATGCTGGTTGGCGATCGAGCTTCTCTGCTGTGGGAGCGAATCGCTCGAGCGGTTCGCAAGGCCAGGGGAGAAAGGCATTGGGGAGGGAATGACACACAGTGCCACATGGTGCCACGTGCACATGCGGTCATTGAGACAGAGAGAAAAGAGTGTCGTCAGAACGAGTATTTGGCTCTCATCAGATCGATCGTCTCTGGTTCATTGGGACATAAAAGTGAAAGACCCATGAACCCGAACGCACCGAGCTTTGACTTCAATCCGGCCGCAGCTGGTTTTGTTCCACGCTTCTTGCAGCAGCAACAACAACAACAACAGCAGCAGCAGCAGCAGCAGCAGCAGCAAAATTATGACGCGTATTACAGCCAAGGCTTCACAGGCGCCGGTTTTGCTCCTCAGTTGAGTGCGCAGCCCACTGCTCAATCCACCACTCCGTCCTCGGCTTTTTCGCCTGCGTCTGGAATCGGGCCTGGACCCGCGACAGGAGCTGCGCCACTCCCGCCTAAAGCTGCAGCTATGGCTTCTAGCAAGCCTGCTGGTATGAAAAAGGCTGTGAGTGTGTCGATTGGTGGCGGCAAGAAGCCTGAACAGAAATCCGAGCAGAAGCCTGAGTCTAAAGAGGAAAAGACTCCGGTCGTCAAAAATGCAGGAGCAACAGACTCCACGGCCGCCCCTGCGGCTGCCCCCCCTGATAGATCGACTGGCGAAGTCAAGGGCCAAGCTGCTAAGCAACAAACCAAAGTGGAAAAGAAGGTTGCGGAAAAGGCATCTGTTGATGCTGAAAAGGTGTTGCAGGATGCCAAGTTAGCTACGGATGAAGAGACACTTCGCGACCTGTTCGGTGACCAGGAAATCAAGTCGCATTTGAACTTGGTGTTTGTCGGTCACGTTGATGCCGGCAAGTCTACAATGGGTGGAAACTTGCTGTACCTGACGGGTATGGTAGACAAACGTACGCTCGAAAAGTATGAGCGCGATGCCAAGGAAATTGGTCGCGATTCGTGGTACTTGTCGTGGGCACTTGACTCGACGCAGCAGGAGCGAGACAAGGGCAAGACTGTCGAGGTTGGTCGTGCGTACTTTGAAACGAGCAAGCGCCGGTACACACTTCTGGATGCACCAGGCCACAAGTCGTACGTGCCGAACATGATTGGTGGTGCAGCGCAGGCAGATGTTGCAATCCTAGTGATCTCGGCGCGTCGAGGTGAGTTCGAGACTGGTTTTGAACGTGGTGGTCAGACGCGTGAGCATGCTGTCCTGGTAAAGACGGCTGGTGTGCAACGGCTCATTGTGGTCGTGAACAAGATGGACGACCCGACTGTAAACTGGGACAAAGAGCGCTATGACGAGATTATCGGCAAATTGTCGCCTTTCTTGCGCGCATCAGGCTTCAACCCCAAGACTGACGTGGTTTTCATCCCTGTCTCGGCGTATTCGGGAGCCAACTTGAAGGATAAAGCCCCAGCGGATCAATGCTCCTGGTACGATGGACCACCGCTGCTGACATACTTGGATGATCTGGAGCTAGGCGACCGCAAGATGAGCTCGTCGCTTAAGATGCCTGTGAGTGAAAAGTATGCGGACATGGGTACACACGTGGTCGGAAAGATCGAGAGTGGCATGATGAAAAAGGGCAACACACTCGTTCTGATGCCAAACAAGACGAATGTCGAAGTTGTTGCTATCTTCAGCGAGATCGATGAAGAGGTGCCTGTAGCCGTGTCAGGTGACAATGTGCGTGTAAAGCTGAAGGGTGTGGAGTTGGACGAGGTGCAGCCAGGCTTTGTCCTGACAGATCCCCGAGATCCTGTGCATGTAGTCCGGCGTTTCGAGGCACAGCTGGCCATTCTCGAGCACCGCAACATTATTTGCGCGGGTTACAGTGCAGTGATGCACGCCCACTCGCTCAATGAAGAAGTGAGTCTCGCTGCCCTCTTGCACTACTACGACAAAAAGACTGGGAAAAAGAGCCGTCGTGGCCCACCATTTGCCAAGAAGGGTATGAAGATCATTGCTCTGATTGAGACGACGGCTCCCGTGTGCTTGGAGCGCTTCAAGGACTATGCACAGCTCGGTCGCTTTACCCTGCGTGACGAAGGCAAGACGGTCGCGATCGGCAAGGTGACAAAGCTGCTGAGTGATGATGATGTGCCGGACGTTGGCAAGCTTTCTGTCAACTAATGAGTGCTTGTGTGTATGTATTCGCAACTCTATAGCTGTGATACATCTATAACGTGCCCCCTTCCCGACATTCTACACGTAACGAACTTCATCGGCGTCGTAGCGTGGCAAAAGACCGAGCTCCTCAGCCGACTGTGGCGGTATTCTTTGGGCGTCGTGGTCGTCTGCCAGGGTATGATCGATGGGCACCGGAACACGCGGTGCATGTTGGATGGGTGGTGAGGGCGACGTTCCATGCTGTGACGTGCCGTGCGCCGCATCAGCTTCAGGTACTTGTTGCGCCGGTGTACGAGTGAAATAGTCCGCCATGGCCAAGGTACACACCATGATAGCCACAATGCCAAAAACGAGCGCCAAAGCGCGACGTGTTGTATCCCATTTGATGCTCTGCTCAATCTCAGTACGAAGATCACTGAGAAAGATCGTGAAGCGGTTGTTCAGGTCCTGAATTTCCTGCTCTAGATTGTTGCTTTCCTCCTGCACTTCGGTCTTGCGGGTATTTTGCTCCACTTGGATATCGTGCTTCAACTGCTCGATATCGGACTGCAGTTTCTGCGTAAGTCCATCGATCTCGCGCTCGAGAAGCAAGGTGATGCTACGTAGTGCAGCGGCATCGTTCCGCGCTCTGACACGCACTTCTGTGCGTAGTTCGGCCAGTGCGGACGAGAATAGATAGAGCTGGTTATCGAGATCACTTCGGTTGATGTGCTGGTGAATCAGTTTCTTGCCATGTTCTTTGAGCAGAGAACGTGTCAAATCCATGATCGCTTCTGCAGGATCATGTCGATGAGGTACGCTCTCATTTGAGGAGGTTACATCCGATGCTGGCATATCTGACGTCGTCACAGGGAACGCCCCACCGTGTGCTTTCCAGCCTCCAGCTTCGAGCTGCCGTACAAACACATGCGAGTCGAAGGGCTGGTCAGGTAATAGGGACATGTCGCCGCGCTGGATCGGGGCCAAAGCTGGGGTCTGAAATGTTGGTAACGGACCAACGGTATTTTCGGAAAACGAGCTCTCCAAGCTGTCCATAGGTGTGCGCGTCTTTGTCAACTCGCTTTTCCGGCCACTTCCTAACTTGGAAGAAGACGACGATGCCATCCCCATGAGACTCGTATCGTCAGGGACCTGCGAGGCAGACGACGAAGCCGGCGTAGAGGATGCAGATGACTGCGTCACTGTTGAACTCGAGGGTAGGCCAAGATCCTTATCTGTGTTAGTTTTGGTGGCATCCACTAGTTCACGTACACTGCGTCCGCGAAGGAACGAAGGCATGTCTTTCGGGCTGCCGCTACCTCCCGTCATAAGCGTATTTCCAGGTGAACGTTTTTGAGCATGAAGAAAGCGCTGCTTGAGTAAGTCTTCCGCCGTAGGACTAACGAGCGGCATGGACGGTTCCTTGTCGAAAGGACGATCCGGCTCGTGTTCTTGTTTCTCAGGCTTTTTCTCTTCCTTCTTGTTAATTTGACTGTTTTTTTTACTCCATGTAATCGAATCTGAAGATGCATATGGCAAGCGTGCCGTGACATGGAATGAGTTGCCTTGACTGATGCGTAGTCCAGAGCGGACGTATCCAATGGGAGCACGAATGATATGCCACGCTCTTGGATTCACATACGAACGGCGAGCACTAGCTACACCAGCCAATGTGGTTGCTGGCATTCTCACGCACAAATGCAGTTGTTGGTGGCTATCACCGTTCTCTGCTTTGCCGCTGTCGTTAGCAGAGCGCCGTTATTCACTTGAGTGTTGCGTATGAGTGTGTGTTTTTTTCGTTCCCTTCCACTCCATCGCTATATGGCCACCACCCACATATTTTCCACATCTCATTCCGCCCAATGCTGCCCCCGTTTCCTTCGCTTCAACGCTGTTGCCCTTAAGGCTACGTCCACCACCTGTCTCGGCCAGCAGCAGGTGTGTGTGGTTAGTCAGCATATACATTATATCAGCCTCTGATCGCAGGGGCCACTCGACAAGCGAAGAAGACACGTGCAAGTCAGGAGCTCACCTCGTAGGATGGCAATGCGAGATGTTATTCCCTCCTCAAGAAATGCGTATCACGCGCGTGGGCGCGCCGAATATCCCAAAGATTGCACGCCCCACACGCACAGTGGTTTCTCTTCCTCTCTTTGCTCCACAGCCACCGACTAATCTGACTGCTATGTCGAACGAAGAGCAGCTGCCTCAAGTGTCAGACAATTTGAACCCCACGCGTATGTATAGCAGGATGTATCTTCGGTTTCAATGACTCATGCATAGCCACTGCCGGGTACAAGCCGGGTGAGAAGAAGTCCATTCAAGAATACGCCAAGCTCGATGCTGAGGATGAGAGCCTACGGCGCTGGAAGGAGAGCTTGGGTATCAGTTCGTCAGCGATGCAGGGAGCATTGGATCCAAATGCACCTAAGCTTACTATACACTCGTTGTATCTGGAAAGTTCACAACTGCCGCAAGGCCGTGTAGGCATCCAACTCGACCGCCCTGGTGAGTTGGAAGCAGCAGCCAAAACGCCTCTGCAAATTACCGAGGGTATTGAGTACTCTGTGGTGATTGAATTCACGTGCGTATTTTGAAAACATGCGCATAGATACTAATGGTGATCTTAGTGTTGGTCGCGAAGTTTTGTCGGGACTTAAGTACCTACATGTCGTCAAGCGGTCCGGCATGCCTGTTGACCGTATGGAGGAAATGATCGGCTCATATCCCCCTCGCACTGAGCCTTACACGAAACGATTTGCTCCCAATACAGCACCGAGTGGTTTTCTCGCGAGAAGCGGCACAAATACAGTGCGGAGTAGAATCATCGATGATGATGGACAAACATACGCGGACTTTACGTGGTCATTCAAGGTACGTATCCAGCACAGCAGATCGCGGGGCTTATACCATTCTCTTAGTTTACCAAGCCCTGAAGGAGTCAGGGGGTCACAGTCGGAACTAGACTATAAACACGAGCAAACGTACATACATATACATTGGTTGATGGATTCAACAAAAAAAGATACATATATATATAGATGAGTATGTATGTACTGGCAATCCAGCAGATATGTTTTTACGTCGCTTCCGGAGTGGCCTCGTGATGAGTAACTTACGACAGCACACCGCCAGGCATGACCTTTCAGTCTCTCTCTCTCTCTCTCTTCCTCTCTCAATCTCGATTTCGAACCATAAATGCCCTCACGTTCGAGTTGATTGACGCTCCTCCATGCGTTTCCTCGCTTGTAAAATCATTTGTGCTTTACGCTCTTGAAGGCTTTCCTGTCGATCTTTTGCACTGGGCGACCACATGGATTGTGACGGCTTCTTTCCCTTGGACGTATGATTTTGATCCTCTTGAAGACGATGCTCTAGATGGAACCGTGAAATAAGGTTGGGCGAGCTAGACACGCCCGAGGATGTGGACGAAGCTCTCGCAGAAGAAGCGGAAGTCGTAGCTGTTCTATTTGCAGATTGTCGCGCTTCTTCAGCACCAGGAAAGTCGGCAGGAGGGAGCGGAAGATACCCCTGCTGTAAAATCCGATCACACGTCGCTTCGGCGCTTCCACTTAGTATAAGATCATAACGGATGGACACCTCAGGGATATCAGGAAACATAGTTTTGACGATGTTGACCTATCCATTGTTAATGTATGCACATAGAACGTCTAACGTACCTTTTCCTGTAAACCAGCATGATTTTGTGATAATGACGTGCCAGAGGAACGCGAAGCTATAAGCCCTAGTTAGTACGCTCGTACACAAGTATGTATGGATATTATGAAAAAGCTTACCGCCACCAATGATGCGCACAATCACCCACAGCGTGACGAGCGCGAATAGAGCACCGACGATGTCGTTCATTGCGCCACGTAGGAACGGTCGAACCACCTTCCAGAACGACACCTCAATGTCGATGCTCGCTGCCTCCAGTGACGCTGCCGCTCGCGCATTGCATCACGTGATCTATGGGAGGAGGCCTGGTGGGCGGGGTGTAAGATTCGGCACCTAGTAGGGTGGAAGGCGGCCTCAGGCTAGTCGGGCAAGCAAACGAGCGACGAAGTGCGTCGTCGTTGGACAACGTCGAAAAGCTCTCTCTCTCTCTTTGGTTGAGACAAGACACGCCGAGACGAAGGAGATGTTTGCGACGACAGTACGGCTGACAAGTGCGCCACCCGCGTTCAGCGAGCTGCACAAGAAATACGTGATGAACTTGTACAGGCGGTATCTTCGTGACTCGCTCAACTGGCACATCCGTCGTGATGCATGGCGGAAGGATGCTCTTCGCATTCGAGCTGAGTTCGAGTTCAATCGCCATGTGCGCAATCCGCGCGAACTCGCGAGTCTCTTGAACCGTGCAGAAGCGCAGCTTGAGAGTCGCCAGCATCCTGATCCATACAAGCGTACGTACTTGGCGACAGCGATGAAAAAGAGTGTGTCTAACACATCCTCCAGCACCGACGTATGTGGGTGGTGTGAAATGGTACGTGCTTCATAAAATGGGGCTCAATTGTCTCTGCTTTTCGTATTCAGGACTAACCATGTCGCAGGGAGCGCAACTTGCCTGTACGTGTCTGAGGCCCAGTCGAACAGTCTATGCTCACTATCTAGCCACGCTTGTTTACCGACGAGGAGAAAACCGAGTCACTCAAGGACCAGAATGTCTAGTGTTACCTGATAGAAGAAGGAAGCATGACTATCTAAGTATGTCTGACATGCCTGTGTGTGATTGCCTGTTAGTTTATCTATGTGTACCTGTGTGATATACGAAGCGTCATGGGGAATACGTGTCTAGACAGTTGTTGACGCGGGTGCCTGCCGATCAAGACGTCGGTTGATTCCACCCAGTAGTGCCTTTAAAATAAGCTGTGAGTCGAATCGAAGTGATGAATATGGGAGCGTGTCGACCATGTCTCGAATCCTGTACACCTAGATAGGGTTAGTCTCTCTCTCTCTCTCTTTCTTTGCAAGCGTCTGCACACGCCTGACACATACCTTGGACAGCGCATCGTCCACTTTTTCGTTCTTGTTAGCGTCAAGCACATGTGCATTCATACATACAGTCTTGTAGGGCTGTTGATGCTTGTGCATCGTTACCAACTTGAATGAATTGAATCCCTACCTGTGAGAGAGGGAAACGACCGGCATCTAGTCGCTGTGCTACCGACACAATCACACTTTCAGGATCGTCGGTAGCTGCGCCGTCGGTGATAATCACATACTGTTGCTAGAATGCGTTACTCTGACTTTTTTTGTACTTACATTGCGTCGTTTCGGTGCAGACTTGGTCTCCATGCCTCGTCTACGTGTCTCAGCTGTTTGTTCGATCGCATCCAGGTAGTCAAGGAGTAGAATCTCGAGCCGTTCTCCTGTGGGCGTCGCTCCCGAGGGCACCACGTCATGGAACAGACGCACTAGGTCGCGGGGGTCCCGGCAATGGAGTAACGACTTGTCATTGTTGATAAAATGCACATCGATGCCATCATCATCATACTTGGAGGCAAGACGTACAAAATCACACAAGGCTCGGCATGCTTCTTCCCATCGACTAGGGCCGATAGATCCATCTGGTTGCTCATTTACTTGCATCGATGCGGAATCGTCAATCACAAAGATAGTGTCGTACTGGCGCAGAAGTTCCAATTGGTCCTCGCACACATCACGTACTATGCCTGTACCATTGTGCCCTGATGGGTGTATGGGAGGTACTTGTCCTTGCCTGACGGGGATTGACGCTTGGCCGACTGGAATGGACGCACGAGCCGCAGATATGAACTCCGGAACAACAGGCGAAGGGCGCGCTTGCGACGGGCTTGGCTGTCGCTGGCAAGGGTGTGGACGCGGGTGTGGATCGAATTCTGAGTAAGGTGGCGGTTCCGACATGTGCTAGGGCTATGCTAAGTCACAAGCAAAAATGTCTGATAGGATCGGTTGTGCAGACAAATGGCCACCCCCGGCTCCAGAAATCCGTATGTCTTGCTTGTCTCGAACCTGACAGGGTAGTGGGAGTGGAGGCCCCAATCAAAGTAAGCATTGGATCGAAAGGATCGAGACAAGGGCTCTGCTCGAATCCAAGTCTAGATTCAGTACGACACACTTACCAACCTGTAATGCCCAATGTACACGCTATGATTTGCTATCTTCCTGAGTAGTGCAGTATCCATGATGCCAATAAACGAGAGGACGAGGTTTTTGCTTGACATCATTGATGTGTGCATGACCGACCTCAACATCATGAATTTGCGCTAGAAAAAGTGCGCTGCCAACTTCATTGGTGTGAACACAACCATTGACAAACTCAGTCGTACCGTGAAGATCTGGAGATGTCAAATCTAATTGGTAAACGAGGCTGCATGCCAGAGTCCCAATAGATTCAGTCGGTATCAACTGACCGTCCACGGCCTGCGATGGTTGCATGGGATGTTGATTGAACGGATGTGTTTCAATCTTCGTGCTTTGGCGCAGAGAGTATGGCTTAGCACCAGGTCGAGCGAAAAAGTTTGACATGGACGTTTGCTTTGACGAGAGAATATGGATAAGAAAGTGTGGTTTCCGCGCAAATGTCGAGACGACAGACGTTGCGTCGTAATTATTTGAAGGCGGAGGAGTTTTAGCACCAGAGAGAAGAGCATCCGCCATACGACTTGGAAGACGGATCGAGAATGCAACAATAGGCGGCGCCAAGGATACTGTAGTAAAAGACGATAGGGTTGTCGAATGGATCTGGGGGGATGGATCATCTGGATCTTCCGATGGCACAAAGGCTGACACTAGAGCAACTGGCTGCGCACTCAATCTCATGACGTGCCGGATAGCTTCTCCTAAGGCGACGGGGTCTTTTGCTGCTAGCACACGCGATGACGAGCATATCGGGCGGTGTGTGCTGGGCCACCATCGACTCCCTGCACGGCACAAAGGTCGAGCACTTCGAATCAACATATGCCCTAGCTTTAAGCACAGGCGCAAATGTAGGTTTTTCACTTACACTCGTTCACAACGCCCACGTCCGCGGCGCCACTGAACGAAAGATCTTTGTAACACACCGCGAGAGCAAAGTTGGGCAGAGGAAGGAGACAAGGTTGGCTTTGGATTTATGCGTGCATACATTTGATTGTGGAGGGATGCACCATTCAGTGAATCACATTCTCGCCCTCGCTTATAATATTGGTCCGTTCGCTGGGCCTAGCGTACAGGAAGGAATCTGAGGAATCGGTAGGCATATAGCATTTGTACACAGCATCTACGTAGACATTCATACCATGTCCCACCCGTATCTGTGCACACACTCTTGGACCTTACAACAACGAGGTGGCTCTACAGAAAGTGGATTTGAATTTTGGTCGTGCGAAGCATGCGCCCATCCGCCGTCTTAGATAGCTCAACACTCGCGAGACCAACCTGTTTCGTGCCACACCATATGATAAGAGGAAGGTCAACTTCCAAAAGAGTGCACTGCCAGCTAAAAAAGAAAAAAGAAAAAGGCATGCGGAGGCTCACAACATCATCTGCCAGAGGAGCTACTCGCACAGTTATACTCCTTGCTGTAATGCATTACCAACCTAGAATCGTCATGATGCGCTGATGAACGCGAGGGCTAGTAATTTGGGTATTCAATGGATCTGCACTTGGTGAAGTGCAGGGTTGAAGTACGATAGCATCGGGGTTCTTTGTCGGTAAATCGCCAGGGTTCACACCAACAAAAGGGTTAGAGACGTAGGATTGGTACACCGCATGGATGGCCTTACATAGTGTCTTAATATCCTCGTCAGGAAAGGGATCCGTCGATTCCTCAAACATCAGAAGAAATTTTGTATTAGTGTTTGTTTGATACCCATAACTGTGAGATCGCGTTGTGAGTCTTGGTGTTCTCAGTAACACAAATACTTACATGGCAGAATCTTCAATAGTGAGTAGTAAACCCAAATATGGGTTCGTATGTTGTTTCACTGAATGTGTTAGATTTTTATTTTCTCCAAACACATACCACATTCCTCTACCATGTCCAATGCGCTATGCGCAAGAAAATGCCATTTTGTCGCTGACGATGAAACCCGATCAGACGTGTGCAAGTACAGCGGCACGTTTTTGGGTCCGATAATCGCCACACATTGCTGCATAAATACGTTATACATGTACCCGACTTACAATAGATTGGCCTAGGTTCATGCCAACTTTAGGCTTTTCGATGCTTGAGCACCGACTCTATGCCCGTTCACAGATGGCGACCAACTTAAGCTAGCCCCCAGAGCCACCGACACGGCGGTCGATCCCTTCGCCTAGAAGTGGAGACTTCAAACAACCACCCTCCTCCATCCTTCCTCAAGACCAAACCTTGTCACGTGAAGACGCACAGGCTTCTTGGGATTGGTTTGTTCTGTCTACGTGGTCTGGAAACGGCGAAATTGCTTAGCTACCAGCCTCCAAAAGTTCAGGTTGCTCGGCAGATCGATTCCATAAGGCCACTATTCGCAACTCTCGACCACATATCTAGCTCGAACGCAGGCGAAGGAGAAGCATGTGGTTTTGGAGATATGCAATTCCTCAACGTTTGAAGACAAGACGCGCATTAGAATCGACGTTCTTCGCATCTACGTTTGTCGCGGCGCTCGTGACAGTCTCGCTCTCAGCATCGACGATCCTGCCATGCCCTGCCAATGGACATGGCGCATTGGTAAACCGATTTCATCCATCGTCGCGTGGCGCTTTGTCTGAGGAAGATGAAGCATCAGGCAAGCACTCACAGAGTGGCTATCATCCCGAATCACTGCCTGTTGGTGGTTTGGGCCAGCGCGCATACCTCACTCGAAGTGGTGGATGGATTGAAATTGATGAACGCCCGTCTTTTTTCTCTTGGCGCAGGTGGACTTCTGCATCTGCTTAACTTGAACAAGTTCGTTTTGCTGCCTCTTGCGTAGAGCGAAACACGAATTGATGCATTTTCGAATCATTAGTATATGGACGATCTTTTTTTTTTCTTGACATATACCAAGCCTAGCATCCGCCATACAGATTTATACCCCCCAATTAGGATTTTATAGCATGAAAGAAGTTTCTGTTATCTTGCATGGCTGTGGTCCGGGATTTCATTGATGCTCTGCTTACGTCTAGGTATATCGACGTTGTCTAAAACGAGTGAATATCCCACGTCCTCGTTTTCGCAGCAAAGTCAGTGGCGTAGGAGGCAGTGATCAGTGAAGTGTTGGAAAATTCTCCACGTGGTGGACCAACGCCACTTCCCTGCCCACAACGACGCTGTTGACACATACATCAAGAAGGCAGAGAAGACATCATGCTGGGGCGGATGTTGCACATTTTTGTGGATGCCATGCTGATCAGTGTAGTGTTATCTGGGATTAAGAGAAATACTGGATTAACACTTTCCGTCAGTAGGTTCAAGCATCTAGAACTCCGCCAGTTGCTAAGTGCGTACTTGGAAGCAGGTGAATGGGTATGTTGTTATGCGCATTCCGTGCCTACAGGTTAAAGTTGAAAAACTAACCAAATTTTTATGCAGCTTATGGATTTTGCCGTAGTGGTCTTGGGGCGCTCGAAATCGTTTGAGCGTATTCGGTGAATGTCCTTGATATTTGCCTCTATGTAAATTGCGTTTTCTGTCTAGTGTACAAAACCTACCTATGAAACGGAGGATGACACTGTGTCTGCAGTGTCAGCGTCATGCAACACACTGAGGCGCTTTGTAATACTCTTGAGGAACTTTTCCACAGTCGATGTGGAATGAACAGAAAGACTCATGCGGTCTTCACTGGGATCCAAAAGACCCTGCAACAGCGATGCTGCTGTCTCGTACGCCATGAGGCAATGTGTTGGATCCCACGTGCCTATGCCATTTTTATTTTCCTCCAGCTCCTCCAAGGCTGCGAGTCGCGCGAGCTCCAATGCCTTGTCGAAAATCTGACGATCAATATGTTGTGCTGTATCCGGGATCACATTCGGTCGACAGCGCGAACGCGCTTGTAGGGACTTTTCATAGCATTCGTCAAAGCGCGTACGGAACCACTGCGTCAACTCACGAAGCTGCTCCGATGGCTTCAACGTTGTTTGCTCGGCAAACGAGTTCGCAGCTTCTAGTCCACGCTGCAAAAACCCGAGCGCCCGTACATACAGAGCAAACACCTCAGTACCAGCAACTTCTTGCATATAAGTGCCAGCAGAGTTGGGACTGTATTCGGCAGGAGAAAATCCCTGCATGTTTGTTGGTTGAGCTGAGCCAAGCTCCGAGTCGCGCATATCGGCAAACTCCATGAGCACGTACGCTTTTTTCGCAAGAGTCTCCAACAAACTCTCAAGCGCTTCGTCCGAGGAGACCTGGGCTAAACGCGTATTTTGACTCATTTGAGGCGGCGCGGACATGGGCTTGCCCCATGCTGGCATCTGTGAGGTCGATGCACGATGATTGATTGGCGAGAAAGAGACCTGTACATGTGGATCATTCAAAAGCACTGGCACTGGTGCTGACGCATTCTTGCCTTGATCTGCCAAATGAATAGCGCGCGACAGACCACTGGGCTGTGTCGAGGGTTTGGCAGACCAAACCTCTTCCTTGGACTCTGATATCGAGGGGGCATTGAATCCAATCGCCATGGACGGGACGCGTGGGGCGTCAGTTTTAGCCCGGAATTGTGGGTTTTTGATTTCGACGTGCGTAACTGATACGCCGAGATGCGGCTTCGGTTTTGGAGGTGATAAAATATCTGGCGGTATTTGCGCAAGGTGCACAGAGGCGGCCAGCTCGTCCTTTATGATGGCACGGCCCGTGTAGGGAACTTGCGTAACGACACTGTCAGTAAAAAGCTCGTCGAAACTCATGCGCTCCACAGGGTGGCGCTTGAGCAGTTTGCGGATCAACATTTTGATGTCAGAGGCGATTTCGGGTGGGTTTGGGCGCGGTGGATCGCCATGTAGCTTGCGCCGCATCGCATCTTTCGCGAGGGATTGCTCAGAACGCTCGTCAGGAAACTTGATCCGATCGTTTCCATGCTCGATACGGCGGAGTAATTCAACGTGATTTGATGCACGAAACGGCGGACGACCGACGCACATTTCGTAGAGGACGGCTCCGACGGACCACAAGTCTGCCTTAGCATCGTATTTTTCGTACCGGAGAATTTCTGGTGCCATGTAGAGCGGCGAGCCACAGAGGGTCTTGGCGAGAGACGCGGCAGGAAGTGAGCGGGCGAATCCAAAGTCAGCGACTTTGATGAGCGGAATCTCAGGAGGATGTCCAGACGCAAGACATTCATCGTCAGGAATTTGAAGGAGCAAATTTTGTGGCTTTATATCGCGATGCACAATATCCTTACTTCGAAGAAAACGCACCGCAGACACAAGCTGCGCGAGAAACGAGCGAACCATTTGTTCATTGAGCCCACCGTACTCGGGATGTGGGAACTTGGAGCGCTGAGCCGCTGCGAGTGGGTTTGCACCTGCATCGCCATCCCAGGGTGCCACGTTGCCGTGCATGCGAATGTATTGCGACAAGTCGCCGCCTGGACAATATTCCATCATTAGATGAATATGCTCATCTGTGTAAATGCAATCGCGTAAATCAACAATGTTTGTGTGGCGCATAGACTTGAGAATAGAGATTTCGCCCTCAAGGTTTTCCAGCAGCTTGGGCGAGAGCTTCTGTCGAACCACAGACTTGACAGCCACAAGTTGCTCTGGTTTGGAAATATGGTGCGCTCGATACACTAGTGCGAAAGATCCTTTTCCAATTTCATGATCCAGCACATATTCGCCCACCTGGCCTTGAGAGTTGTCCTGACTTGACCCCTCAGTCATGTTAGCAAGATATCAACCAAGGATTCCGTGGCGTAGCAAAGCCTCGATTGTATCTCACGCAATCGATTGGATAGTGCGGCGAAGTCGTGGCCCATGCGTTCATGCGTATCGACTCATATCGTGTTGCCACACTAGAGAGTTTTGCGACCTAAAGGGGCATCACAGTTCGCCTAAGAACACATGAAAAGAACTACACACCAAAATTTTGTGGCCGGTTTGCCACCCAATCCCTCGTGTTCTCTAATGACTCACCAGCACACGCTATTCAACAATTTTTGCCACGCTACCACAGCGAGAGCAAAATTGGGGGGGTACCTGGAGCTTTTTCCAACACCAACGACAACAATTCACTTACCTACTGGCTGTGATCACGTGAGATACACGTGGGTTTTGCGCGTCGTGCAGCAAGTAACAAACGTGTCGAGCTTGCTTCAACCTCCGCTGAGTGAGACGGACTGGAGTTTGGCGTGCTAGTTTGCTTATTCCACGACATTGGCACGCACTTCTCCATTCACATACTTTGACCCTGCTTCCATGACGGCGTCGACTGGATCGCCGGGAACGCAAGGAACATCGAGGCAAGGAAAATGGATGGCAATGCTGCGTCCTTCCAAACGACGTGAGAGTGCGAGTGCCTTGATGGACACGCCGAACAATGCTTCTTCCACTGTCGCCAGCTCGACGACCGATCACATGACGCCATCATCCTCACTGACAAGTACGCAAGTCACAAGCCCAGTGCCATCGTCTATGAGCACCAATTCACCTATCGGCACAGCACCAGGTCGCCGCATCATGTACGGTATGGGGCAAAATGCTAGCACGACCTCGTCGCTTGCGTCAGGATCGAGTGTGTTGATAACAGGACCGTCACTGGGTATGCTGGGCGACGTACTTGATAAACAGCCGGCGCATTTGCCCCACTTGTACTCGAAATATGATGATCATTGGATTCGTCGCGTTGCCAGTGCGCCCGATACCAATGCTTTGTACCAAGCCACACCAGCACCACCAGTTTTCCAGGGATGGCCTGCGATCAACACCCACGACGGAGTCCCACATGCGCCTGACTCGGTTAGTACAAGCCCGCGGCTTGAAGGATCAAGCGATTTATTCCATGGTTACACGCAGGACGCGCTGTGGAATGTGTCGCTTCAGACGCAAACATTGCCCCTGCCACACTCGCAATCTCACATCCAGCTTCATACCCAGCCGTCCAGATTGCAGCAGCCAACGCAACCAATGACAGCTTCTCAGCAACAAGTGCTTCGGAACATGTCGCCACCACCACCACCACTATCTGCGACTACGTCACCAACAGAGTCTACGCACGAGACGTCGGTGCCAACGCCATGGGAATCTCAGAGTGCCATAGGCAAGGGCTCGTCACCTCTCCGTTTACAGCCAGCCGCACAGATTGATGCCATACCTGCCACACATATGGCGGAACCAATATCACCACGTCGTACACGGTTCCTGCCGTCGCTTCGGATAGCTCCCAAGTCGCGCCAAGCATCGGATAATACGAACGATGCACCTATGCGGCGTTTGACGCGCCTGTTCAAATCCAAAAGTTCCGGCACACTGCAAGCAGATGCAACCAAAGCGGAGGAATCGCGCCCGCCCATGCCGACGACAGTGACAACAGCAACGACAGCAGCCACGCTCCGAACTACCTCACGTGTCAAGACAAGTGATGTGCTTGTGTCGATTGACGAATTCCAGACCATCAAGCTGCTAGGCAAGGGTGATGTAGGCCGTGTGTACCTTGTGAGGCATCGACAAACAGACACTCCTTATGCGCTCAAGGTGCTATCGAAAGCTGAAATGAAGAAACGCAACAAAGTGAAGCGTGTACTGTCCGAGCAAGCGATTTTGATTGCATCCAACCATCCATTCATTGTGCCTCTGTATCACACATTCCAAACAACCGATTACCTGTATCTGTGTATGGAGTACTGCTGTGGTGGCGAGTTCTTCCGTGCGTTGCAGTCACGACCTGGGCGATGCCTATCGGAAGATGATGCGCGTTTTTATGCCGCCGAGGTTGTGGCTGCGCTCGAATACCTGCACTTGATGGGCTTCATCTATCGAGACCTGAAGCCCGAAAATATCCTGCTTCATCAGTCGGGACACGTGATGCTCTCCGACTTTGACCTGTCGGCGCAGGCTCACGAACAAGTGGCAGCACCGGCCGTGTTCCAAGCATCGCCACGCGCTGCGCCCATGGTCGATACCCGTGCGTGCATTGCCGATCTGCGCACAAATTCGTTCGTTGGGACGGAAGAATACATTGCGCCCGAAGTCATCAAAGGTTGCGGCCATACATCTTCCGTTGACTGGTGGACATTGGGCATCTTTGTATATGAAATGATCTATGCTACGACACCCTTCAAAGGGACATCGCGCAATACGACCTTTGCAAATGTGCTGCGCAAAGATGTCTCCTTCCCAGACGGTGTGCCAATGTCCACATCAGGACGCAATTTTATTCGAAAACTGCTTGTAAAAGATGAACATAAACGCTTAGGCAGCCAGCTTGGCGCTAGTGAAGTGAAACAGCACCGATGGTTTGCCAATATATCATGGGGCCTCCTGCGAAACCAGACGCCTCCCATCATCCCTGATTCGCAGCAACTGTCTACCCTCATTCAAGAAGCCGAGGCTAAACCAGTTCGGTCCCACGAGTGGGAACACCAGACCGTTTTGGATATGAAAAAGTACGATGCGACGCCCTTCCACGACTTCCGTAATGTGTCAATCCTTCGAACAGCCACGTAGTACTATACATATATTTATGTCAGCGAATGCCTACGAATCTGCTTGAGGAGCTTTTCGCTTGCCTAAAGAGATGCGAACCTTATCACGGGGTTGTGCTTCTGATGACGATGCAGGCGCCGACGTAAATGAGGCATCGTTTGTCGTCGTTGAAGATGATGCAGGGATGGGAGTGGATGGAACATGGGACGTGGAAATGGGTTGGAAGGCTGGCTTCATAGCAGGCTTGAAGCCCGCAGACTGAGCTGGACTTGAAGCCGGAGCTGTCGCTGACGGTGATGCCGCTGGCTCTGACGTCGGCAGAACAGAGGCTCTGGCCCGCTCCACTGCTGCCTCGAGTGTTTCATTTGACCGGCCCGGTTCGATGGACTGGCCAGATAAGGTAGCACTCGTTCCCGCCGCCTTGGTCTTCTTTTTCACAGGCACACTGACCTTCTCCAACGCAGGCGGTGCTCCGAGGTGTATGTCCTGTGGCGCATGATCATGTTGCCCAACACTCAAAACCATATGAGCCTGTCCCGTCCGTTCGGAGCGTTCCTGGAAGGCGCGAGTCATCGCACTTGTGTCGCCAGCCAACATGCGCTCGCGACGCTGCTCCTCGGCAATGCGTCGCAGACGTTTTTCCTGTGCCTTGTGACCAGGTGCATTGCCATGGAAGGTGTGCGACAGTTGCTTCCATGCCTCCTTCGTTGACAACGTGCGCCCGTACTCATCATGGTACTCTATCTTGACATCGGGCTTGTAGTCCTTAAACCGTTCCAGAGCTGCTTGTGCTTCCCGGCGCTCCGACTGATCGTCTTCACGTGCGTCTTGATCATCCGATTCGGCGAGCCTGTCGGCACGTCGGCGCTCTCGAAGCCACGCATCGTACTTGAGCTGCGTCTTTTCATGTTCCAGCTGCTCTTTCGGTACATGCTCGAGTGTGCCTTGGCTCTTAAGAAACTGGACCACTGATGCAACGCTGCCCGATGCCATGGCTTCTGTGTCGACATCGCCGTGCAATGCATTGTCCACATCGGACATTTTAGCAAGTTCGGCCCCATTCTCCCTATGCGGGTCTTGTGCAGTCGGATGGGACGCTGGCGATAGTGCTGCCTTCGAGTCCACCTCCAGCTCAGGCTCAGGCCGGTCGCCCGCCTCCGACCCAACGTGGGACGTGGAGTCACCATAGTTTATCTGGGGCGCCGGTGGCGATGGTAATTGTCGTTGCGTATCGATTTGTGGGTTCGAAGGACGTGCGATGATGTTTTGAACGAATTCCGTCGTTTCATCAAAGGTAAGAACGCCATCATCCTTCTCTAGTTGACTTTCTTTCTGGGTATCTTGTTCGGCAACTACACGCTGCGTTGCAGCCAAATTTCGCGCAACCATTTCTGGCGTGACTTTGCGGAACGAAGCTTTTGCATGCATCCGTCGCGTTCTCGCAAGACTGGCAGCGAGTTCGTCATCGTCAATAAGGGCCTCGGCTTTCGAGAGAGGCTTCCGGGGCTCATCAATTTCCATCGCCGACGAGGACGACGGTATGGTCGATGCAACCTGGTCGCCACGACCCGCGGCATCGTCGTCATCAGGCTCAACTTTGACTCGCGGTGCACGTTTTTTCTTACTTTTCTTCTTGAATGACACCTCATAATCAGACACCGGTGCATTCTTCACATAGTCCAGGCTAGTGCGATGTAAAGCGCGCTGCTCTGCAACACGCTGTGCCTCTGAACGCGCTGACGAGCGCGCGTCCATCGCATCTACAGACGCTGCATCGCCTAAGCGGAAGCCCAGCGACGCTGCATGACGATTCGGCGGCGTCTGGTTCAGATCGAGTGATTCCACATGATCGTACTTGTCCAGAACACCCGTTTTTTCCTTCTCAAGCTCCTCCACGCCCGTATAGACAGAGTGGCGCTCACGGTCACGTTGGTCCGTTCTTGCTTTCGCGTACGTCTCAGCCGAATGCTCCATTAGCTCGTCTTCGTTGTCGTCCAAGACGTTTGCATCACGAAGCGTCAGTACGCGCTCATCGGAGCCTGCGACAAACTCATCTAGATCGTGTGCGACACGAAGACCCTCCAGTTCAGACGATGTGTAGGTTTGCATACGCGCCGTCTGTTCATCTTCTGCCTGTTTTTGTAACCGCTCAGCCGAATGGACTTGCGCTTGACGCCGAGCGTGACGGATCCAGTCGCGAGCACTCATGTCCTCGTCGCGGCTCTCGCCCAGTGTCGGCCCACGCAGTCTTCGTGCTACATCGCGACGTGCCTGCGCTCTGACGACGCGCTCGCGGATCGCCTCTTTGTCTGGAGAAGCACTTCCTATGCTGGTTGGTGGTATAGAGGAGGTTGCGTTGTCTACACGATCGTGGTCGCCGTTCTGGTTGTTGTGGTCGCGCTCATCGTCGTCGTCGTGGACGTCGACATCGACGAGTGGCTTCAAGCCAAGCGAAATACGCACACGGTTCGCCTCTTCAAGAGAAAGAGACTCTTTTTGAAACTCGGCCATGGGGAGGACACAGCCCCTCTTGTGGGCGTGCGGTCGACAGGATTAAGATCACCAGCGAAATGGATATAGGGACAGGCAAAAAAATAATAGCAGCTTCACCGACACAACGCGTCACACCGCGGCGCGCCACATTAGAAAAGCTGATGCTAGTCGACCGTCCCACATCACGTGCATCGCGCCGCGCCCGCTTAAGCTCGCCGCCCCATTTGCGTGACGGCGAAGCAGAGAAGTGGGAACGATGAGTCAAAAGACAGGCTCGAAAGTGCGCGTGCGTCGCACGAGCGTGTCAGAACATATGCGGCCTTCTAGGCCACAGCCGATCCATCCGTCAACTTTTGTCGGCCGGCCGTCCGTCCGACGAATGACCGCAGCCTAAGCAGCACCATCGTTTGGGAGACTAAGAACACGTTAAGAGCAAGTCAGTCGGTTTGGGCGAGAGTTTCTATCACTCCGAAAGGACCACGCAACAACATAGCGCCAAGAAACGTATCTACTAACGACGAATATTGCTAGACGACGTGGGACGACCTCGCATGCCAAACCTGCTTGCGCGGATTAACCGCTCGTTTGGTGAAAAGCACCGCCACGCTGTGTCAGCGTCGGGTGAGTCGCCGTTGCCATCGCCGTCGCCTTCATCGCCTGCGCCGCTACCAGAAACTTCGGAGGATGCACTAGCAGAAGGTTTGGGAATGACGCGGTCATCGAGCATCACCTCTACGCCGTCGATATCGTCGACGAACCGCAACACATTGAAAAGTCTTAATGCCAAGCTGCGCTCGATACGACTCGGCCCAGGCTCCAAAGATCATGCAACTGTTGGCACTGCACCAAAGGGAGACGAGTCGTCGCCGAATCACTTGGGTGCAGCGGACGGCCAGGAGTCGGCTGCACCGTCGCGACAGTCCTTCGCAGGGATCCGCCTATCGCTGGATCGAGGCAGTCGAAAGTCTTCCATATCAACAATCCCTGTCGATATCGCCGATATGAGCAGCGCTGCTCTCACGGACAAAACGTCTGCGACGCGCGACAAGTCTATGGGATCTTCGGATTTGCCCCGCGACAGTGTCGCACATACACCTGTGTCTCGAGATAAACCATTCCCATTGGTTCCATCTGGCTCTCAGAGCAGCAGCCCAGCGAAACCCCCAGCCGGTTCGGCTCCGACTACGCAAAGCCAAGAAACTCGTCCTCCTGCACGTGCACCACCAACGCCACCTAAACCCACTGCCCACTCGAATGACATGTACAGCCAACACGATGGTGTGCCGATTGTACCACCGCCCGCAGATGATGAGCGCAAGACCCCTATGCATTTTGCTTCACCTGTCACTGCGCCTGCTTCTTCGCCCGTGCCTGTGCCTGTGCCTTTAGTGCGGTGCGCTCATGCCTCATCATCGTCGTTGCAAGCGCCTCACTCATCGTCCCCCTCGTCCTCAATGGGGCCAGGGTCGTTCGAGTCACAATCCACACAGCAAGGCGCGCGCCAACCTCGACAGGATGTTTTCCATTCGATTTCGTCTGATGACGAGTCACAACAGCCATGGGCCACGACCAACACCATGAATTTAGTTCCTCCGTCCGCCGAGTCTGCGTACCCTATGAACTCGAGCGCGAGTGAAATGCCTACAGAGCGGAATCGGGAAGCATGTGGAATACCGACATCGACATCTGCCATCGAATACGACACGCGCAGCTCACAGGGCGTCTTTGGCACATTTAGCAAACGTGGCTTGGATGTCATGGGCCGTCTGCGGGCATCGCAAAACTTGCATCGCCGTCCATCACCACGACATGATCCGAGTAAGAGTGAAGCACGCCGGAGATCGCTCTTCGTGCCGATTCTGAGCCGGAGCACGGATTCTCACAAGACAGCGACGGTGCAGTCTCCCACGCGTGCATGGCTCGACTGGCTCGAGTCACCGGGGCTTGTTCCCCCACGGTCCACCAAACTGCGCGGATTCCGCTCGTCTTCGATGCTTTCCAGCTCCTCCAGCACGCAATCGTTGCGGACCAGTCCCACAGCTATTTCGCCCACGGAAGAAACACCTCACGCCCTTTTTGGCACCCCGCTTCGCGATGTTGTGTCTTCGCCTCCACACTCGTATGCCTCGAGCACGACGCCCGTATCCCCAGACTTGACGCTAGATGACCGCCCGCCCTTGCTGAGCCGAGCGGAGGCGCAGCAACTGGTCATTCCTCGCCTTGTGACACGCTGTGTAGAGAGCTTGGAGAAATGGGGGGTTCATGAAGAAGGCTTGTACCGCGTTCCTGGGCGTTCGTCCCATGCATCCAAACTACGTGCCCTGTGGAATCTGCCAGGTACAGACCTCAACATGGCCGAGATTGGGCCAGCAGACCTTGATGTTCATGCTGTATGCAGTGTGTTGAAGATGTACTTGCGTGAGCTGCCGACTTCATTCATTCCACACGACACAGCCACAGCCATGGACCGCATTTGCACGGACATGGTCAGCGCCCCGGGGAGCAATGAGACGGCGCTAGGCCCCTTGCAAATGAAAGACCAGACGGCTTTGATCACACAGCTCGAGCCCCACATTCAATGCATACCCTACTTTGAATGGTATCTCTTGCGAGAAATGGCCGAGCACCTGGGCGTGCTGACACAGCCAGAGAATGTCGCGAGGACAAAAATGACGCTCTCGAACCTGGCGCTGGTCCTAGCCCCGTCGCTTCAAATATCGGCGCTTCTCATGATGACGCTTGTTCAGATGAGAGGCGCGCTGTTCACTTACGAGACTCGGCCCATGTCCAGCCCGCCACCTTATCCCGCCAGTTGTGGATCTCCAACCCCGCCTTCTTCTCAAGTCACGCCTGAGAAACCACGCCCTAGCACTTTGTCTGCAGAAAGCGCAATGGCCTCCCAAGCATCCTTGTCTTCGTCACCACCACCTGCATCCTCAGCAACCTCAGCAACAAACTCTCCACGGCCTTTAAAGACAAAACCAATACCGACTCGGCCTCTTCCTCCTGTGAAGAACGCAAGCATCGCGAGCCACGCTACAGGTGCCAATGTGGGGAGCCAAAGTAACCAACATCCCCCACACTATTCCAACGCGCAGTTCGCGGACGCTAGTACTGAACCCGCAGCTGCTGTGGACGTAGACGCAGAAGATGTGCCTACGTTACGGCCACTGCAGCCACCACAGCCACCACCTCTCAGCACCGAAGTGGACACTGAGTGGGGTGAAGTGATGAATGAGGTTCATCCAGCCGAACTTCATGACGATGCACCGCAGCCAAATCCGGCTTCGCGCATTTCTGCGGATCAAGCGTACAATCCTGAGGATACAGAATCGATTGATGCACCACCCTCATCCCCTACGGCTTCCACCCAACTACCTATTGCACAGCGGTTCTCGCAGCCTCGAAGCTCCATTCTCTTTGATACGCGTTCACCTTAAACAATTCGTAGCAGGGCTATCGAATGATTCAACATGAATACCATGTCCGCATATAAGTGATGGAAGAGTCCACAACAAGGACACGCCAAGGCAGATCAATACGAGTCGAGAAAATGATCTGTTGGCATATTCTTACTTTTGATGGCTATTTGTTGCTCAACAACCACGCGCTGCGCCCGTATAGTATAGCGGTTATTATTTCTCACTCGTACTGAGCTCTGGCTAGTTGATGAGAGGGTCCCTAGTTCAAATCTGGGTGCGGGCAGCATTTTTTATCTATTTCATGCAATTGGTTTGTCGCTAATTACAGTTATACTTAACCAGCATTCAGTCGAGCTTGCCCGTATAGTATAGCGGTTATTATTTCTCACTCGTACTGCGCTTCGGCTAGTTGATGAGAGGGTCCCTAGTTCAAATCTGGGTGCGGGCAGACTTTTTTAAATTGAGTGAGTGAATGGTTGAAAGTCATGGAGATTTGTTTTTGCGACGATTATCAACTCTCTTAACGAAGTACGCCAGGTTTCTCGTTCATACATCCCACGATTGTGCCGAGAAGTACAAATCTTATTACGCACGCAATAAAAGGGAGAAACCGTTTTGGCTTGTAGTCAGTTGGAGCATTCAAGACACGCGTCCCAACCAGACACATGTCTGCGATCACAGGAGCGGTAAGCACGTATCAGGGTACCAACACTGTAGCTGCTGGAGTGCCATCAAGAAGAAAGTTCAATTGGGAAAACCTTCTTTGTTGGGATGCAGCTGATAACGGACTTCAAGCATTGCGATTCTCATTACTTCTTTTGCACCTGCATTCGCGACTGCCATCGCCCAGGTCTTCTTGGAATGCGATGATGAATCCCACTGGCTACGTTGTCATGCGTTTGCTCACCGAGCAACAACGAAAGTCGTTACGTCGTGGGCTTCTTCTATCGACAGAAGGCGTTGCGAATGCTCGCCGCTTTGCGCTTCTAGGTTTATGGATCTATACATTTATCAAGGAACTTTCACTACAGTGGCACAAGAACAAGGCCCGAACACATGCTGCTGGTTCTAAGCAGAGAAAAGAGAAACGAGCGGAAATGAGCACAGTAGAAAAACATACGAATCCCACGGTTGAATGCTGTATCCTGGAGGATAACGAAAATACCGAGTGTGTTGAGAAGCCAGCGGGACGTGAGCCATTGTGTATAACGGATTTCGTCGCCTCCATTGGCGATTTTGTTGCACATGTAGGCGAGTCCTTCGATGTCGCTGCATTTTTGCATGGTTCGGGTCTTTTCTGGAAAGCTTTTGGCATGAAGAATATCGCGGAACTGCCGCCGTGGCTTCAGCGTCGCCGACGTGGACTGGAACGTGTGGGTGTATTTGTGTCCTTGGCCGCCTTGATAATACAGATATATGTGGCACATCGCCGACGCAAGGGCATCATGCGGGAAATGATGCACAGTGTGAAAGCGATGCGGCGGGAAATTAAGCGCATGGATGAAGATCGCGATGCAGCACGAGAACTCGTGCCACGCGCGCGGCTCAGCGTCGAGCAAACATATAACACACTAATAGCCGAGCGCCGTCGCTTACGGTGGCTCAGCATTGAGCAATGGTGCTTGTATGGTGACATGGCATTCACACTCACGGAGGCCTGGGCACCAACCAACGACAATGAGCTGCTTGAAGCGAGCACTGGCCTCTTTGCCGCGATCCTACGCATGCTACGTTTCTGGAACGAAATTCGATTCGGCTCACTGGACATCTAAAGATACAGCAGCTGTGGAATAGTAAGGGACATCTTGGATGCTGAGGGGAAAAAAAATAAGAACATGGAAGGAAGGACAAGAGGCAGAGAGGAGGAGGGGTATCAGCCTCAGTGCCTAGTTGTCCTCAAGCCATCGATACTCAAAGCGAAAGTCATTCTTCCGCCGCTGACACCACGAGCCTTCCCAATCAAAGTACACATAGGCCCCTTGTTCATATTCATCTGTTATGGCCTGTGGCTCTGAATGCCGTTGAAACCACGTCAGATATTGTTTATGGAACCGCCACGATTGCTTTTTGAGCTCGCGTGCAGCCAGATATTGATGGTATGTCCCCTGCTGGTAGTAGAAAATGTAAAATAAAGTATCGACATCAAACTTGCCATACAGCGCAGGGTTATCAAAGATGGCTGCTGGTGCCTGTGGGTAATAATGTGGCGTCGGATACGGATCCTTAGGCGTATAATATTTCGGTCGCTCTGAATCCATCGGCTCCGGCACACCGCCCGTAAAGCTCGTATCAAGTGTGTGTTGAGCGTGTGCTAAATTCGACTCCCGCAACATCGACTTCTGCTTTGCCCATTCAAACGACGTCACAAGATCTGACAGTGTGTCAGGTAAGCGTACATCGCCTGTCCCTCCATGTCCGCTACCACCAGCACCGGCAGCAGTACCAAAAGCTGTTGTTCCTGGTGCTCTTGGTCTTGAGCCCTCCGTTGGACGTGCCCCGTCGTGTACGCTACCTACGGTGCCAGTCACGGTTTCTTTACCATCGATGCTCGTCGTATTACTCATGTCGCCCTCTGTGCCGGAGCCAGAAGCAACTGCTGGCATAGAAGACGCTGTTGTTGACGGTGTTGATACTGCTGCTGCCGCTGCTGTCGCGTAACGAACAGGAGGAAGTGCAGCTGCTGGAGTTACGACTTTCGGCGTGGGCGTAGCGACAGTAGCCGGAGAGGCTGACCCTGCCGGTGGCACAGGGGATGCTGAGTCATGGCTTGGTTCAGACACGCTTGTAGATATCGAGCTTCGTTCCCTTGCAAAGCCATCATTCGACGACGACATAGTTGTGCTTGTGGATGATGCAGCGGCGCTAGCGGCCGTGGATGCGCTTGTCTTTTTCGACGCGGACACAACTTTCTTATCTTCTTTGAACTTGGGTGCGGGAATACTTTCTTCTCTTTTGCTTTCTTTGGCCGCAGACATTGACTTTGACGAAGACTCCTCAGGGGGTTGTGATGACGACGCAGTTGGCGTAGCGGCTGACCCAGATGTGGGACTTGCGACCAAACGCTCAGGTGCAGCTGCTGTAGAAGAAAGTGGCGGGGATGCCGATATATCAGCTGTTGTATCGTCTGCATCCTTAAGCCCGTACGCTTCCTCCTCGTCGTCGAGATTAAACTCATCGTAAATCCCCTCGTCCTCCTCAAAGTCGTATTCGTTATTACACTCGACGAAGTACTGGATATCTTCCTTGATGCTGTTAATTTGATCAACTTCAAGTGTGCTGTTTTCCAGCATACGAAGCAGGATCTCTAGCCGGGAAATATGCCAGTTGCGCCGCTCATTCCGGTGTTCCATCGAGCTGACATGCTCGTCTTTCGCGGGCGCTTTTTTGCTCTTCTTTGTCGTCGCTAATGACTGCTCAATCTCGGCTTCCGCTGCCTCAATTTGTCGGGATAGCTCATCCACCATAGACGTTAGCCATTGCGACACTTCGACTTTGGCCTTCTCTTCAGGCCCTAGCCTCGCTGCTGCAATGAGGCCTTCTTTCGAAAATGCTTTTGTCTTCATTTCTTTCTCTGCTGCTTTGAAGCGCTCCATTTGCTGAATTTGTGGTCAGTCTATATCCAAAAAAGAACGGCCCACCGTGATATAGTAGTAATGCCATTGTTGCACGTACCGTTTCAATGAGCCGCCGATTGTCTAGTAGAGCTTTCTTGTCTTTGATTTCATTGCTCTGAAGCCATGTCTTAATTTGATCGCGGTGCCGCTGAAGCTTTTTGATTTGCGTCTTGAGATCAGACTCGAGCTTTTCTTTCTGCCCCTGATTCGATGATGTCTGAAGTTTGTCATACAACCCCTCAAACAATTCGACACCCTCGGACACCTTCTTAAACGTCCGATCTATCTCGGCTACATCACATTAGCCTGCGCATGCCTTTCCAAACAACGTACTTTGCAGCTTGCGTGCCGCCATTGTTGCTTCTCGTCGTCGTGCCTGCCGTTTCGACGAATTGGTTCAACTTATCTCGCACGACTTTCGCTTGCCTGTCGTTGGTGGATTACGTCGCGCTTCCCCATTTGGTGGGGTGTGTGGCATAATTGCAAAAATATCCCGTTTCGCTCGTCTGCCGGCGACTCGTGTTGCGTGTGATTTTCTTCCCTCTCACACCGTTCGATCTGTCAAAAGACGGCAGCAACGGCGGCAATCCCCACCACGAGAGTCCAAGCCCAGGGGTGAAAATCCTACTTGTTCCTTCCATCTGTATGCTCTTTTGTATTCCTGGAAGAGCCGTTCCTCGTCTTGCGCGTACGCGTGCGTCCGGAAACTGGCACACACGCGCATTGACATCGACACCATGTCGTGCTGAGCAGGCGCCTAGTACACCCACAGGCTCTGCATACCCATTTGCTACGCATGTGGTGGCGCGCTCGCATGTTGTTCCGCGTTCCAACTCGGTGCGGGCACCGCCACCCGATGTGAAGCACCTGTCGCGCGGCGTTATGCCGCGTGTCGATTCACAGCTGACGACCGAGATGGACCCCGATGAGCGGATCGCTCGACTCTTTTCACGGCAATCCCCAGACTGCATTCTGCCTGGCTCCATCGTAATGGTCGAGTCGTATCTGAACAATGCTAAGACGTCCAGCACGACATTCTCGGGTGTGCTTATTGCTGTGCGCCGATCTGGCATTGCAACAACGTTTGTTTTGCGTGCCATTGCGCATAAATTGGGTGTTGAGATGCGCTTTCATGCATACAGTCCCATGATCAAGGATATCAAGGTGCTCCAGCGGGCAGATGCGAAGAAGCGGCAGCCAGGACTGACACGCACGCGTCGTGCGAAGCTCTACTATATGCGACGCAAAGATGACCGTCGTGTTGCATCTGTTGCAAACGTGGTGAAACAGTACCGGGCAGCTGCTTTGCAGCAGAAAGGCAGCAGTAGCACGGCGGCTACAACAGACACGCCTGCCAAGAAATCGTCCTCATCCAAAAAGGCACGGAAATAGGCCGACCTTTGTTTTCCGTACATAGTTCGCATCTTGGCGATCTAGTTTCATACCCAGCGAAGCCCTATGACCAGCCTCTTATGTCACTATCGTATCTCTTACTCCAACAGTGTTGCCACGGTTTGACGGCAAGTACAAAAAATTTGGGCCAAATTTTGCCAGACGGTTTGGCACGTGGCAGAACTGGACTCTCTTTACCTTCGCCACGCAGGACATGTATACTTCGCACCCATGAAAGCGATGTGCTCCCGGCAATCTTTACATCCAGTCTATCTTCTCCAGTCACAAAAGCTTATATGCACAGCGGCAACCGATATTCATCGTGACTATGCTGGGGTATCCGTGCCGGACTGTGGCGAGACACGTATGCTCTACAAGAGACAAGGTGGACGGGAGCAAACACAGTTCTCGAGAGGTATCTACGCCGTGATGACCGAAAAGGCAAGGAAATGCATCTCTAAAGGGCACTCGTACACATGGACCAGTAGGCTACGCTGAGCGATTTCACGCAGCTAGGCTAGGCATCACCAGGATGCCTTTTCCACACCCGGGACTTCGCCATGCACGGCTCTACGACGAAATTGATATCGACATAGGCCAAACTCAGTAAAGACACCGCGACCGCGCCCCGTGTCAACGCACCGGTCCTTCACAAAGGCAGGGCGCGACTTAGCCGGAAACGAGTTCAGCTCCAGCTGGGCCATGTGCCTCACACGCGAAGGAAGGGTAGTATTCCTAGCGATGTACTTATAAGCTCGACGCAGAAGTTCATTCGAATGGACTGTGTGACGTGCGGCAATATCGCGACTTGATTGCAAGAAGCAGACAAAAGAAAAAAGAGGTCCATGTCAGTATATTCTCTAACAAAAATACATCACCCGTACATACAGCACACGTGCATTTGGTCTCATGCTCATTTTGGCGACGAAAGACAGTCAAGTAAGCCAGTAGGCAAGCAGGCAGCTAGACAGACTTGGCGCCCTACTCGACTCCCAATGCAAGATTGATTGATCACCGTGAGCCGAGCTATTGTGCAAGTGCGCTGTGACACTGACGAGCACATCGCTCGGCCGGTGCGCTTAGTCAGACCAAACGGCTCCTCAAAGCAAATTGGTCAATTGTGATTCGCCCTGTCTATTTTATAGCGCGGCTTATCTATTCCTTGCAGGCCAAAGTGGGCAGAGCCGTTTGGCGGCGTGTTGCTGAGCCGTCTACTTCTGCCACGCAGTTACTTGTTACCTCACGTTTTCTTCCAAACCAAACGACGACATGGACGTGAGGTGTCTATCAACGACTCGACTTCGGGCCATCTGCCCTCACTTGCGGGGCATGTCGTCTGCGAAACTAAGCGGCTTCATGCGTTCGTTTTCGGTTATGAGCCAGAACGGCGGTGGCGGTGGTGCTCTGCTCTCCCGCGCTAAGCAGTGCCCGTACATGAGCCAGTGCATCGCCGAGTCAGATCGATCAGACATGGTAGCACCGTCTGACGTGAAAGTGGGAGGTGCTTCGGGCTCTGAAAAGATGTCACCACATTCTCTGCCCAAGCCGCTCTTGGAGCGCACCGGTGGCGTCTGCCCTGTGTCGCAGAAGCGCACGTATGCTACACAAAGCAGCATGGCCAAGGCATCGATAGCCCCGATGAATGCAATGAATGCTCCATCGCACGTCGCTCACACCAAGTATTCGTCGGCGCCCGTGCAGAAACGCACGCCAGGCTCGGGCATGGGACCGCTGCCTGAGCCAGCACCATCGAAGGGGCCAGGCTTCGATTTCGAACGCTTCTACTACGAGGAGTTGAAGCAGAAGCACGATGGAAACACGTATCGATACTTCAACAATGTGAATCGACTCGCGCAAAAGGCGCCGATGGGACATCTGACGGAGAGCGAAGCACACGAAATCACTGTGTGGTGTTCTAACGATTACCAAAACATGTCTCGACACCCGCGCGTCCTTGCTGCGATGGCCGAGACCCTAAGCAAGTATGGTGCAGGCGCAGGGGGAACACGCAACATTGCGGGCCACAACATGCATGTGGAACGAGCTGAGGAGGTATTGGCTCGTCTGCACCGCAAGGACGCCGCGCTCGTATTTGGCTCGTGTTACGCCGCGAACGATGCGACACTCACGGTTCTAGGCTCAAAGTTGCCTGACTGTGTGATTCTGAGCGACGCAAGTAACCATGCGTCGATGATCCAAGGCATCAAACACAGTGGTGCGAGGAAAATGATTTACAAGCACAACGACATGGCCGACCTTGAAGCGAAGCTGAAGAGCTTGCCGGTGTCGACGCCAAAAATCATTGCTTTTGAATCCGTGTACAGCATGTGTGGCACGGTCGGCCCAATCGAAGAGACTATTGCCCTTGCGAAGAAGTATGGTGCGATAACGTTTTTGGATGAAGTGCATGCTGTCGGCATGTATGGTCCACATGGCGCTGGTGTTGCTGAGCACTTGGACTGGATGCTGAATGCCACGATGCCGCCAGGTCGGCTTCGTGGTACCGTCATGGACAACATTGACATCATCACTGGCACCTTGGGCAAGGCGTATGGCAATGTGGGTGGCTATATTGCTGGCTCCCATCGCATGGTGGACCTGATTCGTTCTTATGCACCGCAGTTTATCTTTAGCACGACACTGCCTCCGTCTGTGCTCGTCGGTGCCGCGACGGCTGTCGAGGTGCTGATGGAGTCGAACCACACTCGGCAGTTGCAGCAAATTCGCACTCGCGAGCTGAAGAATGCTTTACTAGATGCAGGCATTCCTTTGCAAAGCAACCCATCGCACATTGTGCCTGTGCTCGTTGGCTCAGCCGAAAAGGCCAAGCAAGCATCAGACCTTCTGCTGAACCAGCACGGCTGCTATGTACAGCCTATTAACTATCCCACGGTCGCCACGGGTCTTGAGCGCTTGCGTATCACTCCGACGCCTCAGCACACATCGCATCACGTGCGTCAGCTCGTGCAGGCTCTGCAGCAGGTGTGGGACCAGTTGGGTCTCCGTTCTGTGCAGGACCTGCTTGCTGCACCCCGCGACGGCTCTGATCCGCTTGCTGACCTCTTCCGTCGCTCGCAGTTTGAGGATGATACGTCGCCGCTATGGAGCGATGCGATGCTGGCTCTCCCAAGTGAAATGATCATTGGCAGTTCCTCGGCGGCTTTCCGCTGCGGCTGCAACTCGGCGCAGGTGCCAACGGCTACACCCTCGTTGCTCTCGTAAATTCGATGATGGCAATCTGCTACGTCGACATCAATTGTAGTTCATTTACTACAAATACAGGAGCTCGATTGCACGAACTACTTGTTCCAGACCCATGTAGCTTGCTCTCACCAAATGCCGATGATTATCTTTGTCCCGTTAAGTGTGCCTGGATTGCTTGGATAGCTTACTGATGTTATTATCATAGGCGTACTGCGATGGTCAGCCACGTCGAGAAATGGTGGCCATTCGAGCGATACGCAGCACGGCCACACTCTTGTCGTCGAGCGTCATGAAAATCGGACTTGTGTTTGAAATAAAAATGTGGATCGGGTGGCCACGCGCTTTTATCAGGCGCGTCAACTCCCGAGCCAATCATATGTATCGATTTAGATTGCATCGATGGTATGATCCCAATGCAGGTTCTGTATTCACGTAGTCCACACTGAACCCTCCGAATCAAGCTCGTGGGCAAAGGTCTTGATTTTCCATTTGCTTTCAAATCCTAGCGTATTGCCGCCACCTGATTCCCAAAAAAAGGGTCGGCGTGTTCTGGAGGATTTATTGGCATTTTCCAAAATACACAATTCATCACTTTCTGCCTTCGTATCTCCCATCGTCCATATTATCCTTCGCCACTGCAGACGTTCGGCCATGCGAAGCACGCCTCACAGCGGCATTCGCCCCGCGCATACATGCTCTACAACAAGCATTTTGTATCTGGCCGTGGCTCTAATGTGCGTTGCTATTGCCGGTGCGTCTGCAGCGCCCACATCCGTCCAGGCGCGTCATGGTGGACATGCTGAGGCCGCGGTGGCAACAACGACCACAACCTCCTCCTCCTCACCACCACCACCATTGGGCGCATCTTTCCAATCGTTGTCGCCAAGTAGCGGAAATATTACCAGTGGCATTGCGTTGGCTGCTCCCACTGCTGTAACACGCGCGTATTCGAACATGCAAAGCTCATCAGCCATGGCAACTGCTTCCGTCTCGAATGGGCCAGATATCCACATGTCGCTAAGCCTGAAGGCTGGAACGACTGTAGCTGCGGATGCTCCGTTGATGGATGCGATGCACGTAGCGCATGAGAAACATGGGGCACACGATCACTCCTCGGAGTTTTCCTACGATTCACTGACGCCAGAACAATGGCCAACCTTTTGCACGGTACCTACAGCTGCTGACAAAAAGGCGAATGCAGACATGCAAGACTGCATTGTGTCGGATGAGTTGGATATACCCATAGGCGCGGACAAGGCTGGATGGGCACTTCGTCCGAGCCCTTTACTCAACTTGTCAAACGTACATGCTCACGCACATGGCACGGACGAAGTTATGATTACACTTAACGAGACTCGTTTGTACCTTCGAAAGGGAGCTGTGCCACTGAGTTATGTTGAATGGGACTTTGGCAGCGGTCTTGGTCGCTTGTCGGAGCTGCGACGCTTCGTAAGCGATGATGCGATGCAAATCCAGGCAACATGGCCCAACCGGTCAGTCGTCGGTGCCTCGGGGGGGTACTGGCGCACGCTGGGCGACATTGACTATCCTGTGTCGTGGGATTCTCTCCGGGAGGACATCAAGTGGCGCACAAACGAAGGCAAGCAGGAGCCTGCACGACACACAGGGCTTCTTGTGTTCTCTTCCGTGCTTTTCATCATGGCTTGCTTTATTCTTTTGCCGGTTCTGCTGTGCCTTCAAGCAGCACGGTCGACGCTCGTTCCGCTATTCTCTCTGCTTTTCCTCGTCGTCTTGACCCTGTCGCTATTCTTTGGCCGCTTGTACTTTGCGCTCACGCCGGAGCTGTACCCACCCAGTGTATTGCCCAATCTCGTTTTGAGCTTTTATGCCCTTTCGCTCGCGTGCTTCGGGGTCACGGCTGCAAAACTGCTTCTCCTGCTTGTGCCCCTTTTCCGTGGGCGTCTTCGCTCGTGGAATGATCTACACCACATCATGCGCATGCTTACACAAGGTCCGTCTCCTGGGCTGCACGAGCGAGACGAGGGTTATCGGTCCAATCTGTCCCACTCGACGGCGAGCACAGACGGCACGCTCATGGAGCAAGTGCCAGACTCGCCAGCTGTTCATGCGATGGACCGTGGAGAGTCGTTTGTCATGTTTGACCAGGAGCGTGAGCCGGACGCGCCTCTGCTCGATTCACCCGCGTCTGTTGACTCTGGTCTGTACGTGCCGATGCCGATGCACCGGCCCTGGGAACGCTTTGTCATGCGCCACCCTCGTGTGCATTTTACTCTTCAAGTCGCATACACCACCTTGTCGCGTGGTCTTGTGCCCCTGGCGTCGACCATTGTTTATGTTTCGATAGCGATCTACACGGGCTCGTGCCGCCGCGGCTACAAGAATGTGTGTCTTGCGCACGGCATCAAGGGTGCAATATTCTTCTGGTATGGAATACTCACGTTCGCCCGCTATCTGGGCGCATTTGGCGACTATGGATGGGCATGGAATAAGCGGCCTACGCCAGAGAATTCGATGCACAGTCGAGCGTCGTTCTGGCGTCGGAACATGCCATCAGCTGAGTTTGTCGAGAGTCTTGTGATTTTCCTTTACGGCATCTCGAACACATGGCTTGAGCGACTGGGAGCGCGTCCAGGCGATCCATATACTGTGAAGCAGATCCAGCACATCTCAATTGCCGTCATGTTCTGGTTCATTGGTCTGGTCGGCATGGCGCTCGAGTCCAAGTCGGTCCGGAATATGCTGGGCTACGCTGTTGTTCGTCGGCACCCGGCCGCCACACCAGCGCGTGCTAATGAAGACGAGACCCTTGCGCAGGCACAGCCACCATCCTACAGCCAGAGCTTCAACCCATTCCCATCGCTTGTCATTGGCGTCACGGGTGTGGCAATGGCTGCGCATCATCAGGACTACCTGTATGAAGTCCAAGTCCATATTTTATGGGGCCAAATGCTTGCTGCCTTTGCAGTCTTGCGCTGGCTTACTTACTTTTTCTTGTGGATTCGTCCACCGACTAGCACGCTACCGAGTCGCCCACCGACAGAGGCGGTAGCCTCCTTCGCACTATGTTGTGGTGGGCTGTTGTTCATGCTTTCGAATGAAGAGGTGTCATTCGCAGCGATGCGCTCTGACTATGCGGATGCCATGGCCATGCTGAACCTTGCCATTTCTATTGTAGCCTTAGTCTTTTGCTGGACGTTCTGCGTGATGATGATCAAGGCCTGGGCTTTCCGACGCGACGTACAAGCTTGGGAGCCACTTGCACGACCTGCTGCACAAGCGGCCTCGTCAACTGAGCCGTGGATAAAAGAACAACCATTTGCTGCTTCCGACGTTTCTCACAAACCAAGCTAACGTAAAAAAGTACTTGGTAGGCTATGGTTCTGCACGGTTCGTGTCAGCAGCGCTTGGTAATGTCTTTCTTTGTGCAATCATGCTACGTACTCACACTCTCTGGAATTGCCTTGTGACACCACTTGTTTAGTAATGCGTTCGTTCTCTTTGTTATCTTTTTGACGCTTGGTTTTCTCTCGTATTATACATTCATAGCGTTGTTAAGCTTCAACACGCATGCCCTATCTGGTCGAGGGGATGGAGACATGTATTTTTAGTCAGGTCGTTTTGGGTAAAAATTATCTGCATATCTGGTGCGATATCGGATTGGACCAAATCATATCTTTCTGCGCGAGAAGGCCCTTCCTCTTGAAAATTTTGGACACGTTCGCTGCAACGTTCTTGACTTTTCTAACGCCGTGGATAGCGTGAGCTGCTTCTTCGCGTACTTTCCTTTCGAGTACACCCTGGAGGTATCTGCTGCTACTGCCGCGTAGCTCGCGATACAATGAGCCACGGAATGCGACACTCACGGGGCACCGTGGGTGCTTCCAGCTCACGGGGTCTTGAGAGCTGCAAGGGCGCAAAAGACTCACAGGACATCCAGAACGATGGGAACTCACAGGAGTCTCCATCGGCTTCAACACCATTGCTTTCACGCAGCCAAAGAGGGCGGCATCACCGGACTTTTAGTGGTCTCCGTTTAGACACGTCACTGATTGTACGGACGAATAATGGGTCGTCAACGTCTATGCGGGTAAAATTACCTCTATTGGGCGGCTTCTACTTCTCGGACATTGTTGTGATTGTGTGGTCTTTGGCTTGCAACATGATCAAGTCATGTACTCTTGCTGAGCTTCTGGATTTGTTCTACTTTGTGGCTATGTATCATGTAACATCACTAGCATCAGACATGCGTCTACGAGTGCGAGAGTATGGGTTGAGTGTGTTTCAAGCGTATATGCTATCTGTCATGCGCATGATCATGCACACTGTTCCCTACATTCCTTCACGTGTGCTTTTGTCGCAAGAGACAATTGCACCTTTCTTACGCTGGCGCACAGGCAGTGCGGCCTCCCGAATGATTCGTGCGTATGGCGATGTCAAGAGTCAAGGCTTTCAGGCTTATTGGATCCATGGGGATAGTCGATCGCCACCACCTACACCGATGCGTGAGCGGATTGTTGTACTATTTGTACATGGTGGTGGCTTTGCACTTGGCTCCGTTGCGCTTTATGCAGAACCGCTTTTACGGATCATGTCGCACACTGCGACTTTTAACAAACAAGCCACTGTGCAATGTGTTGCGCTCGAGTATGGTCTTGTGCCGAATACTCGCTTTCCATCCCCGCTTATCGAGGCGCTGCGGTGCTATGCGCATCTGATTGAGCACGAGCGCATTCCATCGTCCAACATTGTCTTGGCCGGCGATAGCGCTGGCGGGAACCTTGTAATGAGCATGTTGTTATGCCTCGATGGTCAGGGCATGTCACGAGTTGGCGGTCGGAATTGGTCAGCATTGCCACTACCGGCGAGAGCTGTACTCATAAGTCCATGGGTGGACCTGCGGCCTTCGTGTACGCAGACGATGAAGTCGACGTCTGTGCTTGATATTTTGTCGCCTGCATGCCTCACACAATTTGCACAGATGTACACACGGATCCTACCGCGTCCAAGGCGCGTGGCTGGCCCAGGTAGCAAATGTTTGCAGCGGCTGTCGCGTTCACCTAGTTTCATGGCAGCGTGGATCCGCACATGGCTTGCACAGCCACCGATACTTGGTACTCGCGCTGTCAATGCAGTAGACGCGCGGAATGATCCTGTGTCTGATTCCCATCAGCTGTATGACACAAGAAACACCAATCACGCAATCTCTCACATGGCCGTGTCGCCAACTATGGGTCAATGGCAGCAAATTTCGCTGCGGTGTGGATTGTTTGTCTTATGGGGAGCGAATGAAATCATGGCAGAAGATATCGCCGCTTGGACACGTCGGCTTCCGCGTGTTGACAGCTATGTTGAGAAGGGCGGCTCAGGTGTGCATGTATGGCCATTCATCAACGCACTGCTTGGCCCTACGATTGTGGAGCGTGAAAAGGGGCTGAGTCAGATTGCCCGCGCGATACTGAATATTCCATTGACACCGTCAGCGACGGAGCCGGTTTCGCCTCCTTCCTCTATGCCATCGGATTCTGACGAGTCTGATAATGACCAAGCACAACGAGCATGGGAGGCTGAATTGAAGCGGATGTTTGAACAACCTGTGCGTTGATCTTGCATGTGAGAGGACAAAGTGCCCGCTTGTCTGGGACGAGCGGGTGCGTGAAAGAGAGAGAGAGAGAGAGAGAGCGAGTGAGAAAGCAAGCGAGGTTTTTTCGGTGTTCAGAAACTATAAGAACGACTGCAATATATACATACAAACGATCATCATACGCACGAGCATCCATGGTCCCATTTCACATGTACCACTGACATCAACACTTGTCTGTTGGTAACTATCTCTTATGTACGTTCATAGACCAATTGATTACTCCATGGGATTTGTACGTGCTGCTTGTTCGTCTTCGTCATTTGTCGTCTTGCATAGTCCACAGCCCAGTAAAAGGTCAGACCAGTACCACCTGTCAATAGCATTGGTGTCCTCATTGCGAAAAGAATGAGTAGTCATTAATGCCGCCGAGGGATAGGTCTGGGATTGTAATGGTAATTCATGCAAGTCAGTACATGATGAGCGCGACAGAGAACCAGAATATGGAGGAGTCTGGAAAGGATCGTCTTTTGTTGGGTGCATGCCAGACATCTGAGAGGGGACCATGGTGACGTCAATATCGCCCTCGGGGATCGACTCGATGGGTGATCTCGTGTGATGTCGGGCGGCAGAAGAAGATGTTTGCCGCGACATGGAGGCCTGGCGCTGCATTTGTCGATTCGACGCTTTGCCCACAGTAACAGAGGGGAAATTTTGGGATCGAAGACGAGCAAGGGCGGTCTCTGTGCCAGGCGCATACTGGTATGGATCCGGGGGGCTCGTAGGGGTGTCAGACTCAAAGGGCCGCTGTGACTCGCCCAAATCCTCCATGGATATGGCCGATACGTCGCCTGTGGACGCGTATGGATCCGTATGCAGGGGTGTGTGATCGTTCAGTTCCTGTCGACTTTCAGTTGCATCGGGTATGTTGACCGACATGAACTGGGACTCTTCCGACTCGTCTGTGATGGGACCGTAGCCTTGCGGCATATGAGGCGTATCGCGGCGGGGCGATTCGCCGTAGTTGGACTGTGTCATCTCGTACGCACCGGCCTTGGCGCCGGGTTGATGGGTATGACGAGCACTGCGCAGGGATGGGACACGGGCAATAGAGGAGCTGAGTCGCCGCATGAGCGACGAGCTTCCATTGGAGGTTGAGGCGTTGGCATTTTGTGCATCTAGGCGGGAGCGTCGGTTGAGCCTTTCCCTCTGTGACATGCGGCGCAGGTATTCTTCGACATTGCGCGTTTCAAGTCTTTGCTCTTCTGTCTGTGGATACTCGCCTTGACCGGCCAAAGCGTACGTGTCTTCGGGCGCGCTGTCTGTCACAATACACGTAGGCGGCACGATGGACGGCAACGTGCCTGTCGCATCTGTCCCCGCCGCGGACATGCCCTGGTTGTATATTCACAGGGACTCGGCACGTTCAAAAGGCTCTGTACACACTGACTGAGCGCGCGAGGCTTTACAGCGCGATGGCTAACCAAAGATGTGGGAGGCCGGCAGCCGTTTTCGACAAGTGTAGGTGTGCACAACTGAATTGGCTGCTTGCTTGTTCTGCGATCCTTTTCGCACAGCACGTGATCGGGAGACACCCCCTTCCCTGTGAACGCGATGCCACGTGCGCGACGCCTCGTTTAGGCAAATCCACGCAGACGCGTGCGTGTCCAAGCTGCTTGGGATTAGAAGCAGGCGTGGACAGAAAGCTTTGCATTGTGGCGGGCCTGTGACGAAGGCAAGACTAGCATGCGTGGTGTGGTACGTTGAAAGGAAGGGGGAAAGGGGGGGGGAGGTGAAGTGGGGACAGCTGAGGCAATGAAGGCCGCTGCGCTGTCCATGTATGACAAAGATGATGTGGTGGAATGGGGATGCTCATATGTTTTGACGGTAGTGTGATCATGTGCGAGAAGAACTGGCGGAATGCCTCAAACGCTCCGACTGTATGCGAGTGCATGGCCACTCAGGCAAGGAGTGCTTGACGGAGCATCTCGATACGCTGCTTGCAGAGTGCCAGCAGGCTTATCGAGGCTTTGTCGATTGCAAGCGGTCGTTGTGGCCCATGCGCAAACGGTTCCGAGGGATTCCAGGCGCAGAGTACAGCACCAGTTCAACGATGTATGCGGCGTTGGACAAGCGATTTTAAAACAGCTATGTGGGGGGCCGAGGCGTCGATGATGATGAGGAGGTAGGCGAATGTGGTGATGTCATCGATGTCGATATGAGCGGGGGTATAGGTGCGACGAATCTGACGCGCGCCTTAGGAGGCGTAGGTGTCGAGGACATGGATGTGGGCGAGCCGTGTAGAGCTGGCAGTGAGAGGGATGTCGGCATGGACGCTTTATCGGGCGTTTGTGGCAAAGGACGGCGATGCTGGCCCGAGGGACCTGCTGGAGCGGCCGGGCTGGCGGGGCTCGTGGGGTTCGTAGGGCCAAGACCTGCAGAACATGCAGGACCGTATATGAGCTCGTGTGCCGACATGGTCCGATACTGTTCGCGGCGTGGGGAAGAAAGGGCCTGGGCTGCGATCATGGCTGCATGTGCATCGCTTGCGACGCGGCTGTGCTGTGGACGCCGAGGGGGTTGTGGGACCGAGGGTATAGACCTGTGGAAGGGGAAGCGGGTGTCGTCCAGCGACACTGTGCGAGCATGCAGGGGCGAAATGGGCTTTGGTGTTGAAGCAGCGGAGAGAGGAGGAGGAGGAGGAGGAGGAGGAGGAGGCGTGTATCGAGGTGACACCTGATACGAGGCTCTTTTGGGTGGGAGCTCGAGCATGTAGTACGTGAGCTCCACATACACTTGCCCCGTGACACGGCCTTGGTTGGTGAGGATGAGCCACTGATCATGCTCGCCACGGCTGAGAGCCGTCGACAGGTCGAGAGTGGCATGTCCAATATAGTCGGGTTCCTTGTCTGTAGCGTAGCAAATTAGTTCGAGCGTGTGAACTTTGGGCAAGGAGCCGGTTGAGGGAAGTGCCGTACGGTAGTCATGCTCGCTTAGGGGGTGGAGTGCGTCGATGTCGCTGTCGTCATCTTCATAAATTTCAAAGTGCATTTGCTCATCCCACAAAGGACTTGTGCCAGCGCGACGGTCCGGGAGTGTGCGAAGACGAACGCCATCGACGCACACTTCAGCGACGGGGTCCTGAGAATCTTGGACACGTTTGAGCACTAGGTGTTTTCCTTTGAGCACCACACAGACAAGTGTGCCTCGATGTTGCCGCATGCCATGCCAAAGTCCAATGCGGGGTGAATTGGCAGTGTGGGCGCGTCGGACGATCCAGTGCCTAGGGGGGACTTGCTGACGGGGTCTACTGGCACGGTTGAGACGGTGAATGAAACACGAGGTTAGGCGCTCCTCTCCTCCGCCCCTGCCACTTGCGCGTGAGTGGAAGTGGCGTATGTATGACTAAGCAAGAGAGAGAAAGAGAGAGAGAGTGTGTGAGTGTGTATGTGTGTGTATGTGTGTGAAGGAACAGGCAACAAGCGCATAGACCTAGTAGGAAGAATGACGACGTATGAAACATGCCCTGAGGGACGATGGGAAAGCGATGTGTGCGATGGACCTGACTGACATTTTTACGAGTTCGCGTCGTCTCTATCGATTGATATCGTTGGCAAGGGATATATACAATGACGAGCTGGGGTCCTTACATGGTGCGACAAGTGCGCCTTGCGATGCAGAAGCGTATGGATGTTCGGCATGTGTCGTCGTCAACGAGCGGGGGACGTCCCAAGTCGCAGCATACATTTCTGTACACGGACATTTTCCCGCCGATGATGCGTGTGCTTGCCTACAGCACGGCGGCGTACTTTGCGATGCATTTGACGTGGTTGAAGCTCAAGAATGAGGAGGAAAAACGCGCACAGACGAGGGAGATGACGCAGCTACGTGACGAGGTGCGGACGAGTGTAGCGTAGGCGTACAACATACATTTATCAACTACAAGGACGCCGGGGAGGAGGAGGAAGAGGGTATCGAACAGCGACGGGGGAGGGGAGGGGAGTGAGTACGGATGAGTGAGCAAGAGGATGCTCATGTGTAAAACTTTTTATTAATAAAGTGGATGAGCGGCTTGAGGTGGAATTGGATGGCGCCATCAAGCATGTTGACGAACTGCTCGTTGGCGTACTGAGCTTCGAGCAGATCGTCCATCTTGAGCGTTAGGACACCGGCGAGGATGCCAGCGACGGTGGCCTCGATTTGAAAGACGCCCACCTCGTCGCTCGATATGGTAAAGAACAACTGGTCGATCGCGAGGTTGTCTGGGCGCTCGATGTGCGCAAGAACGCCCTTGGCATGCAGGCGGGTGGCCGTGTAGCGGAAGGAGCCGTAGGCGGGCATGAGGCCTGCGGCCTTGAGGCTGCGCTGGTGGAAGAATTGGGGTGAGAATGGGAGTGCCATCATGCGGCGGCGCGTGCGTTTCTGCAT